CTTTGCGCATGTCAATATCTTTCTGTGGCTCGTCAGTCATCACGTATCCTCGCGACTTCTCATGCTTGTGGTTTTCACTTTTGCATAGTTGCCCATGTCGCTGGGCCAAACGGTTTGCCTGCACAGCCCCAGCCACCTCGAATTCTGCGCGTCGTCCTTTAACGGTTTTCTTCCACCACCGGAGTCCGCATCCTTGATCCGTTATGTTCGTATCCACAGCTCAGTCTATTTTATGTCGACCGGAACTCTACGTGCTGCTCTCGCAAAGCATATCCTTTCTATACAGCAAAGAATGGTACGCCTACAAGAAGACGTTGGAAAAGACGAAACGACCTCGTAGATCATTCCTCTCCTCTCTGCGCGGAGCGTGCAACACACAGATCTGCTGTCTCTGACTTTCTTGTGACTTGCCTGTAGTTATCGGTCCTTTTGCTCTCGGTAAGGGAGCTTCTTCACAGTCCATCGTTCCCGCTTGCTCGGAAAAGCTATACTGTGCCCTACACGCGAAATCTTCTACGGTTATCGCTGGGCGTTTTGACACGCGAGGGCCATGATAACTCTACGCCGCATCGCGCTTCGACTTGCACGGTTGCTGCTGCTTTGCGTACGTATCGCTGATACTGGATACTCGTCGAAACGTTTGTCCTGTGCTTGAACCGTCTTCGTGAATCCTAACCACACGCATTCAGAGTGATGGTCATGGCGGCATCATGAAACATACCTCGGTTGTTTGATGTGAGGCACAGAAGTGCTCTCTCGAGGCGCAAATCTATAAAACGTTTTGCGTATCCCTCCGCGGCTGCTGCAGTTTGCTTACGAAGTACGTGCGGATAAATGCACATCAACTGTCGGTTGGATTTTCGCTGCCATAGTGCTCCCATGATTAGTTCATTGACTCAGCAGGCAGTTGTCCTTGGCCGTGTCTGCACATGGGTCAGTGTTCCTGTCAGCAAGACTTGTGATCAAACCGTTGTGCGACCCAAGGCTACATGAAAAGCCTTGTACATAGACCCGGTTGCTTTTATGGATCTTATGTGGCTGCCAAATTCAGCTGACGCCCAAAAATTCTGTAAACGGCTTTCCAGACCCTCGAAACCCTGCGGCTCTACGTTGCAGGCTTGTCAACTGTCAGCGTCGTACCATCACCGGCTGCGCGACTCATGGTTTTTCTCCGAATTCTTCTTCTTTGCGCGCGTTCTTGTCGTCCACTCAGACACCAGCGTGCCTCGTCGGCTGTCCCGAAATCTTTATCTGTGAGTCAATCTCTGCCGGCTTCACCGTAATCCTTCTTTTTGGCAAATGGTTGGCCCTCCGTCGACCCGCAAGGGCTCATCGGTATTCAGCCCCGAACGCCCATCTGGTTTAGGGCATCGCAGCTAAGAGACTCGGTGCCGGCTGCTGTTGACAATGTCGGAGTCTACAGCCATCGGTAGTGGTGTGAGCAGCGTAGGCTAGAGATGGGAATTCAAGTGCCGTGTCTTGCTTGCGCATGGCGATGCCGTGTCTCGTCCGCTTGTGTAAGCGATAACTCGAACATGTTCGCTCACAAGGCCTGGACGTGTCTTGGCTTCTCGTTCCTCGTAACTCTTACGAGACTTCTGTCAGCTGGGAAGTTACATGCCTACGCAGACTGTTCCAGCTGAATTGTCTTTTAGACAGGCAGGGGAGACAAGTCGGTAGGTTCGAACTGTGCACCAAAAGCTTGCGTGCCGCGACCCTGGTCCGAAGGAATCTGGAGCTTTGACACTTTGGGAGAATCGTCCCCGGCCGGACACACCTCCGCTGAACTTGCTGTTTTGGGAAGTCCATCTCCGAACCCCGCATCGAGGGCTTCGCCTACTGACTATCGACATAGTGCATAGATTTTCTGCACGTTACGAGCGGCATGCCTTTAACCACGACCCACGATAGTGGATCTCAGCACTCGCTGGTTTCACTTTTCGCTACTCTGCATTCTGATCTGCACGACGCCCACTGCCTGCGCAAGCGACTGTCGGGATGTATCTCTATCAGGGGGTGAGGGGTCTCCAGATGATGCGCACATCTACGCGTCTACTTCTCCAAAAGCCTCAACGAACCGGGGATTCCCAAGTTGACGATAAGCAATCTGCAAGGCAGTGCAAGCCACGCACTATCCAACTGCCCACTACCGCTACACATGTACCTGCATCGCGTTCGTGCAAAGTCCTCTGTGGATCTCTTTTGCAAACCTGTCAGCTGAACCCAAACCTCATCGGCACGGCTCCAGGGTGTCACAAGCCCAATCACCTCTGCAACCTCCTGCATTGGCTGAACAGTTTTCGATACTATGCACACACGTTTTTGTCTTTCCGAAGCACATTGCCCTCGCTACCTGCGCCCACAAGTTCGGACGTATCGCCGCAAACCCAGACGAGGTTCTTAGTCTTGCGGCTGTCGTTTGTCTCGGACGGATCTGACTCCTTGGATACTTCCAGCTGCGGTCTTTCCTCATGTATCGTACTCGCGCAAAGCTGCCTGCTCTTCCGACCACCACTGCTGTATGCCGCGTGCTTTCACTCTACAGAAACCCTCGCTTGCAGGCACATGAAGGGGGCATCTCCAGACCCTGCATATGTTGTGCTGTTTATCCGAGACGCAACAGCATCTCGTCATGCATGTGCATAATGCACAACATGATTTTGCTTGCTGCGGTTTTGGTTTTCTGCACACGCTGCATCTGCAAAAATCGCATCCCATGATCTCTCTAACTCTCGCTAAGAAACGGCTAGATCTGACAACCTTGTCGAGGTGACACGGACACTGTGGGGTTGTCAACACTGGTCGCGCGGACAGGTGACAAGGCGCTTTTGAACTACGCGAGGAACACGGGGTGAGTACAATAGTATACAAAGCTATCCATGTCGTTTGCTGTCGGGAGCTTCTCCGAGGGAGACCGAGTAGGCTAAAGCACGCGGAAGTGTCTTTTGCGACAGACATGTGCATCTCTTCTATTCTGCTTTGGCTCTTTTCCCTGTGTCTTGTCCTTTCTTTGTGTTTCATCATTTTCCTTCTCTCCTCACCGATCTCAAAAATACTGGCTCGCATACCATATACTTCACCCATACACATCGTACGGGAACCTCGGCACACATATCCTATGCTATCACCATACACATCATCCAAGAGCCTCCACGACACATTATTCGAAGAACCTTAGCAGTTTATATTCGGAACCTCCAAACCCTTTCACCTTCGCTTTCGCTTTCGTATAAACTATAAGAATCACCGAGGGTCCGGTTCCTTCCATCACTTACGGAACCTTAACACCTTATCTTCCTGTTGCTCTCTTCTCGCTCAACCATCATTTCTTTGTAAAAGTCCTAGATCTTTACTTTTACTAATCTTTCTAGATTCTGTTTCCATCACTTAGCACATGTAAGTTTGTCTACTCACATAAGGAATGTAGGCGACAAAGAAAGGGAAAACATTATTTCCTAATGTTATAACTTAATCTCTGTTTATGCCAAAAGTCTATCTATACACGAGAGACGCGAACGGAAGACGCCGGAAAGCATATCTCATACACGAGACGCCATAATGGCTAGAACCATATGCATAGGCAAGAGTTTGTCTGCTCAAGAGTACGGGAATCTGGAAATAAAGTAGCGAGAAATGCGAATAGCTATCTATTTGTTGCCGACAGAGTGGTTACCGTTGCGTTATAAGCTCTGTTTCTTACAAAACTGCCATGACACCACGACACCGCGACAACATGATACTTTCTTCTATACGTGCTATACCGAGGCAAGTATATGCTCATAGCCGTATCGCACAAGCATATAATCGACAAGCTCAACCGTCAAAAAAAGTCACCAAAGGTAGAGTTGCAGATTTCGCTTCTCGAAAAGCTTGTATAAATATAAGAACGTTAGAAGTACGAAAGCGTTCCTCGTAAGGCGATTGTGTGCTTGTGTATCCAGGAATACTCTGTTTCCTAGGGGCCCATGGTCTCATCCAGGCACAAAAGGCAAGCTCAAAACGTCAACAAAAGTCAAGATCTATAACCTTTCCACTTCTCGCTTCTTGGAAAGCTTATGTGGAGCCAAAGTATAGAGAGACCCCTTCTCGCGTCCATTGCGTAATCTACACGCCGTGCGCCGAACCATTTTGACAGAAGTATCATACTTCATGGTTATCGACATACTATCCTACCCGAATGCCAAAGAAACAAAAGGGAAAACAGAGCAAAAGGTCAGGGTCATACAGATTGCCATGCTCTGGAGAGTCACAGTTCGTGAACGACGTTTATTTGACAAAGTCGCATATATGTTTTGCGTGTTGAAGAGTTGCTTAAGTCCATAGAGGCAGCCCATTGCCAGACAAACAGACTAGGAAAGAAGAATGGACAAAGAAAGCAAGAACAACAGAATCATATCATATAAGCTTTGCAAGGCTTTTCTACGCACATCTTCTTTTTCTAACAGTGATGCATCCAGCTTTTAGCTCCCTCCCAGTGCGCTGAAAGACAGTGGACAGTATAGCTGCAGAGATGCACCCATGTTATCGTAGCAAATATCCGAATATCGTCTTTCATGGGGAGTACTCCATTAGTGGCTATCTCAATGGCGAGACTCACGTATGGGTTACAACTGTGCATTTTTACAGCTTATCATAATCTTGTACCTCGGGATGAGAGGCCCTGGGTCACTAGCTAGATTGTGACTGTCTTGAGCACACAGGAAGGCCACATGAATAGAATGTATGGACAAAATTGATGAATACAAAGGCTTTGGAAGCCAAAGAGAAAGACAACTATAATGCGATGAATAAAACGCCTGCAGAACCCCAAGCCATGCCGTCCAAAATCAAAAGCAAACCCCCATACGAACACGAAGAGCCCATCCGGAACCAAGAGCCTAAAAAAAGAATGAAGAGAACAGCGAGAAAAATTTCTTCAAAGTCATTCAGTGTCGCAGATTGCGGCGGTGCATCCTTTCCCGCAATGTCGACCTCGGTTTCTTCTCTCTCTCAAGCTTCTAACCTTGAGCTTTGGCAATGGCGCCGTGGAGCTTCTCCAAGAACTCCTTTGCCTTGTCCCCATCCTTGAACATGCACATGAAGGACTCGACCTTCTTGCCCTCGGTGGGAACACTCAACTGAACCATCTTGGGACCCTTGATCATGTACAAGGCAGGGTTGAGCAGGGCATTGAAGTTCAAGCCAACCTTGCCGGATGGGTCGGCGCGCATGAGGATACGAGGTTTGGAGTTCTCCTTGGAGGCGAGGATACGGATGGGGCCAACGCCTTGACTGACCCAGGAACTAGTCTTGTCGTCTTCGCTCTTGACGAGTTTCGTCACTTTACAGCGTGCTTCGTGGATGAGATCGTACTTGGCAATGTCGTCGGCAGTGAGAGAGGTCAAGTCCTTTTGCACATCGTTGGGCGTGTCGCTGGGTTCTGACTCGGCGGCACTGCCTTCAGCATCGGTAGTAGTGGCACCAGGAGTAGTGGCGCGAGAAGTAGCAGCTGAGGCAAACACGGACGTTCCAGAGGGAGGTGCGAGACTGGAAGGAGTGGCACCACCGAATGAGAAGCCGGTGGTAGGTGCTGAAGGCTTTGCAGTATCGAAGATGCTACCAGTCGATGATGGCTTAGCACTGGTCATTCCACTGAAGGGAGACGACTTCTCAGCTGGTTGTGAAGCACCACCGAAGTTGAACTTGGGAGCAGGAGCCTTGGCAGGAGATCCATCAGGAGTAGTGGTACCAGCAGTAGCTGTGCTAGCACCGAACTTGATAGGATCGCTGCCCTTCCAGGTGTTGTCGGCAGCGCCTGAACTACCGAAGGAGCTGAACTTGAAGGAAGCGCTAGGTGCATCGGAAGTCTTCTCCTTGTCAGCATCGAAAGAGACACGTTCAAAGAGACTCTTGCCGGCTGCGGGCTTAGCAGGAGTTGCGTTGGTCAAAGCGGCATGAACATCCTCGTCTTCCTCAGTATCGCCGTCATCGTCCTCATCGTCATCGGGCTTGCTGCCAGAGAGATTGCCAAAGATATTGGAAGATGAGGGTGTGCCGCTGAATGAAAAGACAGCTGATGCAGAGCTGGTAGGCTTCTTCGAAGTGTCGAAGCTGAACTTGGTAGCTTGGCTGGCAGCCAAGAGCTCAGCCTTCTTCTGTGCCTGCTTCTCGGCATCCTTTCTCTCCCATTCTTCCTCATCCTCATCAGAGTCCATGTCTTCTTCCTTGCGCTTTTCACGTTCCTTGGCTTCTTGCTCAGCAGCCTTTTGTCCGAATGAGCCAAGGAAGCTAGGGGTAGTAGCAGAAGAACCACCGCCGAACTTGGGAAGCTGGAAGCCAGATGTAGGTGCAGCTGAAGTAGTGGAGGCGCCACCAAACTTGGGAATCTGGAACGTCGAGTTGTTGGACGATGGCAATGCTTGAGCTGCAGCAGGAGGGACAAAGCTTGTCTTCTGGGTGCTGGGTGCAGGAGTAGCAGAGACGTTGCGAGCAATAGCGCCGAAGGGGTTGGACTTGACTTGAGGAGCAGTAGCGGGAGGAGCAGGGGTCTTGTCTGCGGAAGCTGCGAAGATATTTGTGGACTTGGGTGTTTCAGGCTTCTCTGGTGAATCTAAGATGTCGTTGAACAAAGAAGCAGTTTGGGATAGAGGTCTGCCGCCAGGCGATCCGGCATTAACGGACTGAGTGAATGTAGGCTTGCTGGGGGTAGACTGCTTGGCACGCTTACTGTGGTCGTCTTCCTTTGTGACTTCCTCATCGGCCACACGCTTCTCACCACGGGGGTTTGAAGCAGACAATGGAGCAGTTAGCAACTTGGGCTCGGTTGCACTGGTGATGGATGCTGTGGAAGGCGCACCACTGTTCTCGGAACGAATCTCAGCGGCTTGTTCGAGGTACAGTTGCATGACGGCGCTCCAATCCCGCGAAGCATCAGCTGATGCGAGATGAGTACGCAGAGACTCGTTCAACTGCTTGAGCAAAGCAGACTCCATCTCGGTAGGTGGAAGTTGAGGAGAAGCCGGGGGTGTAGCGACACCNGGAAGCATTAGGTGCTGACAAAGCAGTGCTTGCACGAGGCTTAGAGTGTCCTGGAGGAGCCGGAGCTTGTGCGCTGACAGAACCCCGAAGTTCATGGAAGGCGTTGCTGCGCTGGACTGAGGAGGAGCCGAGGAAGAAGCGCCAAAACCCTTGAAGGCAGATTCTGTGGGCTTCTGCTGAGCAGGTGCGCTGTTGAACATGGAATTGCCGAGGCCAGTGGTCTGAGGTTTAGGTGATTCCACAGCAGCAGGTGTAGCAGCAGGCTTGAATGGTGACGAAGCAGCAGGAGTGACGGACTGACCAAAGCTGAAGGAAGATTTAGGTGTTGCCGACGACTCTTGCGAAGAAGCACCGGTCAGGCTGGGGTAAGACACTTCCTCAGCAGGCTTAGGAGCAGCAGGTGCACCAAAGCTGAAAGATGGGGAGGGGAGCTTCTTCTCAGCCGGCTTGGGAGATGGAGGAGCAGCAGGTATTGTGGAAGCGCCAAAATTGAAGGCGGTTGCCGGCTTAGGTGCTGCTTCATCCTTCTTCTCAGCAGCTGCGCCAAAGTTGAAGGCAGGAGCTGGGGAGGCTGGTGCAGGTGTGGAAGCGCCGAAGTTGAACGAGGTCGAAGCTGGGGGCGCGGGCGAAGCGGCAGGGCCTCCAAGTTGAAGGCTGATGATGGAGCTTTTGCGGGTGTGTCGTCCTTCTTCGTAGTTGATGCACCGAACCCACCGAAGGCTGATGCAGTGGGCGTAGTGTCGTCCTTCTTGGCGGGCTCAGCAGTGCTGCCAAATTTGAAGCCAGAGGTAGGTGCAGAGGATGCTGGAGCGGGAGTGGCGCCGAAACTCTNNTGAAAGGCGATGACTGAGCCTCGGGCTGGCTCGATGAAGCGGCAGGAGTGGTGGATGCACCGAAGTTAAACGACGTCGAGGCAGCGGGCGCGGGTGCGGTGGACGAGAACGAGAAGGAAGATTTGGGAGCTTCGGGNNTTGTGTCTGGTAGGGTGTCATGTTAGCAAAAGGCTGGGTAGAGGTTTGTTGGTGTTGCATGTTCGAATCGTGATCAAGGGATACATCGAGCATGTCATGTTGAGTGTCTTGCTCGACGTCGTGGTGCTTTACGAAGGGNGCTTGACCATCTTCAACACTGTTGAGTGGTTGATATGGTTGGGCGTATGCAAAGGCATTGGGGTTGAAGGATTCTGCTACGGGTGGTGTGAAGCTGAGTTCTTGTTGGCCAGCTTGCGACTGGTGCGATGAGGCAAAGTAGCGGTATGAGTGAATCTGGTCCATGCCAGTCTTCTCCCTGTCCAGGCGAGACTGCAAAGCGGCGATGCCCGTCTGCCACGCGCTAGGCATGTTCACGTCTGCTGCTGCCTCGGCAAGCTTTACCTCATCGATCAAGCCGTTGGTCATGAAGTGCTCCTCACTGAAATCAGGAAGATGGGTGTAGGTTTGGGGCATGTGTGAGGCAAACAAAGGAGTGTCATGAGAATCAGCAGGCCCAATGGACTCTGTGTAACGAGACAGATCGAAAGAAGTGATCGATGTCAAACTCACTGTATCGGGCTTGTTGCGCACAAAGTCGAGCATTTTCCTTTGCACTGCAGGTGGGAGTGTTGATAGGTTGAGGCCGGCGAGGTTAGCATCCTATGCAAGAGTGAGCAAACAAGAAGCCTGTCGGACAGCAACATATGATAATACCTTGTACTTGGGCTCGCTATGACGCACGATGTTAGCGAGCTGGTCAAGCTTGCCCTCTACGCCCAAGCGAGGGCCGGCTGCTTCGATCTCTTGGATCTCAGCTGCACTGATAGGCTGTTCAGTGCTGCCAAACGAGGGTCCTGACATGCTGGAGAAGGGGTTGAATGCGGGTGCGGGTGACGCAGGAGCCGACGGGCCTGGAGAGGCAGGTGTCGAGCCGAATGTGAAGGATGGAGCCTTGTTGGCGTCACCGTTCGGTTGTGACGGTTTGGCAGGCGATGCGCCGAAGCTGAAAGATGTGCCAGAAGGTGTTGATGCGCCAAAGTTGAAGCTGGATGATTGAGGCGGGGCAAAGGCAGCAGGCTGTGACTGGCCGAAAGAGAAGGAGGTATTGGCGTTTGCAGGGGCGTTTGGTGGGAAGCTCTGTGAGGTCGACATGGAGCCGAAGGGGTTGCTCTGTGCTTGTGTCTGGCCGAAGTTGAAGCTGGCAGCTGCTGGTGGAGCTGGAGCGCTTTGTCCGAATGGATTGCTGTCGGCGCCGCCAAATGGATTAGGCATGCCCTTGGATGGTGATGCAGATCTAGATGATCCGGGGCGTCCCTTGAGGGGTTTGATGCTANNGAAACAAACAAAGCGTCAGTTGTTGGTCACTGTGTCACTTGTCGCAAGCAGCTTCACTTACTTGCGCTTCGCTAGCTGCGCAGCTGTCGCCTTGCGCGGTGGGTCCATTGCTGAATCACGGGGGTCCTCCATGTCCATGCCGCCGTAGCGTTCAGAGCCACCTTGGCCGTCTGCTACGCGTTTTGACATGGCTTTGTTCTGCCTGTGATGGCGATGTCTCGTGTTGTTCTCCGAACCAGCTTAGTGAAAGTCTTCCAGGCCGAGTTGCTGTCGCGTGTCGCAGGTCGCGTCTTGTAGTCTTAGATGGACATGTGTCGAGTTGTGCGTGTCTGTATGTTGCGATGTCAAGATGCGCCTTGTCGCAAGGTGTTTCGATGATGCGCTTTGATCTTTGGTCTAGGTTGTTTTGAACTTTTGTCGCGCTTTCCTTGTCCAAACCCTGCCGACATCCGATCCGCCAATCAGCGTCGTCATGGTTCCTTCCCCAAAGCTCCAACCACTTCTACTTTCTCCCTCCTCCTTCCACCTCCCGTGTGCGAAGGACAGTCAAAGTGTAGCTGCTGACGTGCACAGTTTTGACTCAAATATAGCTTTGGCCATTGAGATAGCCTTCATTAAGATTCTCTCAATGGAGACCATAGCTTTCGCAAAAGTATTGTGCATTTCGGCAGCTACAACTGTGACTGTCCTTTGCACACGGTGAGGAAATATGGCACTACTTCAGTCATGGAACGACGACCATAAGATTACAGCACGCGAGAGATAACCCTCCTCTGCGGTAGGCACGTAAGAAATATAGTTATCAAAGTGCACAATAGTATTGCACTGACAGCAATGTCCACTAAGATGCGACAAGTCGAACCACAGGGCCACAGGGCAACAAAGATTGCTTCGTCCTCGATGGTCAGACAAGATATGACTATAGAATTGTTTAGTAGTATCACAAACCAGAGCAATGTCCACCAAGAGCCAACAAGTTAAACCACAAGACAACGAATCTTGCTTCCTCCTCAGCAGCTATACCAAAAGGTAACTATAAAAATACACAATAGTATCAAAATCCAAAGGTGGTCCACTGAGATGCTAAAAGTTGGAGCTCAATAAATATCGATTTCCATTTCTGTATAAGTTTTTCCATAAACTTGATCTTCTTGATCTTGGGCCATTATCAAAAACTGCCATATCGCAGCCCATTTCTCTGAATGTCTCTCCTATTCTATGTTTACATCCTAAATGAATCTTTGTCCAAATAGTCGAAAGGGTGTCCTGAATCTGGAGAGAGATCCAAGTTACCACTTTCAGTTTTTCCGTCGTGTCGTGCCGTGTCCTTCAAGAGAAGTCCACGTGTTGGAACAACTCCTCGTTGACCTCTCTCTCAGCCCTGGCAGCTTCCCTAGCCTTCTTGTCGAGGTAAGGAGTCGACATGTTCTCGTCATTCTCGGCCTACGAGATGAACTCATCAAAGTCGTCTTCGGTGGTGCGCTGGGTGAACTCGTCCTCGAATTTGTCCATCAATCTGTCGGCAAAGTCGTTTCTGAACTGTTTGTCGGCATGTCTTTGCTGGGCCATGTCGTTTTCAATGGCGTTCATGCTACTGGCGAGCATTCCATAGGGTTTGTTCATCGAGGGAGCAGTGTAGGTGTGGCCGATCTTGGGACCTTTCTGACGAGCAGAACGAGCGCGGAACATAGCCTTCAAGTGAGCTTCCTGCAAGGGGNNAGCAGGAGTAGACTCGAAGCCAAAGCGAGCCTTCTGGCCAACGTCCTGACCATTGATTTGGGTGAGGTCGAGCTGGTCAACACGATTCTCGCCGAGGTACCAGGTCTGTCCTTCATTCTTGTTGATGCGAGCATCGTGCTGAGTCGAGTATTCGCGAGCGATACGAACGCCCTCGATGCCATGAGTAATGTCAACGATGTGCTGAGGAATATCCAGATGCTCAGCACCGCCCGCAGCGACTTTGATAAGGCAGGACTTGCCCATCATGCCCTTGATGTACTTGTCTTCCAGGAGACGAGTGAGGAGTCTGGTGTATGGCATACGGACCATGGCATCACCTTCTCCCATCTTGTACCAGAGACCGTAGCCGCGCATGCCACGGAAGGGCAGCGACTCGTAGGGAATGGGGCGTTGATACTGGCCAGAAGCGTGCTTAGGATCGGCGGTGTAAGCAACACCGGTGATGTGAACGCTGGTAGGGGTAATTGGCTCGCGCTCGAGGTTGTAGCTAACGCAGATGTATTTGATCTGAATGACATCCTTGCCGAAGCTGTTGTTGTGGATGGGCGAAGAAAAGCGAACGAGGTCGCCAGCGACAAAGAACTCAGCGCCGACATACAGACCCTTACAGTAGACACGGGCTTCCTCTCCGTCGGAGCTGAAGTGGTAACGTCCAACAACAGAGATGGAGGATATGGCAGTCATAGCGTGGCGCACGGTGGGGTGGCATTCGCGCAACTCGCTGACATCGGCGCCGTTCATGAGTTCCTGCCAGAGAGAGAAGGGGCGCATGTTGAGAAGATGAACGACCTTGTAGCGGGTCGACCAGGGCTTGTCGGGGTTGCCAATTTCAGGCATGGGTTCGACGCGGAAGACATCCTCCTCTGAGCTTTCCAGGAGGCCAGCAGCCAAGCCGTTCTTGGTGACCTGAGTGACGACTACGGCTTCCCAGACAGGTAGACCGACCCAGCCGAGTCTGGAATCCTTAATCTTGTAGATGTCTGCGTTGGCATCGAACGTGATCATCTGGTCGTTTTTGAGGTTGCGCGCAACGAGGACGATCTCGCCAAGGCGAGGGTACCAGCGCGTGGAGGGTTCGAGTGAGTTAAGATAGGCGGGCAGATTTGCAAGATCTTGTTCAACCAGCCACTCCATGGAAAGGGGCTCTGTTATAGCCACGCTTAGATGCTGTCCCTGCTTGGCCTTGCGCATGAGTCCATCAAAGACGTTAGGAGTTCCGTCCTCATCGACCCCAGTGTTGACAGGGGCTGGGNNTATCATCGACATCCATCATAGAAGAAGAGAATGCCATGTTGTAGTTGTTGTTATTAGTGCGCGCACTGGTTGTGATGGCTTGGTGAGTGGCCTTGGCTTTCTTAGGAGCAGGCTCGGGGGCTGGCAATTTCGACACTGGCAATTCTGTGTGCTACTCAGAAGGATAGATGCAACGTGCTCAGCAAACGAAGCGATCGTGCGGAAATTGCCCCTGGGGTGGCCGTATACGTAGTTATCATATAATCTTTGCCCGTTGGTGATTGTTGGACGATCTCTTGTGTCGAGAACGTAGTTGGGAGGCAAGGTGCTGAAAAAGACACCTGCAGGGCCTGCACGAGGTTAGTGAAGGGTCGAGAAAAATCAACATCCCCATGTGCGGAAGCATGTAACGCGTATGTCTGTAAAAATGCACAGTACTATCAGAAACGAGACAGGGTCCACTGAGATGCAACACATTGTCGACTCTCTGTGGACACGCCTCTGCTCTGAAAACATCGTGCATTTTTATAGTGTAAACTCCGGTCTTTGCTGTACTCGGAGTAGTCGGAGTACAATGGATATCACAGACCCTAGCACACAGAGCAGGGTACCTAACTTACCAAAGTTGGCAAGGATCTCCTGGTTCTTATTGACTTCACTCAGAAGGCCCTCAAGATACTTGGGGCCACGAGTTGAAGACTTGCCAACACACTTGTCAGGGTCACCGTCAGAAGTGTAGTTGCTCCAGTCAATCCGGGTAGGGGTAGCCATAGTGATGGATGTTCGAGTTCAGTGAGCAGGACCTTCCTGATGACCGTGCGCGAGCGCCAAGACCAGGAAGGATAGTGAAAATGGACGACTCTCGCAGAGTGAAAGAATAAGGGCAAGTCCAAGTGAGCTCACAGAAGAACAAAGCCAGAATGCGAGCACAACGAACACAAAGCCACCGTGCAAACAATGTGGGGGCAGAGTGACCACGGACTCGAGATTACGCGGGAGATAGAGGGGATGAACAATATGTATCTGGAGGACTTGATCGTGCTTTGGCAATACTTTTTCTCTCCGCAAAATGACTCATAGGAATTGGAGACATGAGAAGGAATGCTATACCTATCTTTTGTTGTTGAGGTTCTTGATTTGATATGAGACGGTGATAGATAGAAGTCAAGTTGGTTGGAGATGATTGACGCTCGAACTTGGTGACATGGATGCCAAGGCTCGGGACTGGAATATCCTGGACCTCCGATAATCATCAGTGCCCTTGGGCCACCCTGTCACTTGCGTGTCAGGTATGTAATGAATAGGCAGCTATCAAAATGCACAGCTGTACTATGGAATAGGACCATGTCCACGGGAACGCAGCATCTAGTCGAGTTTCAGTGGACGCGCTCCTATTCTGAAAACAATTGTGTCTTTTTATAGTGTATCCTTTGCTCTTTGCTGTGGTCGGAGTGCGACGGAAGTTGAAGACTCAGGCACATAAGAGGTGGAAAATGAGGCACAAATGATAGGGAGGCCATTCCTGCAACGAGTAATAGACTCTGTGATGCTTCACACTGTGACTGGAATCCCTATTGCATATGAGTTGGTGATGCGAGAGGTCGTGGGTTGTGTTTGCACTGGCAGAAAGCGTCTTTGTGGATTCAGTCGGAACCTAAAAGGTAAAAGCACATTGCTGGCTTCAGCGCACTGGACAGGTTCTTGTCAGAGCAGATGCATGCAGTCTTGCGCCTTCCCTCTCTTCGTCTCAGCTCGTGTCTGCAATTTCGTGCCTTTCACGGTCAGATTAGTTAGCTGGAAGCTGGCGGCAGTGCTGACTTCAGCTGGGGAGAACTGCGTTCGATAGCCTGCAGAAGGGTTTGAGAGCCGAGGGAATTAGGCGAGAGCGGTAGGTCACTGAACCAAAGCCGTTGAACTTTGGGCCGAGACCAAATCTGAATGGAGGCTCCTATTTGAACAAGATGGCGCCCGTACAGCGGCGCGCTCTCTTCGCTGTGCTGAAGTGGGCGCTGGCTTGGTCTTGACTCTCTCGAGACATGCAGCAAACGATGCAACGGCTTTGTTAGCAGAAACGACATGGACGTCCTTCGTGGTGCTGCCTGGGCACCCCATCCTTCGTCGGCTCTCCAATCGCCTCCTCCTCGTCGCATATCAACAATCGCAGGCCAGCGACTCTCTGCAGTCGTCACCGACAGAGCCGCGTCTCCCCACTCGATGTCGTCGCCATCGCCGCGACTCGCCAGCCGATGGAGCGACTCAACTCACCTCGCCCGGACCATCCCGCGAACCAGTCATGATACTATGCCACCGCCCTATGTCCTGGATCCCAGCGGCGTAGAAGGAAACAAGCTTGTTGCCATCGGACCCGTGGTGCGCCAAAGAGGAGGATGCAAANGGATTGGGTTTCTGGTGCTGGCTGCATTGATTGTCATTGGCCTTGGAATCGGTCTGGGTGTAGGCCTTACTCGAGGAGGAGGAGGCGGAGGAAGCAACGCCCAAGTTGGAGCACACCCAGGAGAACCAGACACATCGCAGCCGGAATACCCTGTGGGCGATTACAGTCTTGTGACGGCCTTGCGCACCATTCAAACCAACTGCACTTCGGATCCTGATACCTGGCGCTGCTTCCCAGGCCCCACTTTCGACCAGTCGCCTGCTTCTTCTCTGGCTACCTTCAACTGGATCTTGTCCAACACATCTGCCTCGTATGCCACCAACAGCAGTGATATGACGACATCCGCTGAAGGCATTGCCGCCAACATGACCATTTCCGCGTCCGACAATCCATTCAGCATCTCCTTCGGCTCGACGCCATTGACTTTCATCAACGACACGTCTCCGCGCTATACTTTTGCTGCAAACATCTCCCAGAAGATCATCCCAGCTTCCAACATTACTGCAGACGGTCGGGCCACTGCCTGCTTCTTCAACCAGACTCAAGTCATCGGAACACTTCACCTCGATGACACGTATGCTCAACAATACACCTTTACTGGCAACAATGCTAGTTACACTCTCTGGCCGTACGCCGTCCAAGTAGAGTTGGTTAGCCCCGGTGGTCAGAACACGCCGGCTTGCTATTACACGACCAATGGCGTTATTGGCGCTCAGATCGCAGATGTCTTCACTGCCCAGCCAGCTGAAGATGAGTGCCTCTGCGAGTACAGAAACTACTTCTGAATTCCTTTCTCTTTGCTTGATACCCTAGCTTGCTTGTATTTTATGTTTCAGTTCTTGTTCACTTAGCGTTACTTTCATGTCAGATCCACGAATCAACTAATCTTACACATCTCATGCTCTTTGTCTTACACAAACACTTCTCACGCGATTGCAAGACGAGCAATACGAGACTATGATTCTTCTGCCTGCAATCGACCGTCCTTATCATGTGGTCATCACTTGGCCTTCGTCTGACACTCCTCGAAGCGGTACTACCTGACGCGGATCCACGGTAGAGCAAAAGTCCGGTGGCTCAAGACCCTTTTCCGAGTCTGCAGACTGCAGACTGCAGGCACAAGACGAAAAGCCATGCACGGCAGATGGAGAAGGAGTTTCTGGCAGATGATATCTAGCCTAGGCTTCGATACCCCGCCATGTGGAGACGGGAGGGTGCGGGGTTGATGGAGTCATCTCCTTGACTTGTGGACATATCTTTGTGTCACTTGTTGAGATGCACAAACATCTTGTCAGAAAAGCGGTGTGCTTGAGGATGAGTCAGGGTGTAATCCTTCCTGTCAATCAATTGATCTCGACACTGTTGTGGCGTGGCCACTTGTTCACAAAAAAAGACAAAAAGATTGCGGAAGGATTCAGTGGAGTAGAGCCAAGCTCTTGACCCTGTGAAAAGTGACAACTTTGATGGCCTGAGACGGCGCTAGTGGCCTACCCTCGGTTCCTTAGACCCGCAAGCTATTATATGAGCATTGTTATCGCTGGTCAATGGATTATAAAAACTAGGCCGCTTCCTGTCCCCTGTCGCAAGCATCCTTCGCCCTTCCCCCAAACCAGGATACCACTCAACAACGTTCACTATGTCGCCTGGCAAGACCGCAACCATTTCGTTCGATGGTGACTTCGCCAACATCATCAATGGTGAAGCACGCACAAAGTCAGACAACTATCACCAAGGCGTCAACCCTGCCACTGGCGAGAAGCTCTGGAACGTGCCAATTGCTACACAGTCAGATGTCGATGAGGCCGTTGCTTCGGCACAAAAGGCTTTCGAGTCATGGAGTCGCAAGTCTCTCGAGGAGCGCAAGGAACTCATGAAGAACCTCCGCGATCTCTGGAGTGGTTACCAAGAAGAGTTTATTAACCTGCTGTGTAAGGAGACTGGAAAGCCTAGACAGGTCTCCGCCATGGAGGTTGGTGCCGTGGGTGCATTCATCGACCATCACATTTCTCTGAGTATCCCCGAAGAGAGAGTCGAGGACGATGAGAAGATCATGACAACGAGATACATGCCTTTGGGTGTTGTTGGTGCCATCTGCCCCTGGAACGTACGTGTCCCTTTTCTACATATTCCCATGCAGTACTGACAGTGTCTCGACAGTNTCCCTCTGGTTCTTTCTTTCGGCAAGATCTGTCCTGCTCTACTTACTGGATGCACCATTATCGTCAAGCCCTCGCCTTTCACTCCCTACACTTCGCTGAAGGCAATCGAGCTGGCTCAAACTATCTTCCCTCCAGGTGTCATCCAGGTTCTTGGTGGTGATGACAAGCTCGGTCCCATGTTCACTGAGCACCCTGGCATTGCAAAGATTAGTTTCACCGGCAGCACCGCCACCGGAAAGAAGATTATGGCCGCCTGCAGCAAGACTCTCAAGCGTGTCACTCTCGAGCTTGGTGGCAACGATGCCAGTATCGTCAGAGAAGATGTTGATATTGAGGCTACTGCTCCACAGCTTGTCATGGGAGCCTTCCAGAACAGTGGTCAAGTAAGTTTGCCAGGTTCTAATGAGATTCTTAGATGCTAATGTCGTCACCAGGTTTGCGTTGCTACCAAGCGTATCTACATTCACGAGAAGATCTACAGACCCATGGTCGATGCAATGGCCAAGGTTGCTGCCAGCCTCAAGGTCGGCACTGAGCAGGACGCAATGTTGGGACCCATCCAAAACCAGATGCAATATGAGAAGGTCAAGACCTTCTTCCAGGACAGCAAGGACAAGGGCTACAACTTCATTGCTGGCAGTGGCGATGTCGAGAAGAAGGACGGTTTCTGGATCCAGCCGGCCATTATTGACAACCCTCCCAACGACAGCAAGGTCATCCAGGAAGAGCAGTTCGGCTTGATTCTTCCTGTTCAACCTTACTCTGACGAGGAAGAAGTCATCAGCCGCGCCAATGACACCAACTCTGGTCTAGGTGCTTGTGTCTGGAGCAAGGATGAGAAGGCTGCCGAGCGCATTGCCCTTCGTCTGCAGGCCGGCAGTGTCTGGATCAACTCGTTCGAGAAACCCACTCCTCAAGCGTAAGTCATCTATGCCAGTCCCGCGCTTCTCTAATCAAAGTACTGATCGCATCTCTAGANNATCTTCGGTGGTCACAAGGAAAGTGGTATCGGTGGTGAGTGGGGTACACAGGGTCTGCTGTCCTACTGCAACCCTCACGTTGTTCACTTGTACAAGAGCAAGTTGTAGATCAGCGGTAACGACACAAGTTCAACATCTTTCAATAGACAGTGGAGAACAATGAACGCAACAATTTTATGTCATGACTCTTTCGATGCTTACAAACCCCATTGTCAGAGCGGACGTCGGAATTTATCACACCGATTATTATTGACCAATAAATCATCAAGCACCAGCCTCTTGGGTTCGACGGCAAACAGGTATTGGTTCCAGTCAGCCACATTCGACTGTGAAGTGAATCCTTTCAGATAACGATACGCGCTTGCATTCCGAGCGGCGCTTCCAACTTCCGACATAGCAACCAGATAGAATATCCTATTGACTCGCGCGCTCTATATATACTCTCCTGTCCTTGACTAGACAATATGAACTCAACAACTACAGCTCTCAACCTCTTCATAAATCCGACAATCTCACCACTCACGCCCACACAAAATGGCCGACAAAACATCCTTCCTCGAAGCCACCAAAGCCCGTCGCTCCCTCTACTCTCTCAGCAAAGAATCTCCTATATCAAATGATCGTATCATTTACATTGTCGAACACGCAATTCGATATGCACCTTCGCCATTCAATGCCCGGTCTTGCCGATGCATCGTACTGTTCGGAGACGACCATGACAAGCTTTGGGATATGGGTGTTGCAGCCATCCAGAGGTGTATGCCTATGGCTGTAGATATTCTAATCCCTAAGGTTCAAGGCTTTCGTGGTGCATACGGCACTGTGCGTCCTTCTATCGATATTCTGATCTGGTTCGTTGCGCTGATTGATGCCCACAGGNTCTTGTTCTTTGAGGATGTAGAATCAGTCAAGGAACTCAATCCTCGGTTTGCGAAGATGTCAGAGGAGAATCCCGAANTGTATGTTTTTCTCAAACCAGCTCAGACAAGTTCCAGATGCTGACAGAGTCTCTCAGGGTACGATCACAGTAGCGGAATGCATCAATACGTCGGTAAGTCGATTTCCCACTATTTGCCTACCGGATTTGTTATCTGACTTGACCATCACANNGTCTGGACAGCCCTCGAAGCCGAAGGTCTTGGATGCAACCTTCAGCACTACCAAGACATGATGCACGAAGAGATGTACGCACAGTGGAATATCCCAGCAACGTGGCAAGCAAAAGCTCAACTTGTGTTTGGAAAGCCGTTGTCAGGCCCTTTGGTTGACAAGGAAAAGACCTTTAGAGATATTAAAGACTGTATCAAGGTTTATGGTCAATAGTTACGAGAATGAAAGTCTGGTATTGCAGTGGCTCCTTTCGAAAGAGTTTTACTTTCGTCCAGGCTTACATGCTGCGGGAACAAGAGGACATGCCTATTGCTCTTACACAACAAAAACAGAGAGACGAGAAATAAAGATACTTCATGAAACGACGAAACAGTTGTGAGCCTGAAATTCCGAGATGAAAAACAAGGGTCCTCGGTCTGGAACGACAAGTCACAAAGACGGGACGATCTCCCGAAGGCCGGTAGAAGCGAGCACGGGGAAGGCGAAGAATGGCGCATATCATTGCCTGTTTTGTTAAATCTCTCACCTCATGTCGGAGAGGGCTTTTTGACAAAACAAACCACTCATGATGCCCACATGCCCAAACGTGGTTGACGGGCACGCAACTCATCTTGGTTGATCACACTTTCGAGGCTTCCTTTTGCACGAATGAGACTCGTCAGGCCAACATTTTCATTCTGTAAACATGGCGTTTCAAGTCGTACATGACGTTTGAATGACTCGACTAGTCACGGTCAAACGTCGAGCATGTTGCGTTTTGCAACCGTAATGGTCGAGATTCCTTAACTTTTGATTCTTGTCCCCCATGCCTGACTCTTCAAAGTTCTGCTCCAGCAACCCTCTTCTATACGAGTTTTGCATCAGGCGGCACACCCCTTAAACGTTGTCCGGCCCTTCTGTTTACACTCAAACGGAGCCTTTCCTGTGACCCGGCTTGGAGATTTGTTTATTGCGACTGAGGCGGGCCATTTATAGCCTTGTCGCCTTCGGGACTTTTCTTGTTCTTCCTTTTATCTTGATTTGACCCTGCATTATCGCCAAACGCAGGTGCAGCAAAACGGTCTTCACGATGGATATCATGTCATCAATTACACAGGACAAATGCAGGAAGTTGTCTGAGCCTTCCACAGGACAGTTTGCCATATCATGGTGAGTATCTGGATGATCTTCTTTTCGCACACGAGAAACAGCTCTTCTTCTGCGCACCCCATTATACAAAGGAGCAACCACTGACACGAAGATCTCTCAAACAGCGNCACTCCTAGGATGGCTCTTGATCTCCTACATTCCCCAGTTCGCGCGCATCATTGGTCGCAAATCGGCAGAAGGTCTCTCGACTTTGTACATTCTTCTGGGTTCTCTTTCTGGAACTTGTGCTGTGGCCAATATCATGGTCTTGCCTTCGAGTCAAACGGATATCGCTTGCTGTAGACATTACACGCGCTTTGGATGTATCTCGCGTTTGTTGGGAATCTTCCAAGTCGTCAGTGGTGTATCTTTATTCTGGTGCATGTAAGTTTTCAACATTCGTTCTTCCTCAGAGAAACAAGTTCTCGGCAAATTTTGAGACATTGGTATTGATCAATCACATAGCATGTTCCTCTATGTCTACTTCTCAGAAGAAGAAGCAGATGCCGAACTCCATGGTCGTCGTCGCTCTCTGTCTTCTCCTGACCGCACTTTCCGCCGTGCTCGCCGCGCTATTCGTCTTTTGATCATTGTGGTTGCTTTTGCATTTGCAATCATGCTCATCAGTGCTGTCATCTTGAACCGCTTCCCTTGGTACTCCCAGGAATGGGCTAATGTGCTCGGTATCTGTGTTGCCTGCTTTGCTTGCGTGCAGTGGGTGCCGCAAGTGTGGACCACCATCCATCTTGGCCACCTTGGAAGTTTGAGTTTGGCGAGTATCTGTATGGGTGCGCCTGTGAGTCCTCACCTCCCTTTGATTATCTAGGGACTTTCCAAGGCTGACTGTGGTGTTTACAGTNACACATGGATCTTCGGCATCAACATGATCATCCGCCTCGGTCTCTCCGGCTGGTCTGTTTGGATCGTCTACGTACTCGTCGGCATAATGCAACTAACCCTCATCATCACCGCAATCATCTACATGATCCGCGATAACCGCAAAGCTCGCCGTGCAGACGCTACTTCTGCAACTGCTTCCGCCACCAGAAGAGATGTCTCTGAGTCTCCTAGTACGAGAGCGTTGAGACCCCAATTGCAGGCTTGGAGTAGCTTTGCTGCTGCTGCGAATGCAGATGACGGTGATGAGAGGACGCCGTTGTTGGCGGCTAGGAATAAGCATGTTGAGGAAACTGCTAGTCCGAGACGTGTAATCTAGACTTCTGAGATTGGAGGTACTGGAAGGGTATGCTGTGGAAGACGCGTCTACATGATACAAGATTTAGACGTTCGGGTGTAATTGGTACAAGGAGGGTTTTGGTATTGTGGCTATGAACACAAAGGAGTGATGGAGGGCATACACAAGGGGGCGTTCTGGGAAATGCTTGTATAACATGATGGTAATGATCACTTTTGCCTTTTCTCTTTTCCAGCTTTGGACTCGTACTACAGATACCTTTGCGAAGAGATATCTTGTAGACACTGGCAGACCAACTCAAGATAAGCAACAATGCCGTCGGGGCATTATCTCGGCAACCGAACTACGGGAAATATAAGAATCCTCCGAGAGCTAAATCACCAACTTTCATCAGGCAGGACCTTGTAACCAAAGCATTTTGCAAACCCCATCATGAAAATCCTTTGTCTGCATGGAAAAGGCACAAGTGCAAGCATACTAGAAACACAAACGTGTAAGTCTCCCTGATGCCTGTGTAGCCTTCTTCTGACCAAGACAAAACCAGCGGCTTTCCGACGGCACTCACGCGCTTTGCAGCCAGAAACATGTCTAGTCTTTGACTTCGTGGATGGACCTCTTCCCTCAGATCCCGCACCGCCAGTCGACAAATTCTTCAAAGGTCCTTTTTTCTCCTTCTACAGATCAGCAGACATCGACAATCTGCGCTCGGCTCATACGTGGCTTCTGGACTTGATACAAAGACGCGGGCCTTACGATGGCGTTTTGGCGTTTTCTCAAGGGTGTGCTTTGGCTGCTACTTTGATGCTGGAAATACAGACCAGGTCTGGAGGATCTCAAACACAGCCGTTCAAATTCGCCGTGTTTATCTGTGGCGGAGTACCACTTTCGTATCTTGTTGAGAAAGGGTATATTGTTTCTGATGCAGCATGGCAGTATGACAAACAAGCCGCACTAGCATTGTCGACTCAAGCATCCTTCAACGCACTTTTACAGTGTGGCAGCCAGCGCTGGAACCATCAAGACTTGACAGGTCTTAAAGATAAGCACGGCTCTCCCAACGACCACCATGAAAGCCTCTTGGCGACAGAAGTGTTCGAATTTGATTTCGCTCAAGTGGCAGATGCTCACAAGATTCAAATCCCGACTGTTCACATCTATGGGTCCAGAGATCCTCGCAGGGGATCTGCATTGCAGCTGGCGGGGATGTGTAATCCTGACAAAGCAAGAGTTGCCTGTCACGGAGGCGGCCATGATATCCCCCGAACGTCGGAAGTAAGCGACTTGATATCAAGGTTGATATTATGGGCATCAACAGAGGCGAGAAACAGTGAGGAGAGCTGCTCAGCCAAGTCGGCCGGGGTACAGATCTTCAGTCGACGAGCGTCTTGAGGTTACAATGGCAGGCGGGTGAGAAATGTGCTCAGCTATGAGACTCGGTTTCGGCAACGGCTCAGTCTGCGAGAACGATACAGTGGCCTCAAAGTCGCGATGTCTTTTCTGTGCTTCCGCATGCGCCGACGAAAANGGATTGCTAGTTGCCCATATACTGCCCCATGTGCTATTGCGTTTCGCAGTGCCGTTCGTGGTGTTTGAAGGAAGTGTCGTCAATGTAGGCGGTGATGCAGATAGTCCCGTCAGCCACGTACCGTGACCTTGATATGTCATGGTATTCTTGGTCTCAGAGCTATCAGATCCGGTCTGCAGATCATAGACCCCTTGACGAGCAGTAGCTATCTTGACCAGTTTCGACAATACACCAAACTCCAGCTTCAACTTGATGCTGTAGCACATTCCCTTGAGTGTGACTTCAATCTGGTAGAGACCTAGGTATTCAACAGCGAGAAGCGCCACGTCCAGAACAATGATCGCGATGTTGATGGCAGCGAGCTCCCACATAATATTGCGAAATCGGCCGTTGTCGATAACCTTCAGAACGCGACGGACTTCGACGAGATAGATGAAAGAGATTATGAGTTCTTGCAGCGAGAACGCAGTCATCTGAATTTTNTCCATGACAGAGTATCCGAAAGTGAATAGGTAGTATTTGCTAGAATTGGATCCGAGAGATAGTACGTTTGTTGGAACGGTGAGGNNGACGATGGCGTTGATAATGATCATGTATAGTATACCTCTGAGCAGTTTCCGATTCTGTGTGATGCAATGTAGACGCGAGTATAACACCAAACTCGATCCTGGCACCATGACGACCCAGCCGATACTCGAGAGTATGATCATGCCCATGGCATCTGCTTCTCCCACCTGTTTCAACCATGCGCCAACCTGATACGGAATGATGGAGATGGCGGTGATGAGCAGCGACCAGAAATAGAGTCCGGAGTAGCGCTTGAAAACGACCAGAACCAGTATGATGATCTCGGCGGCATTGTACCAAGCGATGGCTGTGAATGCGATCATTGCTCGAATAATGATGGCATTTTCACCTTTGTAGCCGCCAGTAATGCCATTCTTCGCGTCGGTGATTCCGTCAGGCATCTCGACTCGGGATGTCCAGCCTGGAATTGTCCGGAATGGTAATCAATATTCGTGGTATGGTGCTTCGAGTATCTAGGGCATGGTTGCGTTGAGAGACAGCCCGTAGACGGCGCGGTTCTGCGACAGGACTCGATGAACGCGGTAAGCAGGGAGGCGGAAGAAAGGAGAAGGTCTTCATAACTGCGAGTGACAACAGCCTTGAATCCTTCGTATGCAACCGGAGGTCAAGGCCTGATCGGCGCGTGAGCATGTCTAACAGGGTTGACGGCTCGACGGAGCGCCATGCACGTCACTTTGCGGGGCTCCACCGGTCCATAACGTCTGCCTTGACTCCAGACCGCTGTTCGCATCGCAAGGCTGACCTTTCGGTTATAAGCTCTTCGACTCTTCTCCCGAGGCAGTATAGAGCCATGTCTGAGCTGTCAAGGTGTCACGCACAAGATTGACAGAGATCTACCATCTCGAGGTCCGCGGGCTCTGTTGCACACGTCTTCAGCAGAAGGATGAACGCGTAATCTATATTGGCACAGGGAGACATGAGTAGCGCATAGCTTGTAGAGCGGGACTTCGCTATACCCGTGGCATGATCAAAGCCTAGAGCTTATGACAGCCGCAGAGTGTTGAAGTATCCGCAAAGCACCGGTAGATGTCTCGTTGACGATCTCAGCGGCAGATTTGGCTTCCTTGATCAGCCCGACCCCAGTACCAGCATATGTCACCATTCTCCCGTGGTCACCGAAAGCCTCGTCACCACACTTTAGCTCCTCTTTGTACAAGCGTACATCCTCTGCATCAGACAAGCCTGCTTCCTCATCCAAATGTCCTTTGTTGATGATGGCTCTTCCATCGTAATGTTCCGGCCACCCAACTGTTTCTTTTAGACGATCGCAAAGAGTTGATCGCTTGGTCGTGGTACCGCCATCTTTGACACGGATAATCTCGTTTTGCCAGCCTTCCGCGATGCCAGCTTCCTTTGCAGCAAGGAATCTCGTTCCCATGACCACGCCATCAGCACCCAAAGTGAGCGCAGCAGCAACACCTCGAGATTCCACAATTCCACCAGCTGCCAGTACTGGGACCTGAGGGTAGCCAGCAGCTGTGAGTGCATCCTTGGTCTCCGGTAGAAGTGATATGATACTGGCGGACTGGCGAAGACCATGACCACCCGCGTCTGTACCCTGTACGACAATGACATCGGGATGAGCCAATCTCATCACTTCCAGTGCCTCAGATACCGTTCCAACTTGAATCCAGACTTGTGTTCGTCCTCCGCTCACACTACGAATCTCCTGAGCCCAAGGGACAAAGTCTGCTAGCTGCTTTGGAGCAAACAGCCAGATAGCAGCAACGCAGTGCTTTCGAAAAATCGGCAACATGGCATCCAAACTACAACCCCAGTTCTGGAAGCCAACACCGATGGGCAACATGTCGTTCCCAAAATGTGATTTGGACGGGATCAAGGCTGAGGTTTTCGACAACATCTCATCAAGCTCGGCAGGCTTAGTGCCGCCGGCTAGAAAACCAATACCACCAGCTTGGCTGACTGAAGCTGCTAGGGCTGGAGTAGCAGCGTTCAGCATTGGCGCTGATACGATGAGCGGAAGCTTGATCCATGGATATGTCTTCTTCAATAATGTAGCCATGCTAGGATGTAACTCAGTCGGGTCGCGGAGTGTGACGTTCTGAGCCCTGTTGATGAGAGCTCGAGAGCAGAGCTCGACTGCTTATAAGTTCTAGCAAGATAGTTGGACACGGCCCGCAGCACCCGCCTCTCCCGATATGTCGCACAATTTCACAAACCTTGTGCCCAGTCACCANGGTATACTCCATTCACTGCTGCCATTCAAGAAACGATCGATATCAAAGGTCTGAAGATCGGGCATCTCGGGCAAGGTTTCAAGCCAAGTGCTACCCCAATCATTGATAGTCTGAGGCTGTGATGGAAATTGCTGGTCAAACAAACCCGCGGGTGAATACGTCGTTACAATTTCCGAGAGAGTCTTGAGATCGGTTTCCTTGCGTTTTCTGTGTAAGTGGATGAGTAGGCAAGCTGTACTGAGCGCTTCCTTTGCAGCATCAGTCGGATAAACGAGCCGGATGTTGCTCAAAGTCCTGATACCATCATTCAGTTGTGCAATTGCAGCTGGTGTATCCAGTGCGAGCAAGATGCAGATAATCTGGAACGGGACGTTTACTACATGGTGCCACGGGGCACAGTCATCCAACAAGTCTTGAGCAGCTTGAATGCCTCTTGCAGTAACTGTCAATACCTGACTGAGAAGGTGGCCTTGGAAGTGAAAGTTGAGTGTTCTTAAGCGGCGGCACAGCAATAACGTAAGATTGCACTGAGCAAGGATTGATGGCGGCGCAGAGTGATTCCGCTCAACGATGGTCGCAAGAGAACTCTTGAGATCCACCACATCTACGCTCTTGTCAGGGTTGAGGTTTTCTGCATGAGGCAAGAGTTCAAGAAGTTCCGTAGTATAACCGCCTTCTCTAGGTGCTGGCAGATCAAAGTCCAGTGTCTGCAAGTGTACTCTCGAGCGTCCGATATCAAATGACATCCAAATATTGAGATGTTGGGCAACACCAAAAATCCGCTTTCTAATTTCTGGAGTCAGCGGCTGCCCTGACTCGTCGGTGCTCCAATTTAGGACGTGAGTCGAGTGTATGCCAGCTGCTTCGATGGTATGCATCAACATACAGCTGGCCATCCATGCGGCATGTGCTGGGGCAGTCATCCGCATGTAAGCTACCCGCAACACCCATGCGGTGACAATGTCCAGGGATGGGTGCACTGAAATGGACGCCTCGAGAATCCGTTTAGCAGTATCGACAAGATCTAGTTCTGCATCGATCACGTTCCTACGAGAGAATAAGAGTCCCAAGGCCGCAACACCACACATGACTGCCTCGAACGAGCTGGTCTCCGTGTTGTCGTTCGTCCAGTAGGTTCGCATACGCCGCTCGAGTGAGCGGCGATCTATGAAGCCATAGCAAGGATCAACTTTCATGAAGTAGATATTGACAAGCTCTTCTACTTCCNNAGGCCACGAGAGGATTTGTGTTATAGAACGCGATACCGAAATATGGTCTGACTTTCGGCGTGAGCCAAGGAAAACGTTCCAAGCAAACAATCGAAGGGAAGGCGCATTCGCTGGATCAATGCCCAAAGCCATTTTTCTGACAAAAGCAGAGCCAGAGTTGGCTTCCAGCGACTGAATCCGAGTTTGAGCATCCTGGTCCGTGGGTGTGGGAGGAGTGTGTTCTGCTGCCGCTAGAGTATCGGATATTGCGGCGGACTTTCTCTTGCGAGAGGATTGCGGGTAGTGGCAGTCATAAGCATATCGAACACAAGTACTGCATGGAAAAGCTCCATCGCACTTCCTTTTGCGTTCTCGGCAGGGCTCACAAGCTACGCGTGAGCGCAGTCTGTTATGTTGCGGCGTTGACGACGACATATAAGACTCGGCAGTTCGCAAATGGCAGGGACTACTAGTTTTCACACTCGCCGAAGAGCGAAAGAGACAGTCCTGATGATCTCGAGCTGAGTCACCTACTCGAGTACTCCTTCGCTGTCTTCATGGTTGTTGCTTGAATTCTGCTGGAGCCATAGTAGGAACTACCCCGCTCCATCCGCAATAGCCGTGTTTACCCGAAGTTCAAGCGGGATAGCTCTTCCCTCAACAGTCAAGACCATCTCTGCTTGCTTGTGTTACTGTGGTCTGTCATCGCTACATTGCCATGCCTTTGTAAGTAAGCGTGCAAACCCTGAGCGAAGTTCTTTCCACGTCCAATCGTGGTCCTTATCATGGCGAGTCAGCCCGAGAGGCTTGGCTGCAGCCGCAGACCCATATCGTTTCATCCATGCGAACGCCATGCCCGAAAACTTGCTCAATTTCCCTCGAACGAAACGTGCGATCTGTTCCCACGAACACGCTCAACCACATGCATGTATCCCATGTGGTATCAACGAACTGCATCTAGGTATTTTGACATGATAATGATGACAATGACTTCTTCGACAACTTGCTCAAATCTTCTCTTGGCTTGCAGTTCACCAGTGTCCGATACAAGAGTCCAAATGTGATGCCGGAGCTGGCGTTGGCTAGGCGAGGGCATACAAGTACTATGGACTCCAACGTGGACTGCTCATCTGCTAGTAACCCGACTCGGCACCATGAAAACTCCTCTCACCTTTGCACTCGGTCTGCTTATCCTACTCGCTAGTCTTGTTTCCGCTGAGACACAGTATGGAGTTCTTGGATTCGGTATCCCAATGTACAAGCCATTGTGCTGTTACTCTTGTCATGATGCACTATCCGCTCTTTACTTAAACTGCACAACCTTCTCGGATGATATGGACATGCATCATGGGAGCATGGACATGAAGTTGGTCAAACGTATGAATATGGGGGCGNAATCTACAGCAACAACGAGCGACGCTTGCTATGCGAGCGATCAGGCCTGGCTGGAAACCTTCGCCTATTGCGTCCAACAAAAATGTGCACAAGACAGCATCCACGAGAGCGAACAGAGCCAATGCTTCTCTGAGCTGGCTGCGAATGGACTACTCGTACCAGCCTTGCAGGCGTCTTTTCCATCGACTGCGCCTACTACCCAGCTGGAAGCAGATGCCGTTTGGCTGAACACGACAAGTCTTGTCGATGAACATGCTTATCTCTCCAATTATGTCACCATGAAGGAGTTTGTATCGTCTGAACACAGGCACACTCGCTATGCGTAAGTACGCACATGCATCCATGTCCGGACATCGTTAACTCCCAAGCAGANNCTCATCAGCATGCTCTTCATCGTAGGCATCTGTATCATTTCAGGAACTTGGAAAACGCAGTTTACCCCTAAGTTTGGGCACAGCAGCTTGTGGCTCAAGATTAGCCAACATTTGCTTGTACCTGCCACATTCAACAATCGACATTTATCGCCATTGCCTTATCGACTGGGTAGGTTCATCGGACAAAGGCTCATGACAAAGAAAATTGCTGACCGCCTCCTTTCCCTTCAGNGTTATCTGCCCAAGCGTGCCTTGTCATTGTTCATTGCATCGTACGTTTTTCTCAATATCATCTTCTCCGCTATCTCCTTTCATCATGTCACACCGAATGCCTGGTATGCCGATCGTCGCCACGAGATTGCTGCCTACGTGTCGAATCGTACTGGCGTCCTCAGCTTCGCGAATCTCGCTCTCGCAATCCTCTTCTCGGGCCGTAACAATCTACTCCTGTTCGTCACTGGTTGGAGTCAGAGCACAATGCTAGCCATCCATCGTTGGGCTTCCCGAGTTGCGACTGTTCAAGCCGTTGTACACTCGATCATCTACACTATCACCTACTTCTGGACTGGCGGAGCAGCTGCATATCGAATAGAAGCGGTTATGCCTTACTACTGGTGGGGCATTATTGCCACGGTTGTGCTGTGTCTTGCTGTATGCTTTGCGATTCTTCCCATAAGGATCCGATCTTACGAAATTTTCCTCGTCACACACATAGCGTTTGCTATACTTGCACTGGTAGGCTGTTGGTATCACATCGATCTGCGCTTCGGCAATAAATGGGGCTACAAAGTCTGGCTGTACATTGCATTTGCTTTTTGGGCTTTTGACCGACTGATGCGCTTCCTCCGCCTTGTGTACTGGAACTATTCTGGTAGCCCTCTCGCAGTAGTTAAGCAAATTCCGCACACTGATATACTGCAACTGACCATACACCCGAAGAAGGCATGGAATGTACGACCTGGTCAGCATTCTTTCTTGTACATTCCACTTCTAGGCAAGCCTTGGGAAAATCATCCATTTACTATTGCATCATGGAGTCACTCCGAGACCACTTGGAACACGCTGGCCAGAGCAAATACAGCTATTTCCAAGGAAGTGCAGGTGCAAGATATGGAGGTTGACGGCTTGCCTGATCCACAACACAGCCAAGACTTGCATCATTCAACTCAAGTAGTATGTTTGTTGCGAGCCAGANAAGGGATGACCGCATCACTGCTTCAGAAGCTGCGTAGATCACAAGCAAACTCATTGCCCATGTCCATCCTTACCGAAGGACTGTATGGCGGACATCGCGCTACGTTGCTACCACTACAGACTGCAGACACTATCCTGTGTGTAGCTGGAGGCATTGGCATCACTAGCTGTATAAGTTTCCTGCAGCAATACGTCAACGAATCTCGACCTGCCGAATCTGCTTCAAAGCCTCTAATGAGCTGCGCAACAAAATTCGTGCTCGCGTGGTCAGCCAGAGAAGAATCGCTCATACAACATGTCTCCACTTCTCTTTTGTCCGATCTACCCACGGACTCCCAGGACAAGCATCTCGAGTGTCAGTTCTGGTGTACCGGCGAGCAGAGCAGTCAAGACAAAGGAATCGAGCAAGGTCTCAACTTGCGAAGAGGCAGGATGATTGTTGAAGAGGTTGTCAGGTCTGTAGCAGAGAAGGGAAGAAGAGTTGTGGTAGTAGTCTGTGCGCCTGGCGCCATGTCAGACGAAGTCAGAGAAGCTGTGGTCGGATGTTTGAGAGATGGTATGCCGGTTGACATAATCGAAGAGGCTTTTGCATGGTAGATTGCTCTTCGGTTCTGCCAAACAGATAGCCAACTTGCGGTTCTTCGTCATCTCATTTTACAAGCCATACACTCATCCTGCATTACGATCAAGTCATCAAATCACATTCCATCTAATCCTCTCTCATCAGCAAACGGTAGATTTGGCGCAATCAGTAAGAGCAACTCGCTTGAGGTGGTAAAGCTCCCAGAAGTTCAATCCGCGAATATGGCGGGACCATTTATGCCTTCAACAGCTTGGCTGAGAATACCAGTCTAAGATCTACCTCAAACTAGTGGGGCTTGCAAACCTGCCAAAACATCATTCTGGGTCGGACCTCATATCATACCGAACTTCGGGCTGATTCTGTGAATATTCTGTTCCAAGTTGACTCTATACCAAGGATCCAGATTGACTCGGCAACAAACGCATGGATAGTGCACCTGTTCGTCTACTTGTTCAACCTCTTAGTAAGGTTTCTATTCCTCGTAGTCAGCTACTCCCATGTCACATCGGCTATCAAAGAAGGCTATATTATCACCCATGTTGGTGTGCTTTGCTCCGCACCACTTCCGAGCCCGAGCGAAGTCTCTACACTACAGACCAAGAAGGGGTGACAAGGCCAGTGACCTCTTGATTTCTGACCTTGTCTCCGCGTCTAGGAGAGCCTGGTTTCTTGACTATAATTGCATCAGGATAAAGCAGACAGACACCCTTGACACGGGAAAGAGGGATCATATTGACACTTGTAGACCTAATGACGGGGTTTATCTCCCTGGTCGATGTGGTCATTGGCCACTCTCCGAGTTGCTCAGTGTTAGTTACGGTCAACCAGAGGGATGTCGATGTTGTATTCATCGAGTTGCTTGGTTTCAGTTTTAGTTTCAGTTTGAGTTACAGTTACGGTTACTTGCACCAAGCTTGTAGCAATGCTGCAGAGAAGAAGTAAAATCACAAACATCATGATGATAATGTTTTGGAGTTGTGCCAAGCAAGCAACAGTGCTACAGAGAAGAAATAAAAGAACAAACGTGTTCATAATGGCAATGATGCGGAAATGATTGCGTTTTTTCTCATGTATTTGTTTTCACGTTGTTATATCCATAAGCATTATCATGGAAACACAGCAGCCCGCATGACTTGAGGGTCGATAGCGATCATGACCGTGAACACAGGCTAGAGATGCCTCAAGCAACAGATCCGACACCACTGGTATTAAACCCCGGTCTGAAATTGTACTGGCTCGTGGCGGTTCTCTTGCCACTGTTGTCATACTTCACCATGCGCATGCCAATCTGCCTTTTCGGTCCTAGTCTGCCTATATGAAGCCGCGAACCGGCAGCATGTGGAAAGATGTTTGTTTCTATCCTCCTCTCCGCGAGCTCTCAGAGCTGGAGATCATTGACCTCGCCCTCAATCGAAGCTTCTGGCCAACTAAATGAAGATAACATGGATGGAGCATGTACCATGGGCAAGTGACTAGGTCCATGATCACGCCTATCATTGCTCTGCCCCTATAAAGCATGTTCATATATCTCCCTCTGATGCAAATCACAATTAAGAAAACAGACTCACTTACTTGCAGAGAAATTGTCAGGGGTCAAGGGGATTCCAGACCGCATTACCCTTCTCCCGTCTTTGGTAAACTAGCAGACCCAGTGCTAGGTCACAAAAGGTAGGCGTGTAGGTCTGAGGGTAAACGACTGATCCCAAAGCATACAAAGTATGAAACTGCCTGTGATGAGGTAGGAGAGGGAAATTGGTGTGAGAGTTAGAGACTGAAGCAGTGGACAACAAGTTAATGTTAAGGCAACGGCGAAACCTCCAATCAAGGAATTCGCACTTACTGCGAGTTACTTGACCAAAAGATGCACGGTCACTCTCGTCTTCTGCCCATCGGTAGGTAGGGGCTCTTCCGAACTGCAAGGGATTTTGGTTTTGTTTGCTTGTCTGGCAATGTCGGAAGCTTTGCAGTTTCTCAGCTCTTTACTGTGTGATGGACAGACATTGAAGTGTCAAAAGAAAATTGATTTCCATACTCTTGCTGTGTCGCTGTGATATGGCTTCCCAGTCTCGTGATGATGCAGAGTCATACGCAATGCAGACGTCTACCAGCCATCACGTCTTCCCTGCTGCTCACCCTGATCATACGAATTCTGCATACCCTGATTAAAGCGATCCACATCCTGCTCAGCATCATTATATCTATTCTTAACACCATCTCCAAAACGATCCACATCCTGCTCAGCATCGTTATATCTGTTTTGAACATCTTGCTCAGCACGTCTGCCCTCATTCTCCGCACCGCCAATCTTTTCGCCAATCCAGTTTGCTGCTCCGCGGAGTCCGGCTCCGATGTCTGAGGGAATGTTTTCGACGCTGGAGACGGTGTTGTTGAAGCCTTGTTCGGCGTAGCGGGCCAGGTTCTCGGGGGCGTTTTCGACGGCTTGTTCGTCGCGGCGGAAGGAGTCGCCGATGCGGGATTCTTCGCGGTCCCAGGCTTGGTCGGCGCGGTCGTATGTGCCCTCTGTTGGGAGGTGGTTAGTGATGATGCTGGGAGAGAAGGAAATGAGGAGGGAATGACGGACCAGCTCTGCCTACAGTCTCGCCAGCGAAGCGAGCGGCGTTCTCGTCGTAGTCGTTGTTGTTGTTGTTATAGTCAGACATGTTGAGTGTATTCGGGCTCTTGGAGTCTGTCTTATTGTATTGAAGTGAGGGTTTCAAGGAGAAGGAAGTGGATAGTGAGATCGATCGAGCTAGCAGACAGCTGTCCTCCCATTTATATTGATCATCGTTGGCGTCAAACAAGTTGGCCAGTGTATCACCACAGACAACAATGACGTGACCGAGAACCAAGGGGTTGGTGAGCTTGACGCTGGCAAGCTTCTGTCACTATTTTAAGGCTTCATGGCGGGGTCAAATCAACAACCTGAAACACTGGGCTCGAAGTCTGGACCCTGTGGGATCTGAGGCTTGCATAACTCTTATATGCTATGCTATGCTATGCAAGGCAATGCTATGATGCAGAACATAACACAAGAAAGGAAAAAGGCAGTCGAGAATGCTTGGACAACGCTCTCTCAAGCAAGAATGTCTCCACCTTCAGGACCAGTCTTTGCTTTATCAATTCTCTCCTGTGTTGTCTTGAAAGCCCGTGGGACCTTGGTCTCCTCAAACTTCTTACCAGTATGCAACATATCGGCCAAACCTTCTGCTGAGAGCCAGATGACTGGCATACCATGACCATTGAAGCCACCTAGAATGTACTGCCCAGGTTTTCCAGGCACTTCACCGATGTGAGGGTTGGTGTCAGAGGTATATCCCATGACGCCAGTCCAGATCTTCTTGACTTCAGCTTTGCTATTCTCCCACCCGCGGAAGTTGTTTTGCATGTAGTTGGTGTAGTAATCTTTGGATGCCTCGATTAGCTCGGCGTCGTCGGTGTTGTTGTACCACTGTTCGAGCTGTGGCTTGAAGATGGCTTGAGAGCCGCCGACTATGATGCCGCCGTCAGAGCGAGGGATTAGGTAGCTGAGGACGCTAGGGTCGCCTTGCTCGCGGATGATGTATGAATTGCCAACCAACGGAGCGACGTCTCCTTCGGGGACAGCGATGTGGCAGCAGATGCCTTTGCAGGGTATGATGTTCTTCTCGTACTCTGGCAACAAGGCTTTAGTGTATGCGTTGGTAGCGTGGACGACTTTCTGGGTCTTGATGTCGCCGCGGTCCGTGGAGACTGTCCATCGACCCTCAGTCGAAGCAGAGATGGAGTTGACTGGAGTGTGTGTTTGAATGTTGACGCCGCGGTCTCGTAAGATGCCGAGTAGGGTCATGATGAACTTGTATGGCCATATGGTGCCTGCGGTGTAGGTGGCGCATGCTTTGGCGTGCTTGATGCCGCTAATCNNTATGGTCGATTAGCAATGGATACTCGAACCCAGAATTACGAGATTAGTACTCACACCCTCAGCATCCTTCCCCATAGTGAAGTGAACATCGTCCATGTGCTTGCATCCGTAGGCGACCATTCTGTCATAACTGGCTTTGGCTCTTTCGGCGGCATCTTGGTTGCACCAGACATCGCTTGACCTTGTTATGACCAAGTCGCAATCGATCTTCTCCTTTGCGACGACTTTTTTGATGGCCGTGACATGAGCAGCTTCGAACTCGGCAATCTCAACGCCAGCTTTCAGTCCTTGACGGTCGATGTGTGTCGGGATGTGGCCGTAGAGATCTGGACGGAGGTGACCTCCGTTGCGGCCTGTCGCGCCCGAGCATGCTGCACGCGCCTCGAGAAGGGTAATCGATGCCTTGCTGCCGGCCTCGAGGAGATGATAAGCTGTCGCGACACCAGCGTAACCAGCTCCGATGATAACAATGTCGGATTGTTCAGGTAGTTGCTCTGTCGAACGATAATCGTCGAGCTCGTGGAGGTTGGTGCGCCAGAACGACTCGGTGCCGCCGCCGACTGTCGGAAGACCCTGGGGAAGCTGCATTTTGACCTTGCCCTCTCTGCTTTGCGGTGCGATATCACAACAAGCAAATATATCTACAGGCCCATCAAGGTCGAGTTATCTCTGTCTCTTTGACTCACCTCGTATTGCGGGCACCTGCATGAAACAAGATAGGCCAAGCTCTTGCCGAGGCGGCGTATCTTGACCTGACCCCCGTCTCCGCATCCCATCAGATCATCTTTCTGACCTGCCATATTATCTTGCTTTGGAGATAACAGTCAAGTCAAAACGCGGCGTAGGGCTTGCCGCCACCATTATGGCTGGGTGCTGATAGCCGATAAGTTGCTGCGTGCGTATCAGCTCCCCAATCTGCTGCCATATCTCGAACTCTGTCCGCCTCTGTCAACGTGCGGGGTGCTCTTAGAGTAAACCCTTATCTGAGAGGACATTCCGGACACTCAATCGATTGTCCGACCCTCGGACGCATGCACAAGATTTGGAGCATACAGATCATCTACACGTCCTTGACAGTCTTGACTTGGGGCCTGTTAAGATTGTGTACCACGGTTTCAAGATTGATCAAGATATCTTTTACGGTTAATCCAGCCATGTCATCTGCGAGCAGAACCATTTTGCGATGGATCCGAAGATTGACTGGGACAATGGCATGCAACCTACGGAGTAAGCTCTGGCAACGTCTGCTTATCAGCAGTCGTACGAGTAGTCTATTGGCTTGATTTTTAGGGCACTCCTTGCGCGTCTGCGCCTCAAGGTCTGGCCGCGCCAATCTCATGCAGCCTTCTTTCAGCTTCATGAATCTGGATAAGACATTCGCTTGCAGGTCTGTTGCCAGCCAATGATATGGCATCGAACGGTAATGTCGAAGAGATAGGCACATCATTCCTTCATGGTGCAAGATATGAAGAGCATAAATGAACGAGCTCACTTGACGATTTTCGATCCTTACACTCTGCCCAATTCTCTGTTTTCTTCCAATCATGTCGATACACGCACCAGAGATCCCTAGGATGCACGATGGGGAGAAGAAACCTTCTCACACCCAGGAGAGCTACGTTACCACGGACATCGAGAGTGGTACTGTACTCCCTGAGTACGACCAAAATGGACCGCTCGAGTTCGAGGAANAGAAGGACCTCAAGCGTGGCTTGAACCAGAGAACTATTCAGATGATTGCCTTAGCCGGGACTATTGGAACTGGCTTGTTCTTGTCCTCAGGCAAGGCTATCTCCAGAGCTGGTCCGTTGGGAGCCTTTCTCGGATACACCATTGTTGGCTTCCTGTGCTCAGGGGTTGTCATGTCCATCTCAGAATTGAGGTCAGAAGCGAACACCAGAACTACTAGCATTACATGCTGACGCAATTCANGCACGCTTGTTCCCCTCAGTGGAGGCGTCACTCGTTATGCCGAATACTTTGTCGACCCCGCCCTCTCCTTTGCCAATGGTTGGAACCAAGTCTATGTAAGTGAAAAGAGCAGAAAGCACGCGTCAATATCCATCGGATGGTATCTCAAAGCACGAGGGAATCTTCTCGAGTAGCACTCTGCTCTGTGACAAGATAACCCCTGGTGTCTGCTCTGATCCTGAGAGTGCACTACCTTCCGCGCAAGCAACGTGCTGATCGTGCCTTCTTTCCAGGCAAACCTGATTAGCGTACCTGCGGAATTGTGCGCCGCTGCCGTCTTGTTCGAGTTCTGGACATCATCTGTTAGCAACGGTGTCTGGATCACTGTTCTCGGTGTATGTCTCATTGCATCCAATATCGCCTTCGTCCGGATTTATGGCGAACTCGAATTCACTTTCGCTACGTTGTGAGTAAGACAAGGGTGCAGATAGCATAGGTCAACCAATATCAGATGGTTCCAACACCCATCAGGTGGTTTTCCGACCGCTATTTGTACTACCTGCATACAAGAAGCATGCTAATTGTACCCTTTTCTTTAGGNNAAAATCATGCTTATTATAGGCGTAAACATCCTTGCGCTGGTAATCACCTGCGGAGGGGGTCCTGATCACAAAAGTATCGGTTTTGCATATTGGAAGCACCCCGGGCCTTTCGTTCAGTATCTAGGCGTGTCTGGCTCGCTGGGACGTTTTCTCGGGTTCTGGACTACTCTGAACAATGCCGTCTACTCATACTCGGGAATTCAAAACATTTCCATCGCAGCCTCCGAGACGCAGAACCCACGCAGAAACATTCCCAAGGCAGCCAAGAGAATTTTCGTGCGCGTATTGCTCTTTTACGTCCTCACTATCTTCATGGTCGGTCTCGTGGTGCCTTCCAACGATAAGCACTTGCTGAAGTCCACTGGTACTGCTTCGCAATCGCCTTTTGTCATTGCTGCAACTCGAGCTGGCATCAAGGTCGTTCCATCAATCATCAATGCAGTCATCCTGACTAGTGCTTGGAGCTCTGGCAATGCTAGTATGCTCGCCGGCTCTCGTATTCTCTACGGCATGGCAAGAGAAGGCCGCGCACCCAAGATCTTCAAGAAAACCAACCGCTTCGGCATTCCTTGGGTCGCCGTCAGTTTGTTCGGCATCTTCTTGTGTCTCGCATACTTGTCGCTGTCTAGTGGAGCTAACGTGGCTTTCACCTGGCTGCAGGATCTTGTTGCTGTGGCGGTTATAGTAGATTGGATGGTCATTTGCGCGGTATACCTCCGCTTCTACTACAGCATGAAGAAGCAAAACATCTCCCGTAGCGAGCTCCCGTGGGCTGCTCCCTTGCAACCATATCTTGCATGGACTTCGCTCATCATCTTTGGCATTTTGCTGCTGACTGGTGGCTATGTTACCTTCATGCACGGGCACTGGAACACTGAGACTTTTGTCTCGAGTTACTTCAACATTCCACTGTTCTTGATCCTGTACTTTGGGTACAAGTTTATCAAGAAGACTCAGATTGTTCCTTTGGAAGCATTGCCTATTCGCCATTTCATTGATATCGCGAACGCCAATCCTGAGGCTCCTGAGTTGCCGAAGAAGGGATGGCACAAGTACAACTTCCTGTGGGAGTAAAGAGATATTGACTCGTGTCAACTCTCATCACTTGTTGTTACGATCAGATGCTAGAAGATCGCAAGTTGGACTGTAACTTTTCTTGGACATGTTATATCGGACAGAACTCAATGATCACTTGGAAATCGAATATGATTGAGCAACATGTTACTAAAAACTTCCATCGGCAAGTTTTGCCCAAAAGCCCGTGTCAGTATGAATGGAAGGTGGTATCAAGCAATCTCAAGCCAAAACGGCCAAGCTTCACCAAGCGAGACGTGCCTCGTGTTCGTTACTTATCAAACTTCTGGGAGCGGGGTCGATGTAGCTCTCGGGGAATTCATATGCATGATAAGGCAGATAGGCGAAGACTCCTTCTGTCAGTTGGCCGCACCTGGACTGATCCGAGAAGGTGAGACCACAAGCAGCACAAGCTAGCAAGCTAGACCCCTGGAGACAACAACACGAGTTCTTCTGCATACATAACAGACTCACGCCGTAGCTGCAATAGCACATTCATCTCTCATTTTCCTCTTCTCTCCTCGAGCATCTTTAGAACTTCCCAGAAAGTCCACGCCACAAAACCACCCATACCATACCTGTATCCCTCTCCATCCTCCAAACAACAATGCCAAAACACGTCGTCTTCGACGTTGTAGGCACCCTAGTCTCCTACGACGCCTTCTTCGCCAACATCGACAAAGTACTCGGCCCCCGCCTCCTCTCCGCCTCCATAACCCCCAAACTCTTCGGCTTCGCCTGGCTCGAAAGCTCCGAAAGGGNNGAATTCACCTACCTCTCCATTTCCTCGCGCTACAAACCCTACAAACAAGTCTTTAGCTCCATGTTTTACCGTATCTTGTGGATGAGTGGAATCTCCGATCCGAGAAGTTTTGCTACTGATGAAGAGAGAGATGAGATGGTGGCTTCGTATTCGACATTGGTACTAAGACCTGGTGTGCAAGAAACGTTTGCACTGTTGAGGACAGCGGGGTTTGAGGTTTGGGCGTTGAGTACAGGGGATGAAGAAAGAGTGTTGGGATACTTCAAAAACGCTGGAGTCGACTTCCCAAAAACCAATTTTAGGTCTTGTGATGCGAAGGGGGTTGCGAAACCGGCGCTTGATGCTTATAGACCATTGTACGAAAGCTTTGGAGAGGAGGAGAAGTGGTTTGCTGCGGCGCATTATTGGGATGTTAGTGCTGCTAAGATTGTTGGGTGGGTTTTTTTCTTCTTTCTTGGACGAAAACATGGTGCTGACAAGTTGAACAGGTTCAAGGGTGCTTATTGCTCGATCTTCGAAAAGGAGGATTGCAAGGAGTTGTTTGATGTTGAGATGGATGTTATGGCTGATACGCTACCAAAAATGGCCCAAAAGATCATTGAAGCTTCAAAGTGATGGTTAGAATAGTACTTCTGGGTCTAATCAAACGATGCTATCTTTTCGTCATTCGTCCTAGATGCTGTTTCCATGCTGTTTCCATGCTGTTTCCAAATCAGATTTGAGACGCTCGCTCTAAGAACAGCTACCTTCATTGGCTTCGGGTGTAGTGCTGAGATCCTTGGGCAGGTACTTGATACCAGTCTTTGGGCAGTTTCCTTTGGTACCAGTAGGGTTGACAGCAATAAATTGACCATTGGCGACACTTCCGCGTACGTTGAAGACATATTCGACCTGGTTAAGCTTGCCACTGCTGCAAGAAAGGATAGGAGTAGCTCCGAACTTTGACTGAAGTGCACTGGTGATCTGAGCGTTGGTGTAGGTCTTGCTGGAGCTGGGNGTGATACCAGCATCAGCCAACCAATCGTAAGTAGGCAGATCCTTGAACAGGGTGATGGTGGTGTTGAGGAAGTCGACAAGCTCATCCTCCTTCTGGTAGTCGGTATAACAATCGGGGTTCAAGGTAGAGTAGCAAGTGCCGTGCTTGCTCCATTCGTGCTCCCTGGTTGAACGTCAGAAAGCGAGTAACACTCGTGCCATAATGTGTACTCACCAGAAAGACTCATCGTCTCCTTGGTAGTCCNNCTTCCAGTAAGTCTCCATGTAACTCAGGATATCGCCGTGACCCTTGTCCAGAAGGATACAACCAATATCTGTGTATGCTCTCGAGCTGTCGCACGTGGCTTCATAAGAGCCATCACAGTTATCTGGCCAGAGTCCGTGGATCTGTTAAAACTAGGTGAGTACAAGACTTTGGTTGCATACAGAGGGAAAAGCTACCGTCCAAGAGTCTCCGGGTCCAGTTGCGGGATCTGAATCCCAGAATTGGGTCTGCAGAACTTGACCCTGGACTTCAGTACAACATGTGTTTGAAATGGTGCCACTGGTCTGGCAGCTGATCGGCGAGTTCGCTGGGCACGACTCAATCACAGCAGCAGCTAGACCGAGCAGGGTGGTGAAAGCGATCAGGGAGGACGACATGATGTTGAAGAAAATCACAAAGCTATTGTATTGCAGTATGACCAAGGAAATCAAGCCTTCTTTATAGGCTTCAGTTGAATGTTAGTGATATGCTGTGACCATCGGTCGCCTCCGTGATCGTCGTCTCCTGCATAGTCCAGCTTGGTTTCAATGCAGATCTGTAACCATGATGAAGACTTGCTTTCTCGAGCGCGGGCGTAGGCAAAGCATGATTCGCTTTAAGCACGAAATTTACCTTCTCCAAAGAGGATAGTGGATGCAAGCGCAAGAGCACGTGGAGAAATGGGAGGAAGTTGTCCGTTTTTCGGCCGCAACGCAGAAGTCAGCACGCAAAGAACTTCACAGCACGCAGTTGCCGAGGTTTCACTGAATCATGACTCGCGGTGCACAAGAGTTCTTGTTTCAATCGGTCCATCTTCTGTTTTCCTGCTTACATTCTGACATATGTTTGCTCTAGGATGTCGTCTTGCGGTGCTGCGATATATTCTGTCCGACATGCTGCTGGAAGGGGAGACATAGGACATTGTTCAGTGCCGACGTGAGCGCCTTCCTCTTTGTCCATGTTGACAGAGCCATATCATGCAGTAGCGAGCTTAGATAGTCTTTGATCATCGCACCTTATCATCTGATATATCAAGGTTTCCCTCATATAACTGCTCGTTTCTCTCCAGCGCTCGCTCGGGTTCACCAACAATGCAGCTGCGACACTTCCTCCCCCCTCGGCTTTGTGCCAGCCCTAGTGTTTGCTCACCGCTCACCGTCGAAAAAGCCACTCGAAGCGCAGTCTCTCTTCCAAGCTGCAGCGCAACCTCAATCTCCGTTACCGATCATTGAGCTCTACAAGCCTGTAGCTATCCCTGAGTCGACAACATGCAATGTTCAGCAGACCTTGATGGTGCACACTTTCGCCTCGAGCTATGGTGTGCCTTTCGTGGGACAATACACACCACCAGAATGCGATTTCAATAACGTCGGGATTGAATGGACTGTTACTAGTGCTGGCCGTCAGTTCGATCGTCTGGCCGAAATGTTCTTGGGAGACATTGAAGTATGGCGAACTAGTACTGCTGAACCTACCGCTTCTGGTATCATCTTCAGGTATCAGAAGGATCTGAGCATGTATTTGAGTCTGTGGAAGTCACCACAGCAGCTTATCTTCAGCTTGAATAATGTCTATGACTCCACCTATACTGGAGCGTTCAACACTACTCTTACAGCTACCTTCTCTTATAACCCAGCCAAACCAGCACATGCCGACCTAATCTTGCCCATTACTCCTCAGCTCGGAGCTAATGGTCAGCCGAGCATCTTCACTCTCCCAGGCGACAGTGCAGCTGTTCAACAGACACTTCCTAGAAACGTCTCTCATGCGACTGTCTCCATCGCTGCTACCGGACAAAGCAACGAAGAGTTTTGGTACACCAACGCCCTTCAATCCGATATCTACACTTTTGAATCAACAATCGGGACTCTGATCGGATATGGTCCATTCCGTGAAGTTCAGTTGTATATCGACGACATGATGGCAGGCGTCGCATGGCCATTTCCAGTCATCTTCACTGGTGGCATTGCACCTGGATTCTGGCGTCCCGTAGTAGGCATAGATGCTTACGACCTGCGAGAGTATGAGATTGATATCACGGCCTTCTTGCCATACTTGCTTGACGGCCAGTCACATTCCTTCAGTATCAAAGTCGTGGGTATGGACGACAACGGAGGCAATGGACCAGCTACACTGTCCTCAAGCAGCATCAACAGCTACTGGTTGGTCAACGGCAAAGTGTTCCTCTTCTACGGTGACGAGGAGTACAACGGCACTCACACTCCCCCCGCCATTTCTACTTCACCTATGATCCAAACCACATCCAACATCATCAGTACGACCAATGGCACAAACACAACCTTGTACTACACAACCACAGCAAAACGCACTTTCACAGCAAAGTCGCCTTTTGGCAGCTGGACCCAAAGTTTGTCCTACAGCAACGATGGCTACCTTGGAGAAAGTGGCTTAGCATCAAGCAACATCCAAACCTCTTCAGGAAACTCTGCAGCAGTTCTCCCATCAGCCCCAGACTTTTCAAATACCCTTAGCTACGCATATCCCATAACCGCAAACCTCACCTACGCATCCACGAACTTTTCCGTTTTCAATGCTTACGTAGACTATGGACTCAAGATTTCGTCGTCGGGTCGTCCAGATGTATCGACATATACATTGGTCAATGGACCTATGGATATGATTGCGAGACAGTTTGGCAATGCGTATTACTCGAGTGTGGCGAATCACAGCTATTCGTATGGAGTTATGGATAAGAGATTACAAGAGGAGAGCTATGGCACGAGCTACTCGAGGCATGTCAAGACGGACAACTTGACTATTACTTATGACTCGGCGAATTGAGGATGTACGGAGCCGTTGACAAAGAAGATGGTGCATGGCATGCAATATAAAATCAAGATAGCATTAACATGATTGACGAAGAAATGCACGTTCGTTCATATATACAAAGGCGTTAAGGACATGACACTTCCATCTAGTGGTGCATTCCATATCCCATAGTCCCGTTCAAATCTCTAAAGTCTCCTCTAAGAGAATCAATACCTTCCTTCTTGACTTCCTCAACCAGCGCATTGACTTTGGGTGCGATCGCCTGGGCATCAAAGCCGAAATGCTTATAAGCCATCTTGCCAGGAAGAGACTTGCCGAATGAGGCCATCGAGTATCCAGCATCGGCATAGCGCTCCCAGCCATTGACGGCGTAAGCCTCAATCACCACACGAGGAGCATTGCTGCGGTATTGCAGGACGGACTGCTTGTACTCCTTGCTCTGTTGCTCGAACAAACGCTGGCAAGGGAAAGAAACCACGCGCGCCTTGATATTGTGTTGCTCCTCAAGCAGCTTCTTAGTCTCAACAGCGCAGAACATTTCTGAGCCAACACCGATGAGTGTGACGTCGGCGTTTTCTTGCTCCATGAAGACGTAGGCGCCCTTTCGAACGCCGTCGCGGTCGCTGTTTTCAGGATACTGAGTAAGTGCTTGACGGGATAAGGAAATGATAGAGGGCGTTGTGTCGGCCTTGATGGCGGCGATGAAGGCACCGGCTGTCTCTTCAGAGTCACAGGGGCGAATGTAGAGGAGGTTGGGCATGCTGCGGTATAGTGCGGCAAGTGCGATAGGCTGATGTGTGGGACCATCTTCACCAGTTCCGATTGAGTCGTGAGTGGCAATATGGATCTGTTGTAGACCTTGGAGAGCACCCATGCGAATACCAGGTGCAGCGTAAATGTAGAACATGAAGAAGGATGAGGTTACAGGGAAAATTGTGCCCTTGTTGTAAGCAGCTAGACCATTGGAGATTGCAGCCATAGCATGCTCTCTGATGCCCCAGTGAATGTATCGACCGGCATAGTTACCATTGATGCCACAAGCGGTCTTGAGGTCAGGTTGTTGAAAATCGACCTTGTCCTTCCATGTCATGTTCACAGATGGCGTCAAGTCAGCAGTGCCGACCATGAAGTTTGGCAAGTTCTGGGCGAGAGGGTTGCAAACCATGCCAGAAGATTTTCTTGAGGGTGTAGGCGACGTAGGGAAGCTGCCCTTTGCAGGGATGAATTTGGTCCAATCTTTTGGCATCTTGCCCGCAACGCGCAACTTGAACTCCTCAGCCAACTGGGGATACTCCTTGCTATAGCTTTCAACAAGGGTACTCCACTCCTTCTCGTATTCTTGACCTCGCGACTTTGCTTCACGGAAGAAGTCGTAGACTGAATCAGGAACGATAAAATGCTCTTCAGGGTTCATGCCGAAAACGCGTTTGATGTTTGCAACATCCTCGACACCGAAAGCAGCACCGTGAGCCTTTGCATCGCCAGCTGATGCACTGCCGATACCGATGATTGTGCGGATGTTGACGAAGGTAGGCTTGTCACTTGCACGCGCTGCGACGAGAGCCTGTACAATGCCCGAGATGTTTTGCGTGCCATCAGTCACATCGATAACGTTCCATCCACAGGCCTTCATCTTTTCGTTGACATCGTCGTTGCAGGTGATATCGACAGAACCATCACAAGTGATTTGATTGTTGTCGTAGACGAGAACAAGGTTGTTCAACTTCCAGTGGCCGGCGAGCGAGAAGGCCTCGAGGGCAACACCTTCCTGCAGACAGGCATCACCAATCATGCAGTAGGTCATGTTGTTGACGACTTCATAGTTTGGCTTGTTGTAAGTGGCAGCAAGGTGCTTAGTTGCCATGGCCATACCAACAGCGTTGGCAACACCCTGACCTAGCGGACCGGTCGTGACTTCGATACCTTCGTGCTCAATCTCAGGGTGGCCAGGACAGATGGAATCTGCTCGGTCAGAGTGATATGATTTGAGTTGTTCAATGGTCATATTCTTGTAACCGACCAGGTGCATGAAAGTGTATTGGAACAGACATGTGTGGCCGTTTGAGAGAACGAAGCGGTCTCTGTTGAAGTAGTTGGGATTGGCTGGTGAGTACTTCATGACATACTTCCATAGTGATACACCAATGGCTGCCATGCCCATAGCACCTNNGTTGACTTGAGTTAATCTCTTGTTCCGAACTTCTAGTCATTTATGAAACATACCACCAGGATGACCACCACCAAACTGCTCGCACAAGTCGGCGATCAAGCAACGAAACACGCGGAGGACTTGATCATGCTTGTCGGCTTCCTCTAGCTGTAACGTCGCCACGCCATTTGTGCCATCAATCTGAGTACCAAGCACCTTCACGGGAATACCGGAGGTGGCTTCTTCGTAGTTTTCAAAAGAGGGAGCCATATCGAGATGTGTAAACTGTCTGCGGCTTGAAGGCGGAGGCGATGCATGGGCTCCATCGAGTCTTTATCAAATACGTCGATAATGGAACCATATTTGCATGTACCTCAGCGGCGCCCTCACCTGGATCAAAAGGAACATCTCGTCAGAAACAAGTAACCCGTCGTCCCGATGAACGATGCGGGGTTGTTTGCTTCGCGCTACACTTGCCCCATTGGTCGCTGGCGTCTGTTTTTGCCTTCAACGAAAAGGGAAGTTGCGAGGGACAGCGCTCAACACGGAAAATCCTAGCGCCGCGACTTCGCTCCTCGCGACTCCTCTTTTCTCTCTACAATTCATTCTTCTTATGGCAGTCTCAGCGCTGTTGGCCCTGTCTTTGCTCGCGGACTAAACCTCTCAAGAAATCCCAACATATTTCCATGGTGGGACCTGGTTTGAAATTACGGCGCCTAGGGATTGTTGACCTTGTCATGAGTATTTAGACGCATATAAATGGCCAAATGCCGCTGCACTTTATCGCTCTGCGAACCTTGACCTTCTTCCGCGTGGCTTTGGTCCTCGAACCTCTCATACGTTAACTTGTTGCCGCTTTAGTCTTTCAACAATCCTCGACCCGTCAGAGCATCATGGCACCAAGCATTGTCTCCGATATTGAGCTGCCTAGGGACATCCCCGAGTCTAGGCAATCAGCTGCCAATGTTCCTATCGAAAAGGCTTTTGGCTTGAAGAATAGGACCATCATAATTACAGGCGCTGGTCGCGGGCTTGGTATCACACTCGCTGTTGCTGTCCTCGAGTCTGGCGCCGATGCAGTATGCCTGGATATTCTTCCTGAGCCCAGCACCGAAGAGTGGGATGTCATTACCAAGCTTCAAAAGAGCACTGGAGTACTTGCAGAATACCACAACTGCGACATTACGAACGAGGAAGCCGTTGAGAAAGTTGTCGCAGAGTGCGGCGAGAAAGCTCGACAACGAGGAAAGCCTGTGAAAGGCATGATCTCGTGCGCCGGCATTCAGCAGATGGTCGACGCTATCGACTATCCTATGGATGGATTCCGTAAAATCATGGATGTCAACGTCGCCGGAAGTTTCCTCATATCGAAGTACACTGCTCGTCTGCTTCGCGACCAGAAGCTTGGTGGTAGCATTGTCTTGATCGCATCCATGTCTGGTCAGATCGCCAACCGTGGCTTGCATTGTTCGGCCTACAACACCAGTAAAGCCGCTGTACACCAGATGAGCCGATCTCTCGCTTACGAGTTCGGTCAATGGGGCATTAGAGTCAACACCTTGTCTCCTGGTTACATCCGTACTGCTATGACAGACGGCCTGTTGCAGGAGAAGCCTGAAGTTGAAGAGTCGTGGATGAGAGGAGCGCTTCTAGGAAGACTGGGCGCACCTGAGGATTTCAAAGCTCCATGCGTCTTTCTCCTGGCAGATGGGAGCTCTTGGATGACTGGTGCCGATTTGAGAGTTGATGGCGGCCACTGTGCGACTGCGTAAACCTGTCTTGTAGATGACAATGAATAGAATAGGCATCATAGATTTTTCTTTACAATAGTACGCTGCGGCTTGATGGATCGCATGAACGAAGCAATCTCTGAGAACTTTTCAAGCCAGTAATGCCTGGTTTCAAGCACGATCAAGTTTCGAGCTCAATAAGCTGTAATCCAATGTTTGTGACCTTCATCATCAAGATTCAATCGAGTGTCGGGTGAGAGCTGAACACAGCTTTGGACGCGTATCAAGCTGAAGTTTGGATCTTGGTGACATTGCCAATATAATTCGAGGTCAGCCCCGTGGTTGCCGTTGTTCATCCATCCTTTCCATCCAAATTTGCCCCGCACTCTGAGAGCACCTCCACCTTTCTCTTCACCAGCCATCAGCGATTGCATTACTGCATAATCTCCTATCGCAACCTATGAGATCTAGTCGAAATGCCAGAGCTACGACGTCAGAAGACGGTTCCTTGGCTCACGAGTCTTACGAGGCATCACCTTCACCACGGCGGCCTCCCTCGAAACGCTCGCTCCGAGGTCGCTCGGGATGCTTGAACTGTCGACGACGACGAAAGAAGTGCGACGAATCCAAACCAAGTTGTGCCAAATGTGAAAGGCTCGGCGAAGAATGCGAGTGGGACTCAGGGCTCAGTTTTCGCTTTACTTCGCTCGAGGCCGATCATCCTAGCATGATAGCCGGACAGAAGATAGCAGCCACAGCCCCATCGCTACAATTGGTCGACGTCGTATTCGATCTGGATACTCATGAATGCAAGGAGTTTCTCAATGGACAGGAACATTCGACAGCCGAAGATAATCCTGAGAACGAGATCCCAACATCACACGAACCTGAAAGTGGTGCTTCCACTTGGGACATGGACCTCGCTGTCGATGGTGTCAGTGAAAATCTACCTCAAGATCAGACAGCACTGGCTCGAAGATTTACGAACGACAACGTATCACCAGGGATGCAATGGACCCCACATTTGACAACAGAGTCTCATGACGTCCATAGTGTTCATGACAATAGACGTTCCCACAGTTTTGCAGCTGGAGATGGTGAAGCTCAACATCATGTCACATTTCAAACCCCAATCCAACCTATCGAGGATCCCATATCAACTGCTATTCTTCCTGTCATCCGCGACGACGATCATCTCTTATCATTCTCCTTGCCGGAACTCGAGTCTCTGGACTACCTTACCAATCGGGATGCTTATCCGACTTTTGGCGACTCTTTGTGGCCCACGATGAGCAATAAAGAAACCAACACTTTGATGGACATGGATCATGTTCCTGCTGAATCACCAGACATGTATGCCATGTACTACCCCAATGCCACATATCGAGAGCTGCACACGACTCTATACAATCACATGGTCGATACAGCTCGTGGCACTGGTCTCACACGAGCAGGTACCCCCGAATCTGATGACTCGCAACAAGATATACAGAACCGAACGACACTCAAGTCTTGGGAGCAGCTCGAGCCCGATAGACCCACGCGGAGCAATCTCCCGAAAGGCATGACTGTGCGTCGCGAAATGGAGCTCTGGCGCAACTACCTTGACGAGATAGCTCTGTGGCTAGATATGTTCGACAATGATCGTCACTTCCAGATCCACCTACCAATCCTGGCACAAAACTCAGAACCACTAAGACTATCAGTACTGGCTCTTTCTGCAAGGCAGATCGAGAGAAGAGATCCAGATAAACCATATACAGAGAGTCTGGCATTGTATCAGGAAGCAATCCGTTTGATCGCTGGCGAGCTAGAGAGCATGAGTACGGAGGTTATTGGAAGCTGTGTGTTGCTTTGCGTATTGGAGATGATGAGCTGTCAGTATTCTAAGATCAACCATGCGTTATTGTGTTGACTCGTTCTAGCTTCTCCGAAAGACTGGGCTCGACATCTAAATGGTGCGGCTATGTTGCTCAAGGCCGCGGGTATTAATGGTGTTGTGGGAGGCATACGACAAGCCATTTTCTGGTGCTTCGCCCGCATGGGTGCGTCTGGTCTTGATTTTGTTCGCATACATTCACTGACTGCTATAGATATGTGGGGTGGCTTCCTTTCCGACTCCCATACCAAGATTCCAACGAGCTTGTGGTTTCTGCCAACAGGCACAATGTCGACAGCCATCTCAAAATTCAAAACGGATTTTCAGAATTTTGATAGCTACGCCAATTACTCACTCTTCCTGTGCGCCAGTGTACTTGACGTCGTATCAAGACGTGGCAGCGCAAACGAACGCGGGAGTACCTACAGCGCGAAGTGGAAAGCGCTGTTCGATCTCCTCGTTGACTGGAATGTGAATAGACCAGCAGAGATGCGACCTATGACATCGCGCGCCTGTGAGAACGAGGATGAAGGGCCTNTTCCTGTGGTCATCTACACAAACGCAGCAGCCGTCAGCGCAAATCAGCTCTATCACACTGCCACTCTACTCATGCTGCAGGCAAAACCGAACGATCTTAGAGTCAGGGGCCAGAGGAGTATCTTCTGGCATGCGAGACAGGTCATTGGTATCTCGGTGAGTAATTTGCTGCATGCTGCGTGGACGAATGCACCGCAGCCTCTGTACATCGCTGGCAAAGTCATGTCGAGTAAAGCCGAACATCGTGTTGTGCTAGAAGCACTAGCAGAAATCGAGAGAACCACAGGGTTCGCTACTCAATGGCGGGCGCAAGATCTGAAGGAATATTGGGGCGATGAAGGAGACTGAGATGTCCTCGATTGAAATGGGTTTCCTCAATACATCTGCACCTCGACGAGCGCTCTGCCAACACCAGAGTCCATGCCGGGAACGCCAGAATTTTCCACCTCATAGGCGACCGCGCCATTTTCTGCGCACACTTCCTTCAGATGGTCCACGCTGCCTCCTACGCCAAAGTAGAATCTCTTTGCCGCAACGATTGCCTTTGCCATCTTTGTGCGACGCAGCAGGTGAATCAATAGATCCACAAAGGCTGTTGTTGAAGCCGGGCTGTAAATTGTTTCGCTGGCTAAGATCAAACTGCCCATATCAGGAGCAGATTCCGGGATCAACGAAGCAAGAGTTTCACCCCAAGGGCCAGAGATAAACGACAATTGGATCCTAGAAGCAGCCAATCCAGCCAAGAATTCAGACAACAGAGCAGGAATGTTTTCCAGATCTCCCGAAGGCTCGGCAGATAGATCGATCAAAGGTGGAGATGTGGTAGCCGCCCAAGTGAGGATCAAGTTGGGCAATGTGACCAATCTCAACACACTAGCATTATAGTCTGTCAAAGTAAAAGTCTGAGGGATGCCGTTTCTGAGACAGTGTTGGAATAGAGTAAGCGTAGGCAAAGCAGATCCAGCACCCAACTCCACGACTCCATCACAACGAACCAATTCATCAATATCTTTGCGAGGACCGCGATCAAGCAACAAAGAAGACAAATCAACACTACACTCCCAAGTCTTGAAACCACCCTCGTAGACATTGGGTGCCAGGTCTGTAGATTGCAGTTGGGATAATGTGGTGTCGTTGTCGTTGTCAGCAGATGCTTCGGACATGAGTTGCACGCGAATATCGAAGAGTTCGCGGCGTGGCAAGAGGATTTGCTTGCCGGTTGGCGACACGATTTGAGCGGTGCTGTAGCATAATCTATCTGGTAGAGTCTCGTATAATTGGCGTAGATCGTGCTGGAGGACGTTGACTGGAGGTGGTGCTTGTGATGTTGTTGTCTCTGATGATGGCGCGTCCAAGATGGGAATGTCCTGATCGACTGTTTGGTCGATATCGTCGCCGCCGAAGTTGAAGCTGAATGCCATGGTTTTCCGATGTGCTTATGTGAGATAATATCTGGTTGTCGTGGTTGGGTTTTTGCAAAAGTCGAGAAGTTTTCGGAGACGGAGATGCCAAGAGTTTGTTTTCCGTAGTTCGATCTTGATGGATCGCAGAGCTATGTAAGGGCTATAACGATAAAACTTGATCACTGAGCTTCTTGACAGACAAAATAGAACAATTCAAACCTGATGAGACGTTAGCATTCTTCTTGTGTATTTAGCTGGTGGTTGGGTGGTGTTGATCCGACACATATGAAGAGGTTGGCAAGACGAACCGAGGGCCCAAGCGTCCTGTCTATCACAACAGCTCCTTCATGCTTGTATACCATTAACCTGACATTCACTAGAATTCTTTTCCGGAAGCGCGTATGAGAGCGCGCATTGCGACACAATGAGATTTCTTACCGATCATTTCGCGAAATGAAGATATAGCCCATTTGACTCAAAAGCACGCGAATCTATCCTAGGCAACAGTCGTCGCGTGTGACGCATATTCTCTCAGCGCCTGGTATTACTCATTATATACGGTCGCATCTTTCTTCTCTCTTTTCTTTCCTCCACAGAAAATAACTTCCTTGGAAACGATCGTCTTGGAACAAGTCCTCTTAGACGTTCAAAAATCTATCCCCAGGAATCTACAACCATCTAATCATGGATCCCAACAACCAAAACGATACCTTTAGAACCATCGGCATCTTCGAATTTGTGCGCAACCACCCCGGAACCTCTACGACCAGAATCCGCATCTCATCTTCTGAGATGCCTGCGCAGCCAACAATCCGACACGACCTCCCATCAACCACCAGACCAGGCCTCTCTCTCCCATCAACACTCCTCCCACCCACCCTCTCTAACCTCCGCTTTCAAATCCCCGAACACACTTACACAATCCCCGCCTCCGTATTCGCAGAATCGTGTCCTGTGTGCGATGAAATCGCCTTCGAAGTCAAAGATCCAGAGTTCGTGGCAAAGTATCCTAAGGGTTGGGTATTGGTGGCTTGCAAACGACACTTTGAGATGACAAAGACCGGGCACATAAATGGCAGAAAACACGTACACGTGGGAGGAAAAGTGGAGTCAAAGGGGAGAGCAGCATTAAGGTTTGAACAGAGGAAAGAGCGAAAAGCTTTGGAGAAGAGAGATGTAACATCCCCAGCTGTTGCAACTCCTTCCAAAGAAAGAAACATTCCATCGCCTACACCACCGCCATCAACACCTATTTCCAGCAATTCCACACCCACANAACCTCCGCAAAAGAACCAAACCCCAACAAAAATTATAGACCCCTGTCCCATCTGTGTGGAAAACACTCCAAACCTAACTCTAGACTGTGGGCACAGATTCTGCCTTCCCTGTCTAACAAACTGGCAAACCATCTGCCACGACACAAACCTTTCGGAGTGGATAACTTGCAACCCGGGTGTCCGAATCCAATATCCGATCTTACAAGCACATCTAAAGTCAAGATTTACATGTCCGATGTGTAGAGCACAGTCACAGTTCACAAAACAAAGCAGACGCAAGAAAAAATTGCTGAGCAGGTTGGAGAGAGGGAAAAAGAGGGGGGTGGAGTGGCGGCGAGGAGTAGGAGGGGTGGGCAGAGGAGAAGCAGAGCAAGGAGGCAAGGTGTGGGTGTGTTGACGAGTCACTGGGTGGCTCCTTGGATGCAGGNAGAATGCATGTGTTGATGCGGCTGATAGTATGCCAGTGGTGCAGAGAGCACAACCTGCACAAGACGCCTCACCGTCAATACCTTGAGCATGCCACGCTCTTTCAGCAAAAACAGAAGGCAAGGAAAATTTGGGGGCAGCATCAAAAGATTCTTTAACATTATCCACGTAATCTACAACTTGTCATTCTACAAACTACGTTCCTGCTTGTGCTTCTTTATCTCGCGCTTGAAATTCTGCATCAACATCCACATTTCCATCTCCAACATTCAACGCCTCATCAAATACAGGCATCAGATCTCCACTGGGCGCATCAAACCAAGGCAACATATCCAACCCTAACAAACTCATATCCACATCCTGGCTCTCTATCAAAAAATCGCCAAAGCTTTCTTCTGCTGCAATGGCGCCATCAAAGGTTTGCAGATTGTGCGATGGATGGCTAAGAGGCGGGACTTGTAGAGAGTTGTTGTGTTGGTGTTGGAGAGGTGAAGGGAAGGTTGTTGGTGAGGGTGGTATTGTTGCGAAAGAAGAGGCTGGGAGTGAAGGTCTGTGGTGTCGTTGTTGATGCGGTGATAAGCGAGGGAGTTTGTTGCCAGAGTATGTGCGTGTGTGATTATTCTGCGGTTGTGGGAATGCGGAACCATTGCTTTGCAAGCTGTTGAAGTCGAAAGGTGTGTTGGTGTCGATAACAGAGTCAAGTGATTGCGGCACTGGCTCGTGTGCGCCAGGCCCACCTGAAAAATGCCAAGCTACATTCGTGCTGGGTGAGTTAAGGGTGCCTGTTAGTGTCCATCCGATTGCNTGTTGTTCGCAGAGTTAGCCTCCAAACCAAAGATGTCTGGTTGAGTACGACTTACGTTGATTCGAGTCACTAGCCGCAGGAGGCGTTTTGGATTGCATAAACGAACTCTGCATTAGTGCGCTCGGGGACCATGGGTTCGATGGAGTCTTTCTTCGCCATCCTGGTTGGGTAAATGCAGGTTTTGGTTCTGGCTGCTCAAAGGCACTTTCTCCTTCTTCCACCGTATACAGGAGGGGGTCGCCAACACCTTTGAACTTTTGATCCAATACTGTCAGAATGTATTTCGTCCCTGCCCAATATGTTTCAAGACTCTGTAGTGCTTTATAACAAAGTTGGTAGTGCTGATTTGCGGCCGTTGCGAGTAACGTATGGCGGGCTAGTGCTCTTTCCACCATCGGTGGCCTGGCACTGTTCGATGTCATGCTCGATGGCCGTGTCATATCCGCTGTTTCCGCGACTCCTGGTGTAGGCTGTTCTCGGGCCGGGCTTCCAGTGCGGGAGTTCGCCGCAGACTGAGAGCGAGAATGTTCTTTCGAGGTGGCTGTCTGCTCGGCAGTCTCCTTGAGGAAAGCACAAGCAGCAATATAGATTGGCTGTGTAGTGAAAGGGTTACCAAGACTGGCTTTTGTATCGATGAGCTGTGAGTATGATAAGATATCTGCAATGGTTTTGGCAGAAGACATGGACAATGCTTGACTGTTGGGGAACAGCTGAAGCATTCTACCCTCGAAAGTCTTGAGCAATGTTGGTTGATGAAGCAAGACAATGAGCGTGTGGAACCAGAAATGTAGCAAAACAAAATTTGTTCCTTCTCCAGCTTTGACATAGTGGNNGTGAAAGTTCATGGCTTGGAAATGTAGTTTTGGTGGGAGACCTGTAGTTTGTCAGTACTCTTCTAACATGCGCCTGGACGAATTACCNATACCCTGATAGAAATTCGTCACCCGTGCTTCCATATCCGCCAGTTGTTGCGGCGTATCACTGGTGATATCTGAAGGTTCCTTGATACTGTTGAGAAGATCTGCAACTCGACCATACAAGCAGACAATCCGAATAAGCGCAGGGAACGGCGAAGGCCAGCCAGTTTTGGGGTCCAGCAAATCGAGAGGCGGGAATGAAAGTTCGATATCGTCATCTTGCAGCGTGCTTCGTCGTCCAGTGCCGGAAGAAACAACTCGGTCAAGGAAGAAGACTGCCCACAACGTATCGACTCGCTCGCGTTCGGCTGCTCTTTGCTCTTCTGCTGTGTCCTGATCTTCATCTTGTAAATCAGCACGGCCAAACGTCTTGTCCATATGTTTGTCGTTCCTCGAGTATCTAGGAGATGAACCATCACGGCCTTCGTAACGGAGACCATCGAGCTTGTGCAATCCTAAATCTTGAGCCATGCGGATAGATATACCAAGATACATCCAGAGACCACTATCTCTGCTTTCACCAAACTCGTTATAAGCAAGCAANAGTGCGGCTTGCACAGCAGCAACACTTGGCGTCGCATAAGTATCGATCAAAGCCAATTTCGCTCGCTGAGCAAAAGCAGAACCTTGTTCTGAGTGGTTCACAGCGTGACCATCGCGTGACTGCTGGACGAGCAAGTGATGGGTAGAGAATCGAGCAGCAAGTGCACAAACTGCATCAACAAGGATTGCATCGACTTGCTTCTCTTCAAGATCTTTCAAGAATCGATCGCGTTGGAGGAATGGGTAGTTACAGGCCAGATGGACGAAGAACGTATCGCAAAGATGCGTGATCAGTTCACTCGGTGGCATGGATGAGTTGTCGTAGAATGGCAGGACCTGGGGCGTACGTGCGTCTGGATCATAGGTCGCAGAATGATTTGACATACCCGAAGCGCCAGGTTGAGCACCAGCCGATGGGGATGTCACGCCGTCGGCTGTTGACGAAGAGCGATTGACTTTGACGACCATCTGCTTAAAGCCTGGCATGATGGCAGTAGGGCCAAGCCATCGAAAATAGGGCATCCGATTTCGAGCGCCGGAGAACAAGGAGGGTGTTGGTCTCGGGAAGTAGCTCTGATCATTTTCATTCCGCAAAGGCTGCGATTGAATGTGCTCCGATGCATGAGAGGTAGGATTCTGGATGGAATCGGAAGCTGTACTCTGCTGTTGTGATATGAAGGCGGGCTTTCTAGGTTTTCTGGCAGGAGGAGCCTTCATCGAGTCTGCTGTCTCGGACCGGCGCAAGGTGGGTGCCGCTGCTCGAGGGGTTTCGGTCTCATCGAGATTAGCACTTCCTGAGAGATTCTCATCGGCATAGCCAGTACACTCCAATCTGTTGTTGGTGCACGTGTTGCAGTGCGGGCGTTCACCAGAACATGCAACTTTTCGTTTTCTACAGACTAAGCAAGCAGTGGAAACACGACGCCTTTTGGCTTGGGGAGCCCCGTGACTGGTAATGAATCGCAACTTCTTGGGTTGCGGTTTTGACTTGTTTCCTTGAGTTGTGACAGAAGGAGCAGGCTGTGCTGGTGTAGATGGGCCATCTTGGTGTAGTGATGGAGTCGAAACGAGCTTTCCAGCCCAATCTCTTTGATGATGACTAGTCATGACTCGAACAGGACATGCCTACAGTTTGAGGAGATGGGCGACAGCTTGCCGATCAAGAAGATGCAAAAGATGGAGAAGGAGTGGGGTCGAAACGTGTGCAAGCCAAGCAAGCAACGAGGCTTCGAAGCTGTAGGACGTTGGTCTCGCGACTTGGATCGAGTACAAGGATATCAAGACAGATTGATGGCAAGCGAAATGTAAGGACCCAGAATGTACTGCGGCGGAAAAGACAAATTGGGGTCATGCCGAAGACGGCCATGTCGTTTCTCCAACGACAAGCCACACTCGAAAGGAACCGACGGCGCTCAAGGGGCATGTCCACTTGGTGCCTCGAAGAGAGAAGATGCGGGGCGTCAAATGGGTGGAAGCTTTCCCCGCGACCTCGTGCACGGATCTCCCGAAGTTCCCGAAATAATTCACGTCGAGTGTCGACGCCGACTTTTTGGCATGTGAAGCTTGGAAAACTCACGACCACCAAACACGTATTCCTAACAATCATGGAGGCCATCATCCGCCCAGCATTGACTGCCTCTGGTCGCCGCTCGGTCGCTACTCGTTTCCGCCCAGCATGTCGCTGCTTGCACAACAGCTCGTCGAGAACAGCCACGCCACTGCCTCATCCTATTGCTGCTGGTCCGCCACCACAACCTCCTCAAGCACCTGCCACCGAGACCGAGGATCGTGTCGCTCGCAAGAGACAACAAGCTGCGCTTTTGGCAAGACAGTCACAGATCAAGGTGGACCCGTCAAAGCCAGCATCCGCCCTGCGCAAGCGTTTCTGGAAAGAGTCTTCAGTCAAGGAGACTGCTGGTATGCTCTGATGCTCTCGCAGTTGCCTTCTCCGCTCACACATGTCTCAGATGGACTTCAGATCATGCTGGATAAGCGACCGGTCAGAACAGCCTCCAAGGAGATTCTCACCCTGCCACCTACCAAGTACGCCCTTGCCTCAGGCATCGCTCTCGAATGGGATCTTCTCACATCGGCGCAACAAGCACTGAAGCATCACTACATCCCTCTTACATCTCTGAGCTCGCGCGCAATCGATATTCATAACGCCGATCTGCAGGGCGACAATAAGATCAGAGAGAGCATTGTCACAATGCTTATGAGATACTTGAGCACCGACACGTTACTCTGCTGGGATCCCGAGAAGAACATTCATGACCCCTCATCGGCGCTCGACATGAAGATTGATGGTCAGCCCAAGCAGAGTCTCCGACAAAAGCAAATCGAGACAGCCGAGCCAATTCTTGCATACCTCACGACGCACATTTTCCCTGGTCTCGAGATTGTTCCTATCTTGGGTGAGGATAGCATCATGCCGGTCAAGCAACCCAAGGTGACGCAGGAGGTTATCCGTGGATGGATATCAGCTCTGCCCGCCTTCGAGCTGGCAGGACTCGAGAGAGGAGTTTTGGCTACCAAGAGTCTGCTCGTGGCGATCCGGTTGTTGGTTGAGTGGAGTCAGGAGTTCAGACACTTGCAGAAAGACGATAACACAAGCCGATTCGGTATTGCCGAAGCGCGTCAAGCTTCAAGCGTTGAAGTGACATGGCAGACTGACATGTGGGGTGAAGTTGAGGACACTCACGATGTCGAGAAGGAGGATGTGGCAAGACAACTGGGCAGTGTGATTCTGCTGGTGTCGTAGATTATACATGCGATAGACCTTGTACAAATACCTAGAGTGAAGTTATTTCCGCAAAGGGGCAGTGTAACAAATAGACTTCTAGACCAGGCCGAAGACGTTGACTCCACCGGCGTCATGTGCATAAACTGGATCCAGCCGGGAGTTTATCATGTTTGAGCTGTCGTAGTCTTCTGTCGCGTCCCTGTTGCTCTCTTTCCTCTGTATGTACCCTTTGATTCTGGTACAGCAGACTCGAAGGATATTCCTATCGCAATTGATCCAAGATGGCTGAAAGGTAGAGTGGCTTGCAATCAATCGGATCTACGCCAAGGCTGACTCGCTCTGGGGGATTAGCAGCAATAACACTCCGTCGCATCAACGCAACAAGTCGTCGATTGCAAAATCGCTCTTGTCCAGGGTGACAAGTAGGGGCGACGTGCCTCAAAACGAGGCTCCCGACTCTCCAACCACAGACAACTCAGAAATGGCCTCGTCACGGAACTCGTTCCAGAGCGCCCGCCCAGCCCTCACCTGGTTACGACCATGACAAACTCCAATCCCGACTCTGCCGCTGCCTCACCAGCTACCCGTACACCGTCGGCTCCCCGGAACGGTTCTATCACGACCATGCCTCAAGCATCCACCACCTCGATTGAGCAGTCGGTCAAGCTGTTCAAGGTCTTTGAAGCCTTGCGACAAGGAGACACGGCCGGTATCAACAGACATCTGCGCGATGACTCGACCAAGCTCGAAGGGAACACCATCTTGCATCTTGCTGTCCAATGCGCCGAACCCTCTGTCGTCGAGTACGTCCTAAGCATGGGCCAGAACACCCTGGACATCAACGCCAGAGATCGTGACGGCAACACTCCTCTACATATTGCTTCAACTCTTGGTCGCACCAGCGTTATCAAGCTTCTCCTTGATCAGAAAGCCATTAACGAGTCTGTTACGAACTTCCAAGGAAAGACTCCGCTAGACCTCGCTCGCAGCCCTGAGGCCTTCCAGCTCCTACAGCTTGCTCGTTCCATCTTCATTGAGAGAACGACCCACAGAATCCAGCACCTCATCCAATCTGCCGACTACGGTACCCTCGAAGACGTTCTTGCCGACGATCACGTTCGTCACGTTGTCGACATCAATGCCCCCGAGTTGGCTACAGAGCCTCAGACTGTCGAGTCCGGTGGTACACTGCTGCACGAAGCCACACGCAATAAAGACACACAACTCATTCAAATACTTCTGCTCAACGGCGCTGATCCCTTCCGTCGTGATCGCAAAGGCAAGTTGCCTCAGGAAATCACAAAGGACGACCACACCAAGCAGATTCTGAAAAAGTCGCCCGCCGCTGCTGCTGCCCAACGAGGTGTTCAAGAGAAGGCCATACTTGGTACCGGCGAAGGCCAGCCTGAAAATGCTCTCAGCGCAAAAGAGGCACGTGAGATGAAGGGTTACCTAAAGAAGTGGACCAACTACACGACTGGATACAAATTGAGATGGTTCGTGCTCGAGGATGGTGTTCTGAGCTATTACAAGCACCAGGATGATGCTGGTTCTGCTTGCCGTGGTGCCATCAATATGAAGATCGCTTCTCTGCACATGGACTCCAAAGACAAGCTGACTTTCGAGATTCATGGCAAGTCGTCAGTCAAGTACCATCTCAAGGCAAATCACGAGGTCGAAGCAAAGCGCTGGTTCTGGTCTTTAAACAATGCCATTCAATGGTCTAAGGATGAGGCTCGTGAAGAGCAGAAGCGTCAACGTCAAGAGGGCGAGGCCTTACGCCAGGCTGCTATGGAGAAGCAATCTACCACTCCCTCTGCTGCCGACTCTTCTACTCTTGCACCTACTGTGAGCGATCGACGCACCAGCATTGCCCATACTGCCGATGGAGAGACTTTGTACGGTGACGAGCCTTCGAGATTGACCCGTCACCGCACTTTCGAAACAGACGGTGAACGCGATTTTGAAGATGAGGAGGACGATTACGCCGATGACGATAGCGCTCATGAGATTAAACCCATCAACAAGGATGCCTTCAACATCACTGCTCAGTCAGCCAAGCTTCAGCTTGATTTGTTGGCTTCTGTCTCAAACTCACTGCAGCAAGAGAAGACTAACAACCCCAGCATCCCTCTGGGTCATCCTGATGTCGAATATGCTCTGGCCTCTTACGACACTGCTGTCGGTAACCTCAGAGGCTTGTTGATAGACCTTCTACGCATCTCCAAGGACCACGACGCCTATTGGCAACATCGTGTTGATCGAGAAGCGCATATCCGCAAGCTTTGGGAGGAAAGTATGGCCCGAGTTGCAGCCGAACAAGAAGAGCTAGAAAATCGCATTGGTGAAAGTGAGGACAAGCGCAAGAGAACCAAGCGTGCCTTGAGAGATGCTCTGGAAGGACAAAACTCAGGTACCGCAAGCCGAGCTCGCAGTCGCAGAGGAACTACAGCCACTCAAAGCAGCAAGCTCGCTGCTGCTGTTGAAGGCATATCTGTTGCCGAAGACGGCACGGCTGCTGCGGGTCCACCATCGCCTTCCTTGAGTCGCAGACAAACTCTTGCAGACTTGACCAACCACGACGTATCCGACGATGATTCGGATATGGATGAACAATTCTTTGATGCCGTTGATGCTGGAGAGGTCGAGGTTGTTGATCAGATGCCTGTCACAAGCACGCCTCAAACCAACACCCAGTCAGAGAAGACTGCTCCCATTGAAGATAACACTTCTACCGCGATCCAAAAGTCGTATAAAGGCTATGAGGACCCTGTTAGATCCAAGCTTCCTATTGATGCCGACAATCGACCAAAGGTCTCGCTCTGGGGTATCCTTAAAAACATGATTGGTAAGGATATGACCAAGATGACTCTGCCCGTCACCTTCAACGAGCCTACCTCTCTTTTGTATCGTGTTGTTGAGGATATGCAATACACTGAGCTTTTGGATACTGCTGCCGAACGCTCTGACTCTGCCGAAAGAATGGTCTATGTTGCTGGTTTCGCTGCTTCAGAATATGCCTCTACCATCGGCAGAGTTGCAAAGCCTTTTAACCCTCTACTGGGAGAAACCTTCGAGTATGTCCGTCCCGACAAGGGCTACCGCTTCTTCATTGAGCAAGTCAGCCATCATCCTCCAATTGGTGCCGCCTATGCGGAGAGTGCTAAGTGGGAGTACTATGGTGAATCTTCAGTGAAGAGCAAGTTTTACGGCAAGTCCTTCGAGATTAACCCTCTCGGTACATGGTTCCTGCGCCTGAAGCCGACCCATGGACCCGAAGAACTCTACACATGGAAAAGGTCACTTCATCGGTTGTTGGCATCATCACTGGTAATCCCACTATTGACAACTACGGTCTCATGGAGGTCAAGAACCACACTACTGGAGAGACAGCAATCCTAGACTTCAAGCAGCGTGGTTGGAAAGCATCATCCGCCTATCTTGTCGCTGGAAAGATCACCGACGCAAAGGGAGTCCCCAAATGGAGCATTGGCGGTCGTTGGAACGACAAGATCTATGCTCGTCCCACTCCTGGCTATGAAGATGAGAATCTGGGCACGTCTACCAAATCCCAAGAATCCAATCAAGCTATTCTGGTTTGGGAAGCTGGACCCCGTCCTCAAGGGATTCCTTTCAACTTGACGCCTTTTGTCGTTACGCTTAATGCATTGCCGCAACGTCTGCAACCGCTTCTCGCACCCACCGATTCAAGATTCAGACCTGACCAGCGCGCTATGGAGGAAGGAAGATATGACGACGCATCCGAAGAAAAGAACCGTGTTGAAGAGAAACAGAGAGCACGACGTCGCGAGCGTGAAGCGGCTGGCGAACACTTTGAGCCCAGATGGTTCAAACTCTCCACCCACCCCGTTACTGGAGAAGAGTACTGGCGCTTTGGCGGCGAGTACTGGGGTATAAGAGACAGAGTTGCCAATGGAGAAGCCACTTGGAAAGAAGCTGGGCTCGAGCAGATTTACTGAGGTTATCAAGAGTTCTGGATTGGGTCTTGATGGAGTTGAAGAGAGATTGTTTGGTAGTCACCTATTCATTTTCTTCCTTCCTATTGATTTACTCCTTTTATCCCTTCGATTCTTGTCTGGCGTGAAGTACGTCAGTGTTTTTGCTGTGCTGTGTTTAGAGCGGCCCTCTTGTCTCGACCTCTACTGAGTGTGTCTTTTCTTTGAAGCTTCTGCCGAAACTCGAGATACGGAATAACTCTATGGCTTCTGACGAGAACTACCTGTGTCTGACAACGAAGATGCACTAGAACCACCAAAAGGCTATGAACGATATTAGCATGATCTGAATCGTAGAATCGGCCTTGTCGTCGCCGCCGAAACTTCTTGTGTCTCCAAAATTGCTGTGATGGGTATGACCCTGTCAAAGATGTCAGACCTCGGAGGTCGGATGCGGTGATGTCATGCCGAGCATCGCGTGCTTCAACGCGTCTCTCATCTCTCCAACTCTCCTTCTTCTGCAACACGCTGATTTCATTATTTTGAGTTGCGTCAGAAGCATGTCCGCTTCGGAAACATCCACGATGAGATGTCCACAAAACTTGAACCAATCTGAACGGACACTCTCTTCTCTAGATACGACGACGTGACAGCTCTATATGAGCCAACATCACTAGTCAGGCCAAGCAGACCAAGATATCAGGATCTCACCGAATTGCAGCCAAGGGGTTGGCGCACGGCATGCTTGTAAAGATACAGCATGCTATCTCGCCCCAGCAGGTAGGTCAGCGAGAGACCTTGTAGGATTTAACCATGGCAGTTTCCACGTTTTCCCACGTCTTGATGTTTTGTAGCAATCATGGCTTTACAGACGATCAAGACGTACACGAAAAAATGGACCAGTTGGTTCTTTCCTGAGTCTGAGAAGTCTGAGGATGGTCGTGATCAGTGGCCTTCGAGAGCGGCGTTCTTGTTGGCTGCTATGNGGGGTTGTGCTGGTCAGGGTAATCTTCTTCGTTATCCGTCGGTCGTCTACAACAATTATGGTCTTCAATGGTTCATACCATACCTTCTCGCCGTATTCCTCATTGCGATTCCTGCCCTCATTCTCGAGATCGCCATTGGGCAGTGCTTTAGAGGTGGCTCGGTCATTGCCTTCAACAACATCAATCGACGTCTCAAAGGTGTCGGTATAGGTCCTGTCTTCGTCAGTCTGATCGTCGTCCAATACTTCACTGTCAATCTCGCTTGGATCATGATCTACTTCAGGAGTTCGTTCACCAGTCCATTGCCTTGGGAGAACCGCATTGAAGACTTTTACAATAACGATGTTGTCGCCAACCCAGCACCTATTGCAGGCAGCCTTACCAATGGAGGCAAAGATGTCGCATCGTACACAAGTTACCCCGCCGTTGGCCTGATTGGAGAGACTGTGGGATGGAGCGCTTTCATCTGGTTTCTAATCTGGTTCTCCATTTTCCGTGGAGTCGGTATGACTGGACGCGTTGTGTACTTTACCATGGGATTACCCATCATCACTACTATCATCTTCGTTGGCCGTGCTCTCTCTCTGGACAATGCTGGCGCTGGAGTCAAACTTCTTTGGGGAACCTGGAGAGGTGATCAATTGGCTTCTGGTACTGTCTGGCAAACTGCCGTAGGGCAAGTCTTCTTCTCGACAGGTATTGGCTTTGGCTACTTTACCTCCTATGCCTCATACAACCAGAAGCACTCAAATGCCGTCATGGATGCCGTACTCATCTGTGGCAGCAATGTTTTGTTTGAGAACTTTGCCGCATTCGCTATCTTTGGTGTTGTCGGCTTTCTTCGACGTTGGCCTTCGCCTGATGAGCGCTTGGGAGCTTTCGTGGTCGGCTTCCTTACTCTCCCAGAGGCAGTTCTTCAGATGCCTGGAGCTAATTTCTGGGCCATCCTCCTCTTCCTTACTTTGATTGTGCTTGGATTCAGCTCTGCTTTTGTTATGCTGGACGTCGTTGCTACTCTGCTTGTGGACTCGGGTATCAAGTACTCACGTCCGGTCATCGTTACCGCTCTGACGCTGGTGTCATTCTTGATGTGTCTTCCATATTGCACCGAGTTTGGCTACTATTTGTTGGATGGGATTGATAGATGGATCAACAACATCGCACTCATCTTTGTCGTCTTTTGCGAAGTCGTCAGTGCTACGACCGTCTATCGCTGGAGCGACGTTACAGAACAGGTCGGCTTGCCTGCTTTTGTCATCTACAACCTTGGATACTTTGGAGGCTTGCTCATTGGTGTCTCTGTAGCTCATGGTCTTGAGAGTGCCGGCCCTGGTGCAGGTGCTGGCTTTGGCTTCTTTGTCGCTTGTACCGTGGTTGCAGGTATAATCGCCAAATCCCCAGAGCCAGGCGACACTGGCACTGTTTCCAAGGTCAGAGGCCAACTCAAACAATTGTGGTATTTAGCTTTCTACTCTGTAAGTCTTCAGAGCATCATCCAAACGAAATCTATAAAGCTAACAAACGACCCCCAGGGCAACCAACTTCGCCGCGACCTCAATATTGTCATCGGCAACGGCAAANACTGGAAGATCCCTTCTTTCATGCCTGTCCTTCTTCGTTACGTCTCTGGACCCGTCCTAGCCATAATTTTCAGCTTTGCGTTTCCAGAGTTTCATACCCTGCGTTACGACCCCATGATGATTACTGGCTTCATCCTCTCTATCCTGGGTATGGTTGCTGTATTACTGGGATTTGTGATGCCGAGATATTATGATGCTTTTGTGCCAGTGGAGAGGAGGAATGAAGGTACACAGGAGACGGTGCTTAATCAGCCGATGGACAAAGTTGATGCCGTTTCAGTTGTTACTGTGGAGGGTGATGGTGGTGAAAGTGGAAGTGCGAATGGGAGGGAGAAGGCGCTTGTCACTGGGACGCAAGAACAAACTGGATCGTCCGAGTTGCGGGAGGAGAGTGTGAAGTAGTTGCGATCTGAAGCAGAGCATGCGACCACTATTCTGTTCACCTCCTAATCTTCTTATAAATATGTCTTCTTTGGGGTTCTCTACCATTTCCACAACATTACCATCATGTTGGTTTTTCTTCTACTTAGTGTGCTGTGCGCTTATCACTCACGTGACCGAGATACACGCCATTGCGTCAACAAGCATGTTCCTCAGGCCTTTGATTGAACCTCAGGGGGCGCATATCTCCCCCTGCGCAGGAGGCTGCCGTACTGCAGCTGCAGAACTGCACGATACGTTCTTAAAGAAAGCGGTATATGAGGGAGATGGTTATATCAGTGTTATTCGGGAACCTGGGTTGCCAGATGTCTAAGCGTGCATCCTTAAGCCTCAAACCCACCACTCGCCATCAACTCCATCGCTCTCTGTCTCTGTTGCGCAGAAACCGTATCTGCAGACCTTTCGTTGCCACCAATACTGATCTTTTGAGCAGGGCCAACTCCACGGTTGTCGAGGATTTGAGCGGCGGCAGCGCCGATGATTGCGCAGATGGAGTTTGTGGCTGCGTGTAGGTTTAGTCTGTCGAGGTCGCCTGGCACATGGCAGAATAGGACTTCTGCTGGAGTTTGTTTTGTGAACTTTTGTTTCGGCAGCGATTAGTTAAGGTTCGCTCCAGAGATATCCGTGATGTGTGAAGAAGGGGAGGGACAGAGGAGACAATAGGGTTGGTGTGAGAAAGGAAGGAGGGGGAAGGGCCAGAGACTTACCTTATTCGCCAAACTCTCATAATATATGAACCCGCAACAATAAGTTCCTGCATCTTCATGCGCTCTTACATCCCTCCCAAACGCTGTTTTCAGCATTTTTCCAGCGCCATCGACAAGCTCGTCAACGTTTAATCCTGTGCCTAACCCCATAGGCACGTCCTCACCCCAAGGATTAGGTCCTGCATCCTCCACCGTCTTGCCCTTTACATCTTTAATCATATAATACCTTCCCAATCCCAACATTCTTCCTGCCCACCCGCTGGTAAAGGTTTGTTTATAGCTTCTGCGTTCGCAAGATACGAAATTCCAGCCATCTGCCATACCGATATGCAAGATTAGGTCTGCGGTTGCGCCATAAGAGTCATGCAATCCGGAAGTATACTTGCGGATGTGTGCGTATTCGACGTTTACGGCTTTTCCCTCTGCGGCTGTGGGGTTTAGGATGCGAATTGGGTGAGAGGAAGGATTGAATTGAGATCTGGGAGGTAGAGTTGAGGGAAGCAGTTTTGTGATTTCGTGGGACGTGTTGCGGGAGTAGGATGTGCCGTCGCCACGGGGGAATGGCTGTTATTGGAAGAATAGTGTTATTATGGTGGAGTGAAAAGGCGTTTGTGCATTCTTCCTGTTCTATTTGCTTGTCTTTTGATCCGTAGCTGGAGTTTTGGTGGAGGATACCAATGATGTTGCTTTGAATTTCCTTGTTTCTTGTTCGATATTCACAAAGTGGTCTCGCGAGGGTAAATCATGCGACTCGAAACAGTATCTGTTGACGACAGGAAAAGACAAGATAAGAGATGACAACTTACACCAAAGCCCGTGACGAACACGGTGATGGGTCTGACACTGCTATCACTATCCATGCCGTTGTTTGATATCAGCGAATTTCTTTCGGATGCTGTAGTTGTCAGAAGTTTGCAGATAAAATGGTAGGCCTAGGATGCTGGAGGCAGGTGAAGTTGGGTTCGAGTGCGGTCGAGTTCCGTAATTGCCTTTGCCTCGACAATGCGGGGCGGGGAAGGTGTGGGGCTCTTTCTCTATTGCCATATGCCATCCGTATACTAAAGTTTGTAACTTCCACCGTACTCCGACTATAGCAACGAGCAATATATAGACTATAGAAAGACACAGTTGTTTTCGGAAGTAGAGACCTGTCCACAGAGAGTCGACAAATCGTTGCTTCTCAGTGGATACTATCTTGTTTCCGATTACTATTGTGCATTTCTACAGCTATGCCTCACATACTTTCGTATACGGGGAGGGCACAAATACACACATGGCAAGGAGTAATATAGGAAGATGGTAATGGTCTATTAGTCTATGATGTAATTTGAAGATCGTGCTTATTCGATACTATCTCTCAAGACCCCTAGATAGCGGTGACGTTGTTAAGAACAGGGTACTTGGGCTGCAGAGGGTCGTAAACAGACTGGCAACGACCGTTATAGTCAGCCGTGCTGCCAATCTCAATGGCAAGCTCGTTGCCAGGAACACCAATCTTAGCAACAGTGCCGCACTTGGGCTTGACCTTCTCCCACCCGGGTCCGGCAGAGGGGTTCTTGATCCACTTGACGAACCAGTCGTTCATGGAGTCGGCGAGGGCTTGTTGGGCATCAGTAACGTTGGTGAGAGCACTGAAGCACTGGTTCCCGCCCAGCAAAAANGGTATTTCAGTGCCGTGGGTAGGGGCACCGACAATACAGCCAACAACGTTGCAATAGTCGCCAAAGAAACGCCAAGCCCAGGTGTCTTGCACACCGCTACGGAGATCGATGAGGTAGTCAACAGGGCAGAAGAAGCGCGCATCTCCGTACTGAGCACCGCTCATGGCAGACACCGAGGCATAGTCAGAAACGTTGTAAGCAGCAATGAGCTCCTCATCAGGGATATGTGCAACATCAGCATCAAAGGTGTTGATCCAAGAGCTGAAGTTGGTGTTCTCTCCACCGTAGACGAGACCGAAGATGACACCCTCACCGTCTGAGTTACTGGTCAAGAGAGGGACGTGAGAAGGATACTTGCCAGCGGCGAAGCGACCGGCGTAGTCAGAGAAACGAGTGACCTCGTCAATGATGGGCGAGAACCAGGTGTTGTATGTGCTGTTGAAACTGGTAGTCTCAATCTCGTAGATGGTCTTGTTGCGAAGACAGTCGAGCTGACCAACACCAGTACCGCAACCGACATCAGCAGCTACAATGTCAAGACCTTGGTTAAGAGGAGTGATAGCAGGACCAGACTCGGCATTAGCACTCATCTCAACAGCACCAACAAGCCACGATTGAGGGTTGTTCCAGAGATAGTGATCAACCTGAACGGAGCCGGATGAGTGGCCACCAAACACGATGTGATTAGGGTTACCACCAAAGGCAGCAATGTTCTCGTGAACCCACTCCAAAGCTTGGTGGACATCGAGAATACCAAAGTTCTGCGAACCGTCTTTGCCCAGCTCGGCCGAGTTGGGGTAAGCGAAGATGCTTTCTCTGGTGTTGAAGCTGACGAAGATGACATCCTTGCGAGCAAAGTTGTTGCCTTGGAACTGGACGTTGCTGCTGGAGCCAGTAACCATGGCACCACCATACATGTACACAAAGACCTTCGGGAGGTTAGAGAAGGTTTGATATAAACACTAGGGATGAGTACTCACAGGAAGGTTCTTGCCAGTAGCATTGGCAGGAGCCCAGACATTAAGGTTCAAGCAATCTTCATCTTGACGACTGTAGGGAGTGTTGCTGATTGCCTGAGGGCAGGTTGGTCCATAGGCAGTAGCATTGACAACCTGTCCTGGCATGAGCTTGCCCTTGGGAATAGGTGCCTTCCATCTATGAAATTTGTGTCAGCCATGGTTCTTGAACTGAGTATGACATGCTGAAAAGAAGCCGTTACGACCGTTGCATGATATGCTATCAACGTACCTGTTCTGGCCACCAGTCGTCTCGGCAAAGGGAATGCCCAANAAGACGGAGTTGTTGCTGGCATCCGCAAAACCCTGAACGATACCCGCATCAAGCTTGACAGCATGAGGACCTGCAGCAGGTCCAGCGGGAGGGGCTGGACGACCTGCAGGCGGCGCTGGTGGCGGATGAGGTCCACGACTCGCAGGACCAGCAGGTGGACCAGGTGGACCAGGGGGGCCAGGAGGACCTGGAGGACCTGGAGGCGCTGCGTCCCTGCACACGGCAGCAGCTGTCACACAGGGAACAGCCAAGGCTGCGTTCAACACATAACCGAGTCTCATCCTTGTTTTGTGAATAATAGGGTTAAAGGAAGGACAGTAGAAGTCAAGTCGAGACGACAGGGACGAATGGGCGAAAACGTAGCTACAAAGGAGCAAGATCTGCTTTTATTCTTCTCACGCACCCACGCGAGAAGGACCCATGTTCCTGCAGATCATTGTTCTTTGATGAAACCACGTGAGATCGAGACTGGCCAAAGGTCAGGAAAGGGTCCATGCCGCAGCAATCTCTCCCAACTTTTTAACCATAGGGCAGTGCATATTGTAGGGTAGCATTCGGCAATCTCATCCCGAGTTAACCTGCCCGTGTGCTAAAGTCTGAGATTTTCTCGACTTGGACCTGCCTTTACAGAATCGTCACAAGTCATGGGTTCACGCAGTGATTCGAACCCGGTGACGTTCAACAGAGATTTGTGGAGCCAATGTCTCTCCGTCGAGATCGCTTGGATTTGGAAGAATGTCGTGCTTTTTAGATGTTGCAGCCACGGTGGGGAGCATGCGAGTAAGAAGCCTCTGATCCCCTGAACAAGCGTCCAGACGCGGCGCAATTGTCGTCCCGAACTTTCGCAAGAACAGTGTCATTTGATGCGAGTCATGGGTTTGGCAACCACGCTACCATGCCGCTGCCCGTTGAAGCTTATACGCGATGCCGCACTTCGCCATGCTGGTACGAAAAGGCTAAACCATGAAACCCAAACGATCAAACTGCGAATCCGAAGCGTGGATGCCGAGGTTTCGCATATTCGCTTCGAACAGGCAAACAAATACCGTGTTCAAGACTCACGGCACCATACTGCCGCGAGATGACTCGATGCCATCTTGAATAGCAGTCATGGCGCTTTAGTAACTGCACTGCCGTTGACTGCGTTATGATGTGCGTTGTCGCGCAAGCTCGGTGAACGTTGCCAGGTTCTCGAAAGTTGTAGACACGAGCGCCTCTCCCGGCAACTTGAAACTTCGTGTTCGACACTCAGTTTTCAAGCATAAACTCTACCTGCAAGCTTCATGGTATGCAGACGTCCATTGGTTGCGAGGATAAATGATGAAGAAAGGTTGATAACAAGATAATCCAGCCATTTATGCTATTATTGCTTGTGGAGACGGCAATGAGACCCCTCCACTAGACTAGAGTCTAGAGGAAATACCGTGGTAGGTCTGACCACAGCTACAATAAACACTTCGTCCGTGCTCCTCCTCTACATCGGATCTGATCCCGCGCTTCTGGCAGAAGGAACCACTTGGCACCTTACGAAAATTCGCAATCGTTTTCTTTTCCAGCTGGTTCCCGAGTCCCGATGGGCGAACAGGTTTGTCGTCGACCCACAGTCCAGTCTAATCGGCGAGCAGTTTTTCACTTGTGTGACTTTACCCTTGAACCTTTGGATGTTCATGCAGCCAGGGAAACAGTAAATGGTAGAGTCATGCATGCTTTGGCTTTGATCGAGCTTGCCTCTCGTGTTGCCTTCTTCTGGAAGACAACGTGGAGTCGTTCTGGCTGTTATCTTACGCCCGTATAGCTTGTTGATCCATCGTGTCAAAGCCATTCCAGGATGGCTGCCCACTAGTATGTAGATCTCAAGCCCTACTGCAAGCCTCCATGCAACCGTAATGTGAGAGGAAGAACATAAGAAGTGCATTGTTCCACACGGCTGGGATTCTCGTCAACTGCTCTGGTGCGTGCTTGCTGTATATTTTTCTTGTCTCTCGCTTGCACCCCTGCTCGCACTGTGGATTTATCGAAGATCTTTCATGTAGATTGATTACTTCGACTCCAAACGCAGCCATGCCAGTTTCGTCGGTGGGCCAGGTTGTACGTGCTTCTCTTCATCCCGGATCTGCGCTGTCACGATTGCTCATCACTACTATAACAGATCTCATGGTACATTTGCACCATCATACCATGCTTCTTCCTGTTCCTGCGTCTGTTCAGTAAATGGCAGCGTTTCGGTCGACTCACCCTGGATGATTACTTCCTCATCCTCGCGGCATCATGCCTCATTGGTGATTGTGCTATTCAGCAGCATATGTAAGCCTTTTGCTCTCCTACATTCGGGATCATCGCGAGTTGGTTATCTAACAGCTGTTAGGNNTGGAATCTCGGCATGGCAGACCTGGCAAATGTGAGCCAAGAAGAATTCATCGGTATCATGCAGATGATTGTTCCTGGTTCAGTCCTCTACGTCTCGTCCCTCTGGTCCATCAAAGTCGCCCTCGTCCTCTTCTACAAGAAACTCGCCGCACCGGGCTCGAAGATGCAGATTGCATACAACTTTGCCCTGGCTGGGTTGGCCGTCACTTTCACCACCATTTTCTTCGACATCTTGTTCCAATGCTACCCATATGATAAGAGATGGTCTCACGACCCCAAATATCAATGCAGTGCGAAAGCCTCGAGAATCAACTACTGGATCACTATTCTTTTCAACATATTCTCCGATGTCACAATCATTTGTCTTCCCATTACTATGGTCATGAAGCTTCAGATGAAGCTCAAGCAAAGACTGGCCGTTGCTTTCATCTTCGCCTTGGGTGGATTCGTCTTGATCGCTAGCAGTAAGTTTTGTTGTCCGAAGAAGCCGAATTCTGCAGGTACTGACAACCAAAAAGTTGTCCGAGCCATCTATTCCTGGCAAAATGAGACAATGTTGACTTGCACCGTGTCTATGGTCGAGAACGGCGTTGCGATCATCGGTGCCTGTCTCCCAGCGCTCCGTGCCTTCTTCCTTGGTCAACCCTCCACAAAAGGCAACAGCAGCTACGCAAAGCAATACGAACTCTCCTCGAACCAACGAAGAAACAACCAAAGCCGCAACACCACAAACTTCTCATCTTCCGCAAGTAGAGCAGGCAGAAGCCACTCGGTCGACTCGGACGAAGAGCTTGTGAGAAACATGCAAGCCCATGGTCAAGCACAGCCATACGTTTCCGCCCAGTCGAGCCTGTCGGATGACAAGAGTCATGGCATAATGGTCGCTACAACGGTTGATGTTGACCACAAGGATCAGGACAGCGTGAGCTCAATCCATAATCCCTTCGAAGCTAGTCGCGTCTAGACATTTCCTTTGTCATGCAATGTATACCAAGATCCTCATGCACGCTCAGACCTCGAAGAATGACTCGCAAATTCGATAAGGTGGCGTGATCGAGAATTATCAATTACCCCATGACATCCACTGCTCAGTCCCAAAACTCTGATCGGTAAAGAAAAGATAATCTTCCGGTACTTCCATAGAGTAGGAAAGGGTGTTCAAAATCTCGGGGCTCAAATAGTTTGACCCCGTCATATCGGAAGGATAACTGGCAGGTGGATCTTGAAGCGAAAATTCGGCTCCTCTGTTGCTAGTGAGCTGCGTCGACTGGTGTTGCTGCCCGCTCCTAGCAGATTTGCGAGCTACGTGGATTCTTCCAATCATAGGGAGGAGCAGACTGGCTTTTTGTGGCTCGGCGGAATTGGGCTGCTCAATCAAAGACCGCAAACTCTTGATGGCTTCCAGTCCATGCAAAGCAGACTGACTCCCAGTGCGGCTTGAAGCTCGTTCCATAGCCTGAACAGCTTCATCAACCAGAGAGTGGGTCTGCTGAGGAGTCATGATATGCTGGGAAGCCGCTGTGGCTTTGTTTGCAGATAGCATTAGGAATACCATGGCCGAGAACGCTTGAAGGTCGATGATGGAATTTGCAAANAAGCCTGCCGGTAGAAGAGGTCGCAGTGAGACATACCGCTTGGTATGCTCTTGGCAGGCACTCAAGCAGGAGATGAAGTTGTAGAGAAATCTCTGGTCATGATCATAGGCAAGCGCCAGTCGGAGATGAGTGCGTATGACCAAGTAGGAATACCAATGTTGGAACAAGGCTGCCGGAGACAAAGACGATGGGGATTCTACCCACCACGATTGCATTGGGGCTTTGGCCACTTCCTGTAGTTCTTGGTCAGTAGACATGACAGCACTCAGCAAGTCTGGCACGGGTTTGTCCTGCATATACACGCCATCGAGCTCTAGGACCTTGCTGGCAATGTTGGCGAGTCTATGAATAAATGCCTGCAAGATGACTTCGCCTTGACTGTCGACGATTGACCGTACAGGAAGCGGGAAGCTAGAGGTAGCCACAGGGAGAGACCACATCATCGAGATAATTCGATCTATTGCACAGATAGACTCCCAAACTTCGGCCTTCTCTTGTTGATCAACTTGGGCATCTTCACGGTATTGTTCATTTTGGACGTGATCTGGTCGAGATTGAGGCTCTGCATTGAGTTGTAAACTTATTGCAGCTCTCGGCAAGCCGATGAGTTCGGCGACGGCAATGACTCGCCGAAGAGTGAGCCACGTCTTTCTTACCCTTGCTCGGCCGAGTTGGCTATTTTGGGAAATATGGTTACATATTCGTCATGAATAAAGTCGCATGTAGAGGCCAGGGAAAACCGGGTAAATCACTTACAGTCGTATGAATAGCATGCCACATCGAATTCCCTCAAGATCCGCAAGTAGATCATCGTTCGAGATCACAACCTTCTCCACAAGATTGGAAACGTCCTTGATGAAGGCAGCCGAGTCAGGTATACTTGGCAGCATACTCGTCGCGTCTGGAGCCTGTTGGACAGTCAAAGCCACAGCTAGCAAAAGCGTGGCGATGGGCACTGGATGCGTTACGGATCGTTTGACCATGTCATAGTTCTCCAGCATCACAGAACCAGCACCCATGGCAAGATTTAGAGAAAATAGGACTTTGTACCATGAGAGCCAGGACGAAGAGTTTGCGGCGATGGTGACCATGTCCTCACGCGATGGTAGTAGTTCTAGTAGAGCAGCCGATTCCTTGGACATGGTGGAAGTGGAAATCCGAGTGGAGGGCGTCGTGGTCTCATGTCCATTTGAGTCTAGCAGGTCATTGTCGAGAAGACGAAGCAGATGTGTTGGTGGATGCGCCGGTGATGAGGGATTGGAGGAATCAGGACTTTGTTGGTTATCGAGACGGCCGATAGTAGGCCGACTATCTGAACGCGACCCAGCTGAACGAACCGGAGGACTCTGGCCGATGGCATTCCACAAGTCATTCACTGCCTTCTCTAAGGCGTCGATGCGGGCTCGAGAAGTCAACTTGGTCTCAGCAGTCTGGATGACCTCAAGCTGCAGTTCACATGTGCGGTTTCTGGTCGCGCAGCTTTGACAGACTTGAGCATTGTCGGACGGCCAGATACACCGAATTTTTCGATGTCGACATTCTTGACAACTTCTGGTGCCCTTTCGGACGCGTTTTGCAGGTGGTTCTTCCGACATGTTGATTGTCGCAAATCGAGAACAAAACGCGTCCGCGCAAGAGCTATCAGTGACAGCTGCCTCTTCGGACAGCGGACCAATTCGAGTCCGCTTGCAGTGTCAACCCCGCCGAAATTCGCTCCTGCCTCGATGCCTTTGTGTGTGAACCGGACCATCCATCCTTCTCCAATCTCTCGAAATTTAACTATGCGAGAACTCTGGAGGATCAACTAGAAAAAGAATTTGCGCGGAGAGGAGGCTTTGTTTGACCCCCTGTTCTGAACTTGATGCAGCTCAAAAGACTTGACGACTCCGGTTCGTGAGCGCAAATTCTCCTGAGCTTCGTCCGAAACGGATCCGAACTCACTTCGCTCGCTCCAAGTATTCAAAATCCGTTTGACACAATATCTATACCACTGCTGTGGTGACATTCACTTAAATAAGATACGTTGGGAGCACAAAATGACCAAAACATCCACTCTCGGTCGTACAGACTGTCACCGACCATCTCACTATCACTCACCTAGATTCTGATCACCGTTCACAAAGTACAACTCACAGCTTCTACCATTGGTCCATATTTGACACATCCCAAAAGCATGTCTTCATCCTACGAGACTCAATTTCTCCAGCATGGAGTATGTAGCTGACCTTCCTCCATTTATTCTCGAGAATATCACTAACGGACGCAGCCCCTTACGCACCCACAACTGCCGCGGTCGGAGGTCGACCAACCGTCGACACAGATATGCCAGCGATCTCCGTCTTCCTGCTGCTCTACATCGGTGGTGCGATCTCTAACATGACGATCTTTCAGATGAACAGACGCAAAGGGCACAAATTTTTAGCCTCTTGGGCAATGTTCGGCTTCTGCATGGCTCGCATTGTGAGCTGTGTTTTGCGAATTGCATGGACGACCAGAATCCAGAACGCTCGCCTCGCCATCGCTGCATCCATATTCTTGAATATCGGTGTCATGGTTGTTTACGTGGTTGTTCTGGTCCTGGCGAGCCGCGTTCTCAGAGCCACTCAACCACGACTTGGCTGGAATCTTATTTTGAGGAAAGCGATTAGGGTTTCTTACGTTGGCATCATTGTCGTCGTCATCCTGCTAGTCGGCTTCATTATCGCATCTGTCGAGACTCTTGACCACGGCGTCAGAACAGCATCTCTCTGGATCCAACGAGCATCGAACCTTTACCTGCTCCTCCTCAACTGCATTGCACCAATTTTTCTCCTTCTCTCATGCCTCCTTCCAACAGATCCCGAGAGCGAGAACTTTGGTTCTTGCAGCATGCGCACCAAACAAATCATCCTTACTTTCGCCAGTTTCTTTTGCCTCTTTATCTCTGGTTTCCGCTGCGGAACCATCTGGGCTACACCAAGACCAGCATCAGATCCTGCCTGGTATGACCACAGGGCCCTCTTCTACATTGTTCTGCTAGGTCTTGAGATTGTGGTCATCTACCTCTTCATCTTCACTCGCTTTGACCAAAAGTTCTGGGTTCCGAATGGTAGTGAATGTCCAGGAGATTACTCGGGAAGAAACGAAAAGGGGAAGGACGTTGCTGATAAGAAAGCAGCATTCGATTCAGACGTACAATCCGTGTAAAATTATTGACCCGAGCAGTAATTAAAGGATTCATAGAAATGTTAATAATTATGTACTTGTTTCGACTGTGTCCTGATGGTATCGGAAGCGGATTGAAGCTTTCGCGTTGCCGATCGGGAGGTTCACGTTGCCAACACAATAAGCGTCACAAATTTCATCTCTTTTCCTGTTTCCAATTCCAAAAGAACAATCAATAAGATATTGTCAGAGTCATAAGTCATACTAGTATGCAGGATCATCGTTCAAAATCCAAGGTCGGAAGTGGTGACATCTTCAGTGAAATGTTTCTCTCGCTTTGTACTGGTGAACCACAAAAACCACGGCACGACAAAGCACTTGATCTTGTGACCAAGCCAGCCAGCATCCTGGACAGTCTTTACAACTGCTCCCGATTCCTTGAAGGCGGCGTTGATACGGTCCCTGCGAAGTCTCTCGTACGCTGCGAATGCATCGCTGAAGCTTCCGGTTCCGAGTTCTTGTTGCCTTGCCAGACATCTTGCAAAGAGTACGGTGTCTTCGAGCACGATGCCTGTGGCTTCGCCTTGAGGCGGCATGGCATGAGCTGCGTCACCTAAGAGCATGGTGCGTTGTGTTGCCCAGCGGCCCTCAGGCGGTAGAGTGAAGATGGGCCACATGAACCAATCCTCGGCCGTGTCGATCAGAGCCTTGAGGTCGTCAAACACCACATCGTCAGTAGCGAATCTCTCTCGCATGTCTTGTTTCGTGAGCTCCTGATCGGCGCCGCGAACTTTCCAGCCATCTCTAGAAGCAATTTCTGGCACCTGCAGCACACCACCCACATAGACCGAAGTCTTTGTTGGTTCGTAGAAGCTCGACAGCATCATTCCACGGCGAGCAAAATTGATCGCTGTCCTTTCGAAGTGCAATTGGCTGGGATCTTGAATCTTGGGGTTGTCCTTGTTGAGAGGTGCAAAGCCGAAAGCGTTCGCAATACCAGAGTAGATCTCCTTTCGCTCAGGCTCGACATGCTTTAGTCGTGTGACACTGTGGATGCCGTCACAACCAACAAGCATGTCTCCATGAGCAGTAGTTCCGTCCTCGAAAGTCAGTGTGACGCCTTTCTCGTCGTCCTCGTCGATTTTAGCGGTCTTCTTTCCGCAGGTGAATTCAACGTTCGGGCACTTCTCGACGGCTTCGACAAGAGCTTTCATGACATCTGCACGAGTCACTCGTAGAGCCTTGNNATATGTGATTAGCATATCTTATGGTCATGTTGCACCAGCAAAACGCACCTTGTACGGCGGGTCTCCAAGGCCTTTGCCTTCCGGTCCTCTGAAGCTTGACTCTCCTAACTGTACGGGTTGATACACGCTGAAGATTTCGATGCAATCAATCTCCATGCCGTAGTCGTTCTGTCGCATAATCGGCAGAACATCCAAGCGATCGAGCAGTCTGAGTGCGTTAGGTGTCAGGTTGACCGCTCCGCCAATGACACCGGGCTTGGGACGAATCTCAAAGACTCGAATTTTTGGCGGTGCTGTTGCAGGTGAGAATTTGGCTAGGGCCATAGCAGCCGTGAGGCCNTGGAAAATAGGCGTAAGCATTTAATCGTCATCAATGCTCCATAAGATCTGACCTGCCACGCCTCCACCAAGAATCAAGATCTCAAGAGGAGTTTCATTTGAGAGAGACATTTTTACTCATGTGCTCAGGGAAGGAGCAATGCGGCATTCTTGGCTTGGGCTTTATATATATGCCGTTGCTGCGTCGTCAGCACGATACAAAGCGCCTCAATTGTTCCTGCTTGCAGATCTCGGGAACATATCCCGCAAATGTGGACTTCACGATACACCAGTGAGCCCCGACCAAGATCGTAACGATTGCATCGGATTTTTTCGACTTTCTGTGCTTCCATAGAAGGTCGAGGCCCACTCCTTCTAACTGCTCGGTCACGCAGGTCTACCACATCTCTGCGACGCTGCAACGTGAGATTCGCACCCTACAAAGCGTCCAATTCCCAGGCACAGATGGAGATATTCTCAGAGGGAGGTGTCTTGTGTATTGTAGCAAAGTATCTTTCCCGAAGTCGATCGCCGTTGCTTTTCGGAGGTTTGTTCGGCAAGCGTTGTGGTTGGTCGACGGGCGGACTTCGCGAAAAAGCCGATAGTCGCGCCCGCCGCTTTGAGACCACCCTCCAGCTCTTTCTACAACTATCAGCCAGTCAACATGGATGAGTTCAGCTTGACAGCCAGCTAGCTCAAAGCGTTCCACCCGTCTCTATTTGCCTGTTGATTCCTATGCCTGGACTTGTTTTGTATGAGCATGGTGACGTCCGCCATGTCCTGCGGCGAGAGCAGGGGTGTCAATACTCGCACACCCCAAGGTTCTGCTCAGGGTACTTTCTCAATGCTTGTCAAGACTTGGTACTATTTCCATACATCTAGGCCTCACCACACGGAAAGACGTACTGCTCTCGTGACTTTCGAACATGGATCTAATTCTTGCAACTTTGGTATACACTATGCAGCTTACTTACAGATCGATATTCCCCTCTTCCGACCTGCATGTTACCTAGCCACCGAGCGGATTAGTCCTCAACAAAAGCCATCCAGGATTCTCAGACTCTTTTGGTTTAGCAATAGCTGAGGGGGCTGAATCGATGATCTTTGTGGGTTCTAAGGATGCAGGCCAAAGTCTAATTCTTGCGTGTATATTAACAGGCATCCCTCCTCATTCTGCGTTGTCAGAGACGTATCTGAGTACCTTACATACTACACAACTTTTACCTACTGCAACATGCGTAACTTTGTTCTTGCAGCTCTCGTGGCTCTTGCAGCAGCCCAGCCTCCTTTCGAGCATCCTAACTGGGCATCGCACCCTGATTGGGCATCTCATCCTTCCCCTACCGATGCTCCTGCCCCGTACCACCCCAATGGTGCTCCATGCATCTCGGCCCCAGATGCTTCTTTGATCGCTACAAGCTTCGGTTTGACCATCTCCAACTATACCGAAGCTCTAGCGGTTCAGCTGTTCACCAACAACTTTACCGATCAGTCTGACAGTGTCAACACTTTGATCCACGAACCCGGTTTGACAGCTCAAGATGTAAGTCAGGTACAAACTAAGTCCGATTCATACACAACGCTAACATCATGACCAAAGCTCGGCTCCTTGACTTTCACATCAAAGGCTGAATTCCTTGCCGGCCAGGGGGCTCAACCACCTGTTCCATTCAAGATTTTGAACCTTTGGAACACTTGCAACACAGTCATCATTCGTTGGCTGTCCGCTCAAACTCCTCTACCCGTCCAGGGTATCAGCATCGCTACCGTTGTTCCAGCAATCGAGGGACAGGGTGGTGGCTTCGGCGTCGGTTCTCAGAAATGGCAGATCTCTGCTATCGTTGCTGAGTTCAACTCTGGAGCTTGGTTGGGCAACCTCGGATACCCAGAGTGTAAGGTTGTGGCTAATGCCACAGTTTCTTGATTCTCATCAAGAGAGTGTTTACCACCAACGTCGCTTGCACCAGTAGTTGGATGAGATTGAGTCAAGACCAGCGAACATGCAGTTTTGCGGCTTTCAGCGAGGCAATCTAATATCTTCCAGCACATACTTGATGTTTTATACTTTTGACGTTCACACTGCCAGATTTCGTGTTAACGTGTCATACACCTGTTGATCTGAGCCCTCGTGCTGCTTCAGTTACGCTCAGCTCTGCATGCAATTACTAGCTTGACCGTGTTGCAAAACAGTCACAAATTCCTAGTCATTTCTCCGACGGAATACTAAAGGAGGAGAAGAAGCGAACTTATGCATTTTATGTTATCGTTGTTTACAAATCCTAACAGCGCTTCTGAAAATCATAACCTACGGTGCCCATTGTCGCTTATTGCCAAACCATCTCACTACGTACACCAATGCCAGGAGCACAGGAACTTCGATCAGAGGACCCACCGTTGCGGCCAGGGCTTGATCACTGTTGGCTCCGTATGTGGCCACAGCAACAGCAATAGCTAACTCAAAGTTATTGCTTGCAGCAGTGAAGCTTTGTGTGGAACCAAGTCGGTAGCCAAAACCCAGCTTATGAGTGACCCATAGTGTGAAGCCAAAGATGGTGATGAAGTAGACAATCAATGGGGCAGCAACACGGACAACAGAGACAATCTGATGTACAACACGGTGGCCTTGTGATGCGAATAGGACGATGATGGTATAGATGAGGCCGATGAGTGACCATGGCGCAACCCATTTGAGGAACACTCGATCGTACCAATCGTTCTTCGTGATTGCACGCAGTACGATGCGGGTAAGGATAGCGGCACCCAATGGGATACCGAGGAAGGCGGCTACGCTGGTCGAAACGGTCGAGTATGAGGGCGAAATACCACTCGAGGAATGGCTGATGACGTTGATAAAGAGGATGGCAAGAGGTGCGTAAAGAACGATCTGAAGTATGGAGTTGATGGCAACGAGAATAGCACAGTACTCGTTGTCACCACCAGCAAGTCCGGTCCAAATCAGCACCTAACGATCGTTAGTGAGATGCGAATGTATAACAAAGTCGCAACATACCATGGCAATACATCTGGCAAGGCCAACGAGGATCAGTCCCTCTCGAAGTTCGCTCCTATCTGGCAAAAACGCCCAGGAGAGAGCAAGNCTGTTCGAACGATGAGTTCTCTGACGGAGCTAGATGCAAACATCGTGACCTACCATGAGGAAGGGGGCGACGATCCAGTTCATCACGATCGAGAACCCAATCTGTATCCAGAGCTTTTTCTCCTTGAAAGCGAGATGCAGGGTTTCGTACTTGACCTTGCACAAGATGGGATACATCATGACGAGCAGACCGATAGCNTGTAGACGGGAGATGTCAGCTTGAGCACTCCAGTAGACTCGAATATAGCATATATCCTTACCAACGGGAACCGACACATGCACGAATTGACCTTTCTCTAGAGCTGGACCAGTTTCTGGCACAAAGTTACCCAGTAGAATTCCTATCGCCATAGCAAGGATGATCCATAGCGCGAGAAACCTATCCAGCATGCCCAAACTCTTGAAAGCGGAGATCTTCTCTGTATTTTCGATATCTTTAACTTTNTGTGCTTCGACGTCGATAGTATGATGTTGCGTGAAGGCGTGCGTGTCGATAGGACATGATGGTGGTCGATCAATGCCCATTGTCGATTGTGTTTCGTTAGAAAGGTGTATGATCGAAGAGGACTCTTTGGCTGCGACGTTTGAAATTATACTGCAATGTGTGAGGATATTGATACAATAAGGGTAGCATACTACAGTACGACTGTTAGCCATTCTAACAGCATAAATAGATGTAGATTATCACCTTGCATCAACCAATCCGACGAATGATCTGGGAGCAGTGACATTCGCTTCAGCATCATACTCGGACAACATGATTGGCTGTGTCCAGCCTCACGACAAGATCGCTTGTAGGGACGAGCTTGGCGATTTCATGACAAGAACATACGATATTGCTGACTGATGGTGACATACGATAAAAATGTCACCTGCGACGTATCACTGGCAAGTTGAGCAGAGCAGAGCCCTCAAGCACGCAACGTGCTTTTTCGATTGGATGGCATAAGAGTCGTCTGTAGTAGCATTCCGAACCACGCAATCCGCCTGAAGGAATTACAGCTGTATGCAACACGTTCGTTGCTTCCCACGCTACTTCACCAGTAGTCTTTCTGGATCAGTCACACACCGCGCAGCATCCGTCTCAAGAAACCCGAAGATCTCATTCTCGAGAGCAATGGCCAGCATGAACAACAACGAAGCACAACAAGAGGCTCCATGGTACGAGGCATATCCTGCACCAAAGTCTGAAGCAGCGGGGATCTCCCAATCCGAACTTCTTGCCATGCTTGAAGATGGCAAAGAGGCCGGAAAAGACTTTGTTCTGGTCGATCTGCGAAGAAACGACCATGCAGTAAGTGTTGTGTAAACGGATGGACGCAGATGATTGACGGCTCATTTCCCAGNNGGCGGCACTATCACGGGCTCCTTGAATCTGCCCGCGCAGAGTTTACATCCTTCTATTCCGACCTTGTACAAGCTGTTCAAGGCTGCAGGTATCCCCAAGGTCATTTGGTATTGCAGTATGTGACACAGCCCATTGTGTCTAAATTTCGGCGACCCGTCTGACTGGCTCAAAGGCTCTTCTAAGGGACGCGGAAGCCGTGCTGCTTCATGGTTCGCAGATTATGTGGCCGAGCATGATAAAAGCGACTGTCCCATCAAGAGTGTTGCACTTGTACAGGGTATAAAGGGATGGGTAGCAGCAGGTCCCGATTTCACCAGTAGAGTCAGCGAGTTTGAGGCCGGATTGTGGAAGAAGTGATACGCAAGAATACAATCAATCAAATTCAGAGTGAACAGGAGGTCCAGTTAGTTGTCAATCGATCTTCTTTTGGGTCGACTCCTTTGGCCTGATATTGTAACAATCGCCCGAATCACAAGAAGGCTCGATGTCACAGAGACCGGAACAAGCACCCGAAGGATTGTTACGCACGAATTGAAATCTGATACGAGTATGTCATCACTGATGATCAGATACGAAGCACTCCTGCCCTAATGCGGGTAGTCGCCGACCAAAGATCGATGAGACAGGGGGCTTGGCAGTGACATTCCACCACGTTCGGTTATAAACTTTAATCGCCCGACCATCGAGTGCTTTTACTCTCGGCACTCAAGGCAAGAGACAGACGAGCTGTTCATCCTGGTTCCAGAGGGGCGATGTTGACGTTGACTAGCAGATCATCAACAGCAAGAAATACCTTTGCTTTATATCGTCCAACTGTTACTTTCTCAGACCTTCTGACAATCTCGACGAAGACAATATCATCCAAGTCACGACCATCAACCCCATTTCTGTTCTCGTCTTCGCGACGACTGTCTTCCAAAATGGCAAACTTCAGGATTCACGGCGATCTCAACAACACAGAAGCGATGCGAGAAACACATTATCTGGAGCCGGACCCGACGTATGCAGGAAGATCTTTAGCGATTGCAGAACAAGACGATGATGCCGACATCAGANAAAAGTACCGATCCTTTGTCACGAGCGATGAAGTGGCCAGAAGTGACTGGATCTCTCAATCTGAAGTCAGCACTGCTCTGAAGATGTCGGAGAAGGATATGAAGGACACCAATGGGGACAGGATCAAGATTCTAGTTCTGTATGGTAGCATGCGCGAAAGGTTAGTGCTTGACGATGTGAATCATGTAGCTTCGACGCTGATGAGAATGATCAGGTCATATTCTCGCTTGTTGGCGTTCGAGTGCTCGAGGATACTGTCCAGACTCGGTGCCGACGTACGCGTCTACGATCCCACCGGTCTGCCGGTCAAAGACGACGTTCAGCATCAACACCCTAAAGTGCAGGAACTTCGAGATCTCAGTAAATGGAGCGACGGCCACGTCTGGGTCTCTCCGGAACAACACGGCAATCTTGTATGCGTGCTTCCCTCATCCACTCATGCGACGAAACATAGAGCTAATAACAGCAACAGANCTGCCGTTTTCAAGAATCAGATCGACTGGATTCCACTTAGCACTGGTTCTGTACGGCCAACTCAGGGCCGCACATTAGCCATTGCTCAAGTCTCCGGTGGATCCCAGTCCTTTAACACTGTCAATTCCTTACGCATTCTGGGTCGTTGGATGCGTATGTTCGCTATCCCTAACCAGTCTTCTATCCCTATGGCATATACGCAATTCACCGATGCGATAGATCCGAACGACGACCCCGAAACCTTCGTACGGGCAGAGGGAGGAAGCAGACTTAAGCCTTCTGGTAACAGAGATCGAGTGGTGGATGTCATGGAAGAGCTATTCAAGTATACGATGGTGATGCGCCGCCATTTTGACCTCTTCGGTGACCGCCACAGCGAACGAAAAGAGAAAGAGGCAAAGCGCCTAAGGGACATCGAGACCACCAAGAAAGAGGAGAAGGCTGGCCAGGAGGGCAATGCCAAGAGCATGGTCACAGCGAATACTGTGAACGGTATCGACGTCAACGGCATCTAGACAAGAGAATTCGAGTGGTGATCCTCGACTTTCAATGCTTTGGATCGTTGGTCACTCGGGAGACTTCCACGTGCTGGGTCTTCTCGCCTTCAAAGTCTTTGGCTGGAGGCATATCATAGGCGCCTTCTTCGTCGTCCACTTTCTTGTTCACTTCAGTGACGCCGAAGAGCTCATCCATCTTTTCGAGTGATAGACCTTTGGTCTCAGGGATANNCTGTGTACGGATAGGCTTGTCAGTCATATTTCTTCGTGATGAATCATTGTGTAGACTAGACACTTACAAGAACCACGCGAAGAAGAAAGACAGAAAACATGCTGCGGCGAANAAGAGGAAGGTACCATAACCTGCTTTTCCCATCGTGGCGAGCATGTTTGGCACTGCACGGGCGACTACGAGATTGAAAAGCNNTGAAACCAAGCGTTAGTCTTGGGGACGCAGCTGAGTAACGGGGTCACATACCCATTGAGTTGCAGCACCTAAAGCAACATTGACACCACGCAATCTAGCAGTAGGGATCTCAGAGACGTAGATCCACGGAACCGGACCCCAGCCACATTGGAAGAAGCCTGCGAAGAGGTAGATACAGACCAGTGCCATGTAGCCTGCTCCTGGGATGTCGGCGCCTTTGACCGGGGGCTTGATACGGACATAGAGGCCGACATAGAGCATGGCACAGCCCATAGCGATTGACGTCCACAGCAGAGATTTACGACGACCAAGCGAGTCGGCGGCGAAAAGGAGGAAACAGGCGCATAGGGTCATTTTGACNCTGAACAAAAAAACAATCAGTTCTTTTTATCTTATGACTTGCAAATTGGCGTTACTCACTACACCATAGATACCGGTAGCGAACAATCCAGCATCTGTACTAGACAGACCTAGGTTCTGGAAGATTTGTGGAGAGCTANNTGAGAGAGGATTTGGGTCAGCCAGTGCCTCGGAAATAATTTATATAGGTGATACTCTATCAAAGTGGGTACACAGAAAAATGATATGTACTTACTAGTAGTTGATAGCGTTTGTGCCGGTCATCTGCTGGGTGATCATGAGCCACATCGTGATGATGGCTCTCTTCCTGTTTCCAGGGATAGTCCACATCTCCTTCATCAAGTCCATGAAGGAGGCTCCACCGATCAAGGCTCTCTCGTGATCAAGTTGCTCCTGCATCTCGCGAAGTTCCATCTGTACGTAAGGATGTGAAGAGGGAAGAGCTCTGACGTTCGACAGAACTGCGGAGGCTTCATCCCAGCGATCCTTGCGTGCTAGCCATCTGGGTGATTCTTTGCAGTAGAACATTGAGCCAAATAGCAGGACTGCCGGAAGAGCTTGCATGGTCAGAGGCACGATGTAAGTTGTCGCTCCGGTCAAGTGTCTGTTCGCGCCATAGTTGATNCAGAATAAGACGTCAGTACTTCGACTCCTAGGTTTCAAAAAGAGACTCACCCAAAAAGCAAGCATGGTACCGGTAGCGATGAAGAGCTGATAGATACCAGTAAGACCACCGCGAATAGCTCGAGGTGCGTTTTCGGAGATATAAAGTGGTGTGACCATGGATGCTTTGCCAACTCCAAATCCAGCGATCAGACGTCCAACATACATCAGAGCAATGTGTCCATCAGCGGCTGCTTGAAAGACGCAACCAATTGTGACAACCACAGCAGCAATGAGAAGAGCCATGCGCCTGCCTAAGCGATCGGCAACGTATGAAGCGATGAGAGCACCTGCAAAGCAGCCGCATTGTAAGGTTGAGACGATATTCGCTTGAAGATCAGCTCTCTGGATAGTTGAGAGATCATCAAGACCATATTTNGCTGCACCAGACGTTAACGATTCAACGCGTCCAATGATAACACAATCTTATACTCACGTCTTAAACGCCGGAAGAGTGAGAACGCCGCCGATGATTCCTGAATCTACACCAAATAGCATACCGCCGAAGCACGCNCTGATGTTGTTGGTCTCAACTCGATGCCTGTCGACGACGGGATATCTTACCGAAAAGGCCAGGAAATAGACCTTCCAGCCGTAAATCTCAGGAGGATCCTCTTTCATCGCGTCATTCTTGACGATTTTCTGGAGCAGACCCATCTCGAAGGTTGCCGGAAAACGGTATAGTGTTAATTCAAAGGACTAGCCGATAGACTGAACAAAACCAGATGTCCAAGGATCGGACATGCCCTCATATATCAGTCGCCAATAGATCGTTGGATGCGTGCACAACGCCGCCCTGCACTCATTCGTGGACATTGTCGACGATACTTGGCCCGTCTGGGCAGTTCTGGGCAGTCACGACTTCACGAAAGAAGTCTTGAACCATCGCAGACAAGTCGAAGAAAAGAGAGGTATAGAAGAGTCTGGGGTACATTAGCGCGTCGTGGGGGCGGTTGTGGTCCGTGTGAGGGAGTGGGGTGATGCTTGGGGAAGCCCACCGGGTGAAACCTGCGGCAACGGCCAAGCAGTTCAGGCTAAACTTGCAGCACAACAGATCGTCATCTGATGCTTCCTGATCAGAGTTCTGTATCGGGGTATCCGGGCAAAGAACAAGCGGGGACGGAAAAATTACCATTCTGACAATAAGAACAACACACTCCTAAGATCTTCTTGTACAAACCAAGTGCCTTCTCTCACCAAGATGTCTACAGCTCAAGCCGCAAACAAGAATCGCCCTTTCCCGCTGCATCCGTTGTCGCAGAACCCGTTGGTTACACGCGATGACTTCGCCGCAGCCTGCGCTTCATTGTTAGACCCTCTGGAAGCAGGATTCAGTCCAGAGAGAGCGTTGGTCAGAATTGGAGGTTCTGGAACAAGATGTGAGTATCAGATAAATTTTCCGGTGGTCAAAAATGGCAGAAAGACGGGTCTGTCAAGGTGTAAGAAGTGTACATGGCCAAGCTGGTAATAAGAGCTTGTGTGTGTATATCACCAATTCGACGTGGCAGTGCGACTCTTCAAGACTGTGCAACAATTGTCCGTCTTCTGCGTCGTCCGGAACAATTAGTATTGTAGTAGTGTACATGATAGCTGACTCTTTGATACAGTCGATGAGACAGCAGCCCAGATCGAAGGATTCGCTCGTCCGTTATGGGGTCTCGCACCACTTCTTGCTGGAGGATCTTACAGCAAGTCGAAATTATGGGTCGACGGTATGATCGCTGGTACGGATCCCGACAGCCCAGAGTTCTGGGGCAACATGGAAGATCTCGACCAGCGAATGGTCGAATCATGCCCCATCGGATACACTCTTGCCATTGCCAGCAAGGATTTCTGGGATCCCTTGACTGATAAACAGAAGGAAAACGTTGCGAATTGGCTGGGAAGCATGAATGACAAGGAGATGCCAAACACAAACTGGTAAGCAAAATATACAAGTGATCTAGACTTGAGACTGACAACGACAGGCNTGTGGTTCAGAGTATTCGCTAACCTTGGCTTGAAAGCCAATGGAGCTCCTTTCTCACAATCCCGCCTCGAGGCCGATATGGATCATCTAGACACTTTCCACCGCGGCGAGGGATGGTCGAATGATGGCCCAGCAGGCTATACCCAAATGGATTATTACTCAGGTTCTTTCGCCATTCAGTACCTTCAGCTACTTTACGCCAAGCTTGCAGGTGACTCTGATCCAAAGCGAGCAGAAGAGTACCGCGACAGAGCGCGCAAGTATGCTCTTGATTTTGCGCATTACATGGATCCCGAAGGTCATGCTGTCCCGTTCGGAAGAAGTCTGACATACCGATTTGCAACTGTAGGCTTCTGGTCCGCTGTGGCTTTTGCTGATCTTGAGCTGCCTGCTCCTCTCTCATGGGGCGTAGTCAAAGGCATGCTTCTGCGTAATTTGCGCTGGTGGTCTCAGCATCCAGACATCTTCCAGCCAAACGGTATGCTGAACATTGGATACACGTACCCGAACTACTACCTGGCCGAGAACTACAACTCTCCGGGCTCGCCGTACTGGTGCATGTTGGCTTTTGCTGCTCTAGCATTGCCGAAAGAGCATCCGTTCTGGACATCAAAGGAAGAGCCGCATCCGTTCAAGTCCCAAGCTTCTGTGCTCCCAGAAATTAAAGCCCTGAAGTATCCACTACACATCATGGTGCATAAAGCTGGGCACACTTTCTTGCTATCGTCGGGCCAAAAGTGTCATTACCCGCTGAAGTCTACCCAGGCCAAATATGGCCACTTCGCATACAGCGCTTCCTTCGGCTACAGTGTGCCAACTGGTGGTTACACAATTGAGCAATATGTCCCAGAATCTGCTTTGGCTTTAAGCGATGACGAAGGAGAGATGTGGAAGATGCGCCGTGACGTCGAGAACGCTGAGCTAAACACCAAAGACGGTTCGCTGTATCTGTACTCGGAGATGAGACCGTGGTCGGACGTGAAAGTTCGCACCTGGTTGCTTCCTCCTACCGATGAAGCAGCTTCTTGGCACCTGCGTGTACACCACATACAGTCGGGCAGACGCCTGCAAAGCTACGAAGGCGCTTTTGCTATAAAGGGTACCGCCAAGAGTACTGGTCGCGCCCTGGGAGCTCTCTCTTCTTCCTCGGAGAACGAAGGCAATGAGGCTGGACAAGCATCTGCCTTGACAGTATCAGAAGCTGGAGCTGTTGGCATTGTTGATTTACAAGCGCCTCGATTCGGCAAGGTGCTCGAAGTCGATGCGAACTCCAACTTGATTGAAGCTCGCACAGTGCTTCCATCTCTGGGTATGGACATTGAGCCTGGCAAAGATGTATACTTCGTGACAGCTGTTTTTGCCATGCCAGCTTCAGAAGGATGGACGGATAGATGGCGTCAGGCTTGGGAGAAGAAGCCAGTGCTTCCTAGTTGGGTAGGAGAAATTATCAGATAGACAGCTTCATAGATTAGCATAGAGTAATCGCAAGCATTTCAATCATCCTCAGGTACCGAGACACTCGTTACCGAGCCTTCTGCCTCTTCTGCTTCTATTTCTGACTCACTTTCGTGCTCGTTGCCATCACCATCACCGTCGCCCTCGCTGAGCTCGCTGCTGTGATCGTAGACGTCTTTGTCAAGATCCGACCCAAACTCAACCCCCTCAAGCCTCGCCTTCATCAGGAGAAGTCTTCCAGCGAACTCCGTACTTAACATTCGCCCCTTGCCAAGTAGCTTGCGGAAAGCTCTATGCCAAAGCAAATCGTCAAGGTTTTCAGCGCACCATTCAAGGGTGTCCTCTTGAACTGACTTATCGGCGAACGTAACAGCAGAAGGACCGAGCAACCTCGCGATACTCCTCGCTGCTTGCTCGAACATATCATCAAGACCGGATTGTTGCTCGCCTGGCAGGTCACGAGGCATGCTCGTGACAGTTCTGATATTGCTCATGAACTGATCTTTAGCTTGATGGCGTAATACCGGAACGTCATACTTGTCGCCCAAAATATACAGGTCCAGCAAGGCCTTGCAGAAGTCTCGGTAGCCGAGGGTTACGTGCATGATACAATCATCATCGTCATCGTATATAACACGAAGCATGACTTCTACCAATTTCGGGTCGTCATCATCACCCAAAGCAATNCGTGGCGTTCGAAGAAACCTGATGGCAACATATGAGCATGATCGTGAAGACTCTTTTCGAGAACATACCGCAAATTTCGATGAGAACGCACGATGAAAGTACGATGATGATGAAGCAAGTATAGCCTTATGCGCAAAAACCTTGCGGTTGTTGAATGTGACTATTATGTCCGAATACTGTTGAACATTGTAAAGACACGTCACTCTCTTTCTTGGACTGATCAGCCTGCCATCTCTGCTTAAAGAAGAGATCGAGGAAGACATCGCAAGGCATACCTCTTCCTCACACCCCGCGGCCCTTTGACAACTGCAGTCGTCGTAGGCATTTGCGAGGTCCGTCCAGAATTCAAGACTGATCTGAGTGTCTACTACCGGTAGTCAATCTGGACCCACTAGAGCAAGACAACGTGAAGTCAACAATTGTGTGTTGGACAAGAGTCTAGTGATGTCGCGAATAAGATAAGGGCGGGGTTGAGAGATGCGGGCCAAGGCGGTGGAGGATTCTGCCAGCAATGCGTTCTTGCGTTCTCTATCGCAAACGCGTCCATCGTTCTTGCCAAATACAATATGGACAATTCACCTTAATGAAATAGGGCATAATTGGACATTCTTCTGCTCTGGTCTTCGTCAAGACCATGCTGATAATGTTGTTGATTAGTCCTTTCCTACCGATCATCTGCATGAGTCTATACTTATGTAAGAACCTGGTGGTCTCAGTCCGTTTGTCAGAATCATGCCCGGGTAGCCAAAATACTTCCTTCTTACAAAGACGAACTATTAATATGTCTATTTGAGTTATTTCCGTCTCAAACGGTGCCTCTTTCAGTGCTGTTCTGAAACTATCGACATATTTTCCCCAGTAGTCATCACATAACAGAACTGCCTTGTCGCCTGAACAACCACGAAAGCCGTCAACAACACATCTCTGTTCAAACCAAGGATTTTTCCGAGACATAGCGCTAAAACTCATGCCAGGTCAATAACCTGTTTGCAGCGTTTGTGTGTTCAGCACAATTTCCTGGTATCTCGTTTGCAAATCGCTCTCTTCCATCAGGCACAGCAATGTCTCTCCTCGAGAATGATTCGGGAGACGATGGCGAAGTCCGTCACAAACGCTTCGACTACAATGCGCCCTCGTTGGAAGGCATTATCGATTTCCCTTGCTAAAGAGGGGAGTGAATGATGTTCAGGCTGCCATCTTGCTAAACCAAACGCCCCAGGAGATTTACCAGATGAAGAAGCATATTCGCTGCTACCTCCGCGCCCCCCTGCCCCTGGATTGCGCCTGAAAATCTTGTCGATAATGATGGCAGGACCCTATGCTCCAAGGACGAACACCCCTTTGGATGGATGATGCCCGCTGGCAAACAAGGAATACTATTCAGACATCTGGTCATCCCCCCTGTCGCCAAGCTCTATCCCGACCTCTTTGCGGAGCCCGATCTCGAAAATCAGATACGCCAGGATCAACCGAACGGCTACGGCAGGTTCAATCAAGCCCCCTTCGTTGTGTGCAGGGAGGTCCTGATCAGGATGATTGAGCAATGCGCTCAGGAGATGAGAGATCACTCATGGTAAGCATGCACATCCATCATGTCCTTACTTCCCCCTGTATTTGATGATATCCCGCCCCTGAGCAGCGCCTCCCCCTGGCGTAGAGCGAAACCCAGGCTATAAAAAGGCACAGTTGTTTTGAAAACAGAGATGCATCCAGAGAGATCTGTCAGATCGACGACTCTCAGTGAAGGATGTCCTATCTTCAGAACATACTGTGAATATTCATAGCTACCTGAGATCGAAAGCTCCATCCGCTGGGATAGTTATCGCCGATTACTAACCACTTTCGCAGTCTCAGAGACGCCGATACCGAATCTCAGTATCTCTCACCACGTCCCAGACTCAAGCGCTCTCGTCTTGATGGCTTCGAAGCAATTGACACCGAACAAGAGCCAGCCCCAAAGAGACAGATGGTCACGCCGTTCACATTCGCTCACATCAAAGCTGTCGCAACACCTCCTCCGCCGGACCTTCCCAAACTCTCGAAGTCCGACATTGCTCCTTCCGAAACTATCAAGTCAAAACCAAGTGAAGGGTTTCGCAGAGGCCCGTCAACTGTCGCAGAACTCCTCGAACAGGAAAGAGCAGCCAGAGCTCAGTCTCGAAACGCATTTTCCTCTCCCATAAGTCCTGCGAAGGACAGAAAGGATTCCGCCGCTTCGAACGAACATACTACAACCCGTGGTGATGGTGAGCGCGTCGATCCTGCGGTTCTTGAGCGCAGACGGCTTCATATCCACAACGTTGCCACTCGGACAAAGAAAAGAGACGTGGTACGAGTCTTATGATATGCTCTTCTTGATATTGGAAACATGCTAATCGTGTACTGCAGGCAGACTTTTTCGACGGTTATCGCGTTGGCGCTATAAGTCCTATCACCATGACTAAGGGACGCAAAGGAGGCTACTCTTGCTTTGCCGACTTCAGCACCCACGAACAAGCAAAACGTGCCATAGGAGATCTGGACCGCACGCCCCTGCTCGGTCGCGTGGTCGATATCGAGATGGCACAACCCTCCCCTACACTTGTCGACGAGAAAGAGAAGGACAAGCATCCACTTCCTGTCAAGCCGACCACCAGAAAATGAAGAATTGGATTGATTCAGGAGGATTGACTTGTACGCATCCGCATAGTATCTCTCGCTCAGACAGCTGTCATATGGCTGTTCAGAATGCGAAAACGGGATCGTGAAGTCACAAAGATCAGAAGGGAACAACAAATGGAGCCATCGTTGTTGCGGTATCACAAACCAAAGGGAACGGAGGGAGAGGCAAACAGACAGAAACCTCAATTACAACTATCGCAGTCAACTAGCTCTCTCACTCGGTCTCCTAGTATGGCTAGTCAGTCCGCTTCAATTTCTCAAGCCGAAATGGCGAAGACGCTGACCCTGACGGTTCCATGTCTAGGGTCGAGATAGGAGCTTGGAGGTTTTATATCGGGGCAACTGGTTGGTGACGAGTACAAAAACAACAACCCAAGTGAAACTTCACAATTCGTAAACCAGTACTCGGAGTAGTTGATACTCTTGCTCTTCCAATCAAGCAACTTCCACCCCCTTACTAGTCTTCTTATGCAACCTCCCCAGCCAACTATTATACAACCCCCTCCTAATACTCTTTCCCCACGGCAAAAACACCAGCACAGCAAGATTATTAACCGCCAAAACCGCACAAAAAGCGCCGGCAATAATCCTCTCATACCCATGTAGCAAGATCCAATCCAGGAGATAAATCCCCATGCCGAAAGAAATAGCCTGCTTGCCCAAGTTCATCGCAATCAGCATTTCTGCAGTGTTGGCTGTCATGCTGTCGACCGCGTAAGCCAGAACAAAGGAAAAGTAGAAGTACGAGACGAAGTCTGTCATAGCCACACCCGCAAAGTATCCTATCCAGTGGAGGTTGCGTTCGGCAGTGAATCCGTAGAGGATGAGACCGGCAGGGGCGATAAGGCACACGGGGAGGAGGACCCAGAGGCGCATTTCGGCTTCGCGGATGGAGTTGTTGCGTTTGGTTAGCCAGGCTGCGATGCGGTCGGAGGAGGAGGCGAAGGGGACGGCGAGGGCGTAGCCGATGATGTTTCCTAGCGCGATGAGGCCACTGTTTTTCGGCGACCAGTTGTAGGGAGGCGCGACAATTTTGATTGGGAAGGTGTAGTTGAAAGTCAAAGCACCAAGACCAATATAGATACCTTTAGCATCAATGTCAGCTCGAGTCCGACACCCACAAGACGATTCTCTCGAGCTTATCACTTACCAAAANCTGGTCACGACCCAGAGCACAGAAGGCACCAAGAAGTAGCTAAACGACCGCAGCATAGTCATAAAGAACTCTGCTTCATGATCAATACCACTCCACGGCTTGAGTGTTTGCAGCCACGATCTTCTTAGTGGCGCTAGTGTTAAAACTTCAACATGTTCGATGTGTCCTTTCTCGTTATCAGAATCTGGTGTCGAAGGCGTTGTGATAACGCGTTTGTAGGCCGATTCCTCGACAAAGATAAATGCAAGGATCAAGAGAGTGCATGCAAAGGCGAACTCAACGTAGAAGTAGAGTCTAGTGGTTGTGTTAGTGGGACTGAAATTAGTTTGTAGGTTGATGACTGCTTACCTCCAAGAGTATCCAGCCGCAAGCATGTATCCAGCGTAAAGTGGTCCTNNATGATTTTGTTAGAGATATCATCCTGTCTTATATAGATAACAAAGCACGATACCTGTGGATCCCCAACAAAGACACACTGTGTAGTAGCCCAGTCTCTTGCCGCGTTCGTGAAGGAAAAAGATATCGTTGACGAGCTGAACAGGAAGTGCTTCGCAGACACCAGAGCCCAAAGCATGAATTATGCGAGCAGCCATAAGGCCTCCATAAGAAGTAGCTTGTGAAGCACCGAGTAGACCAAACACAAACNNTAGGACGGTCAGAAGAGTGGTCGATACATGGGCTTAGAGCAGCCTTACCATGAGCAGGGATAGCAGCAGTATTGGGCGTCGGCCAAACTTTAGGTAAGCGGGAACAAGCAGCAAAGAACCTNNAGGAACAGTCAGAATGGTCACTATGCGACGTGTTGAATCGGTCATACCGAAACCAAAGACTAGGTTGGGGTAGGACACAAGGCCCGAAGCTTGGGTGACAGAAATGCCAAACTCCTCGCTATAGATCTCCAAGTAGACAGATGGTCCCACGAGTGCGCTATTGCCGAGGAACGAGTAGAGCGATACAATGATCAAGATCATTGTTTTCTTGGATTTCGACCATTGGAGGGGGTCATTGGGATCCTCGCTAGGTACAGGATAAAGAGCTTGCCCGTATGCCGTGTCATCTCCCTCGAGGGCTTGAAGATTAACAGTCCCCGGCAAGTCTTCCTCATGAGCATGACTGNNATAAGAATGAGCAATGGCTTAGGAATTGCGAGACTACAAAGTATACCTGTGAACAAGATGACGTTCGCGAGGATGTGAAGGTCCTTCCATGATGCTTGAATTTTCGAACAACACTTTGCAGAGAAACCAAAACCAAGCAGATCAGAAGCAATGAGCAACGTCTCTTCCTATATATCCAGTCACATCCGCACTAAGATCTTCCCTCGCCCAAGGATTTCCGGTATCGCTAAGGCAGGAGAATGCGGAGGTGATGCGGGAGGACGTACCTATATGCCCCACAGTTTGTGGGGCATGCAAAACTCGGGGCAAGTCCCAGCCAACCAGCAAGCCTCTTGATCTGCAGCTCGCCACGCACGTTGCTGGTCTCGTCGTGAGTTGGTGTTGGTGACAGAATCTTGACATGCGAAGCGGTTGGCTCTGCGTCCTCAACTGCCGATCAATGTCGCTGAAAAATGCACCTTGTGCTCAACCTTTCCTCCCCGTTGTGTTAAAGACAGTCACAATTTTGCAACCGACCCCTTCTCCATCCCGAGCTGTAGTCATCATAAGCTGTCAAAATACACAGTTGGGGTTTGAATACAAGTCTGGCCATTGAGATAACCTTCATCAAAGTTCTCTCCGTAGAAAACGTACACGAAACTATTGTGCATTTCTGCGACTACACTATGACTGTCTTCAGCACACGGGCAGGTTATGGCTCCAGACATCTAAGCCCACTCCGCAGACAATGACTGAGGAGTCGTTCAAAGCAGCAAGGCCTGAGACATCTGCAACAGCAGTAAAGTAGTTCCCTTTCCTCTTTACAGTAAGACCCTCAACCCCTGGCAATGACGAGTCGTGGCATACCTCCCAGATCTTGACTCGTTGATCGATGCTGGTGGTCGCAACCGTGAGTAGATTGGATGTAGACGTGGCCAGGATCTCAACACCAGTAACGGCAGCCGTGTGCGCACGCGGCACGACAACTGTATTGACCTGTGGTGTCCTTTCTGCCGCACTCCAGGCACAGACAGTAAAAGCGATTGCATTGTCGTCACCTCCAGTAAGAAGAAGACAAGTCTTGTTGTCTAACCAACGCAGCTTCAAGGCGTGTATTGTGTTTTGATGGATTTTTGCACGATGAGTCCACTTCAACCCACTTGGTTCGGCCGTGGTGGCCAACAATTCAGTCTGGAGAGGGAAGAAAGCGACATAACCATCAGTACCCGCCGTGATCAGCGATGGTGCCTGGGTTAGCGTCTCGATATGGAGACATTGTGTCAAACAAGATGTCAGGTAATTTCCAACCTTCAGGATACTCCAAGAATCTTCTTGGCCACGACAGTATTGATACATCNNTGAATCTGTTAGCAAGGCGAGCACAAGGATCACGATGGGATTACTTACCCGCAGAGTGGAGTCCGAACGGACCATGGTGATGATAAAGTTGCCGGCATCCTCTCTACACGAGAAACTCATGATTCTAAGATCAGGTAATTCGCTCTCGGTAGGACATACGGATTCGCAGACCACTCCCAGCTCGACCAAAGGTGCCGAATCTACTCTCCACACCAAAAATTCCTCGAAACCAGCGCTACTGAAGAGGTAGTGTCCGTCGGATGACCATTCCAGCTGCCGGATACCGGTGTTGTGCTTCCTTAGCGTCTTCAGACAGCGGAAGTGGGGCAGCTTGTCCTCAACTCGATAAGTCAAAAGCTTGATATCCGTGTCTTCAGAACCAGTTGCGAACAGAATACCGGACTTCGTCGGGCTACTGGGAGAGACAGCAAGGGCTTTGATCTCGCGCCCATGATTACCTTTGTCCAGGACTTTTGTGGAGTTTTGTGTTTGGGAGAAAAGGCAAAGTTGAGAAGCCTTTGTCCAGACGAAGTGTCCACCTCGTAATCCTTCAGGAACAAACTTCCAGACTCTATTGGCTCCGCCGCAGTCGATGTTCAATACTTCGACCTCTTCAGTTGCATCAAACACAATGAACTGACGACTATGGAAACCCCAGACTATAACATGTTGTGTGTCCTCGTCAATGTGAACGCCCTCTATGTTCGTGCCTAGAGGAAGAGTCGTTTGGCTAATCAATCTGAGATCGATTCCTGAATCCGAGTTCGAGAGGTGGTGTATGGCGTAGGTCCCGTCTCTGCCTACCGAAAAGATGTGCCCGCTGATTTCGTCTAAATTTTGTCCAGCATACCAAGTAAGATCGGTTACGGCTTCAAGGCCATGAGCTTGGACGAGCAGATACTGATGTACCAAATCTTCATCAGCTTTCGGCTTGTCGTGCACCTGGTATACCGCAATCGACCCGTTGCGTGAGCCCAAGACGAGCATCCAACCTTCTTCCTGGCCGCGATTGACGGCAACGAAGCTAGTGATAACAAAGCCTTTAGGTAACACCAGTCTCCATGTGAACAAGTTTTCGACTGTCCGCGTATCCCCTGTGGCAGCGCTCAGGCCAAAACATGTAAAGAGAGCTGTCTTAGCATCGACGTTGGCGGTCAGAAGACCGATCTGCTGGCAAGCACCTTCTGAGGAAGCCAACTGTTGAGCGAACAATGCTGCCGTTTTTCGCGTTGATTTGAGCAACTCTTTTACCTCTTTTCCTTCGTATAGCATTACTGAACCATCCATACCTGCCAANAAGGCAATAGACAAATTTGGTATGCTGGTGACGATCGAATATCCACGAAGCTTGTCTTCTTTTCGAATCCACTCTGTTCGAGCATGGCCTTGTTCATCTTCTGTCAAAAGCAGAATGTTTCCAGCGTCGGTAGTGACTAGCAGATTGATCTTGTCCAGGAACGCATAACTTCTTAACTTGTCTTGGCGTCCTGTCTGTACGCTCTTTGGACATGCCAACCCCAGATCTTGTATCGACCAAGTTTGAGTATGATCCAGTTCGCTAGTGAATGGGGTCAACTTAGGTTCAAGAGCAATGCCACCGTCTGCACCACCACTGGCAATAACAACTTCGGCTGATGTGTCATGAGATATTGCCCACGACCATATATTTTTACCTGAATGCAAACAAGAGCCCCCAAGGTGTGTCAAGGCAAACCGATCAGGACTGGTCTCACTAAGACTCCAAAATTGGTGAGTTGCATCTTCGCCGAACGACACGACATACGAGAGCAGCTCTGAATCCTGGGACGGAATGAACTTCACACCCCAGATCCTAGACGCATGACCCCAGCCTTTGGCAATACAACTTCCACCAGATGTGTCATCTGGCAGCACATCAGCGACATTGGCACCAAAACCAGTCTCCCGAGCCGAGGTCAAGTCTGCGGCTGCTTGTGGGTTGGTAGCAGTATCAGGCAGGGATGAGATGTCCCAGATGCGGATGGTGCGATCGTCACTACAACTGGCGAGCAATCGAGAGGGTTTGTCCTCGTTCTCATTTGATGTATTCTCGAAAATCTGGACGCCAAAGATAGATCCTTCGTGGCCTACAAGCACATGATGGAGTATTGAGGAAGGCACACTGTCCTTGTGCAGCAAGCAGGACCACACAATGATATCGCCAAAAACTGTGCCTGACGAAACAAGAATTCGATCTGTGCCGATCCAATGGATGTAAGCTGAGTAGAGGATGCACTTTGAGTTTGAAGTCAACTCCTTTAATCCAGCTTTTGAAACCAGCTCTAAGAGAAGGAGAGCATTGTGGGCGGTGATCAAAGCAGCCTGTCGATTCTGTCCAGATATCTCAGGAGAGACAGATATGTCAAGGATCCAGTCGGGTGCTTCGAAAGAAGAGGAGCGGATCAGAATGGAGGAGTCAGCCGGATTGAAGGCGTATAGTGTGACCAAACGACCACCCCAGACGATGATACCATTGGAGTGAATGGCAATTCCGTGAATGGCCTGCGAAGAGAAGACAACAATCGATTCAATCAATTGGTCATGGCGACGGCTGTAGATTTTCAGGATCGGACCTTCTCCTGCAAATAGGTGGTCCTTACTAAAGGCCAGTGCTGTCACTGGGACCTGGTGCGATTCATGCTACAATCGTCACTACCTGCTGGTCCAAGATGGACTCGGATGGACCTACTTTGACCATCTGCAATAAGACACAATGTCTAGTAATGCAGAAATCGTAAATCAGAGAAGACGGACAGTGAAATAGTTCAAGGTTGATTTGGGAAGTGGCAGCGAGAAAATGATGCCAAGGCTTGCGAGCATCGGCTTTTTCTCAGCCAAAGTCCGAGAAGCAAATTCTTGGATGCGGTCCAAAGATTATTTCTGTTTTTCGCAACCCATTTTTTGTTCGCCAAAAGTCATGTCGATTTAGAGGGAGAGATTTGTTTTGATTCTCTTCTGGATACACTATGGATATTCACCGCTCTCGATTCGTGGCGTACCCGTCATCCGCCATCAACGCGCTTTCATTTTCTCGGTCAAGCGACAAGAATTACACAGATCCTAGACCTGCGCTGAAGCTCGCCCTCGGTCGCGCAAATGGAGACATAGAGATCTGGAGCGCCGACAAAGGAGATTGGGTTCAAGAGTCGGTCTTTCCCGGAGGTTCAAAGAGAAGCGTAGATGCTTTGGCATGGATTCAAGAGCCGGACGACACAGACTATGAGGGACACACAATTCTTGGTCAACTGCGCCTGTTCAGTATTGGCTCCACTGCAGCTGTGACGGAATGGGACTTGACAACAGGAAAGGAGTTGCGCTCGTCGACGGGCAACTTCAGCGAGGTGTGGTGTTTTGCCGCTCAACCGCGATGGCGCCCCAGCAAGGCATCGCGTGAGGACGAGTTCCGTGGCCAAAACCTGGTCGCCGGCACAGGCGACGGTACCCTGNCCATTCTCTCAACCGAGGACAACGACCTGGTTTTCAAGCGATTCTTGGCCCGTGGCGGCAACCGCAAGACACGATGCATGAGTGTCACATGGAAGGACAGAGACACAGTCGTCGCTGGCTTCACCGACAGCACAATCCGCATCTACGACGCTCGCAACGGTTCTCTTNTGCGCAACCTCAGCTTGGGAGCAGGTGTTCCAGGTGCTCCCCGTGACACTCTGGTCTGGAAGGTCAGATGCTTGCCCAACGGCGACATTGTGTCAGGCGACTCGAACGGTCAGCTCAAGTTCTGGGATGGAAGAACCTACACCTTGTCGCAGAGTGTGCACGGTCACGATTCGGACTGTCTGGATCTCGTCAGCAGCACTGATGGTACTACTGTTTTCTCAGGTGGCATGGATGGTCGCATTGCTGTGTACAAGCTGGGCGGCAAAGAGGGTGAAAAGAGAAGGTGGGCGAAGACCAGCCACCGTCGCATGCACGAGGGCGACATCAAGGCAATGGCCGTCTACGACTCTAAGCACATGAGCGTTGTACTCTCAGGAGGTGCGTCGAATCTTGAATCTGCTCATCTGTGTCCTGCTAACATGTACCAGNGTCTCGACACCACACCCTTCGTCATTCCGCTTCGCAACTTCAACAAAGAAAACCACCGCAGACTCCCCGGTCTACCTCAAACTCCCGTCCTCGCTTCTTGTCCGCAACAGCGTATGCTTGTCAGCTGGGCTGAGAGCGATATCAGCATTTGGCGCATGTACAAGCAGAGCCCCGAGCGCATCCCCGTACCCGAAGACACCAGAAAACTCCTCGCTCGCATCCAAATCGACTCGAAAGAAGCCATCACATCTGTGGCCATCTCTCCCGATGCTTCCCTCCTCGCCGTTTCTACCACCGATTCTGTCAAATTGTTCCACCTCTCCCACACCGAAGACGACCGCGAAGACCGTTTGCGTGTACGCAAGATTGCCGCTCCTGAAGCTATGGCTGAGAATGGTGCCCGCTTGATCACATTCTCACCTGATGGAAAATGGTTGGCAGCAGTCTCACCGCAGAGCGAAGTCTGCTTGGCAAGAGTAGAGGATGCTTCGGACAAGCCCACCTTCTTGGACGCGAACGTCGAACTGGAGCGTCAGACTCGTAAGGTCACAATTCAGACAGGCCTCAAGAAGTACGAGCGCACCATCAATAGAATTGCTTTCTCGCCCGATAGCGCTGTTCTGGTTGCCAGTGATCTTTCTGGATACCTTGACAGCTGGGTGCTGGAGGGTCACTATGACGCGACTGCTCCTGCTATGGACACTGCCACAAAATCCTCCTCTGGCTCAGACAAGGGTACTGATTCTGATGACGACAGCGACAGCGATGACGAGGACGAAACCACAATCTTCTATGGCCAGCATTGGACAGACAACCCGTCAGGCAATTTGTTGCCCAAGCTGGACTCCGCACCCCTTGTTCTGTCTTTCCAACCACTCACACCCGCTCAACAAGAGGAACCTACCACCAATGGCAACCCTGGTGTTCATCCCACTCGCAACAACCCTCATCCTCAATCTCACGCTCTCCCATCTACCAAGTCTCCTCTTTTCGTTGTCACATCTCACCACCAAGTCTACACATTCGATGTCTTGATCGGCCGTTTAACAGAGTGGTCGCGTAGGAACCCTACTAGTGTTTTGCCTGCCGAGTTCCAGACAATCAAGGATCGCGCTATGGGTGTGGTGTGGGACGTCAACGATGCTCGTGCTCGTGCTTGGCTGTACGGTGCAAACTGGGTAGGTATGCTCGACTTGTCACAAAACTACGAACCTTCCAGTGTACTAGACGAAGCTCTGGAAGACGGCGAAGACGATATCTCTGCACAGCACACACCCAGCAAGAAGCGCAAGCGTCGCGAGAGCAACAAATGGGGCAAGCTCGCCGAGCAGCGTAAGAAGGCAAAGGGTATGGGCGGCGCTGGTGACAAGGCTGCCAGCGGGGAGACAAAGGGTGTTGTGGACGAGATCCGCCGTATCGAGGATGGCAAAGCTATCGAGCTCAACGGCACCTCCCACGAGCAAGACTTGGATGACGAGGAGGCACTAGACGACGCGGTAGGTCCTCTGCGTCGCGGCAATGACGATGCAGAAGCAGACACAAATGGAGGTGCCGATGGTGCTTTGGCCGTCACCTCAACAGGCCGAAGAAAATGGTGGTGCACATACAGATACAGACCTATATTGGGTATGGTGGCCATGGGCGAAAAGACATCAGATGCGGAAGAGGAACAACCTGAAGCTGTGTTGGTGGAGCGTCCGCTATGGGACCTGCCACAGCTACAGGAGCTGGGCAAATAAAGCGCTCTTTCTCAACAAAAAGTACTATTAACATCTTCTTCCCACATATCTGGCTCTGCATGGGGATCTTTGGGTTCATTGTCTCATAGCGTATGGGGTTCTTTTGTTGTCTTGTTCCAAATCCTCTGTCTTGATGCCAGGCCAGGAGACTGTGACGGTATAACGCAACTGTTCAATATCGAGGCGTCTTTTCAATCAAAGCCGTGTTTGAGGTTTTGTCTAATCATGGCCTGGACTCCAGGATGTACAAGCACACCATCCATCTCGCAGATACCTGCAAGCCACATTCTATCCAAAGATCACGTTTCAAAAACATCTCTACCACATGCCACGCTCAAACGTGCGCGTTATCTGTCTGCGTGTGACCTCAAGCCCCTGCATCAAGATGGTCATCCCTAGTATGGAAGCGATTTTGAGACCCGCAGGGGTATACAATGCAGAGAGTACACCGCCATCTTACATCTTGGCTGGGGAGGCTGTTTCATGGCATGTACGGGATTCGCTCAGCCGGTCGTCAGCCAAGCAGGAGAAAAACAATGAGGTGATCATGGGATAGACTGGACGTTACCACAACAGACGAGTAAGGGGTTTGTGGTGAATGGCTGTTTCTCGTATACATCAACTACAGTCTATCGGCTGTAAAGTCTTGGTATACAGCGGACACTCCTTTACATCGTCAAGTGATGGAGTTGCAAGGAGGAAAGAATCTAGGCCCAGGATCGCCAAGAGTAGCCCTCTCGTGTGCATGAGGTCCAAGCGTCACCGATATAAGGGTCTGGAGCACCCCACATTTTACTGCTCGCTGTCAGCGAGTCAGTGGTTATCATTCCTCAATTCCTCGACGTCTCACCAGCTCGTTTGATACCGATTTTTTGGCAATTGACTGTCTCTCGTGGTCTTCTAAGGATCGATCCCCATAACTATGGTCATAGGGTAGTCCTTGTGTACCTTCTCGGTAACGAATCACTGGAACTCATCATATTCGAATTTATTGTCGTACACGGTAGATCATTCTCACGATGGCGGCGACTATCACAGCTATCGTAACGGACACCATCACAAAGACTGCGGCAATGTCTGCCACAGCATCTTCTACAGCTAGAGCAAAAGCTCAGGGTGGCATTTTGGAAGGCGAGAATCCAACACATTACAACCCCAAGGACCCTATCATCATATTCATCATTCAGGTACTTGACCAACTCAGCTGTATATCCGGAATAGTTGTTGATTCCAGATTTCTAGNNGCCGGCGTGATCATTCTCTTTTGTCGCTTACTACACTGGCCTCTATCAAAGATTCGACAGCCGCGTGTCATCGCAGAAGTCATTGGCGGTGTCTTGCTCGGTCCCTCGGTCATGGGTAGAATCCCTGGATTTACAGCTACAATCTTTCCAGCGGCTGCACAGCCGAATCTCGCTCTCGTGGCTAACATTGGCCTGGTCCTTTTCCTTTTCATTGTTGGTCTCGAAGTCGACTTACGATATCTGGCGAGCAACTGGAAGGTTGCATTGAGTGTTGGACTGGCTGGTATGGCCCTGCCCTTTGGCCTTGGCTGCGGTATTGCTGTTGGGCTCTATCATCAGTTCTCGGATGAGGATGGAACTGAGCCAGTTGCCTTCGGCACGTTCATGTTGTTTGTTGGTGTGGCCATGGCTATCACTGCTTTCCCAGTGTTGTGTCGTATCCTTACCGAACTTAAGCTCTTGTCGACTTCCGTCGGAGTCATTGTACTATCGGCTGGAGCTGGCAACGACGTTACTGGTTGGGTCCTTCTTGCGCTCTGTGTCGCCCTGGTCAATTCTGGTTCTGGCATAAGTGCCCTCTACGTTTTGCTGACAGCTCTCGGGTATACCTTGTTCCTCTTCTTTGCCGTCAAGCCGACCTTCACTTGGGTACTCAGACGTACACGTACCTTCGAGAACGGACCATCCCAGGGTATCATCGTTCTTACTCTCATGATTGCTCTTGCATCTTCCTTCTTCACTGGAGTTATTGGTATCCACCCTATCTTTGGTGCCTTCATGGCAGGGTTAATCTGTCCTCATGAGGGTGGTTTCGCTGTCAAAGTCACAGAGAAGATTGAGGATCTTATCAGTGCTCTATTCTTACCTCTCTACTTCGCCCTTTCCGGATTGTCTACCAATCTTGGTCTTCTCGACACTGCCATCACATGGGGGTACGTCGTCGGTGTCTTGGCTGTTGCTTTCGTTGGTAAGTTTGTAGGAGCTTCTGTTGCTGCCCGTCTCAATGGTCTCGTGTGGCGAGAAAGCTTCACTATTGGGGCTCTGATGAGTTGCAAGGGCCTTGTCGAGCTGATTGTCCTCAACATTGGTCTGCAAGCAAAAATCTTGTCTCAAAGAACCTTCACCATCTTCGTTGTAATGGCCTTATGCACGACGTTCTTCTGCACTCNNCCCCTGACTATGGCTCTGTATCCGCCATGGTACCAGAAGAAGCTAGAAGCCTGGAAGAAGGGTCTCATCGATTGGGATACAGGTAGCCCGCTCACCCCTGGCGATGATGCCTCGTCTATCGTCGCGGCGAAGCTGGAGACTAGCAAGATCAAGTCGCTACTCGTACATCTGAGGTTGGATAATATGTCTACCTTGATGACGTTTGTCTCACTCCTGGCCGCTCCCAGCAAATCCGGCGATACTACCGCAAGACAGCATCCTGCCTTGGCTGGTAAGAGCAACAGTGTCGACGAACACGCAAAGACGCCAAGTCGGCCCTTGGAGGTCCATGGTGTCCGGATGATTGAACTCACAGACAGAGACTCATCTGTCATGAGTGTCTCGGACGTCGAGGAGTTCCACTGGAAAGATCCCATCATCAACACCTTCCGAAACTTCGGCAGGCTCTACAATTTCTCGGTTTCGGGAGAAGTCGCCATTGCGCTCGAGTCGTCTTTCGCTGAAATTATCACATCAAAAGCAACCAGCGAAAATTCAGACCTTCTTGTCCTTCCCTGGAGCGAGAGTGGAAGCATGCACGAACAACAATCTTACAATGGCAACCCCGCCACACCCAGACGACTCGAAGACACAAGCTACGTTAGTTTCGTGGCAGCGGCACTCAAGTCCTCAACTTGCAATACTGCGGTTTTCGTCAACCGCGGCTTTGGAGGTAGCGCAGTTGCACGTCCTCCGAAAACTCTGTCTCGTCAAGCCAGCAAGATTAGTTTGTCGAATGATCGGGGACCTGCATCTGCTCCTATTGTGGATAAGTCGCACCATATCTTTATGCCCTACTTTGGCGGTGCCGATGGCCGCGTGGCGTTGCGTCTTGTGCTGCAGTTGGCAGAAAACCCCGATGTCACTGCCACCATTGTGTTTTTCGACAGACTGGATGGCAATAGTGGCTCACCAGAGGGTAAGGAGGCAGAGTCCCATGGTTCGCCTGTAGAGGTTGCAAGTACAGGATCATCAACTTTGAGGGACGGGAAACCCAAACCCGTCACACAGATCGAACAAAGCGACGAGACATTCTTCGCCATGGTCCAGAAGTCTCTGCCTGTAGAGTTGTCCTCAAGAGTGATTATGGAGTCCATCTCGTCGCACTCGCCCCTGGAAGAAGCAGTTTCTCGGGCGCAGATTGGGGTCGCGCAGAACCCGAAGAATGCAGGCGACTTGATTGTTGTCGGCCGAAAGGACTTGTCCAACGATTCGGGCAGAGCGTGTCTGGGCCTCGTTGCCCAACGATTCGTCGATAGTGGACTTCGAGCCAGCATTCTGGTCATGCAAGCGAGACCGTCCTACACGTCTTCGGAAATGCTGTGATTGTGGAAAGCTGGGAAGAAGTGTCTCTCCACCTGCTCAGCTTGAGAACACAATTTGTTCAAGTTTTCGGATGGAAATCGTACGTACGTAGTTGGATGTGGGTTGCAATAGGTGCTGCGCTCACAGGAACACAAGTGGGGCAGAGGGGCTCTCAGCAGCTCCAAGCATCATGTTATGACATTTAATGAATATATGGCAGGCTACACCCAGCAAGAGAGATGTTATTGGATGGGATATATCCTTCGGCTCAATGCGACGCTTTATCGCTATATCATGTTCCATCCGCATATCCTGGTTTGAACGCGGTAGCAAGAAGTACGAGTAATGATCACATACCTTGATTTTTCCGATCTTGTTTGAACGTGTCACTTCACAAAAAAAAAAACAATCAGGATGTAGCTCCGGTCAGAAGCGAATCAAGCGAGCAGGCACACGTATACTTGATCAAAGTACATGCAGCCTACAAGGCCGATCAAAATTCCTGCTGACCAGAGATCATGAATTGTGGCAGAAGTCATCTGCAACAAGGAGGTTTTATACCTCATTTGCCTATTTCGGTAGCAAAGCGGTGAGACCTGATCATCTGCGCCTATGTTGCTGTAAGCGAAGGGAGGGAGGCTGAGAGGGAGGTGAAGGAGGCTTGAAACACGGTCAGAGGTGATCGACGGTGAGGCTGCAGCAGAGCAAGCAGGAAGGTGGGATGCCATGTCGCATGCATGTCCCTGCTTGAGCTGTGGTCGCAAGCTTTTGCCTGATGTGCATCCCTTGTTTAAACTTTCCACCAACAGCCGGTGCCTGAGAGTTCAAACAAAACAATATCGCATTGTTTGCAATGTTAGCAGTGTTGATGCCATGTGGTTGTCGTCGTACAGCCTCCATGGCTAGGGGAGGAAAGTGGTTTGCTTGTCAAGGGGACCGGCAAGGGGCATGTTCTTTGCAACTCTCATGTGAAGGACAAACAGCACGCGGCTTGTGACTTGATTCCAAGCAGCCCGTCTTTCTTCTTTTCTTTTAGGATGGACGCTAAGGCCCCTTCGAAGCCGTCACATGGACGCAAAGACCTTGCAACAAACTGGAGAAATGGGAAAGTGGGCCTCGTTCGTCATGCTCATAACAAAAGCTTATTACACCTCTCACGCGCAACTTCCGCAACTCCTTGATGTTTTGCCAATCCTTTCTGTGACTCGCACGTTCTTTCTTACCTATTTTCCATACAGATCCTACATGGGGCTTTTTCTCTCATAGTCGCATCAAATCATCCATGGCTCCCACATTCACATGGACTTTNTCCATGATTCACTAGTTCTCCCTGGCTCGTCGGCGGTGCTTAATCCCAATGCGACAACCGACAATGCGTCTTCAAGACCGACGAAACCCAATGCCGGAACCTCGCGCGTGTCGCCATCGCTATTGAAGGCCCTCCGTGATCCTTACCAATTGATTGGCACCAAACCCGTTGGATCCGGCAGTCAGAGATCAAGAGCCGACGGCCCACAATTGGATGACAGCGAATGGCGGAGGCAGGTCTTGAATCTCAAGATCTCGCAGGTACGTGCACTCCTGTCTCGTTGTCAATGAAGATACACGACTGACAGTCTTTNNTCCCAGGCAAAATGCTACACGGATTGGCTCTCGGCAGCCTCGGAACTCGACACACTCGAAGGCAGAGACGTCTGGAAAGAGGAAGAGGAATGCGATGAATATGACACAGCCTTGCTCAAGGCTCGACTACAAGAGCTGGAAGACGCCCGCATCAGCTGCGACGCAAAGCGCATGCTGTTTCTGGCGCGAACATCCTTGACAAGAGATCTAGGAGGCATGGGCGATTTACGCTTGTACAAGCATTGCAGGGTCGGCACCAAAAGTCTGATCGAACGCTACATTTCCGCCGCTCTGGACATCCTCGAGACCATTGTCGACATGTGCTCGCCTGCAAACAAGAACAATACCGATCTGGACGTGAGGGAAGTTTATGAACAGCTGCTCAGCGCTAGGCAAGCCTTTGGGAGAAGCGCGTTGCTGCTATCAGGAGGAGGTACACTCGGCATGAACCACATCGGAGTGCTGAAGACGCTGTTCGAAGCCCGCCTGTTGCCTCGCATCATCTCGGGTGCCTCGGCTGGATCCATTGTCGCTGCCGTGCTCTGTACCAAGACCGACGACGAGATACCACAAGTCCTGCGCGAGTTCTGTTATGGTGATTTGGATGTGTTCGAAAGAGAAGGAGAACCTGAGAATGTCTTGAAANAGGTCTTCCGCTTCTGTACGAAAGGCGCTCTTTTCGACATCTCCAATCTCATACGCGTCATGAAGGACCTGCTCGGAGACATGACTTTTCAGGAAGCTTACAACAGAACGAGACGGATTCTCAACATTGGTGTGTCGACTGCCAGCTTATACGAGCTGCCCAGGCTGCTCAATTACATTACTGCGCCGAATGTCATGATCTGGTCTGCTGTTGCAACGAGTTGCTCTGTCCCTTTCGTCTTCTCGCCTGCTCAACTATTAGCCAAAGATCCGCGTACTGGACTGGAAGTACCATGGGATCAATCACCTCAACGCTGGATTGATGGCTCGGTCGACAATGATCTGCCTATGAGTCGCCTGGCGGAAATGTTCAATGTCAATCACTTCATCGTTTCTCAAGTCAACCCTCATGTTGTCCCGTTCTTAGAGAGAGATGACGAGATTGCCGCGTTTGGCTCTCAGTCCTCTAAGTTTTCTTTATCTGCTGGACCGAGCTGGCTCCGAAATGTTGCCAATCTTGCCAAAGGAGAGGCTCTTCATCGAATGCATGTCCTTGCCGAACTCGGTGTCTTGCCGACTACCATGTCCAAGCTCCGTTCAGTGTTAAGCCAGCGGTACTCGGGCGACATCACAATTCTGCCCGAAGTCTCATACACACAATTCCCGCGCGTTCTCAGAAATCCGACGACTGACTTCATGTCGCGCGCCATGCTTAGTGGCGAAAAAGCCACTTGGCCAAAGTTGTCACAAGTTCGAAACCATTGCGCCATCGAGCTGGCTCTCGATACTGCAGTGCAGAAAGTCCGTTATGGACTCGTCTTCTCGCCTAGCCAAATTGACCTCCGACTTAATGCTTTCGCTTCCGGTATTGCCTCGAATGAGAGTCAGATTCGGCACACACGACGGGCCAGTCATGGCAGTCCTCCTGAGAGCGAACGACCACATCTTCTTGCTGTTCCTCGTACATTCTCTTTGCGCAAACCAAGCGTTGCACAACCCATGCATGCATCTAACACTTTTTCGCCTCCANAGCATTCGGGCGGTCATGATGATTTTACTTCTGGTCAAGAGACAGCCGTCGACTCGGAAGACGCAGATTGGTCCGACTCTTCCCTTGAGAACTCTCCCACACGCCGGACTCCCAAACTGTGGCCTCCTACGTTCATCTCTCGGTCTCAACCTGTGACGCCCAATGTCCATGCAAAATTGTACATGTCGTCTTCGCCAGCATTGGTCTTTACAAAAGCCGAAAAGGACGCAGATTTTGGAAACCAGGGCTTGGTCGCCTCACCTAGCGAATACAAGTCCGTGTTCCAGAATGCACGGCCATATGTTGAGGAAGGTGTGGATGTTTCTGGCACTAGGGGTATGGTCAGACGCAAGAGGAGTCTGACTACGGGATTCAGAGGTTTGTGGCCACCTGGTCGATGATCTGATCATCTCGCCTTTTCCTTTGTGTTTCCTTGGATCTGGGCGGTATGCATCATGGTTTCTTTCGCATTGGCGTTCAGGGTGGTTGGCTGGCTTCTGGGTGGTTTATTGCTTAGAAGACTTGCTTTTCGGGTATTAAAGGCAATCTGCAACGCATGCAATTGGGTTTTCGGATACATGGGAGATCTGGGGCGTGCCAGGTTCTTTTCTGCTATTCCTCCAATATTTTCATACAACCATCAAGCAAATTGCCTATCTTGGATAATAGCCTATGACAATTGCAAGACCCTGCATTTGAAGAAGCTATTGACGCCTGGCTTTCCATTCTTCTAGTTCCTCCCTTTTCCTTGCAATATCAGCTCTAACGTGACTTGAATCTCTCCATCTCAGCCTTACCCCGTTAGACTTACTCGCAAATACGAGCGAAGGATTCTAGAAAGTCTTACGATTTTCTGGAGCTTCCTTCGCCACTCAAAAGAGAATCACTCTACAAGCAACTCCAACAAACCCTATACAATCCGTTCGAGTATAAAACCACCTATATACGTTCTCTTCTCCCAAATAACTACACTCTGCAAACCTACTCCTCACACCAAACCGCCAAAAATGGCTTCCCTCTTCGCTGTCAACTCTCTACCCCAGCATCGCGCCCCAAACCCTCTCACAGCTCTCCATCCTCTCAAGCTGGACAGCCACCAAAGACTGGAGCAAAAACCCCCAAAACCAACACACGTATATGGATGCACTGGACAATGGGTTCGGGATGTATGTGTCGCAGACCGAAGAGTTGGTTGCTGTGTTGGGGATGCAAGCTGTGGAAGAGGTTAAACCGATTGTTGAGGAAGCTGAAAGGGAAGTTGGGGGTAAGGAGTGGGATGAAGAAAAACAGTGTTGGGTGTAAAGGGTGGGAAGTTGGAAGGTGGGAGTGGTGGAATAGGTGTTGATGGATGTGTAGTTTACAGTGAAGAGATGTCGTCGCAGCGCATAGAGTCTTTGAAGATATATTCAATGCATCGCAACGAAAGCGAATTTGTAGGCAATAGATAGGTCGAAGTAGATACGCATACTGAAGTATAAAGCTTTGAGCTTGCATGTCTACATATCCAAGCCTCCCACCTCTACTCAACAGATACCAAAAAGAAATCCAAAAGCAAAACCCAAGGCATACATGTCTTTATTTGACGAAATCTCCCAATTCGATGTTAGGAATGATGTATGGCTGCACATCATCTCTGTGCATAGTCCTCTGCTCATAAGCATACGCCAAACCAATCAACTCAGCCTCCGAGAACTTATCTCCCATAAACGACAGACCAAACGGTACCTTAGGACCCGTCTCGACCAAAGTCTTTCTAGCATTGTACGTGACATTCCAATCTGCAGGGTAAAAGCCCATGGGCACAGTGACAACGGGACTGCCCACCAAAGCAGGAATACCAGGAGAGAGTTGGGTAGGCAACAGAACAGCAGAAACATTGTTGCGAGAGAGAGCACCGAGGATACCGCCTTCACCGCCGTAGTAAAGATTCGCTTGGTACGCAGCCCAGAAGCGTGGGTCACTATTATTCCAGCCTTGGTTAAACAGTGCATCATCCCAAACCGCTGTATCGCGATCTGGCCAATCCTCCTGAGCAAACGCATGAGTGAAGTTTCTGACGTCTGCAAGATCGGTGACATTGTTGGGGTTGTAAGACAACTCGGAGAGATAAGTGTGCAGGTTTGTCAAAAAGTCGGCGTTGAGGACTAGGGTTTCGTTGTTGTCGTTTACGTATTGAGGGAATGCTGTAAAGTTTGCGTCGACGATGGTGGCGCCTGCTTTCTCAATCAAGGCGATGGAGTCTAGGAAGGCGGTCATGACTGGTTCGTCGATGGGGCCGTAGATGTCGATGACGTTCCAAGCTACACCGATGCGCTTTCCTGCTAGGGCGGAGTAGTCACAGGCTCCTACATAGTCAGGAAGGCTGCCGTTGTTAGGGATAGCTGAAGTGTAGTTGTCATTAGGGTCGACGCCGGCAATTGCTTGAAGAAGGTAGGCTGCGTCCTTGACAGTTCTTGCCATTGGGCCAACGGTATCCTGATGCTCGGAGATGGGAATTACCAGGTACCTGCTAGTAAGACCAACAGTAGGCTTGATGCCGACAAGGTTGTTGACGTCCGAAGGAGAAAGAATAGAACCAGAAGTCNNTAGCTTGGGTCAGAGTTGCTAACATGACGCGCTGTATATGATAGTACTAACCTCGGAGCCAAGAGCAGAGAGAGCAAGGCCAAGTGAGGAAGAAACACCCGAACCACTGGAAGAACCACTGGGGTCTTGGTGAGGGTAATAAGCAGCTTCAGTCTGTCCGCCATACGCAGACCAGCCATTGGTGCTGTTGTTTGAGCGGTAATTAGCCCACTGCGAGAGGTTGGTCTTGCCGAGGATGATGGCACCAGCTTTTCTCAGCTTTGCAGCCAGAGTGGAATCACGAGGAACCCTTGCGCCGAGCAGAGCGAAAGATCCAGCTGTATTNGAGTCAGAACATGATTCCTTCTTTGGCTAGAATCAGCACTCACCAGTGTTATTCATCTGATCGGCAGTAGCAATGTTGTTCTTGATGAGAATAGGCAAGCCATGAAGAGGTCCCAAAATGGTACCATTTGCTCGCATAGCATCCAACTCTGCAGCAATTGCAAGAGCATCAGGGTTGATTTCGGTAACCATGCGAAGAGTGCTGTTAACCTCCATGATTCTAGCAGAATATGCCTTCACCAGGTCAACACTGGTGAAGCGTCCTGCCTCNAGACCAGTGGCAAGGTCCTCCGTGGTAACATTGATGAGCGAAGGGAAGTCTCCGAGACCAGTAGAAGTGTTCGTGTAGGGGGTCACCAAGCCAGCAACAGCGCCGACCAAAGCAACACCCACGGATAGTGAGGTCAACAAACGCATGATTCGAGGTATGCGAATATGAGCAAAACAGGTTAACGACAGAAGAACAGCGAGGGACAATACCAAAAACGAAGGAAGGTATATGCTCAATCCACGAGCAGAGTCGTAATAGCAAAGAGAGTCAAAAATCAGCAGCAGTCGCTCATATTTGTACCCAGACAATGCAGGTATACTCAACACTGCCTTCTTAGATAATGTCGATAACGTAAAGGACCATTCTCCTTCTGTGCCGCTGCAAGATTGCAGGGTTCCGATATCTTGCATGAATGTTTCCCCACGGTGTCAGTTGCATTTGCCGGGTCTTGGAGTGTTTCTTGGTAATCTGAAGTGCAGGGCTATGCTGCATCGATTCCATGGCGATAGAAGTTTGATAAAGTCGAGAAGCACAAGAATCCACTAGGGTATTTTTTTGTCACCTTCTCAAAACGTTTAGATTTCTGCCGATCGTGGGTCCTGATTGACTCTTGAGGTGACATGCCGTCTGCCGTCCCTGGAAATCTGGAGATGGAAGAGCCGCGCCAATCTGTTATAGGAAGGCCACTGGGTATACGGAAACAACAAACTTGTTTCAACGCCGAGATCGGAATCCGCTATACATGGATCGAATGGCGCAGAGTCATTTCCTTGTCTCCAGCTTGATGCCAGAAAAGGGTATGTAGAAGAGACAATCATAAATTAGAGAATCGCGTTGCAATCCAAGATGACTGGATATCCGGTCGATCGGGAATGTTTTTCTGAATACAAGATGTCCAATGCTCGCCATATTTATGCTTCTTGAGTGGTTCCCCCGTGACGACCTATAGCCACTGCTCAATGAACGCCGCGCTAACGCAAAAGAAAGGTCCTTAAAATCAATGTGAAATACAACAGGTAGATTCAGAATGGCGCAGGACTCGATGCTGCATGTCCGTCTATTGTCCAGGTCGAGGGAAGACAGGAACGGTGTTCAATTGCTCCCATCCTCCCATGCTTGCTTGTGGGGTGTTCTGCCAGCCTTGACCAGTCTGCTGGTTCACAAACATAGACTGTCTGAATGGATTCGTACTTCCAGTGGCGGCAGGAGTGAGGAATGATGCCGACTGTCCTGTTGGCTGAGATATCTGAGGCGACGGCTTCGCGAAAGGATTTGTTCCTGTTGGCTGTGCTTGCAATGGCTGCTGTTGTTGGAAGCCGGTCTGCATAGACTCTTGTTGGGGTGCCTGCCTTGCGAACGGGTTACTCGATTGACGCTGCTGAGGCTGAGCAGTCTGTTGCGATTGCATGAAACCGTTGATCTGACCAGTAGGCATCATTGATTGACGGAAGGGATTAGTCGCTTGCGGCTGGATTTGTTGTGGTGGTGATTGCATTTGAGGTTGTTGTTGTTGCACAGCGAAAGCATCTTGCTGCTGCTGTTGCACCGAGAAGGGGTCTTGTGGCATGAAGGATTGTTGCTGTGGCTGTTGTTGAGGTGGCGGACTCTGGAGAGGTTGCTGCACAGCGGACTGGAAAGGATTCGAGGAGAAGCCAGTCTGTTGTGGTTGGACCTGTTGCTGTGGTTGGGGACCATAACCACCAAATCCAGCNCCTGTGAATTGCGGTTGAAGCTGAGCAGTAGGCGGCGCCATGAATTGCGAGTTCTGAGGTGCGCCAAACGGATTTGTCGATTGGACTGTCTGGAAGGCAGGATCTGCTGTTGGTTGACCATACATCTGGGGGAATGGCTGCCCGGTTGGCTGCGCATATTGCTGAGTAGAACTCTGAGCCATGGGCTGTTGCTGGTCTTCGATTGAGCCAAAGAAGTCGATGAGGTCAGGAGCTGGGCCTTTGGCAGGTGGTTGAGAAGCGGCGGGTGCGGCCTTTTCTTGTTTTGGCTCAGCTTCAGCGAAGGTGACTGATCTTGAAGATTTGATGGGTTTGCCAGACTTTGCTTGCTGCTCGGCTAGATATTGGCGTCTGTTCGTCTCGAAGTCGTGATCGTCGATGTACTCTTGCAGTGAATTGGCTAAACTCGTAGGGGCGTGCTTGATCTTAGGAATCTCCAGCTTGGTGATGTGTTCGTATTGTCTGGCAATGCTGAGGTATTGGACGACTTGGTCTGTCTGCTTTGCGAAGGTTTTGTAGATACCGATGGCGTGTTCAGCGTCTGGTTTTGAGAGTTCGAAGTAGTGGNNCCTGTGCAATTGCGTGTCAGAGTTCTGAAGCAGAGTTGAGACGTCAAAGTACTGACTCAAGATGCTCATGACGGCCTCGTTCATGGCTGTGAACAGGTCGAGCAGGTCTTTGGTGAGCAGGCGGAACGCCATTAGCGAAATGTCATTCTCTGGCTCGTTCTCGAGAGGNCTGTAAAACGTTAGACTGAGGAATTGAGTGTTGGGCGTAGTACGAACGTCGCATTTGATCAGAACTCTGATCTGGTCCTGGATTGCTTCTGTTTCTCGCAACAGACCCTTGGCAATGGAGAGGGTCTTCATGCGACCAGGATTGCGAATGTGGTCAACGTGCGCGTCGGCGAAAGACTCGGCACGCTGGATGAGGTAGTTGGAGTATCTGCGGATGTTCTGACCCTGTGTCTGGACNTGTTTGACCGTGTCAGGGCTTACGTATGGGACTATAGGGTGAAGAGGAAGCGTACCATCGGTATAGCTGTTGATAGCCAGGCGATTCTTGGGCGCGGCGGCCAGGTACTTGAGAGTCGCATCGCGCTCTCCTTCTTTGATCATCAGATGTACAATGATCAGGGCCTTGAAGCAGATTGTCCAGGTCGTGTCGCGTAGACGCTCTTTCAATGTACGGAAGATCTCGGCGACTCCGGCCTCGCCGCCAGATGTGGCCAGGAGGATGTGTTCGACATATTTGGACTTGGGCGGCGCAAGNCTATCATCGAGGACCATCAGCGAACATGAACGGTGGGTAGGTGCAGTAGCGTTGAGTACCTTGACCTTGGTGCCGCCTTTGACCGACTTCTCGACCGAGCTCGACATTGGGCGCGCGTGACTGCTCGTGCTGTCTAGGACTGTAGGGACGTGACGGAGTGTCTGCGCTGTCTAGTTCATGCTGTTTCCAAACGGCAGGCGCGTTCGTCTGAGAATGGTTCGTCTAAGGATGGTTACAGGTGCAACTCGGTCATCTCGGATCGGAATCCCAAACGCGCTATGACGATGAGTAACGTGCGCCGTCAATCTTGTTTGTGCATGTTCACTTGAAGTTATGCATGTCACAAATCATGTTACGGTCACACCCCACTGGTCAAGGATGTGCAACCTGTTGATGATGTTGTTTCTTCTTCGCTTGGTCGTTGAAGGTAGTGGAATAGAAACATAGTTCCACCAACTTTCATGAGATTGACACTAGCGTGACATTTCACTGCTAAGGAGGGGGAAGGGAAAAAACAAATGGAGAGAAAATGATACAAGACTATCTAATCATATACCACACCTACCAACTATGAGTTGAAGGCGCAGAGAACCTTCCAAGTAGCAATTGAATCAGAGATGCCATCTTCGCGTCCGTTTGGTAACAAGGGGGTGTGCCGAACGCAGATCTCATGCCGCCGCAACTCTGCCATAGAGCCACTTGAGCCTCCGAAGAGGAGAGCTCTATAACAAAGCTGCGGACGACTCGACTGATACACACTAGGCTTTCATCATCTGCGCGGTTTGTTAGTTAGAGGTCTCTGCGCGGCTGTAGCAAATGTGCACTCACTTTTTTTGAACTTGGAAGGTCATGAAAGTTTCAAATCCATCGCGACGCGCGACGAAGAAAACCATGCCCATGGCAAAATCTCGGCTGTCCCACCGGCCTGACCCGTCACTTCTTTACAAGCCATCATGAACATGAGATTTAATTCTGATACTCACATTTGTGTTCATCTCATTAGCTCAAGTCGAGATTGTATGTCCTGATGCTGCATAGCAAGCTTCCGCATGCCGTATCTTGCGGACGTATACTCCAAAATGCATCCTTGAAACCCTTACGCCGGTCGTGGGCATTCCGACCATCAGTGTCAACATATAATGCAAGAAGCTTTTCCTCAAGTCGGAGATATCTAACCGAGGACGCGGATAAGCTGCTGTCTGAGTTCAAGGAGAATNTGTGAGACGGATTTTACCCAAGTTCGACCACCCACTGACAATCCGCTTCAGTCCACTTCCCTTCGGCAACTTGCAAGCTGGAGAATGTAGTCACCAGAGAAGTTGGAGAAGACATTGTGCTCCACGGCTATCTAGGTACACAACGGCAAGCTGGCAAGAACTTGCTCTTCGCCGAACTTCGGAGTACATCTCTATCACATTCTATTCAATTGGTCGCCTCGAACAAGACCAACACTGAAAGAGAATCTACTTTCGAGAGACTCAGTACGCTGAACCTCGAGACGCCAGTAGCCATCGAGGGAAAGATCAAGAGTCGTAAGGCCAAGCCATCTTCATACAAAGCAGATGAAGGGGCTATGCAGCAGATAACAGACGTCGAGATCGAACTGACCAGAGTATTTCCACTCAATCACTTTCCCAAGGATATCATGGTCACCCAGGACTCGGTGTTCTCTGCAGAGCAAAGACATTTGCAACTACGTATGGAAAAGCCGCTCCGAGATGCGCTAGCGTTCAGAAGTAAAGCAGCCAGCATTTTACGCACAGAACTCTGCGAAGGCAAGGACTTTGTCGAGATTGAGACACCTTTATTGTTCAAATCCACTCCCGAAGGTGCTCGCGAGTTCTTGGTCCCTACTCGTACGCCCGGCCTGGCATACGCTCTACCTCAAAGCCCCCAGCAGTACAAGCAGATTCTGATGGCAAGCGGTATCCCTCGTTACGTGCAGTTCGCCAAGTGCTTCCGAGACGAAGATCTTCGTGCTGATAGACAACCGGAGTTTACACAAGTGGATCTGGAAATGTCTTTCGCAACTGGAGAGGATGTGATGAACACAGTGGAGTCTGTTGTCAAGACGCTCTGGCAGAAACTCCTCGGTATCTCTCACGATGACCCGTTCCCACGACTTTCGTACGAGGATGCGATGTCAAGTTATGGCTCCGACAAGCCTGACGTGCGTCTTGGATCCAAGATTTCACGCGTCGAGTATATGCTACCAGTGGACTTAATCCGCAAGATTGGTCCACTGCTCGACCTAATTGTTGAGGTGCTCAAGATACCCATCTCGGACAACGCAAAGGAAACCCGTGAGTTTGTGACTCGTTTCATGGACTCGCCAGAAGCCAAGCCATTCAATGAGAACCCAGAAGGTCAGCCTGGCATCTTCATCTACGATCCTCGCAAACCACTATCCGGTCTATCCGTCTTCGGTTTTGAAGCTGCAGAAACGATAGAGGAAACACTGGATCTTGAAGAAGGTGATTTGATCGTCCTTCAAGCTCGTAAGAATGCACCTCATGCAGGTGGTTCAACGCCACTGGGAAATTTGCGTCTGGCTTTGCACAGATTTGCCGTGCAACACAACTATATGCCTGCTCCACAAGGATTCGAGTTCCTCTGGATCACCGACTTTCCCCTATTCTCGCCCTCTGTAGCAAACGAGCCTGGTCAAGGTGGTGCTGCAGGTTTGAGCTCTACGCATCATCCTTTCACAGCTCCGAAAACAGCTGAAGACGTGGATTTACTGCTTACCGACCCAGCAGCTGTCAAGGCGGAGCACTATGACTTGGTAGTAAATGGAGTCGAGCTTGGAGGTGGTAGTCGCAGAATCCACTCGGCGGCTATGCAGCAATTTGTGCTGCGTGAAGTTCTGAAGATGAGTGAAGAACGACTCAAGGACTTCGACCATCTCATTGAGGTGTTGAGAGCAGGTTGTCCGCCACATGCAGGCATGGCATTGGGTTTCGATAGACTCATCGCTGTCATGCTTGGTAAAGAAAGCGTCCGAGATGTGATCGCTTTCCCCAAGAGTGGAAGGGGTGAGGATTTACTCGTCAAGAGTCCGACACGCATGACCGAAGACCAACTCAAAACATATCATTTGAAGCTTCGAGAATGAGCTATATACACTCCACTGTATCATATATGTACAAATAGTCCAAAAGGAAACTACTCTAACTCTTACCCCATCCTTCCAGGTTGACAACCTCAGGCTCACCACCACTCCTCACAATCACCCACTCGACCTCTTCGTCCCCGTCATTGACCTCCTGATGCTCCTGATACGCAGGAATCAAAGCAAAATCTCCTGACTTCAAGACCTGGCGTTTCTTTCCGCCTTCGCTGACAACAGCGCCTTGACCTCGCACGGCATAGACGATGGTATCTTCGGCGCCGTGGTGGTGAACGTCTGAAGCAGAGTGTGGAGAGGCCAGCATAATGGAGCTGCAGATTGATGCCATCTTTGTTATGGCCGGCATGCGGGTCATGCCTNNTGTATATCTTAGCCATGTTTATGGTGATATTGGGATGCAGGTTTGCCCACCATCTGTTTGGCCGGAGGAAGAGGGTTGGATGTCGGCAGACTTGACGACGTGCACTCCCTTAGAAGACATGATTGAATTGATTATGTAAAGATGAAAATATGTCGCGACTGAAGTAGTTGACAGAGACGTGGAAACATTGAACCCATGGTTCCTGTTCTAGGTTCGGTTCGTTCCTTGACGTAATCACTTGCCTTTGTTCTGACGGATGTTACGGATGTTCATAGTGGACTTTCCAGGAGTCATGATCGCGAATTGGAGCAAGTCACAAACGAGCAAACCGACAACTAGTCGGTCTGATGCCATTTACCGTCTCACATGTCATGTCGCAAGATCGTATGCAACAATCAAAGGTCCTCGGCGCTCGTGACAGATGCGGATTTCGGATTGCGGAGCGGTTCAAAAGCTGGGGAAACATGTGAAAAGATACCTCGGTACCTCGGCAGGGACATAATCACAGCCTTTTGATTCGCTCTCGTGTCCGTTTCTCTGACCTTTGACCAAGAACGCCGGTCTGCTCCTCGTGACTTGGAGGTATGTTGTTAGCGGGTGGGCGGAAGACGTAAACGGGAGGTCAAAAGGCTGACATGTGAAGAAAGGAAAACGGATATTACCCTTTGGCTCCTTCCCTCCCTTGCTTCTGTCTTCGACCTTTACCAAGCCTACAGATTCTTGCGGGTACATACATACACTATACACCATGTCAGGCACATATTCAAAGGCCGATGTGCAATCGCACAACAAGGCCGACAACCTCTGGATCATCGTTGACGACGATGTCTATGATCTGACCAAGTTCCAGGTGAGAGCGAAGCCACGGTCATGGCGCTCGGTGCTCGGTTTGCTAACGCATTCGANNCAGGAAGAGCACCCTGGTGGAAAGAAGATTCTCCAACGAGTAGCTGGAAAGGATGCCAGCAAGCAGTTCTGGAAGTACCACAATGAGAGCATTTTGAAGAAGTACCAGAAGCAACTGCAGGTTGGCTCTCTGGACTCAAAGACAAAGGCTGCACCACCCACACCTCCGGCCACTCCTCCTCCAGCAGCGAAGAAGGAGAAGGAGATTGTCAAGCCTGAAGCCGAACCTGGTTTCGTGGCTCCTGAGCCCGGAGCTGATGCCAAAGAGGCTGCCGAAGCTCTTGATCAGTTTGGTGACATGATTCCTGGTGGTGATCCTAACTGGTACCAATCTGTATGTTGTTCTAAATGCACACTGCGAAAGCGTACTAACCAATCGCCAGNNTACCACTCGCCCTACTTCAACCAATCTCACGCCGATCTCCGCGCCGAAGTCCGAGAGTGGATGGATAACGAAATCATACCAAACATCACCGAATGGGACGAGGCTAAAAAAGTGCCGGACTCAGTATACAAGGCTATGGGTGAGCGCGGATACCTCGCTGGTCTCATGGGTGTCCACTATCCCAAGAACGTCACCGACAAGCGTGTCAAGTCCGTCGCCCCTGAGAAATGGGATCTGTTCCACGAGATGCTCCTCACCGACGAGATCTCGAGATCTGGCAGTGGTGGCTTTGTCTGGAATCTCATCGGTGGTTTCGGCATCGGTGCTCCTCCAGTCCTGAAGCACGGAAAGAAAGAGCTCGTACAGAGAATCATGCCTGGTATCCTGAGCGGAGACAAGAGAATTTGCTTGGCCATCACTGAGCCTGACGCTGGTTCCGATGTCGCCAACCTCACTTGCGAGGCTAAGCTCAGCGAGGATGGCAAGCACTACATCGTCAACGGTGAGAAGAAGTGGATCACCAACGGTATCTGGTCCGACTACTTCACCACTGCTGTCCGCACTGGTGGAGAGGGCATGAACGGCGTTAGTGTTCTTCTCATTGAGCGCAGCTTCGGTGGCGTTTCGACCAGAAAGATGGACTGCCAAGGTGTCTGGTCGAGTGGCACAACATATGTCACCTTCGAGGATGTCAAGGTACCAGTAGAGAACCTGATTGGCAAGGAAAATCAAGGTTTCAAGGTTATCATGACAAACTTCAAGTAAGTTTCATCAGCTGCCGACACATACAGAACAGGTACTGACAGCAGCTACAGCCACGAGCGTATTGGTATTATCATCCAGTGCCTGCGCTTCTCACGCGTCTGCTACGAGGAGTCGATGAAGTACGCACACAAGCGACGCACCTTCGGCAAGAAGCTCATCGAACACCCCGTCATTCGTCTTAAGCTAGCCCACATGTTCCGTCAGATCGAAGCATCGTACTCGTGGATGGAGAACCTTATCTACCAATGCCAGCAGATGAACGAAGTAGAGGCCATGCTGAAACTCGGAGGTGCCATTGCCGGTCTCAAAGCTCAAGCAACCACCACTTTCGAGTTCTGCGCCCGCGAGGCCAGTCAGATCTTTGGTGGTCTCAGTTACAGCCGTGGTGGTCAGGGCGCAAAGGTCGAGCGCCTCTACAGAGATGTCAGAGCGTACGCCATCCCCGGTGGCAGTGAGGAGATTATGTTGGATTTGAGCATCCGCCAGTCCCTGAGGGTGCACAAGGCTCTGGGCATGAAGCTGTAAGAGCGCAGCACTACACCATTAATGCGAGCAGGCTCTATGTCTCAAGTTCTCTGTCTCTAGCCGTGGTCAAGTGCCTTGGGCTTGGTTCGATAGCAAGCAGAGTAGCGATACCCTTAACATGAAATGAAATGAAGACATCACTATTCGGTTTCGCAAACGCAGCAGTCTGTCCATTCCGAACTGTTGGGCCTTGTAGTCACTGTGTTTCTTACTCTCAATCCGAGCCAAGCGAGCCTCTTCCCTATAGCAGTACTCTGCATGATTCAGCTACGCGCCAGCAAGCCCACTCGACACGTCAATTTGGTTGGGACGTGTTTGATACCATGCCCAAACTTGTCCATGCAGAGTCCCCTGTGCTTCTTCTGCAGTCAAGATGAAGCGGCAAGATCGAAAGTGTTCAATGCAGGCCATGCGGAGTGCCTCGATCAAACATTTGGAATTCATCTTCGTGCGTAAGAAAACGAGTGCTGCAAGCGAGCAGCAACCCTTGATTTTCCTGCAAGACATGCGTCACTAACTCCGCCCTTGTTTTTCGAGGGGTTCCTCTTCTTTGAACTCTCAGCCCTTTTTGTGGGAACTTTTAAATGACTTGCATGATGGATTTGTTTGCAACAAGTGGGAGGTCCTGTTTGGTTTCCGAGTTTTGACCAAGGCAATTTATCGTCGGCTCTCTGGCCTTGCCCTCTTCTTTTGCATGGCGTGAACCCCGCTAGATCCTCTGACCGTGTCATGCATGGCTATTTGGCATCTATGCTTTTCAGCATCTGTTGAAATCGAAAACGCAACTGTTGTTGGCAAGGGACAGTGGTGGGGAAAATGGAGGGTTGATCTGTCAAAAGCGGGAAGGAGCGGTCCGTTGCCTTTTCTTTGGACGCCATCATCGCCAAACTATCCTTTCGCAACGACGTGAACTCACTCGACACAAACAGGGTGTGCGACCAAAACATGCAATGATCCTTCTCAGGGGTTCGTATGTAACCAGACCCAAATCGCCGGTGTGACACGGCGCGGCGAAGCTGCATGGTTGTGCAACAGCCTTACCCAACGAGGCAAAGGCTTGACAGCCATCTCCACATCGTGTCCTTTCTTTCCCTTCTAGTTGACCTTTTCACCCACTGGCAATGCAACACAGCAAAGCCATGTTTCGAAGTCGATACGTCTTATCTTACTTGTTCATCATGACAGGGCTGTCAGGACAGCGGGAGATCCGCACTCTACGATCGGAAATCTCCAGGTAGAATAACGCAATATCGGTAGGCTGTCCTGAAGGCTGACGTTTGGTGTCTTTTGGACAGGGAAACATGACATGCATTGCCCGGACCATCTTTACCTCTTCTCTGCAAGCTTCATCGAGACGTTGGAGTTAGGAAGCGGCGGTCCCGAAGGCTAGGGTATGCAGATGCAGCAACCCAGGCGCAAGGTACAGCACCGGGCCTCCTTGTTGACGATCGACTTCTTTTCTGCTTTGACTCTGCTTTCGTGCAGCGCGTTTGGCCGCCTTCGTTTCGTTTCGTCCGTTCGCGATCTGATGCCGTTCATATTGGTCCCGAGCGTCCATCTGCTTCTTGTTTTGTCTATCTGTCCCTCTCTTGTCCCCTCGTGGGTAGTGTTCGATCCTTCGTCCTTTCTTTTATCATCCAACTATCTCACCCGTTACGCGTTTTCTGTCAACTCACCGTCCTTCGTATCCAGATTGTACCGGTGTACCTGATTGATAAAGACATCTTGGCTTTCGCGTAACCAAATCATGGCATCAACAGAGGTAGGTGTATACATAATCACATTGCTGCCCTTCTACTATGGAAAGGGACAGGCTTCTGGATATTCGTAGAATAGAAAAATGCTGACCTTTCAGGCGTTACATCAACACCGCTTCTCGCAACAGCAGCCACAACATCACGAACCTCAAAGACTATCAGGCATATACCAATACCACAATGCACCAGAGGTGCTACCCGAACATGGACTCGAGTACGATGACAACACATATCCTGTCTCGGACAAGTACCCAGTGACCAGTATGGACGACTATCCTGCAAGTTTTCGTGCACAGCAGTATCGCGACAACAGCAACAGACCACCTCGAATCATTTTTGGGATGAAAGTGCGATCTTTTCTGCTCGTGGCATTCGTGTTTGTTTTGATAGTGGTTGGTGCGGTGGTGGGAGGCACGGTGGGGCGTAATGCATCTCATGCCACGAGCGCTGAAGCACTGGCTAGTGAGAGCTCGTACGTTACACTGCTGATTTGTCGTTACTGCTGTATACTCACACACTTCCAGGNNCCATCATCAACAGCATCGCAATCTTCAGGCGGTGTCCGCACAATCGCTGCAACAGAACCAACCACAACTCCAGTAACATCAACCACTGCATCAACAACAGCACTTTCAACACCAACTTTTGTACCTCTCTCTGCGTGTCCAACTGCAAACAACACTCTCTACACCTCAAGCAGCTCCAACACATCATCTCTCATTCCTTCAACCGACAACACCACAACACCTATCGAACTGACATACACTCGCTACTGCGACACCAACCCGCCTACAGACTTCCAACCCCTGACTTCTGGCTTCGTATACACATTTGACGACTGCATTGAAGTTTGTGCAACCTACAATGCCTATGCTGGCGGATCGACAAGCTGCAATGTAGCTGTATACGATGTCAAGCAAACACGACCTATCAACTGTGTAGTTGGAAATTCGCAAAACGCCAGTGCAGAGAGTTTAGGTGTTGATGGTGGTCTTGCTGTTGCATTGCTTAGATCTTCGACATGAGTGTCTGCTTGTTTGGTACAATTTTTCCTTTGTTTCTGCATCTCTCTGGTTTAACACTTCTGGTCGCCAAAGGAGAGAATTGGGGAGGAGGGTCTTTTGTGTATCTGAGGTGTTATGGAAAGAAGGGACAAAGCATGATTTATTATGACAACTGATACTAGGATATTTGCATTGGGGAAGAAGAAGGAAGATTACATTGTAAGGTATGTATACTATCGAAGGACTAAATAGTTAATCATCATCTTTTTTTTTGTGGTTCATATCGCCTGGGGACCACCAATGTGATATACTTTGTCCACTTCTTTCTTCTATCTGCGCCTTTGATTGTAGTTGTGTGTTACTTGCTCCATCCGCTCTCTGCAGATTGCTCTTATCCAATCCTTCCGTCTTTGCTTTTGTTTGGTGAAGAAGAATGAACCTGCGATATGATCGTACGTTTCAAACTAAAAGCTATATACAGTAAGAGATATAGTCACTTCAAAGAAGAATGTAAACAGTAAAGAGAAAGTACTACTAATAAAGGTATCAGCTAATAGTAAAAAAAAACACTCTATATAGAATTTCTAGTTAGTTATAATATTTAAACTGAGGATTAAATAATGGGTAGTTATAGCTCCAACTGAAAGCTAAACTTAGAATACGATAGTTGTAGTAATAATACACAAACCATATACTTGTATTATCCCTAAGAGTTAACCATTAGCCCTTCCATTTGTTACCTGTAGATTTTTGATCTACATTTTTTCGCATGTGCTTCTTCTCTGCTTGTTTCTTTACTATTCTTGATGAAGCAAAATCGATAGCTTGCGTGATGTTATATGTTAGCGCCGCGTCTGTGTACCCTCCATCGTAAGGCTGGCTTATTGCAGAAACAAAAAATCTTCTATATGAGAGAATCTCAGATTCGTACAATGCAGCCTCAGGGGGCGACAGAATACTTCACAGGGCTGGAGGGATGCATTGTTTTCATGCTGAAGAGGTGGGTATAGCGATGCCCAAAATATTGAACAGAGTAGACACTTCTAGCGGATGTACATCAAGGTCGGTGTGTGCTGCATATGTATTAACGGCAGCAATGGGTCGAGTCCTCTGGAGAACACAGTTGCATCATGGTAACATCTAGATAGAAGGAATTTGGTTACAAGGAAACACCAAGACAACGGGGTTGATGATAATTGCATCAACGCTGGGTTGTGACAAATGCAATAATTGCATTGGATTCGCTTTACATGGTTCCGCAATCGAATCCATTTCGCTGCTGAGGCGTCTGGATCTAGGTAATTTGTGCATCATCGACAAAGTTCTGCGGATGCTAGCCACAGAAAGGCCGTAGGTTGATCAGGGCGTGCAAACAAGGGAAGAGCGAAATTCAACATCTTGGTATGGAACCAGGATCGGTTAGATGTAAAGGAGTTCTGCAACCTCAATGTAGCCAGATGAGTCAATCTCAGCTGCCACCCAGTGGACACCACCGAAGTTGCATGTGAAAACAACCTTGGTTGCATCAGATGACATTCGAGCGCAAGGCCATCCGAATGTTTAATCACAGCACAGGTGAGTGATTGGGGAGAAACTGGGGTCGTAGTTTTGGAGATGATGTTTCATTGGAGGTATCGTTAATGGTATCTATGTACAAAGGCTCGTCTTTCGTGAATCATGATGCCGAGTCAACTGGCATCTGATCTATGTATGCAAAAGTGAAGAACAGGAAAAGGTATAACAAGAGTAATGATTTACCTCAAATATAAAGAGGCAGCACACCCTTAGTAATTACGGCGATAAGGCTCATAAGCACCAGCATTCGAACGGTGGTAATCAGCACCATAAGGAGCAGCACTAGCATTCCACACGGGGCTCTGCGGCTCATGCATATATCCCGTTTCCTGCTTGTAGTACGAGTCTGCAGCACCGCCATCCACATGAGTGAGAGGCACAGCATCAGAAGCGCCGCGGTGGTGTGCATAAGGAGACTCGACACGCTCGTAGCCAGCGCCACTCTTCTCAGACTTTGTGCTTCTGCCTCTGTTGAGGAAACCAGCCTTGGGCAAGCCGAGTTCGGCGGCGGGAGCCTCCTTGTTGCGGATGTGGTGGGGTTGGATTTGCCCGAGCAGCAGCAGCAGCTGAAGAGCCAGAAGNAGGGTGGCGAGGAGGATGAAGGCGGTGGCGAGCCAGGTTACGGCAAGCATGTGGGTGGACAGGCTGACCTTGACACCGTAGTCCTTGAGCTTTTCGTGTAGGGTGGAGACGAGAATGCTGAACATGACTGTGGCTGTGATGGAGCCTCCAAAGATGAGGATGGTTGAGATGATGGCGCAGATCCAAGTGAGGAAGCTGCCGAAGCGCGAGCAGACGGCGAGGATACCAAAGACAATGGTGACAATTAAGGCCCATAGACCTGCAAAGTAGGCGGCGAACATCCACTTGCTGAGCTTCTTGTAGAGATCAATCGACTTGCGAGTGCTGCTGTCGAGGACCTTGTCGTAGAGAGCATCGGCGTTGCCAGAGACGTAAGACTCGAGCTGAGAGAGGACACCGCTATCGACATTAGATCCTGCAAGATCCGCAGCGGCGTCTTCAGTGGCGTTGAGAGCCTTCTCCAGACTCCAGACCTTGTAAGGGTTGAACCAGAAACCGGTTTGACGAGCGGAACAGTGAGTAATGTTCTGGCTGCTGGTGCCATTGCCACTGTCACAGTAATTCCAGAGGAAGATCTCGTACTTGTTGGAGATAAAGCCCTCCTCTTTGGCCAGGTTGATAACTGTACCCAAAGTACTACTGTCGGTTGTGAAGTTTGAGAAGTCGGCGCTGAAGAAGTGAAGATTGTTTAATGTTGTCGAGGATTTGCTGATGCCACCCAGATTGATGAGAAGAACGCAGACAAATGAAGCAATAGTCAACGCCATCGGCGTGAAGATGCATACTGCGCGCCCTGCCTTGCCCATGGTTGCTGGAAGATGATAGAAGTTGTTTAGTGTTGATACTGGTTCCTCCTAGGTGAGTGTCTCGCTAATATGTATTCCTGAAACCAATGTCGAGAAAAGTATACAGCGAATGTGAAATTGCGGAGGTGGCTAATAAAGGGTCCTTCACAGTGGAACAGGCGTTGGTGGGAAAAAACGAATTGCTGTTGTTGTGGCGACGGAGGAAGAGTAGACAGCCCACACGATGTTATAGGAAGGATGAGAAAACACTCAATCAGGCGAACCACATGGGTTTTGTATCAAACACCCAAGCACTCACCGGCACAGGCGATCCTTTTCGCGCATCCTCGACTCGTAGTCAGGCTGCCGCAGCCTTTGTCCGCAGGGGTGGCTGCGCAAACACTGCTGACGTACGTTTTTTTGGCTGCTCTTCCAACATCTGCAGTGCACTGTCCGTTCACTGGGTGAATCGCACCATGAATCCTTGGCTCAGATCAGCATCCTTGGGAGGTCAATCAAACACACCTCCAACCTCTCCTCTGCCGCCTCTTGCAGTCTCCTACTTGAAGCAAAGTCATCCTGTACCAAGGCTCCTCTCAACCATCTAGATTCAGGCAAAGAAAGTTCTCGGGCTGAGAGTGTTGTTTGCATGCCCAGACAAAGGCAACGCGGCCATTGTGAGCTTTTCTCCGTAGACCAACGCTATTTTTAGAAATTTGTGGCAGGGCAGGCAAACGCACACGGCCAAGAAAACACCTTCTCTCTCACCTTTTGGGCAAACTGGCTGGTCTACAAGGGTGAGTAAGAGTTGTGGCTGGAAGATGATCTCATGATAACGACAGCTCGTCGTCGTCTTATATACGCAGCCCATCACATTTTTCGTGACTTACGCATGAAACACTTGCTGTATGGTCGATTCTTGACTCGCACTGCAAGACCTGTGAGGTGCAGCTTTCACTAAGTCACACGAGGAACAATGATAGTAGTGCTATATTTTTGGTCGTTGATAAATGTGCTGGCAACGTTTTTGTTCTTGTTTCTATATCATGATCCAAGTAACTGCATGTTCGTGCCATAGCCAGGATCAGAAGAGCGACATGATTTTCCCTTTCCCACTTTCCACCTCTTTGATCTCATGACGATACAGATAAGAGAAAAGAGAAAAAGGCTGGTTCCTTCCGCGCCCGGGCGTCATGCCAGACAGGAACAGTGTGAAGAAGGGGGTGACGATAGAAGAGAAGGAGCTGTGCAAACATCGTCAAGCGACGGGAAAGAAACACTAGACATTGTAAAGAAGAACAAAGGTCGTCACTCTCGTGTAGAAGAGGATAGACCCAGAGCGCCTGTAACACCAAGCAAAGCAGACATAGACAGGAAATCGTATACCCCCAAGAGCCCGAAAGGTTTGAACGTGGTATAGCCCATAAAACAAGTCTCGTTTCCCAACGAGATCGAGTCCCAAACGCCGGAAGCTCCAAGATGAGATGGTAGGAAATGCATAACAAAGGAAATCGAGGTCGAATCTGTCGGCGCGGTCGTGAATGGCTCCGATATGTATAATGTAAAGTATGGGTATGAAGAATGTCGAAGCTCGAAGTTTGTGCCGCAGAGAGGAGAAGATGCCGAAATGTTGTTCAAGTAAAGATTATAAGGTTAGGTGTGTTGAGGCAGGTCAACATATGTTATTGCTGCTGTTGATCGCGAGGGTTGAAGAATTGGGCGTTCTGCTGGTTGCGAGCACGAGCGAGCTGAGCCTCTCTGGCACGCTCTTGTGCCTTGAGCATGTCTGCGTCGGGACGGCCAGGGAGCATGCGGCAGATTTCTCTTGACAAGCTCTCGATAACGTTCTGACGGAACTCCTTGTCCTCGCGGATGTCCTCGCCCTCGAGACGAAACTTGTCGGTCTTGTTCATGTCGCGACGGCGCATGTTCTTGATCTCGGCGATGATGTGGAGAACGGCGCTCTCCTGAGCCTTTGTTCGCGGTAGGCCGTACTTTCCAAAGTTGCGCACGTAGCGACGAGTGACGTCTTGGCAGCCATCGGCAGAGAAGGCGATGCAGTAAGCAAGCTTCTTCTTCCAGCCTGGGAGAAGGTTAGAACATGGAAAGCAACCAAGTGTTGGAAGGGGAGACATACCATGTGTGTACAGAAGAGGTTGATCCCAGACCTCTTCGACGGCATCGACATGCACCCAGCGCTTACGGTGCTCGCTGTATACCTCGGTCCAAACGTGGTCTTCGCTGTTCCATACCCAACGTACTCTGCTGCCGACTGCGCGACACAACATGCTGAAGCAGTTGGCCCACTCACCAACACGTCCTCTTCGTGTTTGAAGGAGGACAAAGGCGTCACTGTAGCGGGGGNNGAAACGTTCGTGAGCCTGGCATTGAGCGTTGGAGCATTGGTAGATCTCGACACGGTTGGCACCACGGGCTTGCTCGTCCGGAAGAGGAGCGGCCATACCGACAGCAATAGTGGGTGCGTGGCAGGCACCACACTTGGGGTTGTTGATCCATTGGAAGAAGTGGCGCTTGAACCACTTCATAAGGGCTCTGACGACACAGTCCTGGTAACCCCAGGCAGGCTTAGTGTTAGGTCCTAATGATGCAGCCTCGGCCAGGAAAAGGTCGCTCTCTTCTTGTGCTTGGTCGTAGATGCGTTCCAGGGGAATTGAGCGAAGGGCTTCATCCAGCAGACCAGGGTTTTCCCATTTACAGGGAGTGTTGGACAGGGAGAGGAGCATGGAACGGAAGCGCAACGAGTTTCTATCTGACGGGGCGGTTGCGACCAGCGGAATATTGCGGAGAGACGAATATGATGGCGGGGCATTTGGCGATTGTTGCTGCTGTTGTGTGGTGTTTCTAGTGAGGGCATTCATGCGCTTTGTGCTGAGAGTACGACGGAACTGGTCCGTCAGATCCTTGGCCCATGTCTCATTGAGGCCTTCGGGTACTGCTGGGCGCCTGCCTCGGCTGGTCGGTGTGCGGCTAGCCATGGTTTGAAAAGATAGACGGAGCCGTCTCGATATAGCGAGACGTGGAAATCCGTGGAGTCGTGGTAGTTAGAGAATGCGAAGATTGAAAGTGAGAGGCGTGCGGCTTGGACAGTGTCGTAGTGGGTGGGTTGGATTGCACAGCCCCTTGGCACCTAGATCGTCACTGTTTTGCAATAGGCGAATTATCAGCGATAGACTCGGTCGCTGTTTGTGTCGTTAGAAGGCGCGAGTTGCGGCGCTTCAAAGGGACGGTGTTCAAGGAGCGACGATGGTTTGCACGGAGGCAGGTGTGAGAGAGACGGGCAGATTATGGTCAGCCTCTGCCTTCGCGGCCACGCAATGCACCGGCGAACACGACGCGCACTCCAACGCTTGGACCATTGAAGAAGGCTGACGACGCCTTCCGCATTTGCAATGTCCTTCCACCCAATCCCCGTCCACGTCGTCCTTTAGCGGAACTTCTCCAGCAAACAAGTCCACTTTATCGTCTATCTGATAGCCTACTGAGCCTATGCTTCGTACTCCATTGCTACCTCAGGCAGAGATGCGCATATCTGATGGTCGTCTTGATTGTTCCAGAATTCGTCGTGTCTCATCGAGTCATCAATCTGCGCTTAACATATCTGATCTTTCCCACGTTGCGTGGCGTCGATAATCCGCTGCCGAGCCCTGAAGCCACCACCCTTTGCCGTCGACCTGACGCTCTCTAGAAACACTCGCTGTCTATTTTTCGAGAATGTTCAAACACATCCATACTCGCCCGCGCAATTTGAGAAACACTTTTCTTTGTTTTGATGTCTTCCCTAGGCTTCTTGCTGTCGCCTTGCCACACAACAGTCTCCATTTTCATATTGCAACCCACCCTGCAGCACAAAGGTTGCTTGTCTAGCCTTTGCAGCCGTTTGTTCTGTTGCTTAAAGGGCCCGAGGGCCCTGCCCAGAAGGCTTGACGTGTGAACACTTTTGCCCGTCCGCCCGCTTTTTGCCTATTGCGGCTCTAGCCCCCTTTTGCCCTTCATGACTCGTAACCCTTTTCTCGAGCATCCCCACGCTTTTCCCTGGGACTGTTTCTTTTGCTGTACTTGATTCGTTGATCATCCACACACACCTCCTTCTTGGCTCATCAGACGTGGGGACGCGTGCCCCTCCATCGATACAGCAGCGATGCTCTGCAGGCAAGAATTGGCTATGCCCCGCGAGATGTGTTTCATGACATTCGACAATCAGTTCGTTGAACATCTACTGCCTCCATCGTCGACCTATCTCTCACTGTCGTCAGGCATCGGATGATGCAGCAATTGACTTTTGGTTTTGTCATGTCTCCGTATATTGGCTTTTCTTGCTTCTTCTTTGCAGATGCTGCGCCTCTCTCTCCACGTCTTCGACAGCACCTTGCTGACGTGTGCTTCACTGCTTCCTATCAAGTGACTTGTTACGCAGACCACACGTCGGGAGAACTTGTCCTGAAGTAGACTTGACAGAGGGGTGCTTTGTGTGTCCCCTTGCCATGCTCATATGACTCGTTGCATGTTGCTGTACGAACTATGGATTTCTTGCATTGCGCATGCTGATAACCAGAGACACCTCACTAGGTGCGTTGACAAGGTATGCGCGTTGTGTTGCATCTGGCTTTTGCGCCTCAGCCTTACGCCTTATCCTACTCGACATGATCCAACTCTTTACTCGTGATGCGTATGGCATGTCGCCAGCCGCGTTGCCAGATTCTCCAAGCTTTCAAACCTGATCTGATGTCGTGCCCACGTGCGTACGAGGCAGGTACGCCGTCGACCCTCCCATCACCGCACCTGGTGGATACCTGGGCTGCTGCTGCAACTCAAATTCATCTTCTTCGGTTGAAGACGCGTCCCACTCGTCACGCCGTCTATCAGACATGGTACCAGCCAATCCCCCAGACGGGAACGGTGCTGCATGCGTCGCCAGCATCGCTTGGCTGTCCGAGCCTGTGTTTCTCGAGTGCTGTATGTGTCTTCTTTGCGACGGTAGTCCTTGTGGGTCCGGTCCATTTCTGCCATACGGCTCGTATGCCGTTGATATGGCTGCAGGTGGTGGTGCCATTTCCTGTCCCCAGGTCCTGATGGGATATGCACGGCCTTTGCGCCAGGTCTCGCTGACGGGAGGAAAATACTGACGATAAGATAACCAAGCACATGCTATACCAAGCAGACTTCCGGTGATCACGTCAAAGCTGCGATGCGTGTCAGTATTCGTCCGCCAAGTTGATCAATGTCTCACTTACGGATGATGCCTCGCGTCCATGATTCTGCTTGCTGCGATCAAGGCCGCGCCTAGAGACGGGATGATGACAACAAAGATCTTCCATACTTCACCTCTTGAGTCCCAGATATGGAGCTTGGCTGCCAGGTATAATGACAGATAGAAAAGTCCGGCGAACGANACCTGAAGAAAACACGTCAGCTCATCACTATCTCTTCGCCATATCGCCCAGAGTCACTTACTGCTCGAGTGTCCTGAAGGAAAGCTTCTGAAACCATCTCTAAGGATGCTCATATCGGTTTGTGTGCATATAGTCGAGTTTGACAATCCATACGGAGATGGGTCAACCGATCCAGCCACTGGTTGGCACCGATCAATAAGATCGGGACGTGGCTTGCCGACCGTGTTTTTAAGTGCGCCTNNATGCCATCCATGAGCTGATCGATTCTCGCCAACAGTCGTCGTCTGTGTGAGTTTACCTGTGATGACGAAAGCGGTGCCTTCTGACAAGGCCAAGCCCAAGATACCGCAATTGAGTTCCCATAGCCTGTCGACAAGTCTGTAGCGTCCTAGTCTTCTGCCAGTACCTTCAGCGTCGGTGGGTTGTGAGTGTGCAAAGAGTCCGTCAACAACTAGCGTCCAGAAGCAGATGATGGCAGCAGGGCACATAACAACGATGACATAGCATATGCCTGCCGGCACTCGTTCGTGTACTGCATAAGGATATNNCTTCCTCAAGTTAGCCAAGTTCGTTCCCGGGAAGTTTAAGACGCAATACTGTAACGTGTAGTTCTGGAGTGCAAAATGTTGTCGAAAGCCACTANNTTGTGAAACGTGATGTTAATCTCCAGTTTTGAGCCGTTGGCTTTGCGCATGTTGGCCTTACTCGATTTTGTCAATAGCAAGAAACAGTATTGCCAGAATNTCTGTTTTAACGCATGTCATCAGAAGGGTCAAACGTATTCTGGCTCAAAGACGTCCTTACACAATAATCACATAGTCGAGGATATATNNCTGGTGCAAAGTCAGCATTCCTTCAAAAGACAGCACGCGACACATGTATACTCACGATATTACCACTTTTGCAGGCAACGGCTTGCTCGAAAACGGCAACTTCATATTCCGTAGGGCGTCCATGTAAGCAACAATACCATAAAAATGATATGTGTATCGACCAAAAATCAAGACAAGTAAGAGGCGGAGGTGAATGAGATGACAAGGCGTCTGTGACCCCACACCGAGCTGGTCGAAGAATGTCACTGTCGGAAGGAGCTATGCTGAGTCGCGTGCCTTTGGGTTTGGTTTGGCAAGAAAATAGAAAAGAGAAGTGGGAGATCTGTATGCGCTCAGCCCACCAGCAAACACATCACATCCTCAAACATAGAAAGATGCGTGTTTCATGGTGGCTGTGATTGAGGCTTGGTCCCAAGACAAGCGCTTGGCTACTGCACCTCCTTATGAAACAGACTTCAGGCGGCTGTGATGAGTCAAGTCGCAAGAAACATTTTCTACAGTGAATCCTATGATAGGATACGCCTATAAGCATACAGTGTATTCATAGTCTGCGACGGACTTGAACATTCTAAGCACTCGAGGTGCAAGACAGGATGGCTGTGTTCAGCTATTTCTCATACCGAAGCATGACACCAAAGTCTTCTTGACTATCTTTACGACAATTGGATATAACATTTGGCATACACAACACACAAGAGTGGGGGAAATGGTTCTCAAGTCATTGATGAATAGTTTGATCTCTCAGAATGTGTTTTGAGGTCTGGCTATATCGTCGTCGACCTTGATTTTGTTAGCTAGACCCACAACCCTGGCCGTCTCATGCTCGGATCAAGAACATCCGAGAAGCCGAGCTAAGCAACTCCCAGCCTTCTAGCCATCTCATTATGGTTGTTTTCCACAGGTCGTTATGGTCCCTTGTGACAGTTGTAATGTCACCTCCGTAGACCTCAAGCGAAACAGTGGCCCATGCGAATAGGTAGGTGTCTAGGCTTCAATTGTCATCCGAGTTCGATGACTCCGATTCTGATCTCCAATTCAGATAACGTGAAGTCATCTCGTTAGCAAGGCGCACCATGAACACAGTGTTGAACAGCGATCCGTCTTTGAGTTTTTGCGCGAATGATTTGCAAGGCGCCTTTGTGGCTCCTTCTTCTTTGAGCTCGAACACGCGATCTAGAATATTGTCGAAAGCCACTTCTGGAAGGTCTGTGTCGGTGTATCTGCATGAACCTGGCCCACAGAAATCTGTAATGTAAGAAAGGTATTTGTCTGCGAACGGCTCTTGATACATTGTGGAATTGAAGCGCCTCAGATAAGTGCGAGCCACATCGTCGCGTCCATGCTTTTTTGCAAGCAGGTAAAGTTCAGCGAAGAATGATGGATCTTGCTTGATGTCGGGAACCGGGTACTCGGGGATATACATGTCTTCGATGAAAGTTGCGACCGCGGCGGAGCTGTTTTCATTCCTGAGATCAATCTCTGCACTCTTTGGTGAGGTTAGCGAATCGAGCTGGCTGGATATTTTTCTTTTGACAGCACGACTGACCTTAGAAGAGTCCGCGAGCATCAACGCAAACTTGCGTGAGTGAGTTGCGAGAATAATTTTGTGAGCCACAATCGTTTTGTCAACGCCGTAAGTGATGCAGACGTCAGAGAATCTCTTATCATCGAAGAAATTCTTTGTGTTCCTTAACATAGTCTGTGATCAGCCTACATCCAGGAGATAGTGAAGCAGACCTACCTCTGTCTCGCCTCGACTCCAATCAGACTGTAAGTCCAATCTTTCGAGAGGCGATTGGCTTCTTCATGAGGGATGTTCTTGGACTTAAGCATATACTTCCCGAGTTTAATGCCGAAAGCAGACGCATGTTTGTTGTCAAACAACTCTCCTTTCATATACTTCTGGAGAAACATTTCGTTCTTGAACAGTGACGAAGAATATTCCTGGCAGAGATGTATGGTCAGGGCTTGCAATGTGTCATCGGCAAGCTGGAAGCAAGAGGGTCCGCATATCCTGGCAATGTGCTTGACGAAGATGCTCCCCGAACGTTTGGGTTTTACGCAGTTCCCGAAGATCTTTGAGTGCCATTTCATTGAAAGCCATGGCCATCGTGCGACGAAGTCCTCGGATGTCGTACTTGTCAGCCAGCAAGTAGGCATTGATAAGTTGGCCCATCGATAGGCGATCTGGACCTTTGTTGTAGTCGAAGATAGGTCCATGGTGGTACAGATATTTGATCACATCTGTAAGCAGTTGAGGATCGTCTTCATCGCCCACATCGATAACAGTGTTCCATGCAACCNNTATTTGAGTCAGTCAAGCACTTCTTTAATGGTGAGGAGCATGTACCTGGAAGAGACCGAGAAACGCAGTTGCGAAGTATCCAGATTGCTGAGCGAGAATGACTTTGTGTGCGCGGATTTGATGTTCGCCAAACTTGATGATGATGTCGGAATACTGCTCGTTGTCGTAGAAAGCAGCCGTAAGGCTATCTACTGATGCCATGGTGTGATTACCAGAGAGGAGCGCGCAGTTGATCGAAAGAATGGAGGGAAGGTTGAAAGGCTGGCGCAGAAGTGGCGAGGTGGAAGTATTGGTGAAAGTGGGAAGCGCGACTGTCTTTGCGAGGGTCAACCTGCGTTTGTGATTTTCACTTGTTGAGGAAGACTCACATCAAAGGTTCCGGAACAGGTGTCTCAGTGAAGTTGGTTTGGCGTCTACATCTGTTGAAGTGGCAGTTTGTTATCATTCGCTTTTGCTTGGATAGATTGCTCGACCGACCCACCATCACTTTCGATTGCTCTCAACCTTTGCTTGCGCTGGTCGCTCTATCAATAACACTGAGCCCCATCACCCTCCATTGTTCTTGACCACAAGCTTACTCAACTGCATAACATCAAAGAACAGCGATCAAAGCGAAACACGGACAAGGAAAAAACAAACGCATTGAAATTACAGACAATGTTTAGAGCTAGAGCTTCGTTCCTGTCGTAGAGGCAGAGGGGAGACAACTGATGCTGGAAGAGAAAAAGAAATTGAGGGAGGTGCGGTTCCCACAGAAGCGTGATGCCACCATGTTCAGTCTTCCTTGATGAGAGTAGCCAATTCTGCAGCAAACCACCCAGCATACTCTGCGCTGAACAATGTTCCTTCCTTGAGCATCTTGAGGAATGTTTTGTTCTTTTGACCAAGGTCTTCGCATCCTTGAGACAGCTCTCGAAAGCTTTCTCAGGCAACATCGTATCGGCAAATTTGGAAGAGTCGGGACCACACACGAGAGCGATTGCCTGAGGGTAGCTCGGTTCCTCCTTTTCTTTGTTCATAGTCTCCACGAATCTGTGGCGGTGACGGTAGCTGGCATCCCGTAGATCGTACTTCTTGGTCAGAAGACACATGGCTGCGCTGAAAGCTGCCAAGTCGTGCGCTTTGGCTACATATTCGGGGTCGAAAGTTTCGTGCAGCATGGTTTCGATCAGAATAGGATCATCCTCCCGACCAAGGTCGATGCAGTCGTTCTGCAATCGTGTCAGTCTCAAGTCGTCAATGAGTGTGGAGAGAAAGAAGGCCAATCGGGTGTTACTCACAACTGAATATCGCTTAAGCATGTCATCGAAATAGGCCGAGTGAGTGGAGAGAAGGATTCTGTGTGCGGCAACCATCTGACCGTCACCAAAGCTGATGTTGATGTCAGAAAATGTTTGAAAGCATTGCTCGATGCGAGGCCTGCTTGCAACTGATGCTTAGCTTATGAGCGTAACACATGTAAACTGTTCACCTTACTCCGGAATTGGGCGCCACGTATCTAAGCATATTTTCGTGTTCGAAACATGTTGGCCATTTTCGTCGACCTCCAAGCTAAGGTGTTGAAGAAACCCTGAGCCATTATCGGTGTCAAACAGCTGCCCAGTGACGAACAAGGCGCAGAAGTCAGCGTCAAGAAGCAGCGTCGACCAATGGACCTTGCATAGTTTCATGATGGATTGCCGCAATCTTTTGTCAGCAAGCTGAAGGGCATTGAGTCCACAAATCCTAGGGACAATGGATGTGATGAAACGGTGCTGAACGATGTTCTTGCCCTCAGAGAAGGCAGAGTCAATTGCGCAGGTGAAGTGATTGCACACAGAAACTCGCAGACCCTCGACATCGTACTTGTCAGCCAGTACGAACAAGTCGGCCATTGCCTCTACGACACTCTCGCCAGGTAAAACAGTGTAGGGTACGTTTCCAGTATACATGAACCTGATCATTGCACGGACCATATCAAAATGGTCGTCTTCACCTAGATCGATGACGGTGCTGGATGCGACCTGCATTTCGTCAGTCGAGCCTAACCAATATTAGGTGTATAGGCATACTGGGAAGCGCCCAAGGAAGGCTCTTTTGAAGTAGACAGAGTGCTGCGCAAGAATGATTCGATGTGCGGGCAGGGACAGATTGCTTACTTTGACAGTGACATCTGAGTATTTGTCGCTGCAGTAGAACTTCATCAAACTACAACGGCTGGAAAACTCCATATGTGCCCAGGAAGCCATGGTGATGGTGATTACAATAGTGCCGGAATGTGGTCGAGTGAGACATTTGTACAGAGCTGGCGCATGATTTTACTGTTTACTTGGAAGGACGTGCACAGCGGAAGCACCAAGAGGGAGAGAGATGTGTGATTCAGTTCACAACAGTGAGAGTGACAATGCATCTTGTAAGGATGTCGGAATTTCGATGGCGGTTGACGTTGATCGTTTCTCATTGATATGTTATTTTTCTGCTCCACACCATGCACACAAAGGCAGTTGTATGTCCGGATCATTCCAATGTGGTCGAGGTTATCATGGCGACATCTTGGCTTGGGAGAAGTCCATCTCGGGATGCTGGGCCATGAATTTCTCNTGGTTGTTGGTCAGCACAAGACTGGTCTTGACACAATGGTATGAAGTGTACACACCAAGCATCTCCTGCTTCTTCTGCTCATCAGAAGTGGGCATACCCATCTCCTTCTGCTTCTGATCGTACATCATCTTCTCAACCATGGATCTGGTGTTGCCATCAAGGTCGCTGAGCTTGCTGTTCTCAGGTGCAATCTTGGAGGTATCGATCTTGGGAGCGTTCTTGACGACGTGGGCCCACCATTCCATCTTGTTGACCTTGTCGAGGTGGACAGCGAGTTCCTTGCCTGAGGGAGTGGTTTCTAGGGTCCAGGTAGATTCGTCGACATAGATGGGGTGAGGGAGATCGCCCNNTGTCGTTACTATTCAGCAGAGTACAGACAAGGCAGATTGAACGAAGCGTACATCGATGATAGGATCCTGACCCTTAACAGCAACGCGAAGGTGGTCCTTTGTGATCTTGATGTCAAAGTCGCGAGCCTTGAGGTTTCCAGGAACCTGAGCAGTCAAGTCTACATCCTGAATGGTTTGCATCCACTTGTACGGAAGCTTGGCCTGCTCTTCGGCCTCACGGGCAGCAGTGGCCTTGTCGGCAGCTTCGCGCTCCGAGGGAGTTGGTGACGACGACATTTTGTTGTTGATTGACTGGAATGTTTAACAAAGCTTCATACATGTTTTGCGACTGCCCCGCGTGCTCATCAACGCTCGGGGGTGAAGCTTTGGCCGCATGAGATGTGTCAAGGGAAAGAGCGATCAGACGCTTCAGCTTGAGCTTTCTGCAATTGAGCAACTGCCATAGAAGTCCAGTCTCAACTTGTTCTAACTTACTCTTGCTACATAAGGGCCTGTATCATGTACGTAGAGAAGCATTCGACTCAGATGTCATGTCTCCGAGCATGCCATGCGATGCCCCACAGGCTGAATGAGCAACAACCCGACATCGGCCGAAATTTCACCTGGTCTTGTTGAAGTTCGCGATGACTCTCTTCTCCACACTCCTCAGCAACAATGGCATCCCGTACACTAAGAATTGGTCGGCTTTCACATTCCTAATCCAGTACTACCCACTAACATATACACAGGTCTGATCCCTGGTGATGGCATTGGCCGCGAGGTCATTCCTGCCGGTCGTCGCATTCTCGAGGCCCTGCCCAAGTCTCTGGGCCTCAACTTCTCCTTCGTCGACCTGGACGCTGGTTTCGAGACCTTCCAGAAGACTGGAGCTGCCTTGCCCGAGAAGACTGTCGACACCCTGAAGCAGGAGTGCGATGGTGCTCTCTTCGGTGCCGTGAGCTCGCCCACCACTCCCACCAAGGGCTACTCTTCTCCTATCGTTGCTCTCCGCAAGCGTCTCGATCTGTACGCCAATGTCCGTCCCGTCAAGAGTGTCAAGAACACCACCATGTTCCCCGACCCCATTGACCTCGTCATTGTCCGCGAGAACACCGAGGACCTCTACGTCAAGGAGGAGAAGACATACGACACCGAGAACGGCAAGGTCGCTGAGGCCATCAAGCGTATTTCCGAGCGTGCCTCGAGCCGTATCGCTACCATGGCTGGTGACATTGCCCTTCGTCGCCAGCGCGTGCGTGACTCAACCGGCCAGACCGGCAAGTCTGCCAACGTCACAATCACCCACAAGAGCAACGTTCTCTCACAAACTGATGGTCTCTTCCGTCTGACTGCTCGCGAGGCTCTTGCTCAACCCCAATTCAAGGGCGTCAATGTTGACGAGCAGATCGTCGACAGCATGGTTTACAAGCTGTTCCGCCAGCCCGAGACTTACGATGTCATTGTCGCTCCCAACCTCTATGGTGACATTCTCTCCGACGGTGCTGCCGCTCTTGTTGGCAGTCTGGGTCTTGTCCCCTCTGCCAACGTTGGTGAGGGCTTCGCCATTGGTGAGCCTTGCCACGGTTCTGCTCCCGATATTCAGGGCCAGAACATTGCCAACCCCATCGCTACTCTCCGCAGTGTCGCTCTCATGCTTGAGTTCCTTAACGAGGAGAAGGCTGCCGCCCTTATCTACAAGGCTGTTGACGCCAACCTTGAGGAGGGTAGTNACTTGAGCCCTGACATGGGTGGTCAGGCCAAGACCACTGAGGTTGTTGAGGACATCCTCAGAAGAATGTAAAAACAGTCATGCTTGTATAGATTTTTTTTAAGATACCAAAAAGCAATGGGACACGGAACGACATGATCATACCTATCTACATATTCAATTTATCGTCAGAGTGTCATAAGCTTGAAGGGTGCATCACAAAGTGACGATCTGGGGAAAATTCTCTACGTCATGTCAATATTTCGCTCGACAAAGAAACACCCATCTACATCTTCTATCCCCTCTCCTAAGCACTTTCTCTACGACTACACAACTGCAACATGGCGGACAAATACATGCTCAGAGTGACCGCTGGGTCCGACTACGACGAGGCCAACCAGAAGCTGGTCCACGTCAACACCGAACAACCGCTCAGCATTTCAAACTCGAAGCTCGATGCCTCGCTGACCGTCCGCATTCAAAACTACCGCGGTGAACCTGTCAACTCTCCCTCGTCATGCGCCTACTTCGAGACCGACCCGCATAAGTCCGACCTCTACAGCATTTCCTTCTCTTTTACGCCCAAGAAGAACATCAACGGTCATGACTTGGTTTTCGGAAACGACTTTGACCACCCCATCAAGGACAAGCTGCCTCCAGGCTTTGGACAGGCAATGAAGATTGCTCAGTGGTTTATTGACCCTGGACTCTACGGCGACGCATATGCCGATGAGCCATACCTATACGGACCTTTCCTCAGTTCGATCAACACATTGAGAGTTGGAGAAAAGAAAGAGCCGGCTGAAATGAAGGGAAGTGAGGACAAGCCCGTCGTGGTATCTGAAGGTGCCGACGGTGATGGTGTCGAGGCCAGAAAGAAGGCTGGCTTGCCCGACGAAGCAAACGCTCGCAAGAAGCACTTTCTCAAGGAGCAGCACCTGAAGGACTTTACCTTCGAAGAGGGCAGAAACTACAGCTGCGACTTCTTCAACCCATACCTGGACTTCAACGGTATGCTGCGACAAGACAATCCTAAAAGAGAGTTAATGTACTGACAGACATACANNGACTTTGCACTCAAGCTTCCTGGATTCAGCTACATTCCCGGCATCACTATCCCCATCATTAGCTACTGGGATGGCCAACCTCTGAGGTAAGTAGCGTGTCTTCAAACAGCCCGTTCATCAACTCGAACAGTTTCCNTGGCGTATGATGAGCAGAATCTGACTAACACAAGGTCTCACGCGCTTAGATATGTCCTCAAAGACAGAAGCACAAACGAGGTGCTCTTTGTCATCATCTTCACACTGCTACCCCGCCACAGCGAGGGGCAGAAGGACGAGTCGAAGAAGGACGACAAGTCTGGCCAGAAAGACGAAGATCTTGATTGAGATATGATCAGGATGGAATAGATTAATACACGATACCCCCGAATAAATGATCCACACTCTTCTCATATCTTTAGACATATAACGACATGGTGTCTTGTGCAATTCGAAGGTTTCTGAGTAGCACATGTGATTAGAAAAAATGTTTGGGTCCAGGTTTCCAAGTTTTCGAGACAGATCTTCGTGTGTTACTTTCAGCCACCTGCAATTGCTACCTGGGTGGCTGGGGGTTTTATGCAGGTCTCATATTGCTGTTTAATTGGATGAGGCCAGCCGCGCGACAAGGTCTCAAAGGTTATGTGGCTATCACAGTGTGTACGTGTTGTAGATGTGTTGGCCGTGAAGAGCAACCTGGCTATAAGAATAGGGCCAGCTCATAATAGGGAGCTGTTCAGTACAGGTACTTTCACGTTTTATGCGTTTAGACTTTCAGTTGCCCGTGACGACTTGCAGAAAAGCTTGGGTCACCCGCACGTCATCTATTCCGCCTGCTTTTGACGCGCCGGCAGCGCGATCTCGTCTCGAGCCATCCACTGCAATTCTTACCATCGATTTGCTCAGCAGTCGATCTCTTTTGCTCAATCTTGTCGCTGTTAGCATTATCCTGTTGCTTCTGTCCTGTTGCATTCTTCAGCCTCGTCTTTTGGATACATCACTCACACAATGCGTACCCGCAACCAAGAAAAGGCGCCTTCGTCGCAGTCATCATCGCAGCAGACTGCCGCCTCTGAAAAACGCACAAGCCGCAAGAGAAGAGCAAGCAGCTCCTCCGACGCGCCAATCCCTCAGAGCTCTCAGACTACCGTCTCATCATCATCACAAACCAAGCGCAGAAAGAGACAAGACGCGTCTTACGACCATCCCGAAGACCTCACCATTCTCGATGAAGAGGAGTCGGTCACCACCACCACTCCTGCACCTGCAGTCCGCCATGTTCACTTCACCGAGTCTACTTCTCAAGGTCAAAAGGCCACTTCGACACACCTGACTCCTCACATCCGCAAGACTGTCACAACCGAAAGACGTCAGACCATTTCCCCTTCCAAGTTCGAGCAGCTGTCGACACCACCGCCCAAGTCTCGCTTGTCTCTACCTACCACATTCTCCCCTTCGCCCGCCATTTCCAACCTTTTCCGTCCCCTGAGCCAGGTTCTGTCGGAACGTGTTAAGAGCCGTCTTCGCCGCAGCCGTCTGAGCGAGGAGATCAGGGAGCAAAGGGATGGCTCTGAAGCCCACCAAGAGCTGATTCAAATCCGTGAAGAGATTGCAGAGATTGAGGACACTATTCGTACCCGTCTTCACCAGCTCGATGTTGAGAAGCAGCTGGGAGAAGACGCCGACGACCAGAAGATGGAAAACATCCAAGTCGTGCTCGACCAACTCAACGAGGATCTCGCTGAGAAGAAGGCTCTGGAGGCCGCTATTCCCGACGTCGATTCCATTGATGCTGTTGATGTCATCAACGAGGACATGATGGTCTTTGATAGCAGCCAGAACATCTCATACCCCAGCCTTCCTTCTTCCGGCTCCGAAGTTCGTACCGTTCAGAGGGTCTCCGATGCTGTTGACATTACAGATGCCCAAACCCAAGTTGCTCTGCCTGACTCCACCCAAGAAGAAGAGCGTCGCGCCTTCAAGGAGGCCATCCAGTACTGGACCGACGAAGCATCCAACGCAAAGTCTACCCTCCAGATTCTGACTATCGAGTTGCAATCTCTTGGTTTCCCAGGCGAGAATTCCGACGCCATCCTTGCCTCCATCCGCGAATCATTTGCTTCTGTCCGTGAGCGCCTTGAGTCTGCTGTTCCTGGAGTTATTCCTAGCAGCATCTCAGATGCCGACCTTGTTGAGCTCGTCATCCAACACCTTGAAACTCTTGCCAGCAAGGTTACCGAACAGGAGGTCTTCATCGCCGACAACGACCACCTGCGCCAGGAGCTCGTTAACGAAATTGACGGTCTTGTCGAGAGACTGAGTCAGGCCGAGATTCGCAAACGCACCCTCGAAATTGGTTTCAACGACCTGGATGCTCAGAGTCAAAGAGACGAGCAGTTGATTGATTCGCTTAGCAAAGAGTTGAACAAGATCGAAAAGAACCACGACATGGCTCAAACTCTCATCAGCGAGAAGAAGGCTCAGCTGGCTGAGCTCGACCGCGAAAACAAGGATCAGGACACAACCATCAAGAAGCTCGGTGAAGCTCTCGAGGGTTACAGAGCCAACGAGGCCAACCTTCACGCTCTCATCACCCGTATGGAGCAGGAGGCTAACGTCAAGATCTCTGATCTTACAAAGGCTAACCAAGCTGCTGTGTCTGAACTTGAGGAGCAGCTCCGTGTTGAGGGCACTAAGCGCCACACCGCCGAAGCCGATGCTGACGACAAGCAAAACATCATCACCACCCTGGAGCGCCGTGCCGAGGAAGACGAAGCTAACATTGACACTCTCAAGCAACAGCTTGCCAATCTCCAAGGCCTGCACACTGCCGAACAGCAAGCCAGAGAAGTCGCTGAGGCCGTCAACGACGAGAACGCAACAGTCATCGCTGAGCTTGAAGACAAGATCGAGCAGGCGGAAACCGACCTGGAGCAGCTCAGATCTGACTTGGAAAACCTTCGCGCACTCGAGGAGGCAGAGCGTCGCCAGCGCGAGGCAGCCGAGGCCGACTTAGATGATCGCAACAACCAGATCACCGAATTGGAACAGAAGCTGCTGGCATCGGGCAAGCAAGCCAACGAGTTGCGCCAAAAGCTATTCGAGGTTCAGCAGCGTTCCAAGGAAGCTGTTGCAGAGCTTCAGGCCCTTGGAGAGGAGCGTGAAACCAGGCATGCTGCTGATGTCGCTGTCTGGGAGGTGAAGGTACGAGATGCCAATGATGCCGCCACATTCGCCAAGATCGAGACCAAAACATATGAAGAAGAACTTAAGAAGATCACCAGAGATATGGGCGAGCAGCTTCAGGAGCGCGCCGCTAAGCTTAGGGAGTGGGCAGCCAAGCTTGATGAACTGACTGCAGAGCTCAAGGCAACAAAGAAGGAGTTGAACAACGCATTGGTGTCGCTCGATCAGCTGCAGCAGTCTTCTAAGGCTCGCATCGCTGAGCTCGTTGCTGATGTCGCCGACCTGCAAGGTGTTATTGCTCAGCACGAAGCTACAATCAAGGTCCTCAATGCTGAGGCTGAGACAACCGCTCAGACCCACGCTGTCGCCATTATCGAGAGAGACGAGAAGATCGCTGATCTCAACCACGACATTTTCAACGCCCGAAATGAAATCAAGAACCTCGAGGCCGAGAAGGAATCCCTGGAACGCCGTGTCGAGGCCGAAGCCGAAGCAATGCTCGAACTGCAAGCCGACCGTGACGACCAAATCGCCGACCTCAAGACCAACATCCGCAACAAGCAGGCCGAGATTGAAAACCTCGGCCGCAAGGCCTAAGAGGTCGACCGCAGCTGGGAGCGCGTGATGAACGAGCGTAACACCGAGATTGAAGAGCTTCGCCAAACTGGCTCCGAAAACACAACTACTATCGCCCGCCTTACAAAGCTCAACGCAGCCCTCAAGGAGAAGTTCAGACTCTATGTTCGCGACTCCACCGCTACCGTGCAGGCCATGCACGAGGATATGGAGCAAGCCGTTCTCTCCGCATCAGCTAAGAGTGGTGAACTGCGTGAGGTTGGCCGTCGTGTGCTTGAAGAGGTCGAGGCCATGGACACTGTTTCAGAGATGGTCACTGTTGCCAGTTCGTCATCTGCTGCCAACCCTCGTGTTCAGCATCTCAAGCAAAGCCGTCGCAACCGTCGCCAATACGACTCTGGCATCGGTGTTGACGAGGACTCTCTGCTCGAAGAGTAAGAATGAGAACGAAGAAGCTTTTGAAAAGAGAATGGAAGGAACGGCCTTTTGGGTTTCATGATTGCACACAACCACGATGAAATTGTTTTTCTGTTGACATTGCGTTGTTCTGTTGATTTGGGTTTTGTTTTCTCTTTGGAAGGAACGATCAATGGATTGAAATGACGAATCCTTGGTTGATTGAAGGTTTTTCTATATCTGCATGCCTCGTTGTCTTTTTTCTTCTTTTCTTTTGGTTATTCATGAGCGAGTACGTAGTATCTTCACATAGGTATAGAAGAATTGACCTTCAACTTCTGCATTTATTACGCTGCTCTCTCCCTTTGTCTAACTTTCCGTAGAAGCATGTCGTCTCTCAAGCTACTCGTCACAATGCTCATGGCCATTGTCGTCGTCACTCAACATCGTTAGCTCCCAGTCTTGTCACGATGAGAACAAAGCCCAAGCTATAAACTATTATTCCAAAACCAAGTTTTTGTATCTCCTGCCACATCTGAACGTCGAATCAAGCTCATGAATGCAATTTTTCTCTTGTCATCCTTCTCATGCCGCCCTCACAAAAGACAACCCCAACTTTGGGGTTCCACTTGCTTTTGTATCACTATCCTTCTTGTTTCTTCTCTGGTCTTTATCTGTGAACCTGCTCCCTGACGACAAATGTCTTTTCCCAGAAACGTCTCATGAAGCAGCTAATTTCAAGTGTCTGCAGCTTGCAACTATGGTGACTGGTAGAAGATGTTGACGTCTCTTACTAGAACGGGTGAGTCCTGCTTCTCAAAGCTAGCTTGTCGAAATAGTCAATACACCCATAAGACCGCGTCACACGAGCTTGCTGACGACACTGCAGTGTATCTGGCAAGGCCCCTGTGCTTTGTCGTCCATCCAAGCAGCCTCGAACGAGCAATCACATCAGGGACGTAAAAAAACGGCGAGATGGTCGAGCGGTCCTCCTCCACTTTCCACCTTGTCCCCCCTCATACACCCCAACCACTTCCCAAGCAAAACAATAGCAGACAGGAACAAAACTAGGGCGAGGGAACAAAAGGAAAGCAAAAGGAATGTTGACGAGAGTGGGATTTGAACCCACGCCCTTTCGGACCAGCGTTTTGGATGTTAAACAACCTTAAGCTGGCGCCTTAGACCGCTCGGCCATCTCGCCGTTTTTTGACGTCTCTGATGTGATTGCTCACTCGAGGCTGCTTGGATAGACTCCAGAGTTGGTATGGATATATATCCTAAACAAAGATGATGAAGAGCATCAAGCGCGGCGGACAAAGCGACAACGTGGTCTGGTGATGGAAAAGAATGAAAAAGGAACAGGAGCGGCAGTTCTGTAAGGTTACGACAGCTGCACGGATCTTTCACGGGAACCTCCTCGGCAACGATCTAAAAAGAGGGTCATCAAATCACCGCACCTGGATTTTTCTGCTTGGTATGCCTGTCGAGAAATGCAATTCTCTCGACTGGCATCCGACCACGCAAGAAGAACGTGCAAAACTCATCTTCGGGACATAGAACCACTTTTTGCATAGGATTATACGTTTCAAATCTCTCATACGACATGTAATGCTCCTGTAATGTGAGATGTCCATGCCGAAGTGGTTGCTGAATGCCTCACCCTGACTCTGGAGATCCACTATCTTCTCCTGTCGGATGTCCCTCCAATATCATGAGTCGAATACAGTACAGTACTGAACATAGACTGGGCAGTGATCAGAGACCTTCAAGAAAGCATGAGAGATAGTGAAATCCATAAATACAGCAGCACTGATATGTTTAGTGGAGAGTGCAAGAGATTGGTATAATCACAATCAAGCAAACAAGGAGAAGAAGAATTAGCAAAGTAGTATCATTTTCCATTCGAGCAAAGCGAATATGCACCGTCTGTAGAGCATTATGATAGCTAAAAAGAACATCGTTCTACCAGCCATCTGTAGAAGCCATTGTAAACCGCCATGCATGAAAAGCAACCATGAGATGCCGCCAGAAGAAATCGCAGCCTTTCGATGAACGCCTCCTATATACCCGCCATGTAACGCCGTGAAATGCGTGAACTCGCCGGTGAGAAAGACAAACGCCGCGCTGAGGAATCAGGAACATCAAGTGACTGTTTACCACAAGGTGTAACCACCGTCGATGAGGCAGTTGTTACCAGTCATGTAGCTGGAACCAGGCGAAGCGAGGTAGACAGCAAGGTTATTGAGGTCGTCAACGGCTCCAAGGCGCTTCTGGGGAGTGTTGTCCATCCAAATACGCTTCTGAGCGTCAAGAGCAGGAACACGGTTGAGGGCGGTGTCCATGTAGCCGGGAGAGATGGAGTTGACGCGAATGTTGTAGCGAGCCCACTCAGCGGCGAGGGACTTGGTGAGCTGGATGACAGCGGCCTTGGAGGCGTTGTAGCAAGACTGCTCCTGGGGGTAGTTGACGATGGTGCCAGACATCGAGGCGATGTTGATCATGGAGCCACCAGTCTGGAGCTTGATCATCTGCTGACCAACAGCCTGGGCGACGAGGAAGGTACCGGTGATGTTGATGTCGAGAAGGCGGCGGAACTTCTCAGAGTCGTAGGTCTCAGCCTTGACGTTGGANGCTGGAGCATGTTAGCAAATGTGAAGATGAGTGTGAAGGATGTAGACTTACTCGGCAATGCCAGCAGCGTTGATGAGAACATTGATGTAGCCGTAGTGAGCGGCGACATCATGGACAGCCTGCTGGATGGCGGCCTGATCACGAACATCGACCTTGTAGAAGCGAACGTCGACACCAGTCTGGGAAGAGAGCTCACGGGCAGACTTCTCACCCAGCTCCTGCTGAACGTCGAAGATGGCAATGCCCTTGACACCGACCTCAGAGAGAGCCTGAGCCATGTTGTAACCCAATCCACGACCGCCNGCTATGAGTGGGTTAGTAAAGAGTGAAGTGAGAATGGAAGTGAGAAGGTCTTACCCGGTAATAACAGCGACCTGGTCGCAGAGAGTGAACTTCTTCATGGTGGGAGGAAGGAGCTCAAGCAGCTCGGCCTTGAGGGGCTGAGCAGCAACCTCGATGTCCTGACCAGGAGGGTTGACAGGCTCGGTGGCAGTAGGGACTGAGAGAGTCTCCTGCTCGCGCTGGCCGGACTTGGTGTAGGAGACGACGTTGATAGACTTCTCATCGCCAAGAGCACGAGTCGAGGCGAAAGTGCGAATCAAGACTGGCGCGCGCAAGACTTGAACCGAAGCACTGCGCACGAGGCGGATACCAGAACCGCGGACAACCGACAGAACAGCCATAGCACCGATTGTTGGAAGTTGTGATGAAGGAAGAAGCAGAAGAGGGATGGATCAAGTAGATGATCAAAGGAAGAAAGACTTCGATGAACTTGGATGAAGATCGTCAAAGTTGGAGTGGATGGTCGAAGCGAGGGAGGAATTGGCTCGGCGACCACGTTATATACACGGAGAAGAGGGACGTGCGGAGGGAGCCGACGGTGAATGTGAGGGCAGGAAGTGAGTGAGGAAGTTGAGGCAGGAACGAGTGACGCTTAAAGTAAACTTCGGCGGTTTGCTGTGTTCTTTTTCAACCCGAGTGGAAGGCGCAAGTGAGTGCCGGGCAATCAACGGCAAGAAGTGGAAAAGTTTGGAGCTTCAATTACGGTCAATGACGGGTTCATGAGGAAATATCAGAGCAAGGGAAGGTATACCTAGTCCGATTTCCACTGCAACAGGTACTGTAGCAGGGCTGTCAAACACAGTTCTATAGGTACTGGTTATCACTCTTTACTTTCTCAGTCTGACCAAGGGTTCAGTTGAATGAGATGACGCAATCTGTGACAAGTTGCCTGAATACAACAAGATGAAAGATAAGGTGTTTCGTCAAGAATAGAAGCAATGGCTCAGGTCAGCTTATCAAGCAAAGACGGGAGCAGAACGGGTATGTGCAGAGAATGTGATTGATCAAAGAAGCTTGAGACCAGGAGAAAGCAGAAGGGATTCCTGAGACCCGGGGTTGGGTTTGCTCCCTTTATCATCATCCCTTCTCGTTCATGCATGATAGGGCAGAAGAAAAAATTACAGCTACCTAGCCTTCCATACGTGTAACACAGTCATGTGGCTTCTCACNCGTTGCCGTCAGAGCGGTGAGGGCTGCAGAGAAGCAAGGACCCGANNATATCCCTTGTCCCCTATAGGTTGCGTGCCTTTGNNGAGGTTATGGATCGATGAAGGACAGTGCAGGCCGCGAAACGCGGTCACAAAAGTTGATGGCTGCCCCAGTTTCTCGGGACCCCACATGCCCAGAAACGATTGACGTGCAACCNNCACGCTCTCACCTCGTTGACTTTTAACAGGCTTGATGAAGGGGTTTGTGGCGCAACTTGCAGCAGCCGAGTCAAATACTGCATGCAGGAGCAGAAGAAGNCTCATGTCCGGTTTCGACATGTCGAAGTCGCCGCTTCGGTCAATTGAACAGCGAGCCAGGCGACGAAATGCAGATTGACGAGCCATCTCCATTCCCGGACCGATGTCCTGTCTTCCATGCTCAGTGCTCTCAAGCCTGATAACTTCGCAAAACAGAAAACTCACAGCCTCAACAACTTGGAAATTGTGGAAATCGAAGTCACAACGATCCNNAGGCAACGAGTGAGCCATGCTGTGACCAAGGGGCGAACCAGTGTCTTCCCTTTTGCGATGCCGCTACTAGTTTGTAGGTAACAGACGACCGGATGTTGAAATTACACAATCGAAAACATGGCTCCTCCCCACGAGAAGTTGATGGACAACGGTCCGCAAGGAGTGGACCGCAGAATAGCGATCGGCCCGTCACGCCCCGGGTCTGGCGTGGGGGCTGGCGCGAACGCCTCGCGACGGATGTCAAAACCCAAATTGAAACATGGAGTTGTGGGTTTGGGAGGCTGGTTGGTCTCGACTTGAGTTTCCATGCAGCATAAGGGTCAATCAGTTCGTTTGACGCTGGGAAAGATGACGGGATTGAATGTGAAAGAGGGAGTGATGTTTTGCAAGGAGAAATTGACCAACTTTTGACTATGTAGAAAGAAGCGGTCTGTACATCAAAAGGTATATAACAGAAGAAACGAGACCCAAAAAGAGACCACCGTCGAACGCCGTGCACACGGCGCTATGCAGATCAAGAAACGAAGCAGAAAACCAGGAACCACATCTCCACAGTAAGAAGGAAAGCGTGGGTATGAACAGAATCGTGTGCTGGACGAAAGGGTGGTATTTTAAGTGAGTTCGACGTAGTTGCTGCACATCAACATGTCAGTAAGTTCAAGGGTATGCAGAGCAATGGCGACTTACCTTGGGAAGATGCCTTCCCTCGTGCCAATTCTGCCTGTCCACCAATCATTACTGTTATCAGTCTTCTTGACAATAGTGATGATCTCGCCCTTCTTGAAGCCCAAGTCACCAGGCTGATCAGGATCGAACGTGAACTTTGCAATGGCCTGACCGGGCTTGGGAGTTGCGATGTTGGCGCCGCTGAAGGTTGGTTTGGGAGCACTAGGTCTGGAAGGCTTGCGATCAGAGTACGAGTATTCGGCTTGATCAGCATATGCGCTGTTACTACGTGCGCGAGAAGCCTCCAAGCGATCGAATGTTTCGGTGGGGTTGGCGCGCGAGCCGAAGCTAGGTTGTCTGTCGTAGACGTCGTCTTGCCATGTACTGGCACGCGAAGGACCGCCGAAGCCGCCTCCTGTACGATCTGAACGGACGCCTTCACCGTGAGCAGAACCTCTCTTGCCTTGCCAGATGACATCGTCGTGGGATTCATCGTAGACTGGAATGTCGTTGTACATAGTGTCGCCCTGGTTTGCAGCGACTCCGGCGAACACTCTGCTGTTAAGGACGCGCATCAGAGGCTCGGCCTGGGGTGGGACGGGAACGGCGCCCTCGAGCAAGGCTCTAGCAGTGACACGACGGTTGTACATCTTCTCGTTGGCATCTCTTCTCTCAATCATAGCACTGCCTTCGAGGGAGACACCAGCGAACAAGCCCTTGGTTTTACTGTAGGCGAAGATACCAGCGACACCTTTGAGCGAGGCAGCACCAGCGGCTTCAGCATTGCGACCGACGGGACCGGCGGCAATTGAGACGTTGCCTCCGAGGGTGATACTGCCAGCCTGGGCAAAGGTGCGGACAGCAGCAGCGTCGTTGAGAATGAAGACGAAGTCGGTAAGTTCGAAACCAATTTGACCACCAAAACCACCACCGACAGTACCGATTGCGGAAGGAGCGGANCCTAAGGCTAATGTCAGCAGGTGTTCATGACAGAGCGAGGAGGAGTAGGATTACCAGGTGCCGTCTGCTAGGCGGGCGACGATGACACCGGAGCCGAAACGAGCACTACCGAGGAAGCCGGCCTTGAAGACGGTCATGATGGCGAGACCTTTGGCATTTGCGAGGATTTGGGGAGGGATGATCTTGTCAGGGCCGAAGGACTGCTTAGGGTCGATGAAGGACGCGAGGATCTTGCCGGTCTTCTTACACTCGNNCCTACAGAATATTAGAAGGCGTGCAGAGACAGCGGTATGTGAGAGCGACTTACTCTTCATGGAAGAGGGTAGCGGATTGTTGATGAGCGGCATGTTGAGCGGTTGAGATGGCAATGCTATACGAGATTGAAGGCGTGAAGGTCAGAGGAGAAGTGCGCGACGAGAGAAGCCCTCAGGATGTTGGAGGACGAGGAATTAACAACGACGGGCGCAGCGACACGAGAATGAGTGTTAGGCATACAAGTCGAACTGAACTCGGGCAAGTCATGGCATAGCTCGGCGACAGCCCCACCAAGAACGACTCGTCGTCATTGTCCGTGCACCTTCGTCCCGCCGAACCCCAGACCGGCAACAACTTCCCGAATCGCCGCGACCTCCGGGGTCCTGCTTGCTGCTTGTACCGACATTTGATCATTCTTTGTTCCTCGACTCATCGCATCTGCCTGGCATACTTCGCCCTTAGTTGTCGCAACCCCATTACGAACACCAACAAGGTCTCTCTGAGATATCGCCACAATGTCTGAAGCCTACGAGCGTGAACGGTACACACTCCTCTATTCCCAGCTGCGGTACTACACAGCCACTGACACCTTCAAAGTCAAAACAACTCACGACTGGACGACCTCGCCGGAAAAGTATCCGCCTTGCGCGGCGTCACCATAGACATCTACGACAATGCCCGCGACCAGGGCGTCATCGACTCTTCCGTACGCCGCTGTTCCCCTGATCGTCCCAATCTACAACCTCGCTAATACCTGGCCCCAGNNACAAATGCATTCTCCACCTTCTCAAACAGCCTGCAAGGCAGTGCTGGAAGATTGACACGTATGGCGCAACAAGGAAACAAGGTCGCCATCCTCAAACTTGCTGGAATCCTCGTCGCCATTGTTCTCGTCCTCTATTGGGTTGGCGGCTGGGTGTTTGGAGGTTCCAAGGCTGCTTGAGCCTTCTCTCATCTCGTTACTACGATTCTTGAGAAAGACAAAACAAAGATCCGAGTACTCCTGGACTTGTGAAGAGTAGCGTCACCGCCCACGAGGCTCGGGCCAAGCATCTGCCTACCGATATGTGGAAGGAAGATTCGATTTGAACCAGCCAAGCCCCCGGTCGTGGCTACATACATGAATAGCTATCTTTCGGATCGCAGAAGCAGGAGTCGGCCCTTCTGCAGATCGATAACGAAGAGACGACCTGGCGAAGTTGGCAAATATGAAGGAAAAGACACGCCATGACACCTTACGTCCACCTCATACTTCACGAAGTCACCACAGCAGCATCATGCGTTGGATACGTACAGACAACCAAGTGTTCTTACGAGGCATTTTCATATTGTATATCAGGCAGAAATGCATCTGTGTTCAATCATGACCATCGAGGTCTTCAATGCTATTTTCCCTTTCGCACTGCTACTAATGCTATGGCTTAACCCCAGACGTTTCCAAANAGATCATCTGCAGCTGGAGCCTTGTTGTTAGATGTAGGGGCAGCCGGCGCGGGTGCACTGCTCCAGCCACCAAAGTCATCATCCTGGCTAACAGTAGGTTTACTAGAAGAAGTGCCCTCATTGCTTCCCCAACCACCAAAGTCATCGTCGTTCGACACGCTGGTCATAGCAGGTGCTTTGTAAGATGTAGTGGTCGAGGTAGGTGCCTTGTACGAAGTGCTGGGTGGTGCAGGCGCTGCTGGCTCAGGGGTACTCCAGGCATTGCTCGAACCCCATGCGTCCATGTTATCAAGACCGGACATGGCTGGTGCGGGTGCGGGTGCAGGTTTCGGCGGTGGGGCAGGGCTTGACAAGTTGAAGGCAGATGCAGAGGTTGAAGTTGCGGGCTTAGAAGGTGCAGGAGCGCTCATGTCGAACAAGTCTCCCATACCAGAGCTGGCGGGAACTGGCGATCTTGTAGACATAGGTACTGGTGCAGGCGATGGTGCGGACGTAAAGTCACCAAAATCGCCGAATCCACTCGACATGCGAGTTGGCTGTGGCTTAGAAGCAGGTGCAGCGGCTGGTTTAGGTGGTGGTGCGGGTTTAGCATCGAAGAAGCTACCACCACTGAGAGAGCTTGTACGTGATACTGGGGAGGTTAAGTTCGAGAAGGCAGAAGGCTTGGGTTGCTGCTGTTGCTGTTGCGGAGCAGGCGTGCCACCGAAGTTCAAGCCACCAAAAGCATCAGCCATACCGCCGAAAGAGGAAGTCGAAGCGGCAGGAGATTGTAACGGAGGGGAGGTGAAGCCACCAAAAGCGTTCGAGGAAGATTGAGGCTGCTGTACCGGGGCAGGCTTAGGTGCAGATGCGTACAAGGACAGAATGGACTGCTTAAGGTCTGATCGTGGGTTGCTTCCAGGGGCAGCAACTCCCGAAGCAGCGCTAGCTGGACGTGCTGGTGGTGCGGACTGGCTAGTTCCAAAGAAATCGAGACCAAGTAGAGAGTCGCCAGGACGATTTTGCTTAGGAGGTGCAGCAGGGGCCTTTTGCTGTTGTTGTGGAGGGGGTCTGGAAGCAATTGTAGGTTCAGCGGTGCTGGCACGGGCTGGGGTTGGGTCGTCGCCAAACAGATCGATGACTGGAGCAGCTGCTCTAGGAGCTGCAGGGGGAGCAACAGGTCCGCTGCTCATCGAAGCGTTTCTGAGGGATGCTGATCGGTCAAGCTTGGCCTTTTCTTGAACTACACTGAGCGGCTGTGTTCTGGTCAGCGGCTCTGTTTTGCGAGAAGGTTAATCTGTAATTACCACGTCTTCATCCCCACCCTCGCCTCCCAGAGTTGAAGGGTCTGGAATAGGGCCATCCATAGTCCATCTCTTCGAGTCGTACTTTGTGCGAATGAAGTTCTCAATCTTGNNCTGCACACAAGTTAGTTATTGGTCTCAGGATTGGTTACTTGGTTGTGGACCGGGTACGTACGCTTCGGCGGGGACATGACCAGGAGCGAGCTTCGCTTCCCAGTACNNCTGTAGAATGACAATCAGCATATGTGTGCTGCAACGGGCGAGGATTTCATACTTGTTGGCTCTGGTGTTGCCCCACTTCAGCATGCTCTGAAGTTGCTCGTCGGTCCAAGAATCCAGATCGACCGACTTGACTCTACTGATGTGCGTTCCCATACCACGGTGAATACCAGAGCATCTANNCAAGTCTGGTCAGCAAGCGTCTTGACCTATACTAGTAGCGGCTGCGTACCGAATGCAGATGAAGATGCCCAAGTTCCAACTGGCCCATCTTGGGNNTCTGTCGACACTTGTCAGCCTCCATGCCTTGTCACAGTATCCAGACACCGTACGCTTGTTCCTTTTACAATCTGCGCAGCTCTTGTTTCCTTCTAACTTAACCAAGCTCTTCAACGTCTGCTGGTTCTGCATCGTCCTGTCGGGTCCGGCGGGTCTCCGCGACATGGCGGCGGTTGTATGAAGTTTGAAGGAGTGTCGTGTGCGGTGTGGCGATGACGGATTGACCAAGCAAAGTGACTATCGTTAAGCTCGTGCGCCAACTAAGGTATCGTCGAGAGATCGAATTGTTGTGTACCTAATCTGGACAAGGATGAACGATTAATCAAAGCTGCCCCTATGACGCTGGCTGGTCCGGACGCACGTGATTCTGGCCTGAATAGCATCTTCGTATACTAAAGTATGTCACGCAAATGGCTATAGAAATTCACAATAGGAATAGAAAACAAGATAGAGTCCACTGAGAGACAACAAATCGTCGACTCTCTGTGGATATGCATCTACTTCTCAAAACAGTTGTGTCTTTTTAGTCTACATTTTGCTCTTAGTTATAATCGGAGTATGGTGGAAGTTACAGACTTTAGTACACGGGGAGGTCTGGTTTCATAACTTGAATGAATTGGTTTCAGTGTTCCTGTTTTTGGGAGCACAGGGAATATGTAGAAAAGATAATTGACCATCCCAGCGCCTCGCTGCCATGCCTCATGTGGGTAAAAAACGCCGACCAAGCTGTATGCATCCTCGTCTTGTCGTCTCCTTTTGTACTTGAATAACATCATCACCATCTGCCACCTCCTCTTCTTCCGTAGCCGCCACCACCACCGCCTCGTCTGCCGCCGCCATATCCACCGCTGCGGCCGCCGTACTCTCTGTCATCGTAACCACCTCTGGGGCCTGAGGGCTCGTCACGAATTGGCGGTTGTCGGCCTTGGAGATCCTTCTGTAGCTGCTGATACGTCTTGCGCATTTGTGCATAACCAAGATGCATCTTTCCGAAGAAGTGATCCGCCAGTCTGCGATCGTTATCCAATCGACTGAGATATGCGCCGCACACATCGCAGACTTGGAGCTTCTGATGACCTGAAGGACCCGAAGTGTCTGATAGAGCCTTGAGCTCACGTTCGCGGTCCTCCTTCAACTGTTTTTGCTGCCTGATACGGAAGTATTCTGTGACGGCTGTGTTGACACTTCCCAATTCGCCCAGGATCTGGACCTCGATCAGACCGTCCTCGATGTTGCGTGACAATTCGCCAATCTGTTTCAGAAGAGCATTTGTTTGGCGAATCTCATCGGGGTCTTCTCCAAACGACGCTGAGCGCTGTCTATGCGTCGGTTGCAATCGTCGATGTATTTTNTGCATGTCTCGCATGTAGTCGAATTCAAAGCCCCATTTGCGCTTTTGGTGATCGTCTGCATTTTCGTACTCGGACTTCAAGGCTTCGCTGTGGGTCTTTGGACATAGACCGAGATCTTGTTTGGTGTTGGTAAACAGGTCGTGAGGACAGGTGCCGACAAGGTAGGAGCGGCACACCTTTGGATCAGTGATGGACAACTGAGGAGCGCGCGATGCGCCAGGACCAGCCAGCAACTGCTCGCCCATGAGCTGCTCTGTAGAGACGTGTCAGTTGGATAGTCAGATCAGGGTGTTGATGTAAAAGCATACCAAGCAGCTTTCTCTGCTCGGCGGCCATGTCGACTAAGCGCTAGGTCGCAGGTGTGGTTTGTAGATGGTGTTGAGAGATCAAGCGACGAAGCGGCGATAGGAGTAGAGGAAGGGTATTGCAAGATGATTGATGTCGAGCGAATGGTGAGTGGTATACAGATAGAAAGCTTTGGCGAGCAACAGCAGCAAAAGCGGGAGAGAGAGAGAGTGGCTGCTCCGCGCTGATGGACTTCTTGGCACATGTATGCTCTACTTGTCACCCCCTTTAGACATCTCCAATCTACGCCATGAGGCCGCCATGCTCGCGATAGTTTTTGCTCTGTCGCTGTTGTGCCTGTTTGCACCATGGGCTGAAGGACAATACACCGAGCAGCTAGACCTGCGTCCGCTTCCTCAGTCTCAACTTCTGGCCGCCTTCAACTTCAAGGCCAACACGACCAAGTCCGACTTCGATGCCCAGAACTACCGCCTGTTCCCGCGCTCGCTCGGCCAGATCCTGCAACACACACATGCCCGAGAGCTTCATCTTCGCTTCAGTCTTGGTCGCTGGGATTCGGAGAACTGGGGACAACGACCAAGACATGGCCGCCGTGAAGGAGGCACTGGTGTCGAGCTGTGGGCCTGGGTCGAGGCAGACTCGCATGAACAAGCAAATGCTCGCTGGTTGACTCTGAGCAACGCCCTGTCTGGTCTCTTCTGTGCTTCTATCAACTTCATCGACTCGACCAAGACCATCCGCCCCGCCATGACCTTCGATCTGGAAGGCTCTCACAAGGACACATCTGGCTTACATCTGCTGCACGGCGCCCTGCCTCACGAAGTTGTTTGTACCGAGAACTTGACTCCCTTCCTGAAGCTTCTCCCGTGCAAGGGCAAGGCTGGCATTGCAACTCTCTTGGATGGACACAAGCTCTTTGACGCCTCTTGGCAGACAATGGCCATTGATGTGCGCCCCATCTGCCCCTCTGACGGAACCGAGTGCTTGCTGGAGATTGAACAGACCGTAGACATGGTTCTTGATCTGGACCGATCTATGCGATCTCAGCAAGATCCTATCCCCAGGCCTCCACCACTCGAGGAAATCGCCTGTGACACTGACAAATGGTACAACAACCCCGATACCTGTTACCCACGTGAACGTTCTACGGAGCGTGACTGGACTTTGAGTAGGGTATTTGGTCGTCCCATTCGTGGTTCCTGCCATGTCAACGAAGGTCCCTCCCCCGAATCAGTCATCTTGCATGCTGCTCCTGGTCAAGATATCCGAATCACCGCCGAGGAGGCCCACAGCGAACGCAAATCTGCGCATGGCATTGTACACTATGTTCTTCCGCAGTCTGGTGATTTTGATATTGCAATGGGCGAGCAGCCCTTAATCTCGCCTTCAACCCTAGAACAGCCACGCCTCCATGCGGAACGAACCATGGTCGGTTATGGCCAGGAGCGAGGTGGCATGCGTGTTATCCTTACCAACCCATCCACTACTGATACTGTCGACCTCGTCTATCTCGAATCTTTACCATGGTTCATGAAACCATATCTCCACACCTTACACGCCTCTATCGACTCTGTCCCATCACCATCATCTATCCAGCAAATCTTCTACAGACCTGCCATTGATCGTGCCAGAGGTACTCATCTTGAGTTACGCCTCCACGTTCCTGCTGGTGCTTCCTTGGTCTTGACTTACGACTTTGAGAAAGCTATCTTGCGATACACCGAGTATCCTCCAGATGCGAACCGTGGTTTTGATGTTGCGCCTTCAATAGTGAAGCTGCTTACCAACTCAACCAATGGACAGCACAGTCCGCCTGTATATCTACGCACCACTTCCATGCTGCTGCCGCTTCCCACTCCTGACTTCAGTATGCCATACAACGTCATCATCTTGACTAGCACTGTCATGGCCATGGCATTTGGTAGCATCTTCAACCTGGTTGTTCGCCGGTTTGTTGCTGCAGATGAGGTCGAGCCTGCAGGAATCGTTGCCATCAAAGCAAAGCTACAGGCTGTTGTCGTTAACTTGAAGGAAAAAATACAAAAGAGTAGAGAGGTCAAGGCTGCTGATCAGAACGGCGAAACCAAAAAAGTGCGGTAGTTGGATATATGTTCGGTCACAGCCCGCAGTATATGAGAAAATGACATTTCTTCATCATGACTTTCCATCGTCCTCTGTACTATGCTTCTTCCATGGTAGATGCCGCTGGATGGCGTATACCATCCGAAAGCAGGCTTGAATCCTTCATGATGCTTCCTTTCTTCTGGCATTACCACAGTCACCTTCTGGAGGTATAGTAATACCACGGATCGATCCCTTTGGGCGGGAAACGTGCAAGCAAGTGACTCCAAGCAAACATGAGCCATCCCTACACTGCATTTTTGCTACCTCTCCGAGTACTAAAGGACAGTGAAGTACACGCTATAGAAATGCACAATACTATCATAGAATAAGACGGTGTCCGCTGAGAAGCGATCTTTCATCAGCTCTCTTCGGCCAATCCTTGTTTCTAGATAGAACTGTGTATTTTTATAGTGTGTACGCTACATATCTTCGCACACGGGAGGTGTTAAATGGCTCATGTTTCCTTGGACCCCCTTGAAGGTCTCATGTCAGGAACGGCTTGGCTGTGTTGCACTTTCACTTTCACTCTACTTGACTCACTCGTGAGAACCTCTAGACCACATATTCCTGCCAACCACCCCTCTAATCATTCCCTCCCCTTGAGCCCAGTCGTCCATCCCCTCCAAAGATCTCGAGTTCGAATCTCCGCATCTGCTAACAATTTCTCTTAGAACGTCCGTGGCCCTAGTCACACTGTCCCTTGTGGTGAGGATCTCAGAGAGGCGTCCTCTTGTCGGCTAACTGTAGAATTCGTAACTTCGGGTGGGTGATTTCTCGCTCCTAATGTCTAACCAGCACAGGACCGTTACCTAGCTCACTCGCCAGCCCGGAGCAGCAGTCTCAACCTGATCTTGCAAACACAAGGATGGTGGTTCCGCGCGCACTGGGTAGTGGCTATGATTGATTGTTCTTTCAAGAGATCTCACTTGCAAACACAAGGATTTCACTGGCTGAATGAGATTTCTTAGTTGTTCAATATTCACGACCTGTCCGCTGTAAGTAAAATTCCCCCCTTGAAACACTCGAGATCTTTGGTGTCACTTTTTTTTTGCTCCATGTTTCTGTCACTATGTACAACACATACTTGTCCAATATCTTTGTTCATCTATTTACCCTTTGGGTTCTTCTCGGCTGGGTGATCAAACACCTTTCCCGGGTTCATCAACCAATTCGGGTCCAATGCCATCTTGACCTTCTGCATCACGCCAATAGTATCCAAACCTAGCTCTTTGACCAATGAATTCTTCTTTCCCAGTCCAATACCATGCTCACCAGTGCATGTTCCTTCCATCTCCAGCGCTCTGTCAACCATCCTCGTCACACACTCCTCGACCTTCTTCTTTTCCTCTGGGTTCTTGCCATCGTACATGATGCTCTCGTGGAAGTTGCCATCGCCAACATGGCCAAGGACAGACGCAAAGAGACCCAACTCATCCATCTCGCGCTTAGACACTTCTACGATATCAGGCAGCCTCGAAAGCGGCACAGCAACATCCGTAGACCAGACCTCCTCATCACCCTTCCTCAACGCCAGCATGGACCACAAAGACTCCTTCCTCGCCGACCAAAGTTTCTTCTGCTCCTCCGGATCAGCCGTAAACTCAAAGTCTATAGACTTGCACTGTTTGGAGAGTTTCTTGACCAAGTCCACATTTTCTCTAACTCCAGCTTTCGTGCCTGAGAATTTGAAAAACATGGTTGGGACTTCGCGCCATATTTTCTTTGTTGACTTTGACTTGTTGACAACACTCATTTGCACTTCATCCATAATCTCCATTGCACCGATAGGAACACCAGCTTTGATGATTCGAGAAGCTGCACTTGCTGCATCGCGAATGCTCGGGAAAGTAACCACTGCAACGCTGGTTTCTTGAGGGATGACTTGCAACTTGAGAGTGATTTCGGTAACGATGCCCAGGGTGCCTTCAGACCCGATAAACATTCCTGTGAGGTTGTAGCCGGCGGAGGATTTTCGGGGTCGGCGTTTTGTTTTTATGATTGTGCCGTCGGCGAGCACGACTGTGAGGTTTAGGACGTTGTCTTTCATTGTGCCGTAGCGGACGGCGTTTGTGCCTGAGCAGTTTGTTCCTACCATGCCTCCTATCATGGCTGAGGGTCCGGGGTCCTAGAGCCAAGATATAATTAGCATGGCCTCACCAAGTTGGATTGACAAGAACACCACGATTTTGCCGAACTTACACATGGGNAAGAACAGTTTGCTGTAGGCGATTTCTTCGTTGAGTTTCATCCAGCCGATGGATGGTTGAACCACTACGTCCAGATCATCCTCATGTAAAGCGACAATCTTGTCCATGAAGGCGAAGTCAATACAGAAACCACCATAGGGAGCCGAGAAGTTGCCTTCCAGACTTGAGCCTCCAGAATAAGGAACTNNGCGAATTGAGTAAGTATAACATGTCAAAATAGTAGAGTATTACTTACCTATAGGGATCTTATACTTATAGCACACTTTAGCAATCTCGGATACTTCTTCTGTGGACTTGGGATATACGACGGCAATGGGGAGTACGTCAACATTGATAGTCGACCACTCTGAGTATCCGTGTCGATGTAACTCATCATCATCTGTAGTAATCGAGTCTTCACCAAGTTTGGCCTGCACCTCTTCGATTGCNCTATATCACATCAGTACCCTTCTACGATTGCGTATAGCTGAAATAGCCACCTTCCCCCACTCTGTCCTCTTAGCATATACCGGCGCCTGAGAAGCATTTACCCCATCTTTCTTGTAACTGGAACCAGCATCCCAGATTCCATAAGTGTATGCCAATGATCCAGTAAAAGCACTCAATAGCAGCACTTTGTTGGTAGTCCAGAAAGCAGTTTGGTTGATAGGCCCTGCACCTGTAGAATTGAACCGGTGTTGTTGACGACCTATGAGTGGAGTTCGGCGGAGTCCCCGCATTGCGGATGAATTGAAGCGCATCCTCGTCGCCATCGTTCAGTCTCTCGAGAATCGTACAAAGGTAAGGGATATTCTAGAATTGATGTAGAGTGTAAAAGAAAACGTCTCTTACTCTCTCATCAAGTTCGTGTCTATCAAAATCGAAGGATTGGGAGGAGGTCACGACTTCCGAGGCCCGGAGCACGTAAACAGCTCGCTCGCTCGCTGTATGTTTGTCCCGGCGGGAAGGCCGTGTCCCCTCCACCGCAACCCGCTAACTCATCTGTTCCCTTTTCGCTGCCTCTCCGCTCTTCTTTCCAAAACCCCCCCACCTTTTGGGGCTGAGGTGCTCAGCTTGCGAGACTCGAGTTTGTCCGTAACTACGCATGCACATGCCTACAGGATGTTCTCACGTCCGTTGCATAGCGCGCACATCTATGCGCCTGCATGCTCAAGGATTACAGCGAATCGCAGGTAGTGCCGACCGCAGCATAAAACGCACGTCTAACGGTCATGAAATACCAGCGTCCATACTCTCGGACCGAGGGTGAAACTCTCCTCTATATCAAACTCTATAGGTATAACAACGAGGAGTCGCAATCAGAGTCAGGCCAAGCCATTTCGTTCTCGCTGTTGTTCTTGCCAAGCAGTCTCATTCCAAGTTCTGTATTTCAAAGCAGCCCTAAGCAACCGATTTCGCGAACTGCCATTTATGCCAGATCGCAGATTTGATGTTTGCTCAAACGTCCCCCCTCCACGAACAAGGATAGGGTCGCCGGTTGAGCGATTTGTAACACAGAAGAAAAGACATAGTGCGCCGTTAGGACCTAGGACCGCCTGCTTTGCCTCTTCCCATATACCCTTGCTCAAGTATTATGGGTATCTCGGCCGAATACCAACCAAAAACGACCCACCAAGATCCAGCAAACATCATAAGAGCACAGTAAAAAAGCAAGCCGGTACAACTTTTAAGACGTGATCAGTGATAGCAGGATTGAGATCGCTGGTATGAGCGTATTATGAGGGCGGTTTCCTCTCCTTCTTTGACAGCCAGAGTCACAGTTGTGTAATCTTGACGAACGTTCGGCTGTGGACACTCAGCTTGGGTGGTGACACAGTCATGCGCGCATCAGTCCACATACGGAAGCGGTAAATGCTTGCACCGGAACCACCTCCGTATACTTTGAATCCTCCTTCTCCTGCGCGTCCCCCCAAAAAGCCCATGCGGCCAGGCATCCTATTTTTTTCTGTTGAGCAACGGAAATTTGCCGCTGTCATGCTGCTTTGCCGTAGCGAGCCGCGCCCCCATCTGTTGATCCTTGCTGCAAACCCTATTGGGTGGGCTCATGCTTGCTGCAATGCAGTGATGGTAAAAGGAAAAGGCAGGTGGGGGTTTGGGAGGAGTTCAAGTCCGTCTGGGCCTCGGACTTGGTGACCGTCGCCTGCTGCCCATAGCATGCCTGAATATAAGGAGGGCGAGGGCCGAACCCATTCTTGTTCCCCCCTTCCTCTTGTCAATCCTTCCATTTTGCTACTCTTAATTATCCTCGGAGGAGTCTGTCAACCCCTTGTTCACAATGAACCTCGCAAGCATACTTCAATTCCCTATCGAGGACACTCACCAAACACCAACACCAACTCGACACTCTGAATTAAGCACATCGACCTCGCCAATACTCTCACCGCACGCAGGATGTGGTGTGGTCAAGTCAAAGTCGACGAAGCGAACGCAAACGAAAGCCGCATGTCTCGGATGTCGGCAACGCAAATCAAAGGTTGGTGATTTTGTGGAGTCTTTGCATCGTTCTGGACCATCTGTATTGACTTGGACTCCTCGAAAATAGTGCGATGGAGACCGTCCGTCATGCAAAATGTGCCTCGAAAGGGGTGCCAAATGCGAGTATTCCGTCGAAGAAGGCAAGACGCAACAGCAAGCAACAAAAGAACAACTCAGATCATACAAAGACGTGTTGTCGTTGTTGCGGAATAGCTCGCCCAAGGAGAGCGAAGCCATCTTGCACATCCTGAAAAACATGGACCTCAACGATGCTTGCAGATTCATCCTTGACGGGCCAGTCTTTCTACCGAGTCAGTGAGCAGGTGAACTGCTCCCCATGAGTCAAAGAACTGCCACAGTATGACCGTAGAAATACACAATACTTTCAGGAAACAAGTAGTGTCAACGGAAGGAACTTCTCTGTAGGCTTTCTCCATGGCCAAAGTTCACCTCGAAAAGCTACCTGGCATTTCAATAGCTTGCAACGTCCCATGCCTCGCGATAGGAGAGGGTTCAATTGCGAAATTATGACAGTCTTTGCCAAGAAGGTGGAAGGACACAAAGGACGCACTTTTTACACGTCATTGTTGAGGATGCAAGGACAGTGAACGGCCATTCACTATGATCGACATACGGATAGGCAGGTCGTGCATCTAGCACTGTTCGATCATTCCGTTGATCAAGGTCTTGTTTTTGTGTTACCCTGGGTGGTAAACATTACGTACAAAAGAGGTGGTTGATATGCAGGAGTCCTTCTCACAGGCTTCAAACTTTGCCAATCATTCCACTTCTAATGGTGAAGGCAGTGCTGATGCGGTGTGGCTTACGAGCAGGACTGATGCTGCGAGGTCCGCGACTCTCGTCCGGCTGCAATCCGGGAGCTGGAGATACTGCGATGGTATGTCTCTTGGTCGGATCTCTTCTTCTATTATTCTCGACGACATCAGTCGATGGCCATGGGATCAATGGTAGCTCTCCGGAGAAATGAATGCCAGTATCCCGCTCAAGTTTCTTCCGCCAGATTTCCACTTGTATGTTCCACCACGTTTCGAGCTTCACACGTCTCTTTTGTGTTTCGTCGTCCCAGTCGCGTACCATGTCGTCGCATTCGCGTTGTAAACTTTCAATCTCCTTGAGTTGGCGAGCCTCCAGTTCTGCTAACTCTTCCTCTTGCTTGACTAGGCGTTGATTGATGCGTCTGCTTTGCTCGCCTCTTAGCACGCTGATGGCACCGCTATGTTTCGCTTCCATCTGGTCGCGTGCTCGTCTTGCTTTTGTGAGTTCGGCGAGATCCTGATCGGTAATGGTCCTCTCATGTCGATCACCGCTTGTTGTCTCTCCGCGACAGTATGCTTCCATGTGTTTCAGAGCAATTGCGTTATTCCGCGTCTCGACCTCATGTCCTTCGCGCATCTCGTGTTCGTCGAGTACATGCTTGTCCTCTATGCGAGCGATTGCCGCGCTCTGCTTTTCTGAGAGCTGGTCCTTTTGGCGGTCGAAGTATGGTAGTAGCTGTAACTTGCGCACCGCATAACCGTCAATTATGCCTTGTCTCTTTCTACCAACCCAAGCGACCAGACTGTCTCGCTGCCGTTCTTGTTCCTGTCTGAGATGCTTGAAGTCGGGTATTTCCATTGCCTTTTCCAGATTCTTTCTTTTCTCTTCCACGTTCTGAACTTGCTCAGCTCCGAAAACTGGTGATCTAGATTGCGATCGTGATTTTGGGAACGACGTCGGGTGTGATGTGACTTCGGATTCATGAATTGTAGGTGGTGTTGTGGTCGCCTCGTCGTCCCAAGCGACTAGCATATTCATCAATGCGTCCTGCTCTTCTTGACTCATCACGCTGGCGACCAAGCTGCCTGGTATCGGGCGTTTGCAACATGTAGGTGGTATGTTCTCATCGTTTAGCGAGTCCTTGATTATCTTGCGTAGCGCGAGGGTGCAGTAGCGATGGCCACAGGATAGTGTGTGCAACGTGCGGCGGTGTCGGGATCCGCTTTGGGGACAATGAGGGCAGTCNGCTGTGTGTTTGATCAGACTCGATTCTTCCTTCCTAAAATTCTTCGCTTACTCTTTTTCTCTGGTCGAATCTCCCGAGTCAGTTCTTCTCAACCTCAGCCTGCTTAATCCTCTTGTGATGATGTGTCTTTTTGGAGACGACTCCCTTGACCGAGACCACACGGACGATAGCGAAAATGTCGAAGGAGATGGCGAGATGATGGGCGAAGTCGCGAAGTTGAACGATGAACGGCGGAAGTCGAATCTAGCATGGTTGACTATCGCATCGTAATCTTTTATTGACGTTGATGTGGCGGAACTGCGTCGCCCACGAGTAGGTCGAGTCCTGGCATTGGGACATTCTCTAGAGACGCGAGACGCATCCGTGAAGTCTGTGGAGTGTGAACCCTGGGAGCCGGTGGATATGGATCGTCGTGGGTGTGTCGAGCTTGTCAAACTCGAAGTCGCTTTTGATTCCCTCGACTTCAGAGTGCTTTCGAGAAGAGCAATATCGATGTCCAAGTTTTGAGCTTGACTCCTCAGGTCTTCCTCGAAGGCTTCGACCGTTTGGCCTTCGGCAAGTCGGAGGACTTCACGAGCGAACTCGTCGTCCATCGATACTGAGTTGTTGCCCGAGTATCAAATATTGCCTCAATGGATCCAGCTTTTTCGATGTCGTGACACGCATGGGAATGGTGAAACTCCAGCCACAACAGAAGAACAAAGACAGCTGTGGTCCAATTCGTAACTGCCGAGAACTTCTACCAGTTGTCTAGGTACCAGTGTGTTGTAGCGGTCTGTATCTCGGCAAACCAAGCTCAACCTCCGCAACAACCGACACCGGACTTTATTGGTGAGTAGTGTCCGTCGCAGAATGACAGCAGACGAGTCTTCGTTAACGAAAAGGTTGAAATTCTCACGGAGCGGCCACCGGACAACATAAAGAAGAAAAAGAGAAGTAAACGTCAGCGATGAACTTGATCATCGAAACCCATCACAGCGCAGGAGCTGCATGACGTCCCGAACACAAGGATTAAAACAGCCGTCTTGTTCGCCGCCACAAGCCCGAGATCTCTAACTGGCTCCTGCTTGGTAATTCGAATTAAGATTCTTCTGCTCCAAGGGCTCGTGCCCTTTGGTATCGGTTCCCAATATACCCTCCTATGTGTCTTGTGATTTATCCTTGAGCTCGAGTCAGTTGTGTTTGGGATCGCGAAACACTAGCACCGCAGAATCGGTATCAATGCGATTGCGGGGCCTGTCAATGCATTCCGGCTTCACCGAAAGTTTGACCTTGTAGCCACTGTGAGCCCTCGAAAAGCTGGTGATTGGCGGTCAGGGGATTGATCATTTCATAGAAGGGTCGTTGATTGACAGGTTACATTCTACACCGCATAACTTACCTTGACAAAGTACAGTTTAGGGGCTGTTATAGCTGAGACACAAGCAAGCATCTTGGACGACAGCTTGACATGAACTCTCATCTCCATAATGCCTCGGCAGCAAATCTTGACGCCACAAGCCACTAGGCGTGGCATGAGATTGCTTAAGAAGAGTCATGCTGGCACCCTTACGATGAATCAATCAGCAAGCGACATGCCGGTGCTTAGAGACATTCAGCAGCTCGGAAGAGCAATCGTCTGTTGCAATGTTGAGTAATCCATTGACATCAGCTGCAACTTGTACGAATGGGTGTTTGTCCTCCGAACTCAAACCCGAGGATCGGGTTCGATGTGGTATTACCGAGTATATGGGTCATGGCGTACATCCCACATGTCATTGGGTTCGTGAAGGGCTTGGACAGAAGTTGTTCTGAGACACATGATAAACATAGGACAACGTGGTGGTGGATAGCGTTGCGAACTGGCGATTTCTGGAAGGTGAGAACATCGGTTCGTAAGCACACGGTCCATCCTAGGGCTGAAGCGTTGGTCCTTGAATATCGGAAACATTGCCCATTTGTTGCAACTTCCGCGGCGTGACAGGTAGACAGGTATGTCAGAGTGTTCGGAGACATGGAAGATCAGGCACGAAAGATGTTATGGTCGAGTTTGTGAAGCGATTCAGGAATCAGGATGCTCAAAGACTGAGGTTGAGGATCGGCCGGCTCAGGAGGTGCCTCCTAGTCAGCAACCCGGGCCTGTTAATCAGGCTTGTCAAATGCTTCTCTCCATGCTCCATGGTTCGTCATGCATGCGTTTGAGCAAATACAAGATGTTTGTGGGCTCGGAGTCCAGTCCAGTGAGAAGGTGGTGGCCCACTTTGACTGACTTCATCAAATATGACATTATTGCAAGTCCTATAGCACAAGTCGAATCTTCGTGCCGAGGAGAGAGCATGGAGCTTGACCGCAAGGTTGTGGTGACAGAAAAGGTGTCTCATGTTGAAACAGAGACACTGTTCCCTCTGCTCGCTGCAAAGCCGAAGCGAAGCGAAGCGGAGCGAGGACGGAAGGAGGCTCGCGCCATCACGGGGGTCCAAGGAAACATGAACCACTCACCAGCTCCCCATGTGCGATTGTTTGTAACGCGTGCGGCTGTAAAATGCACAATACTATTAGAAAATAGGAAAGTGTCCACTAAGAAGCGATCTTTCATTAGCTCTCTTTGGCCATATCCTTATTTCTAGATAGAATTATGCATTTTTATAGCCACACGCGTTGCAAACAATCGCACTTGGGGAGACAGCAAGATTCCAGTGTGGGGCTGGCTCATGTTTGCTTGGAGCCACTTGCATGAAGATTGCCAACATGGGTTGGCAACGAAGCTTTTCCCCAGCTCATGCACTTTCAAGGGACGGTCCATGTCCATCACGGTCTCCCCTCACGACATGTCCCCGTTCGAGCCTCCAGTCAGCGCGTCGGCGTCTGACGCAAGCATACCGAGAAGAGGAACTACCAGATCAACCTCGTCCCATCTAAGGCCTGAGGACGCATTTCTGACATACTCTCCACCATATCGATCGACCAACAAGAATGCTGCATCCGACGACAAACGCAAANGAGACAATCGTGGCAGTCGCAATGCCAGTCGGAGGAGGCCACGCACATGGAAGAAGCTGCTCTGGGTAAAACAAGCATNNGTACGAGGCTCGCGACACCGAGAGAAGCTATACACCACCAAACAAACACTGAGACCTTCAGATCCTGATAACTACACGGATGAAGAGACCTTCTTAGACCATCTACAGCGCAACCCCCGTCTCCGCCCTTATGACTTCTGGCCCCTTGTTGCAGACTCTACTGTCATCGTCCAGCACATCGGTTCCGTCATCATCTTCGTCTGCTGCTTTGTCGGCATCAAACAACAGCGTGTGTCGCCTGTATCCGTCGTTAGCTGGGCTACTTTTGGCACCGTTCTGGGCTGGGTTGCTCGTGACTACTGGGTAGGACAAGAAGAGGCTGCACAGGCTGCTCGCGCTGCGCTTGCCGACGCTACAGCTTCGTCTAAAGCCGTTATAGATAGTCAACACCTCCAGGAAGGACTCTTGAGTCCTGCAGATCCGACTTCGACACTGTCAGAAAACGGTAAGCTAGGTTTGGGCATCTCGAGTGTAGCGGCTTCGCGTCCAGTTTCCATGCCTTCAGCGACCGAGAGCCCAGCATCGACGGCATCCAGCACTGTTCATCCAAACGGAGCTGCTACATCCGCAGGTCACAATTATTACCCGTCTTTCAAAAACCAGACCTCTTCCCTTTCGCCTCGCAATCAAGAAAGATTGGCGACAGCCAAGTCTGCAATTCTGATATATTGTGCACTGCTCGGCTTAAGCCCGATACTGAAATCTTTGACCTTGTCAACATCTCCTGACTCTATTTGGGCCATGAGTACCTGGCTTTTGATTATCAACATTTTCACCTTCGACTATGGTGCTGGTGTCGAGGCGAAGTAGGTTTTTTTGTCCGCATGTTCTGTATCGAGTCCTTGTTGACAAAGCCCTACTAGATTTCCTGCTTCTCTTTCAACAAATGCCGCTCTTATGGCATCTACAGTTCTTGCCTCTCGGCTTCAATACACCAACGAAGTCTTTAGCTTGACACTCTTCAGTATCGAAGTGTTTGGACTGTTCCCAGTTTTCAGGCGACATGTCCGACACGCATCTTGGACAGGACATTTGATGTTGACTGCATTGATTGTCCTTGGTGCAGGAGGCGGGCTCTGCGTCACCATCACGGGGGGAGGATGGAAAGCCGGAGTCGGTGGTGCCATTCTCGGTGGTATTCTCACGTGTCTTGCCATGGGCATCACCAGCTGGTGGCTCATTGGATTACAAAGGTACAAGAACGAAATTCATGGGCCTTGGGATCCGGCACGTCCGATCATCAGACGACATTGGGATTGAAAACGACAAGAACAAGATTCATCTATGGCTCTATCACTCCTTCTGCTGTTCTATACATGAATTGCAGACAAACCAGTCGGGATAATGCTACTGCCAGACAACGACGCTTTGCGTCTTTTGGTCAGCTCGACTTGTCTATCCTTGAACTCAAGGAAGGAATCCCATGATATCCTCCCACCTCGTAGAAGGGGAACTTCAACATTCGTCAATGAACCAACGTCGTGTGCTTTTCCAACGCGGACTGTCAGCGATGTGATACCGTCCACGGTGTGCCATTCGATGAGGATAACCTCCTTCTCTCCCGCCACGCGTATCGTCTGGCTCATCAGATCGATCAATGCCGACTCGTCTCTGTCGAAGGCAGGGGAGAACCACAGTCCCTTGCTCCATGGTACTGGCTGGGAGGCCCAGGAGCTGCTATCCAGACACTTTCCTTTGAGTGTGAAGGATTCCAGATCTCGGATCTTCCGAAGCAAGGACTGCAGGTACTTCCAACCACCCACCCGAGAACCTGCGTCGTTGGGCTGCCAGTTGGCCAGGTCAAAGCATAATGAGTCTAGGTATGGTAAATGAGATCTGAGAGTGCCGAGATCTGCACACCAGGCACCCAGCATATGCGCCCCACGAGTACAGCCGAAGTAATGGATCCATTCCCTGGCAATGATTGAATCCTGCTCGCTTCGCAATCCCGTGTCATTCGATGCCGCGTCTCTGAAATCGATTGTGACATGATGGACATGGCTGGCTTGTGCTAATGACAACCGGGAAAAGAATGCTTGAATATGGGCGACTTGTGTGAAAACAAAGTCCCCCTTCTTCAATGGCACCGAATCATTTGCCTCGAGATAGATGGCACGGCAGGATCTTAATAAGGCAATGCCCAGGCTAGGAATTTGACGGTGTTGAGGTTCGTTATTTGTGTTCCAACTCGGGTCAACAATGGATGTAGAAGGTGTAAGAGCAAGGTCATAGATCTCATTCCTCAGCTCGCCAGGCAGTCTGAACAGAGGAGAGTGTGTTTGAGGCAGCATCGCAGCCTCTTTGTGGATTCTGTCCATAGTGTATGATTCGATGGGATATACGAAAATGAATTGTAAGACACGAGAGAACGCAAACAGGAATAAGACGAGACTATATAGCAGGAGCTCGTCGCTCGATTGGGATCGGGTCAAATCCTTTATGTGCTCCTTCAGCTGGTCTCGGACGCCCTCGACCCCGCCAAAACAACACCCTGATGGCCGGTCACACGCTGTTGCATGATAGCCGAATGTCTCCTCTTTTCCTACTCGGGACCTAGTCGGCGCTTCCAGGTCTTTTTGCCTGCTTCTCACCAGTATTCGGTCCGCTTGATGTATGTTACATCTAGAGTCCCTAAGGCTCGATTTCCCACTATGGTATATGGTCGTCTTGCTCGGTTATGCAGTAAGCATGAGTCTTGTCGGGGTGCTTTGCGCCGATCCGAAGTCCCCCACCCGCGCGCCAAGACCCGCGTGCATCACGCGTCCAGCTTTGTTTCTGCCTCGACTCAAGACGTCGTCTCTTGCACATTCATACCATATCACCATTACTTCGCTCGCCATCATCTCCCCTAGTCGTCGAATAACCCTGTCTCAAGCCACCTCCTGATCAGACGTGGGCGCGTTCCCGCTTTACTATTGTGTGCGATCCGAGTTCGATCTGTGGTCGCGCAAACAACGAAAGAAACCACAGTCTGTGAAATTTTCCGTAGCAAAAGTTCTCGCGAGACCCCATTGTTCTCGCTTCAGAAGTCGAGGACATCTCTTGACTTCTTCTTGCTGGACGTGGGTGCGTTTCCGCTTTACTTTTGTATGCGGTCCAGATTTGGTCTTTCGCTTTTGCGCTGGCACGGCTACGGACTGGGCTTCGTGAGTTTTCGCAGCAGAGTTCTTGCGGAACCCCATCGTTCTCGGATTCGTGGATTGTCATAGATTTGCACGCGGAGCCAGGGCTGCTCTAAAACCTGTACAGTGTCGCAAAGCCCGGGTGGGAGGGTTCCAGTATCAGAATTTCGAGTGCTAGGGTCTCATTGAGGTGCGTATAGTTTTCTGCTTAGCTGCTAACATCAGGCTCCTCTATTCCTTGACCTTGAATTCCCTACCACTGCGGTATGGAACCACCCCGGGCATCGCTTTCGCACATGAGCTCGAATGGGTGTGCAAAGAACCTGCTTTAGTGGTCTGGAACGAGCCTGACCGGCCAGAGATCTCTTCGCTTGGACTGCCATGTCCTACTGGAAAGCCTACGCTTTTGACTCTTTGGGTTGGCAAAACGCCAATAACGAGTTACAATTGATGTTGCAATTACGCATCAGTATCCGAGTCTCGAAACGCCGAAAGATCCTCGACCATTATCTGCTTCCTCCTTCGGACACTTGTGTCACCGCAAGCACTTCCATCGTCCACCTGAGAGATGCTTCTGAAAATATTAGGCAGTGTTTGGAAGAGGCGTATGGTAAATTTTCTACCCAAAAATGTCTTCGTATCCCGTTCCATCAGCCCAAGCCGGGTCGTGTTTTGGTGCCGATTGCACCGGACAGTGCGCCATGTCTTGGAGGCACCGCCCTACATTTGTTGACTCTGCTTCATTCGCTATCTTGCGCCAGTAGTTTCGAAATATTTCTTCGCTACAGCAGTTATGCTCACCACGCACTGGCGAATATCGAAGGTGTTCTTGCGGACAGCACAAACATCGATCTGCTGACTCTACGGAGGGTATGGAGGCGTGTTTGATGATTGGCGCCGAATCGGTATTGAGCAATTGGGTTGTGCGATTATTCGAGATGAACACGAACGTGCAGAGAGTAACCACGCGAAAGCCACTATCTCTGCTGAATCTTGCATACCGGGAGATCAACCTATGCACGCGCAGCCAATATGCTCACCACCGCCTTATTCTCCACCACCAAAAACGGCAAACTTGCCCAAGACTCCTAAGAAGATACACGTCGTGAATGAGAATTCTGACCTGATAAATAGAGCGGGCTGCTTGAAGCGATCCCATGGTAAGTCGATTCTCTTGTCTCGCTCCCGATTCGTTCGCTCGGCATTATGAGCCGTGGAAATGCACGATTGTTTTCAGACCAGAGCCATGTCCACAGAAAGCCAATAGAAACAGATGCTCTCAATGGAAACCGTCCTGTTCTTCAAATCATTGTGCATTTTCACAGCTATACACGCGACGGACTTTGCGTTGTGGAGGAATCTCACAGTCCACCACTGAATTATCTTGACTGATCCTGAGTACAGCCTGTATTGATCCTGAGCCCGACTTCCTGTTTACAAAATCTGCGAGACCACAGCCCATCTCTTGTTCGCCAACCTCCAATGATACTCCTGACGTTGCGCATGATGCTGAAAAATTGTCATCACTGAGAGAGGCAACATTCTCGCCTACCATAGTCAATACACCAAGCACCGTAGAGGATACTCACATGCTTCCTTCTGAAGACCATACACCATTGGTTATCAAAGCTGCTCAAGTTGAAGGAGATGACTCCTTTGCTGGCCAGTTACTAAGTGTCGTACGAAACACATCGCCCTCAATTCTCTCGACTCCAGGCCGTTCTGATACGCTTAGTATCAAGCCCACAATTTTTACGAAGCGAGATGAGCTTCCTAGATACTCGGTCGATGCAGAAAAGGTGCCTTCTCAGGTCCAGGATCAAGACTCAAGGAACAAAGCGAACAACCTCATGTCAACTTCGACATCTTCGAATACAAGTCCACCCAAGCCAACCATGCGCTCGTTGCACCAGGAACTACGTATGCTAGTCTCTGCAAAAGTGCCGCTGCTCACTGCGCAAGCTCTGCAGCGTATCATCGACGATCTGCTAGAATCGCTAGATTACAACCAAAAAGTCGCTGAGATCGGACTGCAAGAGACATCGGATGATTTAAAGGTTGAGCTACAGCTCGAAAAAGACAAAAGCCTTGAGGACATTGACGCCCACTCGGAACATGTCTTTGATGATGTCAAATGTCAGATGGAAGATCTGGCAAATGGTCATCTGTTGGCCTTTGAAGACATGCTGCAACGGACTGGAGAGCAGTTAAAGCAAACGCTAAAGGCTTTCTTGCTTGTTCTTGCCAAAGCCATGCTTACAGGCAAACTCGACGATGACGCCCAAACAGCCAATATGAACGCGACCAATGCGGCTGGGCCCCAAGAAGAGGACTCTTTAGCCGCGTCCAACACACATTCAGCAAATTTTGTATCGCCCGGCATAGCCGACTCGCCAGCAATAACCGCCACGAAGCTCTTTCTACATGAGTTTGGGAGTCTTTGCACGAGTGCGAAGGTGGAAGTTCTCGAGAGACTTGCAAGTCAGAACACAGCCGAAATTTTTCTGACGGTGGACAAAGGGCTTCGCGAAGCTTGGGTTGCAAGCTGGACTGGTCAGGTTCCATCTTAGGATTGAATTCAATGTGAGGACGACTCTCTGCGGACACTGGTTGGTTTTCCACACTGTCATGCATTACTACAGCCACCGAAAAACACACGTCTACGCATGGAGAGGTGCGAGAAGCATTGAACATACATCCAGCCCAATATCCTCCTTACTCTAGTGTGTGTTGATCTCAGGAGCAAGTAGTCGACTGTATCTGCTTCACTGTATCTCTCCAGTTGACCTGTCTTCCTACTGGTTGGCAAGAAGTCTGGAACAAATTCTCGGGATGCAACAGGGCTTGAAATAATCGAATCATGATTCGCACACCAAAACACAAGCTGAGGAGCTATATCTAGCGTAAACCCACCTCTTTTTTTTTCTGGTGATTTGTTGTATTCTCTATATCAGAGCATCCAACCTTATACACACAAGACGCAAGGCAGTCGCATCAACAATTTCTTTGTTACAACCCTTTGCTGCTAGAACACAGATGGCTGCAGATTGCCGAAAGTAAGCAATCAGTGAAAGCTGCATCTGCTTCACTCTCGATTTCACAATACACAACCAACGCAATGCTCGCACCGACTCGATCGAAATTGTCAGTGGGAGCACAATCGGGGAGACAGTGAAGAACGACTCGAGTTTTGAGATTGCTGCATCTCACCGGACGAGGTGTGAAATGGTATAGCTATAAAAATGCAGAATAGTGTTCGGGAAACACTAGTGTCCACTGAGAGCCATTGACTTTGTAGGCTCTCTCTGGACACACCTCGATTTCTGCACATTACTCTGCATTTTTATAGCTCGGAAATTGCCCTACATTGGGTCAGGAGTCCTTGAGAGCTGCTGTATCTCACAGCGCGAAGCCATTGAAAATGTAGCTATCGAAATGCACAATGATGTTCGGGAAACAGTAGTGTCCTATTGTCCGATTAAAAGGGTCCGAATTGTTATTCGGACGGCAAAAGGGTCCGAAAACCAATACGCTGCCTAACTATTGTACTTAAGGCACTACTTCTCTTTTCGGCACCCTTACCTCCTCATCTCCTTCGCAATTCACGCCACACCACAGCACAACACAACCTGACCCACTATTCCATATCACATCATAACTTGATACACAACCTACTCCAATACCCTGTCGCACAACATGACTTCTGAACCTAAAGCCAACACCACATCTGGTTCTTCTCTCGGGNTAAGATTGTTGAGTAAAGATCTTATCTTTGACTTGGTCTGACACAATGACAGTTTCTTCAATGACCCTACCCACATGGACGTCACCCTTGTCTTTGGTGATACAGATCGCCCTATCCGTCGCCGCGTCCACAAGGTCCTGTTCGCAGCCAGATCCAAGTACTTCAACAAGCTCTCCAAGGTAGGCCAAGATTTTTTTACACGCGTCAAATGCCATTCTCATCATATTGCCAGAAAACAANCCGACGATACCTGGAAGCTTGAGGTTGGTGNNGGCTGCAACAGTGTCGAGGCCATGACCCGTCACGTCTACGGCCTGCCTTTCAACGAGGCCCCTGATGAGTCCGGTAACCTCAAGGAGCACGATTGCACCGAATTCCTTCTCGACGTGTACCATGCCGCAGACCACTATCAGCTCGAAGATCTCCGCGATGAGGTTGCTGCAAAACTTGCTTCTTAGAGCGCCACTCTCTGGTGGGGTTGCGAGTGCAAGTTCCGTCGTTTCGCAGAAAAATTTGACAAATACCCTGAACACGAAGCTACCTTTGAGAATAAGCCTGTCCGCGGCTTCATTGCCTTCTTCATCAATCACTTCAAGCAGCTGCGCGAACAGAAGGACTTCCGTGAGGCTGTTCTCGACCGCATGTCTCCTGGTGACGTGTACTTCGAGCACTTTGGTATCTCAAAGTTCGACAAGAACCGTGGTGTGTCGGTGTGCTCATCCTGTGTCGAGAAGAAGGGCAAGGGCTACAACTTTTGCTTGGGTTGTGAGAACGATGAGGAGGATGACACCAGCAAGTAGATTGTGCAGAGCCAATAGCTCAACGATTTCACACTACTGATCAAGCGGTCGACAGAGCACAAGGATGAGACATGGACAATGGCAGGGCGATAAAAGGAAGGCAAATGGCAAATGGCAAATGGCAAAGAATGGGAAATTTCGGCTAGCAGAAGTGACCAAGAAGGTCATCTGCAGCACTGAGAGATTGCAGATAATGATGACATGCAAATTTTTTTGAGACCAGCATCAATATTTCCACAAACTGACTGCGCATTATAATCTTGTTTTCAAGTCAAGTCTGTTTTTTTTTAAAGGTAGTTGACTATTCTCTAATAGTATCGTGCACTTTGATAGGCACACGCGTTACGTACTTCTGCACGCCGCAAGGATCGAAACTCTGATTCCGCACATTCACAGGTACTTGCTCCTCAATGCCTGGCTGATGGAGCTCATCCTGCTCGTGGTAGAGCCGTGTTGCATGTGGCTCATGAATGCCTCTTCTATGGCCGACTGAGATATACTAGCATCTGTTATCCGTGTCAGCATGGATTGTCTCACACTGACACTCCACATTCAAGTCGACGTACCGTCAAGATCGCTGAATGAGCTTCCCATGCTCGGTGTGCCCTCACTGCCCTCTCTACGAACCATCGGGCTGAGTTTGGAAAGTTCTTCGCGGTGTTTGGGGCTCAACGCACTGGCTGGAGACGCATGTACATAATCGCCTCGAGTGAGTTCTCTCTGCCTGCCGGTGCCTGTGGTGGCTTGAGTGACTGCTGCAGAGCTTGCCGAAGACGCAGAAGAGTCAGGACCAATTACCCTTTGCTCATACGCACGTTTGACCGGTGATTTGAGCGTTGCAGCAGGATCAGCACTTCCAGTAGCCGTAGTAGCGAACGGCAAGAATCCACCAGAGGACTCGCCATCTTCATCCTCGTCTTCGTCATCATAGCCATACCTGCCTTTGTTGTAGTGCGTTGGTCGTCTGAAGGCTTGGCTGCGCGCCATACTCTGACTCTCGCCTTCAGAAGAAGAATCCGATTCTGACTCCTGCAGTGGATCCGAGTCTGGCTCTGATATCTCGCGCTGGGGTGATACGGGCTTTCTGTGGTTCCCGAAGGCTGGGTTGAAGGCTCGATTGCTTGGTTGTGCTGGACTGGCGGGTGGGCCGGTGCGGCTTTGTGTCAGTGTTCTTGTGGAAGGTGTGCGAGAGAGGCCCTCGGTCTTTGTTTGCTGGTTAGCTGTGGACAAAGTAGGTAGCATGTTAGGCTGGCGAAACACTCCTGAACCACCTGAACCCAGAGTTGGAGTGGGACTATCGCGCATACGTGCTGAGAGAGCTGAGGGNGCCCTTTGACCTACAACAATCTGGTTAACTCAAAGATTTCAGCACTTTACACAGTTGAGCTTACCTTGACTGGCAACTGCGAATGCGGTCGCATTGCTGCTCACAGCAACATTGCCCGTAGAATCAGGTGGAAGAGGCGACGGACAAGCTGAAGGACTGAGCTTCTTCATCTGCGCTTTCATCTGTGCAAAATGGCGTTCATAGAGCCATGCTGCCTGCTGAAGGAGAAAGGCTAGGGAAACCTCAAACTTTGTAGATCTACACTTGTCAGCTGAAGTATGTATCGAGTGGCTTGATACACGGACAAATCTTCCCCTGTCGACATGTCAGCTTGATATCGTTGTCGATCACCACAGGTCGGTANNCATACAGTCCAGCTCTTTGCTGTTAGAAGCCTTAGAGATGATTTTCCATAGTGCACGGTCTTTGGTCGAGTTCCAGTCAACCNNTATCCACATTAAACCCTGTCCAAAAGCACATTTGGGAATATTCAATACCTGTGGCGGATCTACAAAATCGCCTCTGGGAAATGGCAGTCGGATGAAGCAGGTATAGTGCACGGACGAGTCTGCCGGAGCTGACTTGTATGCTGGCGACGGCGGGGCATTGATACCTAGAGCATTATGCGATGTCTGACCTGTGCGGATGGATAGTTGCTTTGGATCTTCGATGCTGGACATGGTATAGTCTGATGTGTTGATGGAGAAGAGTTATGGTGGGTGGTGTGGAATAAGGTTCTAGATGCACAGCATGAGCACGTGATATCAAACACCTTCCGAACCTCCAACACACGTCAACTACGCAAATAGCAGATTTGAAAACATGATTATAATGCGCATTCAGTTTGTATTACAACAGAGGCTGGTTTCTAGAGAGAATACAGCAGTTTTGGCCGTTTCTGTGGCCACATTCCAATACCAGATACAACTGTGCATTTTGATAGGTTGCGTAACACCACCTTATCTTGAGGGAGAGTCGAAACTTCGTTGAGAAGTGTGTTCAAACTTTCATGGGTATATTGCAATTATCATAAGTGCTCTGTTTCAACAGAGCTAAGCGCATGTTCCAAGTAATGCGACGCGGAATGCCAAATGAATCGTCCGAGTAAGATCATGCATACATGTCATCATATTCTCCGTCTTCCTCATCTGGTGGTGGTGTGGGAGCTCTCTTCTTGACCAACTCTTTTCTGTCGAGGGGGCAGGTGGGATTTAACTTGAGCCAGGGGGTGATACATTCGAGGTCGAAGAGGTGATCTTTATGGCAGGGAAGCTGAACGACAAGAGGATGGGGATCNTAGAGCAGACAATCAGTAAGATGTGACGACAATGTCCAACAGGAATAAGAGGTACCATCGAGGAAGGGATTGCCGCAAATGGGGCAGTCCTTGTCCTTCAAGCTCGTCTTTGGCACTCTGTCCAGCTGGGCGAGGAACTCATCAGAGACACCCTTGACCTCCTTCGGAGGGTTCTCAGACTCTTGCATCAACTCTTCAACCATGCGAGCTAGTAGTTGATCTGTGTTCTCTTGCGATTGACCATGGCCACCGCCCTGCATCATAGAGAAGGCATTTGCGAGACTGCGAAAGGCTGCTGAGACGTCGCCGGGAAGAGGTAGAGAGTGTGTGTTTTGAGGGTGACGGTCTCCACTGGTGTCGACGAGATCGAGAGTGGTGAAGAAGGTCGAAAGATCAGGGCGGCGGGGCGGTGCCTCGTTCTTTTTCTCCTCTTTGATGTTGTGTTCGACTGAGGACTGTCAGTGATGTGCAGAGACGTTTTCACGAGGAGCCAAGCTCACCCTCGTAGCCTGACATGACTGCGCAGAGTTGAGGAGTATATTTTTGGTGGTGGGGATGGTTTGAATGGCAGAGCGATGCGGAAGGTGTATACGGCGTTTATATGAGGTTAAATCCGCAGGCAGCACAGACGACGCGTTATCGTCGCTCCTGCCTCTCTTGTGTTCGCATACACATTGATGGCTGGTCCATTTTAACGATAATGCCATTCCCTCACGTACGATGAAGGAAAGTACGCCAGATGGCAGCGAGGCCACTGCGACCCATGACCAATTGCCTACGCCAGCACTGTCTCCCATCACTGAGCATGGTACAACCTCATACACCTCGGACCTCGATCTGACAAGTCCTGGTCTCGACGCCTTGTCCGAGAAGACGGCTAGCCCTGCGGGCACTCCAACCACAGCAACATCGCGAGTCTTGAATAAAAAGACCAGCAATGGAAAGCTTCTCTCACCCTCTCCCACTTTCAAGCTGTCCTCAGCCCAGATGCAAGACTTGATCTCCTCGCCCGACTCGATTCCACTACGCGCTGTCGATGTTTCTACCGATGACATTCCGCCTTTGACTGACGATATTGTTGCGAAACCAAATGGCCTGGGCATCTCTGCCCGTGAAAAGACCTCCTCTACAGAGCCTACGAGTATACCCGTACAGAATGGCCGCCCTCCACCGACTGCCTCTAGACCTGCTGTCAGTGGCCGCTCGAACTCAACACCTGTCATCAAACGTAAGGCTTCGTCGGCTCAAATACCAAGAAATCCGAACGAAAACAAAGACGCTTCGAAACCCAGGCGCCCTACCTTGAATTTGAAGGGCTCTGAATACCAGGATGGTGCTGAAGCTTTGAAGCCCTCGCCCATGTCCGACTCCCTTCCCTCTCCAATACCTGCCAGCATTCCCGTTCCGCCCCTCTCTCTGCCCACATACCTACAACTTGAGCTCTCTTCCGAGCGTCCTTCGGCTCTCTACATTCATCGCTCGGCCAGCAGCGACTTCCCCTACGAGTCTTCCAAAGTTAAGTTTGAGCGTCTGTACAACTTCTTGACTCTACCGCCTCAGCTAGAACAGACTCTGGTATTCGGTGCCTTGGCATGTCTGGACGCTTGGTTATATACTTTTACCATCTTGCCCTTGAGGTTCTTGAAGGCTATCTTCATCCTGCTCAAGTGGTTCGTTCAAAGTCTTGTCAAAGAGTTCAAAGACATCGGTTCCTTCATATACTCTGGACTGGGTCGTGTCTGGAGCCGTAGAAACCAACCGCCTTCCGCCAATCCTTCACGTAGAAGTTCCTTCAGTTCACCCATGATCGACCCTGCTTCTGCTCCTGCAGTTCCTTCCTGTTCAACCAGAGGTTNNCAAAAGGGCACAACCTCGACGCGCTTCCAACAATTGCCCTCGAAACTCAAAATTCCCAGTCCACTGTACCGTCACAGGCGTTCCAAATCTACACCTTCTGCCCTGCTTCCAAATCACAAGGCTGACATGCTACATGGAGCGCTGATCATCATCAGCTGCATGATTCTTGTCCAATTCGATGCCAGTCGCATGTATCACAAGATTCGCGGACAAGCTGCTATCAAGCTCTACGTCATCTACAATGTCCTCGAAGTATTCGATCGTCTTCTGTCAGCTATAGGTCAGGACATCATCGAATGTCTCTTTTCAAAAGAGACTCTTGAGCGTAAGCCTAATGGCCGCAGTAAGGTTCTACTTCCTCTGGGCATGTTTATACTTGCTCTGGCCTACAACGTCGCTCATGCCGCTATGCTGTTCTACCAAGTCATCGCGCTCAATGTCGCTGTCAACTCCTACTCAAATGCTCTGCTCACACTCCTGATGTCTAACCAGTTTGTTGAGATCAAGGGAACTGTCTTCAAGAAGTTCGAGAAGGAAAATCTATTCCAGCTGACTTGTGCAGATGTGGTTGAGAGATTCCAACTCTGGCTCATGCTACTCATCATCGCTTTGCGCAATATCGTTGAGGTTGGCGGTCTGAATATGGGCTCATCCACCAGTGGCTCGACAACAAATTTTAGCACGAACTCAACAGCATCGCCCATTCAGAGCACAAGTATTCTCCCACAAGCCTTCAGCATGTTCCCAACAGGCTTTGGTCAGATCTTTGGGCCTTTCGTGACTGTGATTGGCAGTGAGATGATTGTTGACTGGGTCAAACACGCCTACATCTCCAAGTTCAACAACATCAAGCCGAGTCTCTATGGTCGCTTCTTGGATGTGCTGACGAAAGACTATTACTCACATGCTTTCGCCGACCAAAATCTGACCAAGCGACTAGGCCTTCCAGTCCTTCCTCTTTCCTGTCTGTTCATACGTGCTTCAGTTCAGACTTATCACATGCTTATCGCTACACACATGCCGCTGCCCATCCCTTCGACTGCTACGGCGATTGCACTGGAGTCAGCATCTGGGGAGACCTCACCTTCTACTACAGCCGCACTTGCGCACATTGACCAGATCTTTAGGAGGGCATTAGGCAGGTCATCCTTTGGAGCAGGTGCTGATGCCGCTGCTGGTGCCAGCTCCTGGCGTTTCTGGACGATCGACGATGCAATCGCCTTGGGCACTATGCTAGTCTTCTTCCTGATCATATACCTTATCCTACTAGCACTCAAACTTCTGCTCGGTATGCTCTTGCTCAGTTTCGCACGCACACGCTATCGCAAGATGAAGATGCAAGAGCACAAGAAACAAAATTTCGACACTCAAGGTCGGAGAGTTGGTGGCTGGGGAGCCGTAGAAGTGGACGAAGACAAGCGTAGATGGATTTATGAAGATGACCCCGAGGGCTTGAAGAATCTCAGAGAGCGAGAAGCTAAAGGCAAAGAGAAAGCCAAAGGAGAATTGAAACTTGATGGAGTGGATAGATACATGATGGCTGCGAAGAGGATCTGGTAGATGCTCGCTTCTATCAGGAACGACTTCAACGAAATACCTGAAACCCTTCAAGATAACACATTTTGCCACTGACCGCATGCTATGAAGCAAGCATCATGAGATATTGGCTGGTATTGCAACCTTCGGATGCCCATTGCCGTTTTGATTGAGACTGTGAATGTGTGACACGCGCCAATCTGCCAATTCTCTCGGCCCACGTAGCGATCTCATCCTGACTCGTGATGGTTTTCCGGTGACAGGACCTAAATCGTAGATTAGGGAAGACATAAAGCAGTCGGCGTGGTTTGAGCCTCAAACAGTAGGGCTGAGCTTTTAGAACGTACGAGTCCTTGATCTGCAACAAGATTGCAGATCTCCCGGATTCCCTCCCCCTTGTTCTTCTGCCAGGTGACGAGGTGATGTTATATAACAAGCATAATTCGTTCTTTAACAAGTCCATCTCGGAGTTCCGTGACGCCAAACAAAACCCGCCATCTTCTGTGCCGTTCAACATGCATATTCCGTGTCGTCATGATAAACATCAGTGTGAGGTCTGGCATGCATGGCTCTCATTATAGGCTATAGGTATCAGGTAGGAGCGAGTTGGTAAGGGAGCGGTTTCCTCCTCTTTCTCATCGTTGTGATTGTTTACTTGTCTTCCTTGGATTGCATCGACTTGTGTTCTAGAAGGAATCTAGAATTTGTTGCACCGACTACTGCGTGGCAATACAGCATTCAGTACACCGAGATTGGAATACCTGTTTGAACATGGAGCGGTCGATACCGCATGATGAGGCTCTGCCCGGGGGCTCGCCACAAACGCCAGCAGAATCGCTCAGACAACAGAACTCAAGAAGTTATTCAGATACTAACAACGTACCGACATCAGCAAGGATAGATGAACACCCGCAAATCTCACACCCACATGGTAACACATACCTCTCCTGGCACCCTGGAACTACTCCAAACGATGAGGTCGCCATTCCATTGCACGAATCAGATTACTCCTCTAAATCTTCCGGCGAGACGGCGATACCATCAGACTCAGAAGCATCTCCCAATCATGCTGCCATGCTCAACCATCCTACTGAAGAGGTCGAAGCACCGGAGACTGTCACACGACAGCCAGTCGACCAAGATCCATCCTTCGCTCCTGTTAAGACGACAACAAGTTCACGGCCTAAGCTATCAGAACGAATGACAGAAGACGACTTCTTCCGTACTTTGTCCCGCAGGAAGACAAGCCAGGCCAGTATAAGCAGAATACAGACACAAGAAGATCATGACGAAGAGAGAGAAGAGATCGACCGACTGATGTCGCGTATGTTTGGCAAGACTAGACAAGAACACTCCGAGGAAGAAAAGACTAGGCACGTAGGTCTGGTCTTCAAGAACCTCACAGTACGAGGCGTTGGCCTTGGTGCTGCACTACAACCTACTGTTGGAGATATCTTCCTCGGTCTGCCCAGGAAGATCAAGAATCTCATTTCCAGAGGTCCCAAGAAAGCTGCTGGCAAACCACAGGAAAGAACAATCTTGTCAGATTTCAGTGGTGTCATCAAGCCTGCTGAGATGCTACTTGTCCTTGGTCGACCTGGCTCTGGTTGCACGACTTTGCTCAAGACACTTGCCAACCAGCGAGCAGGATATACCTCCATTGATGGTGAGGTAACCTATGGAGGCACCTCGGCTGAAGACATAGGCAAGAAGTACAAGGGCGAGGTTCTCTTCATTCCTGATGATGATTTGCATTACGCAACGATTACCGTCAAAAATACTCTATCTTTTGCTCTCAAGACCAAGACGCCAGGAAAGGATTCTCGTCTGGAAGGAGAGTCTCGTGGCGCCTACGTCAAAGAGTTCTTGCGCATCGTTACCAAACTTTTCTGGATTGAACACACACTTGGTACCAAGGTAAGCACATGCTTAAACCTATAACTACTAAACTATCATTAATTCGTACCAAGGNTTGGCAATGAATACATTCGCGGTGTATCTGGTGGTGAAAAGAAGAGAGTCACTATCGCAGAGGCCATGGTTACTAGAGGCAGGTTTCGTGCCTTTTCGCATTCAGCACTTACCTTTAACTAACAAAGCTTAGCGAGCGCTCAAATGTGGGACAATAGCACGAAAGGCCTTGATGCAAGCACAGCCTTGGAGTACGTCCAGAGTTTGAGATCCTTGACTAACATGGCTCGTATCTCTACTGCTGTTGCTCTATATCAAGCAGGCGAATCCCTCTACGATTGTTTCGACAAGGTAGTCTTGCTCCACGAAGGAAAATGCTGCTATTTTGGCCATACCGAGGATGCCGTAAAATACTTCAAGGACTTGGGCTTTGTGCAACCAGATCGTTGGACATCTGCCGACTTCATCACCTCTGTCACAGACGAGCACGAAAGACATGTCAAAGAAGGATGGGAAGACAAAGTTCCTCGATCTGGCGAAGACTTTGATCGTCTCTTCCAAGAGAGCGAACAAAAGAAACGTAACTTGAAAGAGATCGAGGCGTTCGAGGCTGAGACTCAGCAACTCATCGAAGCAAGACATGATGCTCAAACCAAAGCTACCAAGAAGAAGAATTTTGAGGTCTCTTTCCCAAAACAGGTCATGGCTTGTACTCAACGTCAGTTCTTGGTCATGGTTGGCGACAAGCAAGCGACTATGGGTAAATGGGGAGGTATTGGCTTCCAAGCACTGATCGTAGGTTCGCTCTTTTACGATCAGCCGAAGACTGCGACAGGAGCCTTCCCTCGAGGAGGTGTCATGTTCTTCTCTCTGTTGTTTAACGCCCTCCTTGCCTTGGCTGAGTTAACTGCTGTTTTCCAGTCTCGTCCTATCCTCTTGAAGCACAAGAGTTACCAGTTCTATCGTCCCGCCGCCTTCGCCATTGCACAAACTGTTGTCGACATTCCCTTGGTCTTTGTACAAGTCTTCATCTTCGATATAGTCGTCTATTTCATGTCTGGACTGCAAAGGACGGCTTCACAGTTCTTCATATCGCTAATGTTCTTGTGGATCGTAACCATGACCATGTATGCTCTTTTCAGAGCTGTGGGATCTATGGTTGCCTCTCTCGATGTCGCCACTAGAATCACAGGACCGGTCATCCAAATCTTGGTTGTATACACGGGATATCTCATTCCACCAAGAAAGATGCATCCTTGGTTTGCGTGGCTACGCTGGATCAACCCGGTTCAATATGGTTTCGAAGGTTTGATGTCTAACGAGTTCTACAATCTTGAACTACAGTGCAACCCTCCTTACTTGGTTCCCCCGAATGCACCTTCTGAGCAATATCAGTCGTGTGCGCTCCAAGGCAGCACACCTGGTTCGACGACTGTTAACGGTGCCAGTTACATCAAGACTGCGTTCACATACTCACGCAGTCATTTGTGGCGTAACTTCGGTTTCATTTGTGCATTCTTCCTATTCTTTGTGGCGCTCACTGCCCTCGGCATGGAGCTGCAGAAGCCGAACAAAGGTAGTGGTGAAGTGACGGTCTACAAACGTGGCCAGGTTCCTAAGTCAGTGGAGAAAGAAGTCGAGACAGGAGGCAGAACCAACGACGAAGAAGCTGGAGTGCCTGATAAAGGTCAGGTCGACGCCACTCCGAACAACGAAGAGGCTCGTAAAGGATCCGAGTCCGATGAGACCGTCGCAGCCATCGGCGGAAACGAGACTATCTTCACATGGCAGAACGTCAACTACACTATCCCATACGAGGGCGGAGAGCGCAAGCTCCTACAAGACGTATCGGGTTATGTCCGCCCAGGAAAGCTGACAGCTCTCATGGGTGCCTCAGGAGCAGGAAAGACTACTCTGCTAAACACTCTTGCTCAGCGTATCAACTTTGGGGTTGTTTCGGGAGATTTCCTCGTTGACGGCAAACCTCTCCCCAAGAGTTTCCAGCGAGCTACTGGTTTTGCTGAACAGCAAGATATCCACGAGCCCACTGCCACGGTCAGAGAGGCCCTCAGATTTTCTGCCAAACTTCGCCAGCCAAAAGAAGTCTCACTCGAGGAAAAGTATGACTACTGCGAGAAGGTCATTGACCTGCTTGAAATGCGAGATATTGCTGGTGCTACCATCGGAAAAGTTGGTGAGGGTTTGAATCCAGAACAGCGTAAACGACTGACTATTGCCGTCGAACTCGCTTCGAAGCCTGAATTATTGCTATATCTCGACGAGCCTACGTCTGGGCTTGATTCAGGAGCTGCTTTCAATATCGTTCGCTTCCTCAGAAAACTTGCGGATGCCGGACAAGCGATCTTGTGTACGATCCATCAGCCTTCAAGCGTTCTGTTTGAGGAATTTGATGAACTGTTACTCCTCAAGAGTGGCGGTCGCACAGTCTACCATGGCGAACTTGGCGACGGCTCAGAAAAGCTGATCGCCTATCTGGAGAAGAATGGAGAGCAGAAGTGTCCCCATGATGCCAACCCAGCCGAATGGATGCTTGAAGCCATCGGCGCAGGAAACCCTGACTACAATGGACCTGACTTTGGCGACCTTTGGGACAAGTCAGAGAAGAAGAAGCAGCAACAAGAGGAAATCCAACGCATGATCCAAGAACGCCGCAACGCTTCTAATGGAGCCAAAACTGACGATGATCGCGAGTATGCCATGCCACTAGGCACTCAAATCACCACTGTGGTTCACAGATCCTTCGTCGCATACTGGAGATCTCCTCAGTACGTCGTCGGCAAGTTTATGCTGCACATCTTCACGGCACTCTTCAACGGCTTCACCTTCTGGAATCTTGGAAACTCGCAAATCGATATGCAAAGCAGACTATTCTCTATCTTCATGACTTTGACCATCTCACCACCATTGATTCAGCAGTTGCAACCTCGTTTCCTCAACTTCCGTAACATTTACCAGAGCAGAGAGGCCAGTTCGAAGATCTACAGCTGGGTTGCTTTCGTGATTGGGGGTATCGTGGTTGAGATACCGTACTCGCTTGTTGCTGGCACTATTTACTGGTGTGCTTGGTACTTCCCACCTGGCTTCCCTCGTGATACGTACACAGCAGCATCGGTCTGGTTGTTCATCATGTCGTTCGAGCTGTTCTACATTGGATTTGGTCAAGCAATTGCATCGTAAGTTTCTTCCAGTCTCTAATTTCACATCCATGTTTGAAGATTGCTAACAACTGTTCNNAGCTTCGCTGCGAATGAGCTTCTCGCTTCATTGCTCGTACCAATGTTCTTCCTGTTCGTCGTATCATTCTGCGGTGTCGTGGTACCCTACCAAGCTCTCCCATACTTCTGGCGCAGCTGGATGTACTGGCTCTCCCCCTTCCGCTACCTCCTCGAAGGCCTGCTCGCCCTCGTCACCCACGGTCTCCCCATCACCTGCGACCCCCAAGAACTCGCCAGCTTCCCAGCACCACCAGGCCAAACCTGCGCCACCTACGCCGGACCCTACGCCCAACAATCCGGCGGTTATGTCATCACGCAACCCAACGGCTTGTGCGGCTTCTGTCTCTACAGAGACGGCGATGCGTTTACGGCGTCGTTTAATGTGTACTGGAGGTTTGTGTGGAGAGACTATGGCATCTTTTGGGCGTACATACTTTTCAACTTTGGGGTTGTGTTTGTGTGTTCGTGGTTGTATTTGCAGGGGGTGGGGAAGATCAAGAGGTTTTTTAGTCCGGCGGCGAGGAAGCAGAAGAAGGCTGCTAAGCAGAGAGAGCAGGAAAGTCAGGATGAGAACAAAGGTTAAGCGTACATAGCATATGATGTAGGCAAGCATATTGATGCACCGATGAACTCACCGAGAAATGTCTCTTGCATCTAAGAACTCATGTTAGTCCTAAAATTTGCATATGAAAGGAAGTGGTATCTGTTGTTCTTTTTTTCCGAATCTGTAGCATTCTCATACGTTTACTTGTTAATGAAACTGATACTAACGTTCTTCTTGTCTTCCTCCCGTGGATCGTAACAGAGGCAGCAATCCATAACATAAGCCTGTGCCATAGCAAAAAAAAAAAAGCAAACATAATAACATGCTTGTGAAAAGACAAAGATGCTTCGAGCCAACACCACACGTCAGCGCTGCAACCAGGGCAGCAACCCTCAAGACAATACGGCGCCGTATGAGCAAGCGAACAATAAGGTATGCTCAATCAATAACAAAAATTTTCCCGACGCGGTTGCCACATCATGCAATCATCTTTTGGTCTGGGTCCTCGATCGTTTACCCTCCACCGCTTCCACATTTTCCAGCGTCATCTGGAACTCGCCACGCTTCTGAAAATTGGTGCGTATCTTACGTTTTTTCTTCGCCGGCTCGCCGGGTTCTGCGGGTTGTGCTTCGATACTGTCAACATCGTCGACGTTGTGCTGATTTGTGATGTCTTTGTCGTCGTCTGAGATTTCGATGATATCTTCTGGCAGTCCTGCTCTGCCTTGTTCAAGGTCAAGGATGGTGCGCTTGTATCGGATGTTCTCCTCCAGGAGTTGCTTGCGGTGTTCCAGATCCTCTTCTTTTTTTTTCGTTCGATACCAATCTCTTCGATATCCTCTGCACCTGTGCCTCAGCATCTGCCAACTGCTCTCGCAAATTTTTTGAACGTTCTTTGGTGGACGCCAACTCCTGAGACACATCTTGTAGCTCCAACAGCCGTCTGTTATCTTTCAGTCGTGCGTCTTCGGCCGGACTTTTCAGCTGGCGAGGTCCATTCTGTTTCTCTTTCAACTCTCCTTGCATGACATCCGAGTGCGTGTTGACTCTTGCCGACTCATCGAGCCGACGTTTTGAGATCTGCTGTACCATATCGTCCAGTCGTTTTTCGTTGGCAGCGTTTTTGGTTGCGGCTTGGGATCTGAGTTGTTCTATCTTTGCCGACATGCCCAGGACAATCTCGCCAGAAGTGTTGGCTTTATTCGTAACGATTTCGCGCTGTTGACGGTAGGCTTCTTCTAAATTATCGATGTACGCCTCGCATTGTTCGATCGACATGGCGCTCATGTCCACGGTGTCCTTCATTTCCTTCAACTGATCGTCTGCATCAACGATCTCGGTCTTCATTTTGTCTCCGATGCTGCTCTTGCTTGTCGCTCTGCTTCAAGCTCTGTCTGGTGTTCCTTGTCAAGTTTGATCTCTACTGCTTCGGTCATTTGCTGTTGGTGTTTTGCTCTGGCCGAATTGACTGCGTTGACGCGTTGTTTGGCTAACGCTTCTTTCTCTTGCGCACTCCTTGGAGCCTGGAGACGTGCATCCATGTCGTCCATTTTGGAAGTGGTCGTTGTGATGATGAACTTTGGTTGGTGTTGATGATTGACGATCAAGTGTCGAAAGCGGGTCACTATCTGGCGGGTTGGTCGCGACTTCCTTCGAAAAACATTGAAACTGCTGCCCGTCAACAAACGCTCCATACACCAGTGGAGAGAAGGAAAAGGTTAGACAAGAGCTTACAGCGAGGTTTAAATACCTTATAGGAGTCCGAATTATGTTCAACTCTTCGGACCCTGTTTTAGTGATACGTCTCGTTCAAAAGGGTGCGAAAATTGTCCATGCTAAAACTGCTGATCTACTCCAGATGAAAGAGTATCTCGAAATTGCAACTATAAAAATGCACAGTCGTGTTGGACTTCAGGGATCTGAGCCAGAAGAGCTCAGCAAGTAAATCAGGGGTTCCCAACAGATGCCTCATCTATTCCTTCTCCAAAGCTGGTTCCACAAGTAGCTTTTTGGATGCACGATACTGATCATATTAAGGTTTGAACAAGGAGACCCCTTGGGCGAAACTTATTAAGCTGTTTTCGTTCTCGAAGGTCTTGCTTGGGCTATGGTCATCTTGCACTTGATTGCATTCTCTTACTAATTTTCACTCATAGCAACAATCTCATATTCACCCACCTAAAACTCTCTGGGTCTTCTCTGCAGCAGGATAATATGGCCACATGGCACTTTACTTGTCGCTCGTGAGGTCAAGCTTGCAGGAAATCAAGAAGAGAGACAAGAGGAGAATGGTATGAGCAACGCCGAAGATTACCCGTCATCATTAACACTTTGTCGTGCTGAAGGACGTGACACTAAACTCCAAAGTTCACTATTGGAAGACGCTCTCGCTAGTGCTGCTACTACCAAGGTGATGACTACACCTGATGAGATTTTATGCCTCTTTGCTTTTATCTCCTGTTAGATACCTCTTGCTGTTTTGACTGGCCAGCTTTTGATAATCATGATGCAATTTCTCAAATCTATATACAAGTGCAAGTCTAATGTCTGTTCATGATGAATACAATCAGTTAATTAAGTGTATCCTGATCGCTTTTGATCTATCCTGCCTAACCGGTACTCCTTCCATCTCCCTCAGTATCTTACAAGAATGCACACCATCCAATGTACATCTGACACAAATTCCAGGGATCCGTGGCCTGTCCAATCAAAGCATTGACATGACCTTCAACACTCAACGGCACAGTTTCTCCTCTGAGCAATCCTTTCAACTTCCCACTGACCGAGTCCAAGACTTCTTGCGGCGTCTCTGGCACTCCCGGCGTAGTCCTCTTTTTCTTGCCAATGAAATCCGTGGTCGGGTCATGCAAGAACGTCTCCAAAATATTCATCAGAGTATCTTGGTGCTGACGAAGCAAGCCCAGTGTCAGTTCGGCCGACTTGCGGAAAGGTCCTTCGTATCCGTAGGCCCCCATTGCCGCAATCATGTTGTGTGTCAGGCGGAACGGAACAAGTTCTGGTTTCTCGAATGTGAGACCTTTGTCGAAAAGACAGTTGAAGTCGACATGAAAGACACCACCAGTATCTTCTTGCAGCAAGATGTTCTCTCCATGTCGGTCACCGAGTCCAAGTACATGTCCTACCATAGACATGACTGCCGCTGAGCGAGCATATCTCAAACGAGCAGCGAACCACGAGTCGGGCTCGGGGAACATCTCTGTAAACCACTCGTGAAGGATTGATGGGAAGACCTTTAGCACTTTCTCAGTGAAGATATCCACGTTGGCCGGATTAGAGCTTGCCTCACTAAGGAAGACTCTCAATTCGTTATAGTTAGGTTGGACACCTTTTCGCTGATACAACTTCAGAAGGATGTCGCGCAGAGGCTTGATCCCTTCGACCCACTCGATAGTGCCAGATTCTTCACTCAATGGCGTCACACCATATGTTTTGATGTACAAACGACGCTTGCTCGACTCTGTATCTCGTTTGAGAGCTCTGTTGATCATCGTATTGAACTCCATAAGGCGTTGATCTTTTCTCAAATCGTCTTTTGGCTTGCACAAGAGTCCATACTGTTTTCCGTCCGAACCTCTGACTGTCAATTTTCGTGGTCGTTGCAAAGAGTTGAGCACCAGAACTTCATCACTAAAGCTTTGTATCGTGATGCGTTCCTGAGCGAACGCCACGAACTTGCGAATGTGGAAAGCGTCTTGTACCACAGGAGCATTGGCTGTCAAGGTAGATTCCAGAGGTATGACGAGAGGATTAGGAGCCAGCTTGTGATTGAAGTTCAGGTCTTTAGACAGACTGACGTTCGCCGACCGTGTTTCGATGTGAATCTCACAAGCTTGTAGTAGACCATCCGATAATTTCTGACCATGACTGATCATCACTCGCAGGTCTAAACTAGCTGATTCGCTCTTAGGCCTGTTCTTAGGGTCCTTCAGCTTGTTGATGATGACCACGCCACGGCTTGCTCTATCCGATGCGGTGGCCTTGCAAACCGCTAACAAGAACCAAAGTGCTTGGCTAGGATGAGTCGAAACAATCTTCTGAATGATCATCGACAGCACTTCGTAAACCTTGGGGTTTGGGTGGGTGATACGTGAAATCATCTGAGGCAGAGCGTTGTAGAAAATGTACGGAGGTATGCGGTCGAAGTACTTCTTCATTTGCTTGTGAATTGCATCCAGCCAGTGTGAACGTTTGGCCGTCGTATCAGCTTGGACATCGTTTCTGGTTCTCTGCATGCAATCCATACCGAGATCCAACCAGAGCGTGATGATCTTTGGAATTGTCTGGTACCAGTACTTTGAGCCAAACGGCACAGATCGCAAATAGTTCTCGATAACCAGCTTAGTCAGCTCTCCAGAAACAAAAGGCTCAGACTGCTTGCTCGAAGGAAGAAGTTTTGTAGCATCGAGCAGCATGTTGTAATGCTTGCCCAGATAGTAGTGGCCCTTCTCCCACCTGGAGTAGTGCCTGGCGGCATACTGATACTTGCCTACGACCTTTGTTGCCTGCGTCTGTCCAGAAGCATCTAACCATTTGGCAAGTAGCAGATGAGCCCTTGCAGAAAGCATGTTTTGCTTCTGCTGTGCTTCTTCAGGATTGCTGGTGTCAACCATCCTCTGATCATAGGTTGCGAACGTATTGGATGCAATTGCGCCCTCGAGACTCTGGATGGCTTGTCTGTGCTGATCGTCTTTCCAAAGCAGCCTAGCATGTTCTATCTTGGCTGCATCGTCTCCGCAGCTGAACGCGTTGAGTACAGCATAATGCGCGACGGTTGAGACATTCGTCTTTCGTGCAAGACGAGCTGTTGTGAGCCATGAACTGCCAATGCTGACGCTTGAGAAATCGACGTTGGACAATCGCATGACCGCACGTCGAATGCCAAGCAAGTATTGTTTGTCAGAGATGTATGAACCGATGACGGCCAATCTCTTGTCCATGACTGCAATAATCGATGTAGCAGCTGGATCTTGAGCGGCAGGGACATTGATCGCGCCACTGAGTGCACCTATTTCATACACAATATGGAGCTTCAGGAGAACATCGTGGCAAGCCTGTAACGAGCTTCCAGAGACAGAGGTAATGCCCTTGACCACAGTGTTGCGGAGTTTGTTGACCATGGTTGACACTGCACTCTGGTCTCTTTCTTGCATGGCGAGGAGCACTCTGGCGATTCCAACATTGAAATCGGTCTGACTATCTTCTGAAAGATCCGCGAGAGTGTCCTTGAGCGTATCAAATCTNTCTGTAGTCCAGCATGCCTCCGTGATGTATGACAAGAGCGAAACTTTATCGCTATGACTCGGATTTTCTTTGTAAAATGATGCGTAACGCAAGACTTGATCGTACTGCCCAGATTCTCGAAGACAGCTTAGAAGATCCATTTGACGGCTTGTGTTGGCAGGTTCCTTGATGAGCTCAAATTCGTACCAGCTCTGCGCGGCTGACCACCTGCCTGCTCTCTGATGTTGGAAAGCTTGTTGCTCAGGACTAAGGATGTTGAGATGTGCCGAAATCCCATCAAGCCCATCCGGCTCATCTATTTGAGAATAGATCGAGTGCAAACGTTGGAACATTGCATCGTGCTCTTTGGCGTTTTGATTGGTTTGTCTCCGAGACTCGCTTCGAATGTAGCTCTCCCAATGGAACAGAGCACGAGCATAGGAGCCACACTCCATAGCACGTTGAGCAATAATGTCAGCTGGGATCGAATTGATCACACTCTCGACGCTTTCAATTTGGCCGACATCTTTGACTTCCTCCAATTCCGAAGGAGCATGGCCAGCTCGTAGAGCTGCAGCTCGGTATGCAGCCATTGTTCGTTTCTTCTCCTGTAGCCATTTTGACATGTAATCCAACACAGCAAAGACATTCTCGCTGCATTGTCGAAGCGCCTCTTTCTCAGACTCAACAGGCGACTCGGTGGACAAGACTGTCAGCATTTCGACTCCAACGTCTTTGGCCTCCTGCACCGTGCCGCCAAGAACGATATTGAGTGCTACGTAAGGGAGCAAGAAACTGGCAATTGAAATGTCGTGTCGGTTGATGATGCGTGCCAGAATGGGGAAGACCATCTCTGCATTATCTCCTTTGCCTCTCCACATCATATCGTAAGCCCATTCGCGAAGCCAAGTGCTGTGACGTTTACCATTGCCAAAGACTGGATAGCTTCGCTTCCCTGGCTGAACAGACGAGCTGCTGTTTAGCAGATATCTTGAGCTTAAAAATGGCGTAAGCGTATTCCGGACGTTTTCAGGCATCTCCGCCCAGCGACTGTGGGCAGGGCCAGCTTGAGATGCCCTTACACGTGCAGTTGCGGCTTCGTTGAAACCGCAGAATCGGACCAGTTCTTGCATGACATAAGCTAGGAAACCTTGGTCGCGTGCGTTTGTGGATGCTCTGAATGCTGGTACCAGAACGTCCTCGAGCATGATAGCGACCCAGTTGATAACTTCGGAGGCTTTTTCAAAGTTTGAAAGCACGAGTACCTGTCTCTTGCTGCTGCTCATGTCGACACTGTTCGGGTCCAAACAGCCGATGATACCAATGCATTGTGCACTGAGGTCCACGACAGAGGAGTCATGATCAGCATACTTGGTGCAGACATCCAACAAAGCACGCATGACATCAGCTATCGCAGCCTTGGGCTGTTCGCTGACAGCTGCCTCATGAACAAACGTTTGGTTCTCACCAAGCCAGGGAACCAGCTCGCGTAGCCCCTGAGTCACAATAGCAACATTTTCATCGTGCAATCGTTTGGCGAAGGCCCGAAGATGGACGTCTGGACGCTCATCTTTCTTCAATCTCTGTATTTCCAGGCCAATCTTGGACATCAACGGAATTGAGGCCAAGGATGGTATGGTCATGAGCTTCTCCCGTATCACATTGCTGTGAGTTTTGACCATCTCGCTGATCGTATCGTGGATCTTCATTTGCAGAGGCGACGAGAGGCTATCCCAGTGTTGAGCCACGAGCGCGAAGGTATGATCAACCATATCAGCAACATCATCTCCCTCAAGAACACTGACCAGAGTCAGCCAAGCGGAAAGTGCTGACTCTTGGAGTTTACGCTGATCAATGGCGCTCTGAAGACACGCTCTTATCTGNGAATGACGTGAGCCACAAGATTGACATACATGAGTCGAAGGCGGACGTACCTGAGGAAGAGCTACGCTGACCTTGCTCTTAGCTAGTATGATCATTTGTTCAATCGCCTTGACACAGCGAAGCTTTTCTGATGGTGACAGTGACAGTGTGTTGTCGATCGAGTTCGAGAACTCGGTCATGATGCCCAAGATATGTGCTTCAAAGAAACTGATAACCATACGATTGGCTTTGGCATTCGGCTTTGAATGGCTTGGTTTTCCTTCAACCAGCATGGTAAAGATCTGGATAGCTTGTTGTGCCNNTGTAACAATGCGTGAGTCTGAGTTCAGGAAAAGCAACATTCGCAACGTAATCCTTACCTTTGATGCGTTCGATTCATCTTCGTCTCCCGCTGTCTTGAGCATTTCACACGCAATGAGAACAGGATTCGATCTGATCAGACTTCCCAGATCACTGCTCTGAATACCAGGAGCAACCTCAGCAAGACATCTGATAGCGTTGCCTTCTACGTCGCTCGACGACTGAAAGAGTAATGTAGATATCACAGCAGCAAGGTTAGCAGGCGGTTGGAGACAAACGTCTTGTATGCTAGTGTCTGCACTGCGAGCTGAGGCAATTCGCTGTAGAATGTCCTTCTTCTTTGTCAAGACAAGAAAAGGTACAGTATCTCGTTGTGTCAGCAACAAAAAATGACTGACGCTCATTCCGAGAAACTCAGAGAGCTGCTGCGCCTTCTGCGGTTTAGTGGTGAGATCCTGGATGACGGCGACAGCAATGCTGCGATAGAAGGGTTTGAGGAGTGTTTGTGGTGAGAGAGACAGCGTTTCGGCGATATCCTCTAACTCACTGAACGCAAGAGAACAGATCAGAGAGTTTGGATGACCCAGATAATCGACCAGTCTGAGTAACGCCAGATTGAGCTCTCTCTCGCCGCATACCACTGCTACTTTCCCCCAAGCCAATATCAGCGTTTCGTGTTGACCTACGATATCTTTTGTTGACAATGCTCTCAGGAAATTCAGAGCGACCTGTCGGTTCTTGTTTCGAATCTCAACGGGCAATCCCTCACGAAGAAAAGCAGCCATTGTTCGCCCTGCAGCAACTCGCAGTTCTCTGGAGGAACTGTGCAAGTACTTTAGGCAGCATTCTGCTAGGAAGGAAGTTCCAAGCTCAAGTTGACTAGGATTACGGTTGTGCAAAACAATCGACCGGACTGCTAGGATGGCAAGCACTCTGTTTCTGTCAGATTGTTGAAGGTCTTGGCTTTCGAAAAGTTCCGTGAGCATCAGAAACATTTCGTTCCAGTCGTTGGCTCGATCGTTTTCTTCCCAGGTGTTCTTTTCTGGTTCCTGCTGTAAACGCCGGTCTCCGTCACAAAACGAACATCTTCCGTCACGCAAGTTGTTCGTAGCAGCACAAGCACAAGACCCAACCAACTGCCAAAATGTGCTCCGTTGAGCTTCTGACATAGCAGCATAACAGGAACTGTCATGAAGTCAGAATGCATGTGAGTATAGGATTTGGAGAACGTGAACTTACACGACATCTGTAGCGTTGGTGGTTTCTTTACCCAAGAGAGCGGCAATTCTGTGCTTGAACATCCCGTACATATCTTCCGATTGGCTACTAGAGGATGTATCTCGTGGGTTGCATAGGCCCTGTAAGCCTCTACGCAAGGGATTCGTCCTTGCTGGCCTTGAGGCTGGCAGTTCAATGTCGATCTGGCGAACGTCGTCGCTCATGACAAGATCAGTCTGACCGTTTGTGTCATGTTTTTCCAGACATTGACGTACCACGGAGCACAAGGACTCGCTGGCAGCCTCAAACTTTGATGAATCGCGAGCTAGTGCTCGAAAAGAGGGGAGCAGAAATTCTTCAATTATGTATCCATACTCTGCATCGTAGCGGTCAATCAACCTCTCAACAATGGAAGCAAGATCCTTTTGCAATTCTGCGTTCGACAGTGAGTTCCCATCATGAACAATGAGTTTTGAACAAGACTCGCAGAGGCTAGCGAGCATATAGGATGTGCGGTTGTGGACAGTCGGATCTGACGAACCAATCAAGATAGATTCTTGAAGACGAATGATTTGTAAAGCAGCCGTGGAAAGAAAGAGNTGTTGTTCAAACCACGAGTGGTGTTGGAATAGTATTCGAGTCAAAACGGCGATCGAGTCAGACACCCATTTGTGTAACGGAAACGTTGAAGTTTGGAACCGAGTCAGGGTCGTTTTTGCTGATGCGATATTATGAAGGNNGGTGGAAACAAGTAGCAGTTGTATCCTGATTGCAGACAGAGCATCATTTGTAGTTAGTTGATGACCGAGAGGCAAAGCTGCGGTGTTTTCTGTCTGAGGCCAGACACTCGAGGTACTTCTGACCGGTGGCAAGAGGACAGCGGGCACTTGGGCTGCAGCCTTCGAGAAGACGCGGTTGTTTTGAAGCAATACGAAAAGGTCAGTAGCACAGTCTCGCAGCATTTGCAACAATGCTTTTGCGTATGGCCACAAGTCCAGGGTCTTGGACAGACTTAAGACTAGTGAGGACACGAGAGAAGCCAACGGGTCTTGCAGCTGAGGGCCTTTTGGGTGCTTGGATATCATGAGCAACTTGGGTAACAGCCAGAGCAGGAGATGGGGAGTTTGATCTGGGTTGGTTGAAGCATTGTGGAAAAGAATGTCGGGCTGTCTTTGAATGGTGGACTGGATGACAGCAAGACTGTCGATTGCTTGAGGTATCAAAAAGTCCCATTGAGCGAATGGATCATCTTGAAATAGAACATCGAGACCTGCCTCGACAACCACCTTGATCAATTTATGATTGACATCAACATCAGTCTCGGGGACTGAAGATTTACTGAGGATTTCTTGCAACAGCTGACGAAATGTGACAGTAGTATCTGGTTGGTTGAGACCACGGGCAGTGTCGACGTGGTTCCTCACAAGCTGTGCAGCAAGAGTAGAGGGTGGTGGAAGATTTGCATCAGTCAAATCATCGCCACCCACGGAAGCGGCACCACGACCATGACTTTGTGCGAGAAGCCTTCCGACCATCTTGCAAGTCTTGATCAGGATGCAGCCGTGAAAGCAGCAGACAGCTCATCTGAATGATTGTTTGGTGCGAGCAAATAACGAATGGGATGGGAAGACGCGACTGATGGCTGGCCACGTTGTCACGTGACCTGTAAATTGATGGATGCGGCGTCAGTCTGGAGAAGTGATTGCTCAAGCAAGCAGCTGTCAGCAATCGCATATTCTAGTCGCCGCTCAAAAATCCCCTTCCACGACTCCCATCGATACCTTATTCTGGGAAACAAATTGCGCATCCAGTCGAAACCCATACGTACAGCTGCCCGAGATGGCTGTCTTCCCTGCAAAACGCTTCCGCTCGAGCTCGTACAATGGCACTATGCCTGCTAGATACCGCGCACTGCTCGCCAAACACCCCTTCGCTCTCTTTGGCCTTCCCTTTATTGCGACAATGGTTCTGGGCTCTTTCTTTCTGACCCCAGCAACCGCCATTCGATACGAAAAGCATGACCGCAAAGTCAAGCAATTGTCCAAGGAGGAAGAGCTCGGTATCGGCAAGGACAGGCGAAGGATCGATCTGAAGGAGGAATACTACGTACGCGAACTGCCCTCGCTCTTCTGTACAATTTTATCTGACACAAAGCGCAGANGACTGGCTGCCAAAGATCTCGACAACTGGGAACAGAAANGAGTCAAGAGACTACCTGGCGAGCACGACGGCATCCTCTGAGCCACTCTATCAACCTCTCCTCTCGTCCTCTTCAGCATCTATCATTTTGTCTCTTGGGTTTAGCAAGGCGTTGGTTTGGAAAAATTATGGCATCCACGGGAAATATCAAATACCACAATACTCTGTTGGTCTGTCTTTGAACCATCGCAAGGCGCCGCCCTCGTCGTGTTTCAAGTCAAGATCACATGCACCTTTCCTTTCCACAAGTCGTTGGTCCTGTTAGTTCTGGGCTTTCTAGTTGGTGACCGCCTTTTGTCTTTTCTTTCCTTGTGCTTAAAGCCGAGGCACGTGGGTAGAGTGTCGACGTCATTTGTCATGTTTTGATATTCCGCGTTCGACATTCATTTCTTGCCTCTGATTGAGACCATCCATCACACGTCTCTCATAAACTGATCATTTGTGAAGACCCTTAACATGGACAACTCAACATACGGTCTTGCCAAATTTTTGGTTCCTCGCATCCCGTCGTTCACGAAGACGGCCGTTGCTCACTCCTTATCGCTATCTCCAACATCTTCAAAATGGGACCTTAGGACTGAAATGACTGTTGCATTCTTACGCTCCCTCATGAATGGCGGCCCTTCGCCAGTTGGAAAGACGCAAGCTCAGACACTGCAGGATCCCGGTGTCAAGGGTAAGGTCTGGACAGCCAAAGTCACTATCCCGGCTCCCGAGGACGAAAGCATCAGAGATGCAACCTTTACCGCTATCGCAGACCTTGGAGACGGCAATGAGACGTACACAAAGCCAGGACTTTCCGCAATCGACGCTGAGTGGACAGGCTTCCGACCTGGTGCTGGTGCTGAAGAGCCTTTACCGAACATTTCAGAGCAGGAGAAGTACAAGAATCTAATGAATGAGTCGATCAAAACAAGCAAGACGACAATTCTTTATCTTCATGGCGGAGCCTACTACATGTGCGGATTTGGCACTCACAGACTGCAAGTCTCGAAACTTGCAAAGGCTTGCAACGGAAGAGCATTCAATGTTGCCTACCGCCTTGCGCCGCAGGCTGCTTTCCCTTCACAACTACTGGATGCACTAAATGCATATCTTTATTTGTTGTATCCACCTCCAGGATCTTTGCATGAACCGGTCTCAGCTAGCGACATTGTTTTTGCTGGCGACTCGGCAGGTGGCAACTTGGTTTTTGCGCTCCTTCAACTCTTGTTGCAACTTCACCGTACCAAGCCAGAAAGTGCAAAGAACCCCACTGTCAGATACCATGGAAAGACTGTTGAGGTCCCCCTTCCTGCTGGCGCATCAGCCAACTCTGGTTGGTTTGACATCACCAGATCGATGCCTTCGCTAGTGCATAATGCAAAGTACGACTACCTTCCGCCAGCAGACCATGATGATGCCTTGGGACGGTTCCCAAAGGACGACGTCTGGCCCACCACACCGCCTAGAGGTGACTTGTTCTGCGACCTGAGTATGATGTGTCACCCTCTCGTGTCACCACTTGCAGCCAAAGACTGGAGCAATGCACCACCACTTTGGATCGAAACAGGAGAAGAACTTCTCACGGATGAAGATTTGGTGGTCGCCGTTAGAGCAGCCACTCAAGGCGTAAAGGTGCATTTTGAGCAGTACGAGGCAATGCCTCACTGTTTTGCTATGCTCTTACCTACACTCGCTACCAGCAAGCGTTGTATCGAGTCATGGGGCACCTTCTGCCGGAAATGTGCTGAAGGCACTGTGGAGACAAGTGGTACTTGGATCGCAGCAAAGACGGGACTCGAGAAAGAGGTGGATGTGACAAAGGTCACCGAATTGACTGTCGATGATGCTATCAAGAGGATGAGAGATGCCCAAAGAAGACGGTACGCTGGCTACGAGAAAGAGGGCAAATCAATGCCCAACCCGAGCTTGTAAACATAGTTTCAAACACATTCTCTTTCTATCTTCATGGGAATATTCGGCGTAGGGTAACCATAGAGGTTTCGGATAGGTTAAGCTCTCTAGATCATGCACCAATACATCAAACATATGATAATTCCTTGTGCTATATAACTTTGAGAATGTCCCTTTCCGTAGCATCCGAGCCCATTTCCGAGGAGCCGGAAGAGGCTCTCCGAACCAACCCCTCCTTCGCCTATGACGAACTGAATCAACACAGCATCTTGCCTGTCTTTCTACCTCCAAGTGCAAAGACAATCGGCATCAGTGTTCATATATTTTTGATTTGAGATCAGGAATTACACAGATTATCATATCCTGTGTTCTGTTTCGTCTCATTATTTCGCTTCAAAATGCCATTCGCCAAGGTCAATTACAAAACCCTGTACTATAAAGACTGGTCACCCAAGGATGATTCGGCTCCTCGAGCAACACTTGTCATGGTAAGAAACAGTGATGGAGATTTGAATACAACTGCTAACATATCACTAGNNAGCCATGGCTTGGGCTCAAGTAACAACTACTATACTGCAGTGGTACCATTCTTGACAGAGCAGGGTTACCGCTGCATCACTTTCGACATGACCGGATCAGGTCTCTCGCCTTATTCCTACGTCGAACAAAGTATCCACAGCCTAGCAGAGGACGTGATTGCCCTGATGGATGTACTATCAATCGACAAAGCAGTGTTCGTGGGCCACAGCATGTCTGGCATAGTTGGCCCTGAGCTGGCAGCCGAGTGGGCAGATCGCATCCAAGGACTCATCTTAGTAGGACCAGTATGGCCTACATCAGAAGTCGCACCCGTGTTCGAAGACCGCATCAATAAAGTCGCAGACAAAGGAATGGATGTCATGGCTGATACAGTACCCTATGCTGCAGTAGGGTCGAAAGCAAATTCTCTACACCATGCTTTCATCAGGGAACTACTGCTTGGAATGGATCCTGCTGGATATATCAGTTTGTGTAGGGTGATTGCCAATGCGCACAAGTCACCACCAAAGTATGGCAAGGTTACGTGTCCGACGCTTGTTATTGCTGGAGAGGAGGATAAGAGTGCACCTGTGGCTGGATGTGAGAAGATTATCGATGCGCTTGGTTCGAGCAAGAAAGACATGGTTGTTATGAGCAAGTGCGGTCACTGGCACTGCATCGAAGATCCATCAGAGGTTGGAAAGTTGTCTATCGAGTTTCTGAAGCAGATATCATAGACTGCAGTATTGACCAGATTGTTGGATGATTCCTGCGAGTTTAAAGAAACTTCAGCCTGCAGGTACCCGCTTGGTTGAGCTGCGTCGCGAAACTGTCTCCCCGAACAAAACTTCGATGCTGTTCAGATTGCGCACATTAGTGGAATTAGCATCCTGGTCGAACAGAAGGAGGAAGTCTATGGCCATATATAATGGATCTGATATGATTAGATGTTCCATCTCTCGAGCATTTGGCCCAGCAACATTTGTTGAGGGAAAGGGGCAACATTGGGTAGGGCCGTAAGGCGGGCGGTGTGGGTGAGGGTTTGCATAGCCAACGTGTCAGAGAGTTTTAATCGACGTTTCAACAGTCTAAATCCGGTAGTTGCTCCTCTGCCTTGAGTAAAGTCGCAACACGACGTGAGTAAGAGGAAGTGTTCATATTCGAGGGCTACCATATCAATTGAGATGGCCATAGAGACTACCAGCAATCACTATGGTAGATGTATCGATGGCATGCTGGAAAACATCGTACGAGTGTTTCCAACATGAAGCAGAAGCTCTTGGCGACAGGCGTTGGATAAGAAGACGTGGGAAGCTTATCCAGCGGCAGCCCCTTGAGTGGACTGATTATTTTGTAGACCAAAGTACCTTAGGTAATTAAAGTCGGAGTATAATTTGGCGCGCAGTCCTCGAATCAATCTCCACGTCCATCTCTCTACCCTCTTTCCTTCGAATCCAACGCTGCTGTTGTTTCTTTGTTGAGCTTGTTGCTTCGTTGTTTCTTGCTGATATTGTTCTATACCCCCTTTCTACCATACTCTCAACTTTTTTCCAAATCTCTACGCCACAATGTCTGAACGCCCTGAGAACATCGGTATCAAGGCCATTGAGCTCTACTTCCCCAGCCAGGTTCGCGTGCACTGTCTGATCCTGCTGCAAAGCAATTGCTAACGATTCTCGTGCTTTGNNCAGTGTGTCGACCAGGCCGAACTCGAGAAGTTCGATGGAGTTAGCGCTGGAAAGTACACCATTGGTCTCGGCCAGACCAGAATGAGCTTCTGCGACGACAGAGAGGGTGAGCGAGCGACCAGCAGGTGCTTTTCTAGAAATCGAGAGCTAACGAGTTGCCAGNACATCTACTCCCTCGCTCTGACCGCCGTCTCCTCGCTCCTCCGCAAGTACAAGATTGACCCCAAGGACATTGGTCGCCTCGAAGTCGGCACCGAGACCATCCTCGACAAGTCTAAGTCGGTCAAGTCTGTCTTGATGCAGCTTTTCAAAGAGTCGGGCAACACCAATGTTGAGGGTGTCGACACTGTCAACGCTTGCTACGGTGGCACCAACGCACTTTTCAACGCTATCAACTGGGTCGAGTCCTCAGCATGGGACGGTCGTCTTGCCATTGTCGTCGCTGGTGACATTGCTCTTTACAAGAAGGGAGCCGCCAGACCTACTGGTGGTGCTGGATGCGTTGCCATGCTGGTCGGTCCCGACGCTCCCCTGGCTTTCGAGCCCGGTCACAGAGGCAGCTACATCACCCACGCATACGATTTCTACAAGCCCGACCTGACCAGCGAGTACCCCATCGTTGACGGTCACTTCTCCATCAAGTGCTACACCCAGGCTGTTGATGCCTGCTACCAGGCCTACAACACTCGCGAGGCTCAGCTCAAGTCCAAGGCCAACGGTGCTGCCAACGGCAACGGTGTTCACGCCGAGCCTGAGACTCCTCTTGACCGCTTCGATCACATGTGCTTCCACGCTCCTACCTGCAAGCTGGTTTCCAAGTCTTACGCCCGCATGCTTTACAACGACTACATGAAGAACCCCGAGAACCCTATCTTCGCCGAGGTTCCCGCAGAGATCAAGGACATGGACATCGAGACCTCATACAGCGACAAGACCGTCGAGAAGACCTTCATGGCTCTCTCCAAGAAGCGCTTCGCTGCTCGCGTGCAGCCCTCGATCCAGGTGCCCACCATGTGTGGTAACATGTACTGCGGTTCCGTCTACGGTTCGCTCTGCGCTCTTCTCTCCAACGTCTCATCGCAAGACCTCCAGGGCAAGCGTGTTGGTATCTTCTCATACGGATCTGGTCTCGCATCGTCCTTCTTCTCTTTCAGAGTCAAGGGCAGCACCGAGGAGATGATGAAGCAGATTGACCTCCAGAACAGACTCGACTCGCGTAGAGTCGTTGCTCCCGAGGTTTACGATGAGATGTGCAATCTCCGTGAGAAGGCTCACCTGAAGAAGGACTACTCGCCTGCAGGCAACCCTGAGACTCTCTTCCCTGGTACCTACTACCTGACCAAGGTCGACGAGTTGTTCAGAAGAGAGTATGCCATTAAGCAGTAAATGTTCTGTTTACGAAGTGGTGGGAGAGTGAACGATGGCATCGTGGTGAAGACAAGCCGTTGGCACAGACAGTAGAACGGACCCGGAGCCGGCTGTCGTGTGTTTGACGGAATGCTTCACGGCTTGTGTCTCGAACTCTTTTTCTTTTTTATTTCTTCTTCTTCTTCATCATTCTCGGATTACAGATGGGATCAGCGGCGCATACAGAATTGTAGTAGTACTTTTAACTCGTCTTGAAGCCTCGATAATGAGGGGCCAGATGATAACGACATGAAAAGCATGCAAATATCAAAAAACTTTCCAAAAAACAAACTCACGAGTGCCAGGAAAAGCTGGTTCGGCTTGGTTTCGAGTGTTGATGACAGGTGCTTTGAGTGTTGTGCCGGGTTGCACGGGGAGTGACGGAAGAGGCGGCTTTCGACTTGGTCTTGGTCGCTAAATCTGTCTCAGCGTTCCGTGGAGACGATCCTCTGATGGCCCCCCTTAGCGTTCATTCTTCTCCTTGGCACCTGCTGGCAAACTGGGCGTTTCGCAGCGACGACAAGCCATTGCTCTTGCCTATTATCTCTGCCTATCCAACACTCGCTATCCGAAATACGTGAAATCCCCTTCTACGACCACACTCTTGCCCGTCCGACACACCGAGCCGACCAGACGCGCTCGTTTTGCTGCCCTCACCCCCTCCCGAGCCCCAGGTGCCGGGCCCCGACGACCGTCCACTCGACCGTGTCTCAACCAATCTTCACCATACAGTCGACCCTCCTAAAACATGGCCAACTTTCGTGATCAGCCTCGCAAGTCAACGGACGATGTTTTCGACGACGAATATGCCGTAGACGACTTTGACGGAGTCGCGGATGGCTTTGCTCCTGGCCGCGTCCATTCAGCCAACGACCGATGGTCAATCCACTCCGAAGACCCTTCGATTCGTAGTCTTCATGCACACATGTCGGATGCTCCACGGTTTTCTACTGGTCCTAGCAGGAATAGCATGCATAAACCGCGAGATGTCGACAATCCCTTCAGCAGCACAGAGGATGATGATGACGACAATATTGATGAGCGCTCGGCACTGCAACGCTCATCGAGCATTCAGTCCTCTTCAACTGCCCAATACGCTCCCGGAATCGCCCACAGACTTAGTACCGCCTCATCATCAAGAGCTTATGCTCGCACTGCAAGTCCTCTCCTGGGCACGGGCGGCCCTAGTCACCCTTACTCGATGTATCCTCAGGGCACCAATGTAGCACGCACTCCATCCGTATCCACGACTGCCTCTACTGTTCGCGCCGCACAATCTACCGCCGTCCCCAGCCAAGGACCTGCTCACCCCTACAGCATGTATCCTCAAAACGTTTCTGAACATGACATAGCGGACACTGCTGCTACTGCACCAAACCATGCCCAGACCATCATTCCAGTTGGCTTCCCTGGCAGGACACAAGGCTTTGTGAGAGCACGAGGACCCGGAGACGAAGAACAGGACATCATTGGAGTCGATGGTCATTCAGAACAACTTCCCCCTTACTCCGAATATCCCGAGGATGGTGTACCGAAACCAGTTGTACTACCAGCACAAATTGCTACTCCCTCAAACGGCACTCGTGTGCATATTCCCTTGATGCAGCAACAGCGTCAGCCCGAAAGTATGTCAGATCAGGCAACTACTCAAGGCTTTGCTGAGATGCAACAACTGAATTCTAACGATTCGGATGCCACTCCATCCGAGAAGAAGAGCTGGAGCGAAAAGTCATGGAAAGAGAAGCGGAAGACGCGTTTCTGCGGTATTCCTTTCTGGTGGATCTTGTTGTCTCTCTGCGTGCTTGCCTTCATTGCGATTGTGCTGGGCGCCGCTATTGGTGGTATTTTCGCTAGTGCTAGAAAATCAGCTGTCAAAGCTACGACCAAGTAAGTTATTATGGTCAGTCTGTACTCTGATATTCAACTAACAAAGTAAATCTAGGNNCATCATGGTAATACAACAACTCTTTTAGACGCCTCACCTATTCCCACATCATCCATCGGGGCACCACCACCGACTGGTGTTTATGCTCTGGACTTTGGTGCACCAAGAGCCACACAATCAGCCTGTATAGTCAACCAGAATTACTCGGCCGCTTGGACTTGCAACATCTATGGTACGCCCCAGATGGCCATCAACATTGGCCTTTCACCAGACGGAAGCGGCAACGAAGGTGCTTCTCTGTATGGATTCAGCAATGCTTCTGGTATCAACTATGGCACGCAACCCNCTAACACTCATTTCGCTCCGTTCATTTCTGTCGAAGATGATGATGAACCTTATCGGGGACCTGCTTTCTATTTTCAGACCTTCTACGACAAGTTTGTTGTTGTCCCCGAGAGCTCATTCCCAGCAAGCGTTGCCAATACGCAAAAGCGCTCATATATCAACAGTGACTGGTTCACTCAGCACCAAGTTCAAGCTGGAGACAAGCCATGGTTCTGCTGGTTCAATGGCACCTTCCTCGAAGGCTTCATTTACGCCAACAACTACACAGATCCGAGCGAGTCCTCACCATCTTCATCTTCATCTTCATCTGCGTCTACTTCCTCGGACCTTAAACACGCCAAGTCCTCATCGTTCCCACTGACCACTTCGACTATTATTGAAGTATCAGGTCCTTCGACAACCGCTACTTTGACTTCTGCTTCCCAGTCCACTGCCTACACCCAAGCCGTCTCCAACCCTTACACGCACACTCCAAACGGACGTAAAGCAAGGCGTGGCTGGCATCTAGAAAAACGCATGTGGACGTTTGCCGAATTGTCTTCTTTTGGTTATGTTGTCAAAATTGAAGAACGCCGTGTACCGGACAGCGTGCAACCCTACTGTCAACAGTTCCAAATCTTGGACAATGGTATGGCAGGCTCTCTCGATGATCCAAGCACAGGGCAGCAGATAACTGTCTACCTGGAAGAGTCTGACCCGGATTACAGCGCCTACCAACAACAGACCTATGGAGCGGCTCCGACGGGATCGTCAAAGATCAAGCGTGATCCTATATCTGGCGCTTGTCATTGTGAGTGGTGGAGTGGATCTTCACCCGACTCGTAATCTTCTCTGTTCTATTTTTGTGTCTATGATTTCTTTCCTCTTCTGGTACCAGGGAGATATCTTTTTTCCTTTGTTATATTCTGCTCTTATCGGTCAGCGGGTTTAGAAAGCGGGACGGCGTTAATCAACTTTTGGAGGATCAAGTTGTGGATTATCTTGAAGAGATTCTGTTTTGTTCATCATAGGAAAGTAAACTGGGGTTCTCGCTCGTGGGAAGGTATGGCGTTGGTTTCAAGTGGTTCATTTATCTTCAGACACAGCAAGTAGCTTGATAGTTTCCTGCCTTTGAACCCATTCATGAGAACATGCAATTTACATGAGAAACGTTCACTCTCACCATCATGCCGTTTGTCAGTGAAGCGTGTCTTGCATCTTGCGTCAGTCGTGTTTGCTTGGCACTCAGTTCGTCGTCGTCCAGCCGATATTTTTCGTGGACGCGCCTTCCTTGTGTTGCGACTTCCTGCGAACCATGTAAATTGTCGACCTAAGGATATTCTTCACGATGTTTTCCACCGACTATCCACCATCACCCACCTCGTCCGAAGCAGACATGGATGCCATGACCGCTCACGTTGAAAACAGGCCCTACCATGAGGCTTTCATGCGCGAGGCCATCAACATGGTGCGCTTCCCCCCATGCCGCAAATGCTTTTCATCAGAAGATCTTCAAATCCGCTAACTCTTATCTTTCTGATCAGNNGCTGAGCTGGCACTGGCCTCTGATGAAACTCCCGTCGGCTGTGTCTTTGTTCACGATGGAAAGATCATCGCCAAGGGAATGAACGGCACCAATGTCACCATGAATGTAAGCAAACATATCAAGACATCATTCCATACATTCCGCTTTCCGACCAACGGAGTATCCACGTCATTTCAACAACACATGTTCGAATTCAATAGCGATACTATTATCCCCTCATCGCGATCTTCATCTAACATGCTTGCCTTCCAGGGAACCCGCCATGCCGAATTCGTGGCCCTGAGCCAGATCCTAGCCGAGCACAAGCCAGACATTCTTCAAGAGACAGACTTGTACGTCACTGTCGAGCCCTGCATCATGTGCGCCTCTGTGCTGCGTCAATTCCGCATCCGCGCCGTCTACTTTGGCTGTCTCAATGATCGTTTCGGCGGCTGTGGTGGAGTGATGCGTATCTGTGACGAGTGAGTTACACACTTACCCTCAACACAGACTCAGCATACTAACAAGCAAAACAGTCCCAACATCGAACCTCCCTACAAGATCTATGGTGGCATCTACAGAGCTGAGGCTATTATGCTGCTTCGTCGCTTCTACGTTCAGGGAGAATGAGAAAGGTTTGTGTTTTCCAATATGATTCTTTTCTGATGTTTGTGGTTCTTGTTGCTGACGGTTGAGCTTTTTATAGCCCCTGAGCCTAAGCAGAAGAAGAACAGAGAGCTCAAGACTGACATTATGCCTCTGGTCAACATGAAGAACCCTGAAGGTTGAAAAAAGTGACAAAAAGTTCTTTGTCTGAACTGAAAGCTTTCACCACTATCCTTCGATCTTGCCCTCCGTTGCCGCTTTTCATCGAGGAATGGTTCGTCTCTTTGCATGACATAACTGGCCAAAGCAACGTGCAAGCAACCAACACAGACGGTTCTTTGCACACCACATCTTACACCAACAGCATTTCAACAGTGTTACTAGACCCTCTGCCTGTCGAGAGGCGGAAGAAGAAACACTGCACACTCAAACAGCAGAATTAGACAAAGCATCATCATGGAATGCATAAGTTATCAGAGAGAGAGAAAGACAAGCTGAGGTCTTGTCTGGTGGGAGCAGCAACAGAATAGCAGATGATACCATACCCCAGGAACGAAACATCACACGTTGCCGTTCACACATACATATCGTTGCATGTCGAACTCCTCAAACTTACCTTTACTGTTCCGTTGTCTGCTTGAACCCAACAAAACAACTTCTTGCCATACATCTCAGGTCATGTCATTACCCATTCCGCTAGAATATGTGTTCCGACAAAGACTAAAGGCTATCTCCAAGACAAGCGAGGGATAACCATCTAAACAACCCCTAGAAAACTGCACATTTCCCGGTCCTCAAGAATTGCAGCAAAAAAAAAAAAAAAAGAGACAAAGACAAAAAGGGGAGGGTTGAAAAATCTGCCATTCGTATTTCCTGCGCTCTGCCTTGCCCCTTTGGTCTCACCTCACAACCCTATTCCTTTTGCGATGGGGGAGTAGACAGGGCTTGTTCCTTTTGTGATGTCCAAAAGGCTGGCTCCATGTTGCATCAAAAAAAGCTTAGCTAATGCATATATCCTCCCTTTTTCTTCTTGGACAATTTCCCATCTGCATACTGTCTTGCTTGACATGTTTGTCCCGATCCACTCATACACGAGAAATTCCTACTCGAAAAAACATAGTAGCAGTGTTCGTGCTAAGCCATCGTGCTCCCCCGTTCAGCGTTGACCATGGCGGCGGATGTGAGAGAGGGAAGACAGGCTAGACTCTTGATAGGCTGCGTCAACTCCAGAGGAAGAGTAGTCTCTCTTCTTGTAGAAGCCGTCGGAAGTGAAAGGCGCAGGTCGCCGCCTTCGCAGAAGGCCGTTGGTCAGGGCATCGTTCGTTCTGAGGAGCTTCTGTGTTACACTTCGAATGAGGAAAGAAAGAGGAAAAATCATTGTGCCTGTCCGTCCAGTTTGTTGACAAAGCTCATCAAGCCCAACTACCACCGCCGTTGTTGTTTCCACCTGTCCATCCTTCTTCCAGTGTACGATCTTCCAGCTGTCGTACAAAGTTTGTCTGGGTTCGAGCATCTCTTGGTCCTCTGCTCATGCGTCTTCTGCCACCGACATTACCAACGTCACCTGTTTGCTCATTTGGAGGAGGATAGTAGGCCGGGCTAGGTTGCAGCCGGATGGGGGCATTGGGATCGAGGTGTGATACTACTCGTTGCAAGGTCGAGGGAATACCGTTCGCTAGGTCCATGGTCGAGGCACGCTGACGACCAGCTCGTGTGGTGGCTTGAGCATAGAGCGACGATTGGGGCTGATTGTGCTGGTAGGGCAGTTGATTCGACTGGTGGCCGTGCATGGAAGCGGTCGGCGGCGGTTGCTGCAGCATTGGAGCTTGGTTATATGCGTTGGGTACGGCGGCCGAAGGGTATGGAGGAGGAGCTTGTTGCTGCTGTGTGGGAGTGTACATATTGGAATACATGGGCGATTGCTGAGCGTGAGGAGAAGCTGGGTAGCCGGGAGGTTGCATGTGCATATTGGCATAAGCAGCGTTGGCAGCAGATTGGGCCTGTTGTTGTTGATGCTGCTGCTGTTGTGCAGCCTGGGCACGCTGCTTGGACAGAGCCTCGGCTTGCTGCTGTTGTTGAAGGCCAGGGGCAGGTGAGCGAGATGATGACGATTTAAGATGCATCTGAGGCTGGAAGGGGCCAGTGAACTTTTGTTGGGTGATGAAAGGATGAGTGCGAGCCTGCTGTGGTGTCCATCTCTCTAGTGGGTTGATGTTTAGAAGACCATGGACAAAGTCGATGAAAGCGACTCTGTTGTTCATTTCTGGGCCAATGTTAGCTTTTAGTAACCATGTTTCTCAAGGATACATACCACGGTCAATCTCGGCTTGCTTCATACCCTTACGCGGCATTGGGTAATTGCGGATGATTTCAGGGAGTGTTGTAGCCGAGAAGTATTTCTTGCTGGGTTGCTCTTTTGTGCCGTGCTCTCTCGAGTACTGGTCCATTGGCTTGAGACGGTATGTTTTACGACCAAACTCGTCATGTGTTTTCTCGAAGAACTCGCCTGATTGCTTGCCGACTTCGAGCATCCAGGTGGGAGGAAGGCCGAGCATCTCGGTGATTCGCGATACTTGGTTGTACTCGGATGAACCAGGGAACAGAGGCAACCCGAGGAAAAGCTCGACGACAATGCAACCCAAAGACCACATGTCGATAGCTGCCGAGTAGGGCAAGCCGAGCAGAACTTCTGGAGATCTGTAGAAGCGTGATTGGATATATGTGTATACTGTCTGACGTTCGTCGCATGCCGATCCGAAGTCGATGATTTTAATGATTGGGCTCTCGAGGCTGTCAAGGTGTTAGCTGTTGCTTGTTGTATCCATGTGTAGCATAGAAACAGACTTCTTGAGTAGAATGTTCTCAGGCTTCAGATCGCAGTGGATCAAGCGCGCCTTGCTGAGCAAACACAGGCCACTCAGCAATTGCTGGGCAAAGACTCTCACAAGAGTAGTGCTCAATCCTCTGAATTGATTTTGCTTGATGAGCTCGTACAGGTTGACTGATAACAACTCGAACACCAGGCACAAGTGCTGTCTGTGGATGAATGTGTCCTTGAGTCGAAGGATGTGGTGATCGTCGTTTTTGTCCATGCGTCCGTTGAGCTACGCGAAGACAGTTAGTTGAGTCAAGTCACCGTCACGTTCAACATGTTGATGCTCACCAAGNTCTAGCACAGAAACCTCCATCATGCTCTGATTGAAGTATGCAGTACGATTCTTCACCACCTTGACTGCAACAACCTCCTGTGTCTTGAGATTCTGGCATTTCACCACCTGGCCAAAGGTGCCTTGGCCAAGAACATCGAGGATGAGGTAGCGGTTCTTGTTGTTGGTATCGTCACTGCCGAGAATGTCGTTGACGTAGAGAATGTAATCGCTGTCTTCATTGTCGTAACCGTCATTCTTGGTGCCCTTGGATGGCTTGGTGAGGACTCGGCGCGGGTTTCGCGAACTCTCGTACTGGAAGTTGGGGTTGCAGATTCTGTAGGTTGCAGGCAACTGTGTAGTCAAGGCCTGTAGAGGCGAGATAAAACCGCCGTCGGGATGAGCTCTCCTAAAGGGCGGCTGGGCATTTACACGAGGCTGCAAATCGCCGACGTTGTCGCACTTTGTGAAGGTAGGGACTGGACCGCGAGTCTGCGGCTCGGAGTGGGACTGGTTGGGAGGAGGTAGGCGCGGAGAGTGGGGACCGCTCTGATTGAAGGGCGAGGGGTAGAAATCGGTATTGGACTGGATTGGGGGGAGGTTCGGACGCGATTGAGTAGGCGACGAGTACATGTGACGCGTTGGCGATTGTCGCATCTGCTGAGGAGTGTACTGATTGGGACTGGACATGTATGGCGAAGTCGGCGAGGTCGTGTTCATGGGCGAGTAGCGGCGGGCAGCGGTCGAGTCCATGTTGGGTTGCGATGAAAGGTAAGCAGCCCGTTGAGTGGGAGTGCGCGAGCTGGACGAGTATTTCTGGCGATTGTAGGGATCTGCGTCTTCCATGACTCTGTCTCCGTCGTTGTCGCCGTCAAGAGGAGTGGACTGCGACGAGGGACGGGCCATCTTGTAGGGGTCGTACTTGGGCGGCTGCTGCTGCGACGCAGCTGCAATGGAGCCATATCTGGACACAGAGCCGACGGGATTCGCTTGCCATGGCTGCTGCTGCTGTTGCTGTTGCGAATCCATGGCTGTAGCAATGGAAGCGGCCTTTCTGGTGCAAGGCGCGCGTCTTTGTGATGATGGAAGCTGACTTTGGGTGGGATGGATAGCACGGGTCAGGAAAGATGGGGTGGATGATGCGACAACAGCGATACAGTACTCGTACTGCCGCGCTACCTATCCACGTCTGCGGAAGCACCTGCGTCAGCCTGCGACTTTTCTGCCTGTACGTGTGGCCACGGCCCGCTCACCTCTGGCTTGTCCTTGGGACGTGGTATCAAAGGCCTCGGCAGTAAATCAAAGGGAGCATTGAGCAGTTGCAAGGTGTTTGTCAACCACGACCAAGGGACTCCCAAAACCCAAGCGGGGCTCATTCGCAGCTCCAAGTCGCTCCTGCCCAACGCAACATGACGCACGCATTAACAACTATTTCCCCCTATCTTGTACCATCTCAACACTTAAAAGTAAATACGTTCTTTTGCCATTGCATCGTGCGATCTAGGGGGATAGAGTAAAGAGATAAACTGTAAAAGAAACATGACAATCCTGCCCGGCTTTTGGTGTCCTTGTGCGCTGCAATAACGTACAGAAAATGTGTCACTAAGAAGAACGCCAAACCCATCCGCAGCATCCATTGACCCGCCATTGACCTCTTACGATCTGATGGCGTTGCCCAGGACACCGCCCTGGAAGCCACCACCGCCTCTTCTGATGCCTTGGCCGCCGCCTCTTCCGCCGCGTCCGCCTCTGGCACCTCCTCTGCCTCCTCTCTGTGCGCCTTGTCTCTCGAACGCGTTGGCAGTGCCTTGTGTTCTTTGCTCCAATGTCTTCTCGTTGCTCTCGATGAGTCCGCTGGCCTTGTCGCTGAGAGTGAGGGCCAAGCTTTGCAGTCTGCTGAGCTCGACTCCCTTTCTGAAGATGATGGCGCCGTTGACTTGATCAAGGGCAGCAGCAAGCTCCTCGTGGCTGATCATCTTGCTGACAATGGCCGAAACCTTGCGCTCTGACAACTCAAACATCGATGCAAGCTTTTCAATCGAAAGAGTGTCGTAGAAGGGAGCGTAGGTGAAAAGGTAGGTGCGGAGACCCTCTTCTTGGATCTGCTCCTCGAGCATAGTCTTGATCTTGGAGGCTTGCGGCAGAAGGTCCCAGATCTTGATAGCAGTGATGAACTCGGCAGCCTTACGCCATTCACCCTGAGCAAGAGCCTTACTTGCTTGCATGACGTGGTCACGGGTGTTCTCGGGAGGACCAGTGAAGATCTGGCGCTCATGGTACTCGAGCATACGGCGGTAAGATTTGCTGATGACACGCTTCTTGAGGTCAGGCGAGGAGCCGACTTGGGCAAGAAGAGGAATCTCGAGCAGCATGGAACAGGTGAGGTAGACACACTCGAGAAGCTCGAGGTTGACGTGCATGTGGAANGGAAGCTGGCGCTGGCGCTCGATACGCTCCTGCTCGGGGGTGATTTGAGAGTAGCGCTGCATCTGGAGACCTTGGGCGAGCAGCTCCTTNTGTCTTTGGGAGCCGCAAATGTCCTGGAGTGAGTTCTGGGCCTCGTAAACAAGACCAGCGCGGAAAGCACAGAGACCGACCTGGGTCAAGGTACGGTTGAACAAAATCTGGGTGTTGACGTCGAATCCGGAGATGGTCTCCTGCAAATGCGACATAAGGAGCATGTCGCGAGCCTTGAAGTACTGATCGTGAAGGGCGAGGTAGTAGACTTGGCAAAGCATGGCACGAGCACGGATGATGCCTTCGCTGTGGGTGTAGAGGTATGTGCAGATGGCGGTGACAAGAGCGGAGCTGTCGCCAGCAGCAGAGCGAGGGGTGACAGAAGAGTCGAGAGAGGTGGGAAGGGCCTTCCAGACGTTCTCCTCAAGGATGTCGATGACCTGCGAAGGCTTGAAGTAGATGTGCTCAAGTCTGCGCATGACAATGCGGTTGGCTGTCTCTTGGACAAAGTTGAGCTTCTCGTCCTCTGCTAAGCGCTCACAGTACAGCTGTGTGCGGACAATGTTGGTGTACAGGGAAGCCTCGTCGCTGAGACGCTCAACGTACTCGGCGGTGTGAGGGTCAACGGCCTGCAGAACACGGGTAAGCTCATCATCAAGACGCTCGACCAGGGAGACGATGCTGCCGGGAATCTTGAAAGTCTCGTCGGAAGAGATGGTAGGGTGCTTCTCATCGTCCTCCCAGTCCTCGGCGCTCTCAATGACGACCAGGTGAGGGTGCTCCTCAAGAAGGGCCAGGAGAGCAGCGATCTCTTGCTGGACCAGCTTCCACTGTTCCTGTGCCATAGTGTTACCGCTGCCGCTAGTCAAGTCGAAACGGGTCGAAACAAGAGTCAGGAGCACGCGAGCCTTCTGGTACTCGGTAGCAGCCACATCGAGCAGCTTCTCAAGGGTACGAATCTGCTCCAGACGGTCGGTGTTCTTGCGTCCTCTGGATTCGACAATGGTGCGGAGATGCTTAAGAATACTCTCAGGGGTGTAAACTGTAGCCTTGCCACCAGCGCCAACGACGGTGAAGCCGTCATCATCGGCACCAACGATAGTCTCGTCGATAAGAGCCTTCTTGGCCTTCTTGGGGGCAGCAGTAGGCTCCTCAACAACATCATCCTTCATGAAGTCATCGGGGCTGTCGCGGTAGGCCTTGATGTCGGTTTCGTGGTCACGGTTGTTCTTGCGAATCTTCTGGCGCATGGCGTTAAGACCCTTTGCGGCGATGGGGTTCATCTTCTTGCCCTTCTGCTTCTCCAGAGCCTCAAGCATGGCGGTTTCAAGGTCGGCAATGGTCTTGATGTACATCTTGGGGGCCTTGCCATCGTTGTCACGTTGGAGGACCGGCAGCTGGCGGTTGAGTTTGTCATAGTCTNNGGATGAGTGGATTAGCTACCGCGTTGGAGCACAAACAGCGGCATAACAGGTGGACGTACTGTCGTTGATGACACTCCAGTCGTTGATCTTCTGGGCGTTCTCAATCAGGCGGATGGTGCCTTCGAGTTCGTCGAAACGCTTGTCCTTTGCACTCTTGACCACGGTGCGGTCGTCCTCCTCGTCGCTCTCATCCTCGCTCGACTCGTCGCGCAAGAAACGGTTGGCACCAGTCTTGCCACCGTCGCTGTCGCTGGAATCGTCATCCGAATCTTCCTCGTCGGACTCCTCCTCGCTGGATTCCTCTTCGGACTTCTGTTCCTCCTCCTCTTCGCTGTAAAGTTCCTCCTCGTCCGAGGAAGACTCGCTGGAGCTGTCGCTGCCGTAGAAAAAGCGAGACATGTTGGCTGACGCTGGTAATGCTCAGAGTCGAGTCGCGATGCGCGTATACTGTAGTTGTGGACTGCGAGCTTTTTCTGCCAAGACTTCGGCCGCTAACTTGCTGTTGGTTGTGTGTTGGCCGAATTTCCACTCCCCACGTGATCCAATGCTTTCGGGACTGCCCGCCTTTTGTAGTCAGTAAAGTCAAGGAACAACCTGATGGACAAATGATTGTTCCAGTCGTCACTCAGCATGTCAAGTTCTACGCTCTCGCACTTGGCTGTACCTCGCTGGCGTGTGCCTCAAGTATTTGGCTCTGTGCGGAACAATTCAACTAGCCATCAAGCTCGTCAAAAACATCTCAATATCATCCGCCGCCTGCAGAGGCAAGAGCGAATCACTGCCGCCACTCTGGACGCTGACATAGACGATTTTCTACAACGATTTGACCATTTCTACAAATCAAAGTCTGCCAACGATGAGGCCGTCAAGACTGCTCTACGACAAAACAAGTATATTTCTACAGAACGATTGAACCACGACAACTATATATCCATTTTCAGTCAAGAAATCGTCGAGCACTTCAATGACATGAAGAAGCACCTCAAGGATCTCAAGGAAGAGCCCTTTCCAGACTGGCAGCCTGGCGACTCAGATGTTGTTCTTCGTCAACTAGACGATCCAAATCTGAAGCCCGAAGATCTGGAGACCGAGCTGAAAACCAGAGAAAAGGATGTCATACGTCTTCTTGACAAAGCCGATGAACACCATGCAGCACTGGTGAAAGCTAGAGAAACCTTGCGTGAGAAAGGTGTCGTTGCCGCTGAAGCCGTCGCGGATAACTACATTAACGCACATATATCCGACTATGCAAACATCGATGTCCCTCTTGATCCCGTCGATCTTGATACTATCGACGAAGATTCCACAGCCATTCTTGCTTCTGTGAGGAGAGACGCTCCCTGAAGTCAACGTAGGCTAGCAATTTCACAACACGAATCCTCTCATGATTTTCAAAATTCCCACTAGGAGATCCTCACTGTGATTGCCGAACACGCAGAGCTTGTCTGTATGAGTCCGGTCTTATGCGTTGCCGAATCAAGCAGATTCTGGAGCGCATAAGTTCCTGTATACCTGAAATCAAAGTACAGGATAAACTCAGCCTGTCACAAGAGAAACCCAGTAAATCGAGAGTCGGCAGCGTATTTGTCCCGAACACGGAGATGCTCGCTCAAACCTCTGGAAACACACCTATCAAAAATGATAGTACGCCTGCTCTATCTAATTTTGTCCAAGGTATTCGGTTCTTGGAGCATCACGTTCCGAATCAACGAAGAGTCTCGGCAACAATATTGGAAGCAGACGAAAGAGCAGCCTTTCAACCAGCCATATGCCAACACAATTGCGGCTTTGCCCCGTCGGCGGTCGGAATCAGGTTGCGAAAGATCATCACAATGCAACGTCAGTCTACTCATGAGACACAGAGATACACCATGAAGTTCTACCTCTGTCTATCCGCAAGACACACTTCTCAGAGCCTTGCAGCAATAGCCACTGGAAGACCTGCCCTCGTGACATTCGTGACTAGTCTTCTGTAACTAGGAAAAGAAGGTCATCTCATACAGCATCTCATTAGCTACACCTGAATCACTTGATACAAATGCAATGATCAGATGCGAAAAAGCAATTTCATTTTCATTCTTTTGTTCTTTCGAATAGATTGCACGAGACTTTCCTCATCGTGTAAAGCTGTATAATCAGCAAAGAAAGCTGTCTGAATTAAGATTCGCATGTTCCTTGTTTTAAACCCCGCGAGCATGCCCTTCCCAGCAACAAAGAAAACTTTTTATCTTGTTTTGTGATATCGTGTAAACAGAAAACAAGAGCGCCTTCCCAATCTTAGAAAGAAAAGAAGAAGAAGAAGAAAAAGAAGAATCATGGCAGGGGGCCCTGTTTAGTTGGTGGGCTTGACGAGCTTTTCCACATCGGCGCCTCTCTTGAGAATTTCCAATGAGAGAAGAGTCTCCTTTTCTGCGTACAGGCTCTTGTAGGCGCTTCGGATTGTGCTGTCACTAACTTTCGCAACTTCTCCAATGGCCTTGGGAGATCGGACTTGATCCATGAGCAGACTTGCCATGTAGATACAAGCAGCAGCTCCAGACAAGGGCGAGCGGCCAGCAAGAGCTCCGATACTGGCCATACCCAGAGCAAGGCTCTTAGCGACTTCGGTGGTAGCAAAGTCCATGCCGAGTTGAGCACAGAAACGACTGCAGAGTTCGTCGGGATTGGTAGTAACAGTCCCTTGGTAAGCCTCGTGAATGCCGACAACACCGTTGCCAATGACCTTGGCCTTGCCTCCAGATTGTTTGTCCTGCTTTGCCAGCATAGACTCAAGCAACTTGAACGTTCTCCCGATCTCCTTCTTGGAAACGTGGGTCATATCATAGATTTCTCTGAAGGTACGAGGCACTTTGTTGCGGCGACATGCGATAAAGATGCAGCCGGCGATGATAGCTTCAGTCGACTTGCCTTTGAAATTCTTCGAGTCCTCTGCGTCTTTGAAGATGTGCTTGGCAGCGTCGGCAACGACGTTAGGAAGATCGTATGAGTCACAGTAAGCACCAATTTGCTTGAATGCCTGGAGCAGATTCTTGTTTCCCTTGTCGGCGTTGGCCTTACTTTGTGCACGGTGCAGCTCCTTGCTTCTCAGCGAGCCATCACCAAAGGCGATGTTGGTTTGTAGCTGACTGCCATTCAACAAGAGATTGGGACCCTCACCGACACGCGAAGGATCATCATTGCCCTGGTCGTCGTTTGCAAAGGTGCGCCATTCGGCACGCTGATCAATTCCACGTTGCGAGAGAACCATGCCACAGTCTTCACAGATAACATCGGCAGCTTGAGGATCTTCGACGAGGTTGGGAGGGTCTTCCTTGCAATCGGGGCAGATCATGCGGACGCTGAGATTTTGGCGCCATTCATCAGGAACCTCGACCTGTGGTTCAACATCGGGGATGGCACCCGGCGACAAAGTGTAGCTCATGATGGTCTTCGTCTTTTGTTGCGAGCTTCGGCGCAGAGATTGACGACGCTTGATGGCTCTTGCGGTTACTCTGAGATTATATTGTTTTGCGCAGCAGCGGATGAAGAGCGGAGAATACACTTTGGCGACGGGCTACTTGATGGAATGTGATGGACAACTAGGGTGAAGGGGTTAGCATGGAGGAGACGGAACAGAACGAGACGATGGACGACAGGAATGAGAGGCCAAGTTGAGTGGCGACTCGAGGTGCTATGGTTATGCTAGTGTAACGCAAAGCAGCGCGGCTTACCCAAACATCTAGCGGCAGATGGCCCTTGTGAGGTGTCTGGGAAGTGACTGGCACTCTCTTTGCAGTCGTTGTCTTGGAACAGGCGACTGGCGAGACCAGGCAGCAGGAGCCTTCAGTGTTCCGAGATGGATGCGCGGAAAGAGCAGTCAAGCGGGCGGTCGCGTCGATCCGGAAGATGAGACGTGTGCCGAGGGGAATCGCAGGTGAAGGAGAGACAGGCGTCGACGACACGGACGGGGGCTGATCAAGACGAGTTCGACTTGACGAGGCGTAGAAGTTGTTGTTGTCGCAGCCTGCCCTGTCTCGAGGCAGCGCAGCGCGCGGATGGAACGACGCTCGGGCCATGTGAATCACGGGACCAAACGACGACGGGCGAGTGAATTGGGGCGCGACTGCGAAAGAGTTGTTAGTAGGCAGTCAGAGAGAAGGAAGCACATCATATCCACACTCCACTCAATCGCCATGCTCGGTCAATCTCTCAGGGCCTCGGTATGCCGCCCTCCATCTCGTTGTTTTTGCGCACTACAGAGCTCCGTTCGCTGACACCCGCCACAGCGCCAGTCGCTTGTTCGTCTTGCTAAGCAGCAGTCGGCCACCACCTTCCGCCGCACCTTTGTCACTCCCACTGCTGTCCGCCAAGGTACTTGAGAAACCATACAACTCGACACACCCACCGAACACCCGCTCATTGATTCTTCTGCCACAGCCGATCTCGTCCAGGACCTCTACCTCCGCGAGCTCAAGGCCTACAAGCCTCCTACCGTCAAGGCCTCCGACTCCGAGGGCCAGGTCCAGAAGTTCTCTCTTCCCCAAGCTCCTGCTTCCCCCGAGGAGGCCGACATTGCCAGCCAGCTCAGCGCATACGAGACCCAGGAGGTCGAGGTCGAGGGTCAATCCACCGAGGGCGGTGCTTCCCCCGTTGAGGACTGGTACTACTCCCACAACCATCATGCGCTACCACGAATCGTCCATACTAACTACCATATTTCAGGTNTCGATGAGAGCGAGCTTGCCGACGAGGAGCCTGCCCACCACTAAGCTCCTGTAACTCCCGCCATGTAAAACAGTGTGAAAATACATTCAAGAGCTTGACCTTCATAATCTTCGTTTCTCGTCCCCTCTTCCACTCAATCTACCGACCCGCGAGCATGGACTTCTATATGCTCGAAGACTTTACATTCCGTTCATCTCCTATACCTTCTCATTTCCCCCCTAGGGCTTGTCTTGAGGGTCTTTCCGATGTAAACTCGAAATAGGGACCGGCTGCTTGGGCGTACCTTATACACGCTTTTTATGAACAATTCGGCTTGAATCTGCCGAGCCGCAGCTACTTCATATACTGATACGAGCAAGGGTGAGATAATCTTCTCCAGCGCATCGACGGTCGATCAATCTTCCTGTGATATGGAGATTTTGAGAAACGTGCTCATCTTGGACGGAGACACTCCCCTATATCTATACGAGATGAGGCTTGCCCATCTTATGTCTTGCAATGTGACTAGATGGATGTTCTCCGCATATCGGGGGCGTATTGATATTGAGGTAAGATGAGCCGCATTAATTGCGTGAAATGTTCAGTGTTGCAAGGACCCCATAGCATAGATCTCCATCAACTAGGCAGTCTTGGAGACATGTTGCCGAAGCACAAAGGTCATGAGTTCAGAGACTATGTGAGTTCGGTGTCACTTGCCACTATTATCGGCTAACCAACAGCCACCATCCTGCCAGAGCACTTTAATGGCAGGCATCCGTGTAAATCACAACTTGTTGATATTGACATGCATGGCAGGTACTGAATCACATTCAAGCCACATGCTGCAGCTGTATCATGTAATAATAGAGGTTGTGCATATGGCAAGTGAGCAGAGGCGAAGTAGACAAGACATTGCATGGATAGCTTGACCAACGCTTCGCCAGCATGATGTGAGGGCCGCATCGATTATGCAGGTTGCAACTTACAAGACGTCCGTCGGGACGCCGTTGCGGCCGCGGTGGCCGCGTAGATCCAAGGAGTCGACGACGCGTACTAGGTAGCTAAGCCGGCCTTGGACGAGGACTTCCGGACTCTCCTGACCAAAGACGCAGCTGTGTGCTTCGACCAGTACGAGTCGTCGGCTTGTGCTCGCACCTCCTTCAATGGTGCCATATGCGACTCAGATTAACGTTGAGATTGAGGGAGAAAAGAGGCTGCTCCTACGGTGTGCTTTCCGGGGGGCGCGCGATTATTGTTGGCGGGAAGCGAACGGCAGTTCAGCGGACTCTTGCTTGAGCTAGGATGTTTTGTGCATATTCAACCAGATCGTTGACAGATCGAACCAGGGTAGGGTACAAAGAACTGGAGATTGCAAAGCTGCATTCTGCTTGGCAAAAGTAAGACTTGCTTCGACTACGGCATAGTGGTTGATCACCGCCTATCTGCACCGAGCGGTTGACCGAATTGCATTGAAGTACGAGGGCCAATAAGTCATGAACGAGACATACTATTGCAGTCTGAAGATGCTAACTTGTGAGATGGTCGCAGAGTGACGCTAAATGGTTGAGCTTTGACGGCAGGTGATGCTATTTACGTGCTTGGAAGGGAAGGCACAAAGGCCCGGCCATTTTGCTAGAGAGCTCGTGCGTTTCGACTCGACGGTGCCAAGGCAGAGTATGCGCGCCTCCCGACAAGATTCGGCTCCGGATCTGCATCTTGCTGGCAGTGTCAGCCATCACAAGCAGGCTGCCGTGAGTGGACGACTGGGTGCAATTGCGCGCTGGATGCAGAGCTGGCGAGTCGGACAGCAGGGATCCTTTAAAGTTTAAAACGTCATAAGCAGAGAAGCGAAGACAGCGGTTGTCGGGATGGTTAGACGATAGATGACCATAGCGTGCCGCCGGTGTTGGTGCCCTGCTTCCGTTTGAAACGACTTTTACCTATCCAATCCCCTCTCCGTCTCGTCTCAGATTGTTCTTCTGTGCCTTCTCCGTTCCTTCCTCCGACATCTGACCCGTCGCCTGTACATACACCCTCGTTCCCGCCTTGACCTATATAGTTTCGCCATACCCTCCAATTGGCTTCTAAACTCTTTCAGAACGATTCCCAGAACCGACCATCTTACCGCATAGATCTGTGCTCTTGGTCCTTTTGAGCACGCGTACGCCTAGAGACAGTAAAGTCATCTGTCTGGGACCATCTGGAATACATCTGCGCCGTATTGCTGTATTCGGACATGGCTGGACTGTAGTCGCAGCGTCTAGTGTCTGATCAGCCCCCTCGAAACTCAAAAGGGTGGTATACAAAGAGCAAGAGCTTTGGAATAGAATACATCGCGACCTTCTAGAAGGGAAGAGAACGCAGTTTTCCGGCTGGAACGAAGAGCATTCAAGAAAAGAATCGAGCACAATCACCGACCATGACGAGCGTTGCCAACACCTACCACAACCATGCGGACGCCCTCGCAAGCCCGAGAGCCAGAAGATCTTACATCGAGGCTTCGAACGCTGCAAACTTTACCCGTAGCGCCAGTTACACATTTCTGGGACATGCAGCAACAAAGAACCCCGCCTACAACGCGCCCATACCCATTACCAACAGAGGCAGCTTTTGCGAACAGGATTTGATCGCTCCTATGGTCGACGACAGCACCGACACATCGCCGCCTGAGTCGTCCGGTTGGTCAACGCCTGCCGACGATCAGATGATGCCTGTCAGCCTGCCTCAGGATCTGGTTGCCGAACTACACAAGAGTCCCAAAATCACTGTCACGGCGGATAGCGAGCATGAACCAAGTCCACCTGTCTCGGTCAAAGACGGGACAGCAAGCATAGATTCGGCCAAAGTCCTCCCTGCTCCTCNNGCTCCCCCCTCAAAATCAAGGTCTTTAGCAAAACGCCTGAGCAGGAGATTGTCCAGTGCTCCCCCTTCACGCTCTCCTTCACCAGCCAACAGAACACGCGAAACGAAACCCGAGGAGCCTGTCCAGAATCCTGTCAGTGATCCGACACCAGTAGCCAGCCGACCGGTGGTCTCTCGTAGGAAGTCGATCTTCAGAAGACGAGATTCGGAGAAGAACAAGGAAGATGACACAGAAGCCGCAGAAAATGGTGGTTTCTTGGCCAAANAAGGCACTGTGCTCAAGAGGAAGTCATTTAAAGCGGCTGCCCCAACAGTGAGAGCATCCATGGAGGAGCCCACCAAATCTCATCCGCCGATGCCACAGCTGCCCAAGTCCTTCTCCACGGACAGATTACATAATACTGTCCATTTGCATCCTGACCATGCGAACCCCATGCCGCCATTGGCTTCCACTGAGAAGTACCAGACTCTACCTGCGCTTTCTCTGCCCCGTAAAAAAGATGAGCTATGGAGTGTCTTCAGATCGCTCGATGGCGACTATACCAAGTAAGTACATGTCGCACTGTTTGACTTGCCTGATATTTGAGCTTACAATTTCCAGANNTTCCAGTCCAAGTCGAGTACTTTGAAAGCGAATGTAGTCAGATCTTCGCTACTACCTTTCCTACGAAACTATGCCGATCATCCATCTAACCTCACACTACGAGCAGAAGACTTGGACCGCCGCACCAACATTCTGAACAAGTGGTGGACCGGCCTTCTGGATATGCTCCATGGAAGAAACAATCAGTCTATCTCAGGCACAGACCGTCCAGCCATTTTGGACGGTATATCAGGCATAATGGAACGCCAGGAATGGCGCCTCTCCCCGTCACCACTCTGTCCTCTTGATAGAAGGACCGTTGTCATGCCTCTAAGAAACAAGTCTACAACTTCCTTGTCTTCGACTGGTATTGATTTCCTGACCGAATCTGTTCATCACAACGTGCGAAACATGTTTGTGCAGAACCTCAACTCACAGATGGCCTTTGTAGTTGACAGAATGTCACTCAAAAACGCATCTGCCAGTCTGGTCACCTTTTGTGGAAAAGCTACCGCCTATGCTTTCTTCTTCTGTCCAGGGATTGCTGAAGTGCTTGTGCGCTTGTGGGACGCACCAACAGAGGTCATGCGCAGAGTTCTTTCTGAAAGCGGCATAAGCAGATTTGACAATCTTGCCGACACTGCTGCGAGGATCAACTCAGCTTTCCCTCCTTCAATGCAGTCTTTGGGCTTTGTCTCGTTGGGTAAGATGCTCAAACACCTCAGAACTCAAACGCCTTTGCCACTTGGAACAGCAAACATTCAATGGTATGGATATTGGCTTGAACGCTGGTCAGGTCGTGAGAGCGATCTCTTCTTTGCTTTTGTCAAGCACTTCCATATTCTAGTCGCCGACTACCTGCCATCGGATGCTACCAAGAAAGAGAGGATCTGCGTTCCAGGTCTACTCTTTGTACACTCCCAAATCTTGGTCAATCTTGATTCAACTATTCACCGTGATGCTGGTCAATTGCACGGTGATCCATCAAACAACATTTCTCCTACTTTCGACGACGTCCTGGTTGATCCAGACGCAGTCGCATCAACTTTGCCCTTACCACCTACTAATGCTATCCGAATCATGGCGGAAAATCGCCTAATAATGCTAATTCGAGACTTTCTATCAGAGAGAGCCTCGGAGCATCCTNTTGCTCGACAACTCTTTGCAGAATCCTTTGCATCTTTGCTGCAAGCAGGTGCACGTGGCATATCTGTTTACAACCATCTTGCTTGCTACACCCTTTGCGATTTCCTGGAAGAAGCGTTTGCAATCATCGTCCGATATGAGCAGATGCATCCCTCGCAGTCATGCCTCATTGACACGGATTTCTGGATAGATGTGTGCAAGAGGATGGTGTTTAGCCAAAACACCATGACCGAGATCAGACTCTTCGCCTTCCTTTACACCATCTGGAGCACAGTCAATAGCAGTCCCGACCGTAAAACCAAGATTTGCATCGATCTCCTACTCGATCAAGAAGTCTTTGACAAAACCTTCAACCACTGGTGTCCTATGGTCCGCGCTTACTACATGCGACTGCTTTGCTGGCGTGTTGGTCGCTACGATGGAGAGGAGTCTTCAGGAGATAAGTACGTCAACCGACATTGTACCTACATTGGACAATTTGCTGATTCACACTGTTCTAGATTAATCTTCGAGACACTGCTGCAGCGTCTACAGGTGGCCTGGTCACACTTCTTGTGGCAAAGACAACAAGCCGCTCAAGGGAAAATGTTACCCCCTTCAACAACTCCTTGCAATCCTGCTCCTAGCAGACGTTTGTTGATCATTCGTACTGATACTCAGGTTGCACCGGGCGGTTCTTTCTTGGCTTTCGATGGAATTGTACCACCTCATCCATCAGCCCCAATCGGAGCGCCCAGCCAGGCATGGAAAAGAGACTCTGTCATCTCCCAAGCAGCTTCACTGGATATCCGACCCACTTCGTCGGCATCTTCTTCTGACTATGGCATGGAAGTCGAGCGTCCCGAGAGTGGACTACGTGGCTTCCTGCGCAATATCATTGGGGGCAAGAGCCGGTCGAAGACGATATCTGTCTCGACAGTCAAGACTTCTTCTTCGTCCGCTTCCTTACCACCTGTTCCAGAAACGACGGCTCCCGGTAGCAAGTTGACCCGTTCAGCAACGACCGCTACTCAAGCGCCTCGAGCGCGTGCTTCTGCTATGAAGCAGTCGCCCCAAACGACACCTCATGTAGNNAGTCGAGGTCCGTCGCCCATCAGGCACCGGAACTTTTGTTTCAAGTTCTCCCTTGAGATGCATCCCAAAGCACACCACCCTACCGCCATGCGCCTAGCGCCACCTCGACTCCNNCCTTTGGCAGCGCACCTCTATCTCCAACAGGACAACGACGAGGAGAGTGTCATCCAAGCTGCCGAACCTGTCGGTGAGGCTAAAGCTCAGTCAACATACTCTGGTCGAGCTCTGGCTGAGTGGATGTGCATCCTCATGGAGTGCCAGGGCTTCTTCGAGCGCAGAAAGGGTGAGGGAGTTCCTGCCAACAAGCACGTCGAGACACCAACACTTGGCGTTGAAGTCTTTGGCAAGAGCAGATAACTGTCAGCTTCATTTCGGCTCTCAGTTCCTTACCTTGCTCTTCCTCTTGTTCACTCTTTTGTCCATTTTAGTATATAAGCATTTGTTGGATATGGAGCTCTTGTCTTTTGCGTTTTTTGTCTTCTTTCATTGCATTGCATGGTTGGTCGTTCTGCATTACAGGAAAATTTGCCTTTCAAAGGCGCGAGACATATACATGGTATACTGAAGCAATTCAAGCGGGGATATCCTGCCGAGTCAAAATCAAGCGTCGAACTATATATCGCACTCAAGACATTCCAATACTCGTCTATCTAGCACTCGGCGATCCGGCGGTCTCGTTTGGACATATGTACTTATTCTACTAAGACTGGCCTTGGAGCTACCACAGGACCGCACTGCAAGCTCTCATCTCGGCCGGCGGTCACTCGACTTACGAGGCACTTCGACTCTGTTGGAAGCGAGTGACTCCTGAGAATGGCTTGTTCGCCGTCCTCGAGAACAAGCCTCCGCACCAACGCTAGTTCTATTTAGACCTACTGTGAGACATCACTATCATGTTCAAGGCTCCTAGAGACCCCAACGAAGGACATGGACTTTAGTATCCTTGGCTTCAAAATCTGACCATCGTCCACGATCTGGTTCTAATGAGTAGGAGAGCATCACCTTCGCTCGCATCAAGCGCTTCATTGGTCCTTGCTTGCGCGAACTAGAAGTGGGATGTCTGCTAGATAGAAGCTCAGATGTCAGACCAACTACGACAACTTCTTGCCTGCCTTGAGTGGATGTGTGAGCCTCCCATCGCTTGCCCTTCGCGCTCGTGTTCGAAACGCTACTCCTGAAGATCTTATCAGGGTCATCAGCAGCTGCTCAAGATTGTCCACCTCTAATCTTGAACTCAGCACATCATGAACCCCACTACCCTTCCCTACGTAGGTCCTCATGACCTCTCAACCCACCGCATGATCCCCAAGGCTACCCATAATACTCTCAAGACCTACCGTACTGACGAGATTATAGCTTCACATCGTCAACGACCATGTAGGCAAGCCACACGACACCCAGAGTTTCGATTCTAATATCACTGGTCGACCTGCCCTTACAAGGGCAAAATCCGCAGATTCTTGCTGTCCCCTGTGATGACCCATGACTCGTCTCCAACTACACTTGAGGATGAGCTGTCAAAATGCACGAAATTGTTCTAGATATGAGATATATCCAAGGAGACCTTCGACAAGCAACTTGGTCCTGGACACACTCGACCTTATGAGAGAGATTGTCTGCTTCTTTCGTGCTCTCCTCTTTCTTCTGTATCTCATGCTGATTCAACAATATGTATGGCAATAAGCAGACGATCGTCTGCTCTCTAGACAGCCCTCAGCTAGCCTCAGACTACAATCAAGCGCTCAGTCCTCGAGTTACTTGACAAAGGGTAGCCCTATCTCCGCTCTAGTGCTCAAGGCAAGTTCCATTTTGACAATCTTGATCATCACCCGGAACTCATCGTTGACGAGGCCACACCTGCCAATGCAGATTAGTTGCAGGCAGCCCTGAGATCCTGCCTCATCGACGCGCGTATCCTTCATGCCGGCTTATCGAACCAGGCCAAGGCAAGAATGGTGGATAAATTCAATGATCCCAAAGACCCCCCTGAAAGTCCTGATCATGATGTATGATGTTGGCGCGGTGGGTCTCAATCTTCACCATTCTTGCAATTGGGTTCAGATTGTTTCATTCGCTCGCTCCTTTGCCCTGAAAGAGCAGTTATGTGGACGAACATTGGAAGAAACCGCATTGAAGGTATATATACGAGAGATACCTATATCGACACTGGTCACCCCAAGATTTCCTCTGACTGTTGTGCGCTGCTGGACACCAAACTCCCACGATCAATTCCGCGGCTCCCTGCAGGCTGACAAGGCAAACGTTCAACTGGCTGCTAATGCACACGGTCCTGGAATCAGAAAACTGATCATCAGCTTGCTTGACGCTCGAAAGCCCGAAGTTAACCAACTTCGCAATAGCTCTGAAGGGCAACGATTGTTGCAAGAGGTCGCCGCGTATTCTGCCATCAAGAAGGAAAACGGCAAGTCTGCCGCCTTATACTCCGAGTTTTCGTTGTTACACACCTACACCTAGTCGGCGGCACTCCTTCTCACTACGAAATCACGGCATACAAAGGAAAGGTTCGTGAAACAGAATCGGCTGCGACGACAGATATGCCTCTCGAGATGTGGAAACCCGACGGCACCGAAAGCAGAGAGTATCCTGGTGAGGCCGTGGCGAGGCGCGAAAATCAGTTCGAGCATCCTCTACCCGTTTGCATCTTGAAAGATGCTTCCCGCTAGCTCTGACACCGCTTCTGTTTCGACCATCAATCCTGGCACCGCCTCATCTACTGGCAGTCACATCAACAACAACCACTCCGCCGACACCACCGAAGGTCGCGGCAGTCCAGGTAGATTGGCCCCTGGATGGGCTAAGTCCACGACTGGCGCCGTGCAAAAGACTGTGGGCGACGATCCAAACCTCCTGATGGACCTCAACGGTTGGAAGACGACCGTAAAGGACGAGGAGGATATGGAGCTCCTCAAGGAGGTTTTCAAGGACGTTCCTTCCGCCGACAAGTAAGTTGAACTGGTGTACTTCTCTTCACACTTCGATACTGATCCTGTGGACAGGACCGACAACGCTCCCGATGCTGCCAACAAGTGACCTTTCGGCCATGGCAGTCAATCAAAGGTCGCCTTCAAACAAGTTCCTTTTCTCCGAGAATGCACCAGGTCCTGGCGGAGGACGAAAATAGACGAAAACACACCTGCGACCGATGCACACAGCCTTGTGTATCATCTGTTTACACTTTGGACTCGTGACTAGACATGTCTGCCGGCCAAATTGTTGACTCTTCTGCCGCTATTTCTTAATCTGGCCCCAGAGACCAACCCCTACAGCTGCATATATCATACGGTCCATTTCCTTGAGACACACCAACTCGCGGGTAGCCCGCAAATCACGCGAGACGGCTTGCAAGCACATGAGCCGCTCGTCTTCAACCCCTTAAACCCATTGCCTCAACTCATTGATGATTTCGGCTTGACTGCAGTGGATTTTTTATGGTCATAGACTTGCGTATTGACAAACCGAGAGGCAATCTCTAAAGAAATTCGTCAAAATACATGGAGAAGCCGGAAATCCGTCTGAGGAAAGCATACATTGCCAAACTGCGGGAGCACGAATCCTACAGAGACCCAAGCACACGTCGTGCCAGCAATTTCTCAGCTTAAGCGGACCGTCTAGGCCATCCCCATCAAGGCTCAAGGCCCCTGAGCAATTGATGGATGACTTGTGCTTTCCAGGGGGAACAACCCCTTTTGTTCTCTATTGTGATTACCCTCATAATACTTAGGCTGGATGACGACTAATCCTCTGAGCCAACTCATGTCGGTATGGAGGTGTAACCTCTACCTGATAAGATTGAGCTCTATCACATCGGCTCATCACCACTCTCCACTGTCGAAGAAGACCCTTCTGAAGAAGTCCCAGTGTCATTGCACCTCGACCCACACCTTTCTGCGTGGCTTCTGCACTCGCCCTCGACCCGGATCTCAACCTCGACCAGAGTATCAGCTTCCCAAGACCCGACCGCGTCTCACAAGTTCAGCAAGACTCCAGGCCTGTCTGCACCAAGTTTTCTGCACCCTGCCCTGTCTGTTCCACTGTGCAGCTCACCACATCCTCGCCGACAAGACCGGCATCAGTGCTTTCCGAAAACATTTCATGACCGCTCGGGTCAACAGGAGAGGAATCGGCATGTCTCTTCGCTGAATCGTGATGCTTCGCTGCAGGCGGACAAGGCAACGATTCAATTAGCCGCCAATGCGCACAACCCCGAGATCAGGAAATTGATTGTCAACCTGCCGAACGCCCAGCAACCTGAAGTGAATCAGCTGCGAAACAGCCCCGAAGGGCAACGACTACTGTCAGAAGTCGCTGCTTATTCGGCTGCTAAGAGAGAAAGGTTCAAGGTCCCCCAGGAAGCAATGGAGCCTGCCTCAGAAACTACTATGAACCTCAGGCCCAGAGGCGCAAAAGCCGAGCGAGAGATGGAGCTGTGCGACGTCTGCGACGAGTACATTCCTGCCGAGAATCGGTGCACCTGCAGCACGTGCGGTAGTCTTGCCCATCCAGACATTGAGGGCCTTGACGAGCCTGCGGCAGACTTCGTCTGCAAACGCTGTGTCGAACAAGGCAAGATCGGGGATATCATTGACCTTGGTATTGAGGAAGGCAAGGCCTGAATTGGTCCAGTGGAGGGAGACGACGATGGCACCTACGAAGACACGGAGGACATGGCGATGCAGCGAAGTGGCAGAACCCTGCCACAGCAGCGCGCAGAGGAGCTTCTATAAGATGACTTCAGTACCCTGCTTGGCAACCAGGATCTGAATGACTTCGCATCAGATACCCAGCCTGACGATAATACCAGACATGCTCTGGTGCTTCTTTCCTTACCTGTCGATCACACCTGGACAGATGACGACCTTTCAGACGAGCACTACCTTCGCATCGGTCTTTTGCTCCTTTCAACCTCATCCAAGGCAAGTATTTTGGTCTCCTAAAGCTATCAGCTCGATTTCGGCATTCACCTTCCTTTTCCCAACTCTACTCCGCGACTGCACCATGGTATCACCTTCCAACTGGGGCCTACCTACAAGAACCTTTGACCGCTTAGTGGCAAAGCTCTATCTTCTGTAGAGGGCTTCCAAAGAGGTGAGTAAACCTGGTTGCATCCTTTGCTTTTCTTTACTGCTGCACTTTCGACAACTTTTCAATCGGCATTCGGCCACGAAAATCTTCTTTTACTCGGCAACGTTTTTCTGTTACTCAATGGTTGATTCACGACCTCAAAACCAGGAAGCTCAGGTCCATGTCTCAGGATCCCAAGATGGATGCTCCTAGGAGGCATCAACTTTCTCTCAATCCATTGTGAATGTCCTCATACATTCTTGGGGTTGATGACAACCATGACCTGAAGATATATACTCCACGCCAGCCCTTGTCTGTGTGGGCATGGGCTGGGTATACAAACCGATATCTCATCTCGGACTGCAACCAGCTTAGGAGAGTTGCTGCACAACAGAGTTGGATGCACAATTGCTGGTATCCTTATACGGAGTCGGTCATTGCGGAATGACTGTCAACACGTCCATGAAGCCCCTTACTCCCTTGGGTACCACAACCTTGACCTGCTCAATCATCCCCAATGCTATTGTACTCTTGGTTCACGATCAAATTCAGAGTGGCTTCGAGGTTCTTTGCGCTGTCCATTAAGATCTAGCTCCTGCTAATGGTATCGACGGCCTCTTGTTGTTTTGGAACGCCTCCACAATTAGAAGATGGACGGGTACATATCTTGCTTTAACTTGGAGAAACTCTGCTGAATGATCACAGACCTGGGTCGTTATCGACGAACCCGGAGTCTTCGTTCTCGTCTTCCTTCTTGATGACGGGCTTTGGTTGCGGTTGTTGTTGTTGAGGTTGAGGTTGAGCTTATTGCCCAGGCATGATGAATCTAGGCGGTCTTGATGACTGCCTTTGACCCTGTGGGTTGGGTCGAGGAGGCTGTTGAGGAGCTCGAAGGTTGCGAGCAGAGAAACGGGCCCGCATCCCCTCTGCCGAGACTGTTTCCTCGGTCTTGCAAGCCCTCAGAACTCGTGTTCTTCCGGATACCCAGGCCAGGATGGCTCTCGCAAGAAATGTCACGACAAGATCTACAGCTACGATGACATGAGACTGAAGAGACCGTTGCCGAAGGAGACATCGGCATTTCCTCTATCACAGGCTTTAGAGTCTAATGAGTGCCATGGATAACCAGCAGTGAAAGCACTCGATCAAGCCTAGCCTAGTCAAGACATGGCACTGGTTTTGCGTATCTTAATAGCACCCACACACTCAACGATGCAGAGAAGAAGCATTAGAATTTTCTCTCCGAAGCGGATACAGATCGGTGAACAAGCAAGTGTACTATGGTCGCATAAAATAGGCATCCTGTTTCCACTTGGTCTAAATCGCTTCTCTCTACCCTGTAGGATGGGGGTTCGGATAGATAGGAAATTCATCTCTAAAACAACAGTGGCAACAGATCTTATTATGACTGCTTTCCTTTGCTTCTCGAGTATTCCTTCATTTCTCTGGCTTCTTGGACCATCTCTTCATACATTGGGGCCTCTCGGCACGTGTCTGACACCTCATGCCGAAACTGGGAATATGCATTGATGAAGCCTTTCGAGCAGCTAAAGTGACAGCGGAACGATCCTTGCATGAACACCTAAGCGGCGTGGCCTGGCTCTTCTCCCATGTGCATATAGTCGAATGCTAAGGTACCTGGTCGCATGGTCTTGCCACATCCTGGTACGTTGTACTTGAAGCAAGAATTTTTTTGGGTTAAGGAAGTGGAAATCGATGCTGGCTTCTGCTAATTGACGCGCTTTGTACTTGCCTGCTCCATTTTTCTTGTTCTGTATAGTCCACAAAATTCTGTGCATCTCGGTTTGGTCTAGTGCAAATGGAACCGTCCCATCACTAGGTCCGGTTCTAGAACCCATGTGAACAACAAGACTAACATATGTCTTGTCGGCGTACTTGGTACAGAGCCGCGGTTGATAATCACTGATAGATGAATGAGTCCTTTCCACAGACTCTCTCCAGAGTCTGGTTACGTAGCTTGGGCAAAGGGCAGGTTTCTAGCGGAGTGAAGAGAATATTTCATTGATTGCTAATACTAAAGTGAAGTCACGGCGAAGCTACCTTATTAACAATCGAAGAAATGTCTTCACGAAAAGGTGATTAGATCACCGACGTCGAAGTGCCTGTAAGCGCGACCTTTGCTGGTATGTAGACAAGCAGAGGCATCACCACCTAGCTGGTGGTATGACATGGCGAAGTAGCTGGCGAAGCCCAGCTGGTAAAGGTGATCCTTTGCATGAGTGGCGCTATCATGGTATGCATTGGCTGCATGAAACTCGTCCTAGTGCCTCATGACTAAGAAATCTCTGGCGCTTTGTGTGGTTCCAGGGTTTTTCGGGTGCCATGTACAGCCTGGCTTTGGACAGCGTTCAATGGCCTTGACTTGGACGCCGCACTCGAACTCGCCGTAGTGGCAAAGGCGGGCAAGAGTGTCTGTGAAGCCTTTTGGCAGCCCATTTCATAAGGCAGATGGTTGTCCTGTTAGAGGGCATGTTGGTGTGGGCCATCATCACAGTGGTTCCATACTACAGCAAGATGGTCGTGTGCGTCAAAGACCTTCGCACACACTGCCACTGGGCACTGGAATCACGCACTGTCGTCACCGTCTTCGGTGGATTCTGGTGCCGTCTTTTCCATCACTGCTCTGATAGGCGTGCAGTACGACTTGTCGGAAGATGCTGCGTGTAACTTCACTGCTGCGGCGTTGGTAGGCTTGGGTATGGCTGGTTTGGCGCAACCTGTGGTGTGGACCAAAAGGTAACTCTCCAGCGCTGAAGCGTGTACATACTTCTTGATGCACAGGCCACAGTGGTACTTGCGATCTGCACCCTTGACCAAGACACCCGACTGTGCTGGGGAAGCTGCTGGTCGCTGACGTGCAATGTTGACATCGTGGTTGCTGTCACTTTGACTGTTCTCTGACTCCGCCGCTGTGTCATCGGACTTCTAGAAATCCACGTCTGAGTCGGCAGGCACGTTTGGTGCATCAGTGTAATCGAGTGGACCAACGCGTAGACGTCTTTGTCGCTTCGGTGGTGGCTCCGTGGCCGATGATGGACTGGGTGCGTCGTGTGAAGTCGAGGCTGTGGTCATGTCGAGTAGATCATCCTCATCCAGGCGGAGAAGCTTGCGTCGCTTCGTCGGTGGCTCGATGGCTGATCCTGGACTTGGTGTGTCGTGTGCAGTTGATGTTGTGGTCATGTTGAGTAGATCATCTTCGTTGAGACGCAGAAGTTTGCGTCGCTTCATTGGTACCTCGACGGTTGGTCCTGGACCCATTGTCTCATGCGAAATCGACAAGGGGTTCTGTCCCAGTAGATCCTCCTCGTATACGGCTTGTGTGTTGCCACCGGCAAATGTCTCGATACCTGGTCTCGGATATGGTGCAGAAGCCGGCATCTTGCGAGCATCCCTGGGTCTGGCGATGCGAGCTGCTTGGGGCGCCGAAGAATGGGAACTCGTAATCGGAGCAAGGCCAATCGAAGGCCTCGGTGCCGTGATGTGTGCTCTTGCGACTGAAGAGTGGGCTCCGTGTGTGTGTGTGAATAGTTCCATCTCCTGCCAAGGTGAATGGATGGCGTGGATCCTGGAAGGTGGCTGCACCAAATGCAGTAGACGCATGAACGCTAGACAGTGACGCGAGAGTCTTTGCTGCATCAAATGCATCCTCGCCGGTGACGTGAGGGGCTTCGTGATGGAATAGGTGAGGCCTGACCGCTGGCGTGGCAACTCTAGCCAAGTCCGAAAGACTGAAACCAGGCGGCAGAATGGTATGGGAAGTGGCTCCTTCCGCATCCAGGACGACAGAGGCTTCGTGACGGAACAAGTGAGGCCTGACTGCTGGTGTGGCAGATCTGGTCGAATCGAAGACGGCCTCGGAGCTGACAGCAGAGGAGGTCAAGGTGGATGTCTCAGCAGACAGAATGTCAGAGTCGACAACGAGCAACTTCTGAGCATGTGAAGGGGTGGGCGCAGCAGTTTAGGATGTCGATCTTGCCGTCTGAGCAGGTGTGCTCGCGGGAATAGTGGTGTGAGATGATGCCAATGTAGAGCCGGTGTCGGTGGCTTGTATGACTTGTAAAAGCGTTGGACCAGAGACAGCATCAGCGTTGGTCTCGTGTGAGGGTGCTGTTGTTGCATCGACAGAGACAGGGCCGGCGCTGGTGGTCTGTGAGGTCGCTGCTGATGTTGGGACAGGGGTAGAACCAGCGATGGTGTCATGTGAGGATGCCGATGATGCATCGACAGAGGCAGAGCCGCTGCTGGTCTGAGGGGTCGCTGCTGATGCTGATGCTGATGCTGATGCTGATGCTGATGCTGATGCTGATGCATTGGGTTGTGCCTCATTCGATCTCTTGTTAGAGGTTCCGGCTCTGGCTTGTCATTAGCACGATATGTGACAGATGGATCATGGCAGCGAGATGTACGTACTTTCTGTGGAAGCGAGCAAGAACTGCCTTGCATCGACGAGTGATTGTCGTTTGAGAGAGGTTCATGTCTTGAAGGCCCTTGATGAGTTTCTCGATTGCGTTGTGAGAAACCTTGTCCATCGCGAGTAGCTTCGGATGCAGCTCTGCGTATACAGAATTGATGTCCTACACCTTGGTTGCCATTGTAGCGTATGCGGTTTGAATACTTTGATAGGTTATCAAGTGAGACAGGAGTTGATGGAAAACAGGACAGGATGAGAAGGTAACTGAAAGAGAATGCGCTGAGGTGGAAGCAAGAAGAAGAGGACAACCGTTCGTGTTTTAATCTGAGAAGGAGCAATTAGTGGAAGGAGCCTATCTCCGTCATAGAGCGTGAAGTGACGTGTAGCTCAATCAATTTCCATAATTGGAAAGAAGCGACACAAAACTGATTCGGAAGCAGCAACACAGAATAAATACATATGTAAAGAAAGACCCCACGCCATGATTAGTCCTCTATCGATACATGCGCATTGCGTCGTCGTAGCCTAACTCCTTGAAGTGCTCACCAATCATGCGGCACACTCTCTCCTTAGCCTTGTGCAGTGGATCTCCTCTGACCACAGTCACACCAGTATCCGTGAGCCAGTGGTATACCCAAGCCTCCATATCCAGCAATGGTGCAGGATCGCGGGCGAGCTGAACCACCTGTCTGCGGAGTGCCTGAAGGACTCTGGTGATAGCGATCTCTTGAGTAACAGATTCTGGCTCGGAGTTCCATACAATCTGGTAACGAGCAGGCCGAGCAGGACCAGTGCCAATGTCAATTTTGTTGTTGATGAAGGACTCTTCTGATAGTAGACCGTCGTAGAAGAGACTGGCCCACTGCAACAGGGCCGAGAAGCCCAGGCCGTCTTCAGCATCACCACAATTAATGTGTAGGCGCGGGGAGACGATTCCAATCATCGATGTGAACAGGAGAATTGCCGTTCTTGGGCCGAGCATGTCAAGCCCACTCTCAGGGTCAGAACGGTCGAAACGCGAGATGTTGAGATCGAAGCTGACAGTAAAGTTGTTGGAAGAATACCAGTCGTAAAGCGACGCACTTCGAGCTGACGGTGACTGGCCAAGGAGAGGATGCTGAGATAGAGCAAGGATGCGCTGTCCATTGGCGTTATCTGCGTTGTCGACGAGCTGGAAAAGTCCAGCATTAACGTCGTTGTATGTAAAGAAGAATGTGCCGGTCAGGATTTCTTGTTGATGGCTGTGAGGCAGAGAACTCCAAGACTGTGCTGCGTAGAGCTCATTGATGCGATCATCACACGGAGACCGATATATTCTCCAAAGCAACGCACATGCAGGGCACGGTCATGCTCGTCGACTGCGAAGGAGACGTCAAAGGTGGTGCTGCGAGAGCGCTGTCTTAGTAGCTATCGAGTAGCAGAGTGGGATAGTCGGTCCTACCGCTGATGGCATGTGAGGTTTACGTGAATGCTTTAGTGCCACTAGACAAGTCGATGGTTGACTTTGCAGCCTGTAAAGCCTTGGTAGATGTATTTTATCGTGCTCCCTTTATGCCTTGATTGTTAGAAGTGTTGCTAGCATCCTTACTTTTGGTTTTGGTAGTGCCGGCTCTAACTCACTATGAGTGAGTAGGCGTGCGAACAATTGTATAAGCGGTAAAAAAGTGAGGCAGTTTGTCTTGTCGCTAGAGACATCAGGACCAGGCGTACGACTGCGTCTCGCAGGCCCGTGGTAATCCAATATTCTTTTGATGGCCCTCGCCGTCAATGCCGCGATCGGACTTATAGACGCTACTAACGTTCAGTTCGCGTTCTTGTGTCCCTGTTTGTATTGACATGATTGGCTTCCGAGTGATGAAAGGTTTGATGTGCAGACCGTAATGAAGGACAGATCATAGCAAGAAGAGAAGAAGAAGAAAAGGCCATGGTAGATGTTGTGGGCATGAGGAAAGTGAGGAAGAGATTGAACGCATTCGTGTCTGTCGACAAGAGATTCGCTGTTACCTGTTGATTGTTCTTGTCACAATTGAAGTGATTTGCATCCAGTCTCTACTGAAGCTGCTTCGTCGTCGGGCGCTTTGTCAGGGTCACCCTTTCTCGTTGTAGGTAGAACCCTGTTCTCTCTGTATGCATAGTCTCTGGCACTACATCGTGCCTCAGAATGTGCTTGAAGGACAACATGAGGTCTTTTGTATTCATATTCAGGGATTAGAATTGTTGAAAGAACATTTAGAGCATCATCATGGCTACAATGCTCGATGATCACGATTGTCGTTGTGATCGTGAAGCTTGTATGGTAAATCACTGTCAGCGACTGAGGCTCGACATTGAAGAGACATAGACACTTAGTGAATGGCTATCGATGCCTGCACAAGTGACAAAGTATATGCTTGAGGTGACAGCCAGAACGTGTATAGCTCGTAAATAAACAATAACAGTAACAAAATGTAGCTACGGTTGGGATGGTGATATGGTGTGATGGAGATGGAGCTGATCTAGAGCTTGCACTTCTAACGCCTGAGCGACCCGCACAGCATCTGAGATCAACAACGCACACAACACACGGAAATAACAGCGACAAGTAATGCATCAATGCCATACAGCTTGTGAGAACGGCAAAAGACTCGAAATCCAGAATAGGTATACGGATCGGGCCAGAGTAGCCATTTGTTCCCACGAACCAAAGAACCGGGCAGTAGCGTCGATCAATTTCCTACCGCGGCAACGAAGCATGACGTTAGGGTCGTACCTGCCTCTCCACATCTGCTTCGTCGCGCTGGTGGACCTCGACCTCCAAGTCTGACCAACCTCACTTCTCTACATTGCAACGCGTCGCTTGCTCTTCTCATTGTACCTTTTTGGAATCGCTTAACTTACGCGATCCCATTGATATTCTACACGAAGCTCTCTGCTCTCATCAATCCCTTTGACACATCTCACAACCTGCTCTCGTAGCATCCCACATATCGCAACCATGAGCGACAAGGAAATCAAGGAAGGAGACCAGGGTGAGTGCCTTATTCATATCCCTTGACGCGAGTTTGGCGCAGCTTTGAATCCAGAGATCCAATGACGCGCGATTATCTACGCGACAATACCCGCTTCAGGGTGTCGAGTCATGCTGGCGCGTCGAACATCGAATCTTCATCCTTTGTGCAGTTCCATGCTAACCCAAAGGTACCAGTCTCGTGGCAATGGTCTGGAAGCCGTCCTGGAGGCAAGGTTGCCGAAGTTGAAACGGAAGGAGAGCTCTCAATCGAGACTAAGAATGGCAACACGGTCAAAAGAACGCGGACCCCGAAGACCCTGCTGTCAAGATCTCTCGATCAGGCAACGATGTTGTGAAAAGGGCCCATGAGCTTGACGTCGAAGAGGCTGGCGACAAGCACAAGGAAGACAAGGGTGAGGAAAAGACGGTGACCAAGAAGGATCAGGAAGATGACGATGCTAAAGAGAAGGATGGGGACAAGGACGGTGAGAAAGAGGACAAGGAAGAGAAGGAGGACAAGGAAGAAGAGAAGCAGGACAAGGAAGAGGAGTCGAAGGAGTCGAAGAAGTCCGAGTCAAAGAAGGAGGACGGAGAAGCAAAGACTGGCGACAAGCGCGAGGCCGAGGATGACGAGCAAGAGGATGAGGAGCCGTCAAAGAAGCAGCAGAAGACAGAGGATGCTGGCGAGGAAGGTGGTGACAAGAAGAAGCGTGGTCGACCCGCCAAGAACGGATCCGAGGCCTCATCCAAGCCCAAGAAGGAGCCAAAGAAGGCAGCGACCGAGTCGGGAGAGCCCAGACGCTCGAGCAGACTCAACTCTTCTTGATTGGGGGCAGACTGTGAGAAGGCATCGGGTACGAGGTTGTTTGGTAGTTTTTGTACAAGAGGCTATTGTTTCGAAGACGTTCTAAGGAGTGCGGACTCTGGCGTGAATCTCCTTGAGGATTTGTTCCTTCTTCTCCCTCATGTGAATCTTGCGGTGCTCCCAGTAAAAGTAGGTGATGATTGGAGCAGTGACGACCAAGCCTCCCAACAGAGACAGATAGAAGGCGCCACTGTAGCCATCTTGCATTTTGCGAGGACCTCGCTGTTGAGGAGTAGGAACGACGTCTGGCGAGGCAGTAGGTCTAGATTGAGTCGTGGGTGTAGCGACAGGAGCAGTAGAAACAGGAGTTGCAGGAACAGGTCGAGCGGTGGATGGCGAAGAGGATGGCTGGTCGGCCATGAAGCGGCGACTGACCGTAGACGAAAAGCGCGGCGCAATTCGAGCACGAGAGGCGAGCATTTTGAAGGTCAATGTATGTTGTCGTAGAAAGTTGCAGGAGCGATTGTGTGAGTGCAGGGCAGTTGCGAACAAAAAAGTTGGTGATTGCCCATTGCCATCATGGCTATCAAAAGCACAGACCTCTGACGAGAGAGAGCGTCTATCAAACTTGCACCACACGAACGCGCCTGCCTTGCTCTGCTCTGCTCTCATACACACAAGCCTTCACTAACTGCACCAGGCGGCTCAGCATGGGCTACAGTTCGGCATCCGAGGGCGAGATTGTCCAAGACAAGGCAACTAGATCGCGACCTCCCCCATCCAGTGACCACGCCATTGACCGCAGAAGCAGACCTCGATCGCCCCCATCGAGGTACAACCAGAGACCTCGTCCAGACCACCGCTACAACCATCAAGACTCCAACAAGCGCCCCTACTCCCGTCGAGATGACCACCACCAACACGATCGCCATCCACACGACCGTCACTCGACACACTCCCGCCACAACCAAGAGCCTCCCGAGAAGCGCCAGCGTTCCAACAGGACCCCTGATCCTGTCCCAAGAGCCCCAGTCCAGGAACAGCCTGCTGTTGTCGTCCCAGATGTACCCGAAGAGCCTCCCGTCGATGAGGCGAAGCTGATTGAGGAACGCCGCAAGCGACGTGAAGCTCTGCGCGCAAAGCATCGAGCTCAACCACAGCCTCTGCTCCAACAAGCCTTGCATGTCGCTACTGCCTCCGAGTCTGATTCTGTCATGGCCTCGCCTGCCGCCTCAGTGCCCTCGTCTCCTGCATCTCCTGCATCTCCTGCATCTCCTGCTTCCTTTTCCATTACAAACGACCAAGATCTCGCAAATCCTGTCAACGCTGACCCCGATTCTCCTGCTACTTTTCAAGGTCCTTCAGCCGCTGACTACGATCCGACCATGGATATGCAAGAAGACAGGCTCAACGCTCATCTCTCGGCCGCTGTCAACCACGGCACAAAGGACCAAGACCGCAATCCTGACAGCACCAAGGTTGCTCCGCCACAGCCTGTTAAATCCAAGGAGTTGGACATGTTCGCAGATGATGACGACGACGATATGTTTGCTCCCGAGCCTGCTTCTGGTCCCAAGAAGGAAGATGGCACTCAAGCAGTACGCGTTCCAGAAGCAAAGCAACTCGATCGCAGTCTGCTCGATGACTGGGACGACCCGGAAGGTTACTACCGCATCATCCTTGGTGAACTTCTCGACGATCGCTACCACGTCCAAACCAATCTAGGAAAGGGTGTGTTTTCCGCCGTCGTTCGCGCCCTTGATACAACCACTAATCGCACTGTCGCCATTAAAATCATTCGCACACAGGAGTCCATGTACGTTGCTCTTCCAGATCTGTTTTAAATACAATGAAACTAACTCTCACTAGGTNACAAAGCCGGCATGAAGGAGATTGAGATCTTGCAAAAACTCGCCGAAGCCGATCCAGAGGACAAAAAGCACATCATTCGTCTCGAGCGCCATTTCGAACACAAGGGCCATCTTTGCATGGTCTTTGAGAACCTAAGTATCAACCTTCGTGAAGTCTTGAAGAAATTCGGTCGTGACATAGGCATCAACATCATAGCTGTGCGCCAATACGCTCTACAGATGTTCCTTGGTCTCACTTTACTCAAANAGTGCGAGATCCTACACGCTGATTTGAAGCCTGATAATGTCCTCGTTAACGAGAAGCGCAACCAGCTCAAGATTGCCGATTTGGGCTCTGCCATGTCCGCTGACGACAACGATGTTACTGATGCCCTCGTCTCTCGCTTCTATCGTGCTCCAGAGATCATGCTGGGCATCAAGCATGATTACGCCATCGACATGTGGAGTATTGGTTGTACACTCTTCGAGCTGTACACGGGCAAGATCTGCTTCACTGGCTCGACCAACAATCAGATGTTGAAGGGCATTCTAGAATGTCGCGGCAAGATACCGAATCGCATGCTCAAGAGGTCTGAATTCTGGCCACAACACTTTGAGCCTGATGGCACTTTCTTGAGCCAGGAGATTGACAACGTCACGCGTCGAGAGGTGGTACGTCGTATGAACATTACTAGAACTGTTCCTGCCAAGGAGCTCAAGGCACGATTATTCGCCAGTTCGAAGGGCTTGAGTCCTGCTGATGCCAAAGAGTTGAACCTCTTTGCTGACCTACTGGACAAGTGTCTTGCTGTTGATCCCGTGAGAAGGATTACACCCACAGATGCTCTAAAGCATCCGTTCATTTCACGACCGGGCCCCGTTCCTACTCACAATACCATCAGATAAGACAACTGGCACATCAGCGTTTCCGCTAGATACGAGGCAATGAGGAAGAAGAGTAAAAGTCGTCGTCGATCTTTGATATTGTTTTGATCGCAATCCTTTGAAACATCCCTCAGAAACAGAGATACTCAGCGGGATCAACATCCTGAACGCTTACATTGCCAAGATATTGCTGTCTTAAGGCCGGCAACGACAATAGTATCCTCACTCTAACGAGCGACTCACCGCGTTGCTCACATTGTTGCTCACCGCTCTCTTCTGTAGAGAGATTATCCATCTTGTCTGCTGATCCCACGAGCCGACTACTGCAGTTTGCACGGTCGCATGCCTCAACAGCAATCTATCGTTCAGAAGTAGGCATGTAAACGAGAAACTGCACGGCCAAGTTGTGTTAGGACGACATAGCCCGTCTCAATTTTGTCTCAGTGGGGGCCTGCTTGATGTCGATGTCCTCACGGCACCGACATCCGGACTGTACAGTAGCAATTAGTTTAGGTTCAGTCAGCAACGTGGAAATGAAGTAGAACAGCAATATGAAAAATGTTAGGACAAGGTGTCCATTGCGGCCGTATTGCACTTCGTGTTCGACCGATCTTCTGGAAAAGCCGTTCGATAAATTGCTCCGTGCCGCACGTGTCACCGAGACATGTATACCGACTCAGACCGGAGTTTGGCGGTGAGGGTGGAGCGATGGAACAACGTTGTTGTCCAATAAACAATCCTCTTTGCCTTGCTACGACTCAGGTTGGCGGTGTTACCAGGCTTGTGGTGTATCGAGCAATCTGCAAAAGACAACCCCATCAACGCACTGATGGTTCGTTTAACGGCCGCTTAGTGGAATATGGTATGATGTTGTTGTCCTTTGCGATGCGGCTCAAACAAGCTATTCTGGCAGGATGGGCAACCGAGCAGGATATTAAGATTGGAGACATGGAGCTCCCAATGTCTTTGGTGGAGAAACGCTTGGTATTTGCTGATCCTCTGCTTTGGGTGTGCTTATGGTGTTCTGTACGCGAGCGTTTCTATGAAGGTACGACATTCTTCACAAGAAAGCAACCGTCTTCGGATATCAACCCCTTGATTCCTAGACACTGTCTTGAGAACACGTACTCTTTTGGAGATTTCACGAAGGGAACGGTTTGAAACAAGACGTTTGGCAGTAACGCCGCAGAAGAGTCAGGAATCAAGGAGCAGACAGCTTTGCTCATTCACGGAGCTGAGCGGTGGTGCACGACGAGCGTCTGCGTCTGTGTCAGCGCAGTGGAGTAAGCCCCATGGCTGACGGACGTCAAAGCCGTTCGCTACATCTCCCTAGTAATGTGGTACGAGTATACACAAAGCCTGGGCGGCAAGATCCTGTATGCAAGATCGTTCCTAGGGGCGCTGCCTCGCAGGAGAATTGTAGCAACGGTCGCAATCGATAGTGTCATTTGCCTCTCTCTCTCTCCACGGCACTTGTCGGTCCCGTAGCGACGAACGACGGATTCTTGTAGGCACTGCCGTTGGAAAGAGGGAACGGCGGGAAGGTGGAAGAGATGGTTGGCGGAGTCGCACCTCGGATGAGTGTAGACGTTACTATCGCGATAACTGAAACGCTTGGGGCACGGAGAAGAGCAACGGCTGGAAGGACGAGGGCAGGTCAAGCAGAGAGGCCATGTTAATAAAAGAGAAACAAGAGACGTGAAACGGGACGTTTGGTATATTCGACTGTTGACGTGTTTTGGAAGGAAGCAAATGGATGCTTGTTGACTTATGGATCCCATATTAGCCGTTGAGCACGAGGACAGTTCGACATATTGGTGTCTGATGGGCTGTCTCTGATGTATGGAACTTGAATATTTTGACTACAGGTTCATTGCGACGACTGTTGGAATGTGATGATCTTCTTCGATTACAACCGATTCATTGGAAACGAGCATGAGACAAGGAGAAGGAGAAGAGAAAGTGAGTTGGTGAGACTGAACGCGACTACTGCACGCAGCAACCGAGGCCTCTGCAGACTGCAGTCAAGACTGCTGCTGTGCATGTGCATCAGACGTCAACCATCGAGTGTCGTTGATCGACCTCAAAGCCACCTCAGCAAAGAAACAGTCGGTATGGCCAGCGGCCTGTGGGCTGAGCGCTGGCAAGCGGTTCGAACAGGTGGACTACCAACGTCGAGACACTCTTGATTGGACAGGTGGACATTACGGCTTCAGATCTTCAAACCGTTGCTCGAGCGGTGCTCCTAGCTCAACGGGCGGTGGAAAAGGGGTTGAAGGATGTGCATCGTGCACAAGGGAGCGGTGTAAGCGTTGGCATGCTCGAACAACTCAAAAGGCTATGGAGTGCAAGAAAGCTGGGCGACGGGCGTAGGATCGACCAGCGGACGACCAAAACTATCGCTCAAAGCGGCACTAGCGTCAAACATCGTTCGACGTGTATCTTCCGCGCAAGTCGCCAACACTCGAGTTTCAAGAGGCACCAAGATTGAGATTGCCATGACTCCTCGCGATATAATTTGCAAAGCCGTGCCAACCGCTGCGCCCATACGATAGTAGTCGTGAGATGCATGCATAGTGCGGTGTATATATTTTGGTTTCTGAGGTACCGAAGATGCGCCTACGGAAGGACAGCTTGCTCCAGATGGCACAGAACGACGATTGTCGTTGAATCTGCAGCACGCCCAAGACGACACGAACTCGTTATCAGATGGAATGTGCTTCGTGTTGGGTAAGCAAGCATGCGCCCACGCTGTCACAGTCACAAAGTGAGTGAGTTCATTATGCATGCTTATCGTCAAGCATCCCGAATCCTAGCGCATCGGTCTGGTTGCAGCAGTACCAGAGCTGAGAGAGCAATCGCAGTCATGGTCCCAGCCAGGCACGGCCTGTCGTCGGTTGTCGCGGATGAGACTCACGGGCGTCATGCGTGTATCGCAACTAAACATCGACGCGTACGGATAGGCAGGGGACTTGCTGCAAGTAGAATGGCTTCATCGTGAAAGTGGAGGATAGGGTGCTTGCATTTCTCTGCACCGTCCACATCTTCTTTTTCCTTCCTTCTGTGCTGTTGAGTCATTAGTATGCGGTCTGGAAGTCTGGATTCTCCTAGAAGCGCCTTGCCAGCCCTTGACTTTTTACGGTCCTCTTCCCTTGTGCCATGACGTTCTAGTGGACACAGGGTGCATGCAATCCGCGGGCTGGATAGGGGGCTGATGGTCGATCCTGCGTAGCAAGTGGCAGACACCAACAGCTGCGTTACTCGTGTAGCAGGCAGGGTTTCCTCGTACAGTACACATGTTTCGTGGCAGGACCAACAACAGGTCGATTTTCTTCTGGCTGCCTGAAATCTGCTCACGTTCGATCTTGGCTCTAGAGGCGCAAGGCTGATCGTATACGTAACACAAAGAATTTGCTTCCCAATATGGCTGCCATGAGAAATTTCAGCAAATGAGAATGAACGCTCCCAATCAAAGGATCTGCTTTTTTTTCTTGCTTGGACGCCATGGCGCCTGACTCTTTCTCGACAGAACCGCGAGAGCTAATTTCCGTGCACCAATAGACTTCGTCGGTGTTTATGAAACTTGCAACCTGTCAAGATTCCAATCGGCGGCTGGCGGCTCCTAAACACGAACCCAAGGAAGCCGGACCAAGCGTCAAGCCCTTTCGCGGCCCAAATCTTCGAGAACGTCGAATCTTGGAAGGATGATCGACAGAGGCCATGTGTTATACCACGCACTACCGCGCACACTATCTCTTTTGTAAGCGAATAGGCGCAGATAGTTCTGCCACATCCGGCGGCCACGAGACCCAGCATCGAGAAAATGAGAAAGCAAGGTTGGCGGTGGTTGCAAGCAGAAATTGGCGTGCCACATTCCCATGGATGGGATTATTGATGATCACGAAGCGGAGTTAGGCAAGTTTTGCGAAACGACACGCAGGCTGCAACTGCAAGGCTGTGGGCGCTTGCAAAGCACAAACCATTTGCACAGCAATGTAAATCATGCTGAGACGAAGTCATGGCTTGGTCATTCCTCAATATCTGCAAAGCAAACAGATGTGGGCGGCAAATGGGCGCTGACCACAGAGCGAAACGAAGCTGCAGGCTGCACAGCGGTGTCAAGGAAAATCCCAGCAGCAGATCTGACGCCCCCATCGAACCGTGTGTCGCATGGGCGAGGGATGTTGCTGCTTGTCCCTTGGTGCTGGTGCTTTCTGCAGGCGCACAGGAGTGGCATGACGACCACTCTTTGTCCATCCTTGCCACACCCAGCCGTCTGGCCAATAAAGCACAAGGTCGCATGCGGCAAGGTGGCCAAGTGGCACCTCCCCATCGACGCTGCAAGCTTTCCCGAGACGGCTTTGCTTTTGGCGCGCTTGTGCATGCCCTCTGTGGACCCACCATTCCAACGACTCAGAAATAGGCACACGTTGCGCCACACAGCTAGTGGCCGGTGCACTAGTCGGTAAGCGCGGGCGTGGGTGACAGGCTTTGAGCACCGCTAACGATCACCCAGTATGCTTCGCGTCAGGGACAGAGCTGTTTGGCCCCGCCAGAAAAAGCCCATCGAACACTCTATGCCACACGAAGCATGTCTTTGCTTTCGAGCTACTTTTAACTAGACTCTGCCGGGACCGTTTGTTCGTCATATCACCCGCCTGAGCCACCTTCTCCCGCCAATACATACATACACCCTCCTGTTCGTCGTACACCCCACGAGTAGTACTACTATTCATCTATCCCGACCAACTTTTCTTTTCCGTCGAGCACATCCACTCATTCATATACCTTCCTTGTCCACCTCTTCAACAACATTGAACTTTCTTGGGTGGTTGTTTGCATTGACCTTTCATAACAACAATCGATCCGGACCATACTAGGAGTTTTTTGATTTTATGCTGGCTTGATCATTGTTCTCTATCCGGAACAAGCATCTTACAACCTTACCTTCAAGATGATTCCTACTCCTCCCCCTTCTCCCAGATCATGTGGTGCCTGCACTCCTGAGGATCGCCTTGGCCAAGTCCTTGCCGGATGCATTCAATTGACAGAAGTCCTTGGTGTTGGTGCCTACGGAGTTGTCTACCGAGCATTTGATCTGCGCACAGGAGTCCAGTATGCAGTCAAGGCCCTGAACAAGGTTGGCCTTGAACCCAGGCAAAGGAGCTTCCAGGAAAGAGAAATCCAACTGCACCACCAAGTAAGCCAACACCCCAACATTGTCTCCCTGGTCAAGGTTCTGGATTCCGCCGACTGCACTTTCGTTGTGATGGAATTCTGTCCTGAAGGTGATCTTTTCTCAAGAATCACTGAACAAGGCTTCTACATTGGTCAGGATGCCTTGGCCAAGAATGCCTTCCTTCAAATCCTTGAAGCAGTAGAGTTCTGTCATTCAGTTGGTATCTACCACAGAGACCTGAAGCCCGAGAACATTCTGGTTTCTTCTGATGGCATCACTTTGAAGCTTGCCGACTTTGGTCTCGCCACTCAGGATTACTACACTTCGGACTTTGGATGTGGATCAACCTTCTACATGTCCCCTGAGTGTCAGCAATCTAACTCGCGCCCCAATGCTTGCTACGCCTCTGCTCCCAACGACATCTGGTCTCTCGGTGTTATCCTGGTCAACTTGACCTGTGGCCGCAACCCCTGGAAGCGGGCTTCCATGGATGATTCCACTTTCCGCGCCTACATGAAGGATCGCAGTTTCCTCAAGTCCATCCTTCCTCTCTCGGACGATCTTGATCACATCTTGAGAAGAGTCTTTGATCTGAACCCTGCTCAAAGAATGACTCTTGCTGAACTCAAGCAAGCCATCCTTCTCTGCCCAAAGTTGACCAACGAGCCCGCTTCTCCTGTACCTATGCCTTCGCCTTCTTACGTTGCTGCCGATGCTGCCAGAGACGCTGCATACCTGGTACCTGGTCACCTCATGGAGCCAATTCCACCCATGTCTCAGTTACCTGCTTCCAACCTCCAGTACTCGCAAGCCCCAACGGCGGTGGCACACTTCGAGCAACTTCCTGCTTCCAGAACACCGCCCATGCCTTCGCCGGAGCCTCAGAAGGCCAACGGTCCCTTCGCCTTCTTCACCAATGGTCAATGCACTCCTCAAGCATACATTGCCCCATGGTACAGCCAGTTCATGGCAACTCTTCCCAAGCACGCTTCGATCTTCCCGACTCGTGTCTTCTAAAACTCTCGCCTTTTCTCTTCGACTGTCCATATTCACCATTTTCGACATTTTAACATACTAAAAAGCACTATTACGAGACAACGACGCAGATAACGCCAAACATTACGACCTGCCCACATATGGGCTGCTTTCTTTCATTGCGATGATACGATCAACGTTTTCTTTCATCTCTTCAAAACATACTTTGTAAATATACCGGTTCAGGCTGTGGCCTAGATTCTTGATGGCGTTTCATTTCCGCGCTTATATACCACATTGTTTTTGGCATACATGGTCAATGGAGGATTTGCATCACAACCGGCGTTTTGTTTTTTTTGGTCTTCAAGAAGATACCTGACCACAAGCTAACTCAGCTGTGTGTCGTTGTACAAAATAACATCATTCTTGTCATCACTTCACTTCGCTCTCCTTTGAACTTCATTTGTGATTGTGCTCAAAAGACACTCGTCTCTGCAGCAGAACAATGTAGTTGGGATGTAGCCTTGATCCCAATACACCATGGTGCATCGACGAGAAGTGCGCAAGCAGCACAACGACATGCAATCACACGGCTGCAGCCACCCAGCCAATTGGCGCCACGATATACAGTGCATTTCCATGCATCGCCAAGTGCGCCTCGTGTCACACAGAGTTTGACACGTACAGGACGATGCACGTTTTTGGTGGCTCTTGGAGGTTTGCAGGCATGAGTGGTTCAAATCTACAAGTATTCGCGAGAGTGATGGCCACGATTGGATGATTAGAACCATGCTCTCGCGTCAAAAGAGGTCACGTACGGAGAAAGATTTGGTTAGACAGTTGAAGTCCCCTACCTATTGGCATGAGGTACCGATTTATGCACGCATGCGGCATGGGTAAAGGTTGCGAGGTGGCTGGTTAAGCGCTGCTAGCCTTCCCATAGATTATGTACGTCCTCGAGAACCGCATCCTGCCGCTCTCTCGAATCTGGTGGAATTCTATCTCCTTGATTTCTTTTGTGCTGACGGCCAAGATATCTTGCTCGTGGCATTCAGTAGTCTTTTTCGGCAAGATGGCCGAGCCGGCATATGTGTGCTCCTTGCTCAGATTCTGTTACAATTTCTCGATCGCAGAATGCAGTCATCCCGCCGTCAATCACATCATCTCGCTTGTTGGATGTGCAAGCCATTAATCGATTCGATAGTGATGTTTATTGCTGAAGCGAACAATCAATTACTGTAGATGTTGAGCTTGATCCACCACGAGACAGCAAAAATTTCATCTCCATCTGTGTATCGCCCGCGGCATGGCATCTTCGATGCACTTAGAAGTATCCCTGTATGTTCAGCTGCTGCGAGCAAAGTTAGCGTTGTACAAAATCAAGGATCGAGATCGTTGTCGGAGAGAGTTCCAGCTGACTTCTAGGATCCAGCCCTCTACCGCGGTACTGGACCCGATATCCGCTGTGGTTACAGAACTGTGTCACGGTGCAGAGGTTCCTGATGCGTGAAACAGAGACCCTGTCGCTGCGACAAACCGAAACAGAATGTTTCGCGAGGCCGTGCAACTCAGGACTTTACCCTGTCAGAGATGCTTTGGAGCTTCATGGTAGTGCATTGCGACACCTTTGACCATTCGTCGCAGAAAGATCAGCTTTGTGAAGCAGCACGCAACCGAAGTTTTGCTAAAATTGGCCAGGGTGATGCGCAAGGGAATTATCGAGCGAGTGTATCTTCATAATGTTTATCGAAGTGCATAAGCAGACGAATGTGCAAAAGTCGTACTGCTAGCGGCAGCGGAAGCACCGGCAAGTAAATTGGTAGAGGGAGGAAGTCGACACCAGGCCGTGTTCCTCTGTTATGATTCCAGGTTTGAGTGACGTTAGGAAAGCGCAACCAACGGGTTGCCAGGCTATCTCAACATGTCATCCAGATCAACATCAGCTTGCAGTACCAACAATACATGTCTTTCTCATAGCCTTTTTGTGTAACACGCCATACAGATGGCGCCTGTGCAAGCAAATCGCAATAGACAGTTTACAACTGACCGGGAGCCCCTCCGCAACAATGACACCCTGCGACTTATCGACTCTAAAGTCGGAGGTCCATTCACCTTCTTGAACCCAACACAAGCAAGCTACGAACACAAAATACACATTCCCAGTCGGGATCACCATCGAAGCATTTCGACGCCTCTCAGCACCACGGCATCAACCCTGTCAAGTCAAGCTTCCACACGACCCGCAGCGAATGTCGAGTACAAATGGACAGCTCGAGATAATCGCAAAGGTCGACACACTCTTGTCGTAAAGAGTCCTTCTACAGATCATCCAGAAGCAAACGTTGCTGCGCCTCGAAGCACTGCTCACTGGAGATCAATTCTGCATACGATATGGTTGATGCTAACGTTCTACCCTGTGTGGGACATATCGTGGTGCGTGGCTTACATCTTCACAATCGGAAGTGTATTGTGGGTGATCAACTCGTTCTTTGCCTTCCTCCCTTTGCTTCGGCCTTCGTCAACATTCCACAACGAGGTTTCTGTTGGTGGAGGGGTCACCGCTTTCATAGGAGCCACCATTTTCGAGATTGGAAGTATACTTCTGATGTTGGAAGCCATCAATGAGAATCGAGAGGGCTGCTTTGGGTACGCGGTAGAATCAATGTATGACCAGCACATAGGTAGGACTGAGGCTGGCAATAGCAGTGGCTTGAAGATTGTGCCTAGAGATGACGCCTGCACCCACCACCACCGCAACAAAGCCAACTTGGTAGGCAAGCCGCATCAGATCACCCACGAAACACCTGTCTTTGACTCGGACAAACAACAACCTGCCAAGACCAACTCGTGGGTTTGGTGGCCTTCTTGGGTCGAGCTCAAGAGTCACTATTTCCATGAGCTTGGTTTCATCGCTAGTCTGAGCCAGTTTCTTGGTGCCACCGTTTTCTGGATAAGTGGATTTACAGCTCTTCCAGGTATTCTCAATGTTCTCTCGCCTGGCTTGAGCGACGGAATCTACTGGACGCCACAAGTCGTCGGTGGTAGTGGCTTCATTGTGTCGGGGTGGTTGTTCATGATTGAGACCCAGAAGCATTGGTGGCAGCCTGCTCCAAAAGTCTTGGGATGGCATATTGGTCTCTGGAATTTTATAGGTGGCATCGNNGGTAAGGGCTTTCCGGTTCTTGTTCTGGCTCGCGCTGACTGTTACAGTTTCACGCTGTGTCCCGCTTTTGGTTACGACCCTAGTAGCTGGGCGCAATACCAGGCATCATGTTCGACCTTCTGGGGATCCTGGGCATTCTTGATCGGCAGTGTGATTCAGCTGTACGAATCTCTTGAAAAGACGTCTGTTAGAAAGGCAGGCTCCGCATGAAAATGGACAAACGTCTCTAGCCTGGTTGGAGCGACTTTGATGACAAAAGGCTCACTCGCCACCAATCTCATGCATTAGTGCTGGACTCCAGTATTCCTTCTCATCTGCTTGAGCATCTACCCATACCAGAGAGTCGGCCACAAGATCGTCAATAACAGCAACAGCCCGCGCACGCTCCCAGCCTAAGTTGAGTTGAAGCATGGAAACAGTCACATATCCAAGTACTTGTATGGCCTCGAGGACAGTTGATTGATCGGTGTTGAGTTCCTTTGGAACGGATCGAATCATCTGCTTTGAACCGATTTTCATCACAGTGAAACCAGAGCCAAGCGGTTCCAACGACTTGACGGCGCGGAGGATATCATCACTNAGAGTTAGAATTAGTCAAACGCCTTTGATAGATTGCACATCTACGTACTCAGACACTTCAAGCCCTCCACCAATGCCTCGTCCTTTCTCGACTCGTTTTCGTACTTGGGGCACTTCAATCATGCCGCCATTTTCTGCTCGAGTTTCACGACAAACTTCGACAACTCTGACAGCAAGCTCAAAGTAGAAGTCGTTGACACTGCCTCCAAGCATCTGCGACCAAAAGCTTCCGCCTTCATTCTTACTACCTTTGGAGGTCTTGTGATTTGAGCTAGCAAGTGGATCGACTCCAATAGCATTACACATGCGGGCAAACTCGGCTCTGAAGGTTGGATTTGAACGGATCTCAGCGCCATGAGTGATAGAAAAGGAATGGAGAGCAGCCTGGAAAACCGATAGCTGGTTCGCTAGGGAGTCGGCGTGTGCAGAACGTAAAGCAGCGCCATGAGAGGCATAGTGATCTGAAGTGAGGGCGTTGCGTGAAAAGGCTGAAAGGCCAACTCCTCTTCTGTTGCTCGCCATTTTTGAGAGAATGTAAATATTACTGATTGGTTTATCACAACTACTCTTTATCCATGTAAGTGATTGCGTCTCGAATGTCGTTCCAGAGAGTGATGGATGCCAAGCTTCGAGGGCAATCTTGGCGCTCGGGAACAACCGTCGACGCACGAAAAGTCCTTCGGTGCAAATCCAAGGTGTGGATTTTCTTTCTCCAGCAGCGACCTGACAAGCCGACGACCTCGCCATCCAACAACCAGTCAAGATGCCTTCCCAAACCGTCAAGACGTATGTGAATTGATTGTTCCTGCTCTGCGCGGAGAAATGCAGACACAGTCGGTTCACTCGCTGGAGCGCTGCGAAACACCAGCGCTACCTCGATACTTTTGAAGCCGACCGTAATCCTCTGGCCGTCAACCGTCTCTGCACGTCTGGCGCCTTAGAATGTACGGTCGAGGGCCTTGGTCGCAAGACATTGCGAATCGGTCTCCTACGACCCCATGGACCCGTCGAGTTCACACCCAGTAGAGAATGCCGCTGTGCTGCAGTTCTCCGCTACGAGGCACTCCCTCATTGCGACCTTGTGTTCTGACATTCTCCCTGCAGCTCGGTCCCCACCAAGCAGGACATCGTTCCTGAGACTCTTCTCAAGAAGAGAAAGTCCCAGGAGAAGGAGCGCGAGGCCCGCACCGCTGACCTTCAGAAGAAGCGCGCTGTAAGTCACACCGCCGCCATAAAAGAGCAGGATGTTGTCTACATGATGCATAACAACCACACCTCGACTAGACCTTCGGGTCGGTGTTGTCGAAATTAACCATCTTTCGGGTCTGATCGACATACATCCTGTTCACTGGCACATACACCAACCAGTCAACCTTTACTGACAACAACTCAGGCCAACAAGGAGAAGCGCCAGGTCATCTTCAAGCGCGCCGAGTCCTACATCAAGGAGTACCGCGATGCTGAGCGCGAGAAGATCCGCCTCCAGCGTGTCGCCAAGCAGGAGGGTTCTTTCTACGTCCCCGCCCAGGCCAAGCTTGCCTTCGTTGTCCGCATCAAGGGTATCAACAAGATTGACCCCAAGAAGCGCAAGACCCTCCAGCTCCTCCGTCTTCTCCAGATCAACAACGGTGTCTTCGTCCGTCTGACCAAGGCCACCATTGAGATGCTCAAGATCGTCGAGCCCTTCGTTGCCTGGGGTTACCCCAACCTCAAGACTGTCCGTGAGCTCGTCTACAAGCGTGGTTACGGTAAGGTCAACAAGCAGCGCATTGCTCTTTCCGACAACGCCATCGTCGAGGAGAACCTCGGCCAGTACGGCATTGTCTGCATGGAGGACCTGATCCACGAGATCTTCACCGTTGGCCCCAACTTCAAGCAGGCCTCCAACTTCCTCTGGCCCTTCAAGCTCTCCAACCCTCTCGGTGGTTTCCACAAGAGAAAATTCAACCACTTCGCAGGTCTTCCCTTTCTTCTCTTCTTTTCCATTTTGCTAACTATTTTCCCAGNNATCGAGGGTGGTGACCTTGGCAACCGCGAGGAGCAGATCTCTGCCCTCGTTGCCCGCATGAACTAAGCGTTCGCTTGACAACAAAACTGGTTGATTTTGGGTGGAGCAAGGCGCAAACGGAAAGGCATTGTAATGGATTCTTATGACACCCCACGGGCATTGCATCACAGGTAGAATGCAGCTCATGGCAAAAGCTCTCAAAACGTTCAATGTCTTTTCCCACCAAACTCGCTTGACTCTTTGTCTTAATGTGACTTGATCTGTGATGTAAACATGTGTACTATTATTGTTAAACCTCGTGCATCATGCAGTTTTGCTTCGAGCAGAACGCAGATTGCGAGCAGTCTTTGCGTCTACCAGAGCGCGAGACCCTGTCGAAAATACACGTGATCATGTCCACCTCCGCTTATCATCTCTATGATATCAGTACATGTTACCGACCTTCATTCTGTGATTCAACCCTATTATGACCGAAATATCTGGCATAGATGTCGGGGACGTCTTTCGTCTCATGCTTCGCGCGAGAGCATCAGACACCGTCGACACTCTGAGCAGTTTAGACGACAGCAACGAACGGCGACGAAAGGCTATCGAAAGCATACTATTTTCGCGCAGGTTTATCCTACTATACAACATCGTACTGGTAGGACTACTGGCATGTTTCACGGTTTGGTATTGGGGCCGTAGGATTGGTAGATTTCGACGTAGACATGCCCTCTCTCGTTCGCCACACAACAAACCCGCAATCCATTCGAATCAAACTCGCAAGGATGACAATGAAGGCGAAACGACACCACTACTCCACCAAGGCAAAGCTCATATCTCCCGTTCCAAGACCGGCTTGGTGATCGCTCGAGTTCAGGCATGGCTCATGTATCAGCCACCCAACGTACCATACATCCACAAAGTTCTTCCTTCAAATGCCACCACAGTTGGCATCCTACTTCTACTTGGCATCAATCTGTTCTTCTTGCTCTACCAAGCCGAGCTTTCGGTAGCTACAGCGTTCGTCTTTGCCGATCGAGCTGGCTTGCTTTTTGTGGCTAATCTTCCGCTATTGTATCTTCTTGCAGCGAAGAATCAGCCAATAAAGATACTTACTGATGCCTCATACGAGGGTCTGAATATCATCCATCGCCGGTTGGGTGAATGGATGTGCTTGCTTGCACTCTTACACACTGGCAGCATGGTTCTGGTTTGGTATACGACACTTTCTACTCGTCTGAGCTTCTCGAGGTTCCTTGCCTTGCCTATCATCTGGCTCGGGCTCCTCGCGTTCTTCTCTTACGAGATGCTGTATCTTTCTTCGCTCGGCTCTTTCAGACAAAGGAGCTACGAAGTGTTCCTCGGACTTCATGTTGTCCTTCAAATCGCTGCGCTGGCTTTCTTATGGTTCCATCACCACAACAGTCAGCCTTACGTGCTGGCAGCTGTGTGCATCTTTGCGGTTGATCGCCTGGTCTTCAGATTGATTCTCAAGTCAAGGACAGTCAAAGCCGACATCTCTGTCATGGAAGATGGAGAAACCGTGCTGTTGAGTTCAAACTGGCAGTTGCCTCAATCTTCCTGGTGGAGGTCTTTTGGCATCAAGGACGGTTGGAAGCCAGCCGAACACGTTTTCCTCACAGTACCGGCCTTATCGCATAAGCACTTCGTCCAAGCACACCCTTTCACAATCGCCTCCGCCGCTCCTACCAGTGCTGACTCACATGCCTGGCTCAACTTTCTTATACGAGCTCAGGATGGCTTCTCACGAGATCTCCTTCGCTACGCAGAATTCCACAGCTCTGTGAACGTTCGAGTGGATGGACCTTACGGATCCTCACATGCCCTGGAAATGCTCCACGACAACGATGTCGCTGTCATCGTAGCTGGTGGTTCGGGTATTGCTGTGGCGTTTCCTCTCGTCTGGAGTCTACTCAAAGCATCGGCTCAAGGTCTAGAGCTGGAAAGCAGCACACACCCCAAGACTCGAGTGTCTCTGATCTGGGTGGTTCACGACCAAGAGCACGTTGATTGGAGTCCGCAAGACAGACTGAATGAGCTGCGCGAACTTGGTTGCAAGATCATGATACCACCACCGACACGCAAAGCAGGAAGGCCTGATCTTCCACACCTTCTCGAAACTGCAGTGAATGCATGGAACGATGAGATTGAAGATCCTTCTGTTGGCGTAGTCGTGGCTGGACCAGACGGCATGAATAGAAGCTGCAGGAATACATGTGCGAACCTTGTGAGTCGAGGTGCTCGACTGGAGGTCTCAGTCGAGAAGTTCGGTTGGTGACCTGTCTCTTGTGGTACCTCAAGGACGAGGAGCCCCCTTGTTGTGTTGACAGCTATCACAATACAATCAATATCTCTTGGCGGGCACCAGAATTGTGCATTCGCCTCTGATGTTGTTCAACCTTGTTTAACCTGTTTGCAGTCCTTGGGATAAGCAGTCGACCTGTGAGCCCTTGTAGATTCCGACATCGTATAGTCATAGGGAGCGTCAAGACAATATGTCTGGATCTCGGAATGACAACTTTGTCGGAGATAAGTCCGAATACACTCACAGGGAGAGAGCAATTCGACGCCATCCTCTGGGAGTCATCACCCTAAAACATGACTTTTACTGACCTAGTAAAGGAGTGTTCATTGGGGCCCTTGTGCTGTGTTTGTGCTTGACCTCGGGACATCTTGAACAAAGGCGACTGATATCCCTATCAAGGTCATCGCTCCACAAACCTGCATGATCCCTGCGATCGACCTTTGTATAGCTCCAAGAGAGGGTCGTACAATCTGACATTCACTCTCGATGGAAGCACGAGTTTGTGAGGACTCCAGCTGCATTCACTGAGAGCCGATATTTCTTAGGCTCCCCTTGAAATCATCTTGAATTCAAAAACAATTTTGCGTGTTGATTGTAATCATATTGCCCTGCAAGGCATCTTGAGAGGTCTAGCAGTTGCTTCATGTCTCGATACCCGCTCCTTGTTCATGTGTCAATACCCTCCCCTTCAGCTTTCTCTCGAAATTTTCCTCCAGATCATCCTTGCTATCAGGGTTGTTGAGACGAGCATAGTAGCGAAGAGTGAATGTCTTCTTCGTCAGAGCGTCAGCACGCTTCATGGCCTCTGACCTGGCTGATTCAGGATACTTGGTCTTCTTCCTGGGTCTCATCCAGGCACCACACTGAGCGTGATACCTTTACCCTCGGATCTTCCGTATGGAGGTTAAGGATTCTCGCGAGCGGCTGCCTTCACTTGCTGGTAGTACTTAGAGTACGTTGTAATCATCCAGCACCGATCGTATGGGGTCGTTCACCTATCCTAGCGAGGAAGCATTGGATTTCCCGACGACTGTCCGAGAGCACCTTACGGACCGTCCTCCTCATTACCCGGGTGCAAAACAGATGGAAAGTAAAGCCCTCAAGAGTCGGGAGAGGTTGATCAGATTTTGGTGGTGTCGCAGCTGGGGCTGGTATTTCCAACGAGAGCGGATCGAGTGAGTCCGAGTATGTTACGAGAGGATATCAGTGGCCATTCTCTTGAAGACCCAAGTGAGAGATGTGCGACTAGTCATATCCTCGGACGTAGCATGCGTGGTCAAGTTTTGGTAGTGCCGGGGGTAAAGCTCGAGAAATCAACGAGATTATGCCGAGTCGATTCAACGATACTACGAGAGGACATTACCGATCATGTCCTTGAAGATCTGGATGCAACATGGATGGTTGTTTGAGCTCTCGATGGCACAGCTGGGTGGTCGAGTTTTGGTAGTGCGGAAGGTGAAGCCATGACAACGTCGAGAGCATGCCGAGTCAATCCGAGGACACTGCGAGGCGACATTATCGAGCATTCTCTTGAAGATATAGATGCGAAATTTGTGACTGGTCATGTCCTCGGGCAGAGCTAGGTTGGTCGAATTTTGGTGGTGACAGTGGTGTTGATGAGGTTCACAAAAAATCACCGAGAGTATGTCGAGTTGATCCGATGGTATTACGAGGAGGTATTATTGACCATTCTCTTGAAGATATGAGTGCAACATAGATGGCAATTCCAGCCCTCGATGGTAGAGCCAGGGTGGTCGAATTTTGGTGTGGTTTCGCATTGGGTCGACCGCCTTCCCGAGAATGTACCAAGGCATTTCCAGGACGTTCCGAGTGCATCGAGTACGCCATCCTCTTGAATTTCTGAGTATTGCGAATGCTGGTTTACGAACCCTCGTAGATAGTCATCTACTGGTTGGACTTTGGTGGTGTTTGGTTAGGAGAGAAGAATTACACGAGACTGCACCGAGCCGAGCAGAGGACATGTCGAGTGCATCGAATCGACCATCCCCTGTAAGATCCCAGTGCTGTAAAACTTAGTATGTGAATCCTCGGAGCAGTATGGGTTGGTCGTGACTTGGCAAGTTTGCAGACGCCACACAGTTCGGCCACACAACAACAACAATGGTGCTTCCAGCCGCATCAGTCACTAAGATGAAGATCATGACATGAACATCCACACGGTTGGTAAGTATACGCGTTTAGCGATGTTGATCAATGACTTTGACATATTCCTTTCTAGGCCACAACATCAACACCATTGCCCCTGCCTGAATCCGCCACGCCTACATCTGGTCTGGCATCATCTCCGGTAACATCTCTGGCAACTACGACCCTACTGTCCTTGGCACTCATGCTGCCTTTCCTGATCAGTACAATCTTCACATGCATCTTAACCACGAAATCGACTGGACCCTGGCAATGATGCCTCCATGGAATTCTTGAGACACTTCTACGATGCTGGCGCAATCGTCTAGCAGACCACTAGCGATTCAAGACTTCACGAAGGTGCAATTATCTGTAGCCGCTGCCGTATCCACAACACTAAGATTCGTCCTTACCTTAACCCTGAACACTGGTCAACGGGATATTCACTGAGGAGCTTGCAGCAGATTTGCCTTTAACGGCCATGCCCAGAAGTGTGACTTCTACAACGAAGGTAAGGTCTACATTTTGAGTTGACTGTCTTCATCGACATACTTACAATACTACAGCTGCTCGTCAGTAAGACAAGGCCGACAAAGTCGTGGTCTGCTCCAGCGTAGATTGATGCAGTGAAGAAGAAGAAGAAGAGGTGCTCTTCGTCTGTGGTCATTCCTTCGCCTATCCAGTCCCGTTTTGAGCTTCGAGTTCCTCGGACGAGGCTCGCCTAGCTTGATCAAGCAGGGGTACCCTGGCAAGGGAAAGGGCAAGGGCAAGGCAAAGGCAGAAGCAAGTGCAGTCCCTTTCAAGCGAGAGGATTCCAACAACAGCTCTTCCAACGCCGAAAGTATGGATAGGATGTCACCATTACCGGCATGAAACAGATCGTAGACAATCCTGCAAACCGCTTCTGTCGATTCGAAGAACAAAGGTGACAAGAACAAGGATGACAAAAGGTTCGTCTTGAAAGCCATGACCGAAAAGCACACTTCCACCGTCACAACAGAGTCTCGTGATATGAAAAACGCAGCCAGATTCTGGACGACGAACAGGAACCCCCGAAGAGATCGAGTAGACTGTCGAACAGAAGTACGACTTGGGAACATGGTGCTCAAGGATCATTTAATTCGTGATGAAGAATCGCATTGCAGAATCAAAGTGGTGGTTTCTCGACATCTGGTCCGATGGTCTCAAGACAAGTCGTCTTTCTTGAAGAAGCAGAGTCTCGAGTATCATGAGGTCGGTCCTCTGGGAAAGACTCGCCTACCATTCCCGAGCGGGGGCGAAGAGTAAGGCAAGCGGAATCCACATCAAACAAGAGGACTTTAGAAACCAAGTCTTCTTACTCTGAGGATGTTGATACGGATGTCGTCGTCGCACCTCAACCCTTTGCTGTCCGATCCGCTGCCCATTCCCCAGGATCTGGAGGACCTTGAACAAGACAGCCGACCAAAAGCACGATTGGGGCAATTAGGGCCCAAGAATGATCAAATTTGCAATGAATACTCGAATTGCAGAGTCGAAATGGTCATTCAGACCGATATCCGTCAAAAAATGGCCACAGAGCATAGTGACCTCTCTTAGAAAACAGGGTCTTGAGTACCACAAGGTCCACAAAGGTTTCTGCACCCAGCACATTGAAGCCCTGACAAAACAGACAGAGCTCGGTAATGAGGCCGTCCGCAACCACGAGGCCCAGCATGGCATTATCCCAACGTCGCTGCCAAACAGCAAAGGAGACCCGATGATGCAAGATGTAATGGTGCTTCGCGTGTCCCCGTGTACTAAAGTCTGTAACGACATCAATCGCTCCCCAACTACAACTGAGAGTAAGGTGCACACCGGAAGAAGACACAACTTTTCTCACAAGCAGAGGTGTGCCCACTGAGAGCAGATAGGTTGTCGCTTCTCAGTGTGCCGCTTCTCAGGTGACACAGTCCTGTTTCCTGGTAGTATTGTGCAATTTTACAGCTGAATGCGTTGAATACTTTAGCACACGGGGATGCAGAAAGAGCTCGACGTACAGGATGGAAGAGGGCTATGCTGAAGAACAAGCAATCTGCACATACTCTCATCACTTTTTTTTCTTCTTCACTTCTTTCTGTGACTCTTCCTTCCATGAACACTGCGTATGCAGCATTGTACCATCTGCAACTGATCACACCAACTCTTTGTGATAACGAAAAAGCGTAAGATGTGCTAGCTAACCTTTGGAGCAGCAATCGAGGCGCTCATGAGCGAGGGCTACTGCAAAGAGGTCAGCACAACTTGTAGACATGAACATGCAAGACCCAACCACAAGGCCTGCCTTAGCTTCACGAATGACCAACGAAAAGCTTACCGTGATATACTAACATGCTCTCTACGCTCGTGAGCAACGATATATGGACGCTCTGCTTCCAGATGAGAGAGGCATTGCGCGAAGAGTCTCTGCATCCAACCAGGCGAATATGAAACAAGTAATGTATGAAGTATATCAATGAGTAAACTCAATTCAGAACAAGATTTTTCATTTTCTCTTTTCAAGATCCGACAGTGCAGTCGTCTCTCTTGGACAAAACTCCCCCCAATGCAACTAAAGCATACGATTTCCACACCGAGCCGTTGCAGTGCACTTGGTCAGAAAAAAAAAAGACAATTCCTCGTTTTATTTGCAAGAGGACAAGGAGGTAAAACCCAAAAGCCAAGAGGCAGTCAGCACCCATTCATTTCGTGTTCCGTACAGCCAACCAACATAAAAACACCATGAGAAGAAACCCCCAAAACTATGTCGACACGAAAAGAGGTCCAGGAGTGGAAGTGCTCCGTAGCAGTTGATTCCGAAAGTTTTGAATATGATCATAGTTCGATGTGAAACTTAAACGTCCATGCCGTCGTTGAAGATGCCTTGGGGTTCGTTTGTCGATGACACTCCAGTCATGCGCTCACCCCTGCTCATAGTCTTCCTCAACTCGTTGTTGTCTTCTTGCGACTCCTGTTGGGCTTGCTGCAAGTGTGCTGTGTCGTTGCCGAACTGTTTATCGAGAGTGCTCTCGTCAACAAACGTGAAGCCCTTGAATGCCGTCTGCAGTGTAGGGCTGAGAGGTGTGCTGGCCGGGTTGACGCCGCTAGCCAGAGCTGCCGCACGAGCGTTGAGAGATGATGAGTTGCCGCTCGACAAGGCATTGGTGAATTCTGGGTCGAAGTTGCTGACGTCCAACTCACCCTTGAGCTTGGGCTTGAAAGGTGGGACAAGCGCTTTGCGACCAAGAGCATCCCAATCGATGTCAGCGAAGAAGGGATGGGCCATGAGCTCATCAGCGTCCGCCTTGGCTCCTAGACGGTGGTTCGGGTTGCGGTTCAACAATCCCTTTACAAAGTTGCGACCCTCTGTCGAAAGAGCATCTCTTGGGAAACGAACCTTGCCGAAAGCGATGTTCTTGTACATTTGCTGAGTGTCCTCGGCATAGAATGGTGACCAGCCGCAGCACATTTCGAAGACTAAAACACCGAGCGACCAGAAATCGACCATCTTGGTGTAACCTTGCTCATCCAGGAGAACCTCAGGAGCGAGGTATTCTGTAGTACCGCAGAAAGTGTTTGTTGTGTCTCCCTTTGACAGATTGGCCTTGGATAGACCGAAATCGCAGAGGGCGATGTGACCGTTGGCATCCAACAAGATGTTCTCGGGCTTCAGGTCGCGATAGACAATGTCGTGCTGATGGAGGTGTCTCAAGGCCAGAATAAGCTCAGCGATGTAGAACTTTGCGCGACCTTCGTGGAAGCGCCCCTCTCTTTGAAGATGCCAGAAAAGTTCACCTCCAGACATGTAATCGGTGACCAGGTAGAGATCGGCAGGAGTTTGGAAAGAGAACTTCAGGCCAACAATGAATGGTGACTCGGCTGTGGCAGTGCGCACAAGAATATTACGCTCGCCGATGGTGTGTGCAATCTCCTTCTTCTGAATGATGACCTTCTTCGAAAGCACCTTCATGGCATAGATTCTTTGTGTATCCTTCTTGCGAACCTGGAAGACCTGTCCAAAGGTACCCTTACCGATGAGTCTCAAGATTTCGAAGTCTTCGGGTCCGTAAGTCTTCTTGTCGGTCTTTTGGAAACTAAATCTGAGCTGGATTTCGCCAGAAACATTGTCGGTCTCGCCCTCTCTAGGCTTCNNCAACTTGTACCAGGCTTCGTGAGGAGTGTCGTAGTTCTCGAGGTTGGGGCTGAAGCGGACATGTCCAATGAAAGCCTCTTGATTCTTCTTGTCGTATACGGATATATCAAGTTCCGATTGGTCGCCGACGACGTCGCTGCAGATAAATTAGCCTGAATTGTGATAGAAGTCACCAGCAGGAACGTACAATACGGCCTCGTGGTTCCATAGTGGCTCAGTCACAAGAGGATCCGAAGCGGCGTTGTTGAGCTTGGGAATATCTGTTTGGCTGGTTTGGCGGCTGCCGAGTCCAGGAATGCTCATGGCTTTTCCTGAGTCGCTACCCATTCTTCTCATAGCGACTCCTTTAGCCAGGTTTTCATTCTGGTGGGCATCTTGCTCTTGTGTCTTGGTATCCATGGCATCCTCCTCGGCTCCACCAGAGATGTCTTCATTCAGTTGATAAATGCAGACGACATAAGGGGCAGTGCTAGGCTTGAGACCTCTTCCCTGCACGATATTGACCGAAAGCTGGCCTTTAGTTGTACCGACAGTGGGTTGACCACTAGATTGGTTGGAGCTGGATCGACTGCTCTTCTCAGTTCGGGAGATCTGAGGGGCTGTGGGAGCGGAGGCGTCATCCACTGCGGCTGCCTCATTATGTGACAAAGCTCGTGGAGTGCGAGGAGGAGTACTCTTTGTATCTTCTGTTAGCTCTTTATTCTCGCTATCCAGTGGCTCGAGCTCAGATGACATGGCAAGAGAAGCATTCAAAGAATCGGGAACATTGGTGGGTTGAGAAGCAGGGCTAGAGATGTGTGCAGAAACATGCGGCCTAGAAACGACGGTGTCTACTGTGCTTGAGGGCAGTGTGGAACTACGAAGCCGTGCTGGTCCTGCCGGGGCATTTTTCTCGGTCGACGTCTGTACGTCTGCGGACCCTTCTTCATCAACCTGCGGGCCATGAAGAGAGNNGGAAGCCGACGACAGAGGTGGGGTGGGATATGAAGGTAGACCGGCGTCGACTTGCTCGTGCGGGAGTAATGGGGGCGTTTGACTGCTAACAAAAGAGTGCTTGGGCGAGCTGGGTGCAGTAGGTGGAGGGATGCCTGAAGGGGCAGTAGAAGAAGGATGTGAGGGGTCCATGTTCAGACTCGGGCCATGTGTGACGCTGCGGGAGAGATAGATGAGGGGCAGNGCAGGATTGGTGGATGATGTGAAAGGAACACGAAGAGAATGACAAACCTGCGCAAAGTAGGCATGCGGCAAGCCTGGCTCCCGCTTGTCCATGAACGTGGGCTTGGGCGTTGAGATTCCACCGGGAGGTGTCGAGGTCCCACTGCCAATGTGATCGGAATCTTCATCCGGACGAGTACTACTAGTGGGGCGAAGAAGATTAGCGTCGGCCATGGCAAAGTTTTCTGAAACGAAACGAATCAAGCACTTTGGGCGGGCGTGAAATTGTCAAGGGCAAGCAAGAGAGATTCGGCAGCCAAAACAATCACGGACAGCCTGGAAAGGACGGTCGGAGTGTTTTGTTGGATCTGGCGCATCTGCGATTTGCCGTGGAACTGACTGGCGTCGGGCCGAATGACGACAGCTTTTTCTGCTGGCCGAGCTGTCTGACGCTGCTGCAGGTGCAAATGGCAGCGGGAGAAGAATTCATTAATCATTCTCTGCATGAATCTGAGCTTCTAGAAACGGCTCTCGACCACTGGATACGGCAGCGACCACTCGGGACTCTGCAGTATGGCAGCATTGGAATAAATGACTGCGCAGCGGAGGCGGCGGGATTGCCCGAGGACGTGGGTAAAAATATCAAAAGCACGAGGAAAGAAGCGGAGCAAGCTTACTTTTGCATCATCGCTTGTCGCAGCAAGTCCGCAGCCGGAGACTGCTGCGGATGGTTGTTGGACGAAGGAGAAGACATTGTCAGAGATCTCGTTGACCAAGGGTCGGCAGGAGCGGGTTCAATGAAGACGGTCGGGATTAGACTGCTAGACTTGGATGACAATGGTGGAGGACGAGGTCTTCTCGGAGAATCCTGCTTGCTCGACGAAAAGGACGGCGAGTGCTTTCGTTTTTGTCGGTCGGGTTGCTGATTCCTATCAGAGGGGCCCGACGGATTAAGATTGCTACTGCGATTAACAGCCAGGATTGATGACGATTCAGAACGTGCGATTAAAGATTGATGAGGAGAATAATTAGAGGGTGAAATGGTGCTGAAGGCCGGTGCAAGAAATGAAGCGTCCGGGCGAGCCATGTCATTGATGGCGTTAATAGCGGGGAAACTTCAGTCCAACGTTCAAAGCTCGTTCAGGTCCTGAGACTCGAGGCCTGATCTTTCTTATTCCCAGTAGTCTACCCTGGTATGTGTCGTGCAGTGGTACAGAGCTGAAGAATCAAGGGTTCCGGAAGAGTGATAGGACAGATACTATCAGTGCAAGCTTCGCCGCATCTCACAGCCTCATCATGTGCGGCTTGTCTGGATCATAAATCATGGATCATCTGCCAAACCACCCCCTCCAAACTGGCCCTGACCCTCGGCGACTGGCTGCAGATCGCAACGCTTGGCTGAGACGTCCCAAAGCAGATGAGGTCTACCAATTTCTCAGCAAGCAAGGGAAGCTGAATCTCAACAGCTAAAAGCGAACACTAGTCGCGACTCTGTATAATAGGCATGGTCATGGTCTGAACAACCCCGAGATATACTTCTTGAAGAGAACAAGCCAGCTTGGAGGATGAGGACAGCCAGCAGACGACTTTATATACTTCCAAACCCGTTGAGCATCTTTCTGCTAGATCGTAGCAGACACGCATTTGTACCATATGTGACAGCAACACTCTTAACACCACCTAAATATCAGAAACATCCACAATTGGATAGATGGCACGCGTAGATGCAGATGGTCGATAGGAGATAAGATGGTCGGTGCGGGAGTTGCCGAGACGCCGATGCTCTGTAGTGAGCCCTCGGCCGCATTCGCGTCGGTTGATGGTTGGCGTTGGAAGAACAAGCTCGACGCGCGAGCAAGACACAATATCGCACGCATCGCAACCATGGCACGAGGAAGAGGCAAAGGCGGTGGCCCAAGGCTGCGCTTATCAGCAAGTACGTACAGCTTGTCATCAAGTTTGCGCGCACTCGCACTTACCATTGTTCAGGAAATTCCACTCCTGCTGCCAAAGTCGAAGTGTCAGACGAAGAAATGCCCGAACCAATTGTGCAAGACGAAGACGACGGAGATGATGATCATGTCGAGCCCGACGGCGCTGAGGAGGATGATGGCGAGCAAGACGTAGAAGACGACCAAGATGGTGGAGATCGCAGCAGTCCGCCCGTCGTCCAGACGATTCCACGTAAACGAGGCAGAGGCCGCCCACCTACACGTCCACGACCCGATTGGGACACTCCAGAACCTGGTACTGGTAACGGCTCAGAATCTGGCACCCCACGCAGAAAGAGAGGACGTCCATCAGGCGTTGGTGGATCTCGTGGTGGTTTCAGAGGCAGACCAAGAGGTGGACCTTCACATGCAACGCGAGTGCCAATCGACAAGGAGGGTAACATGATGGATGTCATCAACGATGAGATTGCGCTTCCAGAGGATCCCGAAGGAGAGACCAAAGTCAACAAGGATGGCCATCTCCAAGGCGGTCGCGACTATCGTGTGCGTGTCTTTACCATCCTAGGACGCGGCGACAGGCTTTACATGTTGTCAACTGAGCCTGCTCGCTGTACCGGTTTCCGCGACAGCTACCTCTTTNTCACCAAACATCTACAGCTCTATAAGATCATCATTGGCGAGGAGGAAAAGAAAGACTTGATCTCCCGCGACATCATCCCGCATTCCTACAAAGGTCGCGCAATCGGTGTGGTTACTGCCCGCTCTGTTTTCCGCGAATTTGGTGCGCGCATCGTCATCGGAGGTCGCAAAATTATCGACGACTATCAAGTCCAGGCAGCAAAGGAGAGAGGCGACATCGAAGGTGAATTGGCCGACCCCAATGACCGTCTACCTGCTCCAGGTGAGGCATACAACAAGAACCAGTATGTTGCTTGGCATGGAGCCAGTCAGGTATACCACAACAATGCTCCCAGCGTTCCTCTTCAACCTGGCAAGCCTGCACCAGGAAAGAAGAAGACCAACATCACCACTAGCAACTGGCAATTTGAACACGCCAGAGAGGCGAGGTATCTTCTCATCTTCTTGTGATCTCTCCGAGCTTTGCTAATTCTCTTCAGCCGCTTCAATTCTACTCNNCTCGCAGCTGCACGTCGCTCAAACCTGAGTGGTATTTATGACATCAACACTAATCTGATGTTCTATCCCAAGATCATGCAGCCGAGTCACGTCAAATGGGAGCGTGCGACTCCAGGTGGAGAGGAAGAGTCCAACGGAGGATCTGCAACCTTCCAACCTCTTCCCAATCTTATTGCGAGAAACTACCTTGTCACCGACATCTATTTCGAGAGCGCACCTAGAGCAAACCTGGGCGTCCCTGGTCCGGATGGCGATGTCGACGATCTCACCCCCAACGGCCTCTCTACAATCTCCCAGGATGTTGTAGATGAGCTCCCCGAGGAGTGTAGAGCAGCCTTTGAAGAGGCCAAGAACGCCGAACTCGCATGGAAGTCGAAATGGCATGACGAACACACTGATGGCGCGCGCGGCAAGCTGCGCATCGGTTTCAATGGCTTTCCTGTTTGAGGCGTTGGATGAGTGCATGGTTTAATGAGGATGTGAATTATCAAGGAGTTCTCGGAGCGCAGGCGTTATCTTCCGACCAGCATGGCGAAGGCAAGTTTAGTTGACAAGGAATACCCCAAAATAGGTCAAAGGTATCTGAACGTTCTGTTTCTGTTAATTATGGCTGATCAGATTCTCCACATGATTTGAATAGTGAAGGTGGCAGGGGATGCATTCCGCGTTACTACATTCCTGACCCAAGTCCAGCCCGGGGCTTACATCGTTCTCGTACAAAGACCTAATAGTCATCCCTATTCAGGCGACGGGTTAGCCGAATAGATCGCCGCTTTCGGGTCTTTGTTATCCTCGATAAAGCGAAACTTCCAACGACATCCTCCACTTCGCCTACAACGCCACCATTCATATTCAGAACTCCTTCGCTGCCTCGCAAAGATTGCTAAGGATGGCAGGTAACATGTCATTCTCAGGGACTTCATGCCCACTACCGTTCCTGAGTAGTGATAACTATACTTCTGGAGGTGGATNNGTATGTTTGAAATTGAAAGCGATTGCCGAACTATACGCTGACGGATGTCCAGACATTGGAGGTCGTTTCTGCAGCGATCAGTGCTGCTTACCTTGTCCTTTGACAGAGCTAGTATATTCTGATGNNGTGAGTACGTCTTCCAAAAGTTATTCAGAATCAAGCTGACACTGTTCTCCTCAAGAGTTTCCTACACACGAATTAGCAGCTGGCTGGCTCAGTGTCATCAGTCTTATAGCCAGTGTATTTCTGCTTCTGACTTACGCGGTTCTGCCTCCTGAGAAGAGCCATCGTCACTATCTTAGTATAGGCCTCATAGTCTCCAACGTCGTCNTTACAAGTATGTTCTCATCCAGTGTCGAACACTGATCACCTCAAGGCTGACGTTCAATTCAGTTGGCGATCATAGTCCCATTAGGTTCAAAGCCTTCCATGTGCCACGATGCAATCACACCTAACGACATGTATTCGGACTTGTCGTGCGCCTTCTCTGGGGCATTACTCCTTTGGGGTGGCATGGCATCAGTCTGCTGGGTCTTGTCGCGCGCACTATGGACACATATCAGAGTATGCTGGAACAGATCCGACACTCAATTCTTCCTGGTAGCTTCTCAAATCTTTTGCTGGGGCATCCCTACGATTCTCACTGCAGTCTGCATGAAATACACCGGTGTTTCGTATCGTCTGGCAAACGTTTGTCTACCCAACAACAAGCACACCTTTACAACCTATTTCGGATGGATGATCGCCTTCGCCAGTCTGGCTTTCGTGTTGCAGATAGCGACCAGCTTCTACTGTCTCTACATCTATTTGATGAACTTATGGAAGACCAACTCATCGTCACCATCACGCACCACGGGCACCTCAAGCGAGCTTCCGCTCAGTGCAACTAGGAGCACATGGGACAAGCCGTGGAAAGCGACTCGCCAACAGGCGTGGGCTCGAGTACGCAGAGTCTTCATACTGCAGTGGCGTAACATTCTGCTGTGCATGGGAGCTACCGCGATTGTTGCTATGCTCTCAGGTGTCTTCGTATCCCTCAACACATCTCTGGCAAGGGACAAGGCTCGTGGTTTCCGTGCAAAGGAGATTGCAGGCTGGGCTGCTTGTCTCGTCATCACGCTGGACAAGAATCAGTGTCTGCCATTGGCCAAACAGCTCGGCATAACTGAGGCTGCAGTCTCCGCAAGTTTGATCCTTACTGGCTTGACTGGCCTCAACACCTTTGCACTGCTTATGCGTTGGAGCACACTCGTCGCATGGTACGAACTACTACGTGGTAGTAGGAGAAGAAGAGATTCAGATTTCATGAATGCTGAGCCGCGCCGTATCACCTTTGAGCAACCGCTGCAATCAGAGACGAATAAGAACGATCTTTCGCCTGTCGAAAGTCCTGTAGACAGTCCAGTCTCAGCATTCTTCCCTGGGCGAGGACCAGAATCAGATCACCACAAGCGGGACTCTCTTGGCGATGGTTCTATCCAGCATCGATTGGATTCAAATGCTTCAGCAGTCCATCCTGGAAGGACCTCGATTTTTGTTGAGCATCCTTTTGATGATGAGAAANAGGAGGAACCTGGCAAGGCTCTGTGAGTGGACGAAGTTAAAGCAATCCTTGTACCTTTGTAATGATAGATAATGATTTTCGATTCATTCAATCATTCTCGAAGCCTAGTGTTTTCTCAAAGTAAGGGACCTTTGTCGCATGAATTGTGACATTGTCTCAGACGACTGTATCTCACATACGGATGACTGTCTCCTTATCCACCCCGGCGAACCATGTAGAGAGATGTTACTGTCTCCATGGCCACACTTCTATCTGAGAAGCGATCATGCATCGAGATAGCCTAGTACCTGACCAGCCCTTGTTGTGAGAGCATCGTCAGATATTTGATGGTTCACGATAATGAAGGTATTTGAGGTAGTGACTTGAAGGTTGATTGGTCTATCTATGCATGTAGCCTTGAGTATATACCAATGCCCTCTGCCAGGGTTACTCACTCAGCATATGGCTGATCTTGATGGCTTCAACACACGACTACCGCTCACCGACTAGGTAGGATGTCAAGTTCACGTTGTCGAATCCTGTGAAAAATCCCTTCACCTCCTTGGTTTTACCAGTGTTGAGATGTGACCTCGATATCTAGAACAACCATGCTCCTGTAGACTAATCTAATCAAGTCCTAACCTCATATACCTCCATTACAAAAGCGTGAAGTATGTCATCAGCTCAATGTTCGTCAGTTTCAACTTCTTTGCGCAGACCTCTCGAGTCAACGTTATCTCCTTGATGGAGTTATGCCTTGTACTTTGACCTATGTCTGTCACATCTTCTGGAGCAACGCAATGTGAATGCTATCACAGCACTCCAGTTGCTTTTCCACATTCGAATTAGAAGACTGAGTTGTCGTTTCCAGATATCGATGATCTTTAGAGCCATTGACTCCACCGCTCGAGTCGTCTTCGCACGGCGAAGACCATGAAGTGGAGAAAGAAGATCTTATACAACGTCAAAGTCAAATCGGATGTTTCGTCAAAGCGATTGTAGCTCCCTCGTTGTGTTTGGAGACCTCTCGCTGTGTTCTCGTCTCATGACGTCTCTAGCCGTATCTGGCTAGCGCCTGATCGGTCAGTCGTGACTGCCATTGTTGCGATCTTCGAGGTTCTGCGAAAAGCGGTTGATCTCATCCAGGAGCGTACATATCTCCTTCCCAGATGAACTGAGTACCGGGACTGTATCTAGCATGATGCTAAGAGACATGCTCGAGGAGATTGTATAAGAAAAGATCGGACGGTGGAAAAATTGCGGTTCGAGCTGCATGAAACTGGCGACGGCGACATGAATGTGTGGAGATCTGTAGGTATGCGGATTGAGGGCAGCTCTAGATCAAGGACGCCGTATTTGTGACTTCATAGTCAGAATAATCTGCACAGAATTGTTTGACCAGGCAGATCCGCCGTCTGTTGGTGGGTCGGCAATGATGATTCCGTGGGCTTCGCTGGTGCGACCAACAAATCGACAACCATCGTGACCCCAGACTTCACACCTAACACCTACTACTTTTCCCGGACCTGCATTGGAAGGGATATATGGCATCACGGATCAGAAATTCTCCTCTCGCACGGCTATGTGTATCCAAGCTCAGGAATCCAGGCTTCTCTGGAGAGCAGCACATTCTTAGACGTGTACGACCATTTTCAAGTACACGTACATCTGGCCAGGCAAGCGAGACAGCACCAACCCATGCATTCTCGAATGGCAAAAATCTCGGAAGCATTTCGCTGAAGAAGAACGGCATCTACCTGGACAACAAGCTGCGCATCGTAAGTGGTATACCTGTCAGATTACAAGAATTGATTACTTATACCTATGCAGACACCTTTCGCAGACCTTGAAGTCAAGGAACGCCCTGGCAGCGAGTCTCTACGCTGGGACGGAGAGAGACTATATTTCGAGAATGCGGATGGCGAAGACCGTACCTACGTGTGAGTTTAGAAGACTCTTGAGCATTGTCACATAGACTAATCATGGTTGTCATAGGTCCAACTTATGGCTGAGGTTAGAAACGTATCAACAAAATGGTCTGAATTTGAGTTAACAAGTAACAGAGATCAGTGTCCCTGTTATGAATGTGTCCATCCCGATACTCGACAGAGACAGCTTGACACGTTTTCGGTGAGTGTATATACGCGTGAGTATCGAAGCAATAGCTGATGAAAGTATAGATTGATCCTAGCATCAAGCCTACCAAACTCAATATTCAGACCAAGGAAAAACAGACGATACAGATTGAGTGTGAGTATATACATGGTTTCATCCAGTTTCGCGTCTGACGGTCAAGCANNGGGCAAGATGGACATCAGAGTGAATACCCATTGAAGGTGCTCCGTAAAGGCAGGCCAACTCATACCAGTGTTCAAAGAAGAGGACTTGTCGAGTAGGTATCACAGATCGATAAGCTTACCGGTGTTAACAAGTCTCTAGGCNAGGTCATGTTTGACAAAACGATCGCGGCTCAACCACCTACAGTCGACTACAAGAGCATCATGGAAGCCGATGGTATCGCCGAATGGACTCGTCAGATCGTATGTATGTTGCCACCGAGAATAAATCAGCAGCTGACTGGAAAGAACGTACATGGATTGTCATTCGTCAAGAACTGCCCAATTGATCCCGAGGCAACACAGAAGCTGCTAGAGAAGATTGGGCCCATCCGTGAAACCCATTATGGTGACTGACAACCTATGTNNAAGCGTAAGGTAGAACTCCAGCTAACATGATTAGGTGGTTTCTACGACTTCACGTCGAACATGGCAAGTAAAGATACTGCTTATACATCATTGGCACTTGAGGCGCATACGGACACGACATACTTCTCTGAACCAGCGGGACTCCAGATGTTTCACATGCTCTCCCATACTGACGGATCTGGTGGTGAGTCTTTGCTAGTGGATGGATTTGCAGCAGCGAGACAACTTTATGCCGAAGACAAAGAGGCATACAGGATCCTCAGTACTGTGGGCATCTGGGCACATGCGAGTGGCAATGAGGATGTCAGCATCCAGCCTTACGTTTGTGTCCCTGTACTTTCTCACGATCCTGTCTTGGGTCACCTGGTCCAAGTAAGATGGAACAATTCAGATCGAGCGGCTATCGAAGCGCCTAGCGACATGATCGACAAGTGGTATGAGGCCGCCAGGTAAGATTTGCGCTTTCTCAGTGGATGGNAAAATGTGCTGAGAATGAACAGGAAATTCAACGGTATCCTGAACGACCCACAAAACCAGTATTGGACACAACTTGAACCAGGCATGCCGTTGAGTAAGTGCGAAAAAGCTAATTGACATGGTAAATGGACTGACGCAGATGGACAGNTTTTTGACAACTGGCGAGTGTTGCACGGAAGAAGCGTATTCACAGGCAAGAGACGAATGGCCGGAGGTTACAGTGAGTAAAGTAGATGGCAGATTGGCGAACCATACTGACACAAGCAGNTCAATCGTGATGATTTCATTTCCAAGTTCAAGTTGACAAACTCAAGCAGAGATGAAGTACNNTTGGAAGCAACCGTGACAGGATAAGGGTTCTGCACAGTGCTTTGTTNNTTTACTCGGAAATCAGTATGGCGAGGGAGATGGGAGCTTCGTGCCTAAGCTTGTCGAAGCAGAGACGTAGTGGCGATGACATCCAGAGGTCACACAATTGCGATCAAATCCTGCAATATTCGAAGAAAAGAAGACAATCAAGTTCCTATGAAACGATGAACCATTGAAAATACGTCAAGTGAGGAGGAGTGAGTGAGTGAGTGAAATGAAGGTGTATGGATGGTCGGTGCGGCAAAAGCCGAGCTATGTCATTGCACTTGGAAGCTCAAGGCGTTCGGACTTACAGACTTGTGTATTACAACAACCCGTTTCACCNCATCTTCCATCTTTGTCTCATCGCCACACGTATCTACTCCATCCAACTCACAAACCAGTTCATCACAAGCCGCAATCATGTCGACACTTGAGGATCTGGACGCCATGGAGCACCAGGACAAGAAGGAAGGCGAGGACCAAGATCCCAAGAAGCCCAACCAGAGCGGCGATGCCGACATGAAGGATGCCGATGGTGACAAGAAGGAAGAAGAGGAGGAAGAAGTGCTGGACTCAGACATCCTCAACTCGAGCACAAGAGACATCATCACAAGGCGGCGATTGCTGGAAAACGACACGCGCATTATGCGCTCAGAGTTCCAGCGTTTGACACACGAGAAGCAAGCCATGCTTGAGAAGATCAAGGACAATGTTGACAAGATTGACAACAACCGGTGCGCCGTCGAAAATGCTTACTCATTTCCTCTGACTCTGCTGACATGACCCCTACAGCNNCAACTCCCATACCTTGTCGGCAACGTTGTCGAGATCCTCGATCTGGACGTCGAAGCAGATGCCGCCGAAGAAGGCGCCAACGTCGATCTGGATGCTACTCGCGTGGGCAAATCGGCCGTTATCAAGACATCGACTCGCCAAACAATCTTCCTCCNNCCCCTCATCGGTCTCGTCGACCACGAGAAGCTCAAGCCTGGCGATCTGATCGGTGTCAACAAGGACTCATACCTCATTCTCGATACACTTCCCGCCGAGTACGACAGCAGAGTCAAGGCTATGGAGGTTGATGAGAAGCCCACCGAAAAGTACACCGATGTTGGTGGTCTGGACAAGCAGATTGAAGAGTTGGTTGAGGCTGTTGTCTGGCCCATGAAGGAGGCTGAGCGCTTCAAGAAGATTGGAATTAAGGCTCCTANNAAGGTACACAACCGCGCTATTATTCCCGAAGAAACTCGTAACTGACCAGCCTCTGTAGGTGCCCTCATGTACGGCCCACCCGGTACCGGAAAGACCCTCCTCGCTCGTGCTTGCGCCGCCCAAACAGAAGCCACTTTCCTCAAGCTCGCCGGCCCTCAGCTCGTTCAAATGTTCATTGGTGACGGTGCCAAATTGGTGCGCGACTGCTTCGCTCTGGCTAAGGAAAAGGCTCCCTCGATCATCTTCATCGACGAGCTTGATGCTGTTGGTACCAAGCGTTTCGACAGTGACAAGAGTGGTGATCGTGAAGTTCAGCGCACTATGCTTGAGCTTTTGAACCAGCTTGATGGTTTCGCTAGCGATGACAGAATCAAGGTTCTTGCCGCAACAAACAGAGTCGACGTTTTGGATCCTGCTTTGCTTCGTTCTGGTCGTCTTGACCGCAAGATCGAGTTCCCCTTGCCTAATGAGGAGTCCCGTGCCCAGATTCTTCGCATTCACAGCAGAAAGATGACTGTTGATGAAGGTGTCAACTGGCCTGAGTTGGCAAGAAGTACCGACGAGTTCGGTGGTGCTATGCTTAAGGCTGTTTGTGTTGAAGCTGGAATGATCGCTCTACGTTCAGGACAGTCAAAGATTGTCCACGAACATTACGTCGATGCGATTGCTGAGGTGCAATCGAAGAAGAAGGAATCGTATGTTTTGCTCATCCTCAATCATATCTCCCTTGCTAACTCAACTTCAGAATCTCAATCTACGCCTAAACGATTCATCTCTTGTTGCATTGACGGGGTTGGAGGCGCTTTGAGTGAACGACACATATTCGGGTTTGTAATTATAGCCTCAGCTAGACACGATTCATCATGGACTCACTTTGATACGATTCTCTCATGTTGTCAAGATGATGGTATCCTATCATCCATCGTGCTCGGACTTCTTAGTGCTTGGTGCTATTCTACAACTTGCTCTTCTGTCCTGTAATCTTCATCTTTGCTCGGCCATTGCTCAAGCATACTTTGCCACCCTTCACGCTGGTCACAAATCTCACCTCTTCGTAACCCTCGTCGTCAACATTGCCCATGCGCCAGATTTGAGTGACGAGTGTGTCTCCCGCCTTGACAGGACTTGCGAATCGTGCAGCAAATTCCTTGATGTTGGCTGGATCCGAGTTTCCAAGAAGCTTCAAGAGACCGTGAGCTGTAGTGTTCCAACTGAATAAGCCGTGAAGAATGGCACCGCCTAAACATCTCAGCATTCGTAACATCACATCGTTCTTGTTGATTGTCAACTTACCGAAGCCCATCTGCTGACCAGGCTCTGGGGTGGCATGCAGAGGGTTGTAGTCACCACAAAGTCTNGTTTGAATTTAGTATCAGATTACCAAAGATAGGATCAGTTTGCCTTACCGATATAGATGAGCTGACTCTGCATTCGTCTGGAATACATATTCTGCATCAGGCTTCTTGCCCTCGGGAGGAGGATAGTTGACTGTCTTTGGTCCNTGGTTCAAAGTTAGTATGAACTCCATCCATGCTGTTGAAGTGTCTATCTCACCCTTAGGTCCATTCCAGTTTCCTTGACCAACAAAGAATGACATTCCCACAGCTCTGCTGTAGACTTCTCCAGAAGCCTTGTCCACGATCAGGTTCTCGGTCTCAACCACCGAACCAGGCTTGCCCTTGTCGTATACACCTAGAACCTTTGCTCTCATCTCAAAGTCACGGCCTTCACTGGTAGGTGGCAGAGGCTTGAGGAAAGTAATGGATTGCTCTCCATGAACCACCTTGCGACTGTCAAACTTTGGTACATCTGGGATGGCAGCACGTTTGGAGTTCTGAGAGGCGTAGAAGTCGATGATCTCTGCTGAGGTTCCTTTGAATGGCAGGATGATTGAGTAGGTAGGGAATGTGCTGAACTTTGGGTGGAATTCCNNTACTCGATCTCTTAGTCTTGTCTTTATGAAATCATCGGAGGCTATCATGATACATACGTATAAGAAATGAAGCTCATCTTTGGCATCACAGCCAATTGCATTTGCAAATAGCAAGACGTCTCGCTTGTACCACGAAACGGGCACTGATGGATACTCAAATCCGACTCCTGGACCACTCATGATTGCTATTGATTCAATTCTTCTGGCTGTACGTTCAGTGCACAATGCTTGTTGTCTTCAGAAGGTTATCATTTTGATATACCTACGGATACCATCCCGAGGGCATGCAGGGAGCGGGGAAGTGGCCTTGGACCGAGGCGTTTCGACACGTCCGACCTTCCTCATGTTCCACCTACTGTCATACAAATTGGCGCGTTATTAGGCTCGAAGTACTTCTGGATACTGGACATAGGCTGTTCTTGAGGTCGAGACAATGGTCTCAGTCAGGCAATGGACCGGCCGCTCCGGAAACTGTGGCATTCGCGACTTCATCTCAAGTATTTTCAGCAGAACGATACCGCATTCGAAGAGCCTCATCAGAGCGACGTTTCGCGACAAATCAAATTCAGATAACCAGAAGGTCAGCATGGCTTTCTATAGTGCTGTCGACTGGATCTAGTTCATGGGACGGTCGACAGTGCTCCACCAAGACAGGATTTCGATGATAGAGCCCCCGCGCCATCAATCAGGTCTTGTTGATGAAGGGGTCAGCAATGCTCTATGCAGATGAAACTGGCAAGTTGGCAAAACCTCTTCGTATATCAGAGACTGTCATGATCCTGCGATTGGACCTGCTCCAAAACGAGTACAAAGGTCATCGTACGCTATCGAAATGCACAGTTACGATTGAAGTGTAAGTACGGCCATGGAGATAGCCTTCGGTGAGGTTTCTCTGTGGAAGCCGCATTGCTTGCGTCACTATTGTGCATTTTTGCAGCTACAGTATGACAGTATCCAGCACACTAGGAGGAAGGGTTGACAAAACTTTCCAAGGTAAGACAGTAGATGGAAACTCAATTTCGGAGTGTGCACAGAGGCAGGACAGCCATCTGAAATTATACTGCAAGGATATGAGGGTGGTATAGCTAGGAGGGCATATGGGTCCTTTGAAAAATGAGTAGCCTTGCTTTCTTATCGTTGTCACCATCAAGTGGAATCAAAGAGTCGTTCTCTCTGCAAGGAGATGCCTATCCAATAACCATCTATCAAAATGCACAAGGGTGTCGAGATCAGAGATACATCCAAGGAGAGCCAGTGGACCGGGGCTCTCATTGGACATCGACCGCATCTGCAAAATATTCTGTCTTTCAGCGGATTATGCAAGCAGCCATCTGTTCAAGGAAAGCTGATAGAACACGCACTCTCAGCGGGCGTTGCTTTATCTCTGAGAGCATTGTGTATTTCTACAGACATATAATCAGCGGCGATTCGAAAGGAGACCCGGTTAGAGTAGTTGACCTCACAAGGCTCCCAGAAGGCATTGCTGCTTTTCGAAGAGTTTTGTACATTTCTATATGCTATCGAATCAGAAGTGGCCCCGAAGAAGGCCGAATGAAATTGAATCTCATGTAATGCTTCCAAATGAATGCTTCTTCTTTCTTCAAGGCATTGTGCGCTTCCATAGCTTTACATCAATAAGAGAAATTGGTCTTTCTTTGGGTAGACATGATACACAGACAATCAAAGTCTGCTACAGTATGACGAGTTAAGCGCAGAATACCCTCCACGGGAGTAAATGTAGGGTGCCGCTATCTTTGTATTTCATGACTTTGCTTCATGAACATTTGTGTATCCAAGTAGAGTATTCTCAGTGCCATTATGATTTTGGGAATAAGGCAGCTCTTAGTACATGGAGAATGTGTGGCGATGGGATGTGAAGCCGGAGCCTAAAGCCTGAGCCTGAAGCCTACACCCAAAGCTTCACTCAACAATTGCACATCATATTTTTGTCTAGCTGAATTTCTGCTTGAACTGGTGCTTTGGCGCAGTGGTAGCGCGTCAGTATAACCTTATGTCCTTGATTTTGAGCACGATATACTGACGCAAATTTGCATAAAGATCTGTTTCCGGTCTATGGCATAGCATAAAATGCCGGATATCGCAGGAGGTCGAGCGTTCGACCCGCTCAAGCATCGCTTTTGCTCCTCGTGGGCACCCCGGAGGGTGGGGGCGAATTTTTGCGTGCATCTGAGCGTGCTGAGTCCTCCAGAAGAAGGCCGTGCGTTCAACCCGCTCCGGCGTCGTGTTTTTGTCGTTGGGGGCATAGAATTGATTTTGATATACCATCTGACCATTAAAGGACAATATCGATGCACCTGAAGCAGGAAGACTTGCCATGACTTGCAAGTTTCTCCAGATAGTACTTCATACATAATACTATCGATCTCTTCCAAGAATATATGCTCGAACAAGCTGATTCGTGCAAACTATGTATCCTAATCGTAGAAAGACATCTGCCGTATATCAGAGGAATGCTATTCGGACTTGAGCTTCCAGCAATACTCTAGAGGAACAAAGATCTAGGTATACTCGATTTATGCGGGCTTTTCTTTAGGCTTCAATGGCTGGAAAACTTCCTATCCGCTCCGAGTAGTGGACACATGAGCGAGACAAGCACGCCGTTCATGTACAATTCAAGAGCTTGTCAGATAGAAGAATACAACCGCATGGTGTTAGCAGTGCTGCATATTTGAAATGTGTAGGACTGTTGGCTCCCTAAAACCTTCGCAACTCTCCTCGTCCACCTTCTCATCCTTCCCCTTGGCGATATGGAGCGAGTCTCTCTGGACATCACTCAATATCTAGATCGTGTCGTGTTTCTTGGATATCATGTCCAGGCCAGACTTGCGCAAATAGGAGGAAAGGCCATATTTGTAGAAGTGGAAGCTCTGGAATCATGAAGAACATGTAAGCATGTTACCTTGCAAGTCATGCCCACTTGCTACCGTACGGCAACATATAACCATACTCAATTCAGAAGTCTTGATGCACGGAAGATAGAGCAGTCTGACAAAACTTCTTTAAGAACAAAGTTTTATGTCTATTTGAGTTATACAGGCTTCATAACTAGTCTTGCTTGTTTGATCAAAAGCTGCCAAGATCGTTTGATCATAGGCAAGCAGGCATGATGATGGAGCTCATAGCGAAGCGATGACACGATGAAATGAAAGGAAGATCGGAAGAACAAGTTGTTGGACAAAGACTGCGGAGGCCGGGCGGCGATGAGGAAGTCTTGAGGAGCCGAGAGCAGCCGACACGATTGCCCCTCTGGAGATGGATGGGTCACAGGCAGTCTAAAAACAGGTGGCTGGGGTACTTTGACTGAGTACAGCATGGTATTCCGCAAACACACGAGTTGATGGGATGGAGGGTTAGTGCGTGAGAATTAGCAGACAGACATTATGCGCTGGATATAGTGGTGCACATGTGCGAGTACATGAACGGAAAAGGTCCAAGCGAAGACTGCAAGACGTCGTGGTGGTGGATGAGGGTCTTCATGACGTGTGGTGAATCGAAGTCTGACCAGGCTTGGCAGCTCACACGGGACAAAATTGGGCAGAAGGAGCGTTCGGAAGGGTCAAACGCGCAACGAAACGAAAGCCCTGGAGTCGCAGCCTGCCTGCCTCTTCCTCGTCCTCTTTATCCCTTCTTCAACCACCCATCTCGCACCCCTCCCCCTCCACCGCCCCTTTGAGGAGCGACTCTTGCAGCAAGGAAACCTTTCGTTTCCCTGACGAAGACCCCTGGGCACGCTTTTGCAGTTTGTGCATACGCTCGCCTTGACGGCTGCAGGCTTCACTCGACTCGCCCACGCCCTCATTGCCAGTCACTGCCCTTGACGACTTCGCATCGACGCCTGCTCAACGCGCTTCGACCTATTCACTTAGTGTCCAGCCCGCCCGTCGCATCTCCCGCCACTGACCCTCCTCGTCGTCGCAAACCACCTACGCCCTCTGCGCTGCCTGGTCTCTTCGAATATCTCTATCCGATCACCTCGCATCCTGCCCACGTCTGCATCGTCCGCTCCGCCTGTCTCACATCTAGGCCCGTCCGATTGCGCATGCAACTGAGCCTCTACTAAAGCGTGGGCCCAGAGCGCTTTGCGCTTCGCCGTCGGCGCGAAGTAATCGGTTCGCACAAACAACTCCTGCGCGCCGCCGAATCTCCTACTAACTCACAATAGGGTGTGAAATCACACTCGATTTCAACCCTCCTCGAAATCATGCCGTCCTTTTACCCCCGCCAACTCCCTCCCACCCCGCCCGAGTTCATTCCTTCTAGCTGCCAGCGCATGCAGTACCCCCAGGATTCATACCGCTCCTGCGACTCCCGTCAGGATGCTGCCTACGACTACTCAAGAGGATACCAGCAGCCTGCTTTCCAGCGTAACTCGATTCTTCCTCCCATCAATAATTACTATGATTTAAACAGCGCCCCCATCCTGCCTCCTTTGAGAATGCAGGAGCGTCTGGCCATTGAGGATGACTATCGCCTTCGCCTACAGCAGGAGCAACGCAGCCAAGCCGCCCAACAACAGCAACAACAGCAGCAGCAGGCACAGCAATCGACACAGAAGGATGACAAGGCAACAGGCGGAGTTTCGGCCAAACTCGACTACGAAATGGAACGCATGACGAACTTTGTGGCGGAATCGGCGTCGGGAATGTATGCTCTCCATCTGTCCCCCATCTGCCTTGCAGATATTGACATCTGTCGAAGCATCCAGCCTAGTGTTCCTATCCAGCCCTCCTTCCGCAAGTGGGTTTCGCAGGTTTTGTCGGCAACCAGACTGCCCTCGGCAACCATTCTTCTCAGTCTGCACTACTTGACCGTCCGTCTGCGAGACTATCCCCCTAGGACCACCTCTTCGTCCGAGAACCACATCTACCGTCTGCTCGCCGTCGCCCTGATCTTGGGTAGTAAGTTCCTCGATGACAACACATTCATCAACCGCTCGTGGTCCGACGTCACAGGTATCAGAGTGTCTGAGCTCAACAACCTCGAGATGGAATGGCTTGCCCTCATCTCCTTCGATCTGCACTGTGATCCTTCTGACCCTGCTGGTCTGGCTAGTTGGTTGCGTGCTTGGAACGACTACGATGCTCAGGCCATCAGCCGTTCACGCACCACCCGTCTGTCCCCGCTGAACACCAACGTCCAGCGCCAGTCACCTCGAGCCTCGCGTTCTCCTTTCCAGCCACAGTATAAGGGCAGCTTCGCCGACTTCACTCCCCAGTCGTCAAGACCTTCCTCTACCTATTTGGGTACTCCTTATACATCGGCTGACCCCTGGAACCGTACTGAGCCTACCAACTCGGTCGAAGCTTTCTACAACTCTCAGCACCGTTACCCGACGCTAGATGAGCTCGACCACTCCAACAGCCTTGCTGCCTTGGAACAGGCTCGAAGATCTACTGCCTACGGCGGTTGTGCCTTGCCTCTACCACCCGCCTTGACTTCATCTTACTATTCTCCTTGGAATCAGTCTACATGGGGAGGCTCTCACCCTCCCGGTTGCAACTGCATGACATGTGCCCGCCAGTACATGCCTTTCATGGGTGCTTCGGGATACCCGGCTCAAACCGTTGTCGGTTAGTCGATCACGAACCACGATTGAACGCGGCATTATAGGCATACCAAGCCACCGGCACCAGCAGTCATACCACTTCTCGGTCCAACATTTATTCGAAAAGTTTTCATCCTTTTGCCGCTTCTTCCAGCGTACCCCGGACCACCAAAAAGTTTTTCATTGCACGCCTACATCGTCCACAAAAAAATTCCTTCTTCGTTTAGCGCTTCTTTCAACTGTTCATATTTCTCGGTCTGTCGAGCCTGGGACAGACAGCACAGCTTTCCGTTACGATGCTCCTCATTTCTTTCTTTTCCCTATTTTCAGCGCAGCCATAATATGCGCAGCTAGATTTTCTTTCCTTTTGTTTTGACGGATTCTTCCTACAACTCTAGACTATCCCTAGGTTTGGGGTCGCGGGCTTGGTATGCGGTTTCTCGCATGGCGTTTGTTTTGGCTGCAGCTTTCATTGCTTCGACGGCGAGCGGATCATCTTGCAGCGTTGCACTTTTAACGCCATCATTGTTGTCATCCTTCTTGTTTCTTGCTCTCCTACGTTTGCAAGAAATGGCCAAGCAGGCATGCATCATGAGATCAGCACCATACTGCTGTTCTCACCATCTTGCTTGGTTTTGTTATCCTGTTCTCTTTATTTGGCTCGATCGATGTCTTTTGCTGGGAAGTTCATTCTTTTCACCTATCCCCACCAAATACACAAAAAAAAAACACTCTGGCTGGGCTTCTGCCTTGCCAGAAACTTTGGCCGTCAATCCTCCATCTTTCCTTCGTGAACTTTTTGACCATTAAAAAATACCGAGACTGAGCTAACACTTTCCCCAACCACCGGGTATCTTGGGCTCGCTATTGAAAGATACCACCAACGTAATCGAATATCATAAGGACCTAATCCACGTCGAGAAATCGCTCCTGTGCTGACATCGAATCATGCTTTCGTCGTCTGCTTCGACAATTGTTTCGACCAAAGTCTGGTGTACTTGCCATTGAGACTGTAGAGCTGCCCATGCGTGCCTCTTTCCACAATCTGGCCATTTTGCACAACAAGAATGAGGTCTGCGTCTTGAATTGTTGACAATCGATGAGCGACAACAAACGTCGTTCTCCCTTTGGTCAGTCTTTGAAAGGCTTTCTGTATCGCGGCTTCTGTCTCAGCATCGACCATACTTGTTGCCTCATCCAGCAGCACAATATGGGGATCGCGCAAAATTGCTCTGGCAATTGCTATGCGTTGAAGTTCACCACCACTTAACTTGACGCCACGCTCGCCAACAGTGGATTGATAACCATCAGGGAAAGAGATGATGCGATCGTGAACTGCTGCCGCTCGGCACGCCTCCTTGACTTCTTCATCTGTTGCTTCCAGTCGAGCATAGCGGACGTTCTCCATGATACTGGTGTTGAACAGACATGGATCTTGAGGTACCATGCCGAAGGCTGCACGGAGGCTACTCAGGGTGACATTTCGAATGTCTTGACCATCAATTCTGATGCTGCCTCTCGACACATCATAGTATCGAAAGAGCAGCTTGAGTATTGTCGACTTTCCGCCACCTGTCTCCCCAACAAGTGCGATGGTCTTGCCAGCTTCTGCGACAAAAGAGACATTGTCGAGAGAGGCCTTACGAACGTCGTAAGAGAATCTGACATTGTCAAACTCGATCCTGCCTTGCCTGAGGCGTAGTGGCTTTGCTTCGGGACGGTCAGTAACACTTGGCTGAGTACGTAAAAGCTCCAAAAGTCGTTCCGAGTCAATGAGCATTTGTGAGAGTTGTCTCACAGAGAATGAGACGCTGGTCAGGGGTGCTTCAATCGTATGCCAGTAAGTCACTAGAGTGATGAAATTGCCAACTGGCGCTGCACCACGGGATACACGGTATGCTGCAAGCAACGCAGCCGAAAGTTGACCAACGAGCAACAGAAGATTCTGCGCGGCGTATCCTGCGTAGTGTACCATGTAGTAGCGCCCTCTCGCCACATTATGCTCATCAACTGCCTTTGAGTACTGGGCACACTCGTAATCGGCCATGTTGAAATGTGCAACCGTCTGCCAGTTTCCGATACTCTCGTTCTGAACCTTAGACTCGTTTCGTTGAGCCTGATTGTATTGTCTGCGGCGTTGCATAGCCCAGGAAGTCGATCTAGACCCAATACAGGTATAGCCAACTCCGACCAAAATCATGATCAGTGTTATGCTCGCATCAAANAGGAGTGTAACGTAAACCAGTGCTATGATTAGATCGAACACCATCGGGCCGACATCGAGAAAGACGAAATCGCAGAGTCGATATAGGTGCTGGCCTTGCCCAATGGCTGCCATCAGCTCTCCTGAGTGCTTGTTACTATGGAAATCCATGGATAGATTCATGATGTGGCCAAACGCTGTGGTCCCGATCTTCCGATAAGCGTGCTGCTCGATCGGTAATTGACAGAATTGAGTGATTGCATGAAGACCAGCATAAGAACTCAACCATACATAGAGCATCCACAGCCCGATCTCTTTGACAGGAATATCTCCTAGGTCTTATTAGCTTGGATTCTCTCATCAACCATACAGTTTCTTACCAGTATCACGTATCGAAGAGAGTTTATCGGTGATTATTCCCAGCTGTCTAGGAACCAAAAGGTTCAAAGCTCTGTCAGCGAGTATGACAACCATCAGAATGGCCAGGCAGATTTTGGCAGATCGATCTCCAGAAGGCCAGGCAAGCTTTGCAAGCACTTTGAAATCTCTCAGATATGCCATCCAGCTTCCACACTCTTGCAAACGCTTCCTTTGCTTCTCCTTCAACTCTTTTGTCTGGTCAGGGCCATCGTCCTCGTCTTGGAGAGCAAGCAGATCATCTTCTTCATCTTCAGATTCAATCGAAGCATAGTTATCAGTCGGTCTGCCATGAACATCGAGCAAAGGTCGACATTCTTCATCGGCTCGATGTTGAGATAGCTTACGGCAGAGGGAGAAATACGCCACACTGCCAGCAAGAACTAACAGGCACACGATACGACCAACTTGCAAAGGAGCATCAAAACCAAAGTCGAGCTTGCCTGTACTAGAGAAGTTCTTCACCAGAAGAACACAAATCTCAAGTAGAGCAGCTAGGATCCAAGTTGCAAGATAAGGATGCCAAACGCGCTTCGGCTTGCCTAGTAGATTAATAGTCACAGTTCCCCATATGAAGATCGATCCTCCGATGTAAACCTGGTTGAGCAAATCAGATCTTGCAGATTTGTTGAGTCCTAGNTGAGCATTTACCTGGACATCCTGCGTCACGTCTTGCTGNCTCCAGTGCCTGGAATTGATGCAGTGCATACTCCAAAGCTTGCACAATCTTGAAGACGTCAGTAAAGACTAAAGAAAGACGCAAGACCTACGTACGAATAGCAACAGTACGGCTGCTGACAGTACCAGAGACACAGCCTGCCTAGCTTTGGCCGAGCCACGAGAACACTTGGATGGTTTCTGAAGTGTGCAAAATGCAATGAGCCGCGCGACGCTGTAGGTTATGCCGATCGTGATAGGTGTGATCCAGTGTAGGACTTGAACGGCCAACGACTTTGAAGACATTTGGCGTTCGTGGCCCCCTCGCTTAGGTACAGCCAATGTGATATGCCGCTTCCGATGCCAGTACCCGTTGTATGTGCGGGATGTTCTCTGTCGATTGAAGGCAGTCGACAGGCAAGGTCCTGCCCTGAGGAAGCTATTTATTGCAAGAGACGCTCTTTTCGGCCAGGAGCAGCACTAGTCAGACAAAGAGGCGAGCAAGACAATTCCTGGGTCCTGGGCGTCGGTTCAGTCTTAAGTCATACAGGTCGCGGCTCCAAGCGATGCACAATCTAGAGAGGTGGCCTGTCCATGCCCTTCTTGTCTCTACGACAAAGCATTTACCTCAGCAGGACATGCAAGCAGCTCGGAAGTCAACCCATAGCTTTCCATGGACTTTTCGTGAACTTGGACGGCAATAGCCAACCAAACAAATGGGGGCTGCGCGACCCCCTGACAACGCATGTAGATACTCCAATCAGAGATATTGGGGCACCTGATAATCGAAAATGCTTACAACTTTCAGGCTCACACCGCACCTATTGGGGGCTACACCGCTCATGGCCCGCTTAGAATGATTGGTGAGCGCGTCCCGCGCCATGGAGGCGTTTTCTCTCCCCACTGTAGACATACCCATGGCTCCGGTATTGCGTGCGTCCGGACTCCGCAGCTCGCAATCAACCCAGTTTACCTTCAGTGTCCCGAGTGTTTTATGCATGTTGGTGGGTAAAGACATGACCAAATATGGGTATGCTTTGTTGTTCATCGTCAAGACTCTTGCAGCATCTGAGTGGGTCAACAACATCTTGCAGATGTGTAGCCTGCGCGAGACAGGTTTTGAGATGAGTTGACAAAGGAAGCAGACAAGTACTCGGATACGCACGTAAAGAAGAAAACTTAGCATGGCATTGTCGTGTGTTTCTTTTTCCCGTAGTGCCTGAAGATTTAACGAGACACGGGCAAACTTCGTGGGACTTGGCAGAGTGTTTCCAACCATTGGCTTGAATCTAAGAAACCTGAAGACTGCAACCTTTGTTGCTTTTGGTCTGAAATTACAAGCAGAAGAACAAGCCACCGGATTCAGAATTCTTTGTTTCGCATACCAACAAATCTCTAACCACAAATATGTTTTTTATCGCAAGACGCGATGGAGTACATTGTCACAGGCAACAGGAAAAGGCTCATAGGACGGACAGTCTTGTAGACGTCTGTCCAAGTAGCTAAGTAGTGGAAGAGCAAGGCACTAGGATCCACGAAGCATTTAACGAGGATGATCAACCTGCTTGTTCCTGTCTCGCTTTGTTCTCCATGATACTCGATTTACGATCGGGATGGCAATCAAGGAACTCCAAATTATTTTCTCAACCCTGGGCCATTTCCGAGTCCAGGATCAGGCCGAGGTAAGAGCTGAATATTTCTACTGACTGCAAGCAAATCATCTCTTCCAACTGTAGTTTGCCCATCCATCCATGCTCAGACGTTTCATTCATCAGGATGCGAGTTTAGATACCATTTGATCATCAGGCTTTCATATTTCCAGACTTGGGCCTCGAATAAGCGTGACGCCCAATAGAATAAGAAGCTACTCCATTCGCTCGGATACAACAAGATATGTTGAAGCATTTGGTTCTGTCTCTCGTTCAAGCGTACGACCCCAATTGGTACGCCGCCCTTATGGATCTCGATCAACAAGGCTTAACATTTGCTATACGAAATCAGTTACTACACGATATCTGAAGCTCACCAGTTTGTTTCTGGGATCAGGTCATCGCGGCTTCTGGCGTGCACGGTCTGGAGAGCCGCAAAGACTTACGCTTCAATCTCAATGACGCGCTCTCATATCTGCATCCATTCTCTAGGGCAATTCATGGACTCTAGTCTTTTGCTCTGGTCTTCCAGCAAAGCTGCTTCTAGCTCTTACAATAGCAGAATCGATGCTGGAGGCTTGAGTATCGTTCCAACATCTGAGATCAGGTGTACTCCATGGAGCTTATGCATTGGTATAACAAGGAGAATTGGTGCAAAGGACAACTTGTTTGTTCAAAGACAGCCGTTGGCCAAAATCTAAGAGCACTCTCTGACTTAGTTGGTGTTGGGCAACCCTTTACCAACTTATCGACCACATCCCAGCAATCAATTCCAAGCTCAAAAGTCGCTGTGACAATGCAAGAAGATGAATGGGTTAGTCGAGCGTAACTTGTTCTCTCGCAGCTCTTCGCATTTCTTTCACATTTCACTCGCTCAACTTCCACAGTTCCTTTATCACGCTTTCACAGCTCATTATCACTCATCACTCTTTGTCGAGAGTCATTTCTGCTTCTTTGACGAGCAGTGCTTCCCCCTTTCAATCTCTCCTTTCTTTCTTTGTTTGCAGTCCTAATTCGCAGTCTTCCCCTTCAACCCCTGAAAGAGGGCTCTTCTCATCAAAGACGCACCTCTTTGTGCGCGTAGACATTGGTATGCATTGTTCTCCTCTCACGCCCCTGCTCCTCAGTTCATACATAATCCATCTGCAATACGCTCTCTCTCCTCTTCCCAGATCCAAACACAAACACAAAAACAAAACAACGGCAACCCAATCCTCCCAAACCTAAGAAAACCAAATCACAGAACGACTGGATCGTCTGCAAAACACAAAAGAAAATGCTTATACTCAGCTTCCTCTCGATCATTTTCATGATCTTCAACATCCTCAACACCACATACGATGTGCTGACTTCTGCTCCTAGCTTCCTTCTTAGCCCCATCAAGCCCTACACCAAGCCCTTCCTCAAGAAGCACCCCAAGATGGCTTACTCTCTGATCGTCTTTGCTCTGGCCTTGTTTGTTTACGGCATCTCGGACAAATTCTCCAACCCTTACATGCTGACTTTCTTCTTGCTTAGTGTGTTCCGCTACCTCCGCCTCATTGTCAACATCGTCGCCTTCTCCAACCTCAAGGGCCACCCTATCAAGAAGAACCCTACCTTCAAGTCGACTGATGTTTCCGTTGTCGTTCCTACTGTCTTCGCTGACAAGGATGAGGTCATGGCCTGTCTCAAACGCATTCGTGTCTGCAACCCCCTTCAGCTCATTGTTGTCACCAAGGACGAGATTGTCCCTCAGGTCTATGCTGCTTGCGCTGAGGTCACTGCTGCTGCTAAGACTGATAATGAAAAGCTCGACATGGTTCAGGTCATTGGAGTCGCTAAGCTCAACAAGAGAACTCAAATGGTTGCAGCTCTTCAACAGGCTGTTACTGGTTCCATTGTCGCCTTTGCTGATGATGATGTCTTTTGGCCTGGTAGTGACTTCATCACCGCCATGTTGGCATGCTTCGAAAATCCTGAGGTTGGTGCTTGCGGTCCTTCTCAAAGAGTTTGTCGCTCAACCGACCTTGAAAAGTCCACTTCGTTTACAAATTTTCTCGGTATCTGCTATCTTGAACGTCGCAACTTCAACACTGGCGCAACCAACTTGATTGACGGCGCTGTTTCCACTCTTTCTGGTCGTACCAGCTTCTACCGTGCCTCTCTCATCCAGAACGATGCTTTCTGCTCATACTTCATGAATGCGCTCAATCACGACGATGATAAGAACTTGACAAGATGGGTTTATGATCAAGGCTATCAAATCACCCTGAACTTCAATCCTCGTGCTCGTATCATGACCACCCTTGAGACTTCACCCAAAATGTTCCTCAATCAATGCATGCGCTGGGCTCGTGGTCACTGGCGTGGAAATTTCCGCGTCATGCAAACTACAACTTACTGGTACGACACTCACATCTGGAGTCTCTACGCTATCTACATCGGCCAGTTCCAAACTCCTGCCTTCCTCATTGACGGCTCTCTTCTCACTCTTCTCTACCGTGGCATGTCTGATTACGACACCTACACTCGCAACTCTGCTGTTCTCGCTCTAATCGGCTGGATTCTCTTCACCAAGATTGTCAAGATTATCCCTCACTTCTGCGAGTTCCCTCAGGACATCAAGTTCATTCCCGGTATGATCTGCTTCAGCTACTTCCACGGCCTTCTCAACGTTTATGCTCTCATCACTAGAGACAACAAGGTCTGGGGTCGTTAAAGTACCTCTCAAAACTCTCCCCGGCTACACACTACATCGTTCCTACACTTTTTTACACTTACACTTAGATGATACCCCACGGCTTAGAACAGGTTTCTTTTGGCGTTCTTGGGTTACATACACTCGTCGGCGGATCCATAGTTGGATAATACAACCGCGACAACTAATAGTGCATTTTTGGGATGGCATGGGATTGCTCAACATAGATAACAATAAAAACTCTTTTTCTACATGAATGTTCTTACCCCTGAATTCTTAATTTGATTGTGATGTGTCTACTTTTCCTGCTCTCCTTGGACACAACCCTGTTTCCAACAACACTGTGACTTTTTATGGCGACATTTCTCTATATTTTTCCACTGAGAGCATTGATTTTCACGGCTCTCTCTGGATGTAGCTCAGTTTTTGTTTACTCTGTGCATTTTTACAACAGTTTTCTGCAGAGTAGTCCCACTGAGAGTATGTTAAGAGAGACCATCTCTCTGGATGCATCCTGCGTTCTTAAAAGATTGTGACTTTTTACAGTTGTATTACGCGGTGCCCCTTCTACGGGGAGTGGTGGAACCCAATGCTCTCTCTGGTTGCAATCTATTCCGTGAATACTTTGTGACTTTTGTCAGCTCCTTCTTGTTTCAGGTTCTCCATTGAGAGCACTTATAAGGTCACTCTCTCTGGCCACACTCTAGATCTCGAAAACATTCTGACTTTTTATAGCTCATTTCTGTCAGGCTTCCACCAGTGAGAGCCGTTGAGATAACCACTTTAACCACTTTCTCTAAGTGTATACATATTGAGTAAAAAACCATTGTGTCATATGACAACACTGTCTTCGAGCTTGGTCCCGTGAAAGCAGTGAATGACATCTTTTCTCTGGCGAGCTACATTCCGTAGGTCAAATGTCTGAGTCTCTCTTCTATGATAAATGTGTCTATAGATACTCCAATGGAGAATGTAAGACAATATTCACAGGCGTTGGGTTTCATAAAATGAAGCAAAACGAACAACTTGTGTTTGGACTTCATAATGACGAGCCAAAGATCAGACTGTGTCGAATATCGATACTATTTTCTTGCTTATGCGATGTTGCAGGGTTTCTGGAATGCCGGTACGTCTCACCGTTCTCTAGCCATTGTGAGGTTTGGCATGGTTCCTGGTTGACGCACAGAGGTTCGGGCCATGCTCTTCAGTATTGGAAATAGTTTCTCCAAGGATAGCTCGTTCCTGTGCATACAAGATTGTAAGCCAGTCTTGGTGGGGAGATGCATCTCCAGATGCAGCAAGTATGAAATGTCGATGAACTCAGCATACAAGAACACAACAGTCTTGGTCTTGTACCCAGAAGAACGAACTTTCTGGAGTGTTGGACAACATGAAAGCTCATGTTACAAGAGATAATCCGTCACAGTGAGTGTCCTCGATGGCTGAAAGGCCCGGTTCGTGCATCGTTTGTTCCACCGTTCGACGAATTGAATCCCTCAAGTCCATGTACAGGGCATAGTCCCTGAGATTCAGCAGGGCTTGGAGACCAAAGAACGCTGATCCATCGCCCATCAATGGGCATAACTCATTTGCATGACCTGTGAGCAGGTGTCATCCTTGAGGGTCCGGAGAGCATAGAAACTTCATGTTATTGAACTGGGTCGTAGTGAAGCCCGGACAACCTCTACGAATTCAAGTTTTGTCAGCGAGGTGGGTAAGTATGCCTCTTTTGTATCTCAGAGCTTCATGCAATGGAATAGGGCCAGATCGGGTGTGATGTTATGATAACCAGGCGCTATCTCTTTCACTTATGGTGGAAAATTACGAAGGTGGAGCAGAGAAAGTACTGGAAAGGCTTCAAAACAACATACCGAGAACAGATTCAGGGGCTTGTTCATGATGAGGCCTAAAACATTTTGTCTTGTCCGAGTTCTCTTAAAGACTTCAGACCATCGAAGGACAAGAGCCTCACTTCAGTCCAGCTTCAAGGTCCTCATTCTCGATGAAGATTCTCTTTTGAGAGACGATTTTGTTCAAAATTGAGAAACAAAAACCAATGAGAAATACTCGAATTTGGAACAGATGTCTCGAAGCAGTGGGTTGCCCGAGATGACTCTGCTCTATCTTCTCAGGTAAGAGTCTAGCAGATTATTGGCCTTTTGAGTCTGTCAAGGTCTTTCAGATCAGGATAGTGATATCAGAGTTTATTGCAGGTATATATGCAAAGCAGCAGAGGGAGGAAATGACGAAGTTGAGAGGTGGGATGTCGTGCACAGACACAACCATGGGGAAGGCATTCTCCCGAGACCTGATCAATTGTCTTGCATAGATAGTTATGTACTCGAACATACTGACACGGATCAGACAGCTCTGTGAGCTTATGTTCAGCTATAATGTCATCAATCGTGACTGAGAAGCAAAAGGTATGTTGAAGGTGATGGAAGAGCAACGAGAAAAGATGGCAAGGACCCCGCAGGTGAGCTCCACACGCAACAGGACCCCCAGGCTGGATAATTAGGGCGGGCAATAGTGGTATATATTCTCCGATGCCCACATTTGTTGCTTGCTCGTCTGACCCTTTCCTTTTCTCCTCACACAAGCAGCAATGGCCGGCAACGTCCCCGTCACACAGTCGCTAAACGACATCTACCCCGAGGATGCCCTTGAGGGCCAGCGCAAGAGATGGAGCAACCTGCTGTCCTCGTTCAAGGACGCCTACGGCCGCCCCGCCGAGTTCGTTTCACGCAGTCCCGGTCGCGTCAACCTGATCGGTGAACATATCGATTACTCGCTGTACGAGGTCATCCCCATGGCCGTGACGGCCGATGTGCTGCTCGCCGTCGCGGTCTCTCCTGCCAATGGCTCGCCTACCGTTCGCATTGCCAATGTCCAGTCGGACAAGTTCGCTACCCGCTCCTTCACCATTGCCCAAGACGGAGAGGTCGATATCGACCCTACATCACATGAGTGGACCAACTACTTCAAATCTGGCCTTCGTGGCGCCACCGAACTGCTCAAAAAGCACGGCGTTTCTGGCATTGGCCAATTGAACATGGATATTCTGGCTGATGGCACTGTCCCTGCAGGAGGTGGTTTGTCTAGCAGTGCTGCTTTTGTTTGTGCCAGTGCTTTGGCAGTCATGAGAGCCCACGGTCAAGAGACGGTTGACAAGAAGGAGCTCGTCGAGCTGGCTGTTGTTTCCGAAAGAGCTGTCGGTGTCAACTCCGGAGGTATGGACCAGGCTGCCTCAGTCTTCTCCCAGAGAGGTTCTGCTCTGTACGTTGGTTTCCAACCAGAACTCTCGGCTCGCACCATCGAGTTCCCTCAAACACACACTCCTTTGACCTTTGTCATTGCTCAATCCTTTGTCGCAGCAGACAAGCACGTTACTGCTCCTGTCTGCTACAACCTTCGTGTCGTCGAGTGCACACTAGCTGCTCGTGTACTGGCCAGAATCTGTGGTCTGAAGGATTTGCCCGATGACTCGTCTCCGCTAGGTTTCAGTCTGCGCTCTTTCCACGACGCTTACTTCATAAAGAAGGGTGCTGTTGGAGATGATGTCAAGGACTTCAGATCTCAGCTGGATCAGCTTGTTCACATTGTCGACAACTACCTACCACAAGAAGAAGGATACACACGCGAGCAGATCTCCGAGCTCATGGGTACCTCTGTAGCCGAGCTGGAGAAGAGATACATGACCAAATTCCATGTACGCGCCGACAGCTTCAAGCTCAGACAAAGGGCTATGCACGTCTTTGGTGAGGCTGTGCGTGTGCTTCAGTTCATGGACCTGCTGCAATCACCTACTCCATCCGATGACAAGGAGAGTGAAGAACTCCTCAAGAGTCTTGGAAACCTATTGAACGACACACAAGAATCATGCCGCGACGTTTACGAATGCTCATGTCCAGAGCTTGATGAGCTTTGTAAGCTTGCTCGCTCGGCTGGTGCATATGGCAGCAGATTGACTGGCGCTGGATGGGGCGGTTGCAGTGTGCATCTTGTGCCTCAAGCCAAGGTCGAGGCTGTAAAGAAGGCATGGGAAGAAAAGTACTACAAGAAGCGATTCCCCGACATGGATGCCGCAAAGTTGCAGGACGCCATTGTCGTAAGCAAGCCTGGTAGTGGAAGCACTCTCTTCCAAGTTGCCGGTAGGGAAAGTCTTTAGATTTGGTGGATATGACGAGCACGAGTTCGATACCATTGCTGCGATTTGCTTCCTTGTGTATAGAAATTATAGAAACTTTTACGTATCTTCATGTTCCGTGTTGTCACATGTCAACACAACTGATGCTGTTGTCGTTGTTTTCGTCTCATGATGGAACCTGTGAGCCAGGAAGACCAGGCATACCATCGAAACCACCGACCTTTTCGAGGAGCTCTTTGAAATCAACGCCGTGCTTCTCAAACTCCTGCTGCACCTTCTTGTATGTTTCGACTTGACGCTCTTGGGTGAAACCGCCAGGACGACTGCTCTCGTACTGCACAATCTCGATCCAACGGAAGAACAAACTCTCCTTGCCCATGACGGTCAAGCTGTCCTTCAGTGCAACAATCTTCTTCCTGTTGTCTTCTTCCTCGCTTTCCTCGTCTAGCTTGTGTACCGGCCAGTAAAGCCATCCATGGTGTTCACTGTACGCAAGTACACTCTTNTCAAAGTCCTGAAGGTTGTTCTTCTTGTCGTCGATAAGGCGGTGGGCAAACACCATGGCGCCAAAGTCCAAATCCCAGTCCTTGCCCATCATGAGATATGCCGTCTTCTGGCGCATGTAATTGCGCTCAATGGCTGGCAGAATGCGAGTCGTGAAGAAAGGGCTGTCGCCTCCAGTCTTGACACCTGCCAGAAGCTCTTCAGCGCCCCAGTCACGGCTGATGCGCACAGCGACTTCTTGGTCGCGGAAGCCGACCTTGATGCGCCAGTAGCACGGGTTGGCGGGTGCCTCGAGGAAGAAGGTGACGGGCCATGGTACGATGAAGCGGCCGAGGACAAAGTCAAACATGAACATTGCCACGCGCTTTGTCAAGACCCATGCCAGGTGGGTTTTGGTCTTGGTTGTTGTGTCGATTGTAGCGGGCGAGTCGAGACCAATGACTGAGGTGAAGATTGCCAGATAGGTCGGCAGAATGGCATAGATACGCCATATTAGCAATGCGGCGATAACGACGTTCAATAGGACGGGCACTGTAAAAATGCGTTTCTTGAATGCTGCAGGGAATCGGTCGACATGGACAATGTAGACATGGGCTTTGTCCAGGCTTTCGACAAAGGGTTCCAGAGCTGTTGGTACTTTCAGGAAAGGCGGCGGCGGTAATCGCGGATCTTGTAGAGGCTTGTTAGCCTTCTTTAATGTCGTCCGAGCCATGACGGGATGCTGGTTCGAGTCGATCGGAGTTGTGGTATGCTTGGTAAATATCAAGGTCTATGAGCATGCGACAGCTTACTAAGTTTCGAAAGCCCCACCAAGCAGCATTGCCCCCCTTTTGGTCATCACATCAGTCCCTTGGCTCTATCTTTCGCTTGATCGAGAACAAGCACTAGCTAGGTGTGTTGACAGTCCGTTTGCAACTAATCCGGTCAAACCACATGATTGCAAACATGATCACTGAGAATGTACAATGAGAAGAGAGTAGAATAAAAGGAACCAGCAAGTAGATCATCAAAGCCAATCGTGCCAGAAATTTCAATTCTTTTCCGATAATGCCGCATAATCGCTTAAGTGCGATGGACGAGAGATGGACAGGCCATAGAACAGAAAGAAAAATCTTGTCGTAGAGTACAATGTTCCCCTCCCAGAACGGCGAACCTGCCGCTCATGAAATAACGCCTTGGTTTAGTGACCACCGTAGTTTCCGCCCCAACCACCACGTGCTCCGTAGTATGAGTTTCCAAATCCGCTGCCATATCCGCCGTAACCGCCTTGCTGCTGCTGTTGCTGCTGCTGGTGGCTCTGTCCGCCGAGGCCACCGAGTCCGTATTGGCTGTTAAAGCCAGGGTATCCGCCAAAACCAGCCTGGTGGCTCTGAGGAGGGGGCAATGTGGTCGAAGGAGTCTGTCCTCCAACGCTGTTGGCAGCCGAGCTGGGTCTGCCGGGCTGACCGAGGCCAGGAGAGGGGCCGCTAGTCTTGGACTCTCCGAAAGGCTTCAAGTCATCGGCTTGACCAGTGCTCTGCTGCTGGCCGTAGCCTTGAGATTGACCCTGGTAGCCAGACTGGCTACGGCCAAAGGGCTCTGACATGCCACCGAAACCGCTGCTGAGGTTCGAAGGCTGAGCAGAAGAACGACCGTAGTCGCCGAGGCCGCTGCTGATGCCCGAGTCACGAGACTGCATGGAGGGCTGAGCGCCGAAACCACCGGCGTTTGCAGGTGATGCCGAGTGATCGTAAGATGAACCAGAGTTCATGCCATAGCCGTGAGGCTGTCCGTACATGCCGCCCTTGCCTCCGAAGGGACTGCCGTAAGCAGGCTGCTGGTAACCGAACTGGTTCTGGTAAGCAGCATGGTAGGGGCTCTGGTAGTAGGGGTGGCCGTAAGGGTAGGCAGGGTTGTAGCCAGAGTGGGGCTGCTGGTGCATGGCTGCACTGGGAGCAGCAGAGGGAGCCTGGCTATTGGAAGGAGCAGGGGTGTTGTGGCCTGATCCGGGAGCTTCGCCATAGCGAGACTGAGAAGGCACGTGAGATTCGTGATCCTGGGAGTACAAGGATTGCGCGTGACTCACCTGCTGAGGAGTTTGAGAAGCGGAGAAGGCCGAATCACTTGGACCAGATCCGAAACCACTAGTCGAACGCTGTTGGTTGGCAGTGTTGTCCTGAGATTGCGATGCCTGTTGGCCGTATGAGCCGCCGTAGTAGCTCTGGTAAGCGTTTCTCTGCTGGTCGGCAGTGTAGTATTGAGAGTAGTCGGAAGGAGCAGAGGAGAAACCACCGAATGGCTGGTGCTGTTGAGCTGAGTGCTGGCTAGCGTAATGGTCATAGGCGGTAGAAGGAGCTTGGTGGCTGAAAGGATCGAACGACTTCTGAGACTGTGCGCTCATATCAGGTTGTTGCATACCGCTCTGGCCGTAGCGGCTGTACTGTCCATAACCTTGAGACTGCGAAGACTCCTGAGGGAGAGAACCAATAGGTGAAGCATCCTGGTGGCCGCCGAAGGCCTGCTGAGGGACGGGAGGGAGTCCAGGAGCCTGCTTGGGGGTAGGAACGTTGTCGTGGATTGAGGACTCTTGAGAGAGAGCAGGCTGTCTGGGGGCAGGAGGGAGCGAGGCTCTGGGCTGAGAAGGAGGGGATTGCTGAGGAGGCTGAGTGCGTGTCTCGGGCTCTTCTCTCTCCNNCTCGTCCACATCAAGGCTATCGGGTTCGCCGTTCAAGCCCATGCTACCGAACTGTACTGCAGCTCTGTCGACTGCGTTGTGACCAGGCATGACAACAGCCTCTTGCTGCTCGAGCACTCTACGCTGGTAGCTTGAGTTGCGGTTAGGGGTGCCGGCGGCTCTGTATGCGCTGGCTGCGTAGCCACCCATGGGAGGACGGCCGATGGGAGCTTGTTGAGAAGTGGCAGGGGTGGCCACGCGAGGGTCGATCGAGCCAGTAGTGCTAGCGACAGTCTGAGTCGCGGGCTTGATCGAAGTATCAGGAAGATGCTCAAGGTTGTCCTCGGTCAGAGGAGCGTGTGCGGATGAAAGGTCGGCCTCGGTCGAAGCGGATGGCTCAGCAGCTGCTGGCGAAGGCTCAGAAGCAACAGGAGCCGTCTCAGTTTGGGCGATTTCTGTGGGTTGTTCCTCGACGGCTGCTGGTGCGACCTCAGGCTCGAGCTGCTGTGTAGGTTCAGGAACGATGTCTTGGGGGACAGTAGACGAAGACTCGGTCTGTTCTGTCAATTCTGCAGGAGTAGGTGTGGGATCAATTGCGGCAGCAGGGGCGGCAGATTGAGCAGGTTGCTTTGGAACGACAGGTACAGGTGGAGGCTTAGGCTTAGCGAACATACTAGCCCATGTCTTCTTGCCAGAGCTTTCAGGAACTGCGACGCTCTTTGCGACATCAGGAACAGCGGTCGGGATAGCGTCGGTGGTGGTGGCATTACCCCATGCGCCTGATTCAGTGGCAGCCGGGGTGTCCCAAGCGAGCGGAGCGGCGGGTTCGGCAGCAACGTTGTCCCAAGCAGGAGACTCTGTGGTAGGAACGGACACGGCGGCAGTGTCTTTGGGGAATGAGTCGGTGACGGCGGCATGGCCACCACGGGCACCTCTGAAACCTCCACGACCGCGATCGGTGCCGCGACCTCTGCCACCTCTGGAGCTCTCGAAACCACCTCTTCCACGGCCACCACGCATTGGGGTTGTGGCCTGATCTGCGCCAGCGGCAGCTGAGGTCTCCTTGGCCTTTGAGCGCGCTCTATCCTTGCCCTTCTTGGGGACTTGGGCGAATTGCGAGACGTTGCCTGTGGGGTAGCGGGTGGTTAGCAGGGTGGGNCAGGATAAGTGTGAGGACAGCGACGGACCTTGAGTAATTCTATCAATGACAATCTGAACATCGCCGTCGGCCTCTGCAATGGCAAAGACTAGATCGTCGTCGGTCCAGTCTGGGAACATGTCGCGCATAAAGCTCAATTGAGTCGAGTAAGTTTTCTTCATGTTGCCCAACTCGCCCTGTTCGTCAAAGGCATCGTCGAATTGAACCGACGAGGGGTTTGCGTTGGAGGAAGTTTGAGATTGGCGAGGAGGACCTCTAGGATGCGATGCACGACCGCCTCTGGTAGAGCTTCTGCCCCGTGATGCCACGGGTCTGGAGTCGAATTCCGACATGGTATGGGAGCGACTGTCCTGTGCGGACAGGCAGAAAAGGGTAAGTGGAGCGAGACGGAGGGAGTCGAGGGAGTGAGACTGCGGCGATTGGCAGGGACAAGGAGTAAGATGAGATAGGGAGGGAGGTTGTTCGTGACAGACTTTGGAGTAGTGAGAGGGTCGCTCTCTTGCTTGTCGATGTGCAGCCTTCAGACTGGGAGCAGAGTGAAGCTCCGTCATTCGCTGTCTGTGCGCCGCCGCCGGTCAGTCACGTGCATGCCATCCATTCGCCATCTGAGACCACTCGGCACCCAGATACCATCGACCACTAGCATCAGACGACAGCGAGCATCCAAACGAGCAGATATAGTAATATCCAATGTGGTTGTGTTGACCTTGACGCCGTATGCAACCTCTTATATACTGTAACATGGCTGGCATCCCACTTCCTCCTCATATGCCAAAAATCTGTCACAAGGTAGCTAAGAGATACGTTCCTTTGCAATACACAAGATGATATATCTACATAGACCACCGAGAAGGCAAACGGAGCTGTGAAAATCAACAAATTGAGTCGTGAAATTTAATGTTGCTGGATCTTATATGAACATGTGACAATCAAGCGCGGGCAGAAGGCCTTGGCACGCTTTCTGGATTCGGTCATGAGCGGTTGCGTAGCTTCCTTGAGCGCCTTCGTGAGGACATCCAAACACGCATCACACAACATGAAGGCCTCATCAGTACAGCAGGCCTTCAAGAGCCTGACGTCGCGTATCCATCCACAACTACCATTGTCCGAACGCGAATCTCAGCGTCTGCTGAACGCCCTCACTTCGTCCCNNTTCCGCAGCCACCTGGACCATCATCACAACCATGACGCTGCCACTTCTGCTACTTCTGCCTCGGCTTCGACTCAACACCCTCTATCACCCACTACAGCTACCGATCGTCACTTGGCTTCCATCTTGACGAACCCTCTTCTCACCAAGCCTGTCCACCAACAACTCAAGGCCAAGTCAAAGCACCCAATCGCTCTGTTCGAAGACCAAGTCGCCGCTGGACGTGCCAACCTACCTTCTGCAAGATTGTGCCTTGAAGCTTTCCGGACCTCTCTCTCCTCACTACCTCCTGCACAAGTCAAGGACCAGATTGCTCGCTATGCCGCAGGATCCCGTGCTTTGAGATGGCTTTGGACTAGTGCTCACACCCGCTCTCTTTCGTTCGCTTTAGATGCTCGCTTCTGCAGCCACCTCGCCTTTTTCCTCATACATGAAGGCAGAGAGGCCGCCTTGTGGGAGCTGATCGACACACCTGTCGCAACTTCGGCCAACCTCAATGCCAAAGAAGCAAGTATTCGTAAGGGTTTGTTGCTCAGCTCCATAGTCAAGACTCACCTCTCTGGCCCTGATAAGTCTCTCGAATCTGCTCTCTCTGCTTTCTTCAGAGGCTTGGATACTTCTTCAACATCTCATGCTTCCACTACCCATGCTGGTGTCCATTTAGCTGGAGCCTTGGTCAAACTCGGTCGCTTCTCTGACTCCGATGTCGCTCTATACGATAAATTCATCGATGCTGTTCCTCGTTGGACTAAGAAGCACCCAGATAGGGCTATCTACAGGATTGCAAATCTTACTTTACATCATCCCACCACACCCTCCGCGGATCCAGCTTTGGACTTCATACGAGAGCTTAGGCCTCTTGCTTCGCATCCATTCTTGAACCCGACTACTGCATCCCAAAGATCGACTGTCTTCGCTTTCTTCTTTGATACTGTTCAACTCTTGCAGAAGCAGGAACGCTTTGACGACGCTCTGTGGGTAATGGAGTTTATGCAGCAGAAGTTCCCTGAGGAGTTCGCGCCACCTCGCAGATCATCTTCTGCTGCAACAGCATCTCCCCATGTCTCAGAGACAACAGAAAGTGCTTCTCCGCACTCGAGCTTTCCTGAGTGGAAAGTACCTGAGTTTGGCTGAGGGTCAATAACCACAGTTTGTCAGGCATAATCAACAATTGCTGGTAGATCGGATCATACAGAACTCATAATGCTGATCCAGGCATATCTCGCTCGGCAAGCCGGAGACATACTACAAGGCCTGTTCGCTTGGCAGCGCAGAACTCGTCTCTACGCCTAATGCGCGCGGTCCCACAATAGCATACGGGCATCAAACCCTTCCGATCCAGGAGAGCACGTCCAGACAGTGGTCTTAAATACTTGTGTCTAAAGATGCACTGCGCCTCAAGCCGTCACAGAACGCCTTGTGATATCGGTCAGCTTTCAATTCGAGTTGTGGGCACAAAGAAGGCTGGAGCAACCGTATTGACTCGATTTTGAGGACACAGGGGCTGAAAAACTGCTCCTTAACGAAACCTTGCCTTATGCATGATTGCGCTGGACGCAACCACTAGTGTTGAGTGGATCAAGAGTACATGGTATCCATCCATTTATCCATAGAAACATTTAAAGACACATCTGTTATCTCACTGTGCATCATGTTTGCAAACTTCTAGACGCAGTCGGTTTAAGTTGTCATGAAGGAACAATTTGGGGCGTCTTCGTTTAAAGTCATGATGCAAGCTAAGTGATGGTATTCTAGGGTGATATCGAAGCGCTATTCACAAAGCCATTTCCTTAGATTCTTGCCACCATCGTAGCTAGCAACGTAAGACTAGAATCAAATAAAGTTGACATTCTGGACCAGAGAGGCACGATACAAGTGAGTACAACTAGGGGAGAGAGACCGCTGTGACTACGACCCTGTCTCCATACTCACTTGTCTCTTGTTGACGCAAACAACATCGGACAAGGGAGATCTCGTTATATTTGATCAATTCACATGGACATATCATCCTTAGAGGCATCTTCATATCCACAAATACATCTAGAGACGAATAATGTCTCGCTGTTGGGTTCTTGTGAGATTTGTGGTTGCTGTGCATTTAGGCCTAAAAGAACCTCCTAGTCAGAGTCCAATAACAATATATGCCCTATCTGCTTGATCTTCGTCTTAGGACAAGGCAATACAGATCCACTTCCTGATCAAAACTCGTGGCTTCGACTATAACTTTCGAAACGATATCACCATTGCACCCACGACTCGTACAGTTGAACTCGGAGATGCATCGGAGCAGACCGGGTGAAAGGCGTACTCCTATCAAGCTTCAGTTGCCAACAGTCCGGCGTAGCAGAAGAGTGCACGCCCGTCTTTGCCAGATTGCAATCGATTCAACTGCAAGCTGTTCGCGATCACATCGGCCGCTGCTATCCTATCATCATATCCACTCTTGCACGCTCCGCTCGGCTCGGCGCTACTTCTGCTTTGCAAGTGTTTCGCGAATTATCGGGTGGAAGCAAGACAACGTGGCAGGCCCAGAGCCTTCTTTGTTTGGCCAGTTCTCAGAAGACGTTATCCCGTAGGAAGCCGTCGTATCCCATCGTCCGTGATGGCTATCCAGTGATGGTCGAGAGCTTGTCGTCTAGCAGAGCTCTCTCGCGATCCTTGAGACGTCAGTGTGGATGATCGTGTGGCTTTTGTCCTAGACGAAGCCCAACCTCGTAAACCTACCAACTTTAATGGCAAATGGTCTCGTAGTATCACTTGATTGGTTGATAGGTAGCTCAATCGAAGCAAGAAACTTGGAAGTGCTGTGATGCGAGGCCTGCATCTGCAGGTAGCTAATTGACTCTGCTCAAGTTATTTTGAAAATGTCAATTGCACCTCCTGAGGTGACCACAAAGCATGTCACACGATTGAATTGGAAGCTAGATCATGTAGATGATAAATCTCATAGCATTCATAAATATATTTTGATAAGCTCAAGCTTATTGCTGGTATCCATCCGTCTAATTGAGCGCCATTTATGCTCCTAGCTGTATGTGAAAAAGGTAGAAAAAAGAAATCCCGTAAGCCAAAGTCAACACCTCCTGGGTGGATATGATATCAAACAGAAAAGAGAAAACGCCAGTATGCTTTTCGATCATCTTACTCGATGGCAGAGAAGTCCTGACCACCGGAGAGGACGGGGTTGACGTTGTCAGAGCTCCACTCGAACTTGAAGTCCTGGCCAAGTTCCTTGCGCATGGCAGTCTTGACAGCCTCGAGGACGTTGACGAAGACACCGAAGCTGGCAGGGTTGTTCTCGTCGTTGTCACCACCCTGGAAGACACCAGTGCGAACAAGGCAAGTGTTCCAGCCGTACATGTTACCACCGATAATGTCGGAGGCAGGGTTGTCACCAACCATGTAGATGTTCTCGGGAAGCTTCTCCTCGCCGTGGATCTGCTCCATCCAGGAGGTCATAACCTCATCGGCATACTTGTAGGTAGCCAACTCAGGCTTACCGTAGACAACACGCTCGAGATCGACACCAGTAAGGGCCTTGTACATGGCCTCAAGACCGATACGGAAGGCACCCTGGGACATACGAGGGTAGGGGTGCTCGCTGGGGCACAAGAGATCACCCTGAGAGAAGTAGATGGGGATACGCTGGCTGACGGGGTCCTTGGCGACGGTACCGAAGCGACCGTTCTCAGACTTCAACAGGTCGACGATGATCTGCATGTCGGTAGCGTAGTCGCGAGAGTCGGAGAAGACCATGATGGCGTCGATGTTGATCTTGGAGAAGTCGCGAGGGCGGGAGGTGGCACGCTCCTCATCGGTGAAGACACGGAAAGGAGCGATGGTAGGGTCCCAGGCGATGATGTCGTTAGGGACAACGATGTCCTTGAAGCCGTACTCCTCAGCGACCTCACGGCACTTGTAACCCTCACCACCGACGACGAGGACAGTGCTGTAGTACTCTGAAAGAGCTCTCATGGGAGTGTGAGACTGGATGAACTGGTCGACAGCGACGGGGTTGCCGAGAATCTTGGAAAGCTGCTCGCAACGAGGAATCTCACGCTTACCAGAACCATTGGTAAGGNNGAAGATGTGAGGGATCTTAATGCCGAGCTCGTTGTCGCCGTTGAGGATCTCGAGGGCACGCTTACCCTCAGGGATCAGGCGGTCACCGTGAACGAGGACACCGTCAATGTCGAAAGCGAAGGCCATGTTCTTGGCGGACTTGACCTTCTCGCTGGACAGGTCCTGAATTTGGGATGCCAGAATCTCGCGAGTAGGCTGGATTGGGGGCATGCCAGGGCGACCAGACTTGGCATCAGGGTAGTGAACTGACGAAAGACGAGATTGTCTCTTGGAACGGGGAATAGGGAGAGATGCACCGAAGGAATTGCGAGATCCTCTGCGGTCCTTCATCGAAGGAGAGAGGGAGAGCTGGTGCATGAAGGGAGAGGGNTCGGCCATGCTGCTACGGGTAGCAGGGACCTCGACTGATCTGTCAGTGCCAGGCTCCATACCGGGGACAGGCAAGCTGCTGCCATAGCTGGAACCGACAGCCTGGCTGTTTGTTCTTTGCTGCTGGGCAGGCTGAGCCTCAACGTTGAGATCGGAGTCTTCGAAAGCGGACATGATGTAGATTGTATGAGATGGTACGGAGAGGCAGAGGGTTTCAGGGATAGAGAAGAGAGAAGATAGATAAGAGGAGGATGGAAAGTTATGCTAAGTCAGCAGCAGAGGGGAAGAGTGATCGAACAATCTGCGTCACTGGGGGTCGTTGGGTTTGCTTATGTATATTCGTGGATCGGGCCCAAATTAACGCTGAATCAGAGCCCGTACAGCAACGAGAATGCTCTGACAAGGGGGTATCCACCAGTGGCATCATCGCCGGTGTCAACAAAAATGTTTCAAATTTTTTTCGACTCGGAGCCATTCAGCAATGACGAAGGTTGGAACAAGCTAGAGGACCCTTGTGCCGAGCCACGAGGCTACAAAGCTCCTGGCGCCGCCGAAAACGCCTCTTTCTGAGGCAAAACGCACTTTGGCTTGAGGGCGTTGATGCCGAAACGGTTGTTGTGAGGCGGTTTAAAGTTTAGGGTTTTGTTGACCATCCGAGACTGGCTCGGCGTCGACGTCACTGCCCTTGCATATTTCCAGAAATTGGTGCACGGTGAGCACCGTGGTGGATACTGAGCTCCCCAACAACTGTTTTGGAGTCCCCTGACCGCTTTGGAAATTTGTTGTATGACGTTGCTCTTGTCTTTGCTCGGAGCGAGGTCGTGGCAGGATGTCGGTGGGACACATGGCCAGTAAATAATACCTCACGGCCGAGGGTTGAGCGTGATCTTTTTTTCATCTTTTGCATATTGAACATCCTGTCCAATTCCACATCTAAAGTAATACACACCAATTCGAACATCACCATGTCTGCCGGAATCACTCGCACTCTCAACAACGGCGTCAAGATCCCTGGTAAGTGCTGCTTGAATTCCAGCAAAATCAGGCTTCAGTTGCTAACTACGAGCTATANNGCCGTTGGCTTCGGTACCTTCGCCAACGAGGGCTCCAAGGGCGAGTCTTACAAGGCCGCTCTGCACGCACTGAAGACTGGTTACAGACACCTTGACTGTGCCTGGTTCTACCAGAACGAGGNNGACGAGGTTGGTGCCGCTGTTCGCGACTTCCTCAAGGAGAACTCAAGCGTCAAGCGTGAGGACATCTTCGTTTGCACAAAGGTCTGGAACCACCTCCACGAGCCTGAGGAGGTCAAGTGGTCTTTCCAGAACTCGCTTGACAACCTTGGCCTGGACTACATTGACTTGTTCCTTGTTCACTGGCCAATTGCCGCCGAGAAGGATGACAAGAACATGCCCAAGTTGAACGAGAAGGGCCAATACATCATCAAGGAGGAGTTGACCAAGAACCCCGAGCCCACCTGGAGAGCAATGGAGGAGATCTACTCAACTGGCAAGGCCAAGGCCATTGGTGTTTCCAACTGGACCATCGACGGCCTCAAGCAGCTCATGTCCTTCGCCAAGGTCAAGCCTACTGTCAACCAGATCGAAATCCACCCCTTCCTGCCCAACACCGAGTTGGTCGACTACTGCTTCTCTCAGGACATTATGCCCGCCGCCTACTCGCCTCTTGGTTCGCAAAACCAGGTTCCCACCACTGGTGAGAAGGTCAACACCAACCCCGTTCTCAACGAGATTGCCGAGAAGGGAGGCAACTCTCTTGCTCAGGTCCTCATTGCATGGGGTCTGAGAAGAGGCTATGTCGTGCTCCCCAAGAGCTCCACTCCCTCAAGAATCGACAGCAACTTCAAGAGCATCGAGCTTACCGACGCCGATTTCGAGGCCGTCAACAAGGTTGCCGAGGGTCGCCACACTCGTTTCGTCAACATGAAGGACACTTTCGGTTACGATGTCTGGTAAGTCGCATCGATTCATACTTGGGTGACCTCGATCTAACATGTACCGCAGGCCCCAGGAGTCCTCATAAACAAGTCGACTTGAGCCGATGACAAAGATTGATCAATCCGATTCGAAGTTTCACGTCCTGGTGACGGAAGGTGGAGGTGCATTGGCGAACACACGAAAAGTTTGTTTGGCTTGTGACAATCGGTAGCTGGTCCTACCAAAGACCGGCGAGACGGAGAGACGTTCCCACGAAAGAGTTACTTATTGTTGATACCAATACGATTGCATATTTTCTTTTCTTTGGACTTGTGTTCGAAATCNGATCATCTTCTCGCAAGGATCATGGATGCTGTACCTTTGTTTTGAGCTTTCTCCGCACCAAGTCGCCAAGTACCAACAGCAGCTACTTGAGCAACAGTGTGAAACAGTCGCTCCGGCGCGGGTCTGCTTACCTCAACACGTGGCTGTTTGCTCGCATCAGAATAGTGATGACAGATGAATGTGATGCTCTGTATAGTATATGCAATTCGACAAGCTACATCTCGAATGGTCGGAAATAACATTATGAGCGAGTCTGGGGATGCTCGAACTCGTTGTATGATCGACGCGACGCCAAGCTGCTCTGGGATCAATGTTCATNNCTGTTCCCGAGGAATCCCGGACGAGCTCATCTATTACGAAAGACGCCGAGTTTAAAAGAGCAAAAGCAATCATCCAGGCGATGGTCGCGATGCTAGAGATCAAGCGTATTCTGGATTCTTTAAGAGATCTGAGGTTGCAGATTTGTTGATTGGTTCCCAAGTAGCAGCAGCTTGCTGGAAAAAAGCAGCCAGATGGAAGACCAAAGCGAAAAACTGGGTGAGGTTTAAGTCATGCTCTGGAAAGACACGATAGCGAAATATAATTGTGTACAAGAAGCTGAAGTAGATGTGCATGCATAGATGCTATTGTATTCGATCAAGTCATGACATACTTGGGACCTTCGCCGCCCNNTAACCAATCGAGTTAGTAGACGGACTGAGTAAACTTAACACTGATACATACCTGAGGAGTTCTCCAGGTGATATCCTGGTCCGGAACCTTGATATCACAAGTCTTGCAATGTACACAGCTAAATACTGGATTAGCAGGACTCCAATTGCAGTATTCGAATTGAACTTACTTCTGGGAGTTGATCTGGAATCTCACACCGAGCGGCTTGCTGTCGTCCTCAATGTATTCGTACACACCAGCAGGGCAGAATCTGTTTTCAACACCTTGGTACTTGGGATATTCAAGCTCAGCGTGCTTGTCCCAGTCCTCCACATGCAAGTGACAAGGTTGGTCTTCTTCGTGGTTTGTGCCAGTCCGGCTGACACTGGTCAAAATGTCGAAACTGATCTTGCCGTCTGGCTTGGGGTATTCGATCTTTGGGCAGTCTGCAGCTAGCTTAGTAGCTCCATGGTCGGTACCAGCATGATTGATGGTCCATGGTACTCTGCCTTTGAAGAGATATGCTTCGAGTCCAGAGTACATGATACCACCATAGAGCTTCAGCGGAGAGTGGAATGAAGGTCTCATGTTGCGAACCTCCTTCAACTCTTTCCAGATTGTTGAAGAACGCAGCTTGTCTTCATAATCATACAGGAACACAGGACTCGAGTCATCTGACTCACGCAGAGCAGAAAAGGCAGCTTCTGCAGCAAGCATACCCGAGCGCATGGAGGTGTGAGTGCCCTTAATCTTAGGTACGTTGAGGAAGCCAGCAGAGTCACCAATCAGAGCTCCACCCGGGAATGCACACTTGGGGATAGACTGGAAGCCGCCCTCATTAAGTGTACGAGCGCCATAAGAGATGCACTTGCCGCCTTCCAAGTATTTGCTGTACATGGGATGGTGCTTCATCTTTTGAAACTCGCCGTAAGGAGCCAACCAGGGGTTAGGGTAGTCGAGGCCAACAACTAGACCGATACTGACTAGGTTTTCACCAAAGTGGTACATCCAGCCACCACCATAAGTATCAGCAGGCAGCGGGTAGCCCATGGAATGGACGACCAGTCCCTTCTCGAACTTCTCAGGATCAATCTCCCAGACTTCCTTGATACCAAGACCATATGTTTGAGGTTGGCTGTCTCTCCTCAGATCGAACTTCTTTGTGACCTGCTTCGTCAAACTTCCATGGCAGCCCTCACCGAGCAAAGTAACTCGAGCATGGAACTCCATGCCACGCTCAAAAGAGTCCTTGGGCTTGCCGTTGCGACCAATGCCCAAGTCATTTGTGGCGACACCTTTCACTGAACCATCGGAGTTGTAGAGTACCTCAGAGGCAGCGAAGCCAGGATAGATCTCGACGCCAATCTCTTCTGCTCTTTCTCCTAGCCACTTTGTGAATTGATTGAGGGAAATGATGTAGTTGCCGTGGTTGTTCATCTGAGGTGGGGCGGGGATTGGTATTGAGTACGACTTTGTGAGGAAACGCATGCGATCTTTGGTAGCGGGCGTGATATGCTCGTAGCGGTTGGGGTTGTCCGGGGAGTTCCAGTCAGGAAGCAGCTCATCCAGGGCTGAGGGCTCGACAACATTTCCAGAGACAATATGATCACCCAATTCACCAGCCTTCTCCAGCAACAAGACACGGAAGTCATCGTTGCCTGCTTCATTGGCCAATTGCTTCAGGCGAATGGCAGCGCTGAGACCGGCAGGACCACCTCCAACGATGCAAACATCGACCTGGTCACTTTCTCTCTCGATGTCGGCAGGGTTGAATGAGTCATCTGGCGTGGCAAGACGTGTGCGTGATGTGAGCGAGAAGGGACGGCGCTGTCCTGCACGAAAGATCGCGGGACGACGAGAGGCTATTGAGTTGTTGCGCAGAGGGGCGAAGGAGGTGGCAGTTATGGGACGCAGGGCTGAGGGACGGAACAGACGAGCATCTTGGACCAATGCTCGGCCCAGAGTGGTGGCGGAGGGCAGATTGCTAACGGACGGCATGGCTGGCGACACGAAGGGCGAGTGCCTGGGAGGTAGGCAGGCGAGAGATATCTAGATATTTGGAGGCGAACTGGTTGGTCGCGCCTTGTCGCCAGGTGCTGAGGAGAGCCTCGGTTGAGTGGAATTGATGCTCTCGGTCTACACCTTCCCGTCGATGATGAGCATTCAAAAAGCCGTCGCTGACCTCGGCGCATGTGATTGGCTGTCGTGGCCAGCGCCGCCACCCGCACGCGTGCCAAGCGCTCTGAGTCTGTCAGGTCAGTCATTGAACGTCGACGCTGCGCCGCTGCCTTCGACCGCTCCGTCCATCTCCATCGCTTTGCCCAACAACAAGTCAGCGCCATCACCCGGCCCCCTTGTTACGGATCTGGTCCCATCGTCCTTCTTCACATTCATCTCCATCATCATGGGCGACGTGTCTTCGACCCGACTCTATCTGGGAAATCTCCCGCGCAATGGTACGCTTCTGCTCGTGTAGCTGGCCTGAGCATTGAGGATCTGGAACCCGCCTGGACTCCTCTTCACCCTCTGCGCAAGCCTGCCCTGGATAATCGCATCCCGCTAATCGGATTCGTGCTCTANNGCCACCAAGGCCGACGTCGAGAACCACTTTGCCAGCCATGGAACTGGTGAGATCACCGAGATCAAGCTCATGAACGGCTTCGGCTTCGTCGAGTACAAGGACGCCATGGACGCCCGCGACGTCGTTCCCGGTGAGTCTCTCGTCTCTTGTACGCAACCGCTCACTCCCTTGTTGTCTCCGCTAACTCGCCCTCTGGGTAGCCTTCCGTACGTCCAACCAGCTTCGGCTACATCGATAACCCCGCTCGCTTGTCCTCTTACTGATCATCCGCTAGATGGTTCCGACTTCATGGGCGAGCGTCTCGTCGTGCAGTTCGCTCGTGGCTCTACTCGTCCTCGCGAGTACGGTCACCCTGAGCAGCGCGCCCCTCCTCGTCCGCGCCGTACTGTCCACCGCATGTCCATCTCTGGCCTTCCTTTCGAAACCAGCTGGCAGGTTAGCAATCTCCCTTCGATGCACAGTTTCTTTTGCCCGGCCGTTTCTTCTTCCTTTTGTCTTTTGTCTTGCCTCGCCCGCGTCGCGCCCTGATTTTACTGGTGTTGGATCATCTTGCTTCTTGCTTTGGACTTTCTCACTCAGCCTTCCTTGGACCTGGACTCACATTGGCCATTATAGGATCTCAAGGACTTTGCTCGCCAGCCCGGCCTTGACGTTGTTTACTCCGAGGTCGGACGTGACCGCGATGGCGGCGGTAACGGAAAAGGGTAAGTATATTTGTCATGCTCAACAACGAGTCTTGCTCTAATCGCCTGTACCAGTTTTGTGGAATACGAGACCGCTGCTGATTTGGTTTCCGCCGTGGAGAAACTAGACGGACAGGAGTTTAAGGGAGCCACTGTCCGTTGCATTTCTGACGTAAGTCCTCATGGTGCGACTGGTTGATGATCCTCTCACACTGCGATACAGACCCAGTCCGAAATTCCTCGCATGCCACCCCCACCTCCTCGCGATAACCGTTACCGCTCGCGCTCGCCTCCCCACCGTCGTGGCGGTGGTTACGGCGCACCTCCTATGGATGACTACTACGACCGCAGAGGTCCTCCCCGCGGCGCTGGTGGTTACAGTCCTCGCCGTGATGACGGCTACCGCCGCAGAAGTCCTCCACCTCGCTACTATGACGACCGTAGAGATCCCTACGCTCGTTCTCCTCCACCCCGTGCTCGCGGCCCTCCAGTTGACGATTACCCACCGCCCAGAAGCCGTGCTTATCCTGCTGACGATGGCTATGGTGCACCTCCTCCAGCTCGCCGCTACGAGGCTGACCCTTACGCCAACGGTCACGGCAGAGAGCCTAGAGAACCCAGAGAGCCAAGGGAGCCTTATGGCCGTCCTCCCAGCCCTCCCCCAAGACGCGAGCGTGGCTACGACGCAGGCTACGACCGTAGACCTTACTGGTGATTACCCTCTTCTCCTTATCTTTCAACGAAAACGAGTCTTTCGTACTTTCGTTTTCGGAGAAGCTATTACTCACTCATGCACAAGATTTACACCGATTTGATCAACCGATCACCGCCACCAACCAACAAGTCGAACTCAACGTATTTCAAGGACAAAGGGCGGCACGCAATTGTGAATTGATTTGTAATCATTCGATGCAGCTCAGTTAGGAGCAGACAGTTGAATAAAGCTGCCTACAGCAGGCTGGTTTAGGCGGATCTTTATTGCTGCCAGTATGTAACAGTATTCAGCTCCTTAATCTGAATTTGGTTTTCAGCGATCAATGATCGCGCTACCCGTGATATTCTTACAAGTGCGAGTTTCATGCCTGTTTTCTATCGACGAAAACTCAAACTCATGAAGATGTGCAAGTTATTGGAGTGGTTCAAACAGCTGCCGGGTTAAACAGTGGCACTATCGGTCTCGATGGGTACTACACGGACGAGTCTCTCAACAGCTGTTTCTCCTCCTTTAACTCTGACCTCGACCTTGTATTCTCCCAGATGTCTGATCTTGTCGGCTTCGGCAGCTGTTTGTGACGAAAGGTTGACAAACTTGACATCTTCTGCACTCAGGACAATTCGCGAGGCTTCTTGGTTCTCGGATAGAAGGTGGGTAATTCTGCTGACGACGTCGGCATTCGAGACAGTACCGAAGATTGGTGTTGCAGAGGTAGAAGAAGTTGTAGCGGGAGCAGCTTGTGCTGCGAGAAGATCTGCAGCAGCGTTGGAGAAGCCTCGTTCCTTCTTCGCGGGAGCGGCTGGTGTTTCGGGAGCAGGAGCAACAGGTTCCTGAGGTCTGCGTCGGAAGTCCATGACTGGAGGAAGAAGCATAGAGAGAAGTTCGATCGAGCGCTTGGGNCTGTTGTGGGCTTCGTCAGCACGACGCTCAAAACCAGTTGGTATACTAGCAAGACTTACCGCCAACTTCTCAACTTCAACAGTACGTGTGGCTGAGCGCTGAGACTGTTGCTCAATGGCCCTGACCGCAGCTGGATCAGGTACACCAAATTGGAAGTCTCGCTCGGCAGTGATGTTCTTCGCCTTCATCTCCTTCAGTTGCGCGGGCGTCACATATTCGGCTGTCCTTGTCGGGAAGAACTCGTTGCGCATGCGGCCAATAGAAATGGGAATGTAAGTTCCCTTGCGACCAAAAGTCGGTACGTCCTTGGTAAGTCGGACTGTGACGGTGGTGGGAGCGTGTGCCATCTTNTTCTTGCCGCGAACCTGCTGTCCGCTACGCCATTCCTGCAGGCCCAGGCTGCTGATGCGTCGTAGGCATGATGTGCATTGTGGTAGAAGTGTAGGTCGCATGGTTAAAGACATGGTCAAGGTGGTGTTGTTGTGTCTGGACAACCAATGTTTTTCTGGTCGCAACTGTTCGTCTCCAAATGTTGCCGTCTCGAAATGCTTGGCAATCCACCTTCGTTGTCCGAAAGAGCCTACGAGCATATCGACCATTTGGATTTTATCTTTTCTATTCCTGCTAAGCGATGAAGGCAAACAGAGCACTCTATGCATGTTTTGTGTCTTCAACTCATCCACGTCGGATGCATTCATACGAGTCATTTGGAGTCATGTTCTAGATATCATAGATCGGTATCTGTGCCTGTACCGTGAACGCAAGATCAAGTATGAACTGAACTGCCTCGTTTGATCACAGCTTCTCCGTCTGAGTGGCCTCCTGTGCTTCCTCACTTCCTACGGGAACAAGCTTACCAACAACCAAGTACTTCTCCGAGAATCTCTCTTCCCATCCTCTCAAAGCTTCCATTTCTTCCTCGCCCAAGTCTGACAGAGTGTCGAGCGGTCCGTTCAAGTCCTTGGTCAGCATGTCTTCGTCGAAGCTGCCACAGGCAAGACCTCTACTTGCGTCGCGTCCAGCAAAGTTGGCATAAGGACCTCCTGGACCGTAGAAGTTGCGTCCGGATGTTACGTCAAAGACTCTGCCACGGACTGCAAGGTAGACGGGCATATTGTTGCGGCCATTGTAGGGTTCAAGGTCGGGTGGTGTGAAGGTCTTGAAGACTGTTGGTGCTGGTGGGGTTGGCAGAGTAGCTGCTGTCTTGGGAGTAAGGCGATAGTAAAGCAGCACCATGAACAGCGAGATAAGTATGAGGTTGATGGGTGTCGCAATTGTTGCACTGATCTGTTTTCAGTAATTGTTGACTGGACCTGTGTGCGAAACATACACTTCAGTTGCCGGAGGCGGTGACACTGCTGTATAAGATCAGTCCCATGTCCGCATCACTGTTTGAAAATACATACCGTCGGCCATGCTGCTTGTCTTGCTTGTCACTTGAATAATTTCGAACAGTTTACGGGTAGGGACCGTTACGGAAAGTTGCGAGGAAGAGCGTCACCAGGAAGCTGACTGTTGTGTGATTGTGTGGGGAGAGCTTGCAGACGTGCCACTTCCGTCTCTGCCGATCTTCCTTCTCGGCCTTCTCGCATCATCCTCAGATACCCACAGATGGAAATCGCATATTGTGTTGATCTCTCTATTACTGCTGGTCACCGAATATAGCTCTGCCTCCGCGGCCCTGCGGGTCTAGCTCTCCAATTGTCTGTGTATGTTGCATCATCTAGATGAACGTATTCCTACTCGAGTATGGGAAAACTCCCTCATGAGCTCACGGCCTGACGAGCTTTGATCAAGATGGATATATTGCGATCAATAGCTCTGTTCGCATCCATTCACTTGGGTCTGTAGCGCGCTGCTATTATCGGATAGGTAGATGCAAACGCTCGAACTGTTGTCGAGTCCTCATAGGACCTGGAAGCTTTCGCGACGCGCTTGCTAATGCTCATCACACTCAATCAGGGCCTTTGACAGTTGCATTTTCGCATAATGTTACACTGGCTCCAAACGTGCAAAGTAGATTTGGAAGTCGAGGACGTCCTGTTCATCTGCGAGATCTAGTCAAAGCTGAAACGCGCCACGACTTGAAACACGAAGCTCCTGCATGACATGAGTAGTTCATGGCGGTTGTCGGATGTTTGGAAAACCATTTATCAAGCTTTCCAGACCTAAGTGCTTCTTGAAGGATCAAAACTTGCTTGCGCGTTCTTCTTGTTCTTGTTCTTGTTTTAGCTCTTGTTTTGTTATGGCTGCCGCTGTTTACATGCCTTGTTGATCACCCACGTCTTCTTCTCTTACACTCTTCCCCTTGCTACAAACGGCTGGTCGATCAGCTTCAGCTTCAGCCTTCTATTCTTTGTCTACAATATGTAAGTCTTCTCGAACCTTGCAACAGAGACAAAATCATGCGTGCTTCAAGTATGAGCACGTCAAACAGTACGTCTACATGAACGATATTATGTGGCTCGAGAAATTGTGCGTTGCTCTATTGCTCGCGTGATATACTTGGCACATCGAACCATATCTATAGGATGGCAGATTTACGACGAAGACAATTCAGGTATTGTTTGCTGACTGAAGGTAGCTCTTTCGATTCTATCTGCCCTCAATGAAGTTCACAGCACGGTCCGACGATCAAGTCCCAAACAGACCAGAAAGCGCCTTCGACAGGCCCTATGATTCGAGATATGGTGTAGAAGTCTCCATAACAGGTGGCAGGCCGAAGAAGTCCACTTTAGCCGAAAAAGCAGCCAAGTTTGGTCGTCAAGCATTCGGAGGTCGTTCTGCATCTGCTGGAGTCAAAGACGACTCGAGACGACCATCGCTACCGAGTCAATATACTGCAGTAAAAAACGCCTCGGGTCTGTATCGTGATGGGTCGAGAGTCCGCAGCAGCATCAGCATGAGTTCACTGGTCTCAGCTCACTCCAAGACACGGAACGTGCGTGGTTCAGTCTCATCAAGCATATATGATGAACCAGAGACGACGGATCCCATACCACCCCTGAACATCGTCAAGAAGGCTCCTTTGCCGCAACTGCCACCTGTCTATCCGACAGTCAACACCTCATCCCTCACTGGCCTCCCATCAAACACATATCGACAACCAAGTCTGACAGAAGACGACGAGTTGTCGAGGTACTCGATTGACAGCAACGACTCTACAAAAACTGTCACACAGTCGCGAGCAGACCCTTCGAGGAGTCACTTCAGTTGGACAACTTACGCAGAGACAGAGCGTAGTCTCTCACCAACCACGTCATTCATTGACAACACAAATCTCGCAAGGGAACCAGATAGCCGTTTCAGTTGGACGACAACAAATACAGACGCGACATACCAACAGGACACACCGATTTGTAGCCCGACATCCATATATCCTACCTCGATCATGTCACGACGACGCCCCGTGCCTGGAAGAGAATCAGTGCAACCAAAAAGACACGACAGCATGAGCGACGTCCAAGACGAGCGACCACCAACAAATCACTCAACCGACAAACTACTTCCACAACCACCGAAGACAAGACAGGCAATGAACCACGTTGAGGAACTGATGTTGCGGGTGGAGTCACTGGAAGTGCTGAAGACGAACATGCAGAAACTGTTCAAGGAGCTCGAAAAAGTAGACTCGGCCAGCCCGATTGAAGTGTCGGAAAGAATGCGACGCGAGAACCGTAAGAAAATGGACGAAGTGCGAATCAGGCAAGACGAAGTGCAGAGGGAACTGTTCGAGGTCGGTAGGTTGCTGAGCAGGGCCAGAGCAAAAGCGGAAGAGGCAGACGGAAGCACAGGATTGTGGCTTCGACGCGTTACAGACTGAAAGAAGCATGTATCATCACAACCTAGACCGTGTATAAAAATAATTTTACGGGTGCGATTGCGAAGGCTTTCCAGGGGTGACCAGACAAGGCAAACGAAAGAATGTATCGGCGGATGTGAACAACAGGTGAAGATAGTCGTTATTGCTCGATTTTAAGAAAAACAAAAGGGTATGTGTCGAGCCTTCGAACGCCGGAGAACGATGCGAGTGGTGAGCTTATTTCTTGCCGCTCTTCTTGATGCCCTGACCACCAGTGTTCAAGGGGCCCTTGCCGCCAGCCTTCTTGGCCATCTCCTCGCGGGCCTTCTTGTCTGCAGAAAAGGTCAGAGATGACAAGCTAGATGTGTGTGTGGAAGCTGGAATGCACGAACCAGCAGCCTGCTTTTGCTTGAAGGCAATATCATCCTCGTCCTCGTCCTTGGCAGCCTTCTTGGGCTTCTTGTCNTGGATTGGGCGTGTGGTTAGAATGGGTAAGGAACAGGTGGTGATTGGGCGGGAAGGCAAGGACAGTACGCACTGTGGATCGGCTTGGTGCCGTCTGGAAGCAAGTTAGTCTTGAGACATAAGTAGCGACACACAAGTACTTACTGCCCATTCCTGAAGGCATGATGGCGACTGTGTATGTGGATGATCTGTAGTGGGAAGAGGACGGAGGAGGAAAAAGAACAATCAAGGCGGGTGATTGTGACTGCGGGGGCAGAATAGAAGGGCAACAAGGGCTGAACTGTGTTGGGAACGTGATAAGCAACACCCGCTAAAGCGGGCCGATCATCACTGACGCGCGCTTGGAATGGAGAAGTCAAGTTTGCCATGTCCGCAGCGCAACAGAAGACGCCGTCTGCAGCTGCGAACTTGATCTATCTACCACAGTCTCACCGGACTCCTGCACATCTCGAGGCTGGCCAATCGTCCTTCGCCTTGTCCAAATGCCGCCGCCATCGTCGTCCGCCGACCACCTTCCTCCTCACCAGCCTGCCGCCCGCCAGCGCCCAAAGTCGCCGGATCGTGTACTCGCCGAGGCCGAAGCGCAATGGCTCTTTAGTGAACAAGAACTATTACACACCCCATCAGTCCAAGATGGCATGGCGCCCGAAAAGGAGAAGGAGATACGCGCAAAGGGCATCAACTTCATCCGTCAAGTCGGTATCATGCTCAAGCTGCCCGAACTCACTCTGTCGACTGCTGCCATCTTCTTCAATCGCTTCCTCATGCGCGTCAGTCTCGTCGATCGACCCAACCAAAAAGCACTGCACCACTACACTCTCGGTGCTACCGCTCTGTTCCTGGCCACAAAAGTCGAGGAGTCATGTCGCAAGATGAAGGACTTGGTCGTTGCCTGCTGTCGCGTCGCTCAGAAGAACCCAAATCTGTTGATCGACGAGCAAAGTAAAGATTTCTGGAAATGGCGCGATACTATCCTGCTAAACGAAGATGTCTTGCTCGAGATGCTGTGCTTCGATCTCACAATCGAAGCCCCTCACAAACAGCTCTACGAAATGCTCAAGTACTACCACGTCCACCACAATAAGCAACTGCGCAACGCCGCCTGGGCTTTTGTCACCGATAGTAACATCACCCAACTTTGTTTGCTCTGTTCGAGTCATACCATTGCTGCTGCTGCCCTCTATTCGGCCGCCCGCTACTGCAATGTTGCCTTCCCAGACTCTCCTGACGGTCGTCCATGGTGGCACGTTCAGCACGTCTCACTCGAGGATATCCTGAAGGCTTGCAACTACATGGCTGCCAACTACGAACACGTCCCTATCAAACCCGGTCACGAAGGCGCTCAAACTATCTATGTACGTCACGATGACCAAGATTCGGACTGGGATGCCACAAGGCTGAGTAGTAAACAGGCCATTACCAGTCCATCCGCTCTAATACTACACCAAGATACTTCCGCGAATAGTCATGGAAGTAAGATTCATCATCTCGACCCGCCGCAGGACGATAGAGCCGTCAAGAAGAGACGCACTTCTGATTCTGCTACTGTCGCTACTTCTGTTCCTCATCATGACGCTGCCTCGCGCACTGTCGAGAGTCACGGTAGCGAGGAGGGCGAGGTTGAAGGCTAGCTGTCTTCCACCATTTATGATTTATTGAACATGCATTAAGCGCGGCGTCATGGGTTTCAGAGGTCGCGAAAGACCAGGAATTGAGGCCTCGCACAGAGGATAGTGTATTCTAGAATCCCACATACCAATAACGATTGATACCCGAATTCACGTTTGAAGATCTGATCTCATGTTCATCTTGAAGTTTCCCATGCGGTGCAGCAGATTTCGCAGTAGCTGGGCCATTATTTTCCGTTGTTGTCGTACGGTTTGGAACGTCGCAAGTCTGATACTTGATCGGGTAATATCAGATTGATAAGATTGCTGTCGCGTAGTTTTTGTTCGCGCAGCCACCCTGGATTATGAATTTCTATCCACAAAATTCCAAGCATATCAAAGATGGCCGTCGATAAGATGATGGCGCCTCGGGACATACAGTGAGCGTGATGATGCCATACGAGTGTCGTCTCAGTAACTAATCGCATGGTGCCTCATAGTCCTCTAAGTCTGTTCGAAAAGACAAAGGCTGAGGGTAGGCCTTTGTATGTCTCTGGTCCTATGGTCCGGTAAGAACACATGGAGATCGATGTGCCATCATCCCACTAATACTTCCTGTCGCTCTCTAAANGATACAGTAAATTGCCATTCAGATTACTAGTCCAAGATTACAAAGTTGATCTCACTTATACACCAATGATTCTTGCACACGAGTAGGTACTATCAACGTCTGGATTCATACTTCTTTTTCTGTCTGCGTTGTTCTTCTATCACAACCCTGTCTAAGATTTCTTTGGAGAAAAATACTCATTCCACTGCACAGATNTCATTCGTCATCCTGTTGCACGTTCTTCTGATTTCAGCACACATGATAGCGAGGGCCCAGTCATCGCACAATTTGCTTCGAACGACCCGGTCGAGTTTGGACGTGCTGCAGAGATGATTGGTCCTTGGGTCAACGGTGTTGATCTAAACTGCGGTTGTCCACAATCATGGGCGATGAAGGAGGGAATCGGCTGCAGCATGATGGCACACCCAGAAAAGGTCGCTGCTATGATCAAAGAGGCCAAGCAGAGGATTGGACCTGGCAAAACTGTGTCATGCAAAATCCGAATTCACCAAGACNTTGAAGTATCGTTGGTCATGATTGTGGATTTGTGATCATCTGCTGACATGTTTCACAGCGAAACGATCAGATTCATCAAGATCGTGGAAGAAGCAGGTGTTGACTACATCACCATCCATGGACGTCTACGCAACCAACGCTCGTCGACGCCACCAAATTTCGAAGCCATTAAGATGCTGAGAGGGCAGACCACATTACCCGTTCTCGCAAACGGAGATGTGTATACGCTAGAAGACGCCCACCGCATCACAAAGGAGACCGGTGTCGATGGTGTCATGGCCGCTCGAGGTCTGCTGGAGAACCCTGCCTTGTTTGCAGGCTTTGACAAAACGCCTATCGAGGCTGTCTCTCAATTCATATATTATGCTGTTCAGGGTGGAATGCGCCACGAACTTGTGGTACACCATTTGTCAGAAATGATGGGTGGTGTGACCACANAAAGAGAAAGAGCAGGTCTTGCAGTCTGCAACGACATGGTGGACGTTATAGATTGGCTAGACAGCAGATGCAAGCTGCAACGACCTCTCATGTAGGGTCATTCTAATATGATCACCAAGCAAGGAGGCAATGCACAATACCTGATTCTCTGATTCTCCAGGCGGAACACTTGTCCACCATTGGCCTGTCTCTCTATCCTGAGATCTATCACCCGCATCTTTCTCTCATAACCAAAAGGGATGACAGGTAGACTGTGGCAAGGCATTCTTGTTCTGACTACAGCTGTGCCTAGAGAGGAAACATTTGGTAGATGCGTGTCCCGTCTCTCGATAGTATGTTACAATGGTTTGGCCATACCAGCAAAAGACACTTGACACAAACAAACCGTCTCTCTTTCTCACGTCAATTAACCCAGCCGGCTTATCGTCCCAACGACTCGGCGCTATCGTGTCAATGTACCTTTTGATGAGCCGAAATAGGTAACATGACTCGCATTGAGGAAGTGGAAGAATACCAGTGGTGAGCAGACAACTACCCACTCCGCATATACAGCAATTCAGTTGATCTACCATCTCATCCATCACAAATTTATCCAGAACTGAAGAGCGAACAATGTGACCTTGATCTCGTCATGAAGTAAGAAGCACGTGGACGGAGTGATACACAATGCACAAGCGGGCCGGGCCGAGGCAATCAGCGATGATGATGATGATGTTTATCATCAAGGTTCTCAATCTTTTTTCCGTTGTCGGCAAGGGGGTCAGAGTCAGTCTGTACCGAATTGTCTGTTGCTCATCGTGATTCGTGATACGTTTACCAATGTACCCGGATACTACTTAAGAGAAACCCCGTCCTTTTGTTGAGTGACCTGTTTCCCGCTCCATGACCCAATCTTGTCACCATGTCTGTTTCTGAGCCACAGTCTTTGTTCCTGAGGTTACCTCCCGAATTGAGGCTTGACATCTACAGGGAACTCCTCCTTCACGATCCGAATTGCACCTTTGCAAGCTCCAAGCCTGCTCTGCTCCCAACCTCGGTAGACTACCATGAAGGCCATCACACCGCATCGAACCATGTAGAGCCAAACGCTGTCACTCTCTCCATCCGTGCCGAAGACCCATCCAGCTACAAATCGCGTGCTCCTGAACATGTACGCAGCGCCTTTNTTGTCCGCTCCGGCGGCCTACGGCCTGGCTGCGTGCCTACGACCTACTTCTGCGTCAGTAATATGGGCATCCACACATCCCTACTGCGAGCGAACGCCAGAATCCACGCCGAAGCTGTCGAAGTCTTGTACTCGAACCACGTCTTCGACTTCGACATGCACATCGAGGCTTTCGTCGGCTTCCTAGGAGATCTGACTCCTTTCGCTCGCAATTGTATACGATCGATACGTCTGGTAAAACGCGCCTTGCCGTACGATAAAGAATATTCGAAAGCAGAATGGGCCATTGCTATGGGGTGGTGCGCAAGACTTCCCAATCTGAGGTCGTTATCGCTAGGCATTGTCGCTGGAAAGCCAGGTCCAGACGGCTGGGATCTGATTCCTGCTTTCAGACCGGAACACTTCGATATACTCAGGGGCACGGATGGCATGGAGTGGATCGAAGAGCTCCTTGCTGTGAAGGGACTAGATCACGTTGCAGTCGAGCCCATCGTCGTGCATAGCCCGTTCCCTAGAAGCGCAGCGATGGCACGTTACATCCAGTTCTCGGCGAGTATCGACGATGGATCCNTTGAAGTCTGGTTGAAGGACAACATGATTAAGAGGGAGTAAGCACTTCCAGCTTGTTAGAATGGATTCTCTGGAAATGAGATGTGAGAGGATGAAGAGCAATCGATCAGCAATGTACAACCATCTGAGGTCTGCAGTGGGCCTCATTCACGCGAACCCTACGAATTGAGCAGTGATTGAAACTTTTCAAGCTCTTTTGATTGTGATTAGTATGAAGTCTGAGCCTTGTACGAGACGGAGAAAAGGAAGCAGAAGAAGAAGCTGGATCTTAGTATGCCCATATCCATACAGTTTGAAGCGCCCAGAACGCCAGAAGAAAACAAGGAGGTTGTTTCGCTGCCCACTCAGACCTTGACCCACAGCGACAGAACACTCTTAGCATACGCCGTGATCTCGTTGGAACCAATTTTTGAGTCTCCGTACAGACGGTCGACGAAGCTGATGGGTACCTCTGCAACCTTGAAGCCCATTGCCTTTGCTCTGACCATCATCTCCATCTGGAAGCTGTAGCCCTTGCTTTCAGTCTTGCGAATGACCTCTTGCAGGACAGATTTCTTGTAGAGTCTGAAGGAGCCAGTCAAGTCGCTGACACCTGGTCTGAGCAGAGTGTCGGCGAACAAGTTGGCGCCTCTGCTGACGAACTTTCTCTTGAGGTCCCAGCCGTAAACACCTCCATCTCCAGCGTAGCGTGTTCCAGTGACAATGTCGTAGTCGGCGCCGTTCTCGCTCTGTTTCTTGATCATCTGGGGGATGAACTTGGGGTGATGACTGAAGTCGGCGTCCATGATGATAACGAAGTTGCCGGTGACATACTGCAGGCCGTGGACGTAAGCAGTGCCGAGACCCAGCTTGCCAGCTCGAGGCTTCAGCTTGATGCGTTCGCCAGAGTAGGCTTTGATGAGTTGTTGGGCAATGTCTTGTGTGCCATCAGGCGAGGCGTCGTCGATGATGATAAGTTCCCAATCCAGGTTGCTANNCGGCATTCAATCAGCATCACATGTTGTTTGCGCCAGGAACGTCTGGGAGTGTTACTTTTCGGTAAAGGTCTTGTTAAGCAACCAGGCAATGATGGGGAGGTTGCGTCGCTCATTGTAGGTGGGCAGCAGCACCGAGTACTTGTTACGGACGGCCATGTTGTCGGTTGTTGTGAATTACAAGTAGTTAGAAAGGAGAACAGTCGCGCCAGATGGAGCTTCAAGCTGCTGCCAGGTGTTGCGGAGTCGCCTCAGCGTCCACCCCTGACTACCAGTTATGGATCTTCAGTAAACATAGAATTAGATATGATACTGTCGCATCAGATTTACATGCATGTATCCTCCCGTGTACTAAAGTATGTAACGCGTATAGCTGTAGAAATGCAGAATAGTAACAGAAAACAAGATAGTATCCACTGAGAGGCAACAAGTTGTCGACTCTCTGGGGACACGCTCTGCTTCTGATAACAATTGTGCTTTTTATAGTCCAGATTTTGCTCTGAACTATAGTCGGAGTACGGTCAAGTTGCAGACTTTAGTATACGGAGAGGATACAGTCTATATTCTACTCTGCAAGTAATGCGTGTCACTTGGCTATTACATGTTGTTGGTAGAAAGTTAGTCAACGGAGGATTTCAGAAGTGGTAGATGACAAAATGTGCAAGGCTACAAAGATCAAGAATTCTTTTATTATCGACATATGAATATGTGTTCTAGCCTTTCTGCTGCTGCTGCTTCTTTTTCTTTTTACTAGCCTTTTCTGCAAGGAGCTGATCAAGATATGTTCCAGATCTCTTCTTGCTTGGCCTCGGATCGTCATCATCGTCTGACGATGGTCCAGCTTTGTGCTGGTTCTGAGACGTGGAGCCGGTCTTATTCGTGGACGAGTGAGGAGGCCCCTTTCTTTTCAAGGTGGACTTTGAGACGACCATAGTCGCTCTTCCCTCTTCATCGTCGTCCTCGTCGGCGTCCACCTGATCTGCATTGGTCTTCTGCGGCGCAGGCGTCTTTTGAACAGGCTGAGGCTTCGAAGTAGCTCTGTGACCTCTGGCAGCTTTCTTGCCTAGCAATTGCTCTAGCAGTCTGTCATAGTTTGCGCCGGATCTTTTCTTCAGCAGCGGGTCTTGATCTGCGTCGGGGTCGGATGCACCGAGTCCAAGGCTAGACGCTCTCAGTCCATCTCTTTCTGTAGCAGAGGAAGCGACAATGCTCACAGCTCTGGTGTGGGTTTGAACAATTCCTCATCTTCCTTCAACAACTCTTGATGGGTCTTCTGGGGAAGCGTTTCTTGACTAGTTTTGGTGGGAAGCCACGACTGGACTAAGCGCTGGCTGTGGGCAAGCGCGACATTTGCGCGATTGAAAATGATATCGGCGTCAGTGGGTGCGTTGTCTTTGGGCATGGTTGATGGGATAAAATGATGAATATTATCGGTCGCGAGTCGGCGATGGCATGCGGAAGCGCAGAGCAAGCCGGCAGAAAGCGGACCTAACCGGGGCGTCGAGGCTTGGCGACGAAGATTGTCGGGAGTGCGTTCGTAGAGTTGTTGTATCTCTTTGCTGAGCCTTGTTTGCACCAAAGCTCCATACCCTCCCTCTCCTCTCTACTATCACGCCATGTTCAAGCTCGCCCGCAGCAGGCAGGCCGCCTCTGCGTTCCAGGCCATCAAGGTTGGCTCTCCCACCTCACTCAAGAGTCCCGGATCCCTTGCGACTAACACAACCCTTAATGCAGAATGCGNNCCTGTCAAGCAGCAGAGACGCAACCTCTCCATCCACGAGTACCGCTCCGCCAAGCTCCTCGAGTCCTACGGCATTGGTGTCCCCAAGGGTGATGTCGCTCACAATGCTGCCGAGGCCGAGCAGATCGCCAAGGGCATCNCGTATGCTGAACCCAACACTCGATCTATACACACGTCCCCGTGCTGATTACTCGCAGCTGGCGATGACATGGTCATCAAGGCCCAGGTTCTTGCCGGAGGCAGAGGCAAGGGTCACTTCGACAACGGCTTCAAGGGTGGTGTCAGAGTCGTCTACTCGCCCAAGGAGGCCTCAATCCTCGCCAACGAGATGATCGGACACAAGCTCATCACAAAGCAGACTGGCGAGAAGGGTCGCATCTGTAACTCGGTCTACATTGTCGAGCGCAAGTTCGCCCGCCGCGAGTTCTACCTCGCCGTTCTCATGGACAGAGCCAGCCAGGGCCCCGTAATTGTTGCTTCCTCCCAGGGTGGTATGGACATCGAGGCCGTCGCCAAGGAGAACCCCGATGCCATCATCACCACAAAGGTCGACATCCACCAGGGCGTCACCGACGAAATGGCCAAGAACATCGCTACCCAGCTCGGCTTCTCTCCTCAGTGCATTGACGATGCTGCCCAGACCATCCAGAAGTTGTACAAGGTCTTCATGGAGAAGGACGCTACTCAGATTGAGATCAACCCCCTTTCCGAGACTTCGGACCACCAGGTTCTCTGCATGGACGCCAAGCTCAACTTCGACGACAACGCCGACTTTAGACAGAAGCAGGTCTTCGAGTGGCGCGACACCACCCAGGAGGACGCTGACGAGGTCAAGGCCGCCGAGTCTGGCTTGAACTTCATCAAGCTCGACGGTGACATTGGCTGCCTCGTCAACGGTGCCGGTCTCGCCATGGCCACCATGGACATTATCAAGCTCAACGGAGGTCAACCCGCCAACTTCCTCGACGTTGGTGGTGGTGCCACTCCCGCTGCCATCAGAAGTGCCTTCGAGCTCATTACTAGCGACCCCAAGGTTACTGCCATCTTTGTCAACATCTTCGGTGGTATCGTCCGTTGCGACGCCATTGCCACTGGTCTCATCCAGGTTGTTCAGTCCATGAACCTCAGAATCCCCATCATTGCCCGTCTCCAGGGTACCAACATGGAAGCCGCCCACAAGCTCATCAACGAGAGTGGCATGAAGATTTTCAGCATTGATGACCTCCAGACCGCCGCCGAGAAGGCCGTCCAGTTCTCAAAGGTCGTCAAGATGGGTAAGTTTTGGCGTTCATTCATCTCAGATGTCAGGTCTCTAACATATTCTTTACAGNCCCGTGACATCGACGTCGGTGTCGAGTTCTCTCTCGGTATCTAAAAGGCAGGTGTGGCTTTGTAGTGGGAGGATTGTTCCCTTTCGGCGTTTAATTTGCAGACAGTCAATCACCGTCGATTGTATATACCTAGCGCGTTTCTCTCAGTCAGTGTGGAATCAAGGGACCATTTCTTTTCGTTCTTCACAAGTACAACACGACCCCTGTTTTGCTCTCATCCGTCCCATAGCCGAAATACGGGATGGCATAATGCCATTGAGACACGAGACGTGGTTGCCAGAAGCCAGGGGAATTCAGATGTAATGTTTCAAGCCTAATGAGCTACTCGATATCTTGCAAATGTCCGGCGAAGTGATTCGATGCCGTCCTTGCAGACCATCGATCTCAACTTTTGACGCCTGGATACAAACACATGGATCTATGAGTGTTCAGCGACAATTTCCAGCTGGGTAGCCTTCGCGGGAAGACGGTCAATGGCCGTGGAAGACTGCCGAAGGACGCGAGCCAGTGCCGAAGAACACTTCCGTCTTCTCCCCGCAAAGAGGCCCCGGACTCAAGTAGCTACCTTCGCCATCATGACAAAGATGGCGGTGCCTTCTTCTGCTTTACTCTCCTTTGCTGCGTCCCGGATCCTCACAGTTTACGGTTGAACAGTCTCATACCTTCATCATCATGGCCGGCTTCATTCAANAAGGCGTCAAGAACATTCTGTCCAAGCAGCCAAACGACGTTGTCATCCTATCAGCACTACGAACTCCAGTCACCCGTGCAAAGAAAGGAGGATTTAAGGATGCTTACGATCACGAGTTGCTCGCACACGTCCTGAAGGCGACCCTCGAGGCCAACCCGAACCTAGACCCTGCCAAAATCCAGGACATTCAAATAGGCAATGTTCTCTCAGAACTTGGTGGCAGCAAGGCAGGCAGAATGGCTTCATTGCATGTGGGATACCCGGAGACCGCCTCGTTCCAAACCGTCAACAGAGCATGTTCGAGTGGTCTTGCAGCCATCACTGGTATTGCTCACTCCATCGCTGTTGGCAGCATCGACGTAGGCATTGGTGGTGGTATGGAGAGCATGACCAGAAACTACGGCAGCCGAGCCATCCCTACGCAACTCTGGGACGAACTCAAGAACACATCCGTCAAGGACGCCAAGGACTGTATCATGTCTATGGGTATCACCGCCGAGAACGTAGCCGAGCGTTATGGAGTCTCAAGAGCAGACCAGGACGCCTTTGCCGCCAACTCACACCAAAAGGCAGCCAAGGCACAAAGAGATGGATTATTTGATAAGGAGATCGTTCCCGTTAAGACAAGATCGCATCCCAACCCGGAGACTCCTGAGGTCACCGAAGAGATCACCGTGAGCAAGGACGATGGAATCAGACCTAAGAGCACACCAGAGAGTCTCGCAGGAATGAAGCCTGCTTTCAAGCCTGATGGTGCTGCCACTGCTGGAAACAGCAGTCAAGTCTCTGACGGTGCAGCTGCCACTCTGATGATGAGAAGAAGCACAGCCACCCAGCTTGGTCTTGAGAAGAACATTATTGGCAAGTGGGCAGGTACTCAAGTCGTCGGCTGCAAGCCTGACGAGATGGGCATTGGTCCTGCTATCGCTATCCCCAAGCTGCTTGAGTACACTGGAATCTCCACAAGCGAAGTTGGCATCTGGGAGATTAATGAGGCATTTGCCAGTCAAGCCATCCACTGCATCCGAACTCTGGGCATCTCCGAGGATAAGGTGAACCCCAAGGGTGGTGCTATTGCCCTTGGCCATCCTCTGGGTGCCACTGGAGCTAGACAGCTTGCCACCCTGCTGCCGGAGATGGAGAGACAAGGCCAAGAAATTGGTATTGTATCAATGTGCATTGGTACTGGGATGGGAATGGCCAGTCTCTTTGTTCGCGAATTCTAAGGAAACAAACATGTCATCTTAACTTGAGAGAACAAGCTTCTAGATACCAGCCCTTGTAAAAATACACAAAATGTTCATACCTTCTTTCCTGTCCATTTGCTTAAACCTGCCCTTCCAAACCTTGTCTTTGAGCACATGTAAGCTGTGGCATCGTACAATATGTTCTGAAGATAGAACGACCTCCACTGGAAAGCACAAAATATTTGGCTCTCACTGAACATATCCCTGATATTGAAACAACTGTGCATTTTGATAGCTGCATGTGTAGCAGATATTCGCACTCGAAAGGCTGAATTTAGTGAACCCAACAGCTTATTGCATATCTGCATATCTTCCAAACACCGATGCTGATAATTCGTAGTCGCGAAGATTACAAAGCCGCTAGATGTCCTTGCCGCGAGCCTCTTTCTCCTTGCGCAGAACTCGGCCTGCTCAACTTGGCTCTTGCTCAAATCAACGAAGAAGAAGATGAACAAGAAGCTGACCAAGCTGAGAGCAAGCAGGAAGTAGAAGGGTGTGCTGTTGTTGTGCGAAGGACTTGCATCAATGATTGCAGATGAGACCAGGGGACTAGGGGGTAGTGTTAGCAGATGCTTGTTGAAGAATTGGTACGATATCAGGGAGCTCCCGGGTGTGAGGCCGAGACACCATTTGGTGCTTGCCGTGCCTTTGATATCTATACACTCCACCGGTGCACTCGAAGTACTTACCCGATAAAGGCCGATGTCTTGCCGACCATGGAGAACAAAGAAAAGAACAGATACTCCTTGCCTCGAGGAGTGACTTCTGAAATCATCACCAAAGAATAAGAGTACCTGTAATGATAGCAGGTTAACATGATTCTTGTGCGAGATGGAGTAGGTAGCCATACCAAGGGCAAACAAAGATGCCATAGAAGACTTGCTGTCAAGACGTCAGCCATGTTTGTTACCAATTTCAAACGGGACCTCGAACATAGAACCAGAACTCGATCTTAACCTTGTATCCAACTTTCTGTTACGGTGTTAGTATATTGAATGGAGTGATAGACCGATGATCATACCTGTGTGAAGATGCCAATCATGCCCCAGGCAGCTAGGCAGATGATTCCAATCGCAACAGCATTAAACATCGTTTTGGTGGATAGTCCGTAGCGCTTTTGTATATACCCTAAAATAGTAAGCAGTGTGCTAGCAGAACTAGATACAGTTCGACTTACAGAATCCACCAATACCTACAGCTTGAGCGGCAATACCAACGAGCAGAAGATATGTCAACTCAAGTGTGTTGTAAGTGACCACGGCATTCTGAAGAGTGCCAATCACCGTCACGATTGTGTTCAGCGAGTCTCCTAGCAAGAAGTATCCGATGAGGTAACAGAAGGATTGTCTGAGTTGCCAGATCTGCGTCACGGCGTACCACAATTGAGAGACGCCAGCTACTAGGATCGATGACTCTACTTGCATGCCAGGTCGTTTCTTTTCCATGAAGAACCAGGGGGAGTGAGAGGAGCAGCCATACACCACTGCTGAAGGCGATCAAGACAGATAAACCATAGTTGTTGTTTGCGGTGGAATCATCTACATGCATTGCAAACATGATTCCAACGATGACAGCCTGTTGGTGATTAATGAGGTGAATCTAGAACGATACGAAGGGCTCCTTACAAGGATAATCATTTCACCACAGGATTGGACGTAGAAGGCAACCTGATCTTGTTAGCACAATATGCGGATTCCACACCACAAGTCTGCTCTGGACTCCAATTCGATTCCATCCAAGCAACCAACACTCAATCCGATCAAGAGAGTCTTTGGAGATTGTGTTGGCTCGGAACTTCTCATGATATCAAGTCAAACAAAAGAGACAAGGCTTCAGGAAGACCGTAATGATTGCAGCTTTCACTTACATTACTCAACTCGTTTCTTTTCATGCTGTCTGCATGATCATACTCTTCGCGGGTAATAGTACCGTCTGCGAGATCTCGTGCCTTTTCTCGGATCTCCTTGGTGTTTCTGGCCAAGCTAGGGAAGGCAGCAGCCCAAAAGCTGAGGGTGAGCTGAGAAGAGATGTGAGCGACCGAAACTATTAGGGCGACAGCGAGGGCAGGGGCTGACCTGGTATCCGATCAATCCTGAAGAAAAAACCAGTCAGATGCAAGATTCTCTTTGTAAAATAGTAATTAGGCCAGCTATAGCAATGGCATTTACTAAGTTCTTTATAGGGTTATCCTTACCTACGATGTATAAGCCAGTTCCGATCTGCCACTTGTCTGGCGTGTGTACACCGAGCCATCCAAATCCAATGGCATAGGCGATAATAGAAAGTCCAATCAGGATCTTGGAACGAAGTGTACCGAAGTCTGCGTAAGCTCCCAAGATCAAGAATAGAACAACCTGTATGGCGAAAGATATTCCGTTGCTGAGGAGGACAATGGAGTTGATTGTGCGATCTGCTCCCATGAAATGAAGGATTTCATTGTCTCCAGCCTTTTGGTATAGCAAATTCTGAAAGGCAGTAGGACCAAAGTTGAAGAGAGACAATCCGTTTGCTATATGAATTGTTAGTTTACAGTTCTATCTCATTTCTTTTCCTTTCTACTTTCCTCCAACGTAGTATAGAAACCAAGCCCTGCTCTGTTAGCCTCTGTTTCCACTTTGACGGTGATAAGAATCACCAAATCTCCCAGCGCGAAGTTTCGTAGCGTTCGTCTAGCTGGTCTGGGGCCACTGGACTCTCGGCTTCCTCGAGGTCGATTGATCCATGGACCGCTCCTTTGATGGGCTCGTTGGCCTCCGCGCCCAATTGTGCAAGGCCAGGGTCATTTGAAGCCATCGCTATGAAGTGCAATAATTGCTTGTGGACGATTAGGAACGAAGCCTGTTGAAAAAGGTCGCAAACAACTGAAACTATCGGCTCATCTGCTTGTCGGCGAGAGAAGATAGAGAATTCTACTGAGGCAAAACTGAAGATACGGTACTTATCAAATTGCTACGCCAGTCATTGCCGATGAACCAGAGACAATCTAGAGTGAAAAACACAGTGACCCGCACTGAGCTAGCAAGGTTCAAGGCCCCAGTAGGCTAGAGCCTAGAGTGCCCCGGGCAAGATACAGAATTATCTCTGGTGCCACAAACTCGGACATGTGGTATGTGATGCATCAAATATGCATCGTAGAACGACGGCAGAATAAGCGTTCACAAATTGAGACTATTCATTGATCTGGTCATCTGCAAGGAAAGCTTCGACAAAACATGTTCAGTGCCTTGACTCTTGGATCCTTGGCCTGTGGTACGCTAGTACCCAAAGTGGGTGTCCTTACTTGCCACGAGGCTGGGGTTTGGAAGCAGTCTGTTGCTTCCGAGGGACGACCTCCAAAACTCCATCCAACTACTCACGTCACCTACCTTCATCCACTTCGTATATCCTATTCTATCGTTCAGACTGCCGTATACCGGACGTTAGAGCGTTGATGGAATATTGAATGCCAAGCCAGTTGGAATGTTGCTCGGTTTCCATGGCATTTGTTCCCAACGGCCACCCAACCTCCTCCCAGCCACCGATATACCAGCCATCCTTGTGCCAACCAAGATATTAAAAGCAGTCACCAGCAGGCTAGCATGTAGACCCACTTACTCATACACTGCACTCAAGCTAAGTTTTCACCCTCGAGTCTCTTACCTGCCTCTTCCTCCATCGTCTCCTGCACGATCAATCCACCCTCAAAACTACCACTTTCCATCTCTTACTCCCATCACACCTCCTATCACAATCTTCCGAAGAGCAACAATGCGCTCGGTTGCACTTGCTCTTGCGTACCTTGCCACTGGCATCCACGCCCTCCCAAGACCGGCAGTGAGCTACGCAGTGGTCAACGTAGATGGTGGTTCTGCACCTACGAGCACTGAGGCAGCCCAAACGACAGTAATCTCTACTGTTGTCGAGTCAGAGGCGCCTACGACCGTCTCAGAGATTGTATACAAGACTGTGACCGATTCATCGGCTACAGCAACCACTGTTTCTGTCAAGACCGTCACAGAGACACCAAGTGCCGTTTCCACACCGGCCAGCAGCCTTCACTCTGCTGCTTCCTCGACACCAGCACAAGCTTCAGAAACCCCTTCAACGCCATCATCGCCAGCACCGTCCTCATCTTCACCATCATCATCAGCATCGTCATCTTCGCCATCACCATCGACATCATCAACGAGCACAACATCGCTCTCGTCGGCGCCATCGTTGGCTACATCATCTGCCGACTCGTCCTCGACAGATGCACCACTGTCATCTTCGCAATCATCTACATCCCACACAGTCAAAAGCAGCACGTTCACAGGTGCCGCATCCTCGACGCGCAGCAGCACAACAACAACGCCATCAGTATCGATCAACTCGATCGTATACGAGGTGACTGGTGGAGCACTTACCACAGACTATGTGACAGTCACACTTTCTGGCAGCGCCCAACCCACAAGCTCAACGACCAGTTCGAAGTCATCTACGTCGGCTGTTTCGGCAGCTTCGACAATCATTGTGGTGCAGACCCAGACTGTGGTTCCGGCACCAGTGGCGCCCACTTCGGCTTCTTACTACGACAATGGAATGTGGCACACATCGTACGTTGTCAAGAACTTCCCTACGCTGGCACCAAGTGCTGCAGGACACCACTGGAACAGCACATCGCACTGAGCTTAGGTCTCGACGCGACAGTGAGATTCGGCAAGGCGGGTAATCACGTTGTGAATGGAGGACAAAAGACGCACGACTTCTGGCAAGCGTGTGGTGATGACAGACATATGATATATAGAATAATACATAATAATGATCAATTAAAACAACACATCATCTCCTTCAAGTGCTATTGTGATCGCGAAGAGTGAAAGTCAAATGGATGTTCAGTGATGGTAATGCAACATGAAAGCGTTGATAGTGTGGAGGAGTGGCTGAAGAGGCAGAGGTGGGCTGGAACTTGGTTGGAAGGCGGTGGTGGAGCTCGGGCCGGAGCACCGTAACACCCTTAAGTAACGCGGAGGTCGTAGGTGCATACCGTCGTCATGCGACCAGAGTAGAAGCAATTGCGCCGTCGCTCACCTCACCTCACACAATTCTCTCTCAAAATGGCATCACCGCCGCTGGTCGAGGACCAGGCACGACTGCTAGAAGATGCCTTGACCGTCGTGCGCCAGCAGACGGTCCTGATGCGCCGGTGCCTGGACACGCCGGGCAAGCTCATGGATGCCCTCAAGTGCAGGCACGTACCAGACCACTCGACGCGCCTCAATTCGCACTGCTGACCAGTGCCACNNAGCTCTACCCTCGTCTCCGAACTACGCACCTCCAGCCTCGGCCCCAAACAGTACTATGAGTTGTACATGTCTGTCTTCGATGCCTTGCGCCATCTCGCCGTCTACCTACGCGAGTCGCACCCTACCAATCACCTTGCCGACCTCTACGAACTTGTCCAATATGCAGGCAACATCGTCCCTCGCCTGTACCTCATGATCACTGTCGGCACTGTCTACATGGGCATTGAGGATGCCCCCGTCAAGGAGATAATGAAGGACATGATGGAGATGAGCAGAGGTGTTCAACATCCCATTCGTGGTCTCTTCCTCCGCTACTACCTTAGTGGCCAGGCTAGGGACTACTTGCCAACTGGTCAAGGCCAAGGTCCCGAAGGCAATCTCCAGGACTCCGTTAACTTTGTCCTTACCAACTTTGTCGAGATGAACAAGCTCTGGGTCAGACTGCAACATCAAGGTCACTCGAGAGAGCGTGAGCAGCGCACAAAGGAACGTCAGGAGCTGCAACTGCTTGTTGGTAGCAACCTTGTGCGTCTCAGCCAACTCGTTGATCTCGAAGCCTACAAATCGTCCATTCTCCAGCCCCTGCTCGAGCAGGTCGTACAGTGCCGCGACGTGCTTGCTCAAGAATATCTGCTCGAAGTCATTACCCAGGTCTTCCCTGATGAGTTCCACCTACACACTCTCGATCAATTCCTTTCAGCAACCGCCCGTCTTAACCCTCACGTCAACGTCAAGGCTATCGTCATCGGCCTCATGGATCGCTTGTCTGCTTACGCCGCCCGTGAATCCGAGTCTGACGCACCTGAAGATCGTGAGAAGGCCGAAACCGAGGCTACCACAAGATTGCTAGAGAAGATGAAGATCGCTCAAGAGTCTGCCTCAGCTCCCGCCGATGATGAAGCAACTCATCAGAACGGAGACTCAAAACCCGCAGATGACACTCCTGCTGAGACTGCTCCTGACGCCACGCCTGAAGAAGCGACCAAGACAGATTCAGTCGAGACCAATGGTGACGCTAAAAAGCAGAGAGGCATCCCCGATAATGTGCGCCTCTTCGAAGTGTTCCACGAACAAGTTATCCACCTTGTCAGCATGCAGAGACTGCCCATTCAAGACATCACAGCGCTTCTTGTCTCGTTGATCAATCTTGCCTTGAACATCTATCCCGACCGACTAGAATACGTCGACCAAGTCTTCCAATACGCAAACAAAGAGGTTTCAAGGTTTGCCAATTCGGCTGACCTTCATTCGCAAGCATCTCAAGCTAACCTCTTGAACCTGCTTCTGGCGCCGGTCAAGACCTACTTCTCCCTATTCACAGCTCTTGCAATCCCAAGCTTCATCCCTCTTCTTCATGCCCAACCATACCCCACTCGGCGATCGGTAGCTGGAGAAGTCGCACGAAGCTTGCTGCGCAACGAGACTAGGATATCAACTTCTGAAAACCTTAATGGAGTACTGGAGATTCTTAAGGTCCTGATCAAGGAGGGTATGCAACAACCTTCCGGATACCCTGGTGGACCAGTACGAAGAGCTGCTGCAGAGACCGACGAGACTGTCGAAGAACAGGGATGGCTTGCACGCATTGTACATCTCATTCGTGGCGAGGATTGCAACACTCAATTCAAGTTGCTCCAGCTAGCCCGCGATGCATACGCACAAGGCAACGAGCGCATCAAGTACACTACACCTGCACTGATCACAGCCTCGCTCAAGCTCGCTCGCCGATTCAAGGCTCGTGAGCATCTACAAGATGACTGGTCCAGCCAGTCTTCTGCACTATACAAGTTCTGCCATACACTTATCTCAACGTTATACACCAGAGTTTCTACGCCCGGTGTTCCTGATCTCGCATTAAGGCTCTTCATATCCTGCGGCTCTGTTGCCGATCAGTGCGGGTTCGAGGAGGTCGCTTATGAGTTCTTCGCGCAAGCGTTCACTGTCTACGAAGAGAGCATCAGTGACTCAAGGGCTCAGTTCCAAGCGATTTGTGTCATTGCACAGAGTCTTAGTGGTGCGCGCAACTTCAGCCGAGAGAACTACGATACTCTTATCACAAAATGCGCGCTTCACGGCAGCAAGCTGCTCAAAAAGCCCGACCAGTGTCGCGCTGTGTATTTGGCCAGTCACTTGTGGTGGTCTGTCGAGAAGAATGCAGAAGAAAGCGAAGAGAACAAGGAGAGTAAAGAAGGCAAAGAGGTATGTCGTGAACGGATACACATTGATGATAACAGCTAATCTTTTCAACAGCTCTATCGCGATGGCAAGAGAGTTCTTGAATGTCTTCAGCGCGCACTGCGTGTGGCTGACGCCTGCATGGACACAGCAGTGTCAGTCGAGTTGTTCGTCGAGATTCTTAACCGCTACGTCTATTACTTTGACCAGGAGAATGATGCTGTAAGTGGTCGCGACGAAAGATTGGCCGTTCCAATACTGAACAATGTACAGGTGACGACCAAATATTTGAATGGACTGATCGAACTGATTCACTCGAACCTCAACACGAATGAGAACAGTTCAAGCCTAGACAACCCAAGAAGACACTTCCAGCGGACATTGGATTACATTGCAGGCAGAGAGTACGCCGGAGTCGAAACGCGACCCAAATGAAGAATTAAGTGTAGATAATGTATGCAAATGCGTCGAGTTTTGGTCGTGTAGAAATACAGTTGTCGAGTTGTCCGTGATGCGATTAACAAAGCGTTTGTTTTGTTTGAGAAGCAGCGACGTCAGATGAGTTTCGGTCTACGGAGACGTTGGTGCACATCTCTCCACCTGTAAACAACAAATCATTCACTCGCCCCTTCGCATCGACCGTCCTCACCTCGTGATAAACAGCAGACCGACTTGCTCTCCAGCTTGAGGGAATCCGATAATATCGCGCGTGTCTTTCCGGAAGCAGGCGACAAAAACACGAAGCCCGACCTCGACGTCGACATATCCGCAACGAACCGCACACACGACCGCAAAACATGGGAGGCTACCTATCATCGCTGTCGAAACTCGTATGGGCAAAGAAAGAGATTAGGATATTGATCNTTGGGCTTGGTACGGCGAATCCACCAACAAGCAGGCGAAGCAAGCTGACAGTCTTGCCTCACTAGGACAACGCCGGAAAGACAACTCTTCTCTACAGGCTTAAGGTGAGTTGGCATCATCCTACTAGGGGTTGGTGCCGTGCTAACCAGCATCATCCGGTAGNNATTGGCGAAGTCGTTACCACCATTCCAACAATAGGCTTCAACGTCGAGTCCGTTAACTACAAAAATCTCAACTTCAATGTTTGGGTATGCGCCCCTGATATTCTCTCGTCCTCGGCCTGCCGTCTGACACGTCACATAGNNGATCTAGGAGGTCAAACATCTATCCGCCCGTACTGGAGATGTTATTATGCCAACACAGCCGCTGTCATTTTCGTCATTGACTCGACTGATGTCGACCGACTTTCTACCGCTGCTGATGAGCTTTCGGCAATGCTGAACGAGGAGGAACTGCGTGATGCTGCCTTACTAGTCTTTGCGAACAAACAAGATCAACCGGGTGCCAAGGGTGCTGGTGATATCAGTGAAGCTCTTCGCTTGGGCGAGCTCAAAGACAGGAACTGGACTATCGTGGCTTGCAGTGCTATCGATGGTAGAGGTGTGTCGGAGGGCATGGATTGGATGGTCGTACGTTTAAACCAACTCGCTGCCGCTGTCGCTTATGCGGTTCTCCCCAAATTGGTCATGAACTAACCGCTCGACAGCAAACTGTGCAACAAGACTCGTCGTGATCTTGAGGATTCGGCCCAGTTGATCACTAAGCTTCCGGGAGCTCGATCATGCCTGTACTGCCGCCTCCACGCCTCTGTCCTCCGCCCGATCGGGGGACTTCATGTTCCATTAATGATACCCAAAATACACTGTAATTATGCGCTGCCATCTAACTGTGTTCTTTGCCACACTACCGTCTCAGCTGCTGGCCTCATTACCCGACCGCTCCATGCGTTGTCGAGTCACTATCCTTGCTCATTGTTGCGAAGGAATTTCTGTAGGATATCGTTCTAGTAAAGAGAAACTTCAGCACTCATTCTCGATGTATCTCCCTTTCAGAGGCCGCAGACCACGATCCTCACGTACTTCGTCTTAACAAGCATATCGAATATTGATTCAAACCTGCTAGGCGATCACCCTATCGCCAGCCTCATGAACAGCAAGTGAGGCTATCTAGAACAGAGAGCGGCTTCAATCAGACGTCATCGACCGTACACAATATATGATGGTAGCCTCTGGCCTCTAAGAGACCCCTCCATGCTCTGTCGATGCCACTCGCCGCGCTCATCGTCACGAACGAATGTCTGTTGAATTGAGGTATTGGTTTCTAGTAAACAGAAACTTTCAAACTCCCTCGACGTGTCTGCCTTTCTGCGGAGCAACCGACAATGGTTCTTATATACTTCGTCTCAATCAAGCATTCCGAATATCAATCCAAACCTGCATGGCGATCACCTTGCTATCAGCTACACAGATAGCGAAACAGACTATACTGAGTAAAAGACCGGCATGTATACCATACATTAGACTATCACAGCACTGCATTTAGGCACTATCGACTATACACAAAAAATATATATGATGTTTCGAAATCAGGTGTTCGAGAGACCACTCGGAATTGCAGCACGAGAGCTCTCATGTACCTCTTGTGAGCTCTCGTTGTCTATTCTCTTTGTCCAGAAAGGGTTAGCCAATGCACGTGTAATGGATTGGTCTAATTTTCATTGACATAAAGTTATGCCAGGCAGTCAGCTTGACCATTGTCTAGATGCTACTTCCTCCTGTGCTGAATGATATGACAAGTCTGTAGGAATGCACAATACAGCTAGGAGCGAGGATAGTGTGTATTGAGAGGCGACACCTTGTCTGCTCTCTGGAGCCACGGCTCTGCGTTCTAAGATGACTGAGTGTGCTCTTTGCTCCTCACCATAGCTGGAGTACGATCGAAGTTATGGCCTTTAGGACATGGGCAGGTTTTACCTGGGTTTCACTGCCCAATCCTCTGCATACCATACTAAGACGATAGTTCCAGATAGTTCAGCCAAGAGGTTCACATCAAGAGACTTTTGGTAGGCATGTAAAGTCCACAGACTACAGTGAGATCAGCGCTCTGGTACGTGATGCTCAACTCAGTCCCAGCTTTCTCTCAAGATCATCGTTCAAACGCGAGACCGCAGATTTGGAATTGACAGCGCGTTTGCAAGCGAAGTGGACTAGACTTCAAACCGAGGCTCCCTCCCCATTGTCGATCAGATTGTCGGTCCGTGTCCTCCTTAAAGGTCCCGCTCTTGACAACGCCTCGGCACTGTTGATCCGAGACTTGTACGAGATCACCGTATCCAGACCAAACCTACCGTCCAGCTTTCTACAACGCAAGATGCCTGTGACCGAAATCGCGACCATTCCGCTATCTGCTGGTTCCAATGTGTCGGAACAAGGCAGCGAAGCAGCCAGTATCTGGCAANAAATGCTTATTACCATCTCGCAACAGAATGGCTGTCGAGATATCTACTCCGGACTACAACATGAGAGTCCAAATACGGCCCAATTATTCATAGGTAAGTTCGAGGCCACGCGATCAGTTTTTAGAGAAGATTGTGGAAAGCTGACAGTGTCAGTGTGGGATACAATAGCGGACCATCAACGTTTCCAAGGGCTACCTGTGTATACACAGATGCTAACGAGTCTGAGACCGATTCTTGATGGTTCTCCACAGCTCGTCCACTTCGACCTCAAAAGCCCCAGCGAGCTTACTGCAGCTACCTCTGCCCCTGTTACGGAGGTGGCAACCCTTTTCCTGCCAAAGAAGATCTCCTCATTCGATGACAAAATGAGTTCGTTCGCGAAGATTCTCAACGAACACGCAGAAGGCTTTGTGGGATGCGCGTACTCCTGGATCATGGAAGACGTCGAACACGAGAGTTTTGGTCCAGGTATCAAGGGAAGGGCTTTTCTCCTCGCCATTGGATGGTCATCGATATCTGCTCATATGGCCTTCAAGAAAACTGGTGCTTTTCAAGAGATTCTCGAACTGTTTCAAGACGCGAGAGCAAGCGAGATCCATCATACAACATTCGGACCACGGCCTGAAGCTTCTCCACATGACGTTGTCTGATCGTCTACTCGTCTACGATCATCATCGTTGATGTGTGTCAGCTTGGTGGGCTCTTGGAAGCGAGAAGTATGCGTGATGAGGGTTAAAGCCGCCGAGACTGAAATTAGCCATCGTACCGACCGTGCCCAGTTCTGCATTCGGAGCAAAATACTTGTCCCATTCATTNCTGGTGCAAGTGGTTAGTAAAACAGCTGAGATTGAGTTGGCAAGAGGTTCTCGACAGTCACTTACCCAATCCATGTTGGCCACTGCTTCCATGCCTGGATCAGCGGAGGAATCGCGATTGACGCCTACATGACTTCCACTGGCATCGGAAGCAGGTCCTTGTTCATTGTGAGGTAGTTGAGAATAAACCATTGTCGGAGTGGTGAATGTTTGAGCAGAGCGAGTTATGTGCGGAGCTGTGACGGGCGTATTTAACTGTGAAGTCGTCGATGGTCCCGGACTGGATTGGCTTTCGACATCGGCTGTTGCACGTAGTTTTCTTACGCTGTGATATTTTTCTAGGCGATCACGAAGCGTGATGATAATGCCCTCTGCTTTGTCCAGCTGGGACGATTGAGGCGGGGTCTCGAAGATGTAGTCAAGACTGCTCCAGATCCGCGCCGCCTCAGGCATTTCTGGTCTGGCGTAAACCTCGAACACCAGAAGCACTGCGGCATGATACTGCAGGATTGCCCCACGATACCAAGCCCACGGCAACAGCTCTTGACGAGTCTCCATAGCGATACCAGCTTCGACGGTACCCATGCAGGCCTCTGTAAGTAGGTTACGCAGTCTTTCGGGCATGGGATAATTTGTTCCAACAGCATAGCGTTGCAAGATCACGACTAGAGCCCTGTTGCTCGAGGCGCGATACATCTGTTTCGCAAGGATCTGCTTTGGTGTATTGCCTTGTACCAGAGGAGAATATTTGGCTTCAGTGGTTGCGCGGAACTTCTTAATCCTGTTCAGGATAGAAGTCAACGAAAGCTTTTTCTGATCCATGCGCTGCATATCCACCCAAAGTTGGCGGATGAGTTCGTAACACTCAAACTTGAGCTTAGACAAAGTCATGTCTGTCCAGTAAAGTAGATCTTCGGTTGGTGGTGATGGTAGCGTAAGATCTGTGTCATTGACGTTCAAAGGCAGTTTCGTATCATATTCCTCTTTGCGAATCTGCGGTCGAGGTCCTGTAGCTTCACAAGTTCGAACGTCCAGGAAGCAGATTTGGTACCAGATCAATCTTCGAACATGAGTATCTACAGCGCTCAGACCAAAGGTGGTACCATCGCGATGGAGTCCCATGCATTGCGCAAGTCGGATAGCTGTTCCCACTAGTGCCGAGTGTGCTCTCGAAATTTCTGTTCGACATAGAGGAAGCNNTAGAGACATCAGCTGGAGATACTGGACATGCTTTCCACAAACTCTTACCATGTACATAATAAAGGCTTGCATAGTGTCTATCTTCGTCGTCCTTAGAAGGTTGGCTCTAGAAAGCATGAATTCGGTCATTTCACGAAGCCTGTCGACGAGTGAATGTTTTGGCATGTCAGAAAACGATGCAGCTGTATCATCTGACAGACTGACCGCCGCCGAGAACATGGCAGCGAAGAGAATGGCTTGGATAGGAGCTGGTGTAATTGTACCATTGCTGAGGTTGGTCCAAAACAGGTTGTAATGTCCCTCAAAGGTGGGTTGATGAACTAGACGAGCGACTGGATGTACGGCGTTGAGGTATTGTGTGATAAGTCGATCAGCGACGTGTCGAGGAGGGAGGAAGTATGCCGTGACGGGATCTGGGAAGAACAGATTTGAAGACGGAACGATGAAGTCTGGCCCAGGATTGAGAAAGTGTTCTTGGGATACGGCTCCAGGCTGCCATGGCGCACTTGGATCAGTATAGCCGTGGCGTTGACAGTAAAGATTCTGACTTTTGTGGCTTGCACTGCGCAGTTTTGCATTAAGCNNTAGGTGAACAGTCAGCATATGAGGGATAACGTAGCTTGAACTGCAGCATCATACCTCGTCAGACATTTTTGGGCGCACNTGCGAAGCAGTAAGTATCTCATTGGGTCAAATCGTTGAGCAAAACCACATACCTAGACCACCCACTCTATCAGACATTCGCAACTTGCCGAGCTGAATACCAAGATCCATAAGTCCATCGTCGGCATCGTTATCATATACCTGGTCAAACATGCCGAGGGGAGAGGGCTCAGGATCCTGTTCATCGTCTGCCGACAAGCCATCATAATCATCATCTTCGGCTTCGATTTTAGGTACGACCGAAGAGCGGTCGGGAGCTGATTTAGCGGCAGCACGGCGAGCGACATCACGTTCAAGTGTCTCTTCGAGGTCACCAAGGCGATCCTTTATCTCGGCCAGCTTCTGCTGAGCAGCAGTATCTAGGGCTGGAGCAATGTACAAACAATCTCTCTGAAACCGCTGACAGTTACCACATGGCACTTGTTTGTCGCATTTCAACTTGCGCTGGCGGCAGCTCAAGNNCCTGCAGAGAGTCAGGGCAATTGATTCGGAGGCGTAAACAGTCGGGCCCTTACATGATGCGATAGTCCTATTGCGGCGGCGGATTTTCTGTTGTCCTTGCGGGAGGTCGGCAGGTCTGTTCTTTGGCTGGCGGGTTCTTTCGGCCGTAGCAGCTTTCGAAGGTGGATTATAGATGGCATCGGCCATTCTTTGACGCCACCTAATATTCGAACACGCAGAAATGTCAAGATACCGAATGCAAGTCTGCCAGTCGCGGGTAGTACACACTAGGTTACAGGGCCCTGATAGACAATGTAGAGAGGAGAGAAAGAAACAAGAGAGTTAGCTCGGAGTCAGGTGACATAACGGACGTCGGCAGGTTTAACGTCGTGGTGTTTTGCAAACTATAATCGCTTGGGCTTGAGTCGGTCCCAGTCCAGACAGCGTGCCTTCTCTGCATGATGGAGCGTGCTCGTCCATGTTGAACATTCATGATCAGCGCTGCTGGCTCTCCTCTAACCCGAAACTACTGCTTATTCGATCATCAGCATCGGTACGACTTGACCGCATCGTGTGATAGCCCAGCTCACCGCGCCGTCTCCACTTAGCACGCTCGTCACCCCCTACACAAATCTATGCACTTGCATGATAGACCTGTCTTTTGTGTCCATTATTGAACCTAATTCCTGCCAAACCAAAGCTGCGACCATCGGACGGCCCGCACCGTCGCGACATGCAGCCGGGCGTTGGGCTGGCTATTAGACTGTACCTATTCGGGCCTGACCACATGAACTCGGCAGCAACAGAGTGCTACTCTACAGCGTGTTTTACGAAACAGGCGAATCGCAACGAGCAAGGTTGGTCTTAGCCACATGGACACAACGGTGATACAATGAGTTGCCAAAAGTGGCTGGCGGCCGTTGTGTGATAGTCACCTATTGTTCTATGCTTATACGTGTGCAAGGCGTTACAAAATGGGGGAGCAGCATATGCTTGTGCATAAGTTTGCTCATAGATACTTCTTCTCCGGGTCGAGCTTGTCGAGCAACTCCATCGTCTTTTCGTANCCTGGTGAAATGTTTAGTGACATGTACGAGTACGAGAATAATAAGACGTACATGGTGAAGACTATGCCGCCGCTCAGGATGAGTCGACCAAGTCTAGGCACAGCACCAGACCAAAGGGTGAGGAAACCTTCTTCTCTGACCACACGTGCTGCGCAGTTAAAGCTGTTCTTATACTCGGTCTTTGCTTCGATGGACTGCATTCTTGTCTTGACAGTGTCAAGTGGCATGGTTACGTATNNCTGCGGAATGTCAATGGCTGAGCATGATTTCTTGATTTGAAAGACATACACTGTAATTATGCCAGCCAACCCGCCGATACCGAAAGTGCTCAGTGCGCCGAGCTTCTCTCCTGGAGCAACATAGCTTTGCGCCAGCTGTTTCAAGCTGGTATAACTACTGAATCTGACAGCCGAGTTTGCTGCCTGTCTTGCGGTTGTAGGTACGAAGCCTTTGAAGAAGCCACGCACACCCTGTTCGTGGGCAATGAGTCTGCTCCCGTGAATGAAGCCGTTCATCCTGGGTTGAGCGGCTTTGCGGTCGTCGATCAATTGGGTCTTGATGCTCTCAAAGGGAGTGACAGCCAGCAAGCTCTCGGTTACACCAGCACCGAAACCAGCAATGACGGTAGCGGGACCACTGATAGTACCATCGGGATTTGAGAGCATGTTCTTGTATGCATCGAAAGCGACAAAGCGAACGCCAGCCTTGATGGAATTTCCAATGATCAGAGTAGTGCAGCCGGCATACCACTGACTACCGAACGGCGGCCATGGTAGCTTCTTGCCCTCGGCGAGGCGACGATTGAGCTGAGATCGGGTCTTTGCGAATTCGGCGGGATAGGTGATGGCGATTTCAACAGCACCCGCGCTGGAACCGGCGATGATGGAGCGCAGGGCCGACGGCTTCTTCTTCTTTTCGGCGGGCGCAGCGGCGCTCATGGTGGAGGAAAAGACCGGTCTCGTGGTCAGAGAGTCGTTGGATAGATTGAACCTCTGATGGAAGAAAGTATTCCATGACCCTGCCGCCGGGCTGGGCTATGTCATTGCGACAGCGGCGGCCGGGAGTGTCGTTGTCCGTGCTCGAGCCTCGCCGAAGCTCCAAGACCTTTTTGAACCTGCCATTCAGTCTTGCTTGAACCATACAAAATCCGTCCATCCACATCAAAATGCTGTCTTTGCGCCAACTCTCTCGTCAACTTCCCNGCGGTGTCGCTCGCCTGACTTCGACCGCCGCCCGTCAGCCGCTGCGCACTCCTGCCTTTGCCGCCGCAAGAACTGCCGCCCACTTCTCCACCTCTCTGATCCGCCGCCAAGGTGTGTCCTGCCATTCATTTTCTATCTGGCTCTCTCGCTGATTGTTCTTCTGCANNGATGCCACTACTCAGGAACTTGCTGCCAAGCTGAACTCGGAAATCGCCCTCGAGAAGGAGCAGCAAGCAGATGACAGCTACCGCTACAACTGCCAAGAATACATCGACAACAGCGAGTTCAAGATTGAAGACAAGACTGGCACCGAGGAGGTTCACCTCACCAGAACATACGGCGATGAGAAGTCCGACATTCTATCCTATGAGTACGCCACTAGCTTGCTGACTTAACATTTGTNNAGCATCAAGGTTACCTTCTCCATTGCCGACTTCAACACTTATGACGAAGAGGCCGACGCTGAGGATCCCGCTCTTTACGGTGATGAGGACGGTGCCCTCGATATGGACGGCCAGTCTGGAGGTGCCAACACCAAGGGTGCTGTGAACCAGGGCCGCACCGCTGGTGGTAACATCCGCGTTGCTCCCGAGGATGAGATCGCCCCTGCCGACAGACCTGAGCTGCAAGATGAGGAGGACAACTCGGCAAGCTTCCCCGTCCGTGTTCAAGTTACCGTGACTCGCGAGGGCAGGNGCGCCCTCGCCATTGAGTGCCTGGCTCAAGATGGCGAAATCAGCATTGAGAACGTCTACCACTTCCCCACCGCCGAGCTGGCCGAGGCAAAGACAGCCGAGAAGGACTGGGCAAGAAGAAGTCTTTACACCGGACCTCCATTTGGTCAGCTTGATGAGGACCTCCAGATGCTTTTGGAGCGATTCCTCGAGGAGAGAGGCATCAACACACAGATGGCCCTCTTCATTCCCGAGTACATCGACTTGAAGGAGCAGAAGGAGTACATTGGGTGGTTGAACAGTAAGTTTTCCTCCAGCGCAAAAAACGGCTACGATATGCTGACACAAATGACAGACATGAAGAGCTTCGTCTCATAAAGCACTGCTTAGAACAGAGGCGAAATTGTACATTATATGAGAAAAGAATATGTGAACAAGGCGTAGGTATGCTACCAGAAGCGGGAGTCTTTTAATGAAATCAGCTATTCCACTCAAGACGGTTCACCCAAGGAAGATTCGGCTGCACTACGTGCAACTAAGTCATCGATCGTATCTTACAGTACATTAAGATCAACACGCAGCACGCAAATCAGGAGAGAGGGATATGTTGCTTGCTCTGAGAGTCTTGTTACAACTGCACAGCTGTGCGGCATCGCGCGACTGAACTCACGACGATGGATAAGGAAGGAATCTCCGTCCTGCTATCGAGATGCTACTGGTCGCCGATACTCTGTATACACACGATAGATAGGCATCGAACTGCGGGAGAGGGGATGACAGACATGACATCAATGTGTGGGGAGACGGGACGGACCCTGAAACAAATGAAATGTGGGGAAGTCACGAACCCTGGTTCCTGCCGTGAATCTTGTCAACTGCCTGATGATGCTGCGTCTGTATTTCTGCTTGACCTGCTTGCCATTTCGAAACTCTACACACCTCGCTCCCTGCTTCCTCAGCATCTTGTAGTCATCAGACGTTCTGATCCGTACAACATCCTAACTTTAGACTCACCTACAACATACGCCATAAGCCATGTCGACGGTACCGCCGACTCTGATCAATATGCCTCCCGCAGACCCCATGACGCCCTCAGATGCTCCTGGTACTCCTAATTCTACCACAACCTCCATGTCGGAGCTCTCGACGTCAGTAGTCCTGCATCGCCGAGCTACCAACAATCTGCTAACTTGTGCTCATAGTGTTGCTATTAAAGACGGTCACCGAGGCCACCTGCCTCATTCGCACCACTCACAAGCTCCCACATCTGGTACCTTGGATGCCGAGCGTGCCGATCGTATCTCACGTCTTGCTGGCCTTGAGCGTGTGACGACTGCCCGCAACCCAACCCCCCTCTCCAACCTAACCCCCGGTGCCGTTGCTCCTCACTCGGCTGCTGCAAGTGGCTACTTCGATTCCCAAGGAAACCCTCTTATGGGCCGTGAGCGCAGTACTGTTGGCTCGGCTTCGGCAACGGGTAGTGTCGGAGGCCGAACTACGTGGGCTAGCGGCAGCGATGTCTTTGACCACGACAAGATGAGCGAGAGTCAAGATATGGACATGGAGACTTCCAGCGTCGGCGCTGCTTCCGAAACAAACAGTCTGGTCGGCTTTGGAGAGGGTGCTCGCACTCCCGCACGTCACAGTGCCATCGGCAGTCCCAATGTAGCAAAATCCACACCTACGGCGGCCTCGGGTTTCTCACAGCCCTTTCAAAGAGACGCCAGCTTGACTCCGGTCAGCTCTCAAGCTCAGTCAGAGCAGCATGACGTTCAGATGGTCGATCGCAGGACGCTCGATACTGGAGCCGAGACTGCTGAACGCATCATCCGCGAACGCCTTGGTCCTGGAGGTGGCCAGGGAGGTATTGAATCACCCGATGCCTCTCGTGGTCCAGGACGTGATCTGGGAAAGTTCTACTTTGAGTCTGGCAAATGATCTGCTTGAGGTTGTCAACAGTGTGGTCCTACGGCAGAGTATCGCGTTCATTACCATGACTATACGAAATGAGACACGACAAATGCGACAACTTGGTTTTTGACTTTTTTTGACTTTACAGTATCATAGAGAAGAATATAAGAGCTCACATGAGACCGCTTGATCAGAACGGTGACATGTCCCGAGTTGTACTGTGGTTGAGCGAGTGACCTTCGTTCAACAAAGGGCAGGGTCATACCACCTACAGACTTCCATTACTGACTCTATATCAACCAACGGCATAACCAAACTTTCTAAGCTCTTATGCCCCCGTGTGGATGTCAAGCGTTGGCCTTTGTGTATCATTGTTTTGCTGCAATAGTTTGGCTCTTGTAACTACAAATCCACAAGTAACGACACAATTAAGAGCATCAATTTCTCTACTGGCAAACGATGAAGAGACAGAACACCACAGTAATGACGGACTCCTAAAGAAGGAAATGTGTTTTCAATGATGAGTGTACAACACAAGAGGAGTTCAGACTCTATCGCTGACATTTCAAGAACTCCAGAGTATATGCATACTCGATTCGTACAATGCTAACCCATGCTCCCAATGCATATGCTATACCAAAAGCCATCGCTGAAACACCACGAGCTCCACGCTGTATCAAAAAGCAAACAAACATAAGAACAATAAGATCAACCCGTGAATGCAAATCTCGCAAGATTCAGAGGAAAGCTGGGTCGACGGTGTAGACCTTGTTCTTCCTCATCATCTTCTTCGCCTTCGCTGTCCGGGATCAAAAGGTCTTCACTACCTTGCGAGAAGCATGGCTTGCTCGAACCACTAGATTGTGTGTTCTGACCTGAGGAACGGCTTAAGGGTTGAGATTCTGCAGAAAGCCAGTCGGCTTCATTGATATCATCGTTTGTACCGTCGTCTTGCAAAATCTCGTGACTCTTTCGATCCATTACTGGTGACGAACATGGAATCACCCCCTCTGTTTCGTTTCTCTTTCGCTTCGACTCATTTGCAGTGGCCTGATCTGTCACAGCATCAGTGGAGGTGGTATGCTGGTAAGAGAATCTGCTCCGTAATGACTGCATCTCGTTTGCCAGCCCAGCTGTAAAGGGTGTCTCGGTTGTCCTGTCGGAGGTCTCGTTAGGCACGTCTGAGCTACCAGCATCTTGAAACACCGAAAGCTTCTTCGTCGATCCGATCGAGCTTTGTCGATCTGCTGCGCATGGCAACAAAGTCATGGCCTGTTCGATCGAATCATCAGACCAGAGATGGAATTCGTCTTTCGATATACTGTTTGACCTCTCAAGCACAGGACTTTTGCGCGCTTTGTCAGTCTTGAAAAACTTGCTTGTCCCAGACTCGACTCGCTCAAGAGGTGTTGACAGTGGAGAAGCATATGATCCGTCAGAACATAAGCGCTGGCGCTTCGGCGAACCGGATTTGTTTCGAGATAGTCCTGGCGGAGAGCGCTGTGATAACTGTGGTGCATGTGTGGTCGAAGCTGCACGTGAAAGCAGTGAAGGTCGTCGAAGAGGCTCGGCTGACCAAGAAGCGGGACTGCGCTGTAAAAGTCGTTGCTGACTAGGCGACGGTGTGAAGCTATTTGGGTCAAGCTCGGCTAGAGGAGTGCGCTGAGGCTTGAAGAAGCTATCAATCGACTTATATTTCTTCAGATCAGGTGTCTGAAGAGCTTGGGCACGACTGCGAGAACTGGTTTGGAATACGTTTCGCGGAATCTTGGACGGACAAAGCGGTTGCTTCGTATGAGGGTGTAGGTCGCCAACCGCCACAGCAGCTGCAACTTCGGCCTCAACGTGCTTGCCGATGCAGGGAAACTGAGTGAGGTCAACACCAGGAGCAGGTTCACTGAAGTTGACCAGGCACCGAGATTCAGGACAATAGACCCATTGGTAAAGGAAGGTGGCTTCGGCACAAGCGAAAGCCTCGAGATAGCCGGGAGGGACCTTGATCTTGCCTTCGAACTGCGCAGAGCGGATGATGCGGTCGACGGTTTTGTGCTTGCGAATCATGCGGTATGCAGTTTTGAGACCCATCTTCTCGATGCCAGGCAGATAGTCGCATCCACTCAGGATGGCCATGAGTCGGAAGTCAGCGTCGGACCAGCCGACTAGACTAATCTCGCGACAGGCAGTGAAGTCGTCACGCTTGATCATAATGCACTCTCCATATTGATCGAGCTTGGTAAGCAGACAGCGAGCGCCGAAGACCAGAAGATCCGAGTCTTCGGAGACAATGCCATGAACCAGACCACATCGTTCCAGGTAGACCATCTGTGAGTCGGCTTCGTAAGGAGCAACAATGTAAGGCAGGTTGAGCTTTCTGAGCTCGTCAATGAGCTGACGGGCCATTTCGGGCGTCACATCAATACTCTTNTGCAGCTCGGCCTGGGCTTGCGTGGCCTTGCCTAAACGCAGAAACTCGAGGCCTTTGATTTTGCTCTCCCTTCGGCGGGCAGCGCGGTCCTTCTCGGTTCCAGATTTGCTGGGCAAATAGTCGCCATCAAAGACAAGATACGGAGTGATATCGAAGTGTTGAAGCATGCGGACTCGATGCATGACAAAGTCGAGCCATTTCCTGGTGGGTTTGCCTTGGGCAAGATCAATGGCACAGGCAATAGTGCCGCGGTGCAGCCAACCGTAGGCATCAACAGCCAGGGTTTTACCAGAAAAGTGTTGTTTAAGGTGGCATGGTTTGTGAATTGACTTGAGCAGGGGAAGGAGACCTTGAATGCCCATGACGAGTGACGACCTAGATATCCATACTCTGCAAGCAGACAACAAAAAACGTGTCAGTGGGCTATGGACGAGATGATCAAACCAAGGTCAAGGATTGCAAGTGGCGTCTAAAAGTCTGGATAATGGCAGGCGCGTCCAGACGCGTTCCTCCCTCCTCTGCCCTGCCTGATAAGTCGGGCCGATCCGCCGGCTCCCCAGATTTAGGGCCTTCGGCTTGCTTGAAGGCTATTGCAGACTTGCCGCAAAGAAAATAAAAATTAAACCATCCAAGTACACATTCCCGAGACATAACAAGCCATGCCGTCCAAATTCGCAAAGGTTCAGAAGCAGGTGTCGAAGAAGAAGGGCGGTGCCCTAGCTTTGCATGAGAACAGTCGTGACGCTCTGCGTCTGCGCAGCGCTGTTGCAAGAGATGATCGTGTCGCACGTCTGGGTGCCGTGCGCGAGAAGATGAATGATTTCTACCGTATGTCTTGTCTGACCCTTGTAAGGAGCTGATCCTGACTGAACACTACTCCAGTCAACCGTATCGTCTTTCTCCAGGATGAGATCCCCGATCCGCTGCGACCCCTGACCGACGCTGAGGTGCACGATATCATTGCAAAATACCTACGCCGCGAAGACGAGTCCATGGCTGCCCTCAAAGCAGAACGTCGCCCAGGCCGCCCAAAGAGCACCAAGCAGACTCTACTCGAACAGCAACAAGACCAGGAACAGAAAGAATACGAATCCGGCTTCTGGATGCCTGATATGCAAAGCGAGGCTACCCTCACAAAACTACGCAACTGGAAGGGCGAGTGGATTGCTCTGAGTCCTCTTGGCTACGTACGAGTCGACAAGTCTGGTAACAAGAAGGAGAGTGCTTTCCCTCCCAAAGGCGCTGCTTGAGCCCTCACTTGCCCGAATGTAACCACCCGCCTAATGCCAGGTACATGTTACCTCGAGCAATCATTGCCGTCATGCCTCCCATCCGGCGACAGGCTGCAGGGACGCCATATCCATCCCAGCGAACAGGGTTATACACGCCTCGACCTGCATGCAAGCGCCAATCGCTGGACCAGTATCGATTGACAGCGCTTCAGAGGTCCCTTATTACGCAAGGACAAGCAGCGACGTTACGTCGACCAGAAGCAGCATGAAAAGATTGATCCATTCGAACACGGATTGTTCACAATACATATCAGACATCAAGACTACCAGCTCAATCAGATTTTGAAAATTACATATGCGTGTCTTGTGCTCGTTCTCGTTGTCCAGACCAATTCTTAGCACGTATTCCTACATCAAAAGGGGTATGGGGTATTATTATACACATCTCGCCATCATTCCCGAAGTTGTTCTCTTTACGACGGTCGAGTCGAACTAGTCACTCTCGTCCGGCAGCGTACACACGGGGCATCCACCTTGGACAGCCCGCTTTATCTGGCGCGCGTGCTCGACTTTAGCCCGCACACTTTTGCCAGTGTCAATGGGTTCCTCGTCCTCTGAGAGCCTTTGACGTTGTAATCTCTTGACATCAGCTTGATCCGCTTCAGTCTTGAGGTCCAAGAGACAAGACAGGTGAAAGACGTGGCCACAATTGAATCCGACAAGGGCTTCCCTCTCTNNGTCGTGCTTGTTAGTATGTGGACGGACATTGATCATACAGTTTGAATGGGGAGTCTTACCATCTTGATGGAACGCATCTTTACAACCAACACAGTGCCCTGGCTTGGGGCCGTGGTCAGTGTCGTCGGCGTCCATACCATCGCCATTGATAATTGGAACCGGGTCAGCGTGCACCTCAACCTCATCAAGCTTTTCATGCGTCACTTCGAATTTGACAGCCTTCTTTTGCCCTGCTCGGAGAACATCCATGCCCGATGTGACCTCACCCCTCAGAACTTTGGCAACACCATCGCTGATGCTGTGCTGAATCTCGTACTCGCGTATCATCTTTCCGATACCTTCCCTTAGACCCTCAATCTCAAGCCCGTTCGGTATCCGCCGCACCACTGTGATCGGATTGATAGATGTGCCAACTTCTTCCAACAACGCACGAATGAACTTTGGCTTATCCATGCTATAGTCCAGCAAGTCATCCCAAAGATCAGGGTTTTCCTTGGTGAACGAAATGGCTTGACTGACGTCGCCAAGCTCTCTGATGATCAGGAACAACGCTCGCTTTGTCTGTCCAGTCTTACTCAAGAGATATACAAGCTCCGGAATGTAGTGCTTCTCTTCACATATATGAGACGCTTTTTCATACGTGTATGAAGTCGAAGATCGCAGGAAGTCCATCAGTATATCGCGGTTGTATTGTGCGAAGAGCGTTACCGCCAGATCACCGTACTGTTCAACCAGCAATCTGCCTTCTTCTACTTGTTGTTGAAGCTTCATACGCTCGACTCGGCTCATTGGGACTTCTTCGTCTCTCGCCCGTCCCGTCCAAAGAGCACGAAGGTAGAAAAACAGGAAAGGTTGGTAGGTTGAACCACGCTGCTCGAGCTGTGATACAACGACTTCAGGTCGGACATTGCCCGAAAATGCTTCGTCTACCAGTAGACGAACGACTTCGGCCGAGGCTTCTTCGAGTTCTTCCAGAGACGCTGTCTGCGTTTGCTCTTTAGGAACACGAAGCATCAACAAACCAGGAATATCATCAGAGACAGCATCCGCTAGATGATATTCGCGAATCAACGACATGGCCGCATCGCCGTTTTGGAGTCGAACATAGCAGCGCAGGGCGTCTGTTGTACAGCCTTCGGCGAGGTGGAGCTTTGCCAGTCCGTCCAGCAGAATGCGCCAGTCCCTTCCTCGCTCGCCGCCCTCGACAGACTCCTCATTGACGTCGCTTGAATCAAGCTTGTTCTGAATGGCCGTCTTCACACTCGTGATATCGAACAGTTCAGGATCCCAACGATCTAGAAGTTCGCGGAATCGTGGTCGATCATGACCGATATAGTGGCCGAGTACGACTTCGTACACAAATGAAGGCAAAGCCGGCTTCATGTCCGTACTGGGAATATAAGGCGTGATCTCGTCAAAATGACCGTCTTGTGCAAATGCCAACACCCATTTTTCCCACCTTGAAGAAGTGCCGAGAACCTGACCAGCTACTTTTCCTGCCGTCGACCACTCATCGTTGGCGACAAGCTGCTGTAACCACAAGTCTCCTATTCGTTGTTTTTCCTTGGTAGCGATAGAGTTTTGGATCTTCTCAGGGGACATGGTAGTTGAAGACACATCCTCATCAGCAAAGAAGTCTGCGAGACTGTTTTGCGCCCGTGTAGGTCCACTCGGCGAAGAAGGGATGGATTGTCGATCACTGGGTATACCGACGATTTCAGGATGATCATCGATCAGACTCCAAGCTTTACCGTACTGTTTGCGCTCCAGCAACCAGCTAAGATGATCTGAGAGCTCACGCCTAATAGCTAGAACACAATCATAGGGACTGTGGACGAAGAGCTTGAGACCTGTTCGAGCAAGGAAAGGGTTGGCATCAGGAGCCGATTGAGGTGGTACACCAAGCTGGGAGCCACCAACAGATCCTGCTGGAGATTTGATAGCAGTTCTCCCGCTTTCACTAGGTGGTGGACTCTTCATGCTAGCGCCAGAACTGAAAAGACGTGTCGCACTCGCACCTGCATCCCACAAGCCAGCGCCAAAGTTCTCCAGGGCACCTTTCTGTACCGGAGCAAGACGAGGCGGTGGAGGTACATAAAGAGACGTTAGTTGATAGTCAGCAGCAGATAGAGATTCAAATCTGTTTATGTTGAGGGTATCAACATCGACTTCTTCGCCAGTTGCAAAATTGATCAAGCGAAGCTCGGGTTGTAGGCCTGTTTGGCGATGATGTCTGCCTCGCTTTGGAGTATCCTGTACAGATGAAGGGATTGGATTGTCTTGGTCGTCACGCGTGCGATAAGCCAGAACAGCAAGCAAAGAAGGGGTATAGAGCGATAGCCCAGACACAACGCAATCTTCAAAGGTCAGTTTGTGGAGGATGTCAGCGCGCCCTGGTAAACGCTGAACACCATTCTTGCCAGCAGCAACGCGCGAAGCGAAGACATGGACCAACCACGCAGTATCACCCCAACCAACAAGCAGCTTCTCTGGAGGGGCCTTNTTGGAAGCCCTGGTCGGATCTTGAGTAGCAGAGCCATTTGGAGCTCTGGGCTCGTCCAGGTCTGCTTCAAGAGCGTCGTCATTGATCCACTGCACACGAGCTTTCCATACAGAAGCCATGTCAGGCCAAGCGTTTCGATTTGGTCGATCAATATGAGCAATGCGCTTCCAGGCGGATTCGGATTCGTGAGATTCAAGCTTGAGATGCGAGCGCATGATCTTTATGCCATGCTCATTTACCCAGACGACGAAACGGCCACTGTTGGAGAAAGAAATAGTGCTGATAGCACCCTCGCCAGAGTGCAAGACGGTGTCCTTGCCTGTACTGTGTCCCAGACCAATAGAACCAAGCCAACCTGAGGCAGCAGCAGCGGCGCTGTTCGTGTTGGCGTCGGCACTCACACCAGACTTAGCACCGGCAGTCATGATGAGGTTTCCAGCAAGACCGCCAGAGAGATATGTACGATCGGTCTTGTACTCGGGCGATAGAGCGACGGCATTGACAGGACGGGCAAAGTTACGAAGACTAACATCCTTAGGGTCGACGAGCGACGAGACGCAAACATGGCCATCGATGGAAGCCGTGGCGATATAGATCAGATTGGAAGGGGTCGGAGGCAAGTTAGGGGCTTGCTTGGGGTTGCGCGACGAGGGTACAGGTAACGGAGGGGCTCGCCAGGCATTCGAGTTCAAGCGGTCCAGCTTAGGGAGGTTGGTGACAGGTTGTGGTCTAGGAGAGACATCGATAGCGGTAATGGAGGCCGAGTGGGCGTGGTAGAGGCGTAGGGAGTGTAACGAGGGCAGGGCAAGAGTGTGAATGTTTCCATTGTGGGTACCGAGGACCATCTTGTCGCCAGCAACGAACAGCGAGCTGGTGGCATCGCCATTGCGATAGACGCTCACCAGAGCGGCTGTGAGCTTGTCGTACTTGAGATGTGGCTCATCCTCTTCCTCATCGTCGCCGTCTTCATCTTCGGCATCACTGGAGTCCGAGGGCACATGGCTGGCCTTGTCATGGTCGTCGGCGCGTGGGTCGTCTTGTTGGTTGGACGTCGGCTCGGGGGTGGTGGTGCGGTCGGCGGCTACGTGAGGTTGTTGGTCGTCGAGCTCATTGTGTCGAGTCGCCTTTTGCGCAGCAGACATAGCGCAAGAGGCATGAGAATCAAAGACTGGGTTCCAGAACAGATGCCTTTGGAGTAATTGACTCTATTCCGGGGTGGAGCTGCACACCGCCGTCATGCCAAGGGCTCCATCAACCGGAGTTTCAGCACCTTTCGTACTCCTGTAGACCATCAACCGAGATTTTGTCTGGTTACACAGCTGGGACAATGCCCAAAACTACCGCAGTTCTGTTCCAGTCCTTGTGCGTTGGATACCGGCCTCGACCTCATTCAAAATGCCTGTCGCCATTACCAAACATATCCGTCTCTCTGATCAAAGCTCGGCTCAAACACTCTGATAGCTCCACCTCAATATCTGATCCACCCAACCCTCCCAAGCGTCTATCGCATCGCTCACAGGCTGCCACGACCTCTCTTCGTCGGGTTGCTGTCGAGGCTCAGCGTTCTCGCGACTCTCTGATTCGCCGCAATGGAAAGCATCGTTTTGTAGATCCTCATGTTCATACAAATCAAGTCACTGCTTATTGCGCTGCTGAACAATACAACATTCCTACTGCAACTCGTCTGATTCAGCAATGTGGCTATAATGTTGATCCCTACACTACTGGCCTGTACCCTCAAGTCGTCCATTTTCAGATCCCGAACCCAGTCATCCAAAATGAGTCTGCCAAGGAACATCTAGAAGGACCTGGCGATGTCTTCGTCTTCCCTTCCGGTTCAATCGTGTGCTGGAACGTGCCCGAGCCCCTCCAGCTATATCTAGTCCATACTGTTCTTCATCCATCTGCCGAGAATCCGCACTTGGATCGTATTGAAATCGAGGACCTTGCATACGTTGAGGATTCCTCACATCATACGAGTGAGATCATAGGCGACACCATCATTCTTGGTACAAAGCCTTCAGATGAAGCTTGTGCTGCTTTTACAGGCCCTTTGCCTTCACCCGAGATAGACACTGTCCTGGCCAAGATCGCCTTCTCCTCGGGTCTGGCCCGCTCCACCAAACTCGCTGTCCTTGAAGACCTCTTGTCTTCGTATTTCTCCAGTACTCGCTCTATACCAACTATTCTGTCACGCGGTTCGCCGTTACGCTTCTCGAGGTCCTTCATACTGCGCAAGACAGGCGAGCTTCTGTCCATCCGTGCACAGCTGAATCTCTATTCTGAGCTCACTGACAGCCTGCCAGATATCTTTTGGGACAGTCCCTCTTCGCTTGGCTTGAGTGCCTACTATGACGAAGTTGGACGTGCCTTGGATGTTGGTGTGCGCATCAAAGTTCTGAATGAGAGGATGGACTATGCTGGAGAGATTGCTAGTGTACTGAGAGAGAGGCTGAGCGAGAAACACTCGACGGGATTGGAATGGCTCATCATATTTCTGATCAGTATTGAGGTCGGCTTCGAGTTGTGGCGCATCTGGANNGAGAGGCAAGAAAAGCTTGACCCTACCAACACCGAAGCTCTCTTGAGGAGTGTCCTATTGCAACGTCTGCAACAGCCTCCTGACGCTGCATCTTCGTGACAAATCTACCCTGCAAGCTTGAAAAATCGGACAATGTAGCAAATCACATCGGGAACGCCACATCTTCACTCAGCAGGTGCCTTGCGCCCCGCCTACGACGAGCTGATGCTCTTGCCCTCCACGCCAGAGAAGAGTCTCCGGTGCTCATCAGTCACGTACGTTGCACATTGAAAGAAGGAAGGTCATGCAAATTGCTGTATGTCTGATCATTGTAAAAGCTGTCTCTATGTGTTGCTGTCTGTAAGTTGGAGGTAAAACTCCCTGATGCTGTCATCGGTATGGTAAGGCTGCTCAGTGGTGTGGACAAAAGAAAAAACAAGACTCAAAACGCGACAAGACAAACAAACGTCAACCCCAAACAAGCATTACAACCATCGCCCTGTATCAACCGCCAATGATAGTGATATCAACGCTCCATCTCAAGCTCAAACCAAGACCAGAGCTGCCACCATGCCGAAGGCAAGAGCAGAAAAGGCAGTCATGACAGCCTCACGACCTGCCATTCCAGTGTAAGTGGGCAATGGACCAGAGCCAGTTGGACCTGATGGAGCAGAGATGTTGTTGGTGGATCCTGGGCCGCTGACGACCTGCGAGCTGAGGCTGCCGGTGCCCAGTGGCGAGTACGAGATGGTGTACGAGCTATCGTTGGCAGCAATGCTGGTGGTGACGATGGCGCTGGCAGAAGCTGCGTTGCCGGTTGCCGATGGAGCTGTGGCTGCCGACGATGATGATGCTCCAGCTGGGTTAAAGACGGATGCTGAGGCCGACGAGATGGATGATGCTGATGGGATGCCAGCCGATGAGACGCCAGCCGATGCCGATGAGATGGCCGATGCAGAAGCCGATGCCAAACCGGAGCCACCAGAGCCTGCTGATGCACCAGCCGAGGTGCTTGCCGAGGTCGAAATGTCGGTCACGCCAGTTGGGAGAGAAGGTCCGCCAGAGTAGAGAGTGGCTTGGCTGGTGACGACAGAAGGAGTCGAAGTAGCACTGTAGCTGATGGTCGACCAGAAGCTCCAGCTGGTGGTCGATGAGCCGATGGTGATGGTTGAGCTGCCAGTCGAGTAGGTAGTCGAGATGACAGAGGCCGAGCTGACAGTGGCGCCAGGTGAAGACGACGCATAGCTGGTCGAAGCAGGTGTAGTGTAAGAACTGACACGAGTGCTGACGAAGGTGACTGGACAGATGGTGGTTGACATGCCGACGATGGCAGTGACCATGGCGAGAGATGTTGCAGAACGGAGTGGACAGTTGGTGACGTCGGGTGGACAGCTCCAGACGGTGAACTGAGTGGTCTGGTACACGGTCGAAGTCGAGACGGCTGGAACGTACTCGACGACCAGGACGCTGGTGATGACTGGGTCTCCGATGTTCTGACCGAAGACGGCGGCGGGCATCATCAGAGCCATGGCGGCAGCAAAGACGGTAGAGAGCTTCATTGTGGCGATGATGTTTTGATGATTGTGTGATGGTAAATGAGTGAATGCACAAGATGGAGTGGGATGTTCAGGATGAAGTTGGTCGAGGTCTGAGAAGAGGTTTATATAGGGGTGAGTACGGTAAGTGGGAAGGCGCTGTGAAAAGCTCCCAACAAACCACGACAGGTAGGTGCTCTCCATTCGATTCGTCATCATCACTGCCTGCACAGCAACAGACGCGTGTCCTTGAACAATTCAGGCTGTCGCGACGCATTACCTCCTGCCAAACCAGCTCGTCGTTGAGGGGTTGGGACAGTATGAATCTCATCATCATGCTGGTCTCTCGCTCAACTTGATTGATGTGGCAGGTGCATATAGCTGAGCAAGAAGATAGCATTGATCACGTAATCCACCGTCGAACCTCGTGCCTGTCATTGCTCGTTCCTCAGCTTCATGTATCCTGACCAGGCTGCTCAAGATTCATGCGTGCATGCGAAACAGGCCTGACCGATACAGTTGCGGACGTATCCCTGATACAATTCCTGCGCATGTTCTCAATCTATCCAACTTCTGCCCCTGAATCATCAATGAGCAGACAAAGACTAACACAAAGAGCCTCGTTGAGAAGGAAGAATGCCCAAGTATCTATGAGAATGTATCAACGAGTTTCTTTAACAAGAATTGCCTCCCAACTAGCGGTACCAAGCAGTTGTCGATACTCTCCAACACAGGTGTGCCAAACGATAATGCATCGTTTCACGCAACGATACATGGGAGGCGATATAAAAGGAGCAGAAGCCCAGTCTTGTCTATGGGTAGCCGTAACATGAGGAAACTGATATGTCAACGCTCTGCAGAAGCATCAAAATGTTTGTAGAAGAAACGGAGAGATCACACAATTACTCCTCTTGTCGGTAGCCTGCTTCTTTCACACGGCTTCGTGCAGCTGAGGAGGTGTTTCACATCAGCAGGTGCGGCTGGGACGAGAGCGAATTCGTTGCACCAGAAAACCGGCTTCCTACATGGTAGCACCTTCCGGAAGCTCGCTCGTCAACAAACGCATCAAACGGGAGAAAGAAAAGCCTTCTTCGCTTGTGTTTTCTTTCTTCCTCTCTTCCATCCCACCAAACCATCCATCAATCCATCAACAACCATCATCCATTGCCATTATCCATCTTCTATCATCAAAATGAAGTTCATCCTTACTACCATGGCCTTTGTCGCCGCCGGTGAGCATAACAATGTACCACCGACTCCATCAGAGCTTTACTGACATGCATTCAGCTGCCATGGGCGCCATTGCTACCTCACAGGAGGCTGTCACCGTCACCGTCACTGTCACCGATTGCGGCAGCTCGGTTGGCACCACTGCTGGCGTCTTCAGCACCTCCATCAGAACCATCACTGCCTCGGACATGACCAGCTCCGCCACCGAGAGTATCCTTCCCACTCCTGTCGGCCCTGTCAGTTCCGTCAGTGAGGGCGGCTTGTCCACTTCCTTCCAGTCTGGCGTTCCTTCCGCTACCATCTCTGTCATTGAGAGTGCCACCTCCACCATCATCTCTGCCAGCGCCAGCGGCACTTCCATCGAAGCCAGCCTCACCACTTCTGCCGTCACCTCATCCGAAGTCGTCTCTGCCGTCACTGCTTCATCTGACTTCAGCACTTCTTGGAAGTCGGCTTCTGCCTCTGACACCGGCTCTCCCTCTGTCACTGAGAGCAGCCGTACTTCTGCCAGCGCCACTACCACTACAGTCCCTTCCAACGATGCCACAATCACTAGCATGGTTGGCATGACTTGCGTCTTGGCAGTCCTTGCTGCTTCTCTCTTCAACTTGGCTTGATGGTCTTGCAGTCGAGCCTCTCGGTTTGGTCGATGGAGTGTTGTGCCTCTTGGGCTCTGGGAACTCATCATACCCATTTGGGTCTGATTGTTTTGAAGCATCTTCGGAGGAAGGAGTGATCATGTTGACACAGGTCAACAAAAAGGAGTTCACGTTTATGATCAGGCGTTTGTAGCCTTAATTGAAACACCTATTCCGGTTTGGACTTGTGTTCAGATGTGTGCATCATCTGCTTGTATTCTGTGATATGCCTGTGACCATCCCACGTTGTGACATACTTCTCGTTCTTTCTTGAGTCTTGGAAGCAGCTATTCATGTGTCGTTAACGGGTCTCGACTTGCCACGACCAAGCCTTATGTATCTGTGTTTCACAGCAACGCTACCTTCTCAAGGGCAATTGCTGACCAGCACAAGTACACGATGTGTTAGCGACAGGTTATGGCATTGCTTTCTACATCGATGGAGCACAGAACACTAGAATTATCATTCGAGATGATGGAAGTCCAGGAGATTTTCCGAAACGTTTACTTGAGCATGTTCCATGCAACGGAAGAAGCAAGAATCAATCGACAGTATTGTTCATATTCCATAGCTCCCTACTACATCCAGCCGTGGTATCATAACAAATTTCATAAAACGCCACCAATCCTATTCAACGGATATACAATTCCTCCTACGCCAAAAACCAGTGTTCGTAAAGACTATCATGCAGCAGCAGCTTGAATGTAGTCCTTGTTCTCGATAGTTACACTCTTGGTNCTATCGATTTGTCAGCAATGCATCTTGAGTAGAAAACGAGAAGCACTTACCATGTGGTTGACCTTGTAAACACCAACCAATCTCGCAGCCAACTCAAACATGTTGTTTCTCAAGGAAATGACGATGAACTGAGCATTCTTGGTTCGCTCCTTGATATAACTGGCAACGATCGAAACGTTGCGGAAGTCGAGAGCAGCATCGATCTCGTCCATGACATACAAAGGAGTTGGCTTGTAGTGGTGAAGAGCAAAGACCAGTGCCAATGAACTGAGTGTCTTCTCTCCACCGGACAAGTTGCTGATGTTCTTCCAACTCTTCTTTGGCGGCATGACACTGAAAAGAATGCCTTCGCTGAAGGGGTCGAGACTGTCAACGAGCTCGAGTTCTGCATTACCACCCATGGTGATCATCTGATACATCTCCTTGAGGCGCATTGAGATGGTCGAGAATCCTTCCATGAATCCTTCGAGACGCATGCGTCTGAGGTCATCAAGTCGTTTCTTTGCTGAGTCGCGACCAGCTAGAGCTTCGTTGAGATCAGACATACGCGATGTGTGTTCAGATACACGACGGCGATACTCGGCCAGAACCGAAAGCTCAACTGATTGTGATGTTGACTCTTCGAGAAGCGCTATCGAGGCCTTGAGCTCGTCTTTAGACATGTCTTCGAGTTCGTCTTTGGTGTATTGCGCCATAGGCAGAGGCTCGAGCTCCTCACCATCGTCNCCTGGACAGAAATTAGTGATTGTTTTGGGACAAGGACTCAGGACATGTTACCCGATGTTCTGGACAGAGAGCTTGCTTAGCTTCTCTTGCCAGTATCGTAGACGCTTCTGATTCTCGGCCATAATCTTCTGGTTCTCTTCGAGCTTATTCCGCATCTCGATCTCAATGCCTCGAGTCTCGTTCAAGATGGCTGTCTGGGCATCGAGCTCAGTCTTGAGTGCCTCAAGCTCTTCTTTCTTGGTGTTCAAGGCCTGGATTCGATTAGTATTGCAACGAGTATGGACAGCAAGTTCCAGCACGTACCTCTTGAGCTTCTTCCGCCTCCTTGCGGAACCCTGCAGTGTTTCTGGTCTGCTCTTTGATCTCATCTTCGACCTGTTCTGCATCAGCTGTCACCTTTTCCAGCTCAGACTGTGCATCATTAAAAGTCTTTTCGTGTTTTGATTTTTGCTTTTCAGCTTTGGCCTTGTTGATCTCCGCGTTAGACATTTCTTCAGTGCGATGATCGATTTGCTCCTTGAGTCCATCGACCTTGGCCTTTTGTGTACGAAGCTGGACACCACCAACTTCCATGATCTTGGCTTGTAGTGCTTTGATCTCCTCTTCGATACCAGCAGTTTCTGCTTGCAGCTTCTCAGTCTCTTTCTCAAGTTTCCTGATGGTCTTCTCGAGCTCAGAGATACGTTTGTCATCTGAATCCGAAGGTTGACTCTCAGCCTGAAGCTCCTCGACTCTTTTCTCGGCGTCAGCAATGTTATTGTCCAAGCTCTGGACCTCCAACTTNNCAACTTCTGAGCTTGAGTCTCGAGTTGTGGCACTCGATCTTGCAATTCCCTGAGATGAGCCTCTAGCTGCTGCATCCTTTGCTGGAACTGTGCAAATGTCTCTTCTAGGGTATCACGATCAACCTCAAGCTTGGCGACCTGATCCTTAGTCACATCGGCCACAACCTTGGAAGACATAGCACCCTTAGCGACTCTCGTACCACCACCGCTCATGGTACCCGACTTGTCAATCAACTGACCGTCAAGCGTGACGACTCTCCAACGTTTTGCACCATAAGCGATACGGTTGGCCTGCTCGAGATCCTTGGCAACAAGTGTGTTTTGCAGCACACTGTAGAAGGCAGGTCGGTATCGATCGTCCTTCGGCTTGACAAGATCGTAGAGTCGAGGCACGTTCTCCGGTGTTTGTATGGCCGACAGATCTCGCTGTGGTAAGCGGTCGAGAAGAATGAAGTTAGCACGACCCAGGTCGTTCTTGCGAAGGTACTCGATGCATTGTTGGCCGACCTCAACAGAGTCGACTACCAGATTGTCGAGGGAAGGGCATGCGGTAGAGATAGCAACATCGAATCTTGCATCGATGGCACCGAGGTTACCGAGGCGTCCATGGAATCCGTTGATCCTGCCAGACTCCTTGAGGCGCATCAGGCCAGTGAGAACGTTTCCTTGAGTCTGCGTTGCAGCTAAACTAGCTCTTGCCTCATCGGCCTTTTGTCTAGCTCCCGAGAGCTTTGAGCGTAAATTGGACTCTTGCGAAGTAAGATGATCGATCTCGGCCTGCGTTTCTTGCAGGGACTGTTCCACCTCCTTCCGTTCTCGTCTACACTCCTTGAATGCTACCGCTTTTGCTTCACGAGTCTCAAAGATTGCCGTGATCTTTGACTCGATTTCCTGGATAGCATTCGCTCCAGCATTACCTCGCTCTCTGAGAATATCGAGCTCGCTTTGTGCAACAGAAATTGCAGACTGCTTTTCGTTGACCTTCGCTTGCCAGGGTTCTAGAGTCTTCTGCTTGGCCGCAATCTCGTCCGAGATACCTTGAGTCTTGCCTTTGAGACTTTCTCGAATCTGAGTCAGTCGTGCTTCTTCTTGCTGCATCTCGGCTTCCAGTTCAGCTATGGACTGCGCGTTTCTGTTGATGTCGTCCTCGGCCTGTGTGGCCTGTGTGGTGGCTCCAGATATAGCGAATCTGCTGTCTTCCGCCGTTTTTGCAAGCTTCTTAGCCTTGTTTGCAAGGAATTTTTTCTTCTCTGCATGTTTCACGGTTTCCTTGTCTAGCTTTGCCATCTCTTTCAGAACCGATTGTGTGCTTTCTGACATGCGCTCGTACTCCTTGGCTGTGGCACTGTGCTGTTTTTGCAGGCGCTTTATACCTTCTTGATTGCCCTTGTGCTTTTCGAGTTCCTCATCGAGCTGCTGTTGAAGTTGCTGAACGGCTTCTTCAGTCACGGTAACATTATCTGAGCACTCGTTGATGTATATTTGGTATAGAGCGGATTGCTTCGTAGCCAGCTCATTCTCATCACGGATGAAAGCCAGTGCTTTGTCTTTCTTATCCTCGAGAGCATTCCTTTCCTTCTCGACATGTTGTACCCTGGTGTTTTTCTCGGCGCAAACTTCATTGAGTGCTTCTGTCTCAGTGGCAGCTTCGTCGATAGGCGTCTTGTATTTGGAAGTGCCAATGATGTCTTCTAGGTATTCCAGCAGGCCATCGTCGTGCTCGGTAGCGGCTTTTGGTTTCATCTGAGCAATGGATTCGACCTCGCCTTGCAAGATCAGGNNGAAACGCTTGTGGTCGAGATCGACTCCACGATCGCGCAGCAGGGTAGTGACGGCGGTGAAGTTAGACTCTCTGCCGTTGATGTAGTATTTGCTCGCGTTGTTTTTGAAGGCGCGTCTCGAGATTACAAGCTGTGAATCAGCGATGACTTCATGGCCACCAACTGGCAAATCCATGACCTGCTGGAAGTGGACTTCGACCTCGCAGTGATCCAGATCAGGATAGGCAGCGGAGTTGTGAATCAGAGCGGAGATCTTGCCCTGTCGCATCTTGCTGGCACGGAAACCAAATACAAAGAGCAAGGAGTCAATGACGTTGGATTTGCCTGAGCCATTGGGGCCAACAACCGAGGAGAATGAAGCATGGAAGGGGCCGACTTCCTGACGGCCAGCATAACTCTTGAAGTTCTTCAGAACGAGATGGGTAATGACGGTACGCGATCGAGGCTCGTCGGGAGCTTGCGAAACGGGCATGGTAGCGGCAGCTCTGGTACGCACGACGATATCCATCGGCTTCTCCAGCAGAGTTGTATTCGTATCGACCTTGTGAACCTGGCTGGATGGTGGTGGTCTCGTCTGAGCACGCGGAGTCTGATCGTTCACAGCTGTCTCTGTGATGTCGGCAAGAGGCGTGGCCTGCCTCTGTGCAGCTGGCGGAGCTGCGTGCTGAGGAGTCGACATTGTGGAGGCATCGACCTCGGAAGCAACTGATGTGGACATACGGCTCTTGGGTGCAGTACGAGCGGTTTTGGCGGTACGGCGCTTGGGCTTGGTGGGTGAAGTGGCATCTTCTAGGATCTCGTCGTCGACGACGGGGTTGCGACGAGTACGTGAGGCTGTCTGTGGTGTAGAGGTTACAGACTTGGTGTTCCTCGTAGAGCGAGGAGCTGGAGTGTATTCTTCCCTCTTCTTCGTCNNTAGGTCGTCTTCAGTTTTGTTTCCTTGGGCTACTTCATCGCCCATGTCTATTTCCATGTCGTCGTCGGAATCAACAACCCTGCGTCGCGAGGCGGCAGTCCGCCGACTTTGTCGTGGTGAAGTGGCCGACATGGTGTCTTGTCCAAATGTTGTTGTCGCAAATCGAGGCCTTGAAGCATTATTGTTGCTTGCCCATGCAGCCGTTCGCCAAACAGAACAAACAAACATTCGGGCCTGTGCCCCTCCGACTGACTCGGCCCGACCCCTCACTGCCTAATATTGCAACACTTCTCACCATCAAGCACCTTTACTGTCTGGCAACATTTTCAAAATTCTCTAAAATGCATCCTGTTACATACTGAAACTACAATCAGCATCTTGAATGGTTTTCCATGAGTCCGGAGGCACCCTAACCTTCCCAAGCATCCACCATCAACCTGGCAATATTCTTGCCCATCAGGCTGCTTGTTTCCATTGTACTGATGAAGCTCTCAATACCTGCCGTATACCAAAGCCCGTCGTCCAGCTGGAGCTCTTCGAAAGTTACTCGCGGATACTCATATGGATAGCTGTTCCACACCTTCCGGTACATCCAACTGACATCCGCGTTGCTTATAGTCCTGTTTTCAGCCAGACCCAGGATGTTGGCCATGAATGTCTCATTGAGAGGGGTGGGCGAGAAAACTTTGTACAGGTACTCCAGCTCATCTTTACCTTCACGAGTGTCCATGCTCGGACGCAAAAGTGAGATACTGAAGAAACCAGGTGATCCCACTCCTGCTGGATCACTGCCGTGGTGTTCGCCTGGAGGGAGGGTAGTCAGAACCACTTGAGGAACCACTTCGTCTGACGATAGATTGAAGGCTCGTGGCGATAGCTTGTGTTTTGATGTGAACAGTGTGACATGCAACTGTACATAAGGAATCGAGTCTGGCAGGTGACGAGGCTCGGGCTCAAAATCGATCCTCGAGTATTGATATGGTCCTGCCAGCACAACCTCGTCAAACGTCTGATGGTCGAGTGTTACTGATGACTCCGTTCCCTTTGTCGATATCATATATGTAGCATCCTCCTGCCTCTCAACCTTGCTGACTGTGCGGTTGAGAAGAACTGTTGCTTGAGAGGCTGCGAGCATGTTCGAGAATATTCGCCAGTTGCCGCCTTCGATTGCTTGTGCTCCGTCAGTGGCCATGCAGACCATCGCCTCCAGTCCATGTATGAGGGGTAGATTTTGTGCGTAGTTAACCCGTGTGCTCGCCTGTATGATATCCTGAGCGAACAGTTTGCCGATTCCGTTTTGATCAAGAAACTGTTCACCAGTGGAGGCGGTGACAGCCGTCAGTCCGAGTTCATAGGCCACGTGCGATAATGATTTCCATGGGAAATATGGCTCTTCGTACATCTTGAGAAACTTCCCAACGGTAGCCTTCATCAACTTCACAGTCTTGAGAGGTGCAAGGCCGTATTTCCAGAAAAGCTTTGCAGTATCCCACCAGCTTCCACCAGAATTCTGCGTGTAAACAAAGTCTTTTCCATTCCATATTCCCAACACTGGTCCTTCTGTGCTGAGTTCACGAATGCCGGAGGTCGACAGATTGAATTCTTTAGCAGCATTCATGAGATTGTGGTTCACCTCAACAAAGATGGATGCACCGAGCTCGACCGGATTTTGTTCGTCTCCATATACACCGACTGTTATTGAACGACCACCTATGTGACCGTCACGTTCGTACACTGTGATGTTGAGGGGTATGCCTCGCTCCTGACTGTATTTCTGCAGGAAATATGCTGTTGATGAGCCGGCACTTCCGGCACCTNNAACGACAGTGTCAGATACAGGTTGTTTCACAACATACTACTCGAGAGCTTCACCTATGATAGCAACATTCTTCGTGGCTCTGGTGGCGGCTGGATCCTTAAGGACAACCTGGTCGCGCGACGCAAGTGCTGACGGCGCGTACACAAGCCAACTCGCATACACAAGAATGCTGTGAGCCTTCATGTTTTCTCTCGATATCGAAGGTTCCGATTCGTATGATATATTTATATAGTTGATGATTTTGTCCAAGTGTGCAGGAGGTAGGTAGTATGCATCGCATGATGACGCCAAGCATCTCCCTCTGGTTGATGTTGGAGCTTCTACCCTTCAGGAATGGATGCACAAAGTTATCTTTAATGATTTACACAATATCAGGAGTTGAAGTTCATATGAAACTAAAGTGCTCAATATAGATGTCTTGAAACCTCTGCGGCCAGGCTCAGACAAATGAGCGAGGAGCCTGCTGCTGTGTTTCGGCGAGAGTAAATACTGAGAATAGCTAGAACAATATCCAAGAACTCTTTGTTTTACAGTATCGAACCCCCAACGCATGCCCTCAAACAAGCCGATACTGTGCATCGTTAAAGCTGAGAATTGTACTGTTGTCTTGTTGTCAGAGGAAGAGAAGAGAGATGGCGGCGGCAGCGTCGTTCGAGCAGCGCCAAGCGCGTGCGTCTTTGTTGTTTTGATCAACACTTTGTCGTCCCTCTTTTCTAGTTGTCAAAAATGCACAATGCTAGCGAAATCTAGACAGCACTCATAGAGAGATCATGATGGACTATCATGCACAACGTGCGATGGCTCATGGCATGTACGCCGCCATGGACACCTTTGTTCAAAGTGCTGCTATGAAAGTGGACTGGACGCAGCGTCAGAGCGTTGTTGACCGACTACGCCAATGGATTCGACATCGATTTGTCCCTGCAGTGGGCCTCTCAACACCCAACGAAGTGGCGGATTGGGAGAACACAGCTCTTGAACGCCTGGCGAAGCAAAGGATCAGACACCTTCTCGATTATGTCAAGGCCTGGCCTCATTCAACCGGAGCAATACTGGATCTGAGAGAATGCATGCACTCATCAGAAGTGAAGATCCAGATTGCGAACTCATTTACACGTCAGCTAAGTCGTCGCTTATTACATGCCGGTGTGACAACGTCAGAGCTACTCAGCATCTACATCAATGTCATCATGGCGTTCAAGACTCTGGACCCAAGAGGTGTGCTCCTGGATAAGGTAGCTGTACCTCTACGTGCATATCTAAGACATCGCGAAGACACTGTAAGAATCATCGCAGCCAGTTTCCTGGCAGATGTCGGTGATGATGATACTCCTCTCGATAATTCGTCCGAAGAGATATGTATCGACCTTGCTCGAGAAATCAACCTTTCGGAGGGTCAGGCGCTTCATGTTGAACACAAAGGTCTTGACTGGGATGATATGGAATGGATGCCTGATCCTATTGATGCAGGGCCTGGTGAGTTGCTTCGTTCTGTGTAAAGCAACATGCTAATCATCTCGTGTCCAGATTACAAGAAATCCAAAACCGAGGATGTCATGTCGTTTATGCTTACTCTCTTTGAGCAAGCTGATTTCATCAAGGAGGTCCAGTCACTATTGGGAGAACGCTTACTGAGTGTCGGCTATGATGATACCGAACTCGAAAAGGAGGTCAGTACTTGACCGGATGTACTCCTGAGTTTGAGACTATACTTACTCTGTGCACAGATTCGTCTCGTGGAGCTTTTCAAGACACGATTTGGTGCCGATCGTTTGCAGTCTTGTGAGGTCATGCTGCGTGACATACAAGACTCGAGACGCATCAACAATACCCTTCGTCCAAAAGACGATTTCCCAACGGCGCAGGAGGTTCATGCGGCAATTCCTGATACTGGAATCAAAAGTCAGGCACTCATTGGCAAGTTCAACACGCGTGTGCCACGGACCGACTTGGCTGGTCATAAGTTCATCGCCCTGATCAAATCCGTGGCTGTCGCTGAAAAAGGCTCAGACATACTCTATCCATCACCTGACTTACCCATGTTTGAGTCCAGTGTTGACACTGAGTTGTCTGCAGCCTTCCAAACACAGATTTTGTCTTCGTTCTTCTGGCCGAGTCTAAGAGAAGATGAGTTTGCCGTACCAGCGCCAATTTCTACTCTGCAGAAGAACTTTGAGCAGGATTTCGAGCGCATCAAGAATCTTCGCAAACTACACTGGTTATCTGCTCTGGGAAAGGCTACAGTCGAGCTCGAGCTTGAGGATCGTACTGTGAAGTTTGAAGGTGTCCAGACGTGGCAAGCAAGTGTCATATATGCATTCCAAGATGAGAGCCAGGACGCTTCTACTGCCAGCCCAGCATCAAGAACAGTACAGCAGCTGGAAGAGTCACTTCAGATGGAAGAAGTGCTTGTACGCAACGCACTTGCATTTTGGGTAGGCAACCAAGTTCTGATCGAGGATGAGCCGGATGTCTTCACCGTTCTTGAGCAGTTGCCATCTGCAGATGGAAAGTCCACGACAGGCCCTCCAGCACATGCACCAGTGCAGGCTGATACCGTCATCTCGGCAGTCAAGTCCCAAGATGCTGTACTTCAAGACAACAAACCCATGTACGAAATGTTCATGATGGGCATGTTGACGAACGGAGGTGCCATGGACGCGGCACGTATCACAATGATGATGAAAATGGTTGTCCCTGGCGGTTACAACTTTGGTGAGGATGAAACGAGATGGCTCCTTTCTGGCATGGAGGAGCAGGGCAAGGTTGTCGTCAATGGCAGCAACTATTCCATCAAGAAATAAAAGGTCGCTCGTAGAAGAGCACTCTCAAGATGCATTTGGCTTCAGCACTTCTTCTTACGAAATCATTCATAGACACAATTCGAACAGAGGCATATTTATCCAGCAAAATGTCATGATTGATAAGTGTATATGTCGAGATCAAACACCAATTACTTCCAGGTTAAAGAAGAAAATACCACCATAGAAGAAGGATCATCGCAAGACTGCGGCGACCAAGAATGGAAAGTAAAGAAACCATTTGACAACAATGACAAAGGAGACACCCTTCCAATCACGTCCCAATCAAATCATTGCCATGTATGCTTTATCGCCCTCCGATTCTGCTCTCTAATCTGCCACCATTCAAGCCTTGCCGTTTCTCTTGTAGCCAGCGCGGTAGCCGCCACCGTATCCGTAGCCCCAGGAACCGTACCAGGGAGCAGTAGGGTAACTTGGAGGAGTGGAGGAGGGCGAGCCAGTGATTGGGCCGGCCTCAGAGCTCCCTGCGCTAGAGCTGACGGTGCTGGTGACAAATGAAGAGAACTGTGGGATTGGACCAGTGGGGAAAGCAGTACTGCTACTATTGCCGCCAGTAGACGAAGCGGAGAAGCCAGTAGACGCGGAAGAGTTTGTGCCAGTGACAGGGCTGATGGGTGAGGAAGATGGGCTCATGCTCGAGATCGCTGTGCCGCTGGATGGGGTTAGTGTGCCATTGCGGCCGCCAGAAGTGTATGATGCAGAGAATGTGCTTGAGGATCCTGAGCTAGAATTAAGGCTCGAGGCAGGCCCAGTGGTCAACGGGATGGTCTGAGTGGTAACTAGGGTCACGGTGACTGAGGAGTTGAGGTGAATGGTAACATGAGTAGGGCTAGCGTAAGTTGAACTCGAGTTGGTTACAGATGCTGTGACTGGCGAGTCTGGCGAGCTTGATGGTGTGGAGCCACCGTAGACTCCAGTACCAGGAATGTATGGGACGTAGGGATACCCAGTAAAGGAAGCAGCTGAAGAGGTCTCGTTGCCATATGTGGAAGGCACACCAGTACCCATAGAGGGTGAGATCGCAGTTCCGGGTAGCGAAGTGCTGTTGACGGCTGTCACAGGTGATTCTGGAGAGGAAGAAGGTGTCAAGGTGGTCGTCACAATGACCGTGCCAGTCACGAACGAAGAAATGGTGGTAACATTGGCGCTAGATGAGAAAGCGGATGAAGCAGCAGATGTCATGTTTGAGGACGACTCAGGACCTGGTGGAGGCAGGTAGACGGTTGTGATCACAGTCGTGACTGCAGTAGTAGCAGAATAGATGGTGGTAACTGAATCTCCAGATGAGGCTGTGGTGTTTGGGAAGAAGGCCGAGCTTGAGACCATGGAAGTGGGAGAAGCAGTACCACTTCTGCCCTCATCAGATGACGAGGGGACGAACGTAGTGCCGCTGGGGCTTGACAGTGTACCACTTCTGCCTTCATCTGACGAGGAGGGGACGAACGCGGATGATACTCCAGTTCCGGTAGGACCAACAACTACAGAGCTGATGTTGAAGGTGGGGAAGGGAGCACCGTAGGAAGGTCCTGGGAATGGAGCGGGAGACCATCCTGATGGCAATCCTGTTGGGCGAGGGAAACCGGTAGGGAAGTTGCCATATGGGAATGGTTCATAACAATCCGAGGAGGGTGCTGGGTTTGCCAAAGCGACCGCAAAGACACAAGGGAGGAAGGAAAGAGTTTTGAACATTTTTAACGATTGTGTAGGAGATGAGCGAAAGACTGTTGATTTTGATCAAGTCTTGCAACGACTGATGCCCTACTTATACATCAGAACATCTTCAGGAAGTCGTATATTGCAAGGGCAGGCAGTGGCGATACATCTTCCCGTTGGCTTGCTTCCTTGCCTGACAGATGTCTTTGAGAGACTACATGGTGTTGAAAACTTTTGCAGTCAAAGCAGGTTCCCTTTCTTCAAAGTGGCCCAGATTTCCCTACCTGCAGCGCTGGTGGTTGTTTGCTGTGTCATGTCAGGGCCGCCCAAGTGAGCGGCGTCGGATCCTTGCTGAAGAACGACAGGGTTGGCTGAACAAAAATTGTCATGCATGTGTAGATTGGATCTAAGATGTGGTGTGACCATAAGGGAACGGAAAGCAGGAGATGGCAGGAAGGGCGGAGGGTGTGAACTGGGGTAACACAAAGCAGAGCTTGACGCAGGAACAATGATCGGCTGCATACATGGTGCAGGTGTCGTTTGCCATTTGTGTAATCCTGTACAGAAAACAGGTCGACTCACCTTGACCAGAAATTAGATGACCATGACTCCTTTGTTCAAAGGACCGACTTGTGCTGCAAAGGGGATGTGCAAGTTCTGGTTGACTGCAGGAAGAATTACGTTTGTGGTTATGTACAGAGAAGCCCGCTTCACTCTTCATCATTATCATCATCAAAGGGGCTTCTGTCGCCGGTGTGCGCACTGGCAGGCGAAACTCGCAACAGGACCGTCTCCTTTGATTGTTGCTGCTGCAGCCTCTTCCGCCTTCGTGGAGCGGGCACCATGGGCTTTTCCTTCTCGACTTTGGCAGTGACCTCTAAGACGCTCAGACTACTTTCGCCCGCCTCGGCCAGGTTCATTCCCAGTAAGCGCTTGGCTACATGAGCATCAGTAGGGGGGCTGATTGGGTCCTCATGGTCTGATTCGTCTCTTATCCATGCGACTTGTTTGCAGCGTGAGACCAAGCGCACGACGGTCTCATCGACGGGAGCGAAATGAAACGAGGATCTGTTGACCAGCAAGCAGAAAAGTTTGCGTAGCTCTTCACGTTTGTAGTGAGCATTGTCGTGGGCCAGTTGTGTATTCTTCAAGAGCGGACACAAGACGCGCAGGTATGTGTGACGGAGAGCTCGCTGGCCACCGCCATCCCGAGGCAAGTCGGATTGATCATCGTCGTCAGACCCAGGGTCTAGATCGAGGAGGTTGCGGATGATGACGTCGACGAGAACATGCAAGTCGTTTGTGTAAAAATACTCGAAGGTGGAAGGGGTGGTGAACAAGAGATAGAGAAGCTTGAGGATCAACAACTGGGGACCAAGGGCGGACTCGCGATTCAAAAGCAATATGAGGTTCTCGCCAAAGGTACGGTAGGCAGGGCCGTGGTTGGAGAGAACTTTGATGATGCGGTTGGTCAGAGTGGGGTGCGACTCTGGCGAGACAGCGTAGCACATGTATTGTTCGTTAAGTATGAGCAGGACGCGGATTGTGGGATAGTGATAGGGGTCATTGGCGTCGTTGGACAGCTCCTCGATGAGCTCGAACAGGTAGATGACAAAGGCGTCGTCAACGGTAGCTGTAGCGGCATAGATTAGAACGGGCCAAGAAGCAGGTTGGCGGCAAGCAAAGCGACATCACTCACCGAGGTCATCGAGTGACAGGCGCTGTATCCTGGACATGTCGCAGAGCAGCTCAAGCAGCAGGCGGTGTAGGCCAGTACTGTCGTCCTTATTGCCCTTGATCAACTCGAGCAGACGGGGAAAGGTACCCTCGATCTGCATCATGTCAAAGACGGCTTCATCGCTGCGGCCGTCGTAGAGCAGTACGGCCGTGACAATGTGCAGCACGGGTGCGTCTTCTTCCNNTACAGCGGGCTGTCAACAGAGAAGCTCGCAGGCATGTGTCGGGACGTAGTGGGATCGCACCTGTAGCAGGCAGTAGACGAATTGGCGGCGCACATAGTCCTTGTTCTGCGTGAAAAGTGGCGAATCGATCAGGCGGTAGCAGCAGCGGGCAATGTCGTACTCGGTGTCGAGAAAGCCGTCGGTCGAGAGCTCAAGGAAGGAGCGCAGACAGTCGTCGATCTGCTCGTGCGTGTCGCATTGCGTGTCCAGGAGCGCGTGCAGGCGCTGCCAGTATGAGCTGTCGTCGTCGTCGGCGGCGGATCCCATCTTCTGGCTGGCTTCCAATCGCCCAGCAGAAGCCTCCGGCTATCCAAGACTCATCACTGTGCTGGAAACGTGTGGTCATCGAATCTCCATACCCAAGCTTGGAAGCGCCGTCGAGTCCGCCGCCCCATGCCCGACACGTCCGCCGCCCCCGCCAACCTACAAGTCACGCCGTCTCTGGTGATTGCAATCCTTCCACCGCTTACTCTAACTTGACTCCTCGTCTTGCTTCTTGTTCCTCCTACCTTTAGTTTCTCTTCATCATTGTCCTCGAGGCCTTACGCTCTTTGCACCTTCACTTCAACATGACTTCACACAGTACATATCCACCTCCATCTTGACTTTACGCATGCTGTCGTGTGCTTGGAGTTCAATTCGTAACATTCGTTGATCGTATCTAATCTTGTCTTGATATTCCTAAATACCAGTACTCCAAAAGCTCGTTGCTGATTAAGTCTCTCTCTGTCTTCGCAATGCAATTTCGACCTAACTTCCCGTCTCAAACACCAACAACAAGAGCCTTCTAATATTTGCCAGGCCCATTATACCTTCTCGTTGCTGCCGCTGGTAATCCCCTTTCGGCGTGTGAAGAAGATTGCCCCTGCCATGCAGATGGCACTCAGAAGCAGACACATTCCACTCCAAATCTGTACTCCGAGATATGTCTCGTACTCCGTAACCAGGTGACCAGTGATAACCGGCCCGACCAGTGCAAATGGCGCTGCTGCTGTGTACATCATGCCTGTCCATTGTCCAAGTCTGGCCTGTCTGTCTGGCTCGGGTCCCAAAATCGTTGCCATGGATGCTGCAGGTAGCCCGATCACACTGCCCGAGAAGGCTCCGAACAGGATGGCAAAGACCAAAGCCGGCGCAAGTGAGTTGGCAAATGTCCACAGAAACAGGCAAAGAATGCTAGACACGGTCGTCACCGTCATGTGGACGTTCAACGCGCCGCACTTGTCACAAAGCCAGGCAGAACTGAGCCGACCAAAGGTACTGCAGCCGTTCATGATGCTCAAGAGCCAGTACGTCGACAAGGTCACCTTGCCTCCTGGGGGCGGTGTACCTTTATGGGCGATGCCACTGGTTGCCGCCCACTCTTCAAGGCTGAAGAACACGCAATAGAATCCGAGGAAGAGAGCAGCGATCGACGCTGTGAAACAGCAGAACGCGCCATCACGGAATGCCGATGTGTCAACCCATGTTCTCTTCGACATCCACTTCTCGGGTTTTCTGAATGTGTGTGCTGGGTTTGGCTGGGCCAGGAATACTGCTGCGAAGCTGGTGACAGATATGACAATGGTGACATATCTTACTGCGTCGTTGAAGCCTTGGGACGTGATGAGGAAGCGAAGCATCACCGGCAAGGTAAGTCCANNGCTATAAAGGAGTAAGTAATGCTTGTCGAGAGTCAAGGATAGGGGGAACTGCTTACAAATACTTGCACCAGAAGCTACAACGCCGAGAGCAAACCCCTTTCTCNNTTATGGAACCATGTTGCTGCGACTTCTAACGGTTAGCTCTGTGATCAGGTAAGTAAGACTTGCCCAAACATACTTTGAGAACTGATATGGAACGTCAGCATTCATGGTCAAATATCATGCATGGTTGACATGAACTTACCTTGATACGAAGAAGCAGGCCATGCCCAACCCAGTTACCAAGCCTTGTGTCAACCACGTCAAACCATAGTGGCCTTGGTTCAAGCCTCCGTTACCATTGCAAATGCTCAGCATGAACATGCCTATGGTGACGATGACAGAACCAGTCACTAGCAGCTCACGACTATGGTTTGCATCGAGTAGCCGACCAACAATGAAGGAGAAGAAGAGGACGAAGAAGCATTGAGTCGAGCCGATCAAATTACTCAACATCAGGTCATCACCACGGAAGAGTGACTCTGAATAGTAGGACAAAAAGGTGCCGAAGATGTTGATAAGTCCCCAAGAGTTGAACATGAGCAGGAAGCAACCCTGGTGATGGTTAGCGATATCCTTTCGCTGGACATAAGCATGAGGGTCACTTACGAACAAAGCTGCGTACGGACGCCATCCAGTCGGCCAATTCCTTTCCCGATCTTCGACCATAGTAGCCGAAGGAGACAACACAGGGAGTGATCCTAGGGTCGGAGGCTGGTGCAGTTCCTTCTCAGTGAAGTCGGAGCCCGACCTTTGCTCATTCGGATGGACATTTCTGGTTAAACGTGTCATTCTCAACAAGAAGTATGAATGTCACACAGACGGAAGATAGACGGAGAAGGAAGAACTGCTTGGGTATCTCGACGAATGAGTATCTGAGATGGTCAAGCCTGCTGGATGATATAGGAATCCTTCGAGAGATGGCCTCCTTTATACACCCCACGACTCCCGGAGTCCACACGCATGCACTGCCAGTTTCGGAGCACGTTTGCTTTCACATCAGGACGCGTCAGGACCAGCACGACGATTGTGATCGCCCATATCTCTTATGCGGGCCAAGGCCTCAAATGTAACAGCCAAGAGAAAGCCCTCCCGTCGACAAGCATCAAGAAGAACCAGTCAACCCAAGTTGAAAGCCCCGTTATCAGNNGTTAAAAAGACAATCGCCAAGCAGGGCGCCAAAGTTACAGACCGCCCAGGTGAAAACGCTGGGAAAAACAACACTGGCTGTACACTATCCAGGCTTGGCCTTTACGTTGGGTAACCATCGGAATGTGGATTAGCATAGGGAGTGTCCAACCATATCAGGAGCATAGGACATGCCTAGGTGAATGGATCAGATCGGGGAGTATAATGAGCCATGGCAGAAAGTTTGTCTGGTGGTGCGTCGTTATGAGACAAGCCCTCCGCACGGAGTCTCTTGTGCTGCAGAAGACAACCTGCTGACGATCAACAAGAATATAGCGTTCAATCCGGGGGGAAGATGAGTGGGTCTGTCTGTCAGTCTGGAGTCCGGAGAAGGAGGCTGAGCTGTCTGTGAGAGGCTTGGCGGCCAGCGATTCAGGACCTGCAACTGCTGCGGACAAGGAGAAAGGACTATCGTATGCTAATCTCTTGGGACCGCATCACGATTGGAAACGCATTATGCATTGCAGCAGGATAATGCAGACTTGCTAGGCAGCTAGGGGTCGGCGAGCAAAAGATGTGACGAGAAGCTTTGTGCTTTCTCAACCAAGTCTGAGGTTGCGCAGCTTGCTTGAATCTGGAGGCCTGGGCATTCATGCTTGGATCACGACTTTAGCTTTTGATATGATTGCAAATGCCGCCATGGCAGATGTGAGATAAGTGTTGATCAAATATTGGCATGCCGTCGTTACGGGCGTACAAGAGTTCCAAGATGCCAATGCTAGACGGTAAAAGACAAGCAGATGTTGAAGAGTCAGAAAGGGCCACGGGCTCATGCAAGATAAGGCATCAAAAACGTTTACCCGGCGGGTGGCTGTGCGGGTTCTGTGGAGAGGACTCACGACACCACAGGGTTCTCGGGGGTCAACAGGAAGCAGGTCAATCACCATGATGGGTAAGTCTTAGCACCAAACTGTCTAAATACACTAACTGACTCACCCACTTTTCGGCAGCGATACCATCGAATGGTGTGCTTTGAAGCATGTGCACAGTAGATAGACCGAAACTGGTTCGAGACGAGGTCCTTGACCGTCAGGGCCGATCAGCACCGGGTTAGACGCAGCGCCGCCAAGCGGACTTCAGGTCGCAGACTTGGGGACGACGATCTCACAAGCAATCCCGGTGAATCAGATCCTCTCCGTGGGCTAATGAAGTCTGTGACTTCCATTGTTCTCCGACTACAGCGAAGAGCACAAGTGGTTTCGCAAGCAGAGGACTGTTTATAGGGAGTGATAGATTGTCGCTTTCCAGTGGGCACTGCCTCATTCCCTAGTAGTAGACTAGTAGTATGCATCTTCACAGCTACACGCGTTGCATACTTTAGCACACGGGGAGAGAATCTGACTGCAGTCTGCAAGTGTCAACAGGCTGGGCATTGCCTTTCTAGGTATGTGCTGAGCTTTGACAATCTCCTTGGTGCAGTAAGTGAGACACGAAAGGACACGGTTGTTCTCGGACAAGGTCATCTCTAAGAAAGCATGCCAAGAACCTATTCGATATACTAATCCATTCATCTCAAGAAGGACTACGCCGCAAGCCATTCAGGTGACAACATCTAGTATGGGCATGTGATTTGAGATAGGGGAGTCGCCCGAAGGTTCAAGGTGCCCATCATGCTTTGACAAGACGAGACATTCGGAGCGTCGGCCCAATCTGACTAAACGCCGGCTTGAGCGCCTGATCGCGTCACTTCGCCTCTCGGGGTCGTCGTCGTCCTCCTCATCCTTGACCTCCTATCCTATTCTCGCATCTTCGACCAACTCGTCTCTTGACTCGAATCCGATTCTTCTGCACTCGCCTAATCATCTTCCGCCACTCGCCAACACAATCACTACCTTACTTGTTACCTCGTTCCCTCCAGCCACCTTCTCATTCACACACTCGTCATCACAGCCATGGTCATGATGCGCTCCAACAGCATCTCATCCATCTCATCTCTGGCCTCACGCTGCTCGTCAGCAGAGCCCGAGTCCACCATGCAAATCTTCATCAAGAACATTGCCGGCAACAGTAAGTTCTCCGGATGGTATATAACCACCTCACGTGCTTACCATTTACAGCCTNTTGCCCTCGAAGTACCCGAATCCACTTCGATAGCGACGCTCTCATCTCTTCTCGCCATTCGCACGAATCTCCCCGCTCAGGATATGCGCCTTGTGTATGCTGGCAAGCACCTTGATACCTCGTCAAACACATTGTCGGACTACAACATTGGCCGAGAAAGCACACTGCACTTGGCACTCCCGTTGCGAGGCGGAGCACCCAAGAAGATCCGCTGTCAATTCAAGGATTGCAAGGATGCAGCCCAGCGTATCGTCGGAGACTGCGGTTTCTGCAACGGTCATTTCTGTGGCAAGCACCGCATGCTCGAAAGTCATGCCTGCAGTGGACTCGAGACATGCAAGGAGGAAGAGAAGCAGCGCAACCGCGAGCGCCTCGAGAAGGAGAGAACCGTTGCCATCAAGGGCATCTAAGCACACGACTAGTGGTCCAGGCAGGGGGCTTTGAATTCATGGAGTCAACAAGGTAGCGGGAGTCAAGGGAATTGGAGTTCTGCATTTCATTGCCATGCATGTTGCTGGCTGGGCATTTTGCTTTGAGGAGACTATACATATCCGGGGATGGACTGGCTAATAGGAGAGAGACAATACACAGCTAGGCTTATGAAAGCCAGCATCTTATCTGAAACACGGTTCCTGGCTTTTCTTTGAAGTGCATGTCTTTGCTGGATCAACTGGTGTAGAAGTAAGGAGTTTGAGCGCATGATGCGAACAGACTTGGCATGAAGAGAGCGTGCGGGCTTGATTGGTGGTCATAACCAGATGCAACATCACACGGTGCTACTGCAAGACGGTCGCGGGTCAGACGGGCATTGGCAGGGTGGACATCTGAGTTGCTGCATGACAGAGCAAAAATCAAGATAGAGGGATTCGTAACTACAGAATTAAGAAGCAGATGACTTGTCGAGTGCTCAGGAGTGGCTGTCTCTCTGTCTGTCAGGCTGGAGCCAAGGTGTGGCTTTATAGTGCGTCATTCATCAAGACCGTGCGCGTCTTTCAGGCCCCGCCATGTTAGTTGAGATTGGGGGACGTTCACGTCCTTGACCGACAGAGACGCATAGCAAAACACTTGTAACCCTCTCTTTGCCTTGTGTAATTCGACATCGCACCACCATGGCTTCGTCATCCTCAGGTCTCTCCGCTCCCGCTTCCGAGCAGTCGTCTCGAGCATCCACCNCCGGCCCTGGCGCTGCCATGGGCGAGAAGACGCCCGACGACAGCAGTAAACTCAAAACCTTTGTTGGCATCTTGAAGAAGTGAGATGCTGCTGCCCACATCTTCTCACTGCGCGCCCTTCACTGACACGTCCACCCAGGTNTCATCGGTGTTTCTGACATTGCCGCTGTTCGCTTCTCCTTGCCCGCCCAGCTGCTCGAGCCCATCCCCAACCTCGGTACGCCTCCACTTAGATCTAGAGCTCCAAGTAACAACCTCCCTAACCACGTAGCTGCGCAGNAGTACTGGCATTACCTGGACAGACCCGACATCTTTGCTAGCATCGGCGACTCGGACGATGAGCTTGGCCGTCTCCTCGCCTGCTTGCGCTTCTGGTTCACAAAGGACCTGAAGTACGTCAAGGGCAAGCCTTGCAAACCATACAATTCGACTCTTGGAGAGTTCTTTAGAGTACGTCGTCTGCCTCTATTCTTTCTTGAGTGCCGCCTCTGATGCCCGTACAGTNGTCAATGGGAGACCGAGGACAATGTGCCTGTTATCCAAGGCAACAAGGTCAAGTCCGATACTGCCGGCAAGCCTGTCAAGGTTTCCTATCTTACCGAGCAAACCTCGCATCATCCTCCCGTCTCCGCCTACTACGTCGACTGTCCTCAANAAGGCATTTCTGCATGCGGTTTCGATCAGATCAGCGCAAAGTTCACCGGCACTAGCATTCGTGTCACTCCTGGCGTTCACAATGAAGGCATCTACGTCACTCTACACAACTGGGGCAATGAGACATATCATCTCACTCATCCCGCTGCATACCTAGGCGGCTTCTTGCGAGGTATCCTTACCCCAGCTTCTGATTCAAGCTGCCAAATGTTGACACTCTGCTAGNGCAATCTCAACGTCAGCGTCGCCGATACTTGCTTTGTCACATGCAAGAAGACAGGCATCAAGGTCATCCTTACTTACGTCGAAGAAGGATGGCTGGGCAAGACCCAGAATAAGGTCGAAGGTGTTGTCTACAAGTGTGACGTTGACAACGACAACATCTCCAGGATCAAGGACGTTCCAGAAAAGGCTATCTTGGGCCGCATCGAAGGTGCCTGGACCGACAAGGTCTACTTCACCAGAGGATCTGGACCTGCTGCAAAGAACCCTGACAAGGTTCTTCTCATTGATGTCAACCCGCTGTTCCCCGTGCAGAAGCTTGTTCCTCCTCCCGAGCAACAGTTGCCCAACGAGTCGCGCAAGTTCTGGAACAATGTCACCGAAGCCATTCTCAACAAGCAATATTCAAGAGCCACGACAGAGAAACAGGAGCTTGAGGAGCGTCAACGTCAAAAAGCGGCTGATAGGAAGGCCAGAAACGTTGAGTGGTCACCTCGCTTCTTCACTGGCGCCACCACTCCTGCTGGTATCCCGGAGCTCACTGAAGAGGGCAAGAAGGTCCTCCTCGGTCTGCAGAACGGAGACTACCATCTCGAAGAGAGCAAAGAGACCGGTGCATGATATCAATACCCCAAGCTACATACATAACTTCTCTAGACCAGACCTTTCTTGGAATTGCACAATGCTGGGGCGTTATAGGCGTTTGTGCTTGTCTCCTGCTAACGAATGAATTATGCAAATTTGATATTCTGAATCTGTCAGAGCATTGAGCGCGCCCCGTCTTACTTTCTGATACCACGACACCGCCTGTCGCTTCCCAGCCGTCTAAGATACCTTGCCCATAGCAACACAAGGCGTCTACCATATTATAGAGAACCATTTCTATCAAAATCCTATCCTCATCGTCTTAGAGCGTCTCGAAGTAATCCAAAGCGTGCGTCCCGTTCTAAATAAGTATGACTAATATTTCTTAATAAAAAAGAAGCAGAAATTATAGCGGATATTCGATATTTCGTTAGCTATAAACATCAAGTAAAGATAAACCTCTAACATGGTAAGTCGTGTCTCGCTAACTAATTATTAGTCTGTTATCAATTACTACGTCTCCTACTAGTCTACTATGGCTACTAATACTCCGCTTCTCTCTAGACCAAGATATGTCTTAATCTTATAGAATGGTGTCAAATCTCGAGTATCGAGTTACGAATGCTTCTTCGACGAGAACACAAGAGCTGCGAGAGCTTTGTATAGCTCGCATCGAGTTAGCGCCATCGCGACATCACGTGTAGCCTGTCCTGCTGGTTAGACAACCCTGCCTTCGATACAGAACCAGATATATAGAGGTAGGATGGTTATACTTCTAATTCTGTCCGAAGGAATTGATCTACTGCTTTAATATTATGGTTTGTAGACTCTCTACTGCTGCGTTTGTCTGACTGCTAGAACACAAGGCTGGCCAAGGTACAGAAACAAGCTATATGAACCATCAGGCACAAGAGGTTGGCAAGGACTTATATCTAGGTATTTCGTTCCCTCGCTTTCACAACTATGTATGGGGAGATTTCTCGATACCTTGCTATAATGCCTAAAAGGTTGTGCTAGTTAAGTGACAAGATAGTTCTCTGTTCGGTTGATAAATCTAGTCCCCCCTGTTTAATAAAGGGTTTGTTGAACTGTTTAACAAGAGTTTCGTTGAATGCTCATGTGGGGGGCTTGGGTAGTTGGATTGTGCTTTGAAAGCTGCTCTGGAGATGCTTCCCTCGCGGAAGCTGGACTCTGTAAAACTCGATTCAGAACTTCCGACCACAAAAGCACTTTGACAAATCTATCGTGGCTGAATCGGCCGACAAAATGCATAGTATCTCAGAGGACGTGGTGTTCACGGGAGGATGATATCTCGGAGCTATTCTATGGCTGAATTTCATATTGGAAAATCCACCGGGCGTTGTCCTGACTGATCATCACTCTATGTCGTAGCAGAAGACCGAAGACGACTGTGGGGCTACAATGGCAAAAGAAAGCATACAGATTCTCAACATCACTAGATCTTCTTGACTAATATGACTTCGGTCCCGTTAAATCGAATGGCCGAAGTATACATTGCTCTGACTTTTCCGTACGATGCCTGAACTCGAGCATGGAAGACCATTCCATACGTACCGTCTTCCATATCCATGACACCGATTGACCCTGGTGCGGTCAAGTTGAAGTCGCCTGTTCTCAGCAAAGGCTTCTTTGCTCGTTGGTACGGGCCACGAACGTCGTTCGCGAACGCGTATTTCACATCGTAAGAAGGATTTCGGGTACATCCAGACGAGAAGAACAGGAAGTAGGTTCCTTCTGGGCTTCTGACAATGACTGGCGCTTCCACTAGAGGACCATCGTCTTCGGTGCGATCGAGGATGGTGATGTCTGACCCGTCTGGCGTGACACCATCTGCCATCATCTTTTGAAGCTTGATTGGGGTGGGTACCAGGGGCTTGACAGTGTTGCCACACTCCCCACCGTGTCCGACATTATTGCCATCGACCTTGTACGTCACAAAGAAGGATCCGTCTGTATCGATGAAGGGAGATGGATCGATAGCGCCGCCTTCATCAATGGGACAAGCAATGGTTGCGTTCAATGGTAGGTATGGGCCTGCTGGCGAAGACGTGTCCGAGATTGCAGCTCCGATACAATGGGATGACCTTGGTGCGTCCTTTGGAGAATCTGCTGACGCAGCGGAATAGTAAAGGACGAACTTGCCATCACTGGGTCTCTTGATGACAGCCGGAGCCCAAACGTTTGCCTTTGGGTTCAGATTTTCCGTGAGCCCAGGCCTGACCCAGCCGCCCAACTGTGGAAGAGGATCGTGTGTGTGGTTCAGTAATGTCCAGTCCTTGAAGTTGGGACTTGTTGCTATCTGCACATTGCTTTTGCCCATAGCAAGAAGCTCAAGAGCTGCTGTATCGTTCGATTGTGCGAGAATGCCTNNAAGCATGTCAGCTTCCTGTCTTCAGAGCCGCTGCAATAATATCATCTACTAACCTGCTGCATTGGTTGTAGCGAAAGCATAGAACAAGTCCTCGTGTTTGAGTACCACCGGATCTGCAAAATTGGCAAATATTGCTTCACGGACAGGAGACCTGCGGAGTTCTTGCTCCAAGTGTTTATGTCGTACGAGTATCGTAGCCAGGACCGCGCATAGTATGACCACTATAATCAGACAGAGGAATGCCGCCAGTGTCACAAACCCTCGAGATAGCACTGAGAATCGACGGACTGGTTCTGCATCACTCCCATCATCGCCAGTACCAGATACTACAGTCGGTTTGTGAAAGTACCGCTTAAAAAAAGATAGTTGTTGCGGCTGTTCGTCCTCGGATTCTTTTTCGGTAACCATTGCTAGCGCCTCCTTCTTCTGTGACTCGATGATATGTGAAGGTAACGAACGCTTTCGAAACTCTGTAAAAGCTGGTGAGACCACCGGCGAGCTTTCGCTCGCTAATGTGGGTGTATGCATGTTTTCGTTGACGCAAGGGGTATTTTTGCAACGACCAGAAATTTGAAACGCTTGTATTAGGACCTGCAACTGGTTCTTGGTACAGGGCAGTGCAAGCAGGAACACGGACGAATCAGGCTCACAGATACTCGAGGATGAACAAAGCGAGGAAACGGGAAACAGGAAACAAAAATACAATAAGGATAACAATAACCAAGCGCGCGGCTACAGCAAAGATATCGTCACATGAAGGAGATAGAGAAAAAGAAGACGTCGATAGCAAGAGCACGTGTGGGAGCGTAGGGGCTGTACGGATTGAATGCGTGCCGTGGATAACGGCCTGCGCGACCGTTCTAGGCTTTATCCTCAACAAGCCCGGTGGTTGCGAATTGATGGAATGGTTCAGAAGTGTGGGATGTCAACCGAGATAGGATGACTATCGAAGGTAACCAGCTAAGGAAGAAGGCAACAGATGCATATGGAAGTCGGCGCCAATGCCAAGCCGCTAAACTAGTCCCTCTCCATCAATCAAAGCGCCTTGCCGGCGAAGGTCCGTCCATCTGTCCATAGACGAAAACAAGTCTTGATCTGTGTATACCATACTCCAGGATATACATATCCGCTTTGGCATATGTTGAGACCGACTTCAAGCATTAGAGAATGCGATGGCTCCTCACTCTCTCTGGGTCCAGTTGGTGTCATGCTATGCCTTTACCTACCTGCCTCATTATGGTCGACCCAACAGTCCGTGGCTTCAGATTAAAGGGTAACCATAGTTATGAGGAATATATCCTGACAGCGAATCGTCAACTCAAGCTCCTATCCGGTCTTATCCGCGTATCCGAGACAACATAGGTATACATCAGGAAGCGCACGTAACCTAAAACTCTGTATGTCGACTTCACGACTTCACATGCAGCTTTTGAGTGTCGTGCGCTCTAATCAGATCGTTGTGCCCGGGCTTCCCGGACTAATCAGATGTTCAACTTCAACTCGACTATACCGATCAAGGTTAATCTGGTTGTCAGATACTCACATTTCAATGATCTTTCCAACGATCCCGCGAATTCCGGTGCCTGCTCGGTGCCCGACAATCAAGTTTTGCTATTGTCCTGCTGACCATGAATACCCATACCTTCCGCGAGATGGGTGTGAGGCAAGTGTATATATATGATCAAGTGCGTCCGGACATGTGCGCATCCAAAACCGCCTGATCCTGCTATCTAGAGCTTCATCTTACTGGCATCTGACCCAGCTCTCTGTGTGCTTTCTACCATGGCAACCTATAATCCACCTTCTTTTCCTCGTCGTCCAAAAATCCGGTTCAATCCTTGGAACTCTGCTCTACCAAATACGACTTGCCTACTTCCAATACTCGGTCAGTTTCGGTCTCTATGTCATGACTCCGATGGAGAAGCTAGTCTTCAACTCCGTGATCCTCGGATTCTTGAGTCTGGTCATATTCTACGCTATCCCTCTGGTGTTTGCAACAATCGCTCGTGTCGCGAAATATGTCATGTATGGGTCGGGACATGCCATCAGCGTGCAAAACATTCTCCAAAATGCAGACATCGATGCTACCTTCTTGGTTCCAGGAGACAGACCAACATCTACTGTTGTTGCCTTGAACATGTCAGCAGTCACACCAGACTTGACTTGAATCGCTTTGATCTTCGACCAGCATGACTATCTGCTATCCGTCGAAGCTGAACTCCTCTGGGCAGCGATCTACTTGGCAATTTTGAGAACGGGCGCAAGCACACATCATGACCCATAGAGAACCTACCGGAGTTTCTGAAACTTGAGGCAAGTTTTTCTTGCCCTGTGTTGATTCGTTCCTCGGTCGTATAATGACTCAAGGTAGAGAACAACGTCCTCACAGGTCTTCGTACGCCGCATTCAGAGCTGGAAGACTTGAACGTTGGCTTCGGCAGTTTCCTCGCTCGTGATGTAGACAAGAAGATGGATGTCATGCAGACAAGTGTCTGAAGAGTTGAAAAGGCTCTGTACATCCTGGTCATTCGCGGCAGGGCAAGATCGGAGGAACGGTTGCCTGACCTCACTTCCGGCCCATGCAGAGACGTCGAAGTCGACGCTCAGAGAAGCAAGGTCTGTCCATTAGAGAGATACGAGTCTTGGGTATCATACCGCGGTTTACATGTTTGCTTCAGCATAGGTTGTATTTGGTAATTAAGTATTGCATAGTGTGATAGCTTCCATGTCACACCACACTCTCTGTCATATCCTAACGTATATCTACTACACTATGAACGGATTATGCGACAATTCGTCATACGACTTTTGTTCGAATTTTGTGCGTGGTGTGATTAGCGCAATAACATCTCGTTTCAACGCTGCTGTTGCTATCACCCTGTCTCTTTCTCGCATGCTTTAGAATAGTCCAATCTGATGCCCCGGACGCCATTCCAGATGATGAGCATACCCGCAATGAGCTCAGGTGTGCTTCCCAGTGGCTTTCGGCTGTGAATTGCCTCACGTGAATGCAAAATGCAGCAACTATCATGTGTGGATGGGAATTCGAAGTTGACAATTGAGTATTGGGTATTCTCGATACATCTTCATCCGTGCCACGAGTCCGCATATCGCAAACATGCTGTGAAAATGCAAGTAACGCTTGTCTGTACATGTATCACCTCTCAGATTGTATACGATGTTCCTTCATACACATACATCATGATATATGATTACAATTGATGGCTTGAGAACAGCAACAAACATGCTTAACGAGCAAGCTTTGACCGAAAAGCTTATTTATATATAGCATTGGGGATCTAGGTCTCAGTGCACTATTCTACATACCCAAAAGATGCTCGAGTCAACATCAAATACCTAGCTGTGACGTGCAAAGAAACATTCGTTGGATCGTCATAGCCCGAAGCCGTCAGCATTTGTAAATCAACATCGACGTAAGGGAGCTCTGAGCCAGCCAGCCATCATCAAGAAGATCTCGACCTGTTTCGAGCCCCAGATATGTGACGTCGGCGGGGTCGAGAACAGGTTTCCTCACCACAAAACAACATTATATAAACAGTGCGAGAAGGGAGTAAGCTTCTTCTTCACTACAACTACTACACAACCAAATCAATCATCTCAAACTTCAAATCAACAATCATGTCTGCACCCCAACAAGGAAACCCCGCTGGTCAGGGAGGACTACGTCGACAAGGTCAGTACATCATACACGTTCTCGCAACAAACATCATCATCCCTGACATCCACAGGGCATCGACTCTCTCGAGAAGAAGCAGGGCCAGGATCCCAACAAGCTCCGCTCCGTCAACGAGAAGGTCACCGACACTGCTCGCGGCATGTTCGAGAAGGCCACTGGTATGTTTCATCGACGCTAATACCATATGACCTGGGATACTAATTNNTCCACCTCAGGCAAGAACGTTCCCGACAAGGTCTCGAACTAGATACCACTCGCATCTCCGAGATGAGAGTGACTCAGTGCTATGCACATGATGATACGAAAGTTTAATGACAACATCCAGTTCACTTCATGCATTTTCTCCACGTGAAGACCCTCACTGTCAATTGTTGTGATGTTCAAACATGCTCGTGAGCGTATAAAGCTTTGCGTATCTGCCGTCGTTTGCCAGTTTCTCTTGCCAGACTCATGCTATATACAGTCCGCATATTAATATCTTTCCATCTCTCAATTTTATTCAACCTCTCCTAGCATCCTAGCATCAAAGCTGATCATTGCAACAACCAATCGCGTCCACCAGAAGATTCGAAGCCAGAAAGGAACGCAGGGAGACCGCCTGGGTATAAACATTTGGAAGAACCCTTGACGCCAATTATTTCAAAAGAAAAGAACAAAACAGATTCGAAACAGAAAACATCAAAGCATGGCTTCCCTCTCCGTGTTATGTGCAAACCCCAAAGTGACCCCCTAACTCGCAGTAATGCTCTCGGGCGGACTCATCATGGCATTCTTGCCTTCGTGATCTTTCTCGGGTTCTGGATCTTTATCTTTGGCTCCTGGTAACGCCAATTTGAGTGGTCCGATCGGTTTCACCAATTTGCTTTCTTCTTTGCTCTCCTCAAGTTTTCTGCGCTTCTTCGCGGCTTGTTGCTGCTCACGGATGGGTCGCTTTCTTGGACTGCTGATCTTTCCAGTAGGTGGCAGACGAGGTCGAGGGAAGCGCTGCTTGGTCGGCAAATCTTCGTCGTCAACCAGAGGTCGTCCTTGGTTAGCAGCCAGTTTGGTCGCGAAGAAGTCTTGGACCAATCCAATCTGAGAGGGCAGGTTGTCTGTCGATATTGGGTCGTAAGGAGCAGGCACAGGGAACACAACACCAGATGAAGTGATCAAGCTGGTATGGTTAGCCTGGTAGGCACTGTGCATGCGGTTTTGTAGCAAGTGCAAGGGGACGCTGAGACTCTCCAGACCAAATTCGTCGGCCAAACCAAGTTCTTTGAATCCGAAGAAATCTTCATCAACGTCGGCAGCAAAGTCACCACTAGTAAACTGATCACTGCCATCGTTGAACGCACCAACGCCATCTGCGCCAACACTGTCGCCCAAAGCAGGTCGNCTGCATGAATTAGTATCTCTAACAGCAGAATACAGATGAGTACTCACCAGTAGGTCGGCGAGATGCGCCTTCATGCGTTCGTGGACTACACCTAACTTCGATCCCAATCGTTCGACATCGTCCTTGACATAAGTTTCAAGAGATTCCAGATCGAGACCGTTTTTGTGGAGACAGTGAAGGACCTGCTCTTCGGCACCGAAACTGTGAGCGTCCAGCTCATTTTTAGGCGCCTCGTTGTACAGAGTGAAAGTGCGAATGAGCTTGCCAAAGAAGTCGCTGGCTATGTCTGTAACGGCATCAAGTGCAGACGGCTGAAAATCTTCGAACCCTGCATGGTAGAAAATCTTTCCCACGGCTCTCTGGAAGGCAGCGCGACAAACCCATGGTGACATGATAGGGCCATCTTCTGAGACAGCAACAGCACCGATATCTTGTTCCACAAACGGCTGGGGATCGTACTTTTGGAACTGATTCTGATAGGTCTGCNNGAGGAGGTATTAGCACACGTCTACTCTTGTTATGGAATAAATAAGCACCTGAGCTTGGATCTGCATTTGCTTGACAATGCCGATCTTTGCGCAAACTTTTCGGGTCTCTTGCATCTGTCTCATGTTCGCTTCCATCCGCTTGGTAAGACCACTTTCTGCAGATGTGAATTGTTCTTTAGGAAAGACGCGCAGGTAATCCTCGACCTGAGGTATCACTTTGCCTTCCGAGTCTTCAGTCCATCTGAGTTGGTCGTTCAGCTCCGGAATTGCTGCCAAAATATCATAGTAGTCTGGAAGTGTCCGATCTTGGTCTTTCTGAATCTCGGCGAGCGTTTCGCCTGTGGTACTCGTTTCCGGCTCCGGTTCATCGCCGTCGGATTTTGATTGCGCACTGGTAGGGTCAATCATGATCTGCTTCTGCTGTCGAAGCCATCTCCGCATCCCTGCCTTTGTGCGCAACAGAGCTGGTTCATCAGGATTGAGATGGTCGCCGCGAAACAGGCGATTTCTTTCCGCTGCAGCCATAGCTCTGTCTTTCTTGGTAACTTGCTTCCAGGTCTTGTACTCAGCGTCGTCCTCATCAAGGTCCTCGATTTGTGAGCTGATGGCAATTGAGTTTCCAACACCATCTACCTCCATCAAATCAGTTTGACTAAGACCGTTCATCCCAAGTGGAGTGGCTGTTCCAGGCGGAGGTGGTGTGGAGAACCCATTTGAGCTGGCTTCAGCAGGAGCATCCGAGTCGGCGCGAAGGAATTCATTACGCAAACTAGATGCAGATGCGTGAATTGCAGGTTTGGTTTCAGCCGCGGGAGTACCTTCTGGTGCACCAGGAGTTGTCTGTCGAGTTGTGTTGGATTGTCCCTTNTTGCTTTTGCCTGGTGCTTTGCGGCCACGAGATGCCATGATAGGTTGATCTGTGCGAAAGTTAGTTCATGTAATGGAGGCTTGATAAAATGCGCAATCACCATCGTCGCTGTCCTCTCCTCCCTCAAGGTCGACATCTAGATTCTGTAGACGTCTTTCCTCTGCTTCAACCTCTGCTCTATCTCGTACGACAATGTCGGGAATCAGGGGTACCAATTTGTCGGTTTCTTTGCGCATATACAGGGCCTTCTTGCGCAGTGGATGAGCGGGGTCGGCATTGTAGGTGAGACAGTTCGCCCATATGAGATTCAAGTCCCCCACGAATTCTTTCTTAGATCTGTAGGAAAAACTCTTGAGCTTCTTGATCATGGTACCGATATCCATGGGTTGTTTGATGATGTGGAAATAGTCAGGAGCATCTCGTTTGTTCACCCTCTGCAAGAAAGGAGTCGAGTATTCAGTCATGGCTTTAAGCTCCATCAGGACTTTCTCAGCAGCTTCGTACAACTCTTCCTGGCCAACCTTTTCCTCACTGGCCCATTTGCTGCGCCCTTTGCGTACTTCACTAATAAGAGTACGAAGTTGGGTATCGTTTGCGTTGACCATGGTTCGTTTGGCATCTATGCGGGCAATGAGATTTTTCAAGGTCAAGCTTGATGCACCAAGATCGGCGTTGCTGAGAGAACCTTGCTGAATACCTGAGGGATCCGAGGTTGGTGCAGGGTTAGAGACGCCAGACATCTCGTTCTCCACTTGCCTGTCCAGCTCATCGAGCTTTTGCTGCTCCATCATAGCGTCTCGGTCTGCCTCTAGGGTATAGAACATGATATGGAAACTCTTCCGCGCCGCATCTTCAGCCGCCTTNTTGTCTTGCTCGAGTTTCTTGCGCACATCTTCCGAGCACTTGACGTGATCCGAGGAACCAGATGAAGTACTGGTGCGTGTGATGGTGGGTTTGAGTGACAAGGATGGCGAGGCGGGTTGTTTTGGGCGCAAAGGGGACTCGGCGGTAGGCTGTGATTGTTGAGTTTGTTGGTCGCCCTCATCCTCTTCATCATCGTCGTCATCGCCATAGTCATCTTCATCAATGGTGCGCGCAGGTCTTTTCGGCGGAGGAGGAGGTGGGGGTGGGGTGGAGTGGTTGATGGGTGATTGGTCGCGAGCAGGACGATGTGATTTGGATTCTAGATTTTGTGGCGATGGGGGTTGATTCGAGAAGAGGTGGGCGATTTTGGACTGCGAGATATCGTAACAGGCCTTTAGGGAAATGTGAAGTGGATCATCGTCATCGGGGTCGCGGTCGTGGTCAGGGTCATGGTCAAGATGGTCGGGAGGGTTGGAGTCGGCTCTGGAGGTTCGCGCAATCGAAGCATCTCTGGGCCGCGGCGCAGGACTCAAGCCATTGGTAGACTTCTGTCGATGTAGGGAGTTGCTGGCCGACGCGGGTTTGGAGCGCTCCTTATTGTTCATGGCCAAGCCGGAGACGAGTGCTGATGCTGCGCATTCACGCAGACCTCTGGTATGGCAGAGGAGTATCAATCATCTGATGGCGCCGAGAGCTGAGGGATGAGTACGAGGCGGGAGAAGCAAAAAATCCGATGGAAACTCGCTGGTTCTCGCGTGGATGATGGATGCACTGATGGGGTAGGTTATGGGACGGAGACCGACGCAGCGCGAGTCGGTAGACAGCGGTTAAGGAAGCCTGTGACGCGCCCGACTGTCGATGAATTGATCGCGTACCACAGCTCACTCAGGTTGCTGAATGAGATTGTCTCTGTCTACACAACGCTACTTTCAAGAGCAACATCTAGCCATTGACTTTGCACAATTACCAGTGGTGCCGAAAGAGAAGAGACCGAGTCCGAAGAGCAACGAGCACTGAGTAACAACACCACCCCTTTCGGCCTACCCACTGCTGGGACGGTCCCGCTTCCAAGCACACCCTACCGAGACCTTGCGCTTGCTTGCCCTCGTATCTAGCACACCTGACCAACAAGTTGCTAGCTTGAGCCATGAGAATCAGGAAACCTTTCGCAGGTATCGTACTGCTGCTGCAGCTCTGTCAAAGATAACGCGACTGACAACTGCGCATAGCTGCCTTTGTGGTATTGCTGTTCATAGCAGCTTCATTAGGCCTTGCCCCGAACCGTCTACCCCAATATAAGCAGAGCGACAAGGTCTTACACTTTGTTACCTTCTTCTTGATAACCGTACGTCTTGCATCTTCTATACACTGGCTCTCATCTAACCTTTGCGTCTGCTAGCTCTGCTTCTACTGGATCATCGAAACCAACCGTCGCCGTGTCATTCACCTTACCCTCGTGGCCTGTACCGCCGGTCTGAGCATTGGTTCTGAGATTGTCCAAGGACTCTTACCGGCATGGAATTTCTCAATCCTACCACAGCATACTGCGCTAACATATTTACTTAGANATGGCCGTGATTTCGACCCCTACGATATTCTTGCAAACGTCGTTGGCTCATTGCTTGCCTTGCTCGCGTGCAGCTGGTATCACAAACGTATGCTGGAGAGACGCCGCGCTGCTAGGAACTACCAAGTGGTGCCCGGCGAGGACCAAGACATTGAACTGGGAGAGAGTACTGCTGATCAGGAGACTGGCGTCCTGTCTACCTCCGAGCCACCAAACGTCACTGAAGAGCTGGATAATTGGGATGAGAATGGCGAAGACTGGGATGACGATCAAACGCCTGAGAGCACGCACACCAAGGCTGGTCAAGAGGGAAGCGTCGCTGAGAAGCGACCCGACTAGATCGTCAATAGTGCATGCTCGAATGATGATACACGTGCGAAAGAAGAGCGAAATGTCCAGTATTTTGGGAAGTTCAACAATCGTAGCAGCCACGACCGCTTTTGCGTGCATTTGAAGTCTACCTAGCCGCTGTGCAGGAGAAAAACAGTGCCCGTAAAGGTAGCTTCATGCTGCCGCTGATAATCTCCATTAGAGATGGCATCCCGACCTGTTCTCCATTTTTTCTTTTTGAAGCCATGAATGCAACCTCGTGCCTGCCAAGTAATACCGGAAGATGGACGCCTTGTCAAATCCCGAAAAAACACATCATTTATGCCTGGGCACCAGGGATCTTGCCGGCCTGCTGGGGGTTGATCTTCTTGCCGTCCTTGTTGAAGCGAACACGCGGGGGAGGGGCACGGTTGCGGCGGCCCTCGCGGGAACGGACANNCTGCAGTGTGTTAGTCTTCCGTGTGCGCGTCGAGCGAGTGGTTGTGGAGCGCGCCCATGTAGGGTGGTGTGTCCAGGAGGGTGAGGCATACCGAACGATCTTGCCGTGGATGGCGCACGAGACGCAGTACTGGAGCTTCAGGTACATCTTGGGGACGGCGTACTCGGCGAAGACGGAGGCATCCGAGATATCNACCTGCAGATGTTGTATTAGTCGTTGTGTTCGAGGGAAGACCAGAGGCGGAGAGTGGTTGGAGGGAGAGGTCGATGGAAGTGCTCGTAGGAAGTGCAAGTCTGGCGGAATCGACGTACGGATAGCGGCGGACTCGACCATGTTGCGGATAGTGAATCTCTTGACGGCCTTGTCCTTAGGAACGCATCGCGAGCAGTTGGAGCAGCGGACGGGCTTGACGTGGCCACGACCCTTCTTGTTGCGACCGCTGTAACAACAATGTCAGCGCGACATCTAGTGAGTATCCATGACCAGGCGATTCGTACTTGGAGGCTCTCTTCTTGACCATTTTGACGTGTGTTGGCGACGGATGACTCTTCCTAGTAACAGAAAGAGTATAAAATCCCAAGCAGGCGCGTGTGTGGAATTCGCTTGTCCGCAGCTTCCAAATTCGTGCCTTCCAGTGCGCCGCCAAGCCAAGCCTCGGCAAAACTTCGTCAAGCCCGTCTTCCGGTCAGAGACTCAACTCGTTCACTCCACTTGCCATGTGCTCAAGACAGTCACAGTGTAGCTACAGACATGCACAATACTCTTGGAAATACTGTGTTCTCCAGAGATACCCATTAACGGATATCTCAGTGGCCAGTCGCATATTCGAGTTGCAACTATGCATTTCAACAGCCATTAATAAGCCAATACTCGGAATGGAAAAGAGATCAATTGTAAAATAGTTTGTCTTTAGCACGGGGAGCACGACTTTGCAATGGTCCCTCGCTTTATGTGAACATGATCGTGAGGTCTTCTCACTGCTGCTACACTCAATTACTTGAGTGCTTTGGTACGCATTCCCAAAAACGAACCACGACATCGACACGATCTGCTTGATAACCTGTCAAGACTACTGCGTGACTCGAGTGAGAGACCTTGCAATGCATAGGTCCTGACCGTCTTGGTGCAACATTTCGTCGCAGTTCAGAAGGTTCGGTTTCCTCACTACTTCCACCATCCCGCTAGTCCACTTCATAGAGTAACGGGGCTTGTAATGCTGCCAGGCTACAAGTCGCATGAATATGAAGACTAGCTGTTTGACTCGGTCGCGTAGTAAGGACGAATGACGACCAGCTTAGAAACATGCTACAGCTTGCAACTTGGAAGAACTTCCGTATCATGACTTGAAAGTTCGTAGAGCAGATACCCAAAGTGATACTCGACTATCGAGTGGCATGCTCTGACAAAAGCATACGAGTTTCATAAGGCGTCACAAATATTTATGCTTCGAATAGGGGTAGAGGGGCTTGGCCGACCAAAGTTTATTGTGTTTACAGTCGCGGGCTCCAGCAACAGGGAGAAGCTTTGGGTCGTGCAGGCTTGAAACGTAAATAGTTAGCTCTGGCCTCCCTTCACCGCCCTCGCACCGACTTCTGAACTGCACGAACCACTATGTCCGCAACTGGTACATATCGCGGCACACCCAAAGATAAAGCCAGAGGCCAAAATCCTTTCCAAGCTCTCGAAAGCCCCTCGGGCATCCCAAGACCAAAGCTAGAATCAGTCGCCAGCACCGCAGCCAGCGACATGTCGACCCTCAGTGCCAGCAGGGCTAAGCAGTCCAAGAGGGATGAGGTGCGTTCTCTCGAACCATGGTATCCTGTCTGGTCTGTCTAATCAACACTCCTCCCAGNNGCCATCCGCCGCAAGATCGAAACCGACCTCAACAAGAAGAGAGCCAATCCTACCCGCGCCCGTCAGACCCGAAAGGCAGCCCCTGGTTCCGTCCTTGCCCTCAGACCCAGTCAGGCTCTTCAGATCAAGCCGAACACTACCGTCGCAGAAGCTGCTCAGCTCATGGCAGCCAAGCGTGAGGACTGCGTTCTGGTCACCGACGATGATGATCGCATTGCAGGTATCTTTACCGCAAAGGATCTTGCCTTCCGCGTTGTTGGAGAAGGAATCAAGGCCAATAGCATCACCATTGCCGAAATCATGACCAAGAACCCCCTTTGCGCCAAAACCGACACTAGTGCAACTGATGCTCTGGATCTTATGGTCCGCAAAGGCTTCCGTCACCTTCCTGTCATGGACGAGAACCACGATATCTCTGGTATTCTCGACATCACAAAATGTTTCTACGACGCCATGGAGAAGTTGGAACGCGCATACAGCTCCTCAAGAAAGCTCTATGATGCGCTCGAGGGTGTGCAAGCCGAATTGGGATCCAGCCAACCGCAGCAGATCATCCAATACGTTGAAGCCATTCGTCACAAGATGTCCGGTCCCACTCTCGAGTCTGTCCTGAACGGCATGCCACCTGTCACCGTGTCTGTTCGCACCTCTGTCAAGGAGGCTGCATCGTTGATGAAGGCCAACCACACCACTGCTGTTCTGGTGACAGACCAAGGATCCATCACCGGTATCTTCACCAGCAAGGATGTTGTCCTGCGCGTCATTGCAGCTGGCCTTGATCCCAGCAACTGCAGTGTTGTCCGCGTTATGACTCCTCACCCAGACTTTGCGCCTCTGGACATGAGTATCCAATCTGCACTACGCAAGATGCATGGTATGGATTATGTACGATCGATGCTCTGATCGCTTGCTAACGAAAACTAGNATGGACACTATTTGAACTTGCCGGTTATGAGTGCTGACGGCGAGATTGTTGGCATGGTTGATGTCCTGAAGCTCACCTACGCCACGCTAGACCAGGTATGTTTGCGATTGGGAGATGTCTAGATTGCACATGAGCTGACTTCTTGTAGANTCAACAGCATGTCAACTGGAGATAGTGAGGGACCTGCTTGGAACAAATTCTGGATGTCCTTCGACAACGAGACCGAGTCCATGATGTCTGGCGAAGGTGGCAGCCGTCACCCACAAACAGAAGATGGGAGATCCCTTATCTCACCAGAAATGTCGAGACCCGGGGTTGATCGGGGTGATAGTGTCATGCCCACCGACTCAGCCTCTCACACTGGCGGTCGTGATTCGCCCGATCCATCGGCCTTTACTGGAGCGGCCAACTCATACGAAGACGTTGCATTCCCCTTCAAGTTCAAGGCACCGAGTGGTCGCGTACACAGATTGCAGGTAGTACCATCAGCTGGCATGGGCGAGCTGGTCAGTGTTGTCGCGGAGAAGTTGGGCAGCGAAGCTGAAACTATTGGTGGAGTGCCTACCTTTGAGGATGGCAAACTCAGTCGCACCGGTTTTGCCCTTAGCTATCTTGACAACGAAGGCGACACAGTCTCGATAACAACAGACCGCGATCTGCTGGATGCCATCTCGCTCGCACAACTGACACACCAAGACAAGGTTGACCTATTCGTACATGACCCCGAGAAGGCACCACTCCCAGCAACACTCGCACCACAGCCTTCATTGGTAACTGCGACACCATCCGAGAGCCAGGTCCGTGAGAGAAAGGTGGCACGCAGCGAGTCAGACGACGACGAGAGCGAGACGATGAGGCCTCGTAGAAGGGAGCGTCAAGCGGCGCCGGCAGCAGCACAAGAACAGCTGATTGCAGGTCTTCCTAACGAGCTGCTTTTGCCTGGAGCGATAGTAACGCTAGCCGTGGCCATCATTGGAGTCTTTGCCATCTCAAGGATGTCGAGCAAGTAAGGCGCGGGTGCGACACGCATTCCTGAAGGGCGGCAGGATTACATTTCTTTTGGCAGCGATACCACTCATGACTGTAGTTTAGTTTAATTGAACATTCCTTTGTCGTTGTAGCAGAAGTCATGCAACAGTCTATGTGAGGATCAACAACCAAGGACAAATTGTTACGAAGCCATATCTTGGGCGAGCATGAGTATGTTAATTGTGGCTGCAGCAAACTGGAGAACATCAAGGTTATGGTGAACAAGAACTGCCAACTGCTTGTCGAGCTTTGAGAATGTGGAGGTCGGAAGCACGGAGGGAGCCGCCGGGTCAGGGTCTTTTAGATATGGAACCAAAAAAACATACGCATCAAACAAAGCTGCCAAAACACTCTCCTTATTTCTGCTACCATCATCCTGCCCGTCCAAGGTGCTCGCTGGAATTTCAGAGCCACATCAGCGTATAACGACTTTTCTCGCACCCGTCACGGCCTATACACCAGAATTTCGATTAACGCGGCGCTCTCGCAGCGGCGCCTGAACCCTCCAACCCCCTTCAAAAACAATCACCATGTCGGTTCTTCCAGCAGAAACCCACAACGCACTCAGCCAGCTGCTGCTAGGCCTTCAAGCAGCCGACAACAACGTCAGAAGCCAAGCTGAGGAGCGTCTCTCGACAGAATGGGCTCAGTCAAAGCCCGACGTGCTGCTCATGGGCCTTGTTGAGCAGATCCAGATGGCCGACTCTCCCACTGTACGAAATGTTTGTTTGTAACCACTGGAGGGCCTTCGACTGATGTATCTAGNNGCCCAATCATTCGCTGCCGTCCTGTTCCGTCGCATGTCGTCGCGTACCTCCAAGGACCCTTCCGGCCAGTCGCGCGAGCTGTTCCTCACCCTGCAAAAACCCCAACGAGATGCTATTCGAACTCTGTTGCTACAAGGCATGGCCGCACCTTCGGTGGTTGCACAGCCTTCACTTCGTAACAAGGTCGGTGATGCTGTGGCCGAGGTCGCCAGACAATACACCGATGAGGACGTCTTCAACGACGATGGCAGCAGAGATACCTGGTCCGACCTCTTGGCCGCTTTGTTCCAGGCCAGTCAATCGCCTGACGCTGGTGCGCGTGAGACGGCTTTCAGAATCTTCGCTACTACCCCTGGAATCATCGAGAAGCAGCACGAGGAAGTGGTCCTGAGCTCTTTCACCAAGGGCTTCAAGGACGACGATGTCGCCGTAAGTTGCTACAAATCACCTCTCTCTCCCACAACCGACTAACGGATATCTTACCCATCTACAGNNGTCCGATTAGCCGCCATGGACGCATTCGCATCCTTCTTCCACTCGATCAACAAGAAGTCTCAAGTCAAGTACTACCCCTTGATTTCCGATATCCTCAACATTCTTCCTCCGCTCAAGGACATGTCCAACTCGGATGACCTTACCAAGGCTCTAGTTGCTATGATCGATCTCGCCGAGGCAGCCCCCAAGATGTTCAAGCCTTTGTTCAACGAGCTTGTCAAATTCAGTATCACCGTCATTCAGGACAAGGATCTTGACGACAAGGCCAGACAGAACGCTCTGGAGCTTATGGCCACTTTTGCCGACTACAGCCCTCAGATGTGCCGCAAGGACCCCAACTACACTGCCGATATGGTCACTCAGTGCCTGTCTCTCATGACTGATGTTGGCGCTGACGATGACGATGCTGAGGATTGGTGCACTACAGAGGATCTTGATTTGGATGAGGCCGACATGAACCACGTTGCTGGTGAGCAGACCATGGATCGTCTTGCAAACAAGTTGGGTGGACAGGCCATTCTCCCTCCGACATTCCAATGGCTGCCCCGTATGATCGAATCGGGTGCTTGGAGAGACCGTCACGCTGCCCTCATGGCTATCTCGGCAATCTCTGAGGGTTGTCAAGAACTCATGGAGAGCGAACTTCAGCAAGTCCTCGATCTCGTCCTGCCTAAGCTCCAGGACCCCCACCCTCGCGTTAGATGGGCTGCTTGCAACGCTCTGGGCCAAATGAGCACAGACTTCAAGGGCACCATGCAGACTAACTTCCACCAGATTGTTCTTCCTGCCCTTGTAGAGTCTCTGAAATCCGACCAACCTCGTGTCGCCTCTCACGCAGCTGCTGCACTCGTCAACTTCTGCGAGGAGGCCGAGCGTGAGATTCTTACTCCTTACCTCGACGGTCTCTTCACCAACCTCTTCAACCTTTTGCGCAACACCAAGACCCGCTATGTACAGGAACAAGCTTTGTCGACCATCGCCACTGTCGCCGATTCTGCCGAAGCTGCATTCGCCAAATACTACAGCGACCTGATGCCTCTTCTTTTCAATGTTTTGCAAACCGATCAATCTAAAGAGAACCGCTTGCTCAGAGCCAAGGCCATGGAGTGCGCCACTCTCATCGCCCTCGCTGTTGGCAAGGAGCGCATGGGCAACGATGCACTCCAGCTTGTTCAGATTCTCGGTACCATTCAACAAGGCATCACAGACTCTGATGATCCTCAAGCTTCATATCTGCTGCACTGTTGGGGACGTATGTGCCGTATCCTCGGTGCCGACTTCCTTTCATACTTGCCTGCGGTTATGCCTCCTCTTNTGGAGCTGGCCAAGGCAAAGGCTGACATCCAGCTGCTTGACGATGAAGACAACCTTGAACAGGAAGAAGGATGGGAGCTTGTACCTCTCAAGGGCAAGTACATCGGTATCAAGACTAGCACACTTGATGACAAGCACATGGCCATCGAGCTTATCGTCGTCTACGCTCAACACTTGGCCGCAAGCTTCGAGAACTACGTTCTGGATATCATGGAGAACATTGCTATTCCTGGTCTTGCCTTCTTCTTCCACGACCCCGTTCGCCAGGCCGCCGCAAAGTGTGTTCCCCAACTTCTCAACTGCTACAAGCTCGCCCACGGCATGCAATCACCACAATTCCGCCAACTCTGGTCAACCACCATTGCCAAGGTGCTCGAGGTTCTTGAGACCGAGCCAGCCATTGAGACTCTGGCTGAGATGTACCAATGCTTCTACGAGTCAGTGGAAGTTTGCGGCAACGGTTGTTTGAGTCCCGATCACATGGCAGTCTTCATCAACTCTGCTGAGGGTGTTCTCAAGGACTACCAAACCCGTGTCAACGAGAGACTCGAGGAGGCTAACGAACGCGAGGACGGCGAAGAGGCTAGCGAAGAGACACTTTTCGCCATCGAGGATGACCAAACCCTGCTATCCGACATGAACAAGGCTTTCCACACCATCTTCAAGCACCACGGTACTACTTTCCTTCCCTTCTGGCAGAAGCTTATGCCCTACCTCGACCAAGCACTCGTGAACCAGGACCCAACACAAAGACAATGGGCGCTGTGCATCATGGACGATGTTCTGGAGTTCTGCGGTCCCGACTCATGGGCATTCGAGAGCCATATCGTGCAACCCCTGGTTGATGGTATGCGAGACGACGTTCCTGCCAACAGACAAGCCGCAACCTACGGAGCTGGTGTTGCAGCACACAAGGGTGGCGCACCGTGGTCAGACTTTGCCAATGCCAGCTTGCCACTCCTCTTCCAGGCGACGCAAAGACCAGATGCCCGTACCGGTGACCATGTGTTCGCAACCGAGAACGCTTGCGCAAGTATCGCCAAGATTCTTCACTTCAACAACACCAAGGTCGCCAACAGCCAACAAGTTGTCGAGGCATGGATAGGAACATTGCCTGTCGTTAACGATGAAGAGGCCGCTCCCTTTGCCTATGCCTTCCTCGCACAACTCATCGACCAGTAAGTCCCCTGAAGTGCATGCTTATAGTCTATCACTAACGAAGATTTCTAGGNNCAAAACCCTGCTGTCATCCAGCAGGCGGCTCGCTGTTTCCACTTTGTGGCGCTGGCTCTGGAGGCCGAGACTTTGCAAGGCAGAACCGCACAACAGGTTGTGCAGTCCGCCAAGGCACTTGTCACCATGGCATCGCTGGACGCTAACCAACTTCTGGCTGAGATGTCGCCAGAGGTTCAGCACGCTGTTCGTGCCTTCTTTGGTTGAATGTCAAGTTTCTTGCGATAGCTGGAGAGGATGAGGCTAGGGCTTTGGACTGATCAGATACGACAACGACAATAACGTGCACATCAGGAGCATGTCGATTCGGATTTTCTTGTTGGTGTGCAGGGGTTTAGTAAGATGAAGAAACAAAAGAGAGAGTCAGAGACGTAATCACAAATGATCCCAATCAATTCAAACCATTGGCACACAATAGAGATACACTTGACAGTTCCGTTCGATATGAGTTTCTTCATTTGCAACCACTACTTCCTGGTTGTGAATCTTCGCAATACATTGCATGTGTAGATCGCATTTGTGTAGAAGCTTGTCGTGGTGTTGACCACGATCGTTTAGTGATTGCCTTGGATATCCATGCTGTGTGGCGTAGTCAAAAACGCTTCAGCTTGTCAAGTCTCGCATTGAATGACAGCGAGCGCTCGATGGTACGCGGTTCCGGACCTCAGCATCCTGGAAGTCCTGGGAAGCACTTTCTTAGGCACTGTTGATAGGAGCAAGCACGCTATGTTCTCATGCTGCTGGTTGACCACTCTGTTGAATATCGGTCTGTAGTTGGAAGACCNNTAGGGATGTCAGAAACTAAAGATCCGATCATGGAAGGAACAGATGAGAGCTTACAGCCATCTTCTTCTCCTCGCTCTTTGCTTGGATATCGGAAATCTGCTTTTCAATGCGGTTNGCTGTGAATTGATTAGTTTAAGCTTTGAGTCGAAAGTAGAAGAAAACGCACATTTCCTTGTCAATGAACTCTAGACGGCCATCGACAGTGCTCTTTGCCTCGGATGCATCTTGCTTGAGTAGGATAGGGCCAACAAGCTTGTAGATGTTGGCATCATCGTCGAGATTGGCGAATTCNCTGGTCAAGACAAGTCAGTCTGGTTTCAAATTGAAAGAGACGGCAATATCACAAACACTCTTTACGCCCTTGTTCTCTTGTTGTTGAGATTCGAGTTTTTGTCTGGCTGCAACAGTGGTTTGCAGTTCNTGATATGTTCAGTTCAGCAAGATGTAGGGATGAAGGGCTCTGTAGAATTCAATGGACATACCGTTCTGTAGGGTAGTGTACTCGTCTGAGAGAGCCTGCAATTGCTTTTGTTGTTCAGGAGTAGCCATTATGAAGAGTTGTTAAGTTCTGGTCGTGCGGTGTATGATGCTTGGGCATGGAAGGGCCTTTTTGGACAGGCGTCGGCGTGCAAGATTGGTGTTAGAAACGGCGCGTTCATTCTGTGGGGAAGCCACGACGGCGGGGAACATCGATCCATCTCTCTTGTCTTTCGATTGCATATCTATTGACGACGATCCTGCCTGCCACAGTCCCATCGTCCGCCTTCTGCGTCGTCGCAAATCCCAATTCATTGCGACTTTCTCGGCGACTCACGCAAACCCCTTCGCACTCGGCCAGCCCAACTTGAGCACACTCGGTGCCTCACGTCACTATACCTTTCTCGCATCACCGCACCACTCTCTCGTAGCAGATCCAAAATGAGCAACACCGACTTCTTGGGCCGTGCCATCGATGTGGTCAAGAAGGCCATTGAGCAGGACACGGCGGGCGAGTACGAGAAGGCCTACCAACTCTACTACCAAGCCCGTACGTGCCACCCCAACCATGACACGCCCACTTAACCTTGCCGACACTAACTCTGCCTTANNGTTGAACTGTTTATGCTCGCCCTGAAATGTATGCTATATCCCCTGCTTCTATCATCGTACACCACTCACACCAGCTCCANNGGGGAGAAGAACGCAAAGTCCAAGGAAATGATCCGCGCAAAGGCTGCCGAATACATGGAAAGAGCTGAGAAACTCAAGAACCATTTGGCTGAACAAGATACGAATCGGAAGAAACCTGCTGCTGTAGGCTCCAACGGAAAGACGTCAAACGGCGCAGGCAAGGGAAAGTGGGTACTTCTCGAGTCCGGCACTTGGTCGCACGCGCTAATCACATGCTTACAGANNGATGACGAGGGTGATGACCAAGACCCCGAATCTAAGAAGCTACGAGGTGCTCTTGCTGGTGCCATCTTGACCGACAAGCCCAACATCAAGTGGGAGGACGTGGCTGGTCTGGAGCAAGCCAAGGAAGCACTGAAAGAGGCCGTCATTCTTCCCATCAAGTTCCCTCACCTGTTCACCGGCAAGCGTCAGCCCTGGAAGGGTATCCTGCTCTACGGCCCCCCTGGAACTGGTAAATCATACCTTGCCAAAGCCGTTGCCACCGAGGCCAACAGCACTTTCTTCAGTGTCAGCAGTAGTGACTTGGTCAGCAAGTGGATGGGTGAGAGTGAACGGTATGTCCTTCTTCCTGCCATAAGCATGCATCTACTGACTAAGGCCAACAAAGTCNTTGTGAAACAACTGTTCGGCATGGCACGAGAGAACAAGCCTTCAATCATCTTCATCGACGAAATCGACGCCCTTTGCGGACCCAGAGGTGAAGGCGAATCGGAAGCTTCAAGACGTATCAAGACAGAACTTTTGGTGCAGATGGATGGTGTGGGACGTGATTCGAAGGGTGTGCTCATTCTCGGCGCAACCAATATCCCATGGCAGCTCGACTCTGCCATCCGCAGACGTTTCCAGCGAAGAGTGCACATCAGTCTGCCCGATCTACCGGCTAGAACACGAATGTTCGAGCTTGCGGTAGGGTCAACACCATGCGAGATGAAGGCAGAAGACTACAGAACTCTGGCACAGCTCAGCGAAGGCTACTCTGGAAGCGATATCAGTATTGCGGTACAAGATGCGTTGATGCAGCCCGTACGGAAGATCCAGACGGCAACTCACTACAAGAAGGTTTGTTATCACAATCAACGCTGGCATACTTTACATACTGACCTCATGTTATAGGTTATGGTTGACGGTCAAGAGAAGCTTACTCCATGCTCACCGGGCGATCAAGGAGCCACAGAGATGACTTGGATGGACGTTGAAACGGATCAGCTTCTGGAGCCTCCGCTCATGGTCAAGGACTTCATCAAGGCAATCAAGGCTTCAAGGCCCACAGTCAGTCAAGAAGATCTCAAGCACAATGCCGAGTGGACTGCAGAGTTTGGTAGTGAGGGTGCTTAGATGTGTTAGAGGCTTGATGATTGGCAACATGACATCTAGATTTGGTAGCACAGGGAGAGTCGAACGAACAAATATCATTATACCCGTTCACACTGATACTACTTAGTTTGCAAGTAAGTGTAAGTGATCTCAAAGTGATTCGGGGTTTTGATGATGACATGTTGGTGACTGGTCCGGGGGAGATGACGGGCGGCTTGGCAGGACCCTTTTGGATATACATCACACGCCCCTAGGCAGCGTCCAACATCGATCCTAACCCCGCCGTCGACATGAAGATTCTCTATATTGGCGTATGACGAGTGCTCTGCTGTCACTATCACACACAGCACTGACACACTTACAGATCCTCAAGAATGAAGACAAGCCGGCCGTCGAGCTGTGCGCCGAACGCGACCTGAGCAGCTACTCCCGCTTCACCCGCTCCAGTGTCGGCGAGTTCATGTCGCTGTTCACAAAGACCGTCGCCGAACGCACCAAACCGGGCCAACGTCAAGACGTCGAAGAACAATCCTACACCTTCCACGCCTACGGCCGCAGCGAAGGCGTCGCCGGCATCATCATCTCCGACCAAGAATACCCTGCCCTGGTTGCCCACCAGTTGCTGTCCAAGATCATGGATGAGTTCTTGTCTCGCTACCCACGCTCTGCGTTTGCAAACTCGAATGCAGAGTTGCCGTTCCCCCCGCTCAAGGAGTACATTGTCAAGTACCAGGACCCGCACGCTGCCGACAGCATCATGAAGATCCAGAAGGAGTTGGACGAGACCAAGATTGTGCTGCACAAGACCATTGAGAGTGTTTTGGAGCGTGGAGAGAAGATTGACAACTTGGTTGCCAAGAGTGATGGCCTTAGTGCTCAGAGCAAGATGTTCTATACTCAGGTATGTGATGCTCCTGCCCTTGTTGGAACTCTCGAGCAGCAACGACTTGATATTGACTTTCTGTTCTACNAGGCCAAGAAACAGAACTCGTGCTGCATTGTCATGTAGCTTACCTAATGATACCCATGTGTTTTTCCGTTTCTCGCATCTCTGAACATGTCCCACTGTGGTTCAACCGCATATTGCCTCGTTACTAGTAGCCCGCTCGCAATCAACAGCGCATCGAGACTCCAGCATACTCGATCAATTCCAATTTCACGAGTCCAACAATGTGCAATCTCCATTCTCAAAGCCTCCTCTTCTTGACTTCTTTTGGTTTGTATGTCTCATCAACCTCATGCGGACCAATCTGACACCCTTCCCCCTCTCCATTTTCCTTGCAACACGTCCAAATAAACCCTTCAGGGTACTCGTCCGCGAGATCGAGATCAATCTTGCCATGACAATCTTCGTCGTGGTCAGCCCAAAAGTCGCCATCCCAATCAATTTCTAGTNNGTTCCTGGATTACAAATTGAGATTAGTCCAAAAGCATTGTTTAAGTTTGCTGTATTTTTTTTTAATCTGTTCTTTGTTGTGTGTTTTTTTGGAAATCAAACATGAAATTTTGCAGAAGGGCAACTCACCATCAGGGTATTGACAATCTTCCTCTGCATTATCCGTGACGTCGAATTCTACATTGCAGTGTTTGCACATGGCGTAGCGTTGTCTCTTGCCACTTGCAGTTTCGTCGACTTGTTGCTGGTTTGGTGCTTCGTTTTCGTCTGTGAGGTCGATTATGTTGGTTGCTGTTGGGATGGAAGTGGTGGAGGCAGAGTCTAGAAGCTCTTGCTCGAATAGAGCTCGCGTTGAGGGGGACGCGTCGCAGATCTTCTTTACCACACCCTGCAATCATGATAATGTGGTGCGGTCAATGACATCCTTGAGGACTGAGGATGGCATTGTTTGTTGTCTTGGGGATTTTCGATATAATTGATGGTTGGGTTTGTCTGCTTCTTCAAGGCGTAAGGGAAGCATTGCGGCTGGCGACAGGTCCGCATTTGTGGAGGCGTGGAGGATGATGTGCGAGTGCTGCGTGACAATCATCTTGCTGCAACTACACGTTCCTCAAACCTCAACATCCTGCAAAGGGAGTAGAAAGCACACTAGAAAAACAAGTCGGGAATGTCATGGCAAAAACACGTGTATGTGAAATCAGAAGATAAATTGATCTCTATGTATGTATACTAGATGACCTCAAACGGAACACCAGCATAGTATTCGCTGCTAGCGACCAGTATATAAAAGAAAGGAAGAATGACAAGAGCGAAAGTGGAAACAAGCGAAGGGTATAAGAATCGAAAATGTGCCTATTTGTCCTCGAGACAAATTGGTGCAGGCTCATATGGTAAGCCCCCAAAAGTGGCTGTGAACCCAAACAAAAGGAAGAGAAGAAAACAAAAGGCACTGCCATTATAAAGTTGATAAACGATGCAGAGAAGAAGACTCGACAAGAAGCGAAAGGTCGAGGTGGTGAAAGTTTGGCAAAGATGAAGGCAATGTTTTAAGAGATCGACACCTCGATGTCCAGTCAAGCGTCCAGCACTAGACAATATGGTAGCACTTTGCCGTGGACACGCACAGAAGCATAGAGGTCTAGCAGTGATAGATGCCATCTAGGCCTCGTCAAGCACGACCAGAGTGCTCTTGCGGTTGCGCACGTCTACAAGCTTTGGACGTAGCGGTTGCTTGCTGAACACTGGCATAGGACTAGTCGGATCGAGAGCAGCAGAAGACTTTGCCTGCGGCGGCGAGGGCACGCTAAGTCTGCTGTTGGGAGGAGCTCTACGCACCACAGAGATCTTCCTTGCGATCCCAATCTGCGGACCCGTCTGGGTCTTGCGTTTCGCGGCAGCATCGTCCAGAGAGCTTGTGCGTGGTGGGTGTGGACGATTGATTGTGGCCGCCTGCTTTTCCAGCTCGAAAGCGGGAGGACTTTGGCGACCCAGCGCTTTCGGTGGGATTGGCGGTGCGCAGGTCATGACGGGTGTGTCGTTTCTCCAGTGGTTATCCTTGAACAAGGATGTCGCTTGCATAGCCACGGCATCATGAATGTACACATCAGTGTCATCCTTTTCGTCGTTTTCATCACCGCTATCATCATCGTCGTCATCATCAACATCATTGACATCAAAACTGACGAAAGATTCTGCATCAGAAGAAGGGGTTTGTGGTCGGGATGCATCGCTCCACATCTGCGAACTTGTGGAGCAGGCAGAGGAATTGTTGGTAGTGCTGGGTGCCTGGTTTCCTTGTTCGCAACCACGGTGCGAGGTCTCGAGTGCTCCAGGTGGTGCGGTCTGCGAACGCAATAGGCGTGGCGTAATTGATGCACGGTAAATAGGTACAGGCGTGGCAACTTGAGAGCCATAACCGTTCATTTCCGCAGCTAAAGGTGTGCGGCAACTGAGATTAGGTGAGGTAGCACGGCGCTGCAAGGCAGGAGATTCGGGAGCAAGCTGCACGTATCGTTAGTCTTTCGTGTCTCTGCGTATATCCTGGCATTCTGTACTTACTCTTCCTGAGGGTTGATCTGAGAGATTCAGTTGTTTCACCATAGTCTGTCGTCTATCCATAAGTGAGGTCTGAGGCTTGAGCAGCTTTTCGAACATGACGCTGTAGCGCTCCATCTCGACAGCAGGGATGTTGATGTCGAGTCTGCGTTGACCGGGCCCCTCAAGAGGGGTCACTGGTAACGAGGGACCGCTCTTTTGTGATGCAGCATCTAAATATTGGGACACAGCCGAGTCTCCACTAGGACTTCGTGCAGCTGATCGTGGTGGAGGCTCCAGGGATAGAAGATTAGATGCTTTCGATTGGGGTAGTGCGGAGGCTTCTCCGATCCTTTTCGTGTTTTGTGCCCGAGTGCTGCTTTGGTTCTGCACAGCCCTCGTCTTCTCTACGGTGATTGAGTTGCGATCGAACTTCTTGCCATCTTTGGCTGAGGCTGTCGGCACAGAGCTCTTGGCAGACGATTTTGGTAGTGCTGGTGGTGAGGCGATATCTGCTGGGTTGAAGTCCGGAAGTGGCGGTTTTGATTGTTTCCTGGAGAAGAAGGACCTCCAAGTACCAGATTTAGATTTGCGCAGATGGGGCTCCTTGCGCGGAGCAGCCGAGGGTGCCCCAGCCTTGGGCGGAGCAACTACTTCAAGCGGCTTCTCCTCTTTCTTGGTCATAGTAGGAAGTGGTTCAATAGGGGTTGTCATAGACCGCTTAGGGCTTCGTGCATTTTCGAGTGTCACACCGGGTGTGGAATGGTTGGCATGGAGAGTCAGTTTGGTCGTCGAAATTCGTGGCGATGGAGTCATGGACATTCTTCTCGATGGCTTGTTGGGCAGTTTGAAAGCAAGTGAATCTGCGAAGTTTCGCGCAGAACTAGGCATCTGCATTTCCGGCTGTACCTCTTGGACAGGCGCTTTGCTTGCAGTGCAAGGCCTTGGTGAATCCGATGGTGGGGTCTGTGTTCCTTTCCATGTTGGATCTTTCTGGCCATGAGCACTCTTGACAGAGCGCTGGACGTCTCTCTCAACATTAACACTCTCCACTTGCTGTGTAGTAGACGTTTCATCATTCTTCTTGCGCATGAAAGGCGTCTCCTTACGGCGTAAGGACCTTGATCTCTCCAGAAAGCCCATTTTTCGTGACACGCGACCTGCGGCAAAAGAATTCCAGTTGAGAAGATAGGACCACCAGGGTTTCCGGATATGGACCTGCCAGGAAAGATTGCTTTAACACCCGCCAAGGAGAGACTAGAAGGAGACGGAGTAAGGAAGGTGAAGTAGTGGATTGAAATGATAGCAGGTTGCTTTTACCGTGCGAAAGCGAGCGGGAAGTCTGAAGGAGAGGACGACGTCTGAAGCGTCTCACGATTGTTTCTGGAGAGGACGAGAAGAAGAAGCAGGTCCACGACAGAAGCACCTACGCTTACCGCTGTTCGCCATCCTACCCAGACCCACGCGGTATCAAAGTGCATTGGTACCTGCGTCAAATTTATGGCTTGCCCCATCTGTGCTTACTCGTGTATGGCGATTTGCACGGGGCGCACTTTAGCACGTCCACAGGGACGACCTGGTCTACGCCGTCATTTGAGAGGCCCTGGCGATCTCCTCTAAAGGCGCGCCGTCTCAAACGCGTCGCAGAGCCCTGGCGAATTGCCTGTCAGAAGGAATGATGATTCGTTTCGTGGCGTTTCAGATTCTCGGCAGTGAAATTGTGATGGCTTTGACACCAGACACACTGACTGGCGGTCTGGGCACTGAACCCAATCGATGTGACTAGAAATCCTGTTGAGTTCATTTAGCAAAGTAGGCACCTTGCAAGTTGCAAAACTAGGGCTCTTCAAGTTTTTGGTTGCATGCATATATTTGTTGCAATAATAGAAACTAAAAACTTCGTGCGCGTGCCATGAGTCGTCGTCTGAGACGAGAAAAAACGGGTATCACCATGCCACTTCGTACGAATCGTATTGCGCCAAACAACGCCACTTTTCCGAGCCCATCACTAAAATAAACTACTGCTCGCACCTGCATCAACTATCAAAAGGCTGCATTTCCCAAGTTATGCTCCTTGATGTAGTCTGCTCCCTTTTCGTGATATTCCGCTCGTGACACGAACGACTGTCTGGACGTAGGACTAGCGGCCCACTGAGCAGCACCTTTCCAGGCGTCGAGAACGGGGTTTCTGGCTTTGCGCACGCCTAGTGAGCTGTCCGCAGGCAACACAGCACGCAATTCATTGCGGAGACGCTCTTCGAAACCTTGGAAGTGCGTGTAACCTCCAGTCAGGAATATATCCTTAAGCATTTCGTCACGCCTTGAAGAGCCGGACAGACGCTGTGTGATGATATCCTCGGCGATCTCGACAATACCTGCCTGGTCAATGCCTGCGATACCGGGCTGGAAGATGACTTCGGGCACGCGGATGCGCTCGACATTGAGATGTATTTGATTGAGCTCTCTTTGGCTCTCTGGGTCAAAAGGCCAAGGACCGCGCAGGAAAGAATGAAGGACGCTCTTGGTCCAGTCTTGTTGTGCCTCCTGTGTGCTCTGCTCTGTGAATGTCGGATCATACTTTAGAAGCTGGGCTTCGATGTTCTTGAGATTGGCACCGAGGTCTTCCTCTTCTTCATCGTCGCTTTGATCGCCAGTGGCAATTTGACGATAGATACCCCAGTCGGCATCGTCAGCTCCGAAGGTGTCATCGTCTCCACCCCGGCGACGCTTTTTGGGGTTGTCAGATGCCAAATTGGCAATGTTCTTCATGCGAATCTGACTTGCGAGTGACTTGCGGTTTCCGAGGTCAGCCTTGAGACGGTCACGTTCCTTGATGCGCTGAATCATGTTCTGTCGAGCGATTCTCCTCTCTTGCAGCCAACCCTCTGTGTCGTTCTCGCGGCGCTCGTTGTCCAAACGCTCCTCTTCAGCTACTCTAGCCTTTTCGCGTTCTTTTTCTGCCTTTGCGCGAGCACGAGCGTCGTGGTTAGACTTCATCAAGCGTTGCTGACGCTTTTGTTTCAGTCCCTCCTCGTCAAGCTCCTCATCTGGGATGTCAAGCAAAGGATAAGTTGGAACTTCCTCAGGCTCATCGACATCGCCGACATCCTTGTTTCTCTGCTTTCGAATCGAGCGTTCCATGTCCTTTATTTTTCGCTCCAAGTGTGATTCGTCATTGAAGTCCTCGGCTTCAAGCATAGTGCGCGCATCCTTCTTGGTAGCAGTGGCGAGCTTTTGTTGGAGGTCCTTGTAGTATTCGAGCTCTTGTTCCTTGCGGATAAGCTTCTCGAGACGCATCTTAGCAGCTTGCTCTTGTAGTCTTCGTCCACTTTCTTTGCGCTTCTCAGCAGCTCTTGCGAGTTCTTCTTCGGTCTTCTGAACCACCTCTTTCTCAGTGAATGGCAGTTGAACAACTACGTCACGGTCCTCCAGGCCAGTCCAGTCAAGATATCTGGCCATCTCCCCATTGTAGTCCTGAGAAACGTAGCAGTGTTGACGGACCAGATCTTCGATCTGAGTATCGTTGATTTTTCCGGGTAGTGCAGGGTACTTTGCGCGTAGAAGCTTGTTGAGGTAATCGGCGCATTGCGAGCGACCCCAATCCAAGCGCGTAGCTTGTGCAAAGAGTGGCTTCGAGTCGACAACAGGGACAAGGTGGGTTGAAGTGTATGCGGACGAGACAACAAGACCAGTGCGACCGCCGTTGTATGCGTAAGAGAAGAGAGAGTCGATGCCGTATGCAGCGGCGGGAACGCCGTACAGCTCAAAGAGAATCTCGGACATGGTGCGCTTGGAGTACTGCAGGTTGGCCAAGGGCTCTGTCATGACTACTGGGCGGTCGACGTGTCCCTTGGAGCCGTCAATGCCTAGTTTGATGAAGAGGTAGTCCAGAGCACCCTCCAAGACATCCCAGTTGTTGATGATGTTGCTTCCAGGCTCATACAAGTTTTTGGCCTGGCCTCGAGCGGTACCGTCGAAGTAGATCTCGGAGCCAATGAAGTTGAGCTTGCGATTCAGCTTGCGATCCGTGTATCGAGCCATGAGCGGCGGCATGGAGAGGCGTGGAGTGCGATCGGATTGCCATCCAGCGCGGATGTTGTATGAGCCTNNAAGCGATGACAAGAATCAGCAGCTGACAGGACGATAGGCTTCATTAGACTACAGTAGCATACCATTGTCGATGACTATGGCGCTGTCGGGAGCGCTGTTGCGGTATGCGCTCTGCTCGACAGCATGATAGCCCTCGTAGGGAGGCTCGCTCACGTGGTAGGCCTGAGCTGGTCGCTCGGGCGGTGTGTTACGACCGCTCTGCGTCTCCGATTTGATATCATAAATGCGATAGACCATCGTGCTCTGATGTCTGTTGCATGTTACTTGGACCGTTTCGCGTTGCTGGTTGACTTGCTCGTGCTCATGCTCTCCCCACAACCCTGTCCCGCACCTCCGCCTCACCCTTACCAATCACAAGCATTTGACCACGACTCTTCTCGTCTGAATTTTAATCCGGCTTGGTTGAGTTAGTTGTCTCTATTTTCCACGTGTTCAGATTCTTCGAAACAGCTATGTCTGCGTTCTGCTTTTTATCTTCTTGTGTCGCTCAGACTTCGAGCTTTCAACGACGACAAGATGATCAGCTTTACCATCCAAGAAGGACTGGACATCACTGACGCTATGATACATGATACCGCCTCACTGTTTTCAGAGAATTACGGCATCTGGGGTGCTGCTGCTCAAGGCAGGCGACAAGGTCAACGCGTACGCTCCAGTCCTGCGCGCCTCAGATCTGACTGCTTACCCGAAGCACCTGCGCGCAATTTTCTTGTTCAAGCCAAAGATGCTGATGTTTTGATCGGTCATGTTCTCGCTACTAGGTGGACATTCGAAGACCTCGGAATGTGTTGGATAACTCAGCTTTGCGTTCGCAAGAGGTACAGGCACCAAGGGTTGGCGACAATGGTAAGTTGAATAAATGCACGGTACCTTTTGGGAAGAGTGCAGTCTGCATCGAGTAGCTTTATCTTACGCGTCTCTCTGGACACATCTTAAAATTGAAAATCATTGTGCAATTCCACAGTTCAGATTGCTCTATGTCGCTCTGAGGGAAAGCTAGAGAGCCAAAAGATTATCTGCTAACCTCTTTCTCTAGNNCTTCTGGCCAAGCTGAGCGAATGCAGCAACGACCATGGTTTCGGCATCTTATCCTCTCATCCATTTGCGCTATCGGCCGCTCTTCGTGCTTTCGGCGGTGGAATCGACCAGGTGAAGGAATGCACCATCAGCCCCCAGATAAGAGACATCATGGCATCGTGCCCTGTCAACTATGTCCGCACTGCCAAGCTCCATGGCTCTTTGTTCGATAGCAAGGTGACTGATGGCACAGTCTCGTGCGCAGACACTAAATTCTTCGTTGACCACGCAGAACCCGACGCCGCGTTGGATGCAATTCAGCGCAAAGGTATCAAGTGGCTTTTTGGGCGGCTGCCAGAGGGACATGAGTTCCTCGTCTTCATAGAACGTCCATAGAGTTGTCGTTTGCTTCTATTCTCTTAGGAGAAAAGCAGCATGCACCAGCTCCGGCCCCGATTCATGAGGGCCTCGCGGAGGTTGTCGGTCGCTGTTATGGTCAGTATGCGATACTCAGAAACTCGTGACCAGATTCCAGCTTACCCTCCAGGTGGAAGAGCACGTTGGATTGATAGTTCTTGAACATTTGGGCGACAAGCTCGACGTCCATGTTATTGATGTTGATCTCCTTTTCGATGTGTTAGACCAATACTTGATTGTGTCCATTTTTCTTCAGGTGTAACATACTTGCAAGCTTTTGTTCAGCATCATGACAGCCTCGTTCAGTTTCTCCTGTTCTATGTAAACACGAGTGATTTGTGCGATTTTTACGCATCAACATACCACGTTGGTGATGATTCGGGAGAGCAGAACATTTTGCTGATGTTCATGAGGGCTTTCCTATGCGAAGTCAGCAAGAGCAATGGCAACATATCGTGTAAACACAACATACCATGTTGATTGATTGGTGATTCTCTGTGTTTATGTTTTGCGGTCAAGTGCACAAGCCTCGGACGTGTCTTGCCCGACCAGCGGTGTTGGCGGCAGTTTGCTCGGGAACTAGTCCCAGAAGAGAAACCGCGATCGACTGCGTCATCCTGGTTCTCAATATCCACCCAAAAAGTGGCCAGTATCTAACGAAGTCAACGACGACTACACGGTCGCCTTCTTTGACTAACAACTCTTACTGGAGATTCTCACTGACTACCGCTTCCGCATCTTCTCACTGCCCCAAGATGTCGGCCAACCTGAATAGTGCAGAGACACAATGGCTTGCTCAGCTCACTGCTATGAGAGCCGCTATTGCTGAGCTCAAATTGCCCGCCGGCTCAGAAAACGCACCTGCTTACGGCCAGGATGTTTGGACAGATGGAGAGGACTCTTCGGAACCCACGAGCGGCGACGATGACCTATGGGATCTTGTTGATGACGACGAAGAAGAAGAGGACCAAGCCTTTCTCAGCGACTCCTCGTATCCTGTGCATGAGGCGACACCAAGTCCTGCATACGGTGCAGCGTGGCTATGCGAGAGACTCTCGTATGTCTCATCCAGCATGAGCGTGGATGAATTGCAGGATCACATCGTTGCTATACTCGGCTCGGATAGTAGTGGTACGTTGGCCCACATCGTCTTTCGTCGCAATATGTGAAGGCTAACGTCCCACANNGATGATGAGCTTCAAATGCTTCTCGCTGATACTCTAGGCTTCGACGAACTCGACCTGGTAGCCGACTTCATTGCTCATCGANAAGAGATTACTACATCTGTCCAAGCTCCTGTGAAAAGTCAGCCCAACGGAAGAATCCTCTCGCGCCGTGAAAGAGAGGCCGCTCTAGAACAGCAAGACTTCCAACACAAGACAGCCTCTCTTGCTGCCGCTCAAGACCGATCCGCCACTCAATACCCCCATGTCTACCGAGCACACGATGCAGGAAATATGCTTTCCTCTCACGGCCGAAAGTACATGCTACCACTGGGAAGTGAGCGAACTGAACATGAAAAGTATGAAGAGTATTCTATCCCTCCTGCAAAGGTTGGTACTCTGGGTCTTGGTCAATCGCTTGTCATGATCAAAGACATGGACGCACTTTGCCAGGGCACTTTCAAGGGCTACAAGTCCCTAAACCGCATGCAAAGTCTTGTCTACCCAGTCGCATACAAGACAAGCGAGAACATGCTGATTTGTGCACCTACTGGTGCTGGTAAGACTGATGCTGCCATGTTGACTATCCTCAATACCATCGCCAAAAACGTGACACCAAGTCCACACGATAATCCAGGTGCTACTGATCTTGCAGTCGCTTTGAACGATTTCAAGATTGTCTATGTCGCTCCCATGAAGGCCTTGGCTGCCGAAATCACAGAAAAGCTGGGCAAGAGACTTGCATGGCTCGGCGTACAATGTCGTGAGCTTACTGGAGATATGCACCTTACCAAAGCCGAAATCGTTGCCACTCAGATCATTGTAACAACGCCGGAGAAATGGGATGTCGTTACGAGAAAGAGCACTGGAGATACAGAACTTGTTCAAAAGGTCCGTCTCCTGATCATCGATGAAGTCCATATGCTTCATGACGAGCGAGGCGCTGTGCTTGAATCGCTTGTCGCCAGAACGGAAAGACAAGTCGAGAGCACACAATCTCTGATTCGCATTGTTGGTCTCTCTGCCACACTTCCCAATTATGTCGATGTTGCCGACTTCCTCAAGGTCAATCGAATGGCTGGATTGTTCTACTTCGACGGCTCCTTCAGACCGGTGCCTCTCGAACAGCACTTCCTTGGTGTCAAAGGCAAAGCCGGTAGCAAGACTTCACGAGAAAATCTGGAGATAGTTGCTTTCGAGAAGGTACGCGACATGTTGGAGAGAGGACATCAAGTCATGGTTTTCGTGCATTCTCGTAAAGACACTTGGAAGACTGCCAAAACCATGTACGAAATGGCTACGGACGAAGGATGTACAGATCTTTTCGACCCTTCCTTCCATGAGAACTACCAACAGGCCTTGCGCGACCTGAAAACTTCCAAGGGCCGTGAGCTTAGAGAGCTTGTGCCTAAGGGCTTCGGTACCCACCATGCTGGTATGCCCCGTTCGGACAGAAATCTGATGGAACGTCTGTTCGCCGATGGTGTGCTCAAGGTGTTGTGCTGTACCGCCACTCTAGCCTGGGGTGTCAACTTGCCAGCTGCAGCGGTCGTCATCAAAGGTACCCAACTCTATAGCGCAGAGGCAGGTAAGTTTGTCGATCTCGGAATTCTTGACGTTCTCCAAATTTTCGGACGTGCCGGTCGTCCACAGTTCCAGGACACTGGTATCGGCTTCATCTGTACCACTCAGGACAAGGTCCAACACTATCTCACTGCGGTCACTCAACAACAACCAATCGAATCAAACTTCTCCAAGAAGATGGTTGACAACCTCAATGCTGAGATCTCGCTCGGCACAGTCACCTCAGTGTCAGAGGCAGTCCAATGGCTTGGATATTCGTACTTGTTCGTCCGCATGCAAAGGAACCCCATGGCATATGGTATCGACTGGGCTGAAATTAGAGATGATCCTCAGCTTGTGCAGAGGCGTCGCGAGTTGATCATCAAGGCTGCCAGAGTTTTGCAACAAAGTCAGATGATCATATTCAACGAGACAACCGAGGAACTCCGCGCGAAGGATGTAGGCCGCATTGCAAGTCAATACTATGTTTTGCAGACAAGTGTTGAGATCTTCAACACCATGATGCGACCTCAAGCTACCGAGGCAGATGTTTTGAAGATGATCAGTATGAGTGGCGAGTTCGACAATATCCAGTCCAAGGAACCAGAAGAGAAAGAGTTGTTGCGTCTGCAAGATGAAGCTGCTCCATGCGACATCGAGGGCGGAATTGGCTCCCAATCTGGCAAGACCAATGTGCTTCTGCAATCTTACATTTCCAGAGCCCGTCTTGAAGACTTCACTCTGGTATCGGATTCATCCTATGTTGCCCAAAACGCTGCTCGTATCTGTAGAGCCTTGTTCATGATCGCATTGAACAGACGCTGGGGATACCAATGTCTTGTTCTTCTCTCGATGTGCAAGTCCATTGAAAAACGAGTATGGGCATACCAACACCCCTTCCAACAGTTCGACCTTCCCCAGGCAGTCATGCGAAATCTTGATGAGAAAGGCTCAAGTGCTTCGATAGAGTCTCTCAGAGATATGGAGCCAGCAGAGATTGGAGCGCTTGTCCATAACAACAAGATGGGTTACACAATCACCAAACTGCTCGACAACTTCCCTACACTCACAGTAGAAGCTGAGATTGCACCCTTGAACAGAGATGTGCTGCGCATCCACCTTTACATCACGCCTGACTTTAGATGGAACGAGAAGCATCACGGCAAGTCCGAATCGTACTGGATCTGGGTCGAAAACTCCGAAACCTCGGAGATATACCATCATGAGTACTTTATCCTTTCTAGAAGAAAGCTTTACGATGAACATGAGTTGAGCTTCACAATCCCACTCACTGATCCACTCCCATCGCAGATCTATGTCCGCGCTGTCTCTGACCGCTGGCTCGGAGCTGAGACGGTAACTCCAGTCTCGTTCCAGCATCTCATTCGACCCGACACAGAGAGCGTGTACACTGATCTTCTCAACTTGCAGCCATTGCCGATCGCTGCGCTCAAGAATCCTCTGCTGGAGGAGATCTACAGCCAACGATTCCAGTTCTTCAATCCGATGCAAACACAACTGTTCCACTGCATGTACCATACATCTGCCAATGTGTTGCTCGGATCTCCCACTGGTAGTGGCAAAACAGTCGCGTGTGAACTTGCAATGTGGTGGGCCTTCCGTGAGAAACCAGGCTCCAAGGTTGTTTACATTGCGCCCATGAAAGCCCTGGTCCGCGAAAGAGTTCAGGACTGGGGTAAGCGTCTGACGAAGCAGATGGGATTGAAGCTTGTTGAGTTGACTGGTGACAACACTCCGGATACCCGAACAATCCGCGACGCTGACATTATCATCACAACTCCTGAAAAGTGGGATGGTATCAGTCGTAGCTGGCAAACCAGAGACTACGTCCGTCAAGTCAGTCTGGTGATCATCGATGAGATCCATCTGCTCGGTGGTGACAGAGGACCCATTCTGGAAATCATCGTCTCCAGAATGAACTACATTGCTTCGCAGAAGAAGGGGTCTGTTCGAATCGTTGGTATGTCCACTGCGTGTGCCAACGCTACTGACTTAGGTAATTGGCTTGGTGTCAAGGAAGGTTTGTTCAACTTCCGACACTCAGTACGTCCTGTGCCCCTGGAGATCTACATTGATGGCTTCCCTGAGCAANAGGGGTTCTGCCCACTTATGCAATCGATGAACCGACCAACATTCCTGGCGATCAAGTCTCATTCACCAGACAAACCAGTCATTGTCTTCGTTGCTTCTCGCCGCCAGACAAGACTGACAGCTCGCGACCTCATCAATTTCTGTGGTATGGAGGAGAATCCTCGCCGCTTCGTACGTATGTCAGAGGATGATCTCGCCCTGAATCTTGCTCGCGTGAAGGATGAAGCTCTGCGTGAATCTTTGAGTTTCGGTATCGGTCTGCACCATGCAGGTCTCGTCGAGTCGGATAGACAGTTGGCCGAAGAGTTGTTTGCAAACAACAAAATCCAGGTACTCGTTGCCACCAGTACTCTAGCTTGGGGTGTCAATTTGCCTGCTCACCTCGTTGTCGTCAAAGGCACGCAGTTCTTTGATGCGAAGACGGAAGCATACAAGGATATGGATCTCACAGATGTTCTGCAAATGCTCGGTCGTGCTGGAAGACCTCAGTTCGACACTTCAGGTATTGCCCGCATTTTCACACAAGATGCTAAGAAGGCATTCTACAAGCACTTCTTGCACACTGGTTTCCNNCCAGTCGAATCGTCACTTCACAATGTCTTGGACAACCATTTGGGCGCTGAAGTATCCGCGGAGACGGTCGCCACCAAGCAGGACGCTCTTGACTATCTCACATGGACGTTCTTCTTCAGAAGACTTCACAAGAATCCTTCATACTACGGTCTCGAGATCTCATCAGAGGAGCACAATACGATGACCGCCCAGCAACTTGCTAACGAGTACATGGTTGAGATGGTTGATAAGTCATTATCAGAACTTGCCGAATCTGGTTGTGTGACTATGCACAGTAACGGTGACGTCGATCCAACTCCTCTGGGCAAGATCATGAGTTACTACTATCTCGCTCACAAGACTATTCGCCACTTGATTAAGCACGCCAAACCGAATGCTACTTTTGCAGAAGCTCTGGCATGGATGTGTAGTGCGACAGAGTACGACGAGCTGCCTGTACGTCACAATGAGGATCTGATTAATGCCGAACTGTCGGCAGCTTTGCCATTGAAGGCTGAGGATGCTATGTCTGGTTTGCCCATGTGGGATCCTCATGTCAAGGCATTCCTTCTCCTACAGGCTCATTTCTCTCGCATCGACCTGCCGATCTCGGATTACGTTGGTGATCAGACTTCCGTCCTTGACCAGGCAATTCGTATTTTGCAAGCATCAATTGATGTTCTCACAGAGCTTGGGTTCAATTCAAGCTGCGGCATGATGATAACCCTGCTGCAATGTGTCAAGTCTGCTCGTTGGCCTGAAGATGGTCCCTTGGCCATGCTTCCTGGTGTCGAGCCACCAAGAGAGCGTCAACGTCNNTTTCGTCCTCGAAGAATCCAAAGCCTAAGGATCTGGTCGAAGCAACGACGACTCCCTCGCAAGGAGATGGAGACGGTGTTGCACAAGCAGCTCTCGCTCGCATCTCCTCAACAGCCACGCGCTTTCAAAGCCCTGTCCGCTTTGCCTCAATTGCGTGTCAATGTCTCCGACGTCACAGCACTCGGCTTGAATGTTACGGTCGCTCGTCTCAACCCCGCGCTCAACCGTGAGTTCCACATGTACGCACCGCGCTTCCCCAAGCCTCAGTCCGAGGGCTTCTTCCTTGTCGTTGCCGACACCAAGACCGACGAAGTACTTGCTCTCAAACGTATCTCGTGGCATGTAGCTACTCAAGGCAAACAGGCTTCACAGTCAAATCCCAAGCCAACTTCTAGAAGTAAGATTAGGTTGCCTCCTTCAGCCGGCGAGAGGATGGTTTCGGTCAAGGTGGTTAGTGATGGATATATTGGTATGGAATGGCATGTCGAGGNNGATGTGGAAATTCCTGCTCCGCCAATGGTTGTTGACGATGGGCTCAAGAAGAAGCAAGGTTGATTGTTTGGTTCAACCTCCCCGTGTTCAAAAGTATGTAACGCGTGTAGCTGTAGAAACGCATGATACTACCAGGAGGTTGGACAGTTCCCACTGAAAAACAACAAAATATGGACTCTCTATGGACAGACAGCATTTGTCTTCGAATGAGATTGTGTCTTTCCATGGCGTGTCTCTTACTCTGTTTTGTGCCTCGGAGTATGATGAGAGTTACATACTTTTGGACACGGGGAGGAAGGAGACATTGGGATCAGTAGAGCGACTGAATGGTCGTGGTGTCTTGTGGATATACAATCTCTATATGCTGTTGTATCACTCCTGTTGCTTTGGCCTCATGAGCAATGGCATGTCCCCCCTTGAAATCGAACAATCATTTCCATGGAAGGAATTATTGTTGAATGTGCCGATACATCACTATTGCCTTTTTCACATACGAGCTTGACCGGAGTAGGCTCTCGTTGAATGCTAACCTTGATGTGACCGCGACAATATGAGTTCTTACCCGCAACTCTCGGTCTCATCGCTCGCTTCCATCCAATCCCGTTCGAGACTTCTGATAGTCTCTGCAGAAGCCCTTGCTAACGACTTTGATTCATCATCGATCATATTGCCCACAGCAAGTTCATCCAACCTCGCCGCCCACCATCGCCACCGAGACACAGTGACTTCGGAATACTTCCTCTCATCCTGCTCTCCCCAAACATCCTCAGCATCCACAATCTCCCGCCACAAAGGCCCAGCAGCAGCCCAAGCCCCCTCCCACCACGTCTTTCGCCGCCACAAATCTTCCGCAGCGATTTCCAGCCATTTCAAAGCAGCGCTCAAAGAATGCAGTGAATCCATTCCTTGTTCGGTTTGCGGATCCCATTCTAGCGAGGTTGATAGGGTGAGGAAGCCATATGTATACAAGCCATCAAACGAATGTGGAGAGTTGTTACTTCTGTGGATGAGGTAAGCGGCAAAAGTGTTTGCGTTTGTCCATTCTTGCTCGGCGATGTGTTCTGGAGTGCCGAAGTTGAGGTAGGCTGTAGGACCTTTATTTTTTTTATGTTGTTAGTCAATGGAGATGAGTGTGGAGATCAGAGCACAGTGTACCTTGCATATCTTGACCGAAACAAGTCGTGAAGTGAGGTAAGTCAGACCAGATTTTGCCATGGTCGACTTCGATGACTTGACCCGGTGCTATCGCGTAGTCTTTGCCCTTGAAGGATAGATGAAGCGTGTCTGCACTGTTGTTTCGCACATATTCCAACCGCGAGAGTTCTAGCACAAGATTGGCGAGTTTGTGGAGATCGTCTTCTTCAGAGAGTTGGTGTGCTGCATCCACAATCGTCGACAAAACCTCAGAGTATATAGACAGAAAATCATCGTGTGAAAACACAAAAGAGGAAAGTTGATTTGCTGCCTCGTCGGGTTGTGTGGTGTCCTCGAAGACGTCTTTGAGAATGTCGATGAAGGGGGCTTCTTCTTCTCCCCTGTCTTTTCGTCGTGCGTAGGCGAGTTCTAGAAAATCTTGATATGAGAAACGAGGATCGATGATTTCCATTGTGGTGTGCGAGCATCAGGCAGGAAGTTCACTGCTTGAGACAGCAGCATCCCCGCATCCGGCGCCGAGGAAGGATTCTGCCAAGTTTGATGGACGTCACGAATATTATGGTGAGTTCACAATCATTAATGTAGACAATGGACCTTTCTTTGCTTCAAGTCCTGTCCGGCCTGCTGAAACAGACGAAGCATCTTGCAGGACCATCGTAGTCCGCTGTTTGTTCTTCGAAAATTAGTTCGTCTTGCCATCAGAGCCCTCTGATGCGGAAGTATCGCTGGAGCCTGCTTTGAACTTCGTTGCTGGTGCTCTAGAGGTTCTTGCTCTGCCTGAGTCTTTCCATGGCATCGGCCATTTCATCCCAGCACCAATGACAAAATTTTCATGACCTTTTGGCATCGCTGCTGCTAGGCCATCCTTGGTATAGCATCTGTGACAGATGAAGTTGTCTGGCTCTTGGATGTCTTGCCACCTAGAACAAGAATACAGTTAGCATGTCGAAGGTCATAGCATAATGTGTCCGCAAGGCTCGTCGAAGTACCAGCATCCACACCGACCGCATTGCAGAGATTTTTCGCATAAGACTTGTGGTCTAGGGTAGTTATGACAGACGCAATGCGAAAGCATTTACAAGATCTTTAGGCGCTTTGTATCGATGACTGCCATATCTTGATGGCAGCAATGCATGGCTTTGCAGTATCAAACGACCCTCCGAGGGCTCTTGGTTTGTACTCAAGTATTGTGATTGGAAGGGACTTACCAGAGTTTTGAACCATGCCTATAAAAGGATAGACATGTGCTACACGTCTTACGCTCTTTTTCAGGATATAGCACGGGAAGATGTGTCTTCCAGTCAAACGCTTCCCGTTGGTCGTCTCGAAGACGACGCAGCCATTGCGACAGACTACGGCTGTCTTTAGTTTTCTCGGTGTCTCTTCTTTGAGCTGCCCTTCTCGCCTCTACATAATGTGCGCGTTCAGGAGATGCAAGCATCCTGGCATGATATTCCGCCCGTTTCAGCGTCCTAGGCACACTCCTTCGTTCTCGAAAAGCGGGATCCTCCATGTTTCTGTAGTACCATCGCTGAGTATGTGACATTGTCGAGAGTTCTTCTTCTGTGGGAATCCGACGAGCAGTGTGTGTTAAGGAAGACGAGAATGGTCGAAACATCCCGCATCGTGACCAGCTGTTCTCGATCAGGCCGAGAAAACTCGAAGATATACCTCTGTAGGTTAAGGTTGACATGATGTATGTTTTTCTAGCCAGGACTTGGAAGATAGATGGAGCACAAGACTGCGAATGTCCGCATACAGCAGTTTGGAGAATTCGAGGTTTGGTCACTCCAAAGTAGAGATAAACTCTTTAAGGCGCCACGCAAGACTTGAACACTGTTTGTGGATGATTTCGATAGTGAGACAGGAGATGAAGTGAATTTCAGAGGAATTTGACAGGTTGTTCGCAAAGTGCAAGACGTGTGTCCGTGCGCATGTTGCGACTGCCTACATTAAGATTATTTGATCGGAAATTGGCGAAGGATGGCATTTTTGACCATATAATGCATATATTCAGATGTTTCTGCTTGAATTCCTCGACCGTAATGTGTCACTGATAAGTAACAGCAGGTCAAAATGTACTGAGTAGGCTCCTGTCGGTCTGCGGCTAGTCCAGAGACATTCCATGAGAACTCACACGGCTTCATCGATCCCATGGTTTTGGGAATCTCTTCCCAGAACCAAGGACATAACTCTCGAGTCCCCTGGGCAATATCTCATCAGGATCCTGATCCATGTAGCAGCTATGACAAGTATACTGTTTGGCATCTGATGTCCCAGAGGCGCTTTGATGATCGATTCGCTCCCACCATAGCGTCCCTCTTGTAACATGAGTGAGACAAACATCGCAAGTCATGGGCCGAGGTTCAGACATCACAATTGGACGATGACTCTTCCAATCATAGGCGTCTTTNTGCGACTCGGGCATTCTTCGTAGCAACCTCCTGAACATCGCCGGCACCCGCTGTTTGACCCAGTGCTTTCGATTGTAGACTCGCCATCGAGCGTTTTCGCTCTTCTCGAATTCGGGATCTTCCAGGCGTTGTTGCTTCAGCTTGACATATCTCAATTGAAATCTTTCACAGTATCCTTGGCGAATCGCGGGGTCATGCCTATTCTTGTAGTACCATCGCACGCCTGGATTCATCTCACGAAGCTCGGCATCGGTAGGTTGTGGCCGATAGAATTTGAAGATTGTTCGCGATGAGGAAAANAGTCGGCAAGCCTCGAGACCCCATATTGGTGGACCACGAGCAATAGAAGGCGACACAATTGCAGGGAAGGCGACCCTTGGTAGAGCAAACATCGCACCTATATGCCCTGAGAATTGTTGTGCAAACAGACCAGCCTCTCGAAAGTCGTTCCGTTATCCCTCCAGGCTTCCTATGCTGCAAAATTGATCCAGGTGTTGCGAGTACGGAGATCGATGACTGGTACACGTTGACTGCAGTCCAATATGACCCCAGGTCTAATTCCCGACGCTAAACTGGTGTTGCTCGTTGAAGATGTGATTAGGATGAAAAATCGATGAGTAGCAACCTTCGTAGAAAGTTGGCTTGCAGGTCCAACATCCGTGCACCATTGCACTTGCCGCGCCGACGATGTTTCGCTGCAGCAGCGACCCTGCACAATAGTCATCACAACCGCTCCGTACTAAAGACAGTCGCAATCTTGCGATTGACTACCTCTCCATCATAGGCAAAAGGACTATTATACACCATCAAAACGCACAGTTCGAATCTAAATGTGACTTTAACCATGGAGATAGCCTTGAGCAAGGTTTCTCTGAGGAACCGACGTTCTTTGGGGACTATTGTGTATTTCTGCAGCTGTCTATGACGATCTTCAGCACTTGGAAGACCTGATGATGGTTCTACCTCTTGCATGCCCAGGAAAGCAAAAGTCCTTGAGAACATTTCATTGTCATTTTCGCTTCTGGCTTTCCTGAACCACGGCCTGGAGGTGAAAGACATTCGTATATCCATACAGCAAAATCTACCTCTCGGCATTGGGGCCGGAGGAGGACATATAATGCATTCTTCGAGGACAACATGTAGGGGGCTACAAGCAAGCCTCCGTTCATCGCTGCTCCCAAACGTACCAGCACTCTCAACTCTCGACTATCAAAATGCAGAATCGCAACTCCTATTCAAGTGCGTCCGGAGAGACTACGATGAATCAGCCAAATACAGCGATCAATACAAATGGCAAAGAAAGAATTTGGGTAAAAGATATGGTTCCTTTCAGTATTAAATATGAGTGTGTGACTCGAATGCCTGTATCTTCACTCTTTGCTTATGTGCAAGCTCGCTGCTGTGAATGTTTGTCCCATATGTACAGACCGAACAAAGCCAGAGAAGAAAGACGACGAATAGACCAGAAAGCAACTAGTCAGTATGGATGCTGACAGTGATGAAAACGAGAAAACTCCAATCCAAAAATGCAACAAAGGCCAGCTCCTTGCGAAAACATAACGCCTTACTAGGTGGTGCTGGAAAACCAAAACCAAAACCAAAACCAAGAACGCTTGATGGGGAAGAAAGCAAATAACAGAGAGTGATGGGCGCTTTTGCTCTTCCTAATAGGGAATGATAGGCGTGGTGGAAACGAAACAGACTCAAGGTACCCATAAAAACAGTAGAAAAACTCCTCCCCAGAAGCCTGGACACCTTCTAATTTTGCCGAAACACATGCATTAGTCGTCGAAACTCTCTCACACCCTGTTAACTCAGACTGCTTCCCCAATTTCGTGTTTAATCGGATGTCCGAGGAATGGGAGCATGCACATGCGACCAGTACCAGTCTGTTCATCTCTGGTACCTCCCTCTTTGTTCTCGCGGAGACCAAGCCAGCGGCGCCAGAGAGCACCACTGAAGCCGGAGTTGTAATAGAAGGAACTGCCGATGAAGTTGTGCTCACCCCAGCCGAAAGGACTGTCGACATCGATACGAGGACGGTTGAACATTCTGTCCATGTACTCAAGGTCCCAGTCACGGTCGAAATAAACCGGTTGTGGTGCATAGACAGATTTCAGGCCATGTTGCAGAGCGCAGGACGCAGGCCACATCTCGGGGAACATGGTGTGGCGGTACTTCCAAGTCTCCTCGTGCATGATGTCCATCAGGCGTTTGGAAAGGCGGGAGACTGTGATGATGGCGCAGCGACGAGGCGGAGGGGGCATCTTGAGATTGTAACCAGTTGCATCCAAACGGAAGACCCAGTTAGTCTTGCTGGGGTCAAAGATTGGGTTGAAAGTGATAAGATCAGCTTCTTCGCCAACTCCCCACTTGAAATCATCCTTGTCGTATGGCATGGGAGGAGTAGTGTCAGAAGGAGAGGGAGTGAGACCATCGTTTTGGAAAGCCGGAGGGCCCCATACAGGAGTCTTGCCATCCTCGCGGGTCTCATGCTCGACCATGTCGGTGAAGTTTTGATAGGTACCGTGCAGTTCGGGCATCCAAAATCTTTCGGCTCTCTCCCACATTCCCTTGCGAGGCTGTTTACGAGCCCAGTCACCAATAGCAGTATTGAATTCGTAGTAGTGTCCGTTGTAGCGGAGGTCCATTTCCCAGTTCCAGTAGTAATCGTAGTCGGGGTATTGTTGACCAAACCATTGCAGAGCAAAGTGAGCAGAACGGTAGACACCGTGGACACTCTGTCCAGAGGGATTCTCGAAAGGCTCAGCGAAAGGAGGAGGGTAGTAGTTGAGCAATTGAGACTCGGACCAGAGAACAGTCATGTTCCAGAATTCCTTGGGCATGTTCTGTTCGATGACCTTCTGGTATACACTCTTATCGGCCCAGATGGGGAGAGTCTCATCCTTGACGTGCAGAAGGAAGAAAACATCATATTCACCGCCAGACTTGAGCGAGAGCTCAGCGATCATAGCGCGAAGAGAGTACAGCTGGTTGTAGTTGAAGTTGTAACCGGTCCAGATGCGAAGAATGTAGGCATGACGGGCAACCTTGCGGTGAGCATCCTTGTTCTCGAAACGAGCTTTGTTCTTGTCATGGCACTTCTTCATGGCCTTGCCCCAGTTGACGTTGGAATAGTCGACTGTGCCCATCTTCTCGAAAAGCTTGTCAGTACCGACGTTTTCCGAGTCGAGACCAGGACCAAGACCACCAGCGGTAGCATTGTAACCATAACCGTAAGGACCGAGTCTGCCATATCTATCGTAACAGACATCGTCTCTGATACCAAGCTCCTTGTGTGTACCGAAGAAGGGAGCAGGGAAGTTTCTGGGTAGGCCGGGGTAGACGTAAACGTCAGGCACCTCGACCTTGTCCTCATCGTCCATGTAACACGTCTCGACCTTTCCATGCTTTTGCGTGTATTCGTACGAGCTGTAATCGGGATAGGGGTTCAACTTGATGGGCTCGAAAGCTGGTTGCTTGGGAAGGCCGCGAGCTTCGTTGCTGTCAACGACACCATCTGGCGGGGATCGATTGTAACGGTTCTGAGGTGTCCAGTCTTTGGCGGGGGTCAAAGTGCGGATACCATTGTAGTAGGCTTTGAGACTGTCGGCTCGCGTCAGTATGCTGGCTTGAAATTACGTGTTAATGTGTCTTACGGGAAANTATTCCTCCCAGGGATAACCCGGAGGCTTTTCGGCTGCCGGATCCGGATTTGCGGGCTCTGGAGGAGGATTGAATTTATGATGGCGACTCGCAATGAGCATTAACAAGACAAGAAGCGAGGTCAATGCCCAAAGGAGAATGCGGAGCGGAGACCAGCGAACTGAGCGCATGGCCTCGCCAGCGCGTCTCGGTGACGGCCATCGGACCCGCTTGAGAGGCTGCAATGTGAAGGGTGAGGTGTTGCGGCTGTCTGAGGGAAGCTGCTGGTAGGAAAAGTTGCCATGAAACAGCCTAAGTGGATTCAGATGGCGCAGACGCGCACCGCTCTGTTCCTGTGGTTGCATTGTTGGGAGGCCTTCACCAGCATCACTGGAGAGGCTGCTCTCCGACTTTCGATCCTTGTAGTCTTCCAGGTTGGCGGTGTTGCGAAAATAAGGATTCAGCGAGCGACGAGGGTCAGTTATTGGGCCAAGATCTGCGGGCGTGAGAGCCGAGACCAGCCGTTGTATAAAGTCGGGAGGATCGAGGGAGGTTGGGAGGAGTCGATGGCGAGCACAAGGTTGATGTAGGCTGGCTGAACGAGGCAGTCGATGGTGGAAGCCAAAAGGGGATGAGTGGTCCTGGCTGGGGTCGAAGAGGTGGAGGGAAGGGGGTGATTTGGATGGAGGAGAAAAGTGGTGGAACAATTTCCAAACAGCGTCCAGAAGGTCTTTTGGGGGCAGACTGGGACAGTAGCAGCATAAACGGGCCGCTTGCAAGCACCAGATCAAACACTTGGAACAGCGATGATTGAAGGCTCGAACGGCGGCGAGGTCCGTGTGTCTTTAACAAGAAAGCCTTCCTCAACGCACTGCCGACCCGATCTGATTGGTCCGCGGCCTACCAGAACCAACTTCGACGCTCTTTCCTCGTTATCGTGTCTTGTTTCAGGCACGAGGGAGCTGGTCGTGGTTTTCTGTTGAGCCCATGCTTGTTTGCTCAATTCGCTGCGCACTATCACACATCTTGGTCACAACGCTGCACTTTTTCACTTTGTGTTCAACCCGTTGTGTCTCTCTATCCGCGGAAAGCGCAATCGCATTACGCAGCCCCCGGCCTCTGAATCTGGAGATCTCCCACAAGTCTCAAGCACTCTGCATGCCCGCTGAGCGCCACACCCGGCTACTGACTCTCCACTTCTCTCTCTTTTCGTCATGCATCCCACATTCACTTGCTCTCCGGGGACCATACCCTGCTTTTTCTGTCGAGCTGGAGTGCATTTCCAGCTGCTCCATATCGCTCTTGACCCGCATCATTGCCGGATACTCCGCCAACTTGCCGTCTGCAGTCGTGCTTGATATGTTGCGCCGTACGACCAAAACAATGTCAAGAAATCTCTTGTTTTGATCGGCGTGAGGACTCGCAACCATCGTGAAACACGTCCATATCACATCCCTATGCACATCACCCTTCTTCCACTTCCTCATCAACCATCATCACAGCCTTGCCCTACAAAACGCGCAATCCCCAGACGCTGCTATCCGTCTTCCTGTCAGTCCCATCGTCAATCTCATGCAAACACAAGCTCCCGCTGCTCCGGTTCAGTGTACGGACATGCATGAGAATGGGGTGACGCTACACAGAGTCTCGCTGTCATTCCATGTCTTGGCTGCCGTGAGAACCATCAAACTCTCATCACCATCTTAAGGTGATACCTCCACCATGACCGGCTCCGTAAAAGCCGTCTGCTTCTGACAAGCCATTGTCTGCACAGGCGAAAGAAGCCTCATTTGTGATGCATGAGTTCTGCATTGTACGCGCAATTCAATGGTGATCCATCGCTTCCAATAATTTATGTTCAGACAGCAACCCCTGTCATGCGGAGATCTGTAATGGTCATGGTCACCATCACTGTGATGCTGCGGCCGAGCGCAACTCCTATAGCAACCTTTTGTCGTACAAGCCCAGCCGAAGGAGCCTCAAGTGACTTGCATCTTTGCGACTTTGAATGTGGACATGGCTCGCTGCCGCTCTCGGAGAAGCGCATCGTCCACAAATATCAGACGGACAGAAATCCGTTAGATCTTGGCCTTCTGCCGCATACAACCTTTGCTTTTTCATTGCGGGATAACTCGTTCGACATCTTGCAAGAAGCGAATGTTGCAAGATTTTAAGGTCAACGACTCAACCTGCTCACGCGCAAGACTTGCAGCAAACAATGATTTTAATCGGTGCATAAATCGCCTATTTTTGGCTGGTAAAGATTCAGCTATCGAATGCATGAACGCCTCCCGACTACCAACCACCAATCATATTTACACATGTCCTGATAAGTCTACCTGATTTCCATCGTTCTGGGCTCGAATTCGCTATCGCATTCTCGTCTTACTTCAACATTTTTTGCGAAAGTTCTCTTGCTTCAAACCCCTCATCACGATCAAGCGTAGTCGGAAGCAAACCTCGGCATCTCCAAAGAGCACACTTTCCAACAGCAAGTTCAGCCAACCTCTGGACGGAACCTCTTTCCGACGAAACACGTTCCTGGCCACTAGACTTCGATTCACCATGGAACTAGTTTTATCCAGGCGGCTGGCGGTAGGGTTGCTTACCAACTTTGATCTTGGACGCTACACCCGCCGAGGCTGGAGTAATCGTTCGCCACGGAACTCTATCAACAGCAACTTGATTCACTCAGCGGAATGAATAATTATTGGCGCGTCGCGTTCTTCGCGGATGAAAGCGGCAGTCTCGTATTTGAAAGGTAAGAAAGCTTGAAGAGACGTCTGTTCCAACTTCCAAGATGCGACCAGCAGGTTTGACAAGATTCAACATTTTGTCGTTCGCACAATCCCACATGCAGCTCAAAGTGTGTGATCCGATGGCTGGGAGCAATCTTCCTCGAAAATGCTTACAACTCGCCTACATCACGAGCAGTCTCCTCATGCGCTTTTTGGAATACCTTGACCAGCCCTGAAAGTTGTCTGTCTTCCAGATTGTGCTGGCGGCTGGTCGCAATGGAAAAGATTTGACGACGATGAGAGCATTCTGCCTACGATCGAATTTCAAGTGGACACGATCTTGTCGCATTCTTGAATGCTTGCCGTCACGATGCGATGCGGCCGTTCTGGCAACCAGCATCATAACTGTCTAGACTCAGTTATCGTTGCAGTTTCACCCTTTAAACTTGTTCCTCCCATATGCTAAAGACAACGCAGTGTAGCTACAGAAACGCACAATGCTCTCGCAAAGAATGTGGTCTCGACAGAGATAATCCCATTGAAGGCCACCTCAACGGCTAGCCTCATACTCGGATTGCAACTGTGTTTCGATGGCTCATAATAACCCCTCGACCTTGGAATGGACAAGGGCTCGAACAGTTTTGTTGCTGAGGCTCAAGATACTCGTGTCGGTGCATGCTCTAGGTTGAGATATGGATATACAAGTAGAGGCTGCCTCTAAGCTTGTGGAGCGCAGTAGAGGACAAGAGTTATCGAAGCTGGTCTTGTCAAGAAGAGCCGTAACACATGATTAGGCGGTGTTTTCATGTGAAGACTGGTCCAATGTCGCGGAAGCAGTCATGCAGACAATTCTTCTGAGCGTTTCAAGACCGAGTCTGTAAACCCTGTTTTTGACATTGATGGGGACTTGTGAACAATAAGATTGGTCTAGAGTTATCTATGTTATCTGGAGAAGATTGACTCGAAATAGACGTGGCTGATATAGGCAACGGCATTGTGCAACGATTTGAAAAGGATCAGCTTGCACATGCATATTCTCGATCATGTGCAGAGAATTCTTGCTTGTGACACAGCGATTGTTGTTTGTTGATAGCAACGAAGCAGTATGACTCGAGCAAAACGAAAGGCAGAGTCGCAGACTAAGATGGAGGCGAGTCGAGATGTAGCCATCTGAGACGTAGCGATTCCAGTGGACTGGGTTACAAGGGCGGTGTACAGGACTTGGCAGGGCGGTGTGTGGAGGGGCATTGTCGAGGATGAAACAGGAAGCAGAAGTTGTCCGATGTGTCTATCTCTCACATGAAAGAGCAAAGAGATTGTTGCAGTTGCAACGGGCGGCCTGAAGACAATCAGCAGGGTCAGTAGACGCAGTTCAGTGGTAGAAAGCAAGCACGTTGTTAGAGGCAGGGAAATTAAACTTTGAAGCGTGAGACTGACGACAGCCGAAGGGCCGAGACGGGGACATAAACATCTAAACAACAAATGCAGCTCCACACAGATTGACTCGTTTTTCTCTTGTTCGACAAAAGACTTGAGACGATTTCTTACATAAACGCCCTGCACGCCTGTTTGAAAGACCAACGACACATCGGCGGCCTTGTGTGTACGAGACATTGCGCGGATCATCAAGGTGTCTTTTGTGTGCAAACAGTCCAACATGTCGATGCAGTGATTCCTGAAACAATACACAATGGCATCTGCATACCCACCGCTGGACATGGAAGAGGTCGAGCAGAAATCCTCTCCCNTCGCCGGCCCTGGAACAACACGAGCAAACCGACGACTGCAACTACGAAAGAATGGCTTCCGAGGACGTGTCCTGCCTAATCGCAACATCACTCCCAAACGCAACACTTCGGATGCTTGGTCCTCGCCTACCCAGCAAGACGACACTCCCACTTCAGACCTACCACAGCCAGAGTCAACCAAGACACATCTGAGTGCAAGAGGAAGGTCGTCAAGCATACTGCAAGAAGTCAGCAACTCGAGCTTGCGACGGAAAGACAAAAACAAGAACAAACATGACTCGGTCCTGTCTGTCTTTGCCGACGAGAATGGAGACGAGAAGACATGGAGTTTTGACTCGTCGCCAGCATGGTATCACAAGACTGCCCCGCTCTGCATCCAACAGTTACACTGACAGTACACAACAGCCNTGCCACCTGAAGCCCCGAACCTCACAAAGTCGAGAAAGAAGCATCAACGCACCCAGTCCTACAAGAGCAACCCAGACTCGGATCAAGCCGACCAACACATTGCATACCTCGAGTCCGAACTCGCCGCCTACCAAACCCAGCTGGCCTCGTTGACTTCCCCATCTGTAGCCAAAGAGAAGGGTCAAAAGATTCGTTTGCTCAACCAAGACATTCGAAGACTGCAGGAAGAAAACTCTCGCTGGGAGGCCGAGTTCGATGAGAGGGTGCTACAAGTCATGGAAGACCATGATGGCCTCGAGTACAACCTGCGCGCTAGGATCAACACGTTGGAAGCAGACAGCGACAACTACTTGCAAAAAGTTAAAGAGCTCCAAGCTCAACTCGATGCCACGAGGAAGGCTTTGGACATTGCTGAAGCTGCCAACGTCGAGTTTGAANAGAGATTGGAGACTTTTGCACATTTGCTTGTCACTTCACCTATCAAGACCGAGACGCCCCTGGCTCAACCCCCCTTCACCAAAGAGTCGAGAAGTACGAGACAGAAANGATTGTCTTTCCACCGCTTTCCTACTGCTGGGTCTCTGCATCAACAAGCAAGCATGCCTGAACAGCACGAAGTTGACGAACCGAGACCACACAGTGAAGGCGCTATACACGATCATTATGACAACGCTGTCAGTGATGCTGAGTGGGACGCTTCTAAGCGAGAGTCCTTCATCAGTGATGCCTCGCGCAACAGCATCGACTTTAGCATGTTCATGAATCAGGACCCTCCGCCATCTTCTTCCCGCGCTCGTCCAAATAGGAGAATGCGGAGATTCCACGGTGGTTCTCATCTTCCCAAACCTCTAATCTTGTCAGCCGCTCAACTGGCACCTATTCTCGCCTCGGCCCCTGTCTACGAACCTCATGATTCCCCTCGCGCTTTTCCTTTCCCTGATGTCCCTATTGCGCCAAGGAGAGCTAGTTGCCATGAATTCAGTCCCATCACTGGACGCCGCCGAGCAAAGACGAACACAGACGGCCTGGATTTATCATCGCTTCAACCTTTCGCTGCCAAAGAGTCTTCTTCGCTCTCACTTGCATCAACCGAATTGCAAGAAGAAAGCACGCCCACACCGCAAAAGACAACCACCGAATCTCATAGCACATCAGCAGAATATCCCTCTATAGGTCCCAATCTAGGCAGAAACCTGCTTGAGGAACTTCACGCCGCTAGAATCGACGATGATGCACAGACTGCCTCCTCGGGGCCTACACCTNTTGCCACACTGAATGCCAGACCAGCAGGATTGTCTTCTAATGCTCGCAGCACTTCCATCCAGAGGAACGTCTCTGGCGCACTGCGGCTTAGACACCAACGCAGCATGTCCGAAGCCACAGGTCTATCCATGTATCCTTCTTCGCGACAAGTATCTTCCGCCCACNCCCCTGCTATCCCAAAATCCAACAGCATCGTGGACAAAGTCAAAGAGCTGTTGCGCCAACCATTCAAGATCGCACGCAGATGTGTAGCAAGAGCCCACCAAGCCTTTTTGCTTTCTAGAACGCTAAACCGCTTTCAATGGATGTTGTTGCATGCACTTTTGGGTCCTTTGGCAACCAGAAGATTGATGGCTTGTTCTCTGCACGAGAATGCCATTTTGATGTCTGCGCCTTATCGCCACAGCAATACTTCTAGATCTCCTTCTGCTTCTTCCTCCGACACTAGAGACCACGAAACCGGAGACCAAGGCTTTGAAGCAGATTCAGAAGATCTGGAACTCAGTCCTTGTCCCCCTCGCCAACCCCGTCGACGCGTCTCGCCATCATCGTCATCGTCATGTGTATTTGAAACTTCCAAACCAAGAAGAAATGACGAGAGTGGTAGAATACAGAAACGCAGATCTGAACATCAATGCAGGATAAGTAGGGATGAGAGAGATGAGGCGCCTATGCTCAGTCGACATTCTCCTTGGTTGTGGGTGCGGTTCTCGCTTACACTGGCGTTTGCCATTGCTGCGGCTGTTAAAGAGGGGCCTGGGGCTTTGATGGTGGAGTGTCAGAGCCAACAGGCAAGGTGTGGGTGTTTGAAGTGTCTCGGTCGTGGAATGAGGGAGTGTCGGGATTGATCGGTTGAAGAATAATGGAGGTGTTTGTTTATAGCAAAACGAGGCCTCTTTTTGTTTTCTCTTTTGTATAGAATGATTGCATGACAGGATAGTCCTGTGGGGCTTGGACGCAGAAGGAGGTTTGTACATAATGAATAGAAATGATATCTGGAAGTCAGGTCGGTTCATGAAGGCTTTTCTGTCTTTTACTCTTTTCTGTTCTGTTCTGTTCTGATTGCAATTTCCTGCAGGATCTATGGAACACGTTGTCTTTTTGAACTCAACCTTTCAATGTTTCCATGTCCTTGCTCTTCTCTTGCCATTGTGCTCATGCCCATCAGTGTCTCTGTTTTATTTACAGAACCGTACAATACAAACCTCAACAAGGCATAACATCAATAACCCGGGCATATCCAACTCTTCCTTCATACAAACCCGTAATATCTACAATCTTCCCATTTCGCTCTTAAGAGCCAACATGTGTGCAACTCCAAGGCCGTTCTTACGCAAGTGCGTAGTGCGCAGTTCAGTTTCAGAGACGTGCAAACACCCGGTCATTGTAACTAGATAACCACAAATGACATGAGATAGGGTTTTTGAACTTTTAGGCCCGCAGAACAAAGATGAAGAAGTTCATGTTTCAGATGATCGTTAGAAACAGAAACGTTACTGGATCTCGAGAATTAGAAGAATTCAATTAAGCTGGTTTCGAAATGGATGATATTACGCAATTTGATATTAATCAACTATGCATAAGTGTGTGTGCAGATCATCCACTCCTTTTCTGATTATCTATTTGGCGAAGAGAAAAACGATACGCAGACAAGTTTAAGATGCCATCAAGACTTTCAACATTACGTCGTGAGGATCATGAAAGAGCCTGACATCTCCTGTCGTTGTTCCATACTAGTAGTCAAAGCAACGGAAGCTCCGTTGTGAGCATCGGAACACTCTATTAACATGAGATGGTAATAGAATTGTAGTTGCAAATTTGTTTCTTCTACTATCAAACTTGCGTTATTGCGACCTATTATCGCACCTCTACCTTGCATGCAAAATGAAAATGAAATCGGTAGCATGGACAAATGACCGATTCCCAGATTGCTTAGGAGACTCATGGCTGTTCCAGAGGCTTGTACATTTGTTGTAACTGATTCCATCCTTATCGGGGAATACGACATGCAACGGAGTTGGTCCTAGCAAATGACTAGAATGTTGCCCTTTGGTGCCTTGTCGCTTTTCTTATATTTAGCTAGCACCGGCTTTCGTTGGAAGGGTTTTGTCTTTTGGAGTATCGATCTCTTAGAGTCATAGTCCTATAGCCAGACGGTCCAAATTGATCTTAGTTGTCCAGTCTGATTGAGCCCTCCGAGCGATCTTGGACGTCTCCAGCAACGGCAAATGCAAGCAGAGCATGTACGCTCATTGCACCAGCAGCAGCCCATTGCACGGCTAGAATAGCTCCCAGGCGTCCACTACGTATGCGTGAGTTGCTACAGTCGACCCATCGTGTGAGCGCGTTCACACTAGCAGTAGTAGTGATACTACCGACAACAATCAAGATAGATCCAATGACTGCAGATCCTTTGCATGCTCTCAGCAGCCAGGGCTTGATGCTTCTATTAATCGACGAAGTGGTGGCGAAGAGACCAACACTAAGGACCCAAAAGACAGCAGCTGCGATAACAAGGCCAGGGTAGAATGTTTCGCGCTGAAGATGCAGTGCCATGCCAAAGTCTTGAGTAAGATGCTCGTAGCCCTCGGGCTTGATGGCAGTGGCATCCCTCCATTGTTGGGCAAGCTTCTTGCCAGAGACATGGTGGCCAACCGTACTGACGCAGGCATGAAGATAAGGGTGATTATAAGGGTTAGTGACGTTCTGATTAACGTGGCTCAAGCAAATACCTGCAACTTTTGTTAGCCANATCAATCAGATCAAGAAACGTACGACAAAATTGGTTTTCGCACTGTAGTAGCCAACATCCATCGTGGCGGACGGAAGTTGGAACTGGACGACATCCGCATTAGGGAGTCTGAGGAAGATCGGAGAGAGAAGAGGAATGACTNNGCTAGGAATCAGCAAAGAACTCAAGTGGCCAACCAGGTAGGAAAGCAGGAACAAGGCAGTAGGTAGCATACTCGTAAGAATCAAAATCGGAAGCACAAGCGCGACATAAGAGATGCGGAAGATACGCTGGCGATACTCGCTAGCGAATTGTAAAACCTTCTGCATCTTGTTTCGTGCGGATGCAACAGCTGGAGAGTTCATTGTCAATAAGCGTGGGTGTCTGGAAAATAATTCTCGGGGGTCTAGACATTCTTATGTCTGGCTTGTTAGCAAACATGGAGTCACCGCCAATGTATGATCTACAACTGCACCGTCTGTATCATCGGCCTTACTGTTTATAGATTGCTTGTAGGATGATAAAAGTGGGCTTGGATGTTACAAGCCAAGCCTCACGCGATCAATCCTGACTCACGATGTTCTAACATGAATGTTCATAGCCTCCCCGTGTTCTAAAGTATGTAACTTTCATCGTACTCCGCCTGCGGCGACAAGCAAAAGGTACACTATAAAAAGGCACAGATGTTATTGGATAAGAGGCGTGTCCATCGAGAGCCGATAGGTTGTCGTTTCTCAATGGACATCCTCCTGTTTCCTCATAGTACTGTGCATTCTCATAACTACACGCGTTACATCTTTTAGTACACTGGGGAGGAGCCATTAGCTCTAAGCAGGACCACCATTTGTGGGAATGGTATTAAGGCGTTTGGGATGTGGATGACACAGAAGAGGTCGTTGTCAATTCGGATCCCGGCATCCCGGCAATAGGCGATCTCTGCCCGGCTACGCACGTATAACACAAAATAGGGTTTCGTATAGCCCCTCTTTAACCAATAATCAGAAATTCTGAAATATGGATATATACACGTCTGAATGCCATCTCAACTTCTTCACACGTCGCAAGCCAACAAGTCACAGTCATCCATCAACATGCGCGGTCTTCTGCTTCTCTTCTTAGCGACCATGGGATTGGCCAGCCTACAAACCCCTATGGACGGTCAAACAGGAACAATCAGCCTGCTGGACATTATCAAATCACCAGAACTGGCTGCCACTTGCGGTATCATGATGGATAATTCTCCTGGCTACTCGTATATCGACGTTGACCTACGCGATATCAATCTACTCAAAGTCTCGATCAGGCATGGTGATGACGACTCGGTCATTTCGCAAATGGAGATGGCAACGAATTCGAAAGCTGCAACTTGGTTGGAAGCTGAGGAAGCTTGGCAGGAGGAGATGGCTCGCCAAAGACAGTCCGAATCCTCTGATTTGGAGTCAATTAATTGAAGGGCAGGCTTAGTGAGATTCATGAGTGGATGTTTGGAAAAGGATATTTTGGCAGTGCGACTCGTAGGTTGTTTCTGCCCAAGGCGGTCAGGGGGGGAAGCGCAGGTAGTCAGCCGAGTGACCCTGACTCCGAATATTGATCAACCACTCAAGTTTTCACAACAACCACGAAGATAATCGAAGGAGTGTTACAGCAGACAACATACTCAGTACCACGTTATGGTACGTATCCGAGGATTGCAAAATCAATCGGTCCAAAACATCCTTCCCGTGTGTGAGAGGCCGTCACAATGTAGCTATCAAAATGCACAATAATTTTGGAATCGAGGTATGGCCACAGAGATACCTTAAGACAACAGTCTCTCTGTGGACAGCAACCATTTTTGGAAAGTATTATGCATTTTTATAGCCTGAAATAACACTATACATCGCCGCGGGGAGGATGTATGGATTGGATTGTTGCCTGCTCCGGAGTCCGTAGGGGTTCCGAAGCCAGACATACGCATCCATACCTACCATGCACTCTTCCGAGACCTTGAACCATAGAGATGGAGAGCGGGGTAAAGGTGGAGGAGCATATATTAAGGCTTTACTGGTCAGCTCCCAGTATGTACGTTAATCCTCAATAATCTCAAACAAAACAAGTCGTACCTCACGTTACCTTGGAAGCATCCACCTCGACTCAACCTGAAAATGACCTCTCAACAATCTCAAATCTCAGACTTGCCAGCAATAACCACATACCTGACTGGCCACAATGAGTCTGGCAAAGCAATCGTCGAGCAAGAACGCCCAGCAAACTGGACAGTCTACGACAACAAAGAGATGGCTTTCAACGTCGCCTACACAACCTCTCAATTCCCAGCAAACCTAAACGAGAATGCCGACATCAAAGCCCACGATGCAGTCGCTTCTTCAGGAAAACTCGGGCTTGTGCGCCCAAATGGGACAGTGTGCAGGACCGTAGACTTTGCACCTGGCTTTGATTGCATGATGCACCGAACGCAATCGCTGGATTATGGCATTGTGATTGCTGGGGAGATAGAACTGGTGTTGGACTCTGGAGAGAGGCAGTTGATGCGGCCGGGAGATATTGCAGTGCAGAGGGCGACGATGCATTCGTGGAAGAACCCTAGTGAGAGTAAGTGGGCGAGGATGACGTTTGTGCTGCAAGACTGTGAGAAGTTGGTGGTGGGTGGGGAGGTGTTGGGAGAGGATCATGGAAGGGGAACAAAGGGTTTACCCATGAGTGGTAACTAAGAGATGACAATCCATGTGTTTCTTTTCGCTTTGCAGTCTAGTTATGAATTTCTTCCTCTCCGTATCTTGAAGTCTTCAATTTCCATCGTACTCCAAATATAACAAAGAGCAAAACGTACACTATAAAAAGGCACAATTGCTATCGGAAGTCGAGATGCTTCCACAGAGAGTCGACAAGTTGTTGCTTCTCTGTGGACAATGTCCTGTTTCTCATACTATTGTGCATTTTTATAGTGTACTCGTTACATGTTTTCGCACAAGGGAGAATGGATTTCTTGTGTTCAAGTGAAAGTCAACAGTACTTGATCAAGAAAGTGGGTGGCTTGGCGTACGTCGGGCATCTCTTCTTTCCATGCGCGAGCTGCCCAAGGCTTGTGTTCACTTCCAACTTGAACTGCATAAATTTGACAAGTACACTGTCTAAGTTCACAGTCTCTTCCGTCTACATTCATCCTTTTGTTTTTCACCTCGACACTTCACTCAGCGCCTGTGTTTCACATTGCCAAACCGCCAACGTGTTCCAGAGCTTAACTTGGTTCTACCCCGCCTGTTCCCGCATCGCTGCATCCCAAAATGCCGCCCCGCTACTTCAAGAACGATGAGCCTCTCAGCAGTAGAGACCCTCACAAGCAGCTCATAGCTTCTCTCACTCGTCTAGTCACTCAGTATCCTCCTGCCGAGGTTCGCGCCGGCGGCGGCATCTACTATGGTCCCACCAGCGTCGCCTACTTGTTCCTCATCCTGCAACAGCTCTACTCGGACCTGCTCATCGAGGGCATCCAACTCGGAACCTGGTCTGCTACCTACCTGAAGCAGTCGCAAGACCACATCAAGTCCTTCCCCGGCCCTCGCGTGGGCAAATGCGGTGTCGCCGACGACATCCTAGCTCTCCTGGCCATCGGAGCTGCCAGTTCAAAAGATGCAGACATGGCTGCAGCACTCTGCGACTATGCTGCCGAAGTCCTCGATGATGACACTGAGAACGAATGGCTCTACGGAAGAGCTGGATACCTATACTACCTTCGTCTGGTGAAGGCAGCCTTTATCGACGACGACAAGGTCTCTCAGATGATCACCGACACTCAGACCGATGTTGTCGAGGCCATCTTGCAATCCGAACGACCCTGGAAATGGCACGGCAAGAGCTATGTCGGCGCTGTCCACGGTCTCATCGGCATCATCACTCAAGTCACCCTCACCGATCCTGAGCGCTACGCAAGAGCTGTTGAAGCAGACCTCTCTGTCTTGTTGACATACCAATACGAGAGCGGCAACTGGCCAAGCAGCCTGCCACCAGGCAAAGACAAATTGGTCCAGGTGTGCCATGGTGCTCCGGGTGTGGTCAACTCTCTGCTCTCAATCAGGGACCATTTCCCCAAGCTTCATAGCAGGATCGACAGTGCCATCCGCAAGGGCAGAGGAAGCATCTTGGAACGTGGTCTGCTCACTAAAGAGTCATGCTTGTGTCACGGCATCTCAGGCAATGCACTTGCACTGGACGACGAACAGTGCCAGCATTTTCTGAGCTACACAACCGGCCATGAGATGAAGGGGCTGGAANAAGATGGCTTGGTCGAAAAGTCGGACAACCCGGAAGGGCTTTGGTGCGGCGAGGCAGGACGTGCATGGGCATGGGCGATCATAGACAAGGGCCTGCCCAAGAGGTTGCTTGGCTACAATGACATCTGAGAGATTGTGATGGTCGCCGGAGAAAATCTTGGACGAGTGTAACAACGGCAGCGGGCAATTGCACGCAAACATAACGAACAGCACGACGCATAACGCACGAAATACAGGGCTGCAGGGGGCCTTGACTAGTGTTTACGACATAACGAATGATGCATTTCTCTGCGCTTGCAGGAGGCAGGAAGAAGGCTGGAGCTTGAGCGAGGCACGACGGACGAGTTTGAAGATCAAACAGGAAGCGGCGACGACATGAAGATTGCTGAGTATATAGCACAAAGCAAGACAGCGGTAGTGAATTGACGTGTTTACTCTCAGGCGTTGTGCATGTTTTGTTAGACATCATTTCCCCTTCCAACGTGATTGGCGCTAGGGCAAGGCACAGACGTTTTGTCGTATCGGAAAGACTCCCTGGGGCTTTGGTGCTGGGCGGGCGTTGGTTGGGGGCAGCGCATTCCACGCTCTTGGGCCAGCACCAGCTTTGTCTTGTCTCAGTTTCTCTCCCTGACGACCAAGACGACGACGGCCGCGAGACCGACCACGGCGCACCAGGGGCGCAATCCATAGCCAGCAGCACAATTCCTAACTGCAGTCATTCTTTCCACACACTCTCGTTCATCGCATTGTCGCTATCTGTCCTACACCCCGCCGATTGACTCGCAAGCCACACACGAGATCGTCCCAAAACGTGATTCCGACACTCGCACAACATCCTGGCCCGCTCCTGCTTCATAGCAACCATCGACGACTTCACTCGGTCACAACGACTCTTCTTCCGACAACTACCAACATTACCCACCATTTCTACCGCCGCAGTGTCCGCTCATCCGCCGCCGACGTCCTAGACCGAGCGACGGAGAGCTGCGCACAACATGAGACCTTCAACATGCTTGTCGCGCCCTCTCGCCTTTGGCACCACCCTCGCTATCTGCATCTCTTCCGTCACCGCCCGTAATTTCACTTCCGCCCCATCACCCAATATTGATCTTTCTGGTCTCGGCCGCGTCGCTCTAGCTGGCGACTTCGACTCAATATCTCTTTACACCTACCAAGGACAAACTCAAAATGCAAATTTCGCCAATGGCAGCCAATATCTCTTTTCACAATATCCCGACGGTTCTTTCCAAAGTCTGGCTCTCGCTGATGCCTTCATCACCACCATGTGTCCATTTGTCAGCCATGGTGAATTTCAGGGCGTCGTCGTAGGAGGCAATTTCACCAGTCTGGGCAATATCCCCGCTCAAGGCATTGCTCTGTGGAACCCGAACACCACCAAAATCACTCCTCTGACTGGTCTCTCTGGCTCTGTGTCTGCCGTATACTGTGACGACGAATCTTCTACAGTCTATGTTGGAGGCACCTTTACTGGAGGCAACTCAACCAACGCCATCGCTTGGGTTTCTGGATGGACAGCTCTTCCTTTTGCTGGTTTCAACGGTCCTGTCTCATCTATCACCAAGAGCTCTAATGGCTCCATCATCTTTGGTGGTTCTTTCGAGGGTCTAGGCAACACAACCACTCCTACAAACAAGGACGTCCAGGTCATCAATCTTTCTGCTGGAAACATTACCTCTGGCGCCTCGACCTCGACTTCTGGCTTCAGTGACCCTCGCAACATCATTTGCCAAACTGGCGACGATACTGCTGGAAACACATGGCTTCTTGAGGACAACACTCCTGGTTTCTGGAGGGGTTCATTCGGTTTCGGTTTCAACCCTACCAAATTGCGCCTTTACAACACTAACCAGGATGGCCGTGGAACCAAGACATGGCGTTTCACTGCTTTCCCCATCAACGGTATCATGAACTTCACCTACACAGATGACAGCGGTAACCTTGCCTCTTGCACCGCCGACTGCCCTCTGCCTCAAGGCAACACTTCATACCAGGACTTCCACTTTGTCAACTCCGTTGGTATGAATGACTTCCGCATCGACATTTCTGCTTGGTATGGTGCTGGAGGTGGTTTAAGTGGTATCGAGTTGTTCCAGGACGATATCTACTCCTTCGCAATTTCCGACTTCAACGAGCCCCGTTGCGACAGCGTCAGTACTACTGGTGCCAACTCGACTGCTACCGGTCCCTGGGTCCAGACGCCTTCGGGTGAAAGCACGTCTGATTATCTTACCGCGGTTTTGAACAGCAGCGTTACCTCCAACTCCGCGCAAGTCGTCTTCAAGCCTGATATCAAGCAATCTGGAAACTATTCGGTCACCTTGTATACTCCTGGCTGTATCCAGGACGATACTTGTTCTTCTCGCGGCATCGTGAACATCACTGGATCCATGACCACCGAGGNNGGGAATGCTATTGCTACTACCTTGTACCAGACCAACTACTACGACAAGTACGACCAAGTCTACTACGGCTACGTGGATGCTGCCTCCGACTCATTCCGTCCAGAAGTCACTCTGACGCCTCTTGCTGGTCAGAACACACCCCTGACTGTCGTTGCACAACGCGTTCGCTTCGAATTGGTCACCTCTACTGGTGGCCTTAATGGCCTCTACGACTACAATCCCAACGTCGCTACTGTCAGCACCGACTTCTCTGCCTCAAAGATCGACTCTGCCGCTATGTCACTGGATATGGGTGCCAAAATCAATGCCCTTGCTGTCTACAATGATGTGACCTATGTTGCTGGTAATTTCTCGAACGGTGACATTCACAACATCTTCAGCATTGGCAGCGGAAACGCCACCTCGCTTCCTGGTGGTGGACTCAACTCTGTGGTTCGCACCATGTTCCAGAACGGTTCTACGATTTACGTTGGCGGCAACTTTACCAACACTGTGACAGCTCAAACCCCTGGCCTCAGCGGTATTGCTGCTTTCTCCATCGCTGACAACTCATGGACAGCACTAGGCGCTGGTGTCAATGGTCCCGTCTGGGCAATTGTCCCTCTGCAGCTCAACATCACTGGCAGGGATCAGGAAACCGTTCTTGCCGTGAGTGGCGACTTCACCAGTGTCAACGCTGTTGGTAGCAATGCCACTTACTCTGCCGACGGATTTGCCGCCTGGGTGCCATCACGAGGCAACTGGCTTCACAATCTGGCAAACGCAACTGTTGCCTTGAGTGGTGGCTTATTGGCACAGACTATGGTAGCTGATTACGGCCAACTTCTCGCTGGCTCGCTTGTCGCTTCTCAGATTGGTATGAGTGATGCAGTGGCTCTGAGCGGCTCTGGTCGACCTTCACTCTCGCCTCTTGGTGTATCTATCTCTGCTTCTCAGGGGTCTTCTGCCATGCGCAAGAGAGCTGCTACCAGCCAAAACGTCACTGGTGTCGCTACTGGCTACTTCTACCTGGATAATGGCAAGAACATGACCATTCTTGGAGGTCACTTCGCTGCCAACTCTTCTGCTGGCACTACCATCAACAACCTGCTCATCATTGATGACACCAATGGTCAAAGCGTTATCGGTCTTCCCAACACTGTTGATGCGGACTCGACTGTTCTGGCTCTTGAGGTTCGTGATACTAGTCTCTTCGCTGGTGGTTCGATCACAGGAACCACAGGAACGAATGGCGACAACATCAACGGTCTCCTTGTCTGGGACTTGTCTACAAATGCGCTCGCCTCGAGCCAACCCGCAGCACTTGCTGGCAACTCTGTCACTGTCAACGCTATCGCAGCCCAACCTGGTTCAGCTAATGTCTATGTTGGAGGCAACTTCGAGAATGCTGGCTCCATGTCGTGCCCATCGTTCTGCATGTACGACACCTCGAGCGGACAATGGATGCCTCCTACGTCCGGCTTGAACGGTACCATCAACACCATGACTTGGAGATCTAACAATCAACTGATCGTTGGTGGCGATTTCACCACTGGCGGCAACCACACCAAGCTGGCTCTTTACGACTCAAAGCAGCAGACCTTCACCGATTTGGGCACTTCAGCCAACCTTCCTGGCGCCGTCACTGCCATGACTCCGGCCAATCCCAATTACGATAACTGGTGGGTTGCAGGTACTGCAAACAATGGATCTTCGTACTTGCAGAAGTACGATGGTACCAAATGGCATACTGTCACTGGACTCGGCGCTGCTACCGTCATCAGAGGTCTGCAGGTCATTTCTCTCACCGAGAAACATCAACTCACCGACCTTGTGCCCTCAAACGAGGTCCTTCTGATCACTGGTTCGGTTGAGCTTCCTGACAACGGCAATGCCAGCGCTGTGCTGTTCAATGGAACCACTTTCCAGCCCTTCATCCTCACCACAACCGCCAACGGTGGACAAGGAAGTCTGAGCGGCATGTTTGTTCAAAACCCTAGCAACTTTTTGAGCTCCAAGTGTAAGTGATGATCAACACGATTACCAATTCTACATACTGACAATGCATAGNCCCACCACCTTGCCCTTGGCCTTGTGGTCTTGATTGGTCTCGCCATCGCTTGCGGTCTGACCTTCTTGCTGGTTGTCATCGGCATATTAGTCGAACGACACCGTCGCCGCAGACAAGGCTACGTTCCCATGCCTCAATTGAGACCAGACCAACACGCCAACCTGAACAGAATTCCTCCGGAGAGTCTGTTCGGCACGTTAGAAAAACGTGATACGGCACCACGGGTGTGAGGTTGAATGCTTACGGATTTGAAGAGTTGACTTTTTCCAAAATCAGCGTGGAGTTTGGGGTGTTTTTGTTCATTTCACGACCACTTCCTCTAGAAGGAATCAACACCAGTCAGTCGCTTGTACGACCGACTGGTGTCTAAGCACAAAGCTGTCTATATATTGAGGATGCCTGGTCATCAAAGGCTTTTAGCGGTTTCCTTCGTTTTCGCTTCTTTGCGAGTCTTTTGGTTCACGCCCTTGTTATTCCTTCGCTTCTGTACTATACCTCCCATCACACGATGGCATTGGATTCTTTTAGATGAGGATTTACTCTTCTTTTTCCTTCTTCTTTTGGCTTTGCTTTATTTCTGTTCTCTATACAAGCGGCTAGCCGTTCTTTCCGTTCTTCATCGTGGTCGGACTCTTTTTCTTTTCCCCCTTTTGCCGCAGGATTCTTTAATGTATAGCGAGCAAAACGGTTTTTTTCGCTTTCCAGGGGTAATTCGAGTTTCTATTTTCGTCCTTTTTGACTTTAGTAGAGTAAGATAATGATACAAAAATGTTTTACTTGTTTTACTTGTCTTTTTTTTTCGGTGTGTGTGGTTGTGATGATCAGTATCTGATTCTTTCATATTCAGTTGGTCTTTTGCTGGGTTTGCAAGTGAGTGGTGATATGAGTGCGGTAGACTCAACGGAGGCTCTGTTTTGGGTTCGCTACTACAGTTGGTTGTCGTACTTGATGTGGGAAATCGGTGCACTGATTACCTGCTCTAGGCTTCCGAGCACGAAAAGGTTTTGTTTGATTAGTGCAGTATCAAAATCCTCAAAGTCGTCAAAGTCTCACTCCTTGGTAGTCTTTCTTTCAAGAAGCTAACAACATGTGTGTTTTGCTCTCATGCATCCAATCAAGTGGAATTTGTGACTGTGAAAACACACAAAGTTGTGAGAAAAGGCGATGGAGCTGGAGAGAGTCATTGATCTTAGTCATGGTTCTGGAGAAGATATGGTATAGCCTGAAGTCAGGGGTCAGGTACTAAGTTAGATGCGATCTCCTCTACGCTGTTGGGCTAAATGTCGTCCTATAAAATGCATAAATTATTCGGAAATGGTATAAGCGCTAGAGAGAGCAAATGACTTGGGCAAAATCAAAGAACCAAATCTTAACTTAGATGGGATTTCTTCTGTGTTTATAGCTTAAAAGCAATCGATTAAAATGCAGGGAGTTGTTCGGGAGTAGACTAGCACCGTAGAGAGCAATGACTTAGCTAAGATCGAAGGGGCAACTATTAATGTAAATGCAATCTCCTTCGCGCTGATAGGCTCAAAACATCCATCAAAATGCACAAACTTGTTTGAAATCAGCACGGCACCAGAGAGAACATTGACTTAGTCAAATCTGGGCGTTCTTTCATTCTATTTCACGTTGCTTCACAGTCATAGAAGTAACTATCAAAATGCAGAGATTTAATACGAAAAACAGACAGGTCTACAGAGAGTGTTGACTTGGCCGGCTTTTCGTCTAGTCTGTTAAGGTATGAATGACTCCTATGTGACATTCCATCTCTACCTGCAAGCTAATAGTTACTTATAGAAATATACAAAAGTATTCAAAATCAGGATAGTTCCAGAGAGAAGATTGACTTCGTCATGTTATTTCAAGGACAGTTCGTTTATCTCATCCCTGATCGCAGCCTCAAAGTGTGCTGTAAAAAGACACAAACGTGTTCAAGATAGAGATGGTGCCAACGAGAGGATTGACATAGTCATTTTTAGAGCCAGTTTGGTGTATCTCACATCTCTCGATACCCTTGAGAGTAGCTATCGACATGCACAAATCTGACTAACAAAGAGATAGGACCACAGAGAGGTTCAATTTAGCTCCTGTCCCAGAGATGGACACTCGACCGCGTCTCTCTGGCTAGGTCTCCGATCTGGAAAGTACTGTGTCTTTTTATAGTGCAAGCTTTGCTCTACTACGACGTGAAAGAGGATGATAAGAGTCACAGACCCCATGGCTCATGGTTACGTGAAGCGGCATAGCATTGATGCAAGACACAAAATCAGACGCACTCGAAGAGATCAATGGAGGAAACAATCAGATGCAAAAGAGTTATAATATGCCATGTCGTATCTCGCGCTCTCAATCTATGATGAGGGGTTGTCTCCCTGACTTTGTTGCAGTAGCAAGAGGGAGACGAGAAAACACTAAAAGAGCCCTGCCATTCCCGTAGTCTCTCATGAATTCGCCGCATGTCGTTATCCTAATCAAAAGTAATAGCAGAAAGGGGGGAAGGGTAAAAGGAAAAGTGTGATGGTGACGACTGTAGTGACCCATTCTTTTTCCTTCCCATGTGCAATGTTCGGTCGTTCGTGCCGGAGAAATGTATAACATTAGAAGAAATTGTCGTCGTCAACTCTACTGGACAGTAAGCTGTTCTCTCATCTTGCTGGGCTCAGGCTTCTTGCGACGACCCAGTAGTGTGGCGTTGTCCAGACTCAACTCGAAAGCGCCGCGGTTCTTGACCTGGCGCTTGGCTGCAGCTGCAACAGCGGCACTGTGCTGACCATAGCCCTTCTCCTGCGGTTGCGAGCGAGGGGCCTCACGCTGGCGAGCTTGAGCGGCAGCTGACAATGAGGTGTTGCGCATTTGACGCTCGACGCCAGTAACGTCGGGTGCGCCAGCCTTGGGAACCTTAGCAGGAGGGTTTGCTGATGTGGCGTCGTAGGGCTGTGATTGACCGTACTCGTCATCATCATCCTCGTCGAGTGCGTTGAGCGAGTTGAGGCCGTTGGCACCACGGTATCCCTGCTTGAAGTTCTTGCGACGCTTGCCCTCCTCTTCCTGACGATGGACGGCATATGAAACATCAAAGACCTCGCGCAAGTTGACAGCACCAGGCGAACGGAAGTCCATGCGCTTTCCGGCGCCAGGAGTCTCGAGAAGGTGATCGAAGTTTTGTTGCAAAGGAGTCTTGGAATCCATGTCGGCAGAGTGTGGTTGACGGTACAGAGGAGTGGCAAGAGGAGGAGCATCAGCAGCAGCGTTGGTTTCTTCGTTGGACTCACGAATCCAGGGGTGCTCAAGGAACTGGTTGATATCGTAACGCTTGTCGGGGTCGACGGTCAANAGATGCGAGACAAGATCCTGAGCAGACTTGGAAATGTCATCCCACCAAGGTGACAGGAAAGTGTACTGGCCCTTGGCGACCTTCTCAGTAAGGACTTGGATGCTCTCATCGTAGAACGGAGGGAAACCGCAAAGAAGAGTGTAGAGGACGCAGCCGAGAGCCCACATGTCGACACTCTTGGAGTAACGCTCATCCTTGACGATCTCAGGAGCAGTGTAACCGACAGTTCCGCAAGGAGTCATGGTTTGACTGTCCCAGATAACCTTGGAAAGACCGAAATCGGCGACCTTGATCAGACCAATGCCACCGGAACCAACACCCTTGATGAATTCACCCTCGTCGGCCTTGTCCTCGTCATCAGGACCTCTAGGCTTGGGGTTTCTGGTGGGAATGAACGGTGTAGGGTAGAAGAGCAAGTTCTCGGGCTTGATGTCACGGTGGACGACACCAGCCTCCTCGTGCATGTATTGGAGAGCCTTGGCGACCTGGACGATGACGTGTCTTGACAAGTCCTCGCTGAAGTAGGTGAGGCGGACAATCTGGTGGAAAAGCTCGCCACCAGGGCAGAGCTCAAGGACGATGTAGTAGTATTGACGAGCCTCCGAGAACTCGACAAGCTTGACGATGTTGGGGTGGTCAAGTTGACGCATGATTTGGACCTCTTTGAGGATGTTGGCGCGNCTGTAGGGGAACAAGTCAGTTTCTGTCAAGCAGACATCTTCTTAAGAGAATTGCAAGGAGATACGAAAGCATAAAGAAAAGGATTGGCGCACCTCCACTCCCTTGGGCGTCTTCTTGAAATCCGGATGAAGAACCTTGTCGCCCTATTCCACAAGCACTGTTGGCGACTGCGTATACGACAGAATCGAAGAAAGGAGAAACGAAGCAAGAAAAGAAAGCAAGGAAGGATCGCGAATACGTACCTGGGTTGAGTTCATCTCAAACTTCCTCACAACCTTGATGGCAACCTCGTTGTAGACGCCTTGGCTGTCTCTGGCACGGTAGACGTTGCTGAAGGCACCGTCGCCCATCTTCTCGACCAAGTTCCATCTCTCCAGTCCAGGGTATCTGGGAAGCTTGCCCTTGGCCTCACGCTCCTCTGCAACGATGCGCTCCAGCACTTCGGGGTCGACATCCTTTCTAGCTGATTCCTTCTTTTGTTGCTTGTCGACAGCTGCACCAGCGGCGGCACCAGCCTTAGCGGCGACGTTGCGGTTGTCGATAGCGGCGGCCGAGAAGTCGCCCTGAGGAGCATTCGCTTGCAGAGGTTGGTGGGCGTATACGTTGGGGTCACTCATGGCATATTGGTCATGATGCCTTTGCTCTTGCTGTCTTGGTGAGGCATGGTGTTGTGTGTTGTGGTGACGCTGGGCGTGGACATTAGACACGGCAGGCTGATCAGGCGGTGACTTTGGGTTCTGGTCTCGCGCCTGCTTGCCGTGACGGATGAAGTTCTTGAGATTCTGTATCGTTGACATGATTGATTAGTTGGGGTTGTTGTTTTGCGTGTCGTTATGACGCAATCAGAAGTCGCCCTTTGAGAAAAGGATGACAGTAGTGAGGAGGCTGCGATGTGAATGGCAGTGGATCAAAGAGAAAGGTGTAGATGTGTGAGTGGTTGCAAACGGCTAATGCTTGAGCAGAGCACAAGCAACGTGATAGCGAAAGGGGGGATGATTATCAAGCGGGAGGGTAGCGTGGATGGGAGGATGAGGGATGATGGGAAGTCGGGGTGGATGATGCAGGGTTGAGCAAGAGCAAGAGTTAGACGAACGCTGCATCATAGGGTTTGATGACGTCGGATCGCTCTCTCCCCAGGGTCAAGGCTGTCATCCACGCAAAGAGTGCTTTGTTTTTTGTCTGAAGGAATGACACACGAGCCCATGGCCTCGGCATGGACCAATCATCGTGTAACCCAGCTCATGACGACCTCGATGATGGATGTGCTTGAGCCTTGAGCTGTATCTCTCAACATGAAAGAGCCGCCGCAACCACGGCGCCGCAGGAAGGAGGGACTGGATGCGAGAGCAGGTGAAGACTAACCTCGATTTTCCACATGGTAGCAACTCCCGCCGATCGACGACTTGTCCAATCTCAGAACCTTGCAGAGGCTGCTTGTGCGTCGCGAGGGGCTTTCAATCTAAAGGGGATCGAATCCTGTTGTTGCACTGCGAAGGACCAACTGAGGTAACCAGCTCTCAGAAATTGGCTGGCGATTGTCTTTTCTCTCCCGTTTTGATCGTTTCGTTGCTCGTTCGCGATTGCCGGCTGTATCTCGTTTGCTTGACTAGCCGAAGGCTGGACGACGAGGCGGAGACGGATGGTTTATGAGGGAGAAGTCAGGACACTAGGCAAAGAGAGGACGAACAGCCACAACAGTTGAGGTCATATACATCAAGTTGTAGCTACGAATGATGTCGAGAAAGACAGTTGGCGCCCGCAGCACGCCGGCCGTTTTTTGCTTTCCTTTCCACCCTTTTCCAAAAAGCTGCCTCTTCTCCGGGAACAGTGGGCTCCGCTTTTCCATAACAGACCAGCCCAGAGTTCTAGTCGCTCTCCGACACCGTACACGTCGCAAAAGGCACCTACTGAACTCCACTTCCAAGCTGTTTTACGACGAGACCCTGATGGCGCCTTCGTCGAGCGAGTCAAACACCGAAGCCACCAGCCTCCTTCACCTCCACGTTCCCCTCTCGCGAAGCCTGAGATATTGAATAGATATACGTGTACGAGATCTTGGTTCCCAAGGCTTGATACACATCCTTCCGGATCGTCCCTGCCGACTGTTTATTGAGCACCATCTTGCTTTCTGAGCCTCTTTGTTCCTGGAAAGCCGGCAGCTCGAAAAAACATGACGTGGTCCCTGCATCTTGATGACGTTCGGGCGTCTTTGACCTTGGCACTTTGCATCATCCCGCGTCGATAGCCGTGTTTCTCAGCCAAGCGACCACTTTTTCGGCTCTGGCTCCTTATGATTTTCATTTGCCCGTTCACACGAAACACATCAAAAAGCGTCATGTTCATGCACGAGCAGACATGAATGGGATCGCTTCATCTCTTGCTATTTCCACAATCCGGGGCATGTGTTTGTTGACGTGGTCCTCACTCTTACATCCTTCTAAAAATATTCGAGTAAACAATCCTCAAAATGCGGCTTGCTGTGAGTTTGCGACATCCTGGCAGCTCCTCAACGGCCTGCTGGCAATGCCGACATCGTCCTTCGTTGAGAGTGGGACTTGACAAAGCCACCATTCAATACAGCTTGGACGCAGCCGTGTTTACCGTCTCTACCATGACAACACCTCGATGAGTGCTCTACCAAAAATCCGCTCTCCCGTGAGCCAAAGCCTGTCAGATTGTAGCTGTAAAAATGCACGATATATTCTAGAAGTGGCGTCCAGGAAAGTACATCATTTCAGACTCTCTATGGTCACACTTGGATTTGAAAGACAACTGTGTATCTCGACAGCTTCTGAGATCAAGCCGTCCATCTCGGGAGTACCACAGTCATCAACAGACAAGGAGCCAGGTCAATCAATGGATGCGACACAAGCACAGTCTCCCAATGAATAACTGATCTGTAAAACAGCTACAGAAATGCACAGTTGTCTTCGAATCACAGCATTGGCCAGAGAGAGCGCGCCAAATGACAGCTCTCACCGGACATCTCTTTGTTTCTGCAATCTATTGTGCATTCTTGCAGCATCCCAGTGCCCAATGGCTTGCAAGAGAGGGTCAAAATGGAAAGCACCCTTGTCGAGGACCATCTTACACAATCGATCGGCTGCACTCAGCATTCCACAAACAACAGTAAGAACAGGAACAGTAACATTTCCGACACGAAAATCCAGGAAAGTCCGAAGGGAAAAATGTATTTGGATGATGGGATTACAGAATCATTGAGTATCGAATCACGATACCTCCTTAACTGCTGACCTCCTAGAAACACAACGGAGGGTCCGTTGTACTGGGATTACCTCTCGTAGTTGCCGACCTGTTCGGCAAGCTTCTTGAGAACTTCCTCGATAGACATGTCCATGGCCTTTGCCAACTTTTCCAGGTTGCCCTCAGACATGGCACGAACCTCAATGTTGTGAGTTGTTGGATGACGGTATACATCTCCGAATGGGATCCAGTTCTCTCTTCCATCTTTGATGGTCTTTTCCTGCTTCAGATGTTCTGCTACCTCTTCGAGCGAATCGATCTGATCGCCGAGCATGAATGCATAGCTTGCGCTTGTGTCGATGTCTTTGTGGGTTGTGCAGTTGACAATTTCCCATTTGGGAATGTCCTTGTCGCGAGATGTGTGCTTCACATTGGCATCCTTGTACNNTGAGACGATCGTCAGCGAAATCGCCAAATGCCAATGGAAATAGAAACTTACATATCTCAGCATTATGGTGTTGATGCTCATTCTGTAGTTGCGGGCCACCTTATCGTTGAGGACTGGCAGCTTTTCTTCGACATCTGCTTGGGCTCCGAGGTCACTGCGCTTCTTGATGACGACGATGCCGTTCTTGTCCTCGTCTTCTTCATACTCGTCGTCTGCAGGTTCTCTGACGCTCTCGATCTCATGGTGCGCCGGATCTTCTCCAAGTGCCAGGACAGCAAATTCTGTGTCCTGAAAGATCTCTTTCTCTTCATCGACGACAGGCTCGCCATCCTCGTCGTCACTTGGCACAGTGATGTGGGATTTAGTATCCGGGTCGTGGTGAAGCAAGTCTTGGACTTCGGTAATTTGCTTGCGGATGGAGGCATCTTCAGCTGGTACAACGGAGGCTCCGTTGTCGTCCTCGGAGTCCTCTTCTCCTATCAGCTCTGCCCAGTATTCGTAAGGCTTCTCCTGTATTGTGTGAGCTCATGTTGGTTGAGGGACAATGGACCAACATACCTCGCCGAGATCCCAACGGATCTCGTTGCCGAAGTCGTAGTCCATCTTGTTGCTAGAGTGGCGTGAGGTTTCCTGGACTGAGTAAGTTGAAAACTGGAGATCTTGGAGTAGATGTATGTCTTGTAGGTAAGTTGTGACGGAAGTGTGAAGGTTCTGTTGAGGCGTAGCTGAGTAGAAGAACCTTCGAGGCAAACGAAGAAGGTTATGCCACTGGTAAGATCTCTGTCTTGAGATGTTGGTTCGAGTAGAGAAGAGAAACAGACCCGGCGGCAGGCGTTGAAGAAGCAAATCGGAGACTGTAGAACGGTTCTCACTGTGATTTTAGGTGCAACGGAGGCTCCGTTGTAGTACTGCTCGTTGCTATTGTCTTATTGTTGTCAACATTATTGCTTCGGTTATTGTGCTTTCGTAAGCTCTAAGCACCAGAAGGTGTTTCAACAGTCAATGTTGACTCTTCCCCTCGTGAAATTCGTGGCGAGGGAGACTGTCTTTCGATCAGATCACCAAAGAGAAGTCAAGGATTCAGTCAAGCAACCCGTACAGAAACCTAGCTGTCCTGCTTTTCTATAGCACTGTTGTTGTTCATACTAATCGACAAACTGAATTGATTCACAACAAACCGCATATATCTCTTTGCCACGAGTCAGCGACGACTGTCCTAGATGACCGAGATTTGAGTCTAGGATGAAGAAGGTTATAGATATATCTGATTAACTTGGGTCTGCTGTTTTGAGATTCGTTGTTGATAATGTCGAAGATTTTGAGCCAGGGTTGTATCCGCGACATCAGCAGATGAGAGTGAGTAGGTCGATAATTCAATTCCGAGCCTATATTATAAAAGTACTATAACAACTATAAGACATGTTAGTGGAGCAACTAAAGAGACATGAATAAGAGCTTCGTGCTTGGCCTTTGCGGCCTCTTCGTTCTGTTCATCAATGGTTTCAGACGCGGATTTGATCGATGAGGTAGGATTCTTGGGCAGTGTGAGACGGGCAGCAGCTTGGGCATCGTTGTGGCGGTTGAGGAAGTTCTCCCAGATCTTGCGACGGCTTTCGGGCGACAACTCGGGATAATCGATGCTGATGTGGATGCGTGATTGGAAGGCTGGATCAAAGGTCGAGACGCGGTTGGTGGTCAAGAACATGATGCCCTCGTGATATTCAAGCACGCGCAAGAAGATGCTGACCAGCTTGTTGCGCTCGACCTCATGGCGACTGCGCTCCTCTAAGAATATATCGGCCTCGTCCAAGAGGAGGATGGCATTCCAGCGAGTGCACATGCCGAGGACAGAAAGCAGACGCGCCTCGATGTGCTTTGAATCCATACCCAAGTCTCCAGCAGACATCACAAAGAGGGGAACCTGCATATGCTCGGCCACACTTTCAGCCGTGAGTGTCTTGCCAACTCCAGGAGGTCCGCATAGTAGCAGAATTATACCACGACCCTTCCCCTGGATAACGTCGTCGTAAGCAATTCGGGTCGCTTGTTGTGTGCAGGTAAAGCCAAGGATGAGTTCCTTTGTGTCTTCAGGCAAGACTAGCGAGTCGAAGGCTTCCTCGTTGAAAGAGACGTCTTGCACAGAACCAACAAAGAGGTTGAGCCACATCTTCTCCNNCTTCAAGGCGTAACCACGGATCAGATGAGTACAGAGAATCTTCTGCTCGTCGGTCAGAGTTGGAAGCTTCTTGAGATCATCTCCCTCTCCAAAGTGACCATCGAGAGGCATACCACCACCATAGCCTTCCTCAAGCGACTCTCCAAGTGTCGGTAGGAACAAGGTACGAGAAGTGTGGCTTATTCTGTCTGTGCCTTTGCTGCTTAGGGCTGAAGTATAGATGGCCTGATTAGGCATGTAGCGATTCCAGCCGACGGTGTCGACGATGATTCTGCCCTTGACACTATGGCGCTCCTTCTGGCCGTAGACGTCTAATTTATGGCCAATCCCATCGTAAGCACGATAGTGAGTACCGACGAGCGACTCAATAACCGAGCCTCTGTTGATCAGCGTCTTGAGCAGGGTGGCTTCGTCAGTATGATACTCGACAGGATATGCAGCAAGCGAGGCAATAGGACAAGTGCCTTGGAACTCGGGAATGCTAATCCTGGCCACTGTCCAGCCGAATTTGGTGCCGTCGAAGTCGATGAAGCGGATTTTGAGGCAAAAGACCGGCTGGTCGTCCTTGTCAACGCCATATCTGCCTGATAGCATGTTGAAGACACGGTCTTGGCCTTCTTCACGAGCGTAGATGAGAGTGCCTGGCTCAAAGATTGTCCAGAGAGCCTCATATGTCATGACTCCTTGTGCTTTCATGTCGCGTGAAGACTCGATCAGGACCTGGAACTCGTCGTACAAGAGATCACGCAAGATTTGTGTGTGCTTCAAGCTCAATTCTGTTTCGCTGGCCTGCGGTGCGGAAGTAGTGTCGTTTTCAGAGTCCTCGGTGTTGGCTTTCATAGATGCGATGGATGCTTGATTCTGCTCCTTTTGNGTAGTTGCTGCATCGTCTTCGACACAGGCATTGCCATTAGATAGCGCATCGTCAGACTTCTGGTGTTGGTTGGAGTCTCCGTTGGTGGCAGAGGATTCATCCGGTTCACTAGTCGGCGAATCTACGCGCTCAGGGTTATCCTCATGCTTGAGTAAGTCTTGGAGTTTCTCAATAGTCGAGTCAAGCTCAGGAAAGCGATGAATCAGGCATTCAAACTTTCCACTGAACTCTAGTCTTTGCAAGCCCACTGTGACGTTCGGGTAGTCTGCTAGAACGTCCTCAAGCACTTTNTTGAGCAGCGGTGACTGAATAACAATCGAGTGCAATGCCAGGGTACGACGAGGATCACCGTAAACCTTGATGTATCTGGCGATGAATGCCCATTTCTGAGTCTCGGCGTTTTCAGCGGGTGGTACAAGATCCTGTGGAATCGTCTCCTGCCACTGAAATCGACCTCTGCGATCTTCCTTGCCAGCATAGAGCTTCTTGTGACCAACAGACATGCCGACTAACTTTGGGTCGAGCTTCTCTTCCTTTGGCTTGGCTGGCTTTGCGGTGTCCTGATCCGAGGGTCCTGAACGCATTGAGGTGCGGTATGCGAGAGCATCGAGTTCTGAGTGTGCGGAGTTATAGCCTTCCTCATCGTCCTCACTGTCTACGTGTGATGACAACTCGTCACATCGTGCGGCTGCCATTCTTGCAAAGTCTTTCTTCAAGGCAACCAAGTGGGCCAATTGTGATTTGGCCTCTACAAGTGGATCCATGTTGACTAGAGCGCACAAGCGGGAAGAGTCGAGATGAAGATGTGCGTCCTGGGAGAAGCAGGAATATTATGTTGGGTGGTAGAAGTGGTGGTGCGAATTGGTGAACGAACCGAAGTGGAGGCAGCCGACACGGACTGAGGACGTCGAGTGGTTTAGGAAGTTGTAGTTAAAGACCGATCAGTTCCTGATAGGGTGCGAGTGATAGTGATTGCGGACTTTCGATGTTGATAAACGCTTAGAAATATCGGCCCCGCATGAATTGGTGGCACGGTGGGGAGATGTCGAGTTGGGTGTGAAAGCGGTTCAGCAGTTTGAAAAGTGAAGATGTGGAAAGTGAAGGGTTGGAAAGTGAAGAGAAGGAAGGAACATTCACATGCATCCGACTTAGCTTGACGTGCGGCTTCCTGCAGGCGACAGCGCATAAGTGCTTGCTCTTGCCGCAAAGCTGACCTCTCACATGCAGCTTGGGCGCTTATTGACAATTCACTTACAAAGCTGCCTTTTCCTAGTGATTCACTTCTACTCTGTATGCTGAAGACTCTCACAGTATGTAGCTGGAAATGCACAGTACTTTGCAAAGAATTTGGTTGCTTCAGAGAGGCCTTTACTACAGGCTATCTCCATGGCCAGACTCATATCCAATCAGTAACTGTGCATTCCTATAGCTTATAATACTCTATGCCTCGGACTGGGGAAGGTTCATCGCGAGGCTGTGACAGTCTAGCACACGACTAAGCATGAATCCACACCAATTGTTTGCTGACAGTGGTAATGCACAGCTGCGAGTTTAATTCTCTGTTGCTGCCTGCTGCCTCTCTCAATGTACCGAAACCCGGGTTTGCAAAGAATAGTGCAGATCATCATCGCAGGACGGACGCTGAAGGACGCCAAAGATGCAAGCATCAAACAGGATAGTGTGACCAAGGTGGTGCCAATCGAGGGGGTTTGCAGCTCGTGTCAGAAGAAGCGACAGCCACTGGACAAACCAAGTGTGTGCATCACCCAAATTGACTCAATTCTATTTCTTCACCGGCCAGGTACTCAAGATCGGCCAGGCTTATGCCGTGAGGTGGCACAGTTGTTTGTGCCGCAGAGCTGCCGGCAGTACTCGCAGATAAAGGGCGTTTGGAGGGAATCATGGACGGCGGCGGCATCAGCTTGCGGTCAACATCGCGCCCTGCCTCTTCTTTCTTGTTCTCCCCGTTCAACCAAGATGTCACATCCCCTTCCTTGTTTGCCTGTAGGGCAGTGATATTTCTCNNCTGGGGCGGTAGATTGTTGACCGACCATTCCAACTCGTCGAGATCGTCGGCGGAGAGATCAAAGTCAGCGGACGTGAAAGATGGTATGCGGTCGAATGAACGTGTCGTGGGCGGAGTGGGCTTCTGAGGTACGGAGAGGTCGCATGCTAACTGGGAGCTCCCTTCGAAAAGATCTCCCCAGCTGCCAAATTCATCGGTCGTCGAAGGAGATACGAGTTGGCGCTTCACGTCGCCATGAGTCTTACTAGGCGTTTGCTGTGATGGTGCTTTGAGTGTCGTGACAGGTGATTCTCCAGCCAAGTCGAGCAGAGTATCGTCGTCTACACCGTCGTCCTCCCAAGGCTCAGTTGGTGACTCTTCTTCCAAAGCCGGCAAGGGCGCAGGAGCAACAGCAGGAACAGCGGCCTTGGGCTTCAAGAAGGCGCCCAAGTGAAATTGACTCCTTTGATAGCCGAATCTGTCATTGACACGTTGAGTGCCTAGGAGGCAGGCCTTTGTTGCTTTTGTGTCTTGAATAGCTTTCTTCTTCAGCACTTCCTTCCGTCGTGTCTCGGCCTCTTTGATGCGCTCAGCACGTTGCAACAGGATGGCGCCACGCTCGAGTTGACGCTTCTCTGTGTCGGTGACGAGGGTCGACCCACGCGCCTTGAAAGCTGCCTTTGCCTGCTTCAGCGTCTGCTTCCCTTCACGCGCCTCCTTCTTCTTCCGACCCATCACAGGTCATTGTCTGATGCTTTGGATGTAAGGCACAATATGTGTTGGTTAGACATGCATAATTTGTTGGCAATGGCCGCCTCCTGTCGGCTTTTCGGTCCTAGATCGCGTGCATGCAGCAAGCCAATCACGTGTGCCCAGCTTTCGCCCGTCCCAAGTTTCTTCTGTTCGAGAATTCCTCTGATGCCATCAGGTTGCTTCCATCGCTCCGTATGCAAGCCACACCGACATCGCATACCTGTGATCGTCTATACAGTACCCCACTGCCTCTCCATGTGCTACTCGTACTCCTATGGTTTTCTTGTAGCTGCTGAAGTGCACGATACTTTCCATACCAGAAGTATGGCCATGGAAACATTTTGAAATGGTGTTCTCTCTTCGGGCACTGCCCCCTCCTAAAAAGTATGTATCGTGCATTTCCATCGCTCATGATGATATGTTACCGTGCTACAGGTAGAAAAGCAATGTACCATTTGTTATGCGACCCATGTAAAGATCGCCCAAACACACCGTTGTCATGCTCTCCTTGTGACCTACCGAGGCTGATCCTTTTCTTGGAAGCAGTAACCTAACTGGGTATTCGAGCAGTTGGAGCGCTCACCTTGACCAATACTACACACCATTAATTCGTCTTCCGGAGATACTCGCTATATCATCTTCGCCATTCACGTCAGTGGTTATTGTACGTCTCTCTCGTACTTCTGAGTACTTGTTTCGGTAATGCAGTCATCAAAGATCACCATTCCTCTTACCAACTCGATGCTCTTTTCTCCTATCCTCCTAGCGGGACTTGGTATGCTTGGATGTAGCACTGCAGTCTTAGCATCCGAATTACGTGTGTAAATCTGACTGGCAATCCCGAGAATTAGCATCTTGTCGCCGAGCCGCCGCCAGGCGAACGGTTGTTCTTCTCATCGCGCCGAAACACCATCCTCGAGCTCGTCCATCTCCTCTGACTCATGGATTGAGGCCTTGTCAAGGTCACACGGCACGTGAAGGTCGTTGGAGCAATCAACCGAGGCGGTGCGAGACTCGATTCGAGGACCAGACGCAGTTTGGCTAAAGTCTAAGCGCGTTTGGATCGTGGAGAAAGCTGTGGAGAAAAGCTTGATCTGTGACGTATCTTGGAGGCTATTTGCCCATAACAAGTCAGAAGCACAGTTTTCTGCGACAATCCCTTTCCTTATGGGAGTTGGGCAACTTGTCTTTGATGCGGTCAGATTCGTGCCGAGAGGCCTTGTGACACTACCGCCTTGCCTCCGGCCCGCACGCCTTCTCGTGCTTTCTCCAAGCCACTTCCGCATGAGCTACCTTGAGCTCTCTTGAGTTTTCAGACCTGACCATTCACGACGCGTGCCTTGTACTCCACATCATCATCCTTGCTCAAGCTGTGGACCCTGGGGTTGTGGGGTGACCAATCGCCGTTGCTATACAACTTTTTGGTCTTGCTGAACACAGGCCGCTGGAGAAAAAAGTGTATAGTGGAGTTGATCTCTCTCGTCATCTTGACTGTAGGCCGAACATTGACCGCTAACTTGCTGCAACACTGGTCTCGTGGCCTAATGTAACACTTATGGAGTCATGGCTTGTTGGTGATCTGCGCTGAGCTGATTTACGTTAATTCCAACAGTCAGAGCTGTGAGCAGTAACAAAGTAAGACATACAAAAGGTGAGCAACTGCCCATCATTGAGCTCGTATTTTTTCTTTGCACATCAAGAACATCTTTATCTCCTTCCCGATTACCTGGGAGATCATCTCTTCTACCCTATACACATACAATATGTTCTCTAAGACATTACTATCCTCTGCCCTTGCGGCACTCTCTCTGTTACCATCTACCACTGTAGCAGCACCTCTGTAAGAGAAAACATCCGACCTTCTCCTGTACTACTGTCGCTAACAGCATTGCCAGTNNGAGCAATTTAACAAACGTGATCTCAAGTTCAACTATGGCGGAGAAAAGGTCCGCGGTGTCAACCTTGGTGGTTGGTTCGTGCTAGAGCCTTGGATCACACCCAGCATCTTTGAAGCAACACCCGACAATGTAGTGGACGGTATGTTGTAATAAGTCTTGACAAAGCTGGCAGATACTAACATGGCTTCAANNGAATACACCTACTGTCAGACACTCGGCTCTAGCGAAGCTTACTCAAGACTCTCAAACCATTGGAACACCTGGATCACCGAGGACGACTTGCACCAGATCGCTGCTGCAGGCATGAACCACGTCCGTATTCCTATTGGGTACTGGTCAGTCATCAAAGACGACAATGCACCCTACGTTCAAGGCGCATACGAGTTCCTCGGCCGAGCATTGGATTGGGCCAGCGGCGCAGGCCTTAAGGTCATGATTGACCTCCACGGAGGTAAGTAGTAGCTTTGGTTTGCAATAGACACACGCTGACTAGCATATCAGNCTCCCTACTCTCAGAACGGTTTCGACAACTCCGGTCAAAGAGGAGGCGTTGGCTGGGGTCAAGGCGACTCAATCACCAGAACCAAGAATGCACTTAACAAGATCCGCGACGATATGGGTAACCATCCCGCTGTTTCAACCATTGAGCTTCTGAACGAGCCTATGGGTTCTGCAATTGGCATGGACAAGGTCCGTCAGTTCTACATGGATGGTTGGGGTAACCTCAGAGATACCAACCTGGTTGTCACCTTCCATGATGCCTTTGCTGGTGTCAACTCCTGGAACGACTGGGGCAGTGGTATGTGGAACCTGATGCTCGATACTGTAAGTACTTCTCATCTTTGTGCAAGAGCCAATCACTTACTGACACTATTCGAACAGCACCACTACGAGGTCTTTGATAGCGGTGTTTTGCACAACGACATCGGTACACACATCTCAAGTGCGTGCTCGTTCGGTGCCTCTATGGCAACCAACAACAAGTGGACCATCAGCGGCGAGTGGACAGGGTACGTTTCTCGTCCAGCTTTTGTCACATCAAGTACACTAACATCGTCAATAGAGNCCATGACAGACTGCGCAAAATATTTGAACGGTAGAGGTGTCGGAGCAAGATACGATGGAACATACAACTACAACGGCCAATCGTCATCCTACATTGGAAGCTGCGATGGCAAGTACACTGGTACAGTCGCCGGCCTCGATGCAACCTACAGAGACAACATCGGCAAGTTCATCGAAGCCCAACTCGACGGCTACGAAAAGGCTGCTGGTTGGATCTTCTGGACATGGAAGACTGGTATGTTTTCGAACGTTCTATTTTGAGCTTGTGAGATGGAGCTAACGAAACCTGCAGAGAGTTCTCCCGAGTGGGACATGCAAGATCTGTTGCAGAACGGAGTCTTCCCCAACCCCGTCACCAACCGAAACCGTAAGTCTATTTTGGATGTATCTGGTCTTGGGGGCAGAGTAACAATTGGCTAACCATATTTTCAAACAGACCCTGGCCAATGCAACTAGAGTCCGAACTGTCAAGTCCGATACGAAGTCATGACTCCCGACTGAGGGAGACACGACACGTTTGTTCTATATGCATACGACCCTGCCAGACGAAACAGGAACCACTCGTTCCCAAACCTGGCCACACCTCTTACGAGCTTATGATGAAACGCTACCATATTTTTTTTACGGCTATCATGCACACTACAGTCGCTAGAAGCAACGAATCTCTATGTATATATCACGATCTCATGCGATTGTATCGCATGTTTCTCTTGTTGCATCTACCTTGACTCGGCCTGGAGTTGAACTCAAGTAGAACGCGAATGAAAGTTGTTATGGTCAAGTGTTATTCTGATCAGCGAGCGTTTTTGAAAATCCCTCTTGTTCCCACTGAAAAACGTTGAAAGAATTGAAGGAGGACTTGCGATGCAATGATACTTGTCTTCTTGCCAATCATCTACTGACTTCGTATGTATACACTGCAATCTCCGTGATGTTTGTGTTGCTGCAGATGCGGTTCAAGTTATTTCGTGTGCATGGCGCACAACTGTCAGAGTTTCAAAGTGTTGTGTCATTTGCACCGCGGGCTGCAAAGTTGGTAGTGCTTGCTCGCTTGCAAGTCTGCGAATCCTTCGCGTGCAGCAATTCAGGCTCTTCTTCCCAACAGGAAGGCGCGTAAAGTGCAAAAGAGTGAGACAGAGAATGCTTGTCAAAAATGGAGGCGGCAGCGAGTCGAGGGTTCTCGGCTTTGACGGCTGGAGATTGCGCCGAGCGCTGACTTTGCCTAAAGGGAGCGACCGAGGGGCACGCCTTTCCTTTGCTGTCTAGCACATCTGAACAACCTCATCTCGGGCGCATATCAACAGCCGCCGACTGGAGCTGAACCACGGAATCGACGTTATTCGAGGTAGCAGAAAGGGTCTGCTATGGTCGCAATGATACCTGAGCAGCTGGGGATGCGACGTTCGGCTTGATTGTCACGCTGGACATTAAACTCTAGGCTTCCTTCGTGGCGTTCATACCTGTTGCTGCCTTCGTGTAAGTCAGTAGTGCTGCGACATCATCAAAGGTTTGGATCCCGTTGTCACTCTTTTCATCCGTTTCCACAACTTCCCATCGTTGCGACATCAACTCTTCCCTACGCTCGTTTCATCCAAAAGGGCTACCACCGCCTATCAGTCAATCGTTTCACCAACAGCCAGTCATTCGTTTTCAGTAGATCGTCGCTCTCTGTCCCTCCTCGCGTTTTATAACTCTCAAATCCACCAAGCATCACCACCCAAACCTCAGGAAGAGAAGAATTTGAACTCACGATAATGTCTTTCCGCGCCCTCTTCACCGCCGGCCTCGCCGCCTTCGCTCCCTTGGCCTCGGCCTACACCACTCCTAAGGGTGACCCTACTGGCAACGCCATCTATGAACCTGGTCTTAACAGCATTGTCCCCGTCGGCAAGCCTTTCACAATTACCTGGGAACCTGACACCAAGGGCACGGTCTCTCTTGTTCTTCTCCACGGTCCCTCCACCAACTGTGTACCTATTCACACCATTGTCGAGGGCATCGACAACACTGGCAGCTATGACTGGACTCCCGACACCAGTCTCGCTCCCAACAAGACATACTACGGCATTGAGTTGGTTGTTGACGGCACTGGACAGTACCAATGTATGTACACACGTCAAGCAAAGCTATGCAACGCAATATTGACATATATATTCAAACAGACTCGACCCAATTCGGCATTTCGAACGACGACTACAAGGAGTCTAGCTCCAGCGCAGGCGCATCCACCGCATCTGCTACCACAACCCCCATGGTGAACATCAAGACTCCCGTGTCTGCTCAAGCAGTCAGCGCCTCGGACGCCGTTTCCTCTGCCGCATCTTCTGTCTCCTCCGTCGTCGCCAGCGCTTCCAGCTCTATTGCATCTCAAATCTCGTCTGTCTCCTCCAGCTTTGCCGCCGGCATGACTTCTGCTTCCGTAAGCCACGAAACCATATCCATACACACTTCGAACCACATCGCTAATGCACCTCTTCCACAGTCTGCTGTTTCTAGCCACCACAGCTCTGCCTCTGGTGCTGTCTCCAGCGCCATGAGCTCCATGAGCACAGCCACCAAGTCTGCCAGCAACTCTGCTTCTTCGGCTTCCAAGAGTGCTTCCAGATCTGCCAGCTCTGCCAGCTCTGCCAGCCCCGCTGCTTCTACTGGCGGTGCTGCTGCTGTTAACGCCGGCTTCGGCGGTCTTGCCTTGCCGCTGGTGTTGTTGCCATGGTTCTGTAAAGCAAGAAGATTGTCTAAATTGTTCATGTTTTCGAGCCTGGGATATTTGTTCGGAGATAACAAATGCCACGGCAAGCTTTGTATGGGATTTAATGCGTAGGATGTTTCTTTTCTTTTGTTCTGCCACCACCCGAAGGACGGGCTTGATGTCTACCTTTGGGTGGACTTTTGTATATTTCAGATGCACGCTTCACGGCCTATGATCTTATTTTCCAACCTTGTTCTTGTGTATTGACTATTGTGTACAGTTGCGTCAAAACCTTTCTCTCTAGTCTGATGTTTTGCGTTTCTTGAGTCATAGACTTGCCCTTCCTCTGACCTTGAGTACTTGATCCTGTTTTCCGGTTCTTCAAACGCGTTCTACGGGAATAATCCAAGAAGGGGTAACCGGTCCTTGTCGACGCCAAAGCCGTAACGGTTGGGTTGTTCCCTGTGGCTTGCAGCACAGTGCAACACGCAAACGGCTCTTGGTCACAAGAACTTGTTCCAACGGGCAGGTCAGGGAGCTGCGGCGGTGAACGAGGTAGGCGTGACTTTGCCCACCAAGTTCTTCTTTCCATGTAGACGATTCTTTGGACTTATCACTCTCTCAACTCTGAAGCGTAAGAGGAGTGGAGATAGAGTTGTATCCTTGGATTGCAGAATCGGCTGCTGTGTCCATTACTTCTGCAGAGCAAGTTGCATACATCAGATGCTGAGCAGACTGGCACCATGGGAAAATGTTGTATCTGTAATGGTTTGGTATTTCATTTCCACGCAATTGCTCGAGCCAGAACAGACGCTGTCTGTTTCTCGACTCTGAGACTATGCTATGTTTGTGTGTGTGTCTACATACTTGGGGTTTTGGTATAATCTATATACAAAAATTGGATGCTGTCATGTTACTGCCTCGCAGTATTTCCTCCCATAACCCCAATTGAACAAAGAAAAAAGAAGAAGGGTATTGTGAGCAAAAGATGTCTTTGAGGATGGTCCTTTCCCCAAAGCCCATCTATTCACCCTTCACACGAAACAGAAAAGACGCCAGCAACGCTAAAGAGAAATCAGATAGGCACTTCGCAGACCAAACCTTGGTTCCCAACACAAGGTCTGACAGCATAGACAGACGTAGACTGGTACCCTTCGCTCTACGAAGTGGCAACCAACACGTTGTCTTCACACTGCACACCAGCAGCGGTACCGCCCATTCCAAACCACACCAAGTCGTTGCACATGTTAAAGCCCCCAGTGCCCACACACTGCAAATCTCCGTTCTCGGGGCAGGCGCCTTGGCCAGAGGGATAAGCGATACGGTCGTCGCGGTAGAAGCCTGCGGGCGAGTCGGCCTGCTGGGCGTATTGCTTGGTGGATGAGGAGTAAGGGGAGAAGGAAGGCACGCAGGTGGCGCCGTTGTCGAGCGAGCGAGGCGCGCGGTATACCCATGAGGTCTGGCCGTTGGAGTACATGGTGCTGTCGCAGGTTACCCAGGTATTGGCTGAGGTGCAGATGTAGGTGCCAGGCACGCAGGGGAGGTAGGTAGAGAGGTCTGCGGTGGCGTATTCGGTGCTGGGATCGATGGGTGCAGAAGATGCTGCGGCGGAAGCAGAGGCTGAAGAGGCTGCGCCTGAAGCAGAGATGACGCTGGTCTTTGCGGTTGCACCAGCAGTGGTGTAGACGGTGAGAGTCACGTCTGAAGGGCAGTCGCCCGAATCGGAGCCAGAAGAGGAAGGCGAAGGCAGTGGTGTGGAGACTGCGGAAGTCTTGCCGACGTTGTGAATAGAAGACAGAGTAAGCGAGGTCGATGCGGTGTTCTTGCTGACGCTGCTCTGAGCAGGAACGGCAGACAAGGTAGACTGCTTGACGCTGGTTGCAGAGGTCTTGGCTGTTGTCTTCAAAGTGGTAGGAACTTGAGTTGACGATGAGGCAGCAGCGGTCTGAGCAGTACTAGGCGAAGATCCGGAACCTCCACCCACAGTTGCAGTCTGAGGCTTAGGGGTGTCGCCTAGGAACTTGTAGGTCTGTCCGAAAGGCGTGGGTGCGTCACAGACGCCAGGTTGAGAGTCTGCAGGGCTCGCACTGGTCATCTTGCCGCCGTAGAGAACATCCGGACCAGGCATGGGGTACACAGGATCTTCACCCTCAACTGTTGTGCAAGTGTTGATACCAGGAAGATTGGCCTTCCAGATGAAGGGCAGAGCCTCAAAACTCTCGGTGTCGCGCTTGGATGCCGAAGAGCCTTCGATGGACACGGTCGCGCAGTTCATGTAGTACTCGCGGTTTCCCTGCTCGTTCTGCCAGGTCCAAGCGAAGAGAGCGTTTCCATCAGGTGCGTAAGAAGGAATGGTAAAGTCGTAAGTCGACGTCAAAGGACATCCTCCAATCATCGACTTGATGACTCTGAAAGTTGCGCCGTTGTCGTACGAGAGCGAAAGTTGACACGAACCACCGCCGTGAGTGGCACTACCAGCCACGGTCATGTTGTAAGTCGAGCCAGCAGAGTAGGTAATGACAGGAACGAAAGGACGATCGTTTTGATAACCTTTGCAAGGAAAGTTGGAACCGTCGGCCACAAGCGGCGAAGTCATACTGTAGTCAATGATGTTGTAGCTGTTGGCAGGGTTGTATTTGCTGCGAAGGGGATAAGGCCAGCTCATCTCCATGTGTCCCAGCGCCTGCGATGCCAGCGAAAGAAGCGCACCCGTCACCAGGACGGATCGCGTTGACTTTGAACCAGGCATGTTGATGCGGTTAATGTTATGTGTGTTTGTTTTACGCGTCGTGCCTGAGAGAAAGAAGTAAGTGAGTGAGTGTGTTGTCAACCTGGAAAACAAGCGAGTGTGCGGTAGTGTGTGACTGAGTGATCAGAAACAAGAAGAGAGTGGATGGACGACCAAACAAAAGGGCCAAGAAGTGCGATGGCTGGATGCTTTACTTATACCACTATATCGAACTCCTTATTGAATCCAGCCATTTTTTCCTCTTCCCTTCGCACGTTCGCTCAAGCAAGGTACGTTAAAGGGTCACGGGAAAACGGCTTTCCCAATACGCTACTGATGGTTGTCACAGGGAGACAGATAGAAGCCGTGACCAACGAAGCCGTTGTTCGCGGCTCTTGCAATGACACCCAATCATCCACCAACCTGTTTTCCATCACGAAACAATTCTTGATCACTTCGCATGCATGTCTTTCGAATGATAGAATGTTGTTGATCTTTTCGCTGTGATCTGCGATGAAAGAGGCGTGTTTCAAAGGGGGTNNAAATGGTGTTCTCAGGAGCAAGACCCGGACAGAAGTTTCAACGGTCGACNNCCTATGCTGTGCAACCGTTGCGCGATACTGCTGCAAGGAGTGANNATCTTTGTGCACTCTGACGCGTATAGGGAGGAANAGGTAAAACGTGAATAGAAAGCATGAACAAGAAAAGNNATCAGGAAACCAAGTCACAATCGCGACACGCAATCGAAATTCAAGCGAGCCTCGCAGCGTGATCAGAGCTNNATCATGCGACTTACGTGCANNGGCTTTCGCCGGTGCTTACAGAGGACATGCAGCACTGAGCATAGCGGCAGAGAGATGGCAGACATGCTTCTACCTACCGCCAGTCGTCACTTCTGATCTGGATGACTCTGGACCCAGTGCCTCGGCTTCGTCGTGTTACTCCATTACATATTCGCCAAATCCCTTGCTCTTCCAACAACAATCGACTTGACTTTGTTTGTCTTGTGCCCTTTGTCCACAGCGACCTTGTTCCCTTTGTTTCTGTCCGGCACATTGATCCTCGGCAAGGACGCCCATCGATAGGCTTCGACTCCGAAGTTTGCTTGAGCACTCGACAAAAACGGCTTTAAAGCAACGAGAATGACGAGGATTTTAGACGGGGTTGACGACAACAGACGGTATCGACTCGGTGTATCACAGGCGACAGCAAGGGCCGATGCTTCGATAGACGGGATTTGCGTCGTTGTCCAGCCACGCAGTGCAACCGGGATAGCCAACGTTTATCGTCGAAGCCAAACGGTTTGCCTATTTCGAGTCGCAATGGGGCATATTGGTCTTTTGTCGTCGCGGAGATGCGAACATCTGTTCGTCTAGATCGTCAGTGGGTAAGGCGACACGAGGACATGGTATGGGTTGAAGAGGTGATGGAGGTGCTCTTTGCTGAGACATTGGTCCGTGCTGTCCGGCATTGTTCAACCTCCATCGCTCCTTGTCGAGTCTTCCACCTCACATAACACTACCTCGGCGCGTGAAAGTCCATCGCAACCTTACGATCAGTCTCCTCAGTATGGTGGATAGTCGATAACCGAGTCGTAAGGATGCGCAAACGTCGCTAAGCAAGACTTCTGAAGACATCTTCGGTATTTCGAAGACCATCGCCACAACTGATTTCTCCACTCGAGTATTTTCATATATCTCAGATTACCACATGTTGACTAGATCTACGGGAGTCTCTCAATGCTCAGTGCAGACCAATATTCTCTGGAAGAAGAATCGAATCTCAGGCTTGGCTGTTTCAACAAGAAAAACAAGGCCTGATGTCAGATCGCTGAAGAATTACTTTCTCAGTTTGACCACTATCTGGGAGGATACATCTTCGGCATCACGGTTCTAGATTCCGCTCGCCTTCTCAGACTGAGCATCCCGCGAAATGTAGGTAATGCCAAGGTTTGTGGTATAGAACACCCCCACCGCCAAGGTCTGTACCCCTCGTGTATAGCATTGGCGTACATGATCGCACCGCTAAGCCACGATACTCAAGTATACTATCCCTCCAATGTGGGGATATCTGAGGTCCAGTATGGAGACATGTGGAGAAGATGGCTGGAAAATCATGCTTTTCAAGGTTTGTATACCTTGGCTCTCCCAGCAGCTGATCATGATCTTTCAATGTTGAGATGGAACGGCAATTGATGCGGCACCGACATTCCTCGAAGCACATCTATAAGTAGGTTGCCTGCTCCACCATATAATACAACACAACTGCAAGACAGCACGACCACAAGGATGCATCCACTATATCCATCATGGAGTCGCTTGCTCATCCCTGCCCTCTGCCTATCACCTTGGGCCTCAGCAGTCCCATGCTCGTCATGTAACACCACTCCATCCACCCATCAAAACTCGACAATACTCCCCTACTTGGACCCTTCTCTCTGCATTCAAGATCGCCTCGATGACCTGCTCTCTCGCATGACCCTCGAAGAAAAGGCAGGTCAACTCTTCATCAAGCAGATCCCTGCGGGAATCAACGGCACAATCGACAATACGACCACCGTCCTCGACGGCACCAGAAATCTCACCACCACACCTTTGATCACGGAGAAGCTACTGTCGCATTTCAACGTCAACAACGCGAGATCTGCAAAGCAGATGGCAGAATGGCATAATGCAATTCAAGAGCTTGCTTTGCAGACACGACTCAAGATCCCTGTCACCATAGCCAGCGACCCTAGACATGCGTTCGCGGATACAGTGGGCAGTTCCATTGCCAGTGGCCAATTCTCCAAGTTCCCTGAAAGTTTGGGGATTGCGGCGCTAAGAGATCCAGTGCTTGCGGAACTTTATGCTACCATTGTTAGGGAGGAGTATCTAGCTGTGGGTATTCGGTCTGCCCTTCAACCTCAGATCGACGTCGTGACCGAGCCACGCATGGCGAGGAGCGGACAAACCTTTGGCGAAGACGCAAATTTGACTGCATCTATGGTCGTCGCACTGATCAAAGGCTTCCAAGGCCCCGAGTTGGGCTTGAAATCGGTAACAACAGTCACAAAACACTTCCCTGGTGCTGGACCGGCTAGAAATGGCAATGACTCGCATTTCGCTACTGGCAAGGACAACACTTACTTTGGCGACTTTCTTGATTATCACTTGATTCCTTTCAAAGCAGCTATTGCCGCTGGAGGGCGCCAGATTATGCCGTCCTATGCCCGTCCAATTGGCACCAAATACCCCGAAGTCGCCTTCGGATTCAACAAACCCGTCATCACTGGTCTGCTTCGGGAAGAGCTGGGGTTCGATGGTATTGTCGTTAGTGACTGGGGCCTGATCACCGACGCGGAAATCATGGGAGTAGTAGAACCAGCACGAGCCTGGGGCGTCGAAAACACCACTGACCTCGAACGCGCAAAATTGGTCCTCGATGCCGGCGTCGACCAATTCGGCGGCGAGATACGTACTGAATTGCTAGTTCAACTCGTCAACGAAGGTCAAATTCCTGAGTCACGTCTTGATGTCTCTGTCCGCAAATTGCTGGAAGAAAAATTCATGCTCGGTCTTTTCGACAACAGATTTGTGGATCCAGAGGCTGCGGAGAGAGTAGTCGGAAACCCTTACTTTGCTCGTGTTGGCAATGAGACTCAGAGACGTGCATACACGCTATTGACGAACCAGCAAGATACCCTTCCTCTGCGTCCCAACGACGGTGTCAAGTTCTACGCTCAAGGGTTCAATGCCTCCTATCTCGAAGCCCGTAACTTGACAGTCGTAGACTCACCCGACCGAGCAGATTTCTGCTTCTTGCGCCTTAGCACTCCTTGGGAAGCCAGAGGCTCTCCCTTCCGCCAACGATACCACGAAGGCCGCCTTGACTTCAACGAGACCGAGAAGGCTGCTCACTCTGCTTTATTCAACACTTGCCCTACCATCGTGGACATTCTTCTCGATCGCCCTGCTGTGATTCCAGAGATTGCTAAAGAGGCTGCTGCATTGTTCGGACATTATGGCGCTAGTGTGGACGCATTTTTGGATGTTGTGTTTAATAAGGATGGGTGGAAGCCAGAGGGCAAATTGCCGTTTGACATGCCTAGAAGTATGAAGGCTGTGGAGGCACAGGTCACTGATGTGCCGTTCGATACTGAGGACCCTGTGTTTGAGTTTGGGCATGGGTTGAGTTATAGCAGGACTGCTTTATGTGCATAGGCGAGTCGAAGGCAGAGAAGGTAAGACTGATGTCAAAAGTCTTTGTGCTCGGGAAAAGCGTAGGAAAAAATCTCAAAACAACCTCTTTGCAGCAAAACAAACACGACATGAAACTGGAAAAGTGCTTTGGTGATCTTGACCATCCGATTACAAGTCGCAGCCAGTCTCAACTTCCGCAAATGTAGACTTGTCGTTGATCTGATAGGATATGCGAGAGTCATGACAGACAAGGACCTGTTCGTAATAGCATCGTCGACTCACTTGTATTGTACGGGTTGTAACCGTGTCTGCAGAAGTAATCAGATCAGATTTTATCTTCCAATGAACACATTTGCGCATCACCACATCGAGAATGAATCAAGGCAATTCCCGTCTGTGAATCTGTCCGTGTTTACAGGGAGAAAGCTGCCACTTCCTCATGTAGATACACAACTCAACCAAAGTCTTGCAGAACACGTCATCCCCAGATGCTAGAGACAGACACAGTGGAGCTGCAGAGATGCACAGTAATCTCATGCAAAACGCAGCCTCCGCAGAGAGAACCCTAATAAGGGCTATCTCAATGGCCAGAATTGTGTTCAAGTCGTGACTGTGCATTGCGATAGCTTATAATAACTCTTATAGCTCGAGATGGAGAAGGAGTAGTTACAATATGTGACTTTCTATAGCACACGCAGAGGGTGAAGAAGTGGATGCCTCAGACTATCTTGGAAGCCAACTCACTATTGGCCGATCAGAGCGGAAGGGCAGGTTGCTCGTGGCCACCACGAAGTTGGCTGTGAGACTTCAACACCTCACCAAACGCAGCATCAAGAATCTGAAGACCCTCCTCAATCTCATCGGCAGAGACAGTGACAGGTGGTGCTAATCTGAAGACACCGCCCATGCCAGGCAGGTTCACGATGTTGCATGAGAGACCAAGAGCCATGGCTTTGTCAGAGACTGCTTGCCCGATATCAAGACCAGGTGCCTTGGTCTCTGGATCTGAGATGATCTCGATGCCCTGAAAGAGGCCACGTCCTCGGACGTCTCCAATACACCAGTACTTCTTTTGAAGCTTTTCGAGGCCTGCTCGGAGTTGAGCGCCGCGTTCACTGGCGCGTTCGCAGATGTTGTCGCGCACCACAATCTCGAGCACTTTGTCTCCGACTGCTGCCGTGAGAGGATCGTTTAGATGAGTGGTGAGCCACAAGAAACGCGCCTCGCGACATCCTCTCTCGATCTCGGCTGTTGTGCTCACAGACGCTAGAGGCAGACCGCAACCAAGTGTTTTGGAAAGCGCAAGGATGTCTGGCACAATACCGTCTCTCTGGAAAGCGAACATCTGTCCGGTACGTCCGACACCAGTTTGAGCTTCATCAAGAATCAAGAGCATATCTCGCTTCTTGCATTCTTCGGCCATGCGCTTGAGGTAGCCAGGAGGTGGGTCAAGAATACCTCCGGTTGAGAGAATAGGCTCCATAATGAACGCAGCCAATGAGCCAACGCTTTGGCGATCGATCATTGACCAGCCATATTCCAGTTCAGTCTCCCAATCATAAGAGCCGTCGGCTTTCTTGAAGGGCGAGCGATATGGGTATGGCGCGGGGAACGCTAGTTGACCAGGCATTGCCGGGCCGCCGAATTTGCGTCCTGCCGAATATGTGGCCGATCCAGAGCCTGAAGTAAGTCCATGATAGCTAGCGGTGAAAGCGACAATTTCAAACTTCCCAGTGTAGCATTTCGCCATCTTGATGGCAGCCTCAGTCGACTCGGAGCCGGTATTGAGAAAGAACGATTTCTCCAAGGGCGCGGGAAGCAGACTGGCCAAGCGCACCGCTAGATTGACGACTGGTTGAGTGATCATATTGCTAAGCAGATGATCGAGCTCGCCAACATACTTTCGAACAACCTCGACAATTTCGGGATGAGAGTGTCCAAGAAGAGAGCTCATCTGACCGGAGGTGAAGTCAAGAATCGATCTACCGTCCGCATCGTAGAGTCTTGTGCCTTGGGCCTTGGTGATAATGACTGGTGAGAATGGTACACCAGTATGCATGAGATGCTTGTCGGCATTGTCCCAGAAAGTGCTTTCCGCAGTAGGCTCGGTCTTGGAGATCATTTTGTGCAAAAGCAGTAGATGGATAATAAGTGAGAGCAATATCCTCCAGAAGATTTGAGCAGTGTTATAGAGAAAATGGCGAGCTCACAAGACTCGAGCATTGAGTCCAGGAAGGTGCCATTGCCGCGGGGTCGTAGTTTCCCGCGGGAAACTTTGACGTGGAGAAGTCGACTGCTTGCCCTATCGGCCGGTGCAGAATGCCGAGCTGCACAAATCGAGCTGCGACTCCTGAGCGCAGAGGAGATGAGATAGGACCAAGTGTGTATCTGATAGCACTCACGATGTGGACGAATGTATAGGCGGAATATGGATGCGCTGAAAGGAGCGTGTGATACGCGGCGGCGACCAAGTGTGGGGTTTTTGGTGAAGTCCGATGTCTTCCCGGACAGGAAGTTGTTGATCCTGTTTGTGTATTGTGATTGCCTCCAAGTATCTGTTACTGACCTGCGACATTGTCATCTGAGAATGGGAGTTGCGATTGATTTTACAGGTTCTCCTTGACCATCGGTGGCCCCTTCCGTCTGTAACAACGAGCTTTCCATATTAGAGCAGTCATGCAAACCTCGAATCAAGGTCGGCCTTATCGCTCACATCTTCGACCTGCCTGCGATGCCTGTCGTCGCCGCAAGTCTCGATGCACTACAACAGAATCTTCAGACGCGTGTCTGATGTGTCAAGTTCATGGTTCGCGATGTGTCTTTGTGGATGCTGATCAGTCGCGTCGCCGAAAAGTGCCTGCATCGCGGAGCCGTGCCACAAGCCATGCAGATAACGCTGAGGACAATGTCAACCCCAACGGTGACTCCTTGACTATGTCGTTCTCTCAGGATCTTGAGGTCACAAACACCGTTCAACTCGATAGTCAAACATATAACAACGATCCAGTATCATCAACGAATTCAGCTGCTCCGCATGCTCCGGCCATAGAGAGACCGCTTGAAGAGGTCAGGATGAGCGCCATGCTCGCCGAGTCGGGAGACTCTAGCACACACATCATCAGTCCTGCAATAGTCGATGACAACGAAGAGCTGGACAGCTATCTGTCCAGTAATCCGGCGGTCGGTATACGAAGAATCACTCGTACTTCCTCATCGGGTACAGATATGGGCCCGCCTTCGAAACGCGTTCTGTTCAACACAGTTCTCAGAAAGCCGCTCGGCATCAATGCGAACCAGTCAATCGCTGCTGCAAAGCTCGAAGTCATCGAGAAACTTCTCGAGCCACACGTCATGGACATAATTGATCTGTATGTCGCTCTGCTTTGCGAAAAATCCTGCAAACTGCTAACCAGTTTACAGTNNTTCTTTGAGAACGTCAACGTTTGTTTTCCTATCCTGGACGAGAATTCCTTTCGACGAACATACACCGAGCACAAAGATCGCCTCTCTTCGGCTCTTCTGGCCAACTTGTACGCCAATGCAGTGTCATACTGGAACAACTCGCCACGACTGCGCTCTTGCCCACCCCCAGATCAACGCTACATATGGGTGCAGGCCAACGAGGCGCTTCACTCTGAGCTCTTCCTCTCGCCTGGAATTTCGACCGTCATATCTATTATTCTGAACGTCCATGGAAGACCAAGCACTTCAATGTTCGGTAATGGAGGAATGGTGGGCACGGCTGTAGCTCTCTCAAATTCGCTGGGCCTCAATCGTGACTGTTCAGCATGGAATATCACTCCGGAAGAGAAGGCTTTCAGATTTCGTATCTGGTCGATCGTCGTGCTAATGGACCGGTGGTAAGTCGTCTTTATTGCTTTTGATTCCTTGTTTTACATCCAACGAGTTTGTTCGTGACACTAATGTAGATGCAGGACAAGTCTTGCCTATGGTACGCCGCTGTTGATCCATCGTGCTCAATATGATGTGGCTGTACCAAGCAAAGAGCTACTGGCACAATCTAGAGTGTCCACCACGCATCATACCGGTTTGTCTATTTTCCTGGCCATGTTGACCCTGACGGATGTTCTGTCGCGCTACCTTGAGCACGTTTACCATGTATCACGCGTTACTACCACCGATCGATCACCAGTCTCACCGTTTCATCTCGAAATGTTCTTAACGGATTGGGAAGACACCTTAGAGGACGATATACGTCGACTTGTCCTTCGGGGAAACGACCTTGACCGCGCCGGAGCAGCTAACCTCAGACTTTCCTATCTTGCCGTGAAGCTTCTACTTCGCCGAATCTTGTGCGACACTGCAAGCTTTCCATCAGAGCCTGAGAAGGCAGTTCAAGCTCGATTACAGACCCAAAGAATAGCTGAAGAGGTAGTTCTACTTGTACAAGAACTGAAACGTCNNCCTCACCTCAGAGGATTTTGGCTGCCAATGAACGGCTTCACTCTTACCTCTGCGACTTTGTTCTTGCTCAGAGATGCATTGAACGCAACCAACAGAGCCCGCAACACATCGCTCAAACTGGCCAGAGACATGATTGGATGCCTTCAAATACATCGCAACAATGAAGCTTGGGATCTGGCAGACGATTGTTTGGCAAACTGTACAGGTATGGCCGACAAAATCGAGGCTGGGCGAAACTTTGAATCATCCGGAGCCGTCGAGTCTCAGTATTTTGTTGATAACGATTCACTCATCTTCAACGATGCAGTGTTGGGGTTCGCGAGTGCGTTCGATTTCGACCTTGACAGTTTCCAATGGAACGACAATACATGAAGATGAGCCAAACAACATCCACACAATCTGCTTCGATACAGCGTAGCTACCAACGGACAATTACTCCCAGACCCTAAAAGAGCATAAAAGTGCTTGTAGCTCTTCCGACATTCGTATCAATACACGTACTTTGAAGAGAACGTGGTCAGCGGGGATCTTCTCCGAACATACGCTAAGGAAACCTACCTTAAAGTTCTGGTTCTGGAGATCTGTCTCGTCGTGGAGCCCTCGTATCTCTCCCTCAGCAACATGCTCCGCTGACAGTGCATTCTTGGCAGCCCGCGTACGATTCCGGGAGAGAAACAGCAGATACAAGCCTAGAATGCTGAGCATTTGGATACCAAGGCAGGCCAACATCATGCCAACACCCAGCTCATATCGTGGTGCTTGGGCTTTGCGGAAGAAAAATGGTCCTATGAAATTTCCAAGACAGTAGCCGATCAGAAGCATTGCAGCGCTTGTTGACTTCTTGGTGTGTCCAGCGGTGTTCGCTGTCACGACAGACATGGAAAGTGTCCATGTGGCGGTGTAGGTGAATGTGATCCACAAGCACACCATGCGGCCCCAGGGTACACTTGACGGCAGTGTCCACATCCCGATGACACCAGCTAATGTCGGCAGTAGACATATAAACATAGTGAGCAGTCTTGCGTTCTCGAAAGAGGAGGCGACGAAAGTCGCGCCCGTACAAACCACAAACTGGATAGCGCCTGAGGGCATCTGGATCAATGTGGTTTGTAGTTTCGAGAAGCCGAGGCCACGAATGATCAACCCCTGAAATGTTGTCAATCCACCGTTAGGACTGTTACTCGCCACCGCAAAGACGAAGACTAACCAAGTCTTTGTGTCTGTTAGTGTCTCTAACAGCTGAGCTTTCTTGAAAGTCTTCTCTTCGAGTCCCGTTCCGTTACCTTTGACGCGCTCGGTGACGCCTATTTTCTCATCTTCCGAGAGGAACTTAGCCGTGGCAGGATTGTCAGGCAGAAAAACAAGTACCACGACGCCCCACGCGATAGTGACGCAGCCCCAGATGAGGAACGTATATCGCCAGCTGGACAAGGCGCCATGAATATGTCCGATACCGAAGCTCGTAATGCCGGCAACGACATAACCGAGTCCGGCGCACCCAATCCAGATACCCAAACGCAGAGGTTGCTCCATACGGGTATACCAGATACTAAACATGACCATTGTCACCGGTTGTATGCAAGCTTCAAAGACGCCCAAGAAAAATCTTGCAGTCGCCAGTCCGGCAAAGTTGTGGCCAGCCGCATGGCAGGTCAACACGACACCCCAAAGAATCACCNNTGACTGTTGTCAGTGGCTTTCAGTGCTGGCGCTATACGCTTGGAAACACCTTACCGATACGCCCAAGAACTTTGCAAGCGGAAACCTTTGAAGCAAGTATGAAGTCGGCCACTCCCAAAACATGTACCCAAGGTAGAAAATAGCTCCAAGCCAAGAGTACTCTGAACCCGAAAGGTGGGTCTCGTCGGCCTGACATGCATCACATGAGCTGTGTTCATTTGGCCGGGAAAGTGCATGCCAGACTTACAAGNNTCCAAAGACGGCAGCGTACGACAAGGTCGTCTTGTCAATTGACTGCAGCGCGTAAGTGATACACNNCTGGGTTTTGTTAGCGATGGGATCCGGTAAAGACCGATCCAGAGGATGGACTTGCAGTATTGGCATCAAGCGGCAGTCAATCTTGAACAAGAGCTGCTTGTCGTCAATGGCAGAGAGGACTTCGCCTGTCTGAGTAGTGTCGTATATGTTTGTCTCATGCTGGAAAGTCTTCAGATCCAGGTCCCCACCTCCTTCCTTGGTGGTGCGTCGTGATGGTCGAGGCTCCATTTGATGGGAAAATTTCAGGATTTAGTGTAGACTTGATTGCATATCTTACAGAGCCCACGTTCTTATATTCCGTCTAGCGATGCAGCACCAGCCGGCCACGAACCTGCGGGTACAATTTCCACGGACAACTCTATTCACTTTTCTTCGAGCCACAAACCCAAGATATCGAGATAGATACGACCCATCAAGAGAGCCGCGGTCAGGTTGTCGAAGGATCAACCCCGCACCTCCGCAACCTCGAGATAGGCCAGGCTGATAGGAGTACGGCAATGGCGGGGAGCGCCTTCCTATCTACTTGGCTACGACTTGGCCGCGGGCCTCGCTCACCACGGTCAAACAGGCTCTGATACTAGAGGAGAAGTTGAATTCCTTGAAACATATATCGTCTGCTTGGAATCCGAAATCTCGCAGTTATCCTGCGCACCCCGGAACGATGTCAGACAACAGTCAAATTCACCCATACCAGCTTCTGGACATTGATGAAAGAGTTAAACGTGTTCTGCGTAACACACCACTTGCAGATGGACATAACGATCTCCCTCAACAGCCACGATGCTGCTTCAAAGGCAAAATACACAACAATCCCAAGTTCGACCTCGAANAGGGCTTTCAGCGCGGCATGACCGATTTGCCACGTCTGAAACAGGGTGCTGTGGGGCTTCAATTCTGGTCCATTTGTGTACCTCATCTTCGTGGCTCGGAAGATTTTGCCCTGCCTCAGTACAATGATATGTGTCGTGATGCTATCGAGCAAATCGATCTCTCTATTCGTATGGTCAAGCAATACCCCAAAGACTTCGAACTCATCTTCGGCCCGGAAAATGTCAGAGAGATTTATCAGCAAGGAAAGATTACCTGTTCGATTGGTTTGGAGGGACTACATCAAGCTGGGAACTCTATTAGCGTGATCAGGGCGTACCATCAGCTGGGTGTAAGATATGTGAGCAGAATGAATCTCCATTTAATCCGCTGTGATGTGCTTGTGACTGACAAGGCAGNNTGCACCTTGACGCACGTTGAGAACAATGCTTTCGCAGATTCTTCCACATCTAAGGTAGGACCGGTCCACGGAGGACTGTCGAGCCTGGGGAAAGCGGCAGTCAAAGAGATGAACCGACTAGGTAAGTGGCTGCTCCATGCATTCAAGATCTGTCAGGGTCGAATGGATGACGACTACTGACGCAGTTTAGGCATGATGGTTGACCTTTCCCACGTCTCGCGCGAAGCAGCGGAACAGGCTCTCAAGTGTACCGTCGCTCCTGTTATCTTCTCTCATAGCAACGCGCGCGGTGTCTTTGACTGCCCTCGTAACGTGCCAGATTCGGTTCTCGATCTCGTACCCACCAACAATGGTATAGTCATGATCACTTTCGTGCCCGAGCATCTCGCGACCAGGAGATCTGAAGCCACGATAGATATGCTTCTTGATCATCTGTTCTACATAGCGAATCGAATCGGGTGGGAGCACGTTGGTCTCGGTTCGGACTTCGATGGTAAGCAAAATCGTATGCTTCCGCTTTTCGAGAGCGGTCTTGTTGACACTGTCGTTGTAGGCATTGCATCCGTCATCCCTGGACTTGAGGATTGCTCTCGCTTCCCTGCTTTGCTGCAAGCCATTTTGGAGCGTGGCGCTACGGAGGAGCAACTCGCACTGGTTGCTGGGGAGAACATACTTCGGGTGTGGACAGAGGTCGTTCAGGTTGCTGAGCGAATGCAGGAGGAGGGAGTGACCCCTGTAGAGGACGTGTGGGAAGGAAGAGAGTTCTGGAGGTATGATGGTTACTATCAAATGCCTGATCCTGATCCCGAGGATAGTCTAGGCCTTGACTGGTATGGACTGAAGCCTCCGGAGGAAGGTTTGTATCATGAATAGTGTCAATCAATGTAGGCGGTCTGACCGTCCAATTAAGAGTGCTACATTGGTCGTGGACCCGTGGCTCGCCAGCATCATCGCAACACAGTCACATCGCAACATCGACGAGACCTTCTACTTGCCACGACCTCATCAAGGGACCTCTGAACAGCAATACCGATACTGTCTTCTAACAACCTCACTCTTGACTGCCTGTTTGAGGTGGGGACATAGCTTTCTGTTGATTCGTCGTTGTCCGCCGCGCTCGTGCTGCTGCATCTACCCTAACAACCAACGACGACAACTACTTTCACTCGCTGTTTCAATCAGTGCGAAACAAGCTCTGTTCGTCGCCGCTGCACGCCTTCAACCATCAAACGCAACTTACATCCTCATTAACATCATCGCTCTGCTGTGCGCGACTCAGCCCCTGCTCCAACATGAACGACCTTCAACTCGCCTACCTCAGCATCAGTGATGTGCCTCGCACTCCCCCCTCTCAAGTTCATGGATCTGCCCGAAGAAGTCCGCTTGATGATCTACCGCTACGCCTTCCACAGAGAGTTGATCAAGCGCTCGTTCCCTGCTCTCCTCTCCGTTTCCTCTCAGATCAGAAAGGAAGCAACCCCTATCTTCTACCGCGAGTCCCGCATCGTCTTGGAGCTGCAGCCGCAACCAGACACAAGATCCACCGTGCTCGACTTCAATGGCAAGACCCGTGGATGGTTTGCTCTCATCGGCACTGACAACATCAACGACCTGCGTCACGTTGCTTTCTCGTTTCCGGGCACCAGACACTACTACCCATACAACGAATACCGCGTCGACCTGTCCTGCCGCGACGCTGGTACCTGGACATACACACACCATCCCGGCCCTGACAATCACTTCAACACCTTGCAGCGGGACCTGGAAGAGGCTGAGAATGACACCGACAAGGAGGAAATTGCTAAATTCCTGGCCGAGCTGGGCAGACCCATTGACGATGCGTACGTGACCTACCCTCAAGAACAAGGAAATCAAGAAATACAAACATGCTCTTCGCCGCGCTCAGAGAGCCATGGGTTCGTTCAGTGATGGGTGTGGTGAGGGAAGGTTCGTCAAGCCCACCCTTGAGGGCCTTGAAGTGCTCGGCCGTGTCCTGATCCGCGTGGAGAAGGCTCGTATCTACTTCAATCATCAGTAGTTCACGACCGTGTGCAGACTGAGCTCTTGGAGATGAGGATGTCGCTGGCTAGTAGAAGCTTCGGAGAGACCGCTGTTGGTGGCACACCATGACCTACAGCCCGTCACTGCAAGGTTCAACCGACAACGGAAAGCAAGAGCAAAGCAAGATAAGGAGAATCAAAGGCTGCAGTCGAGTTTATACATTAGAGAAAACATACAGTATTTCCGTTCATTGCTCTCCCTGGTGATATCCTTGTTTTGTCCAAGGTTCTGCCTTTTCATAGATGATTCTCAGCCTCCTATCGGGTTTGGGATAATATCCAGGATTGAGCTAGAGTATGCTACGTCATGAGATTGGTCAATAACCACCTGTCATAACTTGAGAGGCACCATCGTCTGACTACATCTTAGTCGTGGTGAATTTATGCAGCCAGGAGATCACTGCCAGAGCTTCGAGACCTCGAGATGTTGCCTGCCTTTCGTATCCGTTCAAACCCGACCTTCTTGCTTGCATTCCTCTTTCCCGTCTGCGAGAGATCGTCACCGTGAAGCTATCAAAATACACAGTAGGTCTCATATGAGAAGCACAGCCACAGAGACGCCCTGTGACAACGTTCTCTCTGTGGATAGCAGCCACTCCTACAAAGTATCGTGCAATCTGATAGTCTGATGAATCCCTAGACGTCGCCATCAGAGACACTGACGATAACGCGAAATCATGGTTGGCTGATAGGAGTCTGCCGCTGCCCCATGTGCAGCATACAGCTCCCACTGCACTCCAACTATAGCTAAGAGTAGAATGTTGACCATGAAAAGGCACAGTTGTTTGCAGAATCAGGGACTATCAGAGAGAGTCGACAGCTCATCGCTTCTCAGTGGATACTATCTGATTCTCTATTGCTATCGTGTATTTCTATAACTATACGGGACATGCCTCCGCAGACCCGAAGGCAACGGTCGAATGTCAGTAAAAGTAGTCTGTCAAAGTGATTCATGAGGAAGGCAAGCTGTAATAGTGAGCTTTTCTCCATCGTTGTGATTACATCCGGTTGTTTGCGTTCGTGGCTCGGCAAACGAGTGAACGCGATTGGTGGTGTGGGTCTTGCGGTTCGAGCAGTGTTACTCTGGCGACGTGAAGAGAAGTTCTCTTCCACTCCGTGGCCGTCACCTCAGAAGATCTCGTCCGTCTTTGAACAAACATCCAACCACCAACTCAAAACAACCATCAACTCACTCCGCCAAAATGGCCAACCCAGGTCCTATGACTGTCCAGACTTTCAGAGAGATCTATTCTGGCATGGACGCGCCCCGCCTGTACATCTGGCCCATGCCTGCTGATTATGAGAAGACTGTAAGTGACAAGAACATCCGTTCTCCTGTCAGATGTGCTTCTCCCCGAGCGCACACTAGAGCTAGAGAACGAGAGAAGCTTGCAAAACCAAGGGAGCAAGGCTGATCATTCGCAGTTACAAGCTAAGAAGCTCGCAAGAGAGCGCGCCGCTCAGAAGCAGCAACGCCGCCGCGACCAATTTGAGGTCCTGCTCAAGGAGTGCAAGGAACGCAAGACCATCTGCTGCTGTGCCCTCCTCGTCGACTTGAGCTCTAATCAAACCTGGATGCGCAACAACAGCGACAGTCGTTCTTACCTCAGGGAGCTCTTGCGTGATCAAGATGAGTCGCAGAACCCCTACGTTTACCTCAGCAAGGAAGACGCCCAGGACGAACTGGTCGCAAGAGGTGTTCCCTTCCCGGATCTCGACTCTCGCTACGCATACCGCTGTGCATTGCAAGCCACAGACGGTCAGCGCCAGATTGATTTCTTGCGTTTGCCCAAGGATGTCCGCCTGATGATGTACGAAATCGTCATCAGCGAGGACCCCATCAAGCTCGCTCGTCCTGCTCTACTCGCAGCCAACAAGCAAATCAGAGACGAAGCCAGCCCAATCTTCTTCCGCTCTACTCACTTCCGTCTGGACCTGGATGACAACTACTACCTTCCCGATGTCCCTAAATTCACCTCCGAGACCCGCAAGTGGCTCAACGCCATCGGACCAGACGGCATCAAGGAGCTGCGCCACATCTCAATCGCCAGCAGAAGCGAAGAATTCAACATCGACTTGTCTTGCAGCGATGCTGGTCAGTGGAGCACCACACTCCGCTCTCAACGCCACGCACCTCATCCTCTTCACTCTCGCCAATCTTGTCCCCGCAGAAAGGTCAAGACACTGGCAGCTTGGCTCGCTGACGCCAGGGAGGCTGTCAAGGAAGACGTGGAGGGTATGACTCGCAGAGGCCAAGACCCAGCTCGCTTGAAGGCTTACCTCAAGCACAAGGAGTCTGCTCAGGAGTGGGTTCAGGTTGGCATGGACATCTTCTCTCTTCGTTGCGGCGAGGGCAAGAGCGTTAAGCCCACCCTTCAGGGACTCGAGATCCTTGTTGATGCCATCATCGTCAAGGACTACAAGGCTAGAAGCTTCGTCAAGGCCGTGTACAGTGGAAGAGTCTAAGTACTGAGAACTATGGTGGCCCGAGATTGGTACACGACAAAAGGACGCAAAAGGTCTGAAATGAGGGAATCGTGACACTGCGCAGGAAGCAGGAGCTTGACGGTCTCGTCGACAATGGATGAACAACAAAGAGAAGGATCGAACGAGAACGGTTAGAGACAAAGAGCGCAGAGATCCAGCTGGCCTGGAAAGAGACAAAAAATAGCATGATACAAAGAATCAAAGAAATCCTTCTCAAAGCCGTAGCCCAATGTACACTCACAAGCCAGTACCCGTGACAGATGTGTTGCTTCTATGTGTTACAAACTGCCATGGTCATATCTCATGATTGAATATGCTCAAGCAGCGATGAGCGGTCATGTTACATCCTATGGCAATGCGTGGCTCCTCAGCAAGTGGAAGATAGCGACCAAGGCATCATAAGGGCACACCCTCGGCTAGAACTATGAATAGGAAATTACTGTGCATGGCGGTAGCCAGGATGTGAAGTTTCCGTCTCTCGAGATCATTGATGAAAGCAAGACTAGTGCCGATGTGGTCGAAAAGCAGGTGACCTGCGCTGTTGCAAACAACTTTCCGTAACTTTCCGTCTGCTTCTTTGCTCGTCGCGCCCTCAGCACGAACATCGGTCACTTCGTATTCACTCACCTCGTTCTCTTCAAAGAAGCAACACCAGCCTCTTGCTACTTCTTTCTATGCACGCAGCCTCGGTGTCACGCTAACAACCATGAACATCCACCGCTTAAGCAAACTGATCGCGCAGTTTGCCATGTCAAGGGCAGAACTCCTGGACGGAATCTCCAGACCAGAGATCATGTACACGGTGCGCGGTGTCTAGCTAGTATCCTAGATCCCATGACTGACTGGGTGTACAGAATGATCTCAGAGACCGTGGTGACGGATCCCAGCGCCTACCACCAGTCCTGGATTACGAAGAGCTCTCGGAGAAGAGTCGCAAAAGACGTGACAAATTCGAAATCCTTTTCTTAGCTTGCCTGGCAAGAGAGTCCATCTGCCGCGCAAAGTTGAAGGCTTTCAGCCCGATCGACCTCGTCCAGACTGAGCTAAGACCTAACGCGCACAACACTCGAATGCTGGCTCGTCTGCTTCGTGAGGACGACTTGGCCAAGAAGCCATACCTTGGATGGAGCCACGAAGACTTCAAGGCTGCTTTGATCCAACGCCATGTCATTGTGCCAAACCTTCAGTCCTTGTCAAGACTTGAAACTCGCCTCGCACTCGAAAACGCAGACGCCAACCGCCGCTTCCGTTTCATGGATTTGCCCAAAGAGATCCGTACCATGATCTATGAAAGAGCGCTCTTGCACCACGCCGACATTGTCGTCAAAGACTGCTCGGCTCCCGCATTGTTGGCTGTGAGCAAGCAGATCAGAAAGGAAGCAACCAAAGTCTTCTTCAGAATCAACAGATTCCAGTTGCGTGTCGCTAAGAAAACCTTGACCACTCTCGAACCTTTCCAGATGGCAGATTCACTCTGGCTGCACAAGATCGGATCGAAGAATGTGGCCAGTATCCGTCGTATCTCTTTCTTCATCATCTGCTACCGCCCCTTTGCACTTGAATTCGATCTCACACGTCTGATCGTCGCTCGCTGTGTCAGAGCCATGAACAAAGACTTTGTTTGTCACTGCGGCAGTTGTTCTTGCCAGACCAGAACTACACTGGGTGATGAGCTGGCTTCCTATGAGCAAGACAAGGAAGACGAAGACGACAATGTCCCAAGCTGGGTCAAGATGCTTGTAAGCGAAACTTCATCTCCATCCGACCCACCAAGCCCATCCCGAGCCGAACGTCTGGAACTCGAGATGTGTGCTCTGCAAGAAGAGATGGATCGTTTCAGCCTGCTTTGCAAGTCGGGCAAGGAGGTTTGTCCTACACTCCAAGGTCTTCAACAACTGGCTTGCGCAGTTTTGCAGGGAGTATTGTTTTGAGATGATCGACGAGAAAAGTTGTTTAGGGCGACTTGAGGACACTGTGTGGTATCGAGAATCTTCATGAATTTCGTGCTTTGCTATAATCTGAGAACAACGGCATTCACTGGCTCACAAAATGGGGACGCAGCAAAAGAAGGACGAGGAGCCAATCGCTACTAGCTAGATAATGACAGTCTTCGGCATACTCGAAGCGGAAATCGCAGACTAGCTCGGAGGATGAAGCAAAACAAGCATGAATTACACAGCATTTTCATATTCAAACAATGATCAGAAGTCTATGAAGTGAGGTTGGTACGTCGGACGAGTCCAAATGCGTGCTGTGACCCCGCTCTTGACCTCAAGCCATCGCGCCAACCTTGTCTTGACCACAGCCCTTCCCCGCGCATCTTCGCCAATGTTCGCCCAGACATACCTGACTTGTTTCGCATGTTTCCGACCTAACATCCAACACTCGGATGCCTTCAAATGGCATAGCCGTCTCGGCGGCATGAGTCGAACAACGGGCGGATGTCCTTGAATAGTAACCCACACGAGCATCCCATATCCCAAACGTTTGATCATCACGAGCTGATAGGTCAAGTATGGAGAAAACCTGGAGACCCCAGAGTGCCCCCACATTCACGCGTCTGCTTCCAACATGCAGGTCGTTCCGAGCGGAGAATATAAGATAGAGGATCATCCCAATGATCCCATCCAGCTCTCGTACATCACCCGTACACCTTAGCTTCTGAAACAGTCTATGAAAATCACATATCCAATATGGCGATCGAACTTCGAGGAAACGCCCTTATCTCCATCATCCTCCTCGCCTCGGGCCTGGACTTCCTCCTGTTCGGTTTCGACCAAGGACTCTTTGGAGGCGTTCTTGCGGGCGAGGGCTTCAAGGATATGCTGGGCAACCCATCGGCAACTCGCACTGGTCTCGTTACTGCGATCTACGACATTGGATGTGCCCTAGGCGCCGTCATGGCGTTCCTCATCGGTGACAAAGTCGGCCGCAAGAAGAGCATTGTCTACGCCAACGTCATTGTCATCATCGGAGCGGCCATCCAAACTGCCAGTTTCTCCTATGCTCAGATGAGCGTTGCCAGAGTTATTGCGGGTGTTGGAGTTGGCTTTTCCACTGTCGCTGTACCTATCTTGCAGAGCGAGACGCTGCCGAGTCGGAATCGCGGTGCTGTGAGTAACGGATTTTGTTTGCCACAAGAGAAAAGAAGTACTGACAGAACCACCAGCNTTCTCGTCGTTCAATCGGCTCTGATTATCATCGGTGTCGCTATCGCTTCATGGCTATGCTTTGCCACTCTCTACTCCAACACGAGCTTTCAATGGCGCTTCCCGATCGCCTGTCAGATGCTGTTCTCCGGGCTTGTCCTTTGTCTGACTCCCTTCCTGCCTGAAACCCCTCGCTGGCTTGCTGAGAACGGTCGGACCGAAGAAGCTCGTCAGGTCCTTGCGCGTCTTGAAGATAAGCCGGTCGACCACTTGGACGTCGACAACCAGCTCAACGAGATTTGTGAAGTCATTGCTATCGAGCAAGAGGCTGGTGATGCGACGTGGAGTGAAGTCTTTGCCAACTCTACCAAGTCGAGAAACTTGCACCGCGTTTTGCTCGGCATGGGTCCTTACATGATGAACCAATGGTCTGGAATCAGTAGGCATATCATACAACTCGAAGGAAGGAAATAAATAACGCTGACGGACCATGCTANNGACGCTCTTTGCTACTACCTCGCATACATCCTCGAGAACTACCTCGGCTACAGCCCAAGCATGGCTCTTATCCTCGCCTCCGTCGCCTTCACGCAATACGCCATCTTCTCGTGGCCTCCGTACTTCTACATTGACCGTCTCGGCCGTCGCTGGACCGTCATCCTCTCATCTATCGGCTGTGCAGCATGCATGGCCATCATTGCCGGCGCACTTGTCAACCCAACCCACACCAACTCCATCGTCGCAGTAGCCTTCATGTTCCTCTTCATGGACTGCTTCACCCTGGGAATTCTCCCCGTCAGCTGGTCCTACTCTGCAGAAATCCAACCCCTTCGCGTTCGCAACAAGGCCACTGCAGTCGGCGTCTTCGGCCACTGGATGAGCAATTTTGTTGTTGTCATGGTAACACCCATTGGCCTTTCCAACATCGGCGGAAACTACTTCTGGGTGTGGGCTATCGTTAATGCGTCCTTTGTACCTTTGACATGGTTCTTTGGTGTCGAGACTTCAGGCAGGAGTTTGGAGAAGATCGATCATATGTTCTTTGACGAGCCGCGAGTGTGTATGGGTTTGAACAAGAATCATACAAGAGTCATCAACAGGGAGATGTACGATGAGGAGAGGAGATTGAGCATTGCTAGGGACGAGAAGAAGATGGATGTTGAGCAGATTTCGGTGGTGAGCAAGTAAGTGGCTTGAGCTTGTTAGGTTACAGGTGAGCTCATACCTGGCACTATCAGTGACCAGTACCACGATTCTCGATTTGCTGAAAGGGTGATAGGATATGCAGCTTGTTCGTAATAACGTAAATACCCCCTTCATCCTAAGTACGTTACCTTGATCTGTCAAGAAGTCCAATTTTGGCTCAATGTAGTCAACACAAATGTCTTATCAGAACTGATTGGTAGCCGTTAGATCACATTATGTGCTAGAGTATATCATCCTTGCGTGCTGCTGAAGCCGAGAATTCCCATCCATATCTCTTCTCACATATATTGACGCCCTTCTGATAGCATCTGTAGTCCCTCTGGAGGAACATGGTACCTAGACCACAAGTCTCGCATCGTTGCTATGCTAACCCGTGATCCAAATCCACCACTACCAGTATGAACACTCAAATAACAGCCGCTTCCATCTGGCGATACATCCTCGCCAAGTGTGTTGAGCTCGTCACTGTTGTCTTCATTGTATCGCAATCGAAGGTCATAGACCGAAAGGAAGTACCCGGTGACTTGGTCGTGGCCAAAAGCAACTAGCAAGTCTCCTTGGGAGAGCTCAGAACGAGGCATGATGAGTTCTGTAGTAGATATTAGCGGTGGTGAATCAATGGATGGACTATTGCTCACATGTGGGATGGTGGGCTATGGTCTGCAAAAGCTGGATTTGTGCGAGGTGTAGAGACCTGGACTCGGCGAATTTATTGTTGTGATAGTCTATGAGGCGAGCTGTCACATATAAACCTTCTCAATGGCGACTCTTGATCTTCTTCCGGTGCGGGGTCACTTGTCACGTCGGTATAGACGTGTCGTTGCATATTGACAACGCACCTTCATATTGGTCAATTAATTACATCCTTGCCATTGCTTCGCTCATGCCAGGTGGAATGATATGTCTGGTTGCGAGGAGGCACTTTCACATTTAAAGACAAAGCATAACTTGCTCTTGGTACCAATCAGCACCCTCAAGGACTACGCCAATTGCCTAACCTTGGGATCAAATGTGAAACAGCCTGCATGATTGTGAGAGGACAGTCCCGGGGATCATCCATGCGCAGGTTGCTGTTGCCATGCCACTGCCTGGTCAAATATCGACTCATGATGCGGGTGAAACTCTTTTCCAATTGCATCAACACTGGCTTTGCCAGATTGATATACCTAGTCACTCTTATTGGCATTCTCTTTAATTCCCTGCTTCTTTTCATCCAAGGCATATCCCATCCTTTGTACGCCGATTCCCTTGCCATAAACCAATTCTCCGCCTAGTGCCGCACTCAATGCAATCCCAGGAAGCGTCAGCACACTCAGAATTATGCTAACTTTACCCGGGGCAAAGCTTGGAGCCCTTCTTCTCGTCCACACGGCGTACGTTGAGACGCCAGCCGCGACAAAGTTTAGGGCACCATGAGCGAGACCAATCCTAACACTGCGCCTATTGATGTCTTCGTGTGATTTGGGGTGTGTTAATTCCTTGTCCTTCTGATTGATCCCGCCTTTCTTGTAAAGTTCCCACAATTCTGCAGAGCCGCTAGTAAAGCTGGGCAGCGAAGTCACAAGACCAGCGACATGGCAGAGGTATCCGAGCCGCGAAATGTCNTCCAAGAAAGGAGTCATGATGGCTAAAGCCTTGTATCGGTTTGCAACGCCGTAGACGGTGTCCAGAGTATAAGCCGCGGAGAGGAATGTGAGAGGGAAATGAACCGTCGCTGGATGCACAGGATGACTTGAGCGAAAATGTCAGTTACCCAAATCTCTCAATTTGTTTGTTTATGAACTCAACCTGTTACGGAACGGCCAGTTGAAGTGGCCTAGCTCGACAGTGTCGTAAAGATTGCTCAAAACACCCATATCGGCTGGAATTTGATGCAGATTGCAAAGGATAGCTGGGGAAGAAGATAGTTCAGTTTGAAGGAGAGCAAATATACTACCTACATCTTTCGAATATGGATCAAGTTGTCAATATGACACAAGTGGTATAGAGCTTGACGTTAGTATTACTGTCGCAACCCGTCATCGGGACAGAATTCCTCCGACACACGAATCTTGATGGTTCGACCCCTCTCGACCTCTTTGTTGATGAAGCACCGAACCACGAATTAGAATACTTTCGCACGCGCCGATGCATTCGGCGAGGGCCACAAGGTTTTAATCCCGAAGAAGAACGATATTGATATATACGGCTAGGATTCCATACTTTCACATTGGTAGATGGAAACTCCATCATGGAATAATCATTGTATTACACGTCATTATTCGATAATCAACGAATTCTTCCTTCATGAGACAGCTTTCCCGATGCGTGAAAATCTTGAACCTCACGTACGAACGATCTCCCACGGCTGCAACAACAATATTCCGCGAGATGGCGACCATGCGACAGTCTCATACAGGTTCGATATATCGGACCAATGACTTTCAGACAGCTCCGCCAAGCACCGCTACAATCGAGGAGATGATGGAAGCAGTGAAGAACTGTACTGAACGCATTCAAAGAGAGCCCTATAATTCTCATCTGTGGGCTGAGCGGGGTAGCTATTTCCTTGCGCTCAACTACCCAGAGCTAGCAGTAGGGGACGCATGGAAAAGCCGCATTCTATTCCATCATGATTCCAACAGTATGGCGGAGGAAAAACTACGAACGTATGATATTCTTGGCCAAGCGCTTTATGATTGTCATTGCCATTGGGAAGCAGCCAATCTCTGGGAAGAAGTCACGAAAGAACTTCCAGCTAGTCATGCTCATGAAAAGGCTGTCGCTCTTCGAAAACTCTTGGAGCGCAAGCAAGAGATCGCAACCCCTTTGGGTAGTACTTGGCAGGAGCAGATGGATCGGGTTCGTGATGGATACGTTACCACTGTTCGTTATCCGTGGATGCAGGATCATCATTTCCGTCGGACACAAGAGCTTGTGAATGATGTGAACATTCAACTCGAGCAAGATACCAAACAGGCTCCAGCATGTTTATTGGGCAGTAGCACCTTAACGACTAGAGACGACGTGCTTGGGATGTTTGCAGTGCGAGACATCCAGCCAGGTGAATGCATACTCATCGACCGTACAGCGACAGGAATATGCAGCAGCGTCGAACCTCTCAGTTGTTCGAACTGCTTTTCGCGTATCGAAGGCCCGCCCATGCAAGCTCCATGTTGCTCGGCACCCTACTGCTCTAGTGCATGCCTCGAATTGAGTATGAACACCTCTCACAAAGTACTTTGTGGACAAGACTTCACCTGGCTATCCCAACCTGCGCAAGGACTGCAGCACAACGCATCACCATTGCGACCACTCTTGATGCTGCGTTTCCTTGCAGCCTGCATCCAATCTAGCCCTGGATCACACCCACTCGATCACCCACTTCTTGCACGCCTCCAGCCACTCACCAGGAATGACCATGTGGATGTCTTTACGATGAAAGATTCCGTCATCACGCCCCTGAGGATACTTCAGCAGCTCGGCATTGACGTCTTTGTCAGTCTGAACTTTGACACAATGGTTTTACATACCATATGGACTCGCCTAGCAAACAACAAAGCCGGCTCTCCGGATCCAACACATGGCTTCATCGACGAGATCACACCATCCCTTTCTTTCTTCAATCATAGCTGCGAGTCAAATGTGGAGTTCAAAAGGCAAGCTGACTGTACAACGATTTGTTTTTTCGCAAAGAGAAAGATAGAGAAAGGAGAAGAATTATTCGTTAGCTATGTGGATGTGCAGGACATGTCGCTAAACGAGAGGGTGGAGATGTTGTGGCCGTGGTTTGAGGAGATGTGTTTGTGTCCGAAATGTAAGAGAGAGGCTACGCAGAGGTTGTGAGTGATTACATAGTTTCGCGTTATTCTTTTCGACAACCAGGGCAATTGCCCTGGTGAATTGACTGACCTGCATTTGCGCGGCTCCAGAGAGATACAGAATCAATTAATAAACTTCATAGTGTATAGCATCCAAGGACGATGCATCGACTGATTGAGTATGGGGCGTCCATCTGATTAGAGTTGGCTAGTACATGCACGAATCAAAGTTGGCTAGCCTCCATCTCCGTGCGCTTGCCCCGGCTTTGGGTTAGCCTTCCGTGACCCATAGGATAAGTTATCTTGGACAGTAAACTAGAGTGAACTTTTCGACAGATTGCTCTGATGGATTAACTGACCTGCATTTGCATGGTTCAGAAAAATACAAACTCGGTCAGCGGTTCGGCGTCTTTTCTCTGCATTGCGATCAAGACTTGAGATCGATGCGTGGCCGCTGATTCAGAAGTTAAGGAGGAGCTGAAGTTCAGCGGCAAGCCTCAAAGCTCAGCCATGCAGACCAGAAAGCAGGTGCGAATCAAAACCGTTAAGAATTGCGGGACAATCGAACGTGTTGCGGAGTGAGTCTTCCCAACGTCATTAATTAGACACGATCTGAGCTCTCAATAACCTGGTGTCGCTGTCTTCGAATCAAGAACTAATCAGCAATGCCAGAACATGGCATCTTGCCGCCATGTAGGGGGCTCGATTGGCCAGACTACACAGAATCCAACTTTCAGCTTCTTTAAATACTGGTACGGAGTCGCCGAAGCTGCGCTGAGCAGCAGATGCCGATGTACGAGAATAGTTAGCGGGTCAGCCAATTCTTAAACCGACCTACATCTTGCAGAAATGTTCAAGCTATTCTCCATCGCACCATCATGTAGCTTACCAGATGTTTTTGTCCACAAAAGTCAGAATCCTCCCTAGTTCAGACAAAAGCTCATGCTGCTGCATCACTCTCCGACTTCCAGCTCACCGCCTGCATCATCGCTCCAACTACACGCCCTTCATTTCCTTGGGAACCTATCGTCAATCGCGCATTGACGACCGAAAACCAGAAGTCTATGGCACACGTAGATGCAATATATGGCAAGCCATGGAAGCATCGCAATTCAGAACGGAGAACACGGTAATCTCTATGGCCATCACGGCTCAATGATGCCCAAATTTCTGACTCGTACCTTTGCCACAGCATGTGTCTTTTGTGTGCTTCATCTTCGTTCTGATCGCGTTATCGATCATTTATCAACGACATTCAAGATTCTCTATTCCACTGTACCCGGCTCAGATGAAACCTGTGTTGATCCTGCACATCTCAGTCGGTCTCATCGAGCTCTTAGGCCTATACCTGCAGCCTATGCTTCTTGGCCGCGAGAGAATTCCGAATCTTCTGGACCTGGTTTTGTGTTTTGCACAAAGTGGCACCAACATGGCTCTAGTGAAGCGCATGCCGAGGGGACAGTGGATGATGACACGTCCTTCGTACCAAGCTGGTGCAATCATGAGACCTGTCCTCACACTATCCGCCATGGTGTACAAAAGGCCCGACCTTCACACTTCCAGTCTACGAATCATTCACGCTTTCATCTATACTCGATGTCTGATCTACATCTGGTCGAAAGCAAAGTTGCTCGACAAATATTCCGACGTTTATATGGTAGCTGTGTTTTCTGCTGCTATCCTTGCAATGGCCGATACGCCTTGTCCCGCTATCTTGAGCAAAGCGTATGTCATTTGTGTTGCGGGAATCTCTCTAATCAATCATTGGACGGCAAAGCAGATTACAAAATCTTCTACGCTGCAATCCGTGCCAAAGGCACACCTCCTCAAGCTACTATTACGACTCGGCCTCGTTGACTTGCCGATTCTGAAGGGAGAAAAACTTCCTGGAATGATAGATGATGAGTACTGCGACAATCATGTTGCAAACGAGACAAAAACCAGAAACCCAAGCGAAGCTCAAGAGGTAGTCGATCGAGTGTCTGCGACACTCGGTAACGACAAGACCGACACTTAAACCCAGACAATCACTGGGATACCAACCACAGAAGAATTATCAGCTGATAAATCATACCTCACGTTGTGGACGGATACCGAGGACTTGATCCCAGAAATCGATGATCTTTCTACTCATTCGCAGATCGTTACTATAGCGTACTCGCCTAGAACTATGGAACGCCAAACTTCGACGACTACAGTCCTCGATCCTGCAAATATCATGGCAGATACGGAGGAAGTGTTACCTCCTTCAGACGATTTTGCGCGGACAAACCACAAACCCCGAACCAAGCGATGGCGATCGGCCCTCTCTCTTCGTGGTCTATCTGCTTCGATGGCTCTTCGAGACGCAGAAGATGTATCCAAAACACTCAAGCTAGGACCCCGAGTCCTGGTAGATGAGATTAAGGCTCAAAACGATGATCTCACGAGGCATGAGGTCGCTTGTCATCACAAACAGAGCAAGTCGAAGAGAGTGATGCATAGGATGTTTGAGAGATTCAAGAAAGGAGAAACAGTAGGAATTGCAGCACGCTGAAGGCCAAGGATGATGCAAACACTTACCAGGACCAGAGGGCCGGCAGATACGACAGGATGCCGATCCTGTTCCCTGAACCACCCAAGAGTCTACCAAGAGTTAAAACCTCAGTGCGCGCACCAAGATCTGGAACACTGTTTACTCTGACTACAAAAGTGGTATTACGATTCACACTTCGAACGAGTCGCATTGTCACATCACCATTCAGGGAATCCCAATCAGACAACAGCTGCGGAGCACTATATGTTCTCTTTCCACGAAACAGAACTCATAGAAGGCATCAAGCTTTCTTATTTGAAGTCTTGTGCAAAAGAAGATTGAGTTCTCGGTTCTGTGGAAGGTCAGAACTTTTACAAGACGCTCTCGGATATGGCAAACTGATGTACTCGATACAAAAGCAGATCGTTGTACATTCGAGATGTGTGATCCCGCCCGATCACAACGCCAATTATCTCTACGGAACCCTGATCGCAGAAAATGGTGGATTTGACGATGGATTCGAAGGCTCTCCCTTACGATTTTGTAACAGGATGTCAAGGCTCAGGGCCTCAGATTGAGCGGGGGTGAGAGCATGCAGAAAACTATGTCTGGTAGTATAATTAGTTTATGTAACGGATGGTTCGTCATGCACATCCCAGACTCACACTCCAGTTCATTCTGTCACCTTCTACATGACTCTTTGAAAATCATAGGTCCGACCTTTCGCAGCCAAGAATCGACCACGCACTTCAAAGATGCCATCAGGAATGGCCTTCACCCTCACGAATTCGGTCTCGAACAGCAACAAGCCGACCGGAACTTCTGGTTTCCACAGCAGGGTCTCGTATATGCATCGCATGCTCGTACGTGCCTAACTTCAATCTCGAAGCCGTGACAACACGAACAATTACGATTGCGGTTGCGATTGCGATCCTCGAGTATTTGTTGACTGCGTTCTTCAGGAGTTGTGTTTGCAACGATGCCAATGATCATGAAGGAACTGAGTGCCAAAGCGACAGCACCACAATAGAGGCCGACGCGACTGACTTCCTCAGCCATCACAGGTAGTAGTGTCGAAAAATGGGTGTGTAGTTGTTGGTACCTCTCCAAATGTATAGTCAAGTTGCACTGACAAATATGTGTTCTTTTCCGAGATTGACAGGTGTTTTCTGCCAATAATGAGACCGTTCGCATGACTCGGCCAAATTTCGTATCGCCCCACATAGTGAGTCTTAGTAGGATGAAGGAAGGAAAAGGCTTGACTATTTGTAGTTAGGACGAGGAGCAGCTTGTGTAAACTTCTCGTATGAGCATGAATATGGTCATCACTCCAGCAATCCTCTCGAGGTTGCGTATAAGTAAACCGGCGAATTACAACTTCTACATCAGGAACACTACTCAGGGTCCCTTGCAGAGAAACGATTCCCAATCTGCGAGACTTTGTCCTTCCAATAAGCACAGGTGCCATGAACATGCGAATCAAGTGCCGTCTTCTGCCGTACATCAAGGTATTCCCAGCGAAATTTTTTGATTCTTCTGTGAGTACCTCGAAGTTTCTCCCTACGAGCAAGCCCAACAGTTCTGTTTCTCCGCATGACAGTCCCTTTGAAGAAATGGCATCGTGCTTCTCTTTAAGATCCTTCTAGGTTCTTCTCGTTCGACCGCCGCTTCCCTGCAATGTGACCGATAGAAAATCCCGTACTGACGACAAAAAGTTGACTCGTAGCGATAGTGTATAATGGACATTCCCAGAGGCAAAGTTAGAACCTGATCATTAGCACTCGATGTCTTTCTGCTTGTTTTGACTGAGGTCTGGTTGGTCGCCAAGTCCCAGCCGGGAGGAGAAGTCGGATCTGGCATGTTGGGGAGTCTCAATTCCATGCTCCGGACATTCATGTCTTTGATGCTGAGGCGGATCGAGCAAGCCTCCAACAAGAAATGACAGCGTAGCAATAACCTCAGGAAGCAGACCAAGAACAATGCGAACAGCCAAAGTGCCAGTGATAGGATTCAACGACTTTTTCTCCGAGGCAAAAGCAACCAGAGTATATATGACACGGACTCCTGACCATGGCAAAGCAAAGACCGTGGTAGATAGTAATATACGGCGATAGGCAGGAGCAGTCAAGGATAAGAATGCCAAGAGGAGTATCGATACCCAAGAAAATGTCAACAAAGCCAATCCAGTCTTGATAAATGTCATGTCCTTGCCAGATGGATTGGGACCAGAAATTTCAGAGATACCGACGGCCGTGAGAGCGATCCCAGCACCGACGATCGTGTGGACGACCAGGACAGCGATCCATTCTAATTTGATGTCGATCTGCGGGTTGCCGCGCACGCGTACCTCATGAAGCAATCCAGTGGCAGCGAGGAGAAGTGGCGATAGAGCAACGCTGGAGATGATCTTGGCTGCCATCCCTTTGCCATTGGCAATGGATAGTGCTCCTCCGATGATGCGTAAAGAACAGAATACCATGAGATATATCCAACCGACTATGCCATGTGGCACATGTCTCCAAGTACAGTAAATCGTGGGAAGTATCAATACGGCATATATGACCAGGTCAGCTGTGCTGATTAGACCATGCATATCGCGATACAGTTGTAAAAGAAGCGAAAAAATAAAACAGAGGGGATGCTGTGGGTGCGAAATGCTGCTCGTGTTGCGGGAGAGCAAGTTGTGTTATAGCTGCAACACGAGAGATGTAATAAGCCTGTCAAGGCAGATGGGAGAATAGTTTCCGCCCGGATATAATTCCCTCACGCATACTTTATCAAGTCCGTGTCTGCCTCAGGTGCTGCCTGGCCACATAGGCCATATTCGATAAGCTCTTGTTATGCGAAATGCGTAGGTCTAAGCCACCTTGCTGGGCGGAGTCGACAGAACGGCTTAGGATTCTACTAAGCCTTCCGGATCTACGCTTCAAATTGATATCTTCGAGACAGGAATGGTAAGCAAGTTTCTTGCGACAAGAACTTACGTCCGTAGATGTTGGTCGTGGGATTTAGAGGCAGAAAGACATAAAACGGTGCCGAGCTCCGAGAAATTTTCATCTGAGCAGTGTGCCATGCCACAACAGAAACAGTGGTTGCCTCATTCAATAGACATGGCACAAAGATCATGAACTTCGAGAGGATTTTAGTCACTGGATGAACAGCAGTACTAGATGTATAGAGATTCTCATTGCCAACTCGATCACCATAGAGTTCTGGTGCACATCGGGTGCTCTAGTGCTCTGAGCTATCGATCGCCCTGCAATCGGTACTTGCATTTTCTTCCAGTCTTATTCATCATGTTACGCTCAAGCACGGCCTGATCAAACAGTGGCACGGAACTGGATCGTGTTCAGCGAAGAGTCGAAGACCAAAGGGAAGCTAAGCATTTGACTTGACAAGCTGCGCCTGGGCCTTGCCTGCTCCGCTGGAAGTGCTTGCCAGCTCAGATTTGAAGCATGTATCAACCGCTTGTAGTGGACGAGGTCGATATACCGAATGGTACCAAGTCTTTTGTTCTCTTATTCTTGAATTAACCCGTCTCGTGATGTGTGCCCGAAGGCCGCCAGTCTTTTGTCCCAAATTCACTTCATCCATACTTTCACCAGTGAATTCCTCTTGGTCCACCAACTGCAGCTGCCAGGAGACACGTGTGCGCGGATCAGTAGATTCAAGATCGAAGATGATCTGGCTTAATGGATACTTTCGGTGGAACTCCAGTCTCCAGCTTGCGGGACCAACGCCTCGACTGTTGTAGAAAACAGACCATTTGAGCCAGAGTATTCAGAATAGGCAGCGTCGTCCAGAAGATCGAATGAGTGCCTCCTGGTTCCCCAGGCTCCAGTGATCGCATCTCTCGAGTCTGCTGCCCAGTCTTCGCCTGGCCACCGCATATCTGAATAAGATAATGAGCGCTGCTGTTGTCAGTCGGAGACATTTGGTACCATTTCTTGGCCTTCTCACCTTCAGACACCAATAGGAGTCGGTACCCATTCTTGTTAGGTCCCCTTGCTTGAATAAGAGTTCGGCTATATCCTTGTTGCCTGTTTCGATAGCATCCTGGAGAGCATACTTGTGAGGATATGTGGGAGATCCTGCCACTGCACCATTCTCCAGGAGTACTCGAACAACGTCGATATGACCCTTGTAAGCGGCAGCACAGAGCGCATAGTCATAGTATTTCCCACCAGCCGCATTGACATCAGCACCTTCTCGGATGAGCAATTTCACTATGTCTAGTTTGCCTGCGCTGGAAGCCGCGCATAGCGTAGTGCCATAGCCTCCGCCCCGTGCGTTGATGCTGGCGCCGTTACGCAGTAGAAGCTGGATCATGTCTAGATCAATGACATCTGGATTGGGGCAACACGATGACTGCAGAGCATTGCCGTAAATGCCGCCTTGTGAATTGACGTCGGCACCATTGTCAAGCAGCAATTGCACCAACTCCATAGAGCCTTTGTATGCGGCGACGGCGAGAGCGGTACCAAGTTCACCGCCTTGAACATTTGGATCGGCGCCAGATGCCAATAGCATTCTCGCCACCGCTAGATCTTCGCGATCACACGCCATGTAAAGGAGAGTGTCGTCGCCATCCTTTCGAGCATTCGGATTAGCACCTTTGTCGAGTAGAACCTGCATAACCTCTTTATACTCTCTGAACGCTGATTTAAAGGCAGCGCAGAGTGCAGTGTCGCGATTCCCCCCTCTGTATGTTTGCATCTGCGCCGTTGTCAAGTAGCAGCTTTACGATCTGAACATGGCCATCTCGGCAAGCACGTTTCAGTACATTGTTTCCAACGAAATCAGACTGGTTGATGTCTACTCCATTTTCTATGAGCAGTTGCGCCATCATGAGATCACCACTACTCGCAGCGGCGTGCAGGGATGTCACCCCCCGCGGTCCTGAGCATGGATATTGGCACCTGATGCTATGAGAAACAGCGACATCTCTGTATGAGCGCTGATTAAGGCAGCATACAGCGCGTAGCTATATACACCGCCTTCCATATTGATGTCGGCACCACTCTGTACCAATAGGCGCACAACGTCTAAGTGTCCATTCATCGAAGCTGCTTGAAGAGGTCTTTCATGAGTTTTATGTTCGTAGGTTAAGGGGTCAAATGGGCTGGCATCAATCTCAGCATTGCTCTTGAGTAAGATCTTGACCACTTCGATATGGCCTTGAGAAGACGCAGCTTGAAGCGCTGTGTAATGCCCTGCAGCGATGTCAAAATCCCCATGTCCACACGGCTTCTCAATGGTGCGCGCGTTCACATCCGCACCGTGCATCAGCAGCGTTGTCACAACCTCTGTATGTCCTTTGTACGCGGCCACTTGAAGAGCAGTTGCAGCATTGCCCTGTTCCTGTGCGAGAGCTCCAGTATTGGCTCCATACTTGAGCAACAACTGCAGTGTATCGTTGTTACCACACCATGCCGCCGCATGAAGTGCAGTCCCATAAATGCCGCCTTTAGCATTGACACTAGCGCCATGATCTAACAGCACTTGTGCTATCTGTACATTGCCAGAGGTCGACGCAGCTTGGAGAGCATTACCATAACTGCCTCCTTGAGCGTCGGGATCGGCACCCATGCTTAGTAGGTATCTGACAGATCGAATGAGCGCAAAGACTGACGCGTAGTATAGTCCAGAACTCGCACTGAAAGACTTTTCGTCACGTCTATTGAGGTGTCTCCATAACTCCAGAAACTTTTTACTCATAAATATCTTGCGCGTCCACTCAAAAGTGGGTTCTTCTTCTTCTCCAGCTGTCGCAGCGTGATGCATGCAGCATAGCGCTGCGAGCTTGATCAGTGGGAATTCGGACACACTTGCAGAGGCTCCTTGCACCTCTGCAGCTGTCCATAGATACGCTAGAAATATTCGAGTCAGCGCAGCATGTGCAATTCTCTCCTCAAAACAACGATAGTCGGGGGTTTCCCTACGATCCAGAAGCAGGTACTCCCGTACTGAGAAGTGTGCTAGCTGTATCGTTATTTCCCCTTGATCTTCAGCTATTGAGTCGGATTCAGGATGCTCGTTTGTTGTTCTAGCCCGCCTGTCATCGAAATCGTCTGCATGTGCGGTTGTGATTCTAACAAGATTTGCACAATATCCGATGATGGCTTCAGGTGGTGACACGCGGTTTTCTGCATCGACGGTGGTTCCATCNTCCGGTTCTGTGGCCACAGCATCTATGAGTTCTTCGAGTCGTAGTGGCCGCTTTGAAAANGTAAGGAGCTGAAGAAGTTTGATGGCGTTGGGTACACGTGCACTGGGTATGTGCTTGAGGATGCGATCGTAGGTCTCGTTAAGATCATTGGGCAGTGTCTGCAAAACTCGTCGCACAGCGGGTTTGTCAAGGCATTCTGAAAGTTCTTGAAGCTGACAGTAAACCCATCGAAACATGCCGTCTGCTTTGCTGGCAAGAGTGTTTGCAATTTCTCCATGCATCGACCTCCAGCGGCTCAGATGCTCCTCTTCTTTGAGTCTGTACTGTATGTATGCTTTGATATCGTCACCCACAAGATCGCTCTCCAGTGTTATAGTGCAATTGGGAGATAACCATGAAGCAAAACGTTCCTCAATGTCTCTTTCCGAGCGGCTTGTCAGTACAAATCTGCAGGTTTGACTCGAAGGGCAAGTGATCCATCGTAAGAGATCGCGTCTATCTTTGGACTCATCGCGCGCGTCTAGGACAACGATGACATCCTGTGACTCGCCTACCATCTGGCTGAAGGTTTCTTCAAGCTTTATCGTCTGAGGTTGTTCGTGACCGTTACGACTGCTCTCGAACAGTTTCAACAGATGAGCATTTGTGGGCTTATTCCATCCGGCGAGCTGAAAGATCAAGGAGCGCAGCATAAAATCTAGCGTCTGCTTCGACTCATCGCTGAAAGAGAAGAAAAAGTAGACTATGGCTGTCCCAGTGGTTCGTTTGTTGAGTTCAAGGTCCCTGATGATCGTTGAGCTGAGCACAGTCTTTCCACAACCCGGAATGCCACGCAACCACAAACTGGCACCAGGTGTACTCTTGAGCCATTTGTAGCGATCACTCTCGAGAAACCAACGACCTGTGTCGGAGTAGCGAAGTTTGGATGCGTTGACAAGATTGATGGAAGCATCATATGGCCTGAGCCAATCTTTGACACGCGAGTCCAGGAAATAGTCTACGGACTGTTGAGTGTTCTGCACCAATTTTCCTACATCTATACCGTGTCAATCTAGATGACCGTGGCTAATGCGAAGTNNATACATTAGTCTACCTGTCTCAGCAATCTTGCATTGCTTTACCTCTTCTATAGGCATATGCTGGAAGATTCCTCTAGCGTACGCCGCCGCTACTGCTGCTGCATAGCCGTGCCATCTGTCGTTCTTGTGCGAATCTGAGTAGTCAGATATGCCCCTGATGACCAAGCATGGGAAGTCATTCATGGCACCAACTGCTTCCATCTCGAAACAGAGAACTTTCTGAGTTCGTGCTAATGTGTCTCTCTGCCGTCCGTTTCTCATAACTGTCTCACCTGAAGCTATCGTGCCGCGATGCACTACTAACCGGTCATCGTTTGCGCAATTGGTGCTGTCGTCGTCGCTGTCCTCGGCGTTTCGGTCGATAAGTTTGCTTGCATCGCATCTACATCTCCTGCATGACTTCTCCCTGTCCAGGTGAACATAATCCGATTCGTACAGATGGTCTTGGCCAGGCGAAGGCTGTTTGTAGCTACGAAGACCTGGTTTCGAAGTATCAATACGCCTCAGATGAGAGACCAGTGGATCATCCGAAAGCCGACGTCGGCGTACTTGTAATTCGCGTGCGGCGTTGAGTAGAACAGTTGGCGGCGGAGCAAGATATCCAGTCCGGACAAACTCGCCGGCTTCTGCTTTGCCGTGGTCGTACTGCATTGCACCAGAGTGTTTACCCACTGGCTCGCTGACCACGATATGACCAAGTCGAATCGGTCCCTCCTTTGTACGTAATGGCACACCACCACCTATGCCGACAAGCAGACCAAACCGTAGTCGAGGATAGGTATTGCGCATCTGCGCAACGACTGTTGCAGCTGAACAATTCCCAGTCGTAGGAAGACCAGCGATTACGACGTTGTGACCATAGATGGTTCCAAGATTGTAGGCGTTATGGTCGTACTCTCGCTGTGGAAGTCGTTGATGCTCTTCGTCCAGCATTTCCAGAGCCGCAACTTGTTCCACCTCGAGTGGGCAGATCCATGCGACTGTGTAGTCGTCGTGGCTGAGCTTCTTTGATTCTCCATAGGGAATCGAAGTGAGGCTGAAAGGAATAGTTCCGACGTTGGTGTGTTGAAGCAAGTTGTTGAAGAACGGAAATTGCGCAGAGAACGACTGCGACGAGGAGCTGAGATGTTAAGCTGGGTCGGCGCTTGCGTGCACCTTATCATCCCGACCTTGCAGCGAGGCTGACAACCCGGACGCCTCGCAGACGGTCAAGCATGAACGTGAACTGATCCAGGCTGAGCATATCGGGCTGTGGTTGGACGCCATTTCCGAGCGTGCATACGCACTAGAATTCATGCAAAACATGGCCATCGAACACATGGAACTACGCAGGATGTTGAGTGTTGCCAGCGGTCAGTACATCTGGATGCGAAATGATAAAGACTGAACATCTCGAAAGAAAACGACTCGAAGATGAAAAACAGTCCGGGAAGTCGCGGTGGGAAAAAAAGCAAGAGCGCAGCAGCCAGCTGCGGGGTCACCCGATCATCACAAGGAAGGAACAAAGATCCGGAAATTGCAAAACATGCAGCAGCAGGGATTCTCAAGGTTTTGAATGGTTGATGGGAGCAACAGCCTGCTATAGAGGTGCCTGTAGCCAAATCTCAGAAAAAACGTTCGAATATCGGTGTCCTCGTCACAGAAAAATGTCACCAGACTTGACCAAGAGACCTCAATCCAGACGCGCAGCGAACACATACACACACGCAGACTGTCGCATGGTAGCATACTGGCATATGTAACTATGCTAACCCACCAACGCCTCCGAACTTCATGGGAAAAAAGAATAAACACAAACGTGGTCTCCCTCACATCTCGACCCGGCTTTTCTCCAACGCAAGGTTTAGATCATATCGAAAACTTCGATCATCTTCGTCGCTTCTTTCTCCATCTCCAGGTTCGAGACCGTCCTGCGATCCGTCATTCGCAGTCGTGGGAGCTAGATCCGATATCGACATAGTTTCTGTTGAGACCACACTGCTCGGAAACGACATGGACCGACTTGGAAAGCTTCCATGTCGCTTGCTTACAAGCGTAGAATCGACCATTGGTGAGTTATCTCGCTCTTGTAATGAATGGACCGAAGGTGTGGCTGACGCCGACGCCGACGTTTTGCGGGAAGAGCTGCTCGCGGTTCGGTCGTGGCGGAAAGGCATCCTCAGGGTGGGCAATGAGGGCGTTCGGAAGCGACTTGTGTCTGCCGAAGTAGGAGGAGTCGGGGGAGAGATGGGGTTCTCGCCGACAGACTGGGTAGATGACTCTCGTGATNNACTAAGGTCGTCAGCTACAGATCGTCACTGTGAAACTATACTCGACTTACATTCCAGTGATTCATCGTCAAGGAGAGAACGCGGGAACCCACTAGCAGGGCATCCGCTGTCTCTCGAGGCAAAGAACACAAGGGTGGTTTTCGCCCCTTGTTTCGATACCTCGATTGCGAGAGGCTGGGGTTTGAACTCGGCTCGAGCTTGCATGTTCTGGATAACAGCTTCCTGGAGAGTGAAGATCTGTGAAAGGCCCACGATTCCCGGTCCTCCATGCTCTACTACCTCAAAGTAAGGTTGGAAGTCGAAACTTTGCTTGCCATGTAGAACTTGGCCCAAATTTCGAAGCTCTTCAGATCCCGCTAAGAAGCGGCAGCGAATCACGCCCGCAACCTGAAAGCCAGTCGAACAGGCGACCGCGTTGGTGGCAGACTTCTCAAAGAAGAAGCATGATGCTATCAATTGATGGGCGATCTCCTGGATCTGTATGCGATATTTGGGCATGCTCCGGAGCCTGGTCTGCGTTTGTGTTTGCATCCATTCAACCTGGCTCACATCATCTAGTTCAGGGGGTCTNCTGCCCAGATCGACGTTGATCCTTTGGTAGCGTTGCTGTGTGACAGTGTTGCTGCCCGTGTCGTTGTCCCTCAAAAAGTTGTCCCATCTGCGGTCGGAGTCCAGGATATCCCTGACGCGATGAACCAGAACACCCCAGAGTTGTGCCCAGCGAGGCTTGGATGCCCATTCTTTACTTGGAGTGGTGTCAGAATGTTGGGAATCCGGCTTCGGGCGGCCAAGCGACGGGGTATTGCTTGTGGTCTGGTGTCCCTCAGGACGTTTGTAGCCAGTGCCAATTGAAAGGACGATGTCAGGATGAGACGCTGCAACGTCTGGCCACAGTAACTTGCGCTCATGGTTGGCAACGACAATAGGGTTATTATGGTAAAGTGCGCCATCCCAGTACTCCTTCGCCGTCGTCGGGGATCGGAATGGCTTAAAGTACCTGGGCGCTGCAGATGTTGCCCGTGCTGCATGCCAAACTTGCATCTCGTCAGCAACATGCTCAGGCCTTTCGAAGACANNTAACCTGGCATTGTTAGCACAGCCAAAACATCCCACGTATTTGTGCAGCTTCCTTGCCTCACCTTCTTCGCTATCACGGCGTCTGTTGTAGTTTGCAATGACAACAGCTTTGTCTCCAGATGCAGTGGCAGATGTGACTGCGACTCTGGTCCGAGGCGATCCGTAGCTACGACCACTCTGGAACATGTCCCCGGGGCCGAAAGCCTCTTGAAGCGCAGTCTCGAAGGGACGGGTTTTGTAGAAGCTGTGGTGATGCAGGAATGCNGAGGTTTCTAAAAAGGGAATACCATGGAAGTCGCGGGGNGTGAATGCCCGGCCGCAGAGCTTGACGAAGGTGTCACTACTGTGACTAACCGACCATCCAGAGTTGCCGAGACCGAGTGCAATGATACCGCCAGTGCTANNTTGTCTTACTTAGTTAGGGCTTTTCGGCTAGACGCGAGCCATTAGATACCTTGTGCCGACTATAAGATCAAAGAATGCCTGGATGGGTATCTTTCCACCCAGTTCTGTTTCGATCGCCTTGAGGACCTCAAGTTCCATGATACCACGAACACCTCCACTACAAGATATGAGTCAACAGCTTGGTACTAATGCGAGTTACTATGACATACCCNNATCAAGAGTTAAGACCCGTACTCCGGCATGCTTGGGTTTCAACGATATCAGTTGTGGCACACGCCATGTGGTTTCCTGAACATGGAGAGGGCAGTGCCTCATAGATACCCAATAGTCGTCCATGACCATGCCGTACGATCGAATGCACCTTGTACATAGCACGTGCTGGCACGGCAATGGCTCGGTCGGAGTTTCTCTGAGGCAACAAAAACAAGCTGAGTGGCTGCGGAATTTGGTTGCCGAGCCGACCTGTTTGAAGAAGACATCCATGTTCCGCAAATGGAGTTGCAGCGCCAGATCCTCTTCCTTGAAGGTGGCAGTACTGAAGGTCTCGAGTTGAAGGTTCTTGCGCATGGTATCAAGATGCACGCGAAGCAAGTTCTTCCAAGTATCCTCGTAGTTCGTTGCTTCGAACTCCGATTGGAACGAGCCCACCGCAAGCACCTTGCCGCTGCTAGTTTGATGACCTTTCGGTCCATGACCTTTTTGGGTGTTTGCACATCTGCCATTTTTCGATTCGTAGGAACAAACCCAGTAAGATTGACAGAATTCGTGCAAAGCCTTGGTGCAGTGCGACATATATCGCTTGTCAAACAGATCGATGGCAGTGCCTTGATATTTCTGTCTTGTCAGATCGAGCATAATGCAAGAGGCTACCATACGTGCAAGTGGCTTGAAAAGTTTATCTCCATCTCGCCGTGTCGATTCCGTCATGTTGTCTCGTATAGCCAGTCCCATCTTCAAGATGTTTCCGCGAAAATCGAGTGGTATCGGATTATGTCTCAAGGAAATTTCGCTGAAGTCGAAAGCCTCGTCAAGGTTCTTCGAGAAATGATCGAAAGCACACTGCAAGTACATCTGCAGATCGTCGGCATCGCAAAGCATTCGAATTTTCTGGCGGAAAATGTACGCTCGATTGCATGCTTTGGAGATCTCGTGGTACAGACGTCCGACTTGCTCGTTCATGAGCATGTATCTGCCTTTGCTGGGTATTCTGACGACAGTGACAGACGTGTAGAAGCACTCGAGAAGATCTTTCATAGTTCGCACCTTCTTCCCTCTGCAACGCCAAAACTCTGCATACTTAGCAAATTTGGGCACCGCAGCAATCGCATCATCCACATCGCTAAGCAGAGATTTCGTGGCTTCGTTCACATCCCATTGTTGAGAATTGATCGCGTTGTCTGTTGCGTTCAGAGCAATGATTGCATGTGGGAGCAGCGGTTGATTGACAGACTTCTCGAAAGAAGTGTCCGCCCATCTCAAAAGCTTTTCCAGAACTTGCTCAAACGTCCTGCGAACATCAGCACAAAGATCTGTAGAATTTCGCTTCCTGATGCACGTACTTTGAGTTTCTCAATACAAACACAATGACGTCGCTGAATGTGTAAAGAATTCGAGGGTACAGCTCTGTCACGGCGAACTGCCTGCGGCGTTTCTCAGGTGAGGTTGCCCAGTCAAGGCGGGTGCTACGAGCAACTTTGTGAATCTTCTTCATGGTCGCCTTCTTCACCGCGTGCGCACCGGTGTGACGTTCAGCAGACCTGTACTTTACGGCCAGCGGGTCGATCTCACCACCCTCAAGTCCCTCGCAATCGGCGTAAAGTATCGGTCGGGACTGATCCCAAGTTCCAGGGTCAGAATATAAATGGACATCCGCAGATGTCGGCACATTGCTGTCGAGAGACGAGACGACCGGTGAGGCGAACGTCTTTGGAGACATCCGCAATGCCTTCTGATGGTCGATCAACATCTTCACGATTGTACTCTTCCCAGCCCCAGTCTGTCCAATAAATGAAACGATCTGAGGATATCTAGTGCCTATATCCATTGTAAGGCTGTCAGCCATGATGGTTTGATACCGACCATAGTTTTGGAAGACAGGGACGTTGTTCTCGTGGTCTATGCCAATCCATGTTGTGTCACAGTCTTGAAGATGAAGCTCCTCTTGTCTTTCTGGATCGGGATCGGGATTCAGAATCGCACGAAATCTTTCAAGCACCTTGTGACCGCGAGTAAGCTTTGTATGCGGACGGGTTGGAGCGATAACTTACCGACGGCGATGTCATCTCATGTGGTAGACCATCTTGTCCTTTCTTGCCAGCCTTGTGGGGACCTTGCCTGCCCCAGCAAGCATCGCAGTAGTAGGAATCGCAGTTGGCGCAATACCAGGTATCTGTGCGATACTCGCAGCTTTCACAAGGGACTTCTTGCATCCTGTTGTAGCTTTTCGAAACAATGCACTAAGGGGTGATTCTCGACAACCCAAGGATGGGCAAACGCAATCGTGAGGCGATGAGGTGCAGGTCATGCGAAGATGAAGAGTATGTAATCATAGGTTTTCGGAAAGGTTAGGCTCGTTACTCAGCCTCGTGGTCCTAGCTACAGGGGGTAGCAGCTCCGTTGGATAGTGCGTGACATCCAAAATCCTTATTTCGACCTTGGTAAAACCTTCGATTCGCTGTAATCCTTGTGAACTCAGACGGGAGCATGTACACGCTATCCAACGGAGCTGCTTCCCCCCTGTACCCGTAGATACTGAAAGGGGTAATCATCGAACAAGTTGCTGGGATAAATGCAGCCTCGCTGCAAGCCATTTCAGCCATGCCGCGACGACTCCGAGGTGGCAGAAATAGTTCGCAAAGACCAGAACACTCCGTATCGCGTGATCCAAACAGTCTTCAATAATGCTGGAGTGGCTGCAGCACACTGCTCGATGTCGCACTGGATTGAGCCCGATGAGGGTCGGACTTCGCGGTAAGCGCAATCTAGAACTGGAAACACGGCTCCATTATGATTGTGCGTTCTGCACCTCCGTGTTGATGACAAAAATTAGGCCTAAATGCTCACAGTAGATTGAAAGCTGCGTTCCAGCACCAGTGCTGCTCAGTCCTTCGTTAGTACTCATGAGGGCCATAGGCGGCCCGGCAGCCTTCTCTTTCGCAAAGCTCTCGGCGCCGCATGCGCCTCGCATTTCTCATCATAGTACGTCCGCATTACAGCGTATGAACACAGCCGTTGGATATAGCGCGCACATCTATGCGTCTGCATATCCAAGGATTACAGCGAATCGTGAGTGTTGCCAACTTCGAAATAAGCAGTCCGCAAGCTACGCACCATCCAACAGACGCGGCCTCACTCTGAAAGTCGTTGAAGGATGAGGATCCCACAGAGAACGATTGCGATGGAGAGCTGAACTACCATATTGGGTCGGTGCTTGCATGTTCTTGTCGTTCTCACAACGAGGCTGGCGGCCCGGCTGCCTGGCAGGTGATCAAGGGTGATCTACGCAGGCTGAACATCTCGGACTGTGGTTGGACGCCAATCTCAACATGCATACGCACTAGACCTTGAGCAGAATATATCGGATCATTGTTGCAAGTCGGGTCCTGTGGGTCTTGAGATCACGCAGATTGTCGATGCATGTAGCCAGCAATTGGATGGATTTGTATGCATGAACGGTGAAAGCTGAATGTTTCGACCGGGAACGACAGGACGAAGATGGGGACGAGTCCGAGAAGTTGCGGTGGAGGACCAAGGCAAGAGCGCATCAGCCAGCTGCGGGGTTGCATCCTTCCGAATCTTCGCCGCAGAGCTCACCGACTATCATGGAGGAAAAGAAAGCAAGCAAAAAAAAGAAATGGAAATGCAAAACATACAGCAGCAGGAATTCCCACGTGGTCACCCACCGTAGTACTAATCTGCCGTTCAACTGCTTATGTATGGCAGAGCGGACGGGATGCCCAGTTTTCAGCTGACTGTGGCCGTATGTGCTTAGAAGTGTATCTTACCTGAATATATTCTCTTGGATCACGAGCAAGCCTGTTCAAATTCTCAAGTCAACATCTGACAGTAACCAGAACTCCCAGGGCAACACCAATACTCGGCTCAGCCGGGGCTGATTCGTGGGGATGGGGCAGGGTGCCTCTGAAGCCTACACGATGAAAGTCTATGAGTCGTCATTCCACAGCGATTTATGCATGCATTGCGTTGTTATATGCTCTTATTGTACTTATAGACTTTGAAAAATCTCAAGACGTAAGTGATACTTGAGTAGGGCTGCTACGGATAGATTCTAGATGTATCAGACGTCCTCCACGTCACGAGTTGCTGAGGGGTGCAAGCAGAGCATTATCTTCTGTTGAATAGTCGCAAGACGTGCCGCAGAGTTATAGTAGCAAAGATATATCGCATGAGTCGTCTACACTTATATGAGCGACAGAGCTACTAAATGGGAAGCAAGTGGGTCGAGTGAAATTGCAACGTCCCTCGTGATAACTGAGAATTACTGTTGACCGGCCGATGTCAATTGCTGAAATGTTCACTGCGGCATGAATACCGTAGTCTAAATCATCGATATGAGAGGTGATGTGGTATTCTGCGATGTGAGGTGAGAAAGATAGGCAGCCTCAGATTTAGGGTTTGTGGTGGGTGACATCGTGTCAGAGCTCAAAATAGCCGCGGCTTGTGATAGAGCGTCACGGCGGTGTATAATGTCAAGACAGAAAGGTTGATCGAATTTTGAGGCTTCAGACAACAACAAAAACAAGTACCGAGACATGACGCATTTCATGACGAGTATATCAAAACGTACGGCACACGAGACTCAATCAGAACGTTGGGAGATGAGACAGCAATGGTCGAAGGAAGCGCCTTGGAGAGAGCGAGTCGGTGATATGGAGAGCGCTCGGAGCAGGCTGAGGGACGAGCGGTGAATTGGGACCCTTGTTTGTGCCTGAGTTAGCGCGGTTTGAGTTGCGGGCGTTGTGTTATGTATCAAAGTGGCCTTGGCATGTGTCTCGAGACACCTTCGATCTGCCCCTGCCACGCCTTTGCCTGTTTACTCCTGTACTCTGTTCTCAGCCAGTCAATGGGCCAAGCTGGGCAGGTGCTGAAAGAAGCAGCAACACTGACATTTTCAACACGAAACACAACCTGACTTGGGAAGATTGCCCTGCCTAATCCTCCGACCGCGTCCCTCGTTCCCCGCAATCTCACGACCCTTTGGGCAGCCACACAACCAAAAGCAACAACGACATGAGTCTGCGAGGCTCTTCGAAATGGGGCAAGCTGCTACGCAAGACTGAAGCCTCGGAANAGAACTTTAAGCTCAACGAAGACGTCGTCGACTTCCTCAAACCATCGACTGAAAAGGAGAGAATCCCTGGCGAAGGCACGCGACAGCTACCAGCTCCCCGAATTGACACTGCCGCTGCGCAGAGATGGCCAGACGCCACCGATGTACGGAGAGCTGCTGCCAGTCCCCCTGAAGTATACGCAGCGAAGCCAAAGAAAAAGAAGAAGAATGTCAACGTCTCATTCGTGAGAACACCACCAGAAATCATTGGAGAGGGCGGTGACGACTCGGAGGTTCCAGTGGTTGAGGTGTCAAGAGCAAAGGCGAGATTGGCAAGGTCACACACAGAAAGACGAGCTGCAGCCCCTGTGCTGGACACGCAGGCAGCAGAAAGACATCGCCAGGCCGCCGATTACCCCATGAGCGCTCCTGCCGTCCGTAATGCCTATCAACGCAATAACTCGCTGGCCGACCCGACACATCCTGTAAACCATCCCTTCTTCGAATCGCAACCTCAACCTATACCCCCTCCAGTCCCACAACATGCCCCTGCACAGGAGAGTCCTCGACCAGGCATGCTGAAGCGCGCTCCCACCACTTTTAGCAGCTTGGAAGATGACTCGATTTCTCCCACCAGCGATGAAGATGTGCCACCAATCCCACCACATATTGAACTTCCCATGAAAACAATACGACCTCCTGAATCTCCCATGTCTCCACCCATAATAGACAACACTGAATTGGCCAGCTTTCTGCAAGACTCTCCACCACAACCTCGTTCCCTGCCGCCCAGAGACGCCAAACGCCAGAGCATGATCCGTGAAGAGGAGGGCAGGGTTTTGCGTCGCTTGTCCAGACTCGACTACGATGTAGTTACACCTGATGCGCTGGACCCACGAAGACCACCTAGCCCGAACTCGCCTCCTCGTGAGAGCCGATCTCGTAGTCCACACCTACCATCCATCATACCCACCGATTTTGGCTCAGCTATACCTGACCATCTTCGCTCTGCTTCTCCTGAACAGCCAGCACCACCAATAGTGCTCCCTCACCGCGCACATCCACTACCCGAGATTCCTAGTCAGCACGACGATTCCACCAGTACTGCAGTCCATCCAATCACGACAAGAAACATGCAACCATCTTTCTCTTCATCTCATTACACCAATGACTCGACCCACTCGGCTTCAAGCCACCGGCAGCGACTTCCCTCGGACTTCATGTCTCCTACCTCGCCTGTTTCTTCCGTCCGCTCAGCTTCTTTACAGCCCAACAATCCTTCAAGGCTACCGGCTTCTTCAAACGCTCATCCTCTACCTCAACCTCCGAGCCGTGGACCAAGCCCAAGCTACTTCTCACAACAGTCACTGGCACCTCAAGCACAAAACTTCAATGGCCTTACTCCTGGTATCACACCCGGAATCACCCCTGGTCTCACTCCTGGAAACCTTCCTATACCTTCGTACGATGCGAATGGTAGATCTGGATCCGCCTTTTCTTACCGAAACATTTCTCCTCCTGAGCATGTCCAAGGAACTGCTGAGCATGATGCTCTTTTCGACTTTGGCATGCGTGTCGCCCACATGAGGGGCGTGTTCCGATTGACAGCTGAGCGAGAGCGATCCATTCAGAGTTGCACCATCCGGGAGTGGATCCGTGCTGCTATTTGGTGGCTACACAAAGGTCGCGCAGGTTTAACTGTTCAGATTCGAAGTACACCCAAGGGGACAAACAGGCCCGAGACTCTTACACAAGCACACGTTGATGTTGCCAAAACATGGTGGATTCTCACCGATGTCTTGTCTGGTGCAGATTCACCACACTCCAAGATTGACTCCCCACAAGATACGTTGCTGCGAGACATGGATATAGTCCGTGCAAGTCTTCGTACTTTCACCTTGTCAATGAGCCGAAACAATGTGATGCCACCTCATCAGTCTCTCATTCAAGGTCAAGATACGACGATGTGGGTGGAGTATCCTCGTTTTGCTTCGGATGTTGCTTCGCTTCTGCGTGGCAAGGCATCTCAAGCGTTGATCGCACAGGATGAAGTAGAGGAAGCAAATCCTCTGGAAGCACTACCTCTTGGCGACACAAGAGACACGTTCTGTTACAGCAGAATGTTTGTCAATGCTTCAGTCAACACAGACGAAGCAAACACTGATCGCGTTGTCTTACCTTGTGTTCTCACTATGATCAGAGGCAAATCCGAGTTCCAGACCTCGGTAGTCATCTCGAGTCAAGCAGATTTGGTGAACCTAGCAATCAGGCCTGGAGATGGAGGGTACGGTAAAGGCCCCACCTGGCATGATGTCAGTTGGAAGTCGAAAGAGCATGGTCTATACATTCGTCTTCCCAGAGGTTTCACACTCAACCTTGCGTTCCAGGAAACGGACTTCCGTTCTTTGTGGAGCATGGTTGACTACACTAATAAGATCTATGGCAGCATGAAGCCTGAAGCCGACGAGCGCATGGTTCATGAAGCCCATCTGGTCGAACTCGCACACACCGACTCTACCAACCCGAATGCATTCTCCAAGGATAAGGTCCGGTCGTGTACAGCATTCCTGTTCGAGAAGAGACTTCATGTGCGCACTGGACTGGGCGAGACCAACTTGCATCGTGGATATCGTCTGCTGTTGATGGCAAATCCTGTCAACAAGTCCTTAACAATGGCTGGCATTCCTTTGTGCAGAACCTCGCCACTGCTTTTCGAGATGACGACAGCGCATGAGATTCCCATCATGCATGTCTACACGCAGGATTCGAAGCGACAGTGTCGAACCACACTAGCATTCAAGAGTGATCGCGACCGCCAGGACTTTTATGAGGTGCTGCAAGGCATTTCCACAGACCAAGATGAGCAAGTCGTTGCGAGGGTTGGACTGAGAACTATGACGGCGGAGGCCTCAGTCGGACAAGATACGATTGCAGGTGCCTTCCAAGGACTTGCATGGAAGGACGTGCGAGTTGTGACTGAGGCCAACGCAGCGGTTGGACAAGACCAAGGTGATATGACACTTTCGGAGCATTTCCGTATTGTTGCGACGCATGACAACGGTGCAGTGACTGATCGCCTCAACCNNTTGGTAAGTCTGTCCAATTTGGAGAAATGATATGTGCTGACTCGATCTGCAGGTCCTGGCGAGCTCTTATTGCGTCTTCCAGCATCTAACACACCAAGTTTGTCACTCCTGCGCGCACCACAAGAGGATCTGACCGCCTCACTCGACATTGCCAAAGCTCAATATGGACGGGAAGGTTTGAAGAGATTCGTTCAAACAGCAGCGACCACACCTACTACCCGCACTTTGGCTTTCTCATCCTTAGAGGAGCTGCACACATTCCAAAAAGCGCTCACAAGATACACTGTCAAGTTTGACGGGACAGCTGCATTGTTCGGTATCTCCAGGCGTAGGATGGTGGTGCCAATCTACAAGAAATGGGAAGCGACCAAGGTCCGCATTCAGATCTTGACACTCGGCAACGTGACTAAGATTGCAGCCTTCTTCGAAGAGTTCAGCCACGCAGATGCCATGGTGTTCCAGATCAAAGCAGCAGATACGTTCGAAAAGGCCAAAGGAGACAAGCAAGCCAAATACTGTGTCAAGTTTGTGGACGCCAAATTCAGCTTACCGAAGAAAGAAAAGGATGGCGAAGGAGGTGAAGATGAGCCACCATCAGACTCGCAAGTTTGGGGCAAGGGTGTGCGTCGCAAGTTCATCAACCTTGAAGGGCTGGAATATGCAGGAGAACATGACGATATTACCATTGGCTTCGAGACGGAAGAAGGTAAGGACTACCCACAACCAGATCTTGAGATCAGAACATTGTGCTGACAAGACTTACAGNAACGCGATCGCTTTTCCGAAGGGCTGCCGGCAGCAACGACCAACAAGGTGTTCCAACTGAGGAGGAAGATCTGAGAGGAAAGAGCCAAGTGAAGTGTTGCATTTTATATGTTTTAGTTTCTGCATAGCGTGGTGAAGGTGTTGGAGTGAGCATAAGCGAGCGCTACGCAGCGTTGATCGCAGGCGCATGAGAAATGTTTTTCTTAGATCAGTGCTTCTTCAATATTAGTAAATCATGTCCGTCGGGTGCACAAGAACGAAGTGAGGTCCAGAGTAATCCAAAAGCGAGAGGAGAATCGAGGCTTGGCATCTGACTCGAGCCGGCGGTAAAGCTACGCTGCGGTCGTCCCCGCCGCGAGTCAGCAGATTTCAGACTCCAGCACCGACGACTTTGGAAAGAGTCACAGCCGTCAATTGTTTGCGCATCACTCGCAAAGTCACAACCACTTATCACACAATGCCCGGACAACGTGGACCCGTACCGGTGCCTCTCCAGGCCGCCGGCCGCGACCTCACTCAGGAAGTACTGGATCTTCTGGACACCAAGCAGACTGTTGCGACCGAGAACGACCTTCCCGATGTTGGACAGGCAGAGATCAAGGCCGCCCTGGACAGACTGGCCTCGAGAAACATGGTCACATACGAGACCAACGACAAGGAGCAGGTTGTTCTCACAAAGGAGGGCGAGCAGATTGCCAATGAGGGCAGTCACGAGTTCAAGGTGTGGGACGCTGTCAAGAGAAGAGGTCAAATGCCCTTGAAGGAGCTTCAGGTAATTCCTGCACACCAATTTGATGGCAATTGTGGCAGTTGCTGATTCAGAGGTCAACAGAACGAAGTTGGCGCAGACTCGGCCAAGGTCGGACAGGGCAACGCTTTCAAGCTCAAGTGGATCAAGAAGGACGGCGATGTGCTCGTGTCGCTGGTCGACTCTCCTAAGGACACAACACGCGAAACCCTCGCAGGCATCCAGAGCAGCAAATCTCTGTCCGACAACAAGCTCCTCGCCGATCTCAAGAAGCGCAAGTTGGTTACAGTCACAAAGGTCATCAGCTATGTCGTCTCCAAGGGTGACAAGTACGCAAAGGAGATGCCTGTCGAGCACACCGACCTTACTCCTGAGATGCTCGAGTCTGGCGAGTGGAAGACTGCAAACTTCAAGCCTTACAACTTTGCTGCTTTGGGTTCGCAGCAGCACGCTGGTGCCCTGCATCCTTTAATGAAGGTGCGCGAGGAGTTCCGCAAGATCTTCTTCCACCAGGGCTTCATTGAGATGCCCACTGGCAGGTGAGAACAGTTACAAAGTTCCCCTCCATCATCACCAACTGACTGTTTCAACTCANGATTCGTCGACACTGGTTTCTGGAACTTCGACGCTCTCTTCGTTCCCCAGCAACATCCAGCTCGCGATCTCCAAGACACCTTCTACGTCTCCGACCCTGTATCTGCCGACTTCNCCCGTGCCGATCCCATCGCAGACGCAGCCATGGAAGCCATGGAAAAGGACGCCAAACTCTACGACCCTCGCCTGGCCTCAACAGAACAGCCCAGACTCGACTACCAAAAATACTACGACAATGTTCGCAAAGTACACCAAGACGGCGCTTTCGGCTCCATCGGCTACCGCTACCCCTACAACGACGCCGAGACCACAAAACTGGTGCTGCGAACACACACCACTGCTGTTTCTACATACGTCTTGCACCGTCTTGCTGCCAACCCCCGTCCCTGCCGCTACTTCTCCATCGACCGCGTCTTCCGCAACGAAACCGTCGACGCCACTCATTTGGCAGAATTCCACCAAGTCGAAGGCGTCATCGCCGACTACGACCTCACCCTCGGCGGCCTAATGGCCTTCCTCGAAGGCTTCTTCGCCAAACTCGGCATCTCCAACCTGCGCTTCAAACCCGCCTACAACCCCTACACCGAGCCCTCCATGGAAGTATTCGGCTACCACCAAGGCCTAGGCAAGTGGGTTGAAATCGGCAACAGTGGAATGTTCAGACCTGAAATGTTGGAATCCATGGGACTTCCTAAGGATTTGAGGGTTTATGGCTTTGGATTGAGTTTGGAGAGGCCGACTATGATTAAATACAAGGTGTCGAATATTCGCGATTTGTTGGGACATAAGGTGGATCTGAACTTTATTGAGAGCAATGCTGCTGTTAGACTTGATAAGGATTAGATGACAGAAAGCAAGGAGGAGGGGGAGGGGGAAGAGTGATGATTGTCAAAAATGTTTACAAAGTTTATACCAACAAATTGTGCTTAGAGATATTGAGAGGTGATATTGAAGAGAGTATGCCGTGATGCTACACATTTCTCGTATCTCTAACTTTACCCCGAAAAACCCACATTTATAGCTGCAAGGCAAAGTTCTTTGCGTATCCTTCCTCCCTCATGTGCGGAAAACTGTCACAATGCAACTGTAGGAAAGCAGAATGCTGTCCGTCTCCCAGAAGAAAAAGAAAAAAGCAAAGATATCCACACTCCAAGAACAAAGCATTAGATACTCTTTAATCATGACTTTCGAGGCTGGCTTAACTACATGCAACTAATATCAATCAACAAGTAGGTCAGACACCATGAGAAGAAAATGTTCGATCGTGTCAGTATACTGAAACCTTAGCCACAGTACGATGGTCTTGTCGTTGTGAGGGATAATTTGCACCTGACCATGTCAAGTTGATTTGAAGACAGATGCATGCCTCTGAGACCGGTGTACAGCCATTTGGCTTAGCTGCTGGCCTGAAAGGCACAGAGATGTTTCAAACGTCCTTTGACGATCCTCTTTTCATCCAGAATCACGGTCTCAGACCACCATACAAAATTACAAACCCTCTCCACAAGGCTTACGTCGGTTTCTTAGTTGTTGTCGAGCTCGCGGGAAGCCTAGAGCTTGTCTAAATCTCCTCCTTTTACGACCTGTCATGGAAATCTGGAAAATGTCTCAGAAGGCAGTCTGTGAAACTGTTGGAAAATGCGGAAGCGTCAAGACGCTTCTCTGGGTCCGGTACCAACGCTCCATCCAAAAGAAGCTTCGATAACATCAGGTAGAACTTCTTGCAGAAGTTCTCGGTCGAAGAGGCCCATTTAAGGAGACATTTCTGGATGTGTGGATTCTGCATGTACTGAATTGTTTGACCATACTTGTTTTGTCCTCTAAAAGTATTCTTCGATGCGAATGGGAGCCGATATTTTTCGACGAAGAACCAATCAGAACCATCTCCACAGGCAGAAAGTCCATCTTGAAAAGATGCTACTCCTCGGGATCCTCCATAAGCAAAAGACATGACCACGAGGACGATACATGCAAGAGACCAAACATCATATTTGATCGTGACCTTTGACTCTGGATGAAGTGCTTCTGGAGCCATGTATGTCCCAGCCCCTCCCAGCGCGGCGGGTTGCTGCAGCGCTGTAGAACGATCTAGTCTCCTTTCAAAAACTTTATCCAGGTTCAATGTTGTTCGAGCATATACGCGATCCTTGATCTTCTCGACACGAGAAATACCAAAGTCTGAAACTTTCCAGACTTCGCGACCGTTGTCCTCGATGCACACCAGGATGTTCTCGGGTTTAAGGTCCATATGGAAGCACGATGCCATGGTCCCGTCTTTGAGCTCAAGATTGTGAAGGGAATTTGAGTGCTTCTGCGAGGTCTTTGACTTTGACAAAAGATCTCGCTTTGCACGGTGTGTTCTAGGTGAAACATTTTTATCGTCCTTCAGATACTCGGCCAGATTACATTTCGCCAGTGGGTAGAAGATGCTCAATTGTGAATTTGACTCCAGGCCAGCACACATTATCATTATGTTAGGATGTAGACGCTTAGCCTGCAAGATCTGTTGCATCGCCTCCCATTCTTTCTGAAAATCTTCTCGGCCTTGGGTAGCAAGCCTGAAATCTTTGCGAGCTAGAGCAGTTGTATTGGAGTGTCGGCCTTGTAAATGCCCTCGAGGAATTCTGACCCTGTAAACCGTACCAAAGATACCACTGCCAATCTTAATGTCCTCGAGATACGGCAGTTTGCATCTCGATTTAATCCCCGTGTAGTCGTTTATCCTACGTTCCTTCAAGACTGCGGCGCAAAAGGCAAATTGTTTGTTATAGAAGAGCTGTCCAAGATCTGGATCAAAGATTGCATAGACGTCTCCTAGATCCCAAGGCAAATTCGTGAATTGTCGGTTGAGATAATGTCGAAATTGGCTCCAGTGTACCAAAGAGAACTCGTCGATACAGAGCAGAACTGCAAGCACCAAAGATATGTGGTCCATCCATCGCTCCTCAGTGGTAGGAATACTCAACACAGATGACGGGTCTCGGTCGTGTTCTTCGCTATTCTCGCCCGCGCTTCTGCAAAGCGCCCTTAGGTCGTCTAACGTTGCGTCAAAATAATGTCCTTAGCCTTCCCGACTGGCAGGAATCTTTTGTCGGGGTGATTCTTGAGCTCGAAAGCTGCCCTCAGTTTGCATGCAATTCGTCCCTTTGCTTGTGCGAAAGCCTCCTCGGCTTCGGTAGCGTGAGACATCAGCTCCAAGTAGGGGGGAGGCTCTGTGGTGTGCATGCTACGAGATGAGCGTAGCTTCTGCTTGGCCCATGCCGGAATAGAGATTTTGGGACAGTATTATGTTGCCAGGTTACGCAGTGGAGGATTTGAGATGTACTTGTTGTGGTTGCATCCTGTCATCCTGCCGCCGCGCCTTGAGGAGGCTGAGGTCTGCCCGATTGGTCGCACCTTATCATGCGTACCATGCGACCCGACTCTCGTCAAGCTACGGTGATACTGTATGCTTCATCCTGGGATCGGACTGGACAGAGTTACGCTGACCTCGAACGTCTTCCCCAACCTAGTCACCTTGCTATATGATGAAAAGGTAGTGTCGCTAGGGAGTCGAGTTTCGCAGATCGGGGGCTAATTTGCCAAGGATGGCGCGAAATGCCGAGCTTTCTCAGGCGTCCAAGCGTCGTTGTTGCCTGCAACTCTCCTTCACATCAACATTGCAACACCATCAATACAACTCTCATCATCGTCGCATCACCCGCCAAATCCATCGCGTTATCGAAGAGTAGACCACGCTGACCCTCTCGTGTGCTTGTTTTCGTACCAGAGATCTGCTCTTAGCTGTTGCGCCCGCGTCCGCTGTGAAAAGGCCGACGCGACGCGACCGCGACGACTGATCGCTCGTGCCTCTCCAAGCCCGACGTGTGTCTGGTTACCGTCTATTTTTTGATTGTTGTGGATGCTGAAAATTCATCTCTCTCTTGCAAAAAGTCAAGGCTGCTTTCTTATACCAAAGCCTGGGTGGGCGGGTTATCTTCTCTTTCGAGAAGGGACAATAAGGTATCGTGTACTCTTGTCGTCGAAACCTAACGCCCTTGACCTCTAGGTAGTCTGAGTTGTGGCTCTGTGTCGGTATCCAGCTATGGATCACTATGGTCTTGTTTCGAGCGATCCACCATGGAAATGGGTCGTTGAGAAACCTTGTTTTGTCTCTTGGAGCAGCATAGAGGAGGGACCGACATGCTTGGGTCAATTATCGCCTCTGAACTCGACATCCAAGCTAACCATCAATATTGGATGGCGACCCGATGAGCTGTTGATAGCTTTACATCTACCAGTATCGATACGCGCTTCAAAAAATCCTCGCGACATGTTCATGATCATCCCTTCCGATTTTGACACTTCGGTACTCGATTCAACCTTCACGCCTGTACAAGCGGATGGCCGAATCGATCTCGAGAGTGCTGGCCTTGCTGACTGTAATTTGTTTCATCTCTCCTTCACACTCGCCACGCCATGCGACGTTATCATGCCTCGAGCCAAGCGTCAAAAACCTGTCAAAGGCACGCCGAAAGAGTTGATGTCGAGGCTAAAATCATTGTCTGAAACAACGTCTTTTGATGTATACTTCAGGTTCGATACGTTCGCTCAACTCGAGTTGCGTAAAATCTTTGCTGCAAGCCTGACGAATCAACTCAATGCTCCAACTCTGCTGCTTGACAGCATGTATGATGGCCGTGGAGGCGGAATCAACCTCTGGCTCAATCAAGGCCTAGATCTCGAGCATGAGAACAAGAAATGCCAGTCTCGTCCTGAATTGCTTCAAGACATTATCCCGCTACCTCCTTATACTCGGGATACAATTCCATCCCTCGACCTAAACAAACCTCCCGGGCTCTTTCTTGAGGAGGTTGAAGTGCCCTTCAGTGATGTTAGTGTCGCTTCTTTGTCAATGCACAAGGACAGTGATAGTGAAGGCGTGCCTGAGACACCTTTCTGGGCCCGTATGCGTCGCATCATGGACTATCGATCCCCAAGTGTCGAGCATCCAAGCAGAGCCACTTTCAAACGTGCTGCAAGTGTTGGCTCATTGTCTGAGAGCAATTCGAGATCGAAACAGCTGCGGACCTGCCGCTCGCCTTCGCTGGGACCTCCAATTTGTGAAGCCTCTGCTCCCGTTGTCGCTGGACTTGATATTGCGTCGAGTTTTGCGCATCACAAATTGATCGCCCAGGACGAGAATACTAGTGAGGTGGCATCGCGATTGCCTGAATCTGCGATTCGCGAAATTTCCGTTCCTCCCTCGATGGCACTCGAGACAACGAACATTGCTGTGCAGCAAGGAACGGACTCATCGAGAGACAGGGCCGAAGAAATTGCAAACTGGTTGTTCAATGCTTGGAAAGTCTTGCCATCTGCACACTATGACCTTCGTGGCCAACTACTCGCTCTCAGCAACGCTTCAGATGAGCTATTTGCTAAGCTTCGTATCGAATGCACGACTCAACTGGCCTTCGCTGCTGCACGGGTCCCTAAAACAGAAGGATCGGCCTGCATAATGAAAATGTCTGACGCAGAAGAACAAGTCAGAGAGGTCGTACAGTGGATCAACGACGTCAAGTCTGGTGCTGATATGGGTCTTATACACGACATTGTTGCATTGGCTGGGGTAGCGATGGAGGTGGTGGATTCCGCTCCAGACTTGAAAGCTGAGAGAATGAATGACTTTTTGATGTGCAAGGCAAGATGTATTGCTGACGCCTGTTCCCTGAGAATTGGCTATACGGCAGGCTGAACCAACGCAGCTCTGTGCGCACGTATCTCATGTTCGACTCATTGCAGTCTTGATACATCTTTCTGGCTGCTGCATTACCTTTAGTTGTAATGAGATGCCGCTTGTGACTCGTGAGCATGGCTTCTCTATGTCAACAATCAAAGTTCTGCAGCTGTTATAGCAACTGCACAATCATATCAGAAGTCAGTGTGGCTGAGTAGATGGTGACAAAGTTTTGAACTAATGGGCCCTTCGGTTACAGATCTCTTGTAGGCTTTCTCCCATGCTGCAGGCAGTGCTCAGTGCGATTTCCGGTGCGGCAGTCCGAAAGGCTGCAAACTTGCCGCAGGTATGGGTCATGTTGACACAAAAGTTGTCCCTAGATGTTCAAGCAGAATTCAGGAGGCAAGGATTCTCATAATTTGTGGTAGACCATGATTGCTCCGTTCTTCGAACTCGCTGTCATGAGCACACTACTCGACCAATTTTCCACCCTTCCGCCTCTAACCACTGGTTTCCCTGCTCTTCCTGGACCTCTCTGACCCCTTGTCTCCGTTGCCATCAAGAGGAGATAACGACACTATAGAGGAAGCATTGTATACACTTAGCCTCATTCTTCAGCCTCTTGAGTAGAGCGAACTCTGCTTGGCTGAGCTTCATCACAACATGGTTTGCGCGTCGGATTTGTGTGATTCGTGACGATGCAGTAAAAACCTGAGCCTGTTCGTTCGAGGCAGCTATCATAGCGCGTCACAGGTAACCGCGGCAGAATCGCTCCTTCGCCGCCTCTGTCTGCTCTTCGGAAGCGCCGTGAATGACACCACGGAAACCACGTCGATATTCTGCGCCAAGGCTGGTTCGGCTGCATGTTCAAGAGTGGCGTCCAACCATATTTCGCGGTTGTCCGCTTGGAAAGACAACCCGATGAACATTGCTGATCCGCCATGCATGATCCGTCAGGCTCACCGCAAGTTAATGCAAGCACGGCATCACGGTGGCATGGTACAATGAGTGCAAGCGCTGCAGTATGTTTTGTGTCTTCCAGTGCTTGCTGAAACTGAGTGTCTTGCTCTACAGTGAATACCAGATCTTCAATGATCTTCTCTACTATGATCTTATGATTCCAGGAAGTGTTGGGTAAGTTCGTGTCTGTAGGAATGAGAATCAGCGTGGTGCATAGTCATCTTCTCCCTGCATGCACCCAGCCAGCCACGTCCGACAGGCGCTTGGAGCTTCGAGCTACGGTTTTTCGGCGCGTAGATAAGAAATACGTCTGCCACATACCAAGGGCATGGATTCAATATTGACATTTTTGTTTTCATCCTCGAAGGTCCATCTACCTACATCCGAAATAACTAGATCCTGCAATTATGAGCCAAGCGCCAACTACTTCGTCCAAGCGACTGAGAGACGAAGTGGAGGGACGACGAATCTGCGCAACTCGATCCAAAAAGACGCAAGGAACAGACGACTGTTGAACACGCTACCAAATCGTCATACTTGATTGTGCACAGCATCAGGTGTAACAGCAGCCTCTATCACTCACATCATGAAGAGCACGCGTACTATCTTGATACCCCTCACTTATTCGCAGGGGACTCTAAGGCAAACGGGTTGAGAGGCACCCATCGGATCGAGGATCTGGAACAGTTCCTGGAGGAGCATCCTGACTACGACTTTGTCGTCACAAAGAACCACAGTTGTGAGGCATACTATAAAGCCCACGAGGGGAAATTCGACGAGATTGGCGACTCGAAACTTCGATCTAAGATACCAAGCAAACAGCGAGCCTTACTATACACCCTGCCTAGAGACCTACCTTTGGCAATGCCGAAGGATGAGAGCATCACTCACTTCAGCAGAGATATGACAGAAGCTTTGAACGCACTTGATACACTCTGTCACTGGGATGGTCTATTTGATACCCGTTTTCCCCAAACTTTGGAACTCGAAGCACCTTACACCATTGTATATCACTCTCGCTCATCGTTGAAAGACTATCAAGCAAGGGGGATTGACCCCATCTACTGGCCGCGCATTGACAGTTTCCAAGATTATGTCTTGGGGGCGATGTCGAATGACTACGCTGAAGCTGATACTTATTTTGAGAAGCGTGAGACGACTCTACAACATCTGGCAAAGTTGTTTCGCAAAGGCGATGTTGTAATCACAAAGAGAGAAGGAGAAGAAGTAGGCTTGCTATGTCTGTCTGTCTCCTTCCCCAATCCTGGAGTGTGTGATCTTGTGTGCCAGTCTTGGACTTTCGATGGAGCTTTCCGGATGAAGTTGGAACAATTGCAAGTCACTTGGCCTGCCGGTGACTCCCTAAATGCGATTCCTATTGTCACTTTAGAAACCTTTCCTCTTCGTTTCGGGTTAAGGGAGTTGGAAGATGGTCTCAGACAACGTGGTCAGATGCTTTGGGACTGTCGTTTTAGGAAATATGTGAGCTACGAAGACTCTANNCCTCGACATCTAGTATGCAGACAGTAAGTTTTACGCTAGAAGCCTCATAGACTTGATGCTGATACAGAACAGACAAATCTGAGATTCATGGTAGACATGTCTACTTATCATGCACTGCATCCGCCGACAGCCGACGCACCTCAAGATATCGCCTCACCGGGTGGCGACCTCATGGATCATGCTGTTATGCAGGCCAAGGAGCCTCCGGGAGATGAATTCCTTCTCACACTGCCCGCAACAGTACCAGGCTTCGGCTTTCACAATAAGAGATTCGGTATGTCCATGCCTCGCAACCCAAACCATGATGAAACTAACCTGATCANNGTTGACCTCTCACTACGTAACATCAAGGAAGTGATATGGGACAAGGACGCCTTTCAAAACTTGGTCATGGACNGAGAAAAGAAGAGCCTACTCGAAGCGCTTGTGGTTGTTCAAGGCGATCGAAGTCAAAATCAAGTGCCGGACGTCATCGAAGGAAAAGGCAATGGACTCATACTCCTACTTCATGGTCCTCCTGGAACAGGAAAGACGTTGACAGCAGAGAGCGTGGCAGAGCGGGCACAAAAGCCGCTGTATAGAGTCACCTGCGGAGATATCGGAACGCATCCGGAGAAAGTCGAGAGATATCTAGATTCCGTCCTCTTCATCGGCAAGACCTGGGATTGTGTGGTTCTGCTGGACGAAGCTGATATCTTTCTGGAGGAGCGATCGCCCTCGGATCTGAAACGCAATGCGCTTGTCTCTATCTTCCTCCGTGTACTGGAATACTACGATGGTATCCTCATTCTGACGACCAATCGCGTTGGTACATTCTNNGATGAGGCTTTCAAGTCACGGATCCAGCTGGCAGTTCATTACCCATCTCTGAAACGGCCTGACCGAGAACAGATCTGGAAACTGATTATTGATTCTATCAAGAAAAAGGATGAGGTCAAGGTCACCGACGCTCAGCTTTTCAGGCTCGCGGAACATCCCCTGAATGGAAGACAGATAAGGAATACGATAAAGACAGCGAGCCAGCAAGCCTTCTACCAAAAAAGCTGCCTGACATATGGCCATCTGCAGACTGCGATCGATGTTGCTAGGGAGTTTGAAGATTACATTCACAAAGCCAGAGGCCAGACGGATGAAGAGAGAGCGGAGGATATCATGGTCAGAGCTCCGGAGCGCAGGGAATGATAACTTCCAAATGTATGTCTCTTGGCAGGCATCACGATGTCCTTCTGATGGCACGTTGTAAGCGGGTTCGTTGTGCAGTCGTTCTCGATGCTTGCTGAGATCGCAATTTTGGTGGGACAGGCCTGTACTGCAAAGAGCAGGTGAGTTCTTGGGGTTGACTTCCTTGTGAAGATCTAGTGTGAAGGTCGGAACCGTAATAAAGAACGAAGACTTTTGTGTGACCTTGAGCGGTTCTTATAGACTCGATAAGGCTCCTGAGAAGATCGATTAAGCTCTGAAAGGTATCCGGCTCGTTATGATACTGTTCGTACAGGTCGATAGTATCGAGAACAAGACATGGCTCTGGCAATGATGCCAATAGCTGTCCAAGTAGGCGCATCCATTCCTCTGGTGAAGTGCAGTACTGGGCAGTCTGGAGTTTCTCGGAGAATTGCGATAGGTAGTTTGGATTTTTGTTCATCACTTGATGAATTATCCCTTTATCNCAGGTTGCGAGTAAGATCGAATGATCGGCGGGACTTCTGAGTGTGACTTTGGGCAGTATGAAGAATGTTGACCAACCAGATGACTGCGATACGCGTATGAGTTCAACGAGTATCGTTTTTACCATAATCTTGAAGCGTAATGCAACTCGGACTATGAGCAATGAAGACGCTTGTTCCTTGAGCCACCGCTCGATGCAATGGCGTAGATGATCTCCATTATGTAAAAAANNATCACGTACGTTAGTTTGTCGTTTCAGCACAAGCTGCATCTGGAGTAGATTTTGGTCCGGATCCAGATCAGGTCGAAGGCCCTCTAGTATGGCCCTCACTCGGAGATCGCGGACCCCCGGCGCTATAACATCCATGTTCTGTCGCAGGATGGATGAGACGTCTATATGGTTTACCCATGTGGTCAGCGAGGTCAATCGCAGCTTCGGTTGGCTATACGAACTGATGTTTACTTGTTGTAGTAGCTGTTCCAACAACTTCGACATCTCGCCCAGATTGGTATGCAGTCCGGAAACGGCGACTTGAACGTTATCCAGCTTAATTCCTTGTGCGCTCAAATCATCTTGAACAGCTGTGAGCTGGGCGTACGATGCCCGTAGGGCATGATCATTGACTTTTGCAACACAAGTGCGGATTCCTTCAAGGCAGTCTTTGTACTTGAGTTCCCATGGACTTCCTATAGCAGATAACATGCGCCGCACGGGATTCTTGGTATACCATGCAACAGCCTGGTTCAGAAAACGCATGATCTGGAGGTACAGTTGAGAAATTGTGGTTTCGATATCGATGGTGCCATAAATCAAGGCAATGCAAGTGGCAGAATTTAAAGCGTCGCCGATCTCAACGAAAGCTTGCGCGAATTTGTGTAACAATTCGCCATGGTTAATGATGCCCTTTCTCATATTAGCTGATCTCCAGAATGTGCGAGCAGATGCGGTGCTTACCATCAATACAAACTTCATTGCACCCCAAGCTAGGGCCACGTATTCGGGATGATGCTGCGAGAGAGCATCCAAAACACCGCCGTAATAGACGATTCTGGAGGATATCTCGCCGAGTTTTGCAGAGATCTTGGACGACCTGGGATTCAATGGCATTGCTTTTTCGCGAGCTTGCTTGACGACCAAGAGCACGCCAGCCATTGTGGTCTGTCCATTCAGCCAGGTGGAATCCCCGCTGTTTCCTAGTTCCTGTTTGAAGTTTCTGAGTGCTTCATCATACGCCGCTTGTAAAAGATCAGCGGAACTGCTAGAACACAATCGTAAGCCTAGTCACAGACCAAAACGTGATTCAGACTGACCTATTACTAGAGCGCGACTTGTACAGGGCGATGATAGCATCCTTAGGTGTCAGTGACATCTTGACCGTGAGCTGCAAAATCACCTATGTAGGCGGCTGGGAGTATAAAGAACAAAAGGACAACACAGTATGAAAAATAATGTGATTCGGACTGATCGGTTCATTATATACATGCGCATGGTGGCTGAGGAGGGGCAGCGTGCAGCGAGGCTGTGCCTTTGCATGAATTGCGCGTGATACCCTACCAGACGATTCCTAAGTATGAAACTCTTCTGCACGTCGGGCACTTCTATCGCATACAACTCCTTGCACAATTCAAATTTTGACCAAAACTTTTCTGGTTATGTCTGCGTCAAACAGGTATGTTGCTCGTCAGGCCTAAACATGAAGAAGACTGCTGATCGACCTGTAGAGCTTCGTACAGCACGACACCAATCAGCACTGCGAGGCCCGCGAACCGCTCTTCCTTCACATCACACCTCCGTCATACGGCACAAGACCCAAAGCACAATCCATAAGGGGTAGCTAGCATAAGACAACGAATTGAAGTTCTCTGTTTGCAGGTCATCGCTGCGTTGTCGAGATACCATGAAGAGGGCCCATTCCTCTAGAACACCGAGTTATACGATTTCAGACGATTGGACCGGCGCGGAGAGAGAATCGAAGAGGTCGCGACTATGCGCTCTCGAAGAAACACTAAATGGATCAAGTGGTCTCTCGACAGCACTTCGGGAGACGGGGGCCATGGTCAATTCCAAGCGCAGCGCAGCTGAAACCGCCTCGACATTGAAACAAGCGCGAATGGATAACCACCAAGGAACGGGCGGCCCGGACCGTCAACTTCCCTTCCGCCAACAAGTACACAACCCATACATCAGGCGAACGCGCCTCCTCTATCTTTTGGAGGGTCTTTTGGAAGTGCTTGGCAGCCTGACATACAGGTTAGACAAGTCTCGAAGTTCGATGCGGCACTGCTAAACATTGAAGTAGATGAGGAACAATCACTGGTCATTCCTCGTACCGCGAGAAGTTACCGAGGTATGATTAGCCCAGGTTATAGCTAACAGAGACCCATGCTGACTGATGCTTGGATGCAGGACGAACTCAAGCAGGTGTCATAAGAGTATAATCATTTCCAGGCAGTAGTGCTAATGTATATTTAGGTCTTTGACCCTGAGATCCAGGGGTAGCGATGGATGAAGTAGTTCTTCAGACTTTTCTATACCTATAGATAGGTTATATTGTCCACTCCTATACGAATCTCTATCATGGTAATTCTAGTTGTAAAAATCGTGAGAATTCATGTCTCCTATCATTCCCATGAAATTTCATCTAAAGGTCTGCTTGATCGTCCCCAAAAGTCTCGTCAATCCCTTGAGCTTCATCAGTTTCATAAGAAACATTGATGCCGAATTCACACGCCTTATGCTGCGCCTTACTATGGCCCAATTGAGGGATAATTACATACAATATGCGCGTGGTGGCGGGCTCGGAGAAGCGAGGCTGTGCTTTCTGCAGGTTGCGCGCGATGCCCAATCTTTATGCGAGACGCCCTTTTATACACAAACCTCTCCGTATCGCTAGGATGTTCATGTATCTTCAAATTGATATTTACGTTGATTGAACATCGCTGAGTGGCTCGTGGGAAGCTGCGTCGAATAGGTTTGTTATCTAATCAGGCTGTAGATGAAGACGACTTCTGACTGGCTTGTAGATACGACCTCAGCCCGGCGCTGTACCGGTCTTTGGATTCCGTTCACACCTTGGCGACATTGTATGGTGGAAGAATAGACACGATTTTGCAGGCACCAGAGAGTCGGCTTAATCGGTCCGGCTCAAGGACGCCGCTGCATCGTTGAGATGTCTCGTCTACCTGAGGAAGTCAATGGCCGAAAGAGGGTCAATCACACCATCTCGGACGATTGGACCACCGCGAGTGGAGATGTCAAGAAGCGGCGACTATGCGCTCTCGGAACGAAAATAAGTGGGTCAGAGGAATCCCAATTGAGGATATCGTTCCAAGGAACGAACGCCATGCACCCAAAAGGTCCACCACCTCTGCATCGTAACTCCACCGAGAATCCCAGCGATTGGGAACGTTATGTGCCCCGGTCTCCAGGTGCAAGCGAATCTCCAAGTACAGAAGCGCTCGCACAACTTCAAGCTGGGGCACAGGTGTTTCATCCAGCTTCCAGAGGTCGCACGCCTTTGCGTGACTTCCCTGCTGGGCACAGGCACCTGAGCGCAGCAACAGCAGCCGCCGATTTGACTCTGACGTCGACCGGAAGATTGAAAAGGGGAACGAAAGGAAAGCCGCAACATGGATGTGTTTTCTGTGGAAAGGTCGCTCTAGTAACGCTGTCTTTTGATTGACGACCGCCGCTTACCTGCACTAGATTTATACTCGTCGAGAACACTTGAGGTAATCCGCCTCTGCTATCACAACCCTTAAATAAGCTGATGATTTGATTAGGCGGCATCAACGCAATCACAAGAGAGGTGCCTATCCATGTATTGCTCCTAGCTGTACATGCACTTTCCTTAACCCTGCTCTACTTGAGCGGCATAGACGTAACGAGTATGTTGGTCGTAAAAGAGATTCGTTCTGAGCTGTATTCATTGACAACCGCAGGTCGTGCTTTACCTTCGAGGTCCCAGAGATATGTCTCTTCCGCTGTCCATCTCGTCCTGAGATTTCTCGCTCAACTTCGGCTACGCCAGTCACCCCTGATGGATCAACGCAGAGATAGGCGTCAGCGCTTGCTCCATACACTATCTCCCCAACAAACAGAGCACCACCGAAGGGGCATTGATTCTCTTGCCAACCACTTCACCAGCTTGCTATAGAGAGGTTTCATGCTTCAAGGCATTCCTAGTAAGCAAAGAACCTATAGGTTGCTTATCCCTTGTGACACAACAGGTCGGCGCTACGAAGCTTGTCGTACTAGCTGATAACAACAACCTGGGTTCGCAGTGTTTTCTCTTATCACTGGTTTTTGCTTCCTCCTTTCTGTATCAATGAGATCGCTCATAGCAAGGTCTTAGGCGATACAGGATCTCAAACATCTTGGGCCGCAAAGTTTCATCAGAGTTGAGTATGCGCGATACCAATTTCTCAAGCGCATTGATGGAAAGGAGAAGATTGAGACACACCAGATTACATCTGATGTCTGTATGTTTCCTTCATGCATATGCGTGTCTGCATTCAAGTCGTTATAATCGTGACTCGTGAGAGCTCGTTCCTCGTTCACCTCCCATGGAAGTGGTTGATAGAGACTAGCTTATCATGCTGCCCAGCTAACATTCGTTATACAAGGACGGATTCTGGATGATTTAGAGTTTATCAGAAACACTTTTCCGACAAAAGCAGAAGAACGTGCTTCTAAATATACTAAACGAGTCTTGAGATTGGTCTTCTTTAGTCAATTACTGCACAACAACCAAAACTATTCACAATGTAGTTTTGCTACTACAGGGAGCAGCTAGAATCATGCTTATGACGAGGCGATATTCAAAACGATTTGATTAAGTCAACTGGTTACAAATAACATGCGTGTGGTGGCTGACGGGCAGCGAGGCTGTGCCTGGCGCCCTTGGCCGCATGCCACGCGTGATGCCCAACCAAACCACCCTCCATGAAAGTCTCTTCGTGGTTCTGACACTTGTTACACATAAATACACTTGTACAATCATTATCTTGACCAACATACTCTGGTCATATTTGCGTTGAACAGTTGCATTGCTCGTCAACTCTACATATGAATGCGATTGCCGAATGACCTGCGGAGCCTCGTACTGCGCGATACCGATGACCATACTGCCAGAGCGACGAACAAGTCTTGCTTTCTATACACAACCCATCATACGGCACAGCTTGCAAGACCGAAAGCACAATCAACCAGGGCTGGCTAGCACGACAGAGCCGAATAAATTCTTCATTTGGTTTTTGGACGACATCACTGCATTGTCGTGATGTTACATGCATTGCAGAGGGTCCAAGTCTCTGCTAAACCAGCTCATACGGTGTCAGATGACTGGACCAGTGCTAAGGGAGGTTCAAAGAAGCTGCGACTATGCGCTCTCGAAAACACGATGATTGGATATGGCCCCAGTATGGCAGCACCTCACGAGGTAGCCCAGGAGTCTGGTCTTCAAACCGGCCGTCAGAAGTAGGTATGGTCACCATGCAAATTGCTTGCGACCGAGGTACTGACTTGGAAATGCAGTACACAGCAGCAAGTGATTGAGATGCAGCAGGAAATGCGCATGCAACAGCTGGCCCAACTGCAGCAGATTGCGATGCAGAGAGAGAACTCGAACATGATGCAGTCAAACGGCTCTCCCGACGGCAGCTACGCTGATCGCTTACCTAAACGTCAGCGACTGGAGGGTAATCTCAATGGCGCCATGGACGCTATAGGTCGGGGTCTGCCTCTGGACATGTCCGGACAACACGCCGATGTGTCATCTAGAGATCGACGTCTTAAACGGCTTCGTACTCGTCAATTCAGTAGCCAGTTGACGACACATACGCATCAATCCGGTGGCCTGAATACCACACAGCCTCCTCAGCAACGCGCCGCCATGTCGATGTTTAATCGTCCTTCACGCGTCCCCCCTCACGACGGCTAGTTTGGGTGCTTCATACTGAGCTCTGACAACTTCTCATCTTTGTCCGGACTCTGCTCAACTTCTCTAAACTTACCTATTGTTTCCCTTGCGCATTTTCATTGCTAAGTGTTGAAACCCTCTGCGAACATATATCACTATTATGGGAGACAGTTCAGCTCAAGCGTAAACGAATAATTACTTACTATTGTACAATAGCACCCACTATCGATAATAGATGAGAAGGCAATGATATGCGGGCTAGCAGAAGATGTTCAAGATGGATCAACTCTAGGAACCTTCGACAGGGTTCAGGCGACCATTTCCTGCTTGCTAGCCTGCCAACTCATACCTCAAACTCTTCAATATTCATATTTCCAACCCAAAGATTTTCAAGCGACATATCCGTCTGCTTTAAAGCCCCACGAACAATCTTAATCTCTCCCGATCTTTTGGAAGCCTGTACAAGCCACACAGTATCATCTTCCTTAGACCTCTCATCCAAGATCGCAAAGTTTTCCACATTGATTTCAGATCCGGTATCCTTGACCAATGCTTGAAGAATCTCAGAACACTCTTTTGGGGTCTTGTCTTGGAAAGGTGCGGGTGAAGAGGTGGGAGACATGGGGATGCTTGAGGTCTCTGTGTATTTCTTGTCGAGGGAGGTGATTATGACTATACTGAGGTCGAGATCGAGACCTTCTTTCTGTTTGATGTTTAGTTCGAGGAATCGATTAAGAAACTTNTTAGGAGTCAGTTAATTCTATGATCCTTTGTGCTTCTGTGGAGATGCACTTGCCTTCGAATTGAACTCTGCCGCGCAGCAAACTGGTAATAAAGACATTTGCGAATCGGAGCGTTCTTGTAAGATCGTGCGGTGTATTAAAGATTGAAGGATGCTGTCTGTTCAAGGAGGACGCCAATAGTGCGGGCTTTCTACTTTATTCATAAGAGGGGTAATTACTCCGTACCGTGCGTAACATTTTCGAAGGATTCAGTTCGCATGGGTTGCGTCGAGCAGGATTTATAACCGACATTCATTGACTTCGACAGACCCGGCTCCTATTCTGTAGACTTGGCTGAAGTAGATTGGGAAGGCGTCGATGTTCAAGAAAATCGAGAGAAAAGAGTTGGTATTGTACATTACACAATTTATAGCCTAAGGGTAAACTTCGTTCATGACGAATGTGATTCTACTTCTTCTCCGTCACGGCTGTCGTGGCGGTAGTAGCGACAGAAGGCTCTCCGCCATGCGTGACCTCCGTCTTGCTCTCACCACCCAAGCGGTGCTGGAACTCGTCCACGGAGATTGGTCGAGCGGTGGTCACACCGTGGTTCTGTGTTTGTTCCTGGACGACTTCGTGCACAGGCTTGATCTTGTGGGTGACCTCGGGCACAATGCGCTCCTTCTCGATGACAGGCTGGATGGTCTCGTGGAGGTGGTGGTGGACAGACTCTGCCACAGCGGCCTTTTCCTGTGTCTTGGTCTCCTCGGTAGCTAGCTCCTCGGTTGTGTTCTTGAAGGCAGCCTGGTCGGCAGCAACCTTGGCCTTGATCTGGTCGCCTTGCTTGTCCTTGTTGATCTGGCGTTCTTGGGTTGCATCAACTTCGGTTGTGTGCTTCTCAGCCTCAACCTCCCTGTCCTGGAGGGGCTGGATAGTGGTGTGGTAGTGGTCTTGGTGACGTTCGCGGTCGACGACCTTCTGTTCTCTGGTCTCGTGCTCGTGCTTGACATGCTCATGCTCGACTGCTGGGGCAATAGTCTGGTCGACGGTGGTGTCCTTCTCGCCTGTAGCAGCAGAGTCAACTACTGGAGCTACTTCCGGCTCGGTCTTTTCCTGCGTGGTCTTGACCTCCTCAGTCTTGACCTGCTCGGTGTTGACCTGCTCGGACTTGTGGCTGAATTTCTCACCTGCGCCGGAGCTGAACGATGTTAGCATGCGGGCCAAGAGGGTGATAGAATGAGAAGATGTCCTTACAGAAGCTTGCTGACAGCGTTTGCGGCGGCGTCCATATTGTGTGATGTGTTGATGAAAGTGGGATTTGGTTGAAAGTGTGTGAGTTGTTGGTCTGATTTCAGGATATGTTGTATCTAGTTATGTTGCGAGCGCGGCTTCTTAAACAGACCTTTCCAAACACATGACGATGTGACCTTTTGTACACCAGTGACCTCATCTACGATTAGTGGGGTAGTACGAAATTGCTCTCTTGCGGCTGAAAGTGCTGCACGTCAGTTTTACGAAGAAGATTTCGCTTCCTGCCTGTTAGATTGAGCCACATAGATGAAGTGGTCTACTTGATAGGCTGGAGAGAAATGCAAATCCCAATGCAGTCAAGTCCGTCATGTTGTGATGCAGATGATCGGACGGCGGTAGGAGGCCAGGCACACAAGTCGTCATGTCTGGGCAATTTATTCCAAGTTTTGGGAGAAGAAGGGTCCTCACGTTACCAGGTTCCGCCATGTTCTGGTGAACTCAAGCTCGCGGGAGACACATGTGGTAGTGGGGTATGCTGCGCCACACTGCGATCGTCGAAACAGTAGCCCTATCGTGGCTGCGGTGACATCCCAGCTCAAACCATCTTCCTGGTCATGCGAATCGTTGAAGAATATGCATCCGGGTCAAGGGCAGAGCGAGAGGTGTCGTTTCGCTGGTGATGCTGAAGGACCTGGATCGTAAAGCTAACTAGCCAAGCAGCAAACATACCCAGACGTCGGGAGAGTGAACCGAGGCTGTACGATGTGTATCTTGAATAGACGAGTGTCCGATTGCTCCCTCATTGCAGTGGATTGCGACACGATCGCGATTCTGAGCTCTCGCTATGTCGACTCTCGAGCATCAACGACCATTGACCGCATCTCTTAATGAAATAGAAATGTCAAGAATCTCCCAGAAGACAACAGTCATGATGCAGCGAAAATCGCATGTTGTAAGGTAACAATGTGCAGGCGAGACACGCGGTAGATGAATTCATGTGCAAATGACACAAATGGTGTCAAGATGGCGCAAGAGTGACGGTCGGGAAGGAGCGTCTTGCGTCTTCCGCAATTTCCCAAGACCCCAATCTAACTGGGATGAGAAGCGGTGGGGGCCAAAAGACATTGTCGCTACGCCATGATTTCTGGCCGCCGCTTAGTGTAGGCGGTACAACCCTGTTCTGTATTCTTTCTACACTTAGCATATGCCTTGTGCCTCGACAAAACATTATTTCGTTTGATAAAATCGGGATAGAGAAGCAGATCCAGAGGTCTGTTGGAACTGTGTGGGTAACCGGCCAAAGCAACAAAGCTTGGATGTTGCGATGGATTCTTGTCGAATGGCGCAATTTCTCCAAAGCTTGTGGTGAATCGCTCCATGGCTTCGATACGCAATTGTGTATGGCGATGTCGCCAACTCCCGACGGGTGCTTATAATGCAGCATATCGGCCATGATGGACATTCTCTTGAGAGGATTACATATCTTCGCATCGCTCCAAAAAGGAAATATTTAGCCGTGACGCTCTATGAACTTATCGACATTTCGCCTGAGATGACTGCTATGACAGCCACACTAGATTTGCAGCATTTAAACAGCTTGTTCCGAGCCCGGCCGATCGATGTCGTAGAAGCAGATACTGAGGGATCCTATCTCGTGGTATCTCCATATACCTCGCTGCCGCATCTCCTCGACCTTTCCAGATATCCCACGTCGAGTCAGCTCTTTGCAAAAGCTTTGACGGTCTTCAGTCCTATACGCGAAAACTATGCGACAGCAGAGTACACAAACTCATTCAACTTCGCACAAGTCATGGAAACTCTCAGATCTCTTTCGAGGGACGAAGGATATACATGGAAGAAGACAGAGTTCTACGTCGTCAGTTTCCGATCACAACTCAGCCTCGATGCGGATCCGGAGAGGTTATTTCAACTGGATGCCTTTTCCCATCAAGAAGCCATTGCCAGTGGAGGACTGCTGAAGTATTGGTACGGAGTCAAAGACCGAGACCGGCGGAATTTGGCGACTTGTATGTGTTCTCTTTGATCCGCTGAGACTTGACTGACATATACTTAGGCTNTTTGGGAGAGCAGACAACATGCAAAGGATGGAGGTAGAGGCCCTTGGCACGCAAAGGCAAGAGCTGCTGCGACGGTCTGGTATGAGAGTATTGTGTTCAAGACGTATGTCTTGACGATTGAGGATGATGTTGAGAATTGGAATATCGCAGACTTTGCGGAGCAGAGAAAATAACAGAGTGAAGTGCGATCGACCATCAAGGTACCCGGACGACTGCGGTCTGTGCCGCTGTCTGTCGTCGAGCTTGGTAGGAAGCTTGTCGCACCAATCCTCATTTACGCTGACACGTAGCGATTGGGCATCTAAAGCTCGCCTTCAACGTATGATCGCCTCAAGGTGGTCAGCATAGCCGAGCAGTCTTGAACGTACCAATTAAGCGATACGCCTGTCCATTTCGCGAGTTTGTGGCATAAAAAGTTTGGCGATGGTCTGGCATAAAGTGTCCTCGCTCCACGGATAAGGCGGATCAGATAAGATTGATGCTTCGGCAAACGCACGGACTCGCAGTCTGCGCAAATCGGCTCTCCTCACGCAACCTTGGACTCCAACAACATCCAAGAACGTTTTACTGACGGGTGGTGGGATTGTGCTATCCCCGACTATCGATACTCGACCGCTGCTTTATTTGCTTGGAATCTCCATATATGATCCTCATGCAGGAACACGGCGTGCAGATCATGCCTCAACCCTGCGAAACCCAATGCCCATGACAACTCTCATCAACCACGTTCCTCGGCTGTGTATGCCATCAAAGTTGCCAAGCCATATCCAAGACCTCCAAGACGTGTTTTCTGTGAGCTGCGAGATCCACCCTGGTACCTTGCAGCCATTCGCAGCTCCGAGACGACGGTCGGCCGCTCTTGCTTTGCAATCAATCACTGTTAACATGATCCGTCCGCCAATGGAAATGTAAGGCTATGCTCTGGAAAGAGCTTAGTGGGTAAGAAATCGATATCCGATCAAGGGTTCGAGACACATGGTTTGCTGCAGTCTGCCATGTGCTGAATCGCGCGTAGCAGACTGATGCTTCTTGGTCGTCGCAGAGTTCAACACTTGAGGCATAATTGTCTTTCTGTCTTCAGGCTGTGCAGATAAGTGGTGCCATCCAACATATAAGAAGCTCGGGAGCTGTCCTTGATCAGACGTTTGAGCTTTTGTATCTTTGTTTTTCTTGAGTTCAGCTTTTCACCATGAAGTCCCTCATCTTGTCTACTCTGACAAGCTTGGCCCTTGCAGCCAGACCTTTCCTCAACGAGCCTGATACTGGGTAAGTCAACTCTTCAGCTCGATGGTCCGGCACATGGCCTGACAGTTCTCCAAAAGCANTCGACGATGCCTTAGGGAATACACCTGTTGGCACTCTGCCACCACTCGACAACATTGTCGGGCTTCCAGACTTTGACTGGGCAGCTCGTCATTACATGAACACGAGTGCTTATACCTACTACCGCAACGGTGCTGCCGGCGAGTGGTCTTACCGCAATAACTTGGAGGCCTTCCAAAGATACACTGCTCGTCCTCGCGTATTGAGAGACAACTCGAAGATCGAGTCAACATTCACTACATCGATCCTCGGCCACAACTTCTCGGCACCCTTTTACATCAGTCCATGTGCACGAGGTGCTCTTGGTAACGAAAGAGCTGAACTCGGACTTGTCGAGGGTGCTTATCAAGGAAATATTCTCTATATCCCTTCGGACTTCAGCTCTCTGCCATTGAAGGCCCTGGCCGCCGCGAGACCCTCGAACGGCTCTCAAGTCATGTGGCAGCAAGTCTACCTCGATGCTGCCAACGATACTGCCACTAAGGCACACTTCAAGGAGATCGAGGAATCTGGTGCTCGCGCAATTGTTTTTACTGTTGATAGTGCTGGACCTGGTGTGCGCCAACGTGCTCAGCGTTACTCGGCAGGCTCGGCAGATGCAGAGTATTCGGCTTTCACATGGCAATACTACCAGAAGCTTCAGAACTTCACGAGATTGCCTGTCGTCATCAAGGGCATTCAGACAGTTGAAGATGCTAAGATGGCAGTCAAGTACAAGGCACCTGCAATCATCTTGTCCAACCACGGCGGCCGCAACCTCGACGGAAGTCCCTCTGGTTTTGAGGTTGCTCTCGAGATTCACCAAGAGGCACCCGAGATCTTCCAACAGATTGAAGTGTATGCCGACGGTGGTGTCAGGTATGGAAGCGATGTGCTCAAGATGCTTGCGCTCGGAGTTCGTGCAGTTGGACTCGGCAGACCTTTCATGTATGCCAATGTCTATGGTACTGAGGGTGTTGCCAAGGCTGTTGAATTGTTGAAGGCAGAGATTGCTAGCGATGCTGCACACCTGGGACTGAGCTCGCTCAAGGATATCGGGCCGCAGTACTTCAAGTGGACGCCGAACAACTGGTACAGCTAGATTGATGGCATGCGCGATAAGAATTGAGACAGGAATCTCCAGCTCATGAGCTTGACGGCTGTATCGAAACGAATTGTACCTGTTCATACGTTTCTCTGACTTGAGGACTTCAGCGTAACACGAACATAAAGCCTTTGTATAATTTTGTACAATGCGTCAGGTGGTATACAGGCAGCAGAGCCTTGAGAGGTTTTCGGGACAATGTTGATGTCGGGAAAATTCTTCGGATTGGTCAGGTCCGCTGTGGAGAACTCGCTGAGAGCTATTAGAGAATTCGACCGTGCACCACCGACCACTATGAAGAGTGCATGGAACTGTACCCACTCGCCTATACGAAGTAGGAAAGAGAAGAGATAAGTAGAAGAAGTAGGGCAAATAAGGTTTGGTTGGCGTTGGTCGTTGTCGCAAGTCACGGTCAAAGCTTCAAGCTTCGCGTGGTGAAGCCTGCCACGCGGATCGAAGACTTTCTCTACCAACTGCTGTCAATTCCTTGCTTCACGGGAATCAGCTCAAGCTATACTGATACAACAAAGATGGTAGGCCGCGAGATAGTAAACAGACGTGTCGAGAGACGAAACACACAAGCTTCAGCGGAGTCTGGGTCCGCGGACGACGGTGCGAACAGCGGCTCAAAGGGTTCGCGCTAGACAGTTGTCCCTGCCGTGGCGTCCGGGTTTTACGGATTAATGGGTTCGTCAGCGGAGGGGTCCTCATCGACTTCCGGTTTCGAACTCTGCAGCAGACGATTTTGCTACTCTGGTCTTTACAGCCGCTGGTGCGCTGTCTGCCACGTTGGACTACAGGCCTCAGGCTGCAGCCGTCTAGCAATGAGCCACATCCGAGACGATAGCATGCCTGCTATGACGCCAATCCCGGTGCCAGCGCCCGTGGCAGCAACAGCCGCAACAACAACGACGACGACAGGGACGACAGGTAGTTTCAGCAGAGGGACTATGGACGACCTGCTTAGCATGAACGTCAACGATATGACGTCCGAGCAGCGCGCTCGCTTTGAGACCAAGAGAGAGCACGAGTTCTACAGCTACTACGAACCAATTCGCGCCCTCGCAACCAGGGAGATGGACTGGACAGACCTCAACTCGGACGAGGCTGTTGCTAGTCATCAGCCAATGCAGTCGTCAGACAAGGCCTTGACAGCCTTCTGCCAGCTCGCTGCCATCCGCCTGAAGATGCGTCGCGCCATGATCTTCTTCTTTGACAGTACTCACGCATACATTCTCGCCGAAGCCACCCGTACCCTGTCTCTGAACGACGACGCCGTATTCGATGACGATGAAGATGCGCTATGGCTGGGTACAACAAAGATACCAAGAGGATTTTCTGTGTGTGAACACACGGTCAATCTGCCAGCCAATGGAGGCACCAACGCTAACAATCAAGACTCGCACATTATACACATCATCAACAACCTCACAGAGGATACCCGTTTTTGCAATCGTCCCTACGTTGTTGGTGGTCCAAGAGCTAGGTTCTATGCTGGTGTACCCATCACTACTCCTAAGGGTCTCAAAATTGGCGCCTTTTGCGTTCTGGACGACAAACCACATGAGGGCCTGCCCAAGAAAGAGATTGATTTTTTGCAAGAGATGNGGGTTGCCGTCATGAGTCACATCGATATGATCAAGGCAAAAGTCGAGCAGCAACGAGGTACCGACATGGTTGCTGCTTTGGGCGCATTCACTGCAAACGAGTCAAGTTCTAGACGAGACACAAAGACTGCTGCCGATCGTTCGCAATTGCGCCACGACCTCTCGGCTTCTTCTTCTCTGCTCACGATCGGCAACCTTGACTCGACTACCCCTCCCAAGAGACCTGCTATGCGTAGGCAGTCTTCTGGTAACAGGAAGCGTCAGTCTTTTGGTGATCCTGATCAGATTACAAACATCAGAGAAAGATCCCCGCGCCGTCAACGACCTTCATGGTTTGCAAAGAACAGAGCTGTATCAGAAATGAATGTCTACACGGAGTCAGCCATCAGCGAAGACTCAGTTCCTCTTGGAAATCTGCCCGATGAGCCCAAGGCTCACTCAGTCGAACAATCGCCCAGCGACGTCATGCAATCCGCTTCTGCTTTGATTCGTAGAGCCGTAGATGCTGACGGTGTCTTGTTCCTGGACGCCTCAGTCAGTGGCTTCGGTAACCTTGTCAGCAATTCATTCTTGGAANAAACTCCAGACAACGATGTCGATGCCACAACCAGCGGAACCGATGGCCACCAGACCAGCGAGGGAGAGGAAACTGCTGCTCATACTTCAGATGCAGATGAACAACCATGTCCTATCCTTGGTGCCTCCTATGCAGCACGTACCGGAGCCATACCCGATTCAGAAGGTCGTCGTGACATCTACTCACAATTGACCCCCAAATTCCTTCGCTCTGTTCTTCGACGCTTCAGGGGTGGCAAGATCTGGAACTTCAATGAGAACGGAGATGACTACTTGGACGAACTAGTGTCTGAAAGTCAAAGTGCTTCTGACGGTGGCCCTACACGCTCAAACTCAAAGGCAAGCGAAGGAGCACATGGTCGAAAGGCTCGCAAGAGGTCACTCAAACATGCTCCCGGCAAACAGCTCGCAGCCGCTTTCCCGGGTGTACGTAGCTTGATGGTCCTGGGACTCTGGGATCCTCAACGCAACCAATGGCGTGCTGGGTGTATCATCTGGTCTTGTGCTCCCATGCGCATGTTCTCTAATGAGGGCGAAATGCATTATCTGACTGCATTCTGCGACGTCATCATGGCCAAGCTTGCGCGCTTGGATGTTGATGTTGCGAACAAAATCAAATCCGACTTCATCTCGTCAATCAGCCACGAGTTAAGATCGCCACTTCATGGTATCCTCGGCTCGGTTGAAGTATTGCAGGAACACAACCTTGATCACGACACCGCAGAGATGGTTTCACAGATTGACACTTGTGGACGTACTTTGTTGGACATAGTCGACCATCTGCTTGAGTTCTCGAAGATCAACGTCCTTACGAAACACACTAGCTCCGGAATGCGTTCGAGATCTAAGGAGCTACCTAGATCTTCCACCGAGCAGAAGAACAGCGACGAAGAATCATCCACCCTTAACGCAGATGTTTCACTCGATGTCGTTACGGAAGAGGTTGTAGAATCCACGGTGTACTCGTTCTGTTGTTCCAAGGATCAGCGCACCCTAAGTGAAAGAAATGTCACTGTCTCTATGGATATCGAGAAACACCCCAGCATCTCATGGGACTGCAAGGTCACTGTCGGTGCTTGGAAACGTGTCTGTGTTAACCTTATCAACAACGCCTTGAAATACACGACTGAAGGTTCCATCAATGTGTCATTGAGGATCTTACCACCGAAAACTAAGCTTGGACGTCCTATCGCACAATTCTCCGTCACAGACACTGGTAGAGGAATGTCCAAAGACTTCCTACGTACAAAGCTATTTCGCGCATTCAGCCAAGAGGATGATCTGGCTGAAGGTACAGGTCTGGGCATGAGCATGGTGGCGCGCATCGTCAAAGGTTGGAGGGGCAAAGTCGATGTTCGAAGCAGCAAAGGTCAAGGAAGCGTTGTCACTGTGACCATGCCCATGAAGCTCACGCGACGACCAAAGAGTGCTGATCTTGATGGAGCACAAGCTTTGTCTGCAAACAACGCCTGGTCTGGACTTTCAGTACATGTTTTGGGCTCATCTGAGACAAATTGTCCCAATGCTATCGCCACTGGTCGCCATCAACAGCTTGTTGTATTCGACAAAATGTGTTCGGGCATGGGAATGCGCACGTCTGGTCCTTCTTGGCAATTGTCTGAACAGGCCGACTTTGCTGTAGTTTCAGAACACGATTTGCCGCACCTGATCACAATGCTGATATCACCTCGAGTCAAACAGAGCGCAGATGACAAACTAGCGATAAGCTCATTGCGACAAAAGCCACTTATCGTGTTATGCAAAGACTATATCACCGCTCGAGTCTTGAAGGGTTCTCGGATAGAGCAATTGGTCCGTGGCAGAGTTGAATATGTCGCCCAGCCATGTGGTCCTAACCGACTTGCTTCCGTCATCTACCGTATCCTTGAGCATTCGGAGAATGGAGATATCTGGAAGTCTCTCCCGCTTAGCCCACTGACTCCCAATACGCCTCACGGCTCCATGACTCCACGCTTTGATACCTGGCGCGAATCGCACGCATGGTCTGGTGCATCCTCACCAAATGAAACAGAGAGCACTCGGAGACTTACCCTCCGAAGTCGCCGACCGTCCGGCAGCGATATCAAACCGCCCGTGAGCCATACCGCACCAGAAGACAGACCGGAAGTACAAGATACGCAGCTCGACGGTATAGGTATTGCTATGCCCCCGAAACCTCAACTCCCTGAAGTCGCAAATGGAGCTTTGACAGCCGCAAGTCTGGTAGACGTCGCACCACAAGCGTCACAATCACGCAATCAGAGTATTGTCAGTATGTCCAGTGTAGTTGCCCTATCTGCGGAAGTCTCAAAACCTTGTCTTCTCCTCGTCGACGACAATCCCATAAACCTCCAACTCCTCGTCTCGTACGCAAAAAAGAACGGCCACGCCATGCACAAAGCATCTGATGGGCAACAAGCCGTGGATGCCTACACGAACGCACATCTTGAAATAGCAACAACAACAGACAAACCTGAAGTCATCCTGATGGATATCTCCATGCCGGTGATGGATGGCTTCGAGGCTTCGAGACAGATTCGTGCGTTTGAGAGACAGAAAGGATTGAAACCTGTTGTCATTATTGCTTTGACGGGGTTGGGGAGTAGTGAGGCTCAACATGAGGCGTTTGTGTCTGGTATCAATCTCTTCCTTACGAAGCCGGTGCGTTTGAAGGAGTTGACGAGGCTTTTAGGGACTATCAAGGAGACTTTCGGTTGATCTGAGGGAAAGTGTATGTACATGAGTTATCACGATTGTTACGACTAGAGATGCCACGACAGAGTCCTGTTTCAAAAGACTGCATGAATAGAGACAGCGCATTTCATCCAACAGTAAGAAATGGTTCAAAAGACTGCCCGTGGCTTCAGCCAGCGTTGTATGTCCTTCTTTTATCTTCTTCTACTTCGTGGGTCTCAACGAGACTCAATTCTCGATGGTCAAGCCTTCTGTGATCTGTAACTCTATGCTGCGATTCGTATTCGGGAATTTCTCATCTTTGGATGGAGTAATTGTATCCAACCAGCATATCGACAGTGCTGCCATAGTTCCAAGCAGTGCAGGACATCAACGACATCCCGTGAGAACCAAGTTATCAGTATTCTCTGTTCAGAAATTTTGATGACATGAGATCTTATGGTGATCCAGTAATTCTCTCGAGCCTTTTACAATCCGACCATCTCTACATATTTTGCAGCTTCCCATTGCTGATCTTGCTCTTATCTGTCTTTGTAACACTGTCTCCTCTTCTCCTCTGTCAGACTTGATGACACGCACCAGTTGACACCTGTATTCGCCGTGAACCAGTAGTTTTGTTCAACTTCCTCGACTCCTGGTCTTGCATGATGACACTTATCGCGTCCTTTGAGATTTTCTCTGTGAGATAGGATCTGTTGTTGTTGTACTATTCCAAGTCCCACTCATCGATGACCGCGGATGCGAAATGAGTGTTTAGGTACGAGAGATGGGATGCACGGGTCTGCCACGAGTGTATTCTGATCATGTATCCACATCCTTTGTTCTTGCATTTGTCCGGAGGATAGATCAGATGGGCGGTTGGCATCATGTCGTCGATGGGTATTGTAGTCTTGACTTCTTGCTCCTCGTAGCATTTTCTCCTCTCTCCTTCCGTCAAGTGCGGGTTTGTGCATATGTCCAAGATGTCTGTATGGCCAGTGTACAAGTCCTCGATTCCCAGCGATTGAGGTGTCTGTCCGCAGCACTTCGATGTCAGCGCGAGAGATGTTCTTGATTAAATGGATGTTCTCGTCGATCCATATCGTATACCAGTTTTCGAAGACGTCGTGGTTGAAATTCTGAGCTAGGAATTTGAGATGGTGGGCTACGTGGGTTGCGTCCAGTAAAGTGATCATGTATGAATCTCTGATCCTTTAGCATCTTGGGTTGTCGTCGTAACATGGGAAGGTGAGAGGAGCGAGGTGAAATTCCTCGATGGGACATTTGTCTTCTCCTTCCCCATGTAATGAGGCTATGTATGTGCCTTCTTGTATCCCCCATCTCGGGTTAGATTTTCGGCACATGTCAATCAAAGGAGTAGGGGATTCGTCGTTGTCTTCAAAAGTTGCTGTTGATGCGTTCGTAGTCACGGTGGCTGTGGTGCTGGCTGACAGAGAGTTGGCTATCAGCGCAAGTAATGCAATACATATTAGGCTGAGCTCAAGAGTATAGTGCATGATTGGATGCTAAGAAGCGATCGATTTGCCAGATGGGTGGGGACCAGAAAGCACTTGAAAAAGACAAGGGACCAGCTTGGGGAAGTACTAAAGCGGCGTGGATGATTGCGATAGGCGCTCTTCCAAGTATATCCGATAATCTGGTCTCAAGCTTCCTGTGAAGAGGAAACTGTGTTCCGTTTCAAGGGAGTGGTTGCCTAATTAGCAGATGAACGAGCGTATAGGCAGCCAAAACCCACACGCATCTTGAACATGAAAAGATCGACTAGATGCTACGTGTTCTTCTGTCATGTCACTTCAAGGCCATGTCACCGACTTGACTGTCAATAGCACACATTTGGGCACGGCTGTCTGCTCCCTGATCACACGTCCTTGTTGTCCAAGTTTATTTTTGCGATATTTCCTCGCAAAAGCCTCTACCAGACCCTTTGTCTGGAAACCGATTATGAGCGGTATTTCTGGATTCATGATTGTCTGCTTGGCTCTTCTTCCCGTCCTCACTGCCTATGCATCAGCCAACCCTGCGCTTGTATCCTCGCCTACGGATAGAGCCTGCTGGAGCACCGGCGAAGATGGCGAGATTATCTACTCAGCTCCTCTGGTCATCGATTGTCTCCCTGACAACCCGAAATGTGGTGTCTGAGAGGGCGAATGCATCATCACACTCCGCCCATCATATCAGAAGTCAGCGCATCTGTTCTATCTCTCTTCTTAGATACCCTCCTGGATACTCCGGAACACGAGTATCGATTGGTACGACGATGAAGGTTATATCATCGAGAATCTCCAAGATCCAGAGATGGAAATGATAAGGCGCGATCCGGGAATTGAGGAGGTATACCAAAACCATTGGTTTGATGTGAACACTGGTGGTNGGGATCTGCAATGCAGAGATCCCAGATTGACAGAAAAGGAGAAAAAGCTTTGTTATGGAGAGCTTGAGGTTGAGTGGTGCAAGAGATTGGGGTCAAGCGAGGAGGAGATAAGGAAGTGTTTGGAAGGACTATGTGGGATGCAGGGGTTGATGTTGAATGAGAAGCAAAGAAAGCTTTGTGAGGAGCAGAAAAATGATAGCAAGGAATGGTATAAACAAGAGCATAAGTGGGAAGGTGGTATATAAAGTTCGAAATGGATGGAGCTGCTTCATAAACTCACTGCGAGTCACTGTCTGCGTTGAACGACTCTGCTGCATGGAACGATCGCAAAAACTCACAGCTCTTTATTGCCGGGTTCTTTGCTTCTAGCTTCCCAACACAAGTTTGTTGTGCTTCCTCTCAAAGCAATAGGTTGCCCCTCGAATCGACCAAATTCGCGTCTTGAGAAACCCGAATCTAATCTCTCGAGTGTTCTGGTCTTTCATGCGAATCCAGTAGGCTTCTTTTTGACAAGACCTTTGTTCAGCCTCTGTGAGCATTTGGTTTTTCCGTAACTGGACCAGATATTTGCCCTCCACCTTGCCGCATGTTGAGTCTCCGGAAGGGCAGACCTCAATCAACGGAGCGAGGTAAAGTGCTATTGTCGCTAGAAGTGACTGCCTCTAATGACACTGATGAAGAAGCAGTGCTGGTCAAAGCACAAGCAGCAATGGTGACGATGATGAACCTGTGCCGTATTTTCATGGTGGCATGAGAATGTCAGGAGATAGACTGAGGAGAAGGTAACCAGTCATGGTGGTGAAAACCCTAGGAAGTTCGACACCAAATAAAGTCAGGTAGACACGAACGCCACGAAACGCGTTGTGTAGCGGACGAGTCAGCGCCGCGAGGTGAGTCTCAAGGTACCGCAGCCTACAGATACCGAGTCTAGCGTTTCATGAATGGTTATGCCGGATGGGGACAGACGCTTGATCGTGCGGTGGCGCGCTTTGAGTGAGCGCTTGCCGCGTGGATTTGTGATGTTGGTTGGTTAGGCTCGGGATGCCAGCAGAGCTTTTAGCTGATCATGTTATCTTTAGACCAGGGTTGGCATCATGACGTCCCAAATCGTGCTGCAGCCATTGTCAGTAAGTACGTAGAAGCGATATTACAGTGACTCGAAAATTCAAAAGGAAAGTGCATCGTATAGGGCTTTCCACCTTGTCATGTTGTGGCATAATGAAATCCTCATCTTCCATTCACCCCCTATCCTTACAACTCTTGGAACTCCCCATGCGCTTGCTCGACCATCAATTTCTTCTTAGAACAGTACTGTTTTTGTTCTTCTGTCCAAATCAGCCCTTCTATTTCACAGAAAGGTGTTGCTGTCTTTTCTAAACAGTCTTCCTTTTCTTCTGGTGTGAACCACGATGTCTCGCAATATGGAACGTCAAGCTCCTCATGGCAAAGCCTTTTCCTTTTNTCTGATAGCCCTGACATCCTGCACTCTAGATCCCATCCACTGTCCCATTCGCTCCAACAGCTCTGCTCGATTCCATAAACGCCAGGGTCCTTTCTGATTGCCTTGAGTTCTTCTTGAGTAATCTTCTTGACAACGTAAGAGGCCGATTTGTCGTGATCATGCCATGAGGTCTGCCAGTTTACTGTTGCGTTACGTCGGAGGGCATTCTCGAGGAATGTAAGGTGTGATGAGATTCTATAGAAACCGTGTAGTGAGACGATGTATGCTCCTTCTTTGCATTCACATTCCGGGTCGTCGTCACAGTCGCTGTACAGTGGCGCAAGATGTTCGTCATTCTCCTTGGAGGTCACCTGCGACGTCTCCGTAGTGGTGGTGGCAGTAATATTGAAAGCGAAGAACAATAGTAATCCGAAGGCCAAAAGGTTGAGTTTGAAACAAAGTCGCATAGTGTTATGCTGGAAAGGCGATGATTTGCCAAATGAGTGGGATCTGGAAAAATACACGACGACAGGAAGAAAGGTCGGGAGAGCAAGGATCAACGGCAATAGGCTCCTCGACGTCGGCTTGGCTATTTGAGGAAACTGTGTTGTGTTTCATGTGTGAGGTTGCCTAATTGCTGAATCCTGTGGTAGCCGCCCTGCCGCGCCTCAGTAAAACAAGGAAACAATGACGAGGAAGAGATATAGAGAGGACACCGACAGATCGCAATGGAGAAGCAACACAAGAACACGCCTGAATCGAGTCATTCATAACGGACATTTCATCTACTTCATTTTTGCCTGCTAAACAGAGTAAGAGCGCAATCAATAGTCAAGCTTTCTCCGCACCTTTGCGAACACTCCTTCTTTGTATTCCTGATTGATCTCAAGAGCATTGAAATCTCATGTTAGACATCTCATAGCTACACATAAAACAGCTTAACGTCCGCTGTTGTTGTAGACGATGCGGTTGGGGCTACCGCTTCGGAGATCAGTACCCTGACCAGTAGTAGCCAGAGCAATGATCCTGTTAGTGGTAGCAGCAGGAGAAGTAAGACCAGACTCAAGGCCCTTGAGGTAAAGAGCAAGACCAACAACGTGAGGACAAGCCATAGAAGTACCAGAAATAGTGTTGGTTGCAGAGTTGGAGCCAATCCAAGCAGAGAGGACGTTGAGGCCAGGAGCAAAGACATCAACAGTGCTGCCGAAGTTGGAGAAGTAGGCACGGGCGTTGTTGCTGCCGATGGCGCCGACGGTAAGTGCGGAAGAGGCCGAGGCGGGAGAAGTGCGGGAGGCATCAATGGCTTCGACGAATTCGCCGGTGTAGGGATCGCTGACGCCGTTACCAGCGGCGACGACAGACAGGACACCTTGCTGGGTGGCGGCATTGACGAGGGAGTTGAAGGCAGTGGAGACGGAGTCCTCCGAACCAAGAGACATGTTGATGACGGATTTGCCTGCGCGGCCCTTGTTGATGATGTCGTTGGCAGCCCATTCGAAGCCTTTCATGATGGTCGATGTAGCGCTTGACNNTATGTTGTGATTAGCATATATCTGAAAGGGAGACACAAGATGACATACTCCGGAAGCACCAAAGACCTTGACGGAAATGAGGTTGGCCTTCTTGGCGACACCATAAGTCGAACCACCAATGGTACCAGCGACGTGAGTACCATGACCAGCATCGTCAATGTGAGAGCCACCGACGAAGTTCTGACCAAGCGAGGCACGACCACCAAACTCTCTGTGGTTGATGTTGATGCCAGAATCGATGACATAACCATAAGTGCCAGCGCCAGCGGAGGTGTCGTAGAAGTAGGTATTGGCAGCATAATTACGCTGCGAGATACGGCCGAGACCCCATGTGCTGCCAGTTTGCGAGGTAATGGCAGTCATGTAGATAGGAAGATCCTCTTCGACAACAGCCACNCTGAAATCAAGGTTAAAATGTCGGACATCTTGATTTCGCGTCTGGAATGAACTCACTTCATCGCTGGCCTTGAGTTGAGCGATGGTCTCCTCGTCGAAAGAACCAGCATAGGCATTGAAGTCTGCAACCTTGAAGACCTTCAGGTCCTCCTCAACAGTGCCGTTCTCCTCACGGCGATAGATACCGCGGCGATGAAGGTCGCCAGCCCAGTTGATGTGTTGTATGCCAACTTCAGGGTCAATGCCGGGCTTGAGGGTGATAATGTACTTGGTGGTTGCAGGAGTGGCGGCACCATCTTGAGGGACGGGAGCAGCCATTGCCAGACCGGCAATAGCACTTAGAACGGCAACGCTCTTCTTCCACATGTTGTAGGACTGATTGTTGAGATCGTAGAATGGGCGGAGGTCGAAGGCTGAGGATGGGAGATGAGACAATCTCCTTCAGAGTCGGCCAGGAGGTCCTTTTATACAAAGCCCGGCTCTCTAGCAGCCAGTGGCATCCACCTCCTTACGGCGAGTCTATGCACCATCTTGTCAAAGTCGAGTGCATGTCGAGATATGACACCCTTGACTGTTAGTCCGGCTGGCATCAACAGTGCTATACGAAAGGAGAAGGTGGCAAGTCTACAAGGTTCGTATATTCAATGCCACCTTCTGCTTCCAGTATACATTTGACGAGAGGTTCTATCAGAAGCCAATAAGGCAAGGCCATTTGAAATGCGAGGTGATCCCGAAAGTGTCTTTTGCTACGCAGTCATCTGTTAAGAGTCTTGACACACAATGGTGTCAAACCTTCGAGATATCGATGGGCAGGGGTATAATTGGTAGGTCTATACTAACCCTTTCGAGAAGCTCAATAGGCATGTATTCGAAATGCTGCGGTCAAACAGATTGCGAGCTCGGTGAATATCACATTGCCAAGCTATACCAAGAACATTGGCACATTTGACGCCGCGCGGGGCTCCAATATTTGATCTCATCTTTTCCTTGGCATTCTTAGCAAACGACCAAGCTTGCACTAAAGTATCGCAGGTCTGAATCGTCGCCGTGATTTGACAGATAATGCCGAGATGACCTTGATCAGGCAAAGTAGATACGGCTCGGCCCTCGCCTACCATCAACATGCATACCTTCGGCCAAATCTATCGAAGTCAGGAGTCCTCATGGTTAACGATCTATTGTGACGATCCCGAGGTATATAGCAGCTCTTTGCTTGGGAGCGGAACCATAGCCATTCTCTCGGCCGTAGTCACCCAACTCGTTGGTGGAATGGTAGTGGCTTGGGTGCAACCGTCTCCTGCCAAGTCGTATATTGGCGATCACAGAACTTTCGATGATTTTCACTGCAGAACAGTGTATCCACCCTGATAAGAGGTGCGAACGCATACGCCGCACGCAATGCCAGGCGTTGTGAGCGTGCTGATCATGTGCCCTGTTAGCGCGGCCAAGTCGCTTCCCTCGCTGCATGGTTCAAAGAGGCGAAGCGTTTGCAGACAGTGTGAAGCATGTGAAAGCCATGCGGTCCCAATGATGTTGATTGCTATCGAACCAAGAGCAGATCACACGCGTGACACGAGCTGCTAGGTGTTGCGGACAAGCTCATGGACTACCTGAAGCCGCAGCGGTGAAACGATTGACAATGGATTCTCTTCGTATTGAAAGTCGACAAGATCCTATCGTAACGGATATGCTTGTCCTTGGACATGGCAAGACAGTCGCTATTCTCGTCGGCGATGTTGGCAACTTCGCGAAGGCCGAACGCTGATCACAGAACTGAGGAACAAATTTACATCAGAACTCTGTGTGCCATGTAGTCGATCAATGTTAACACGGGATGCTTCGAGCGACGTGTCGTTGCAGGGACACGCGACGGAGACCGGCAGCTCGTCGCAGCGCAGTGACACGGCATGTTTCCCGATGGGCCAAAAGTCGTGGTTCCAGCTGGCCCATCTCGTTCCACCGCAACAATGTATTATGCTGTCAAGTAGATTCACAGGTCCCAAGTTCTGGATTGTTCAATTTGCCATGTCACCGAATGTGAGTCGGTCGTGAAGTTGTGATACACTACCAAATCCATCTCGACATCTAGAATTTGATCAAGTCGCTTGCCAGACACTCGCTGTCGGTCGTCGGCAACGGTTCTTACAGGCACTTGCCTCAAGAATGGTCACATAGTACACTTGCACAAGGCGACTGACTCTCTTTGCCCTTGAATGTCAAGCTACTTTACAAAGAAAAGTCGAGTCGCAGTTGAGCAGATGAAAATTGGCAGTCAAGGGTACGACCCTACTCAAGCATCAAGATCCGCCATGGCCTTCACAGCAGTATCCTTCCAACCCATGACACTTTTTTTCNNCGCCTGCCCTCTCGGACTCACTTCCACAATTGCTCTCAAGAAGTTCGCAGCTGTCTGCATGCTCTCCTGCTTTGCTGACGTAAACTTTGCTTCATCAATCAAATACCCAAATCCTCTTTCCCTCGCTATCTTNTCATATCTCTCCATTAGAGCTGTTTTCTCGGTCATGGATGTCTCGTTGTCTTGAGCATTCCAGAGAAAGGCTCGACTGGGGTTCCAACGAGTGAAAGGAACCACACCAGCAAACTCCCAGTCTATGATCGAGGTTATATGTGCGGTGATGGGATTCACGAGGATATTCGCAAAGTGTAGATCCTTATGGGCAAGGCGAAGAGGAACGTCGTCGAGTTTCGACCGCATTGATTCCGAGCTTATAATGGCGAGGAAGCGATCGAGCTGTGGAAGGATGTCACGCATAAACTCCAGTGATGAATGGACTTCAATGGCATGCTTGTACTTGAGTAAATGAGCGGAGATGTATTCCGTGTATGAATGGTAAGGCCCAGAGATGTTGAGAGATCTGAAAGTCTCGCCAGGCGGCCACAGAGCGATGATGTCTGGCTCAAACCAGAATGTCTCTTCGAGTACTGGTCCTGGGATGATGTGGCCTTTATAGTCATCGGAGAGACCACCGATATGAGACCATGTATGCTTGTGCAATTGAGCATTCAAGTCAATCAATTGGTCCAAGATGTAGTCCATCTGTTCCGAGGTGAAAGAACTGTATACATCCGCCAAGCTCTCCCCAGGCTCGCGGGTCATCAAGATGAACTCATGGCCAAGCGAATTGTTGGTGGAAGAATCGTACGCCACAACTCGCGGTACTGGTATGCTTGTATCCTTGTTCAGCCACGATAACACAGATGCTTCGTTTTCAGTCTTGATCCTCGATATATGATTGCCAGAAATACGCAAGATCAACTCCGTGCTTGAGACTGGCATATGTTGATAGAGGTCCTTCGATGCTAGCCATGACTCGAGACTAGACGCCGTATAACTGATGAANAAGATGCTGTGGAACGTAGCTGTAACTTCAAGCTTCTCAATGGCTTGTGGTGGTGGGGAAAATAAGGTGTCAAGGAGGGAGCGCACATGGTCTTCTGTGAGCGGATGCGGTAGATGATCCTTTGGAGATCCCATGTTGGAATTGATTGATCAATCCAAAAGAAAGACGATTGAGGTTAACGTGCTCTAAGTTGCAAGGTAAAATGGGTTGATGAAGTTGATATATGCTTATCTGGACTCGTATCTATTCGAGCCGGGAACATGCAACGTGGCTTTGTCGATCTCACATGTATCTCAGGTCCGAGATATATCATTAAACACTGAAGCTCAAAAACATGATGAAATTTATCTTACAAGCTATCATGGAGTGATACCTCGTAAATATTGATTCATGACCGTCTTGCTTCATAATTCGAATGGAACTGTAGGGCAGCAAGATTGTAGTCTGATCAACGAGTTCAGCTGAACCACGGCTACGTCTGTCTGAGCCCTGGGAATATCTCTCAAGGCGTCGACGAAATTTGACAACGGTGCGCGTTTCCTCCCGATCAGGGCTGTGTATCAACAATGCAGCGATCTATGATAGCATCGCAAAGATGATAGACAGAACAAGGATGAGCGAGTTTGCCTGCCAGTAACGTTAGCGGAAATTTGTCTACGTAATCTCAGAACGAGGTATGAGTGATCTTACAAGATGCAACCCTGTGACATCGGAACCTTGCGATACAGCAGCCGCGTTCAAAGTAGGTGTAGTAGTCACGACAGCACGAGTTGGAGAGGCAGTTACTACCGCCGGGTTGACACCAGATCGCGTAGTAGAAGCCGATGGACCTGCAGTAGCAATTGCAAGCTGATAAGCCGCCGTATCGGTCAGACCCATGGTCCAATAATCGCCTTGCGCATGGCAGAAATTTTGAACGCTGGTCCAAGCCTGGTAATATGCCGTGTCTGCTGTGCGAGCGTAATCGGGACAGGCACGAAGAGCAGCGTCCAGATAATTCGGCGCCCAGGCGAAGAATGGACCATCAGTTGGATCAGTATAGTTCTTGTAGCATAGACAGTCGCTGAGTGAGTTTTGAGTGAGACCGAGGTTCGTAATGGTGCTGTTACACGTATTGACCTGGTTCACGGCCAGGGCGCAGTAATTGCACGCGACATCAGAGGGATCGCAGCTCGAGGAGAAGGACCCGCCAGAACCTGAAGTTGCTTGTCTGGCAACGACGGCGGATGTTGCGCGTCTGCTCGTGACTGTTGATGTCGGATGTATGGCCTGTGATATGGCTGATCCAAGACCTGTGTCTTTACATACATATCTACCGAGTAAGTCTTTGAAGGCAGGGAGGAGGCACCAGGTCTCAAGCTTGAGGGCTTGTTTCTGGATCTTTTCTTAGACAAGCATGTTAGTCTGATAGTCATCAAGACAGATCAAATGACCTCTAGTGGCACATACGTTTGACTATGGTACCTGTGTTATCGGCCCAACTGCCAACGCGAGCTGGTATTTCGAGTTTTGTGCTTTGGACGCCCTCGGTGAATAGGCCTTTCAGAGGTGCAAGACTGATACCCATCGAGATATCGACGACAAACAGGAGGAGGATCGTGACAGTAGAGCGTAACATCATGGAGGAAATGTAATGATTCGATGGTTCAGAGAGCTGAGTGATGAACAGCAGTTTTCTGATCAAACATACCTTCTCGGATACTTATAGTGCTGGAATCTATCCAAGTGTAGCTGACCTCGATGGTTCGAGTTTGTGGCTTCAGACTCGCGAACAAAAATCATCCTTGCCGTACTCGAAAAGCTGCACTCTAGCTAGACGCGGTATAGGAACTGTGGTAGTCTGCAAGCCTCCGGCGACGGAGCTCCTTGGCCGACCATTTTGGGTCAAGAACAATCGGAGGTCGAGAGAACAACTTCTTCACAGCATGTCCGTCAAGTCTTGGCATAGGGTAGACCGACGACGTGACGCTGGGGCCAAGGAAAATGGTCGAGGAAAAGTGCGATCGGCTCAGGTTGATTGACTCCTAGTTGAGAAAGACAGTGACCGGAAGAATGGTATGTCGTCTGTCTGGCTTGTGCGAAGGACAAAGTGATACGCTAGCCAATTTTGCTCCTGAGCCGAATGCCCCAGCCGAGCACGTGGCTCGAGAAAGACGCGGAAGCGCTAGCCAATCTTGCATTCAGCTGAACATAACTATCAACCTACGCTCCCTGATCTGTCCGAAGACTGAGAATAGAACGTGCATGCGTCTGGAAAAGTGCACCGAAGCCAGCTGAAATGCAGCCACATGAGGTTTCGCTTGTGCAAAGTTTTGCCAGTGACGGGACGCGACAGAATGCGAGTCATTGAACTTTCTTCGGGCCATTTCGGGCCCCAAGGCATGTCTGCATACGCGACGAACAGAAGACACGTCCGAGTCAGAGCGAGCGTAAAGCGTGTTCCTACTGGCAAATCTGATTGTCTTCGATGTGACATTCGAAACTGAGTTTGTCCTTGTTGAGATCTTGTCATTCTTGCTATACTTTCACATACAAATTAATCCATTACAGCAATGATACCATATCTAAACTGTGACACCAAATGGTGCAACGTTAGGGTCCAGTGCCTGCCACACGAACGGCATACCTTGACTCAAGCCCTGTGAGTCGAAGGTTCTAGCCTTGACCTTAGAGCTAAAAGAGTTCATAGAGTTCATGAAAGTTGTAGCCGCATTTCTGGTGTTCGCGTTCATGCGCTTGAGCATAGCGGCGTCGTCGAACATGTGGCTCACTNNACATCGTTGGTCAGTCAATCTCCAAGACCAGACAAAGTTGGGTGTAATCAACTTACATGTTCGGTTGGTGCCTGCAAGGTATTCGCGAGCGAAAAGAGTGTTGATAGCAATCTGCTCTCCCGCCTGCTCGAGTGGGGGAAGGAACGACACAAGGTTCGTCACGTTCTTTTGGTTCGGGACGGGACTGTAAAGGGCCATGGCATGGAAGGGAAGAGTTGCCGAGGCAGACATGAGCTGGTTTGTGTTGACAGTGTGGTGTGCAGTCGAAGAAAGATGGGCNCTGTCATGATCGTTAGTTGTCGCGTCCTGCATACTGAAAATTGTAATGAGTCCAAATACCATGTGTGTCATCACGTCAACGAGTGTGCTAGTCTTTGTGATAGCAGATGGGAAGTCCATCACTTTAGCAGCACCATTGCACTCCTGAACCCAAGCTTGAATTTCCTTGTCCGCTGCTACCACTGAATCTTGAGCGTAGTAAGAGCTGATGAAAGAGGTCATGAAGGTACGAATAGCAGAATAGATGACAGAAGCGTCTTCGTAGTAGGGGAAGTTCTTGAGCTGCGGACCAGTGGTAGCGTTAATCAATCCACGGTTCGTGAGATCGTTGAGGAAGTAGCCCGACTGGAAGAAACCACTACGAGTGAAGTAGTAGTTGCTGCTGTAGTTTTGCGCAGATTGGTAGGTGTACGGGAAAGCTTGGTCGACGACGCCACCAGGCGCGAACAAAACTTGCTATATTGTGTCAGATGGCTGGACAATTACTCGAACCAATGGAAACGGATAAGGAGAACTTACTGCTGCCAGAGGTTGAATCGCAAAAACTTCATACATCACTNNGTGGGGTCATGGGATCAGCTGACTATCTCAAGCGACATCATTGGCGAACTTACATCGGTCGAGGATGGCCTTAACGGGGTGAGCGTCACTTAGCGTGCGAATAGCTGCCATGTAGACGATCTGGACAACTTCATGAGTTCTCGATAAGTGCTCCCACTGTGCGAACCACAAGTCGCAAACGTTGTACATGATCTTTGCGAGCAGCCAGTCATCTGCACTGTCAGCAGGTGTGTAGATAAGGTTTGCGCCCTGGTTGGTACGGATGGCCAAAGGAAGGAAGTTGCCGGACGTCTGGTCGATGTAGAAGTAAGCATCAACTGCAGCCGAGTAGCGAGCGGCTGTTGTGGCAACGAGCTTCGCCTGATCTCTGTAGTCGGCATAGAACAATCGACCAGATGTAAACAGCTGCTGTTGAGTCATGCCGGTGATGTTCTTAGCAATCGCGTCGTCGACCTCGAAGTTGAGAGAATCGTCGCACGAGTTCAATCTTCGGATTTGGTATGGGCTGAAGGAAAGGCGCTCCATTGAGAAAAGTAAGTCCTGGGTATAGTTGGTGAGGATGCCGGGTGCGGGGCCTTGAGCTAGAGTGGCCGTCCACTCGTCGTCGTACAGCAAGGTATAGTCTTGCAATGTCTGCAAGCCGTTGTACTTGCCAACGTCGGATTCGGCCTTCGCGATGTCCGAGTTGGTGTCACTCATTTGGGGGCCAGTTTCGGCCTGGAAAGTAGATATATCGTTCTGGATCAAGGTATTACCAAGAGAGCCACTGGGGAAGAAAGGTCCACCTGCGACGGCCGGTCCATATCCGAAGTTCTGGCGCTTGGAGGCAATCGCTTGTGCTCTATCGGCAGGAATACTCTTTTGAGGAATGGCATACCATCCAGTATAAGCCGCAGAAGTAGTTGCCGAAGTGGCAGGATATTTTCTTGGATTGGTGATTACAGCAGCACCAGACGAGATCTTCGAAGCACCAGAAGAACTAGTGGCTGATTTGGTCGAGCTAGTTTTCGGCTTAGAGGCTGCACTCGAGGTAGACGAGATCTTCGAGACGCTGCGACTAGACGAAGACGAACTCTTCGACACAGTGCGAGTAGATGAAGACGATATCTTCGATACGCTGTGAGTAGACGAGGAGGTTGCTCGTTTCTGGATAATCGCAGAATGAGCAGCTGTGATATAGAGAAGTAGAATAAGCAGTGATGCCACTGAGAATCTTTGCGGCGCCATGATTGCTTGTAGCGTAGAGCAAAAGATAGCTATGAGAAGCTTTGCGGCATGCCGAAGGTCGGTCAAGCTGTGTATATAACCATTCATTCTTACCGATCGTCTTATACTGATGTCAACGTTGTCTCAAATTTCAATATCAACCGTTGCGCAGTAAGCCAACAGAATTGGCTATTGCTTTTAGACCCACCTTCGACAGCTCGCTCTCCATGCAAGACGTCAACACATGGCTACGAAGGGCAACGAGTGAGGCTTTGACTGAGTGATCAGCAGGCCTATGGTCTGAAAAGATGATCCTGCAGGCACAAATCATGGCCGACTGCTCGTTCTAGAACCAACACAACCGCAGCACCGTTCGATACAGAAACGGCGGAAGGGTCTTTGCATATACCAGCTGAAAGGACATGAGGCCATATAGGAGCATCCAACCAGTGAGTAGCTCGAGATACAAAGTCGATGATGGAAGTAGATGCTGGTTGATATATTGATATATTGATGTCAAGCGAAGTTGATCAAGCGGACATCTGCCAAGGGACAGAGAGTTTTCTTCAGGGTCGGCTGGTCGGGAGACGCTCCTTCCTCCGTGTATCTCCGTACCCGACCCGATAAGGAATGAGACTAATCGAATTGGGTAGTATGTATCTTCGGAAGCCTTGTCGTCGCGAAGCGATTTGCGTTCTATTATTGTGCGCCAGACCCATGACCTTCCAACATGTATACTCGAAAACGGAGTATAGATTGCTTACAGAGTGTTACCGTTGGACTGAACACCTCACAGTCTTGTATGCTTGGCGCAACCCAGGAGAACGACAGCTAAATCCGTTGCTTGCTTTTCCCAAGCACACCCACCGGCGCATCCGACTCAGAGGATCCATCAAAAACTGCTTCTGATATCATCTTGTCTGAGCCAGTCAATCGATCGCCTAGTATTCGCGGAGATGTAGACACCACGACCGTTCCAGAAAACGCCAAGTCTTCAGCCCTTTCTGCTAGCCTGATAGTTGCACTCTCGGTTTGCATCCAAACGTACCCGATCGGGAGAGCCAACGTACAAGGTGGTTTCGCAGCCGTTGGACAGCGTGCCTATCAGTGCATCTGCATATTCAAGTTTTATAGTGGATCGCAGCTGTTATCAAAGTCAAAATAGGCAGTCTGCAAGCTGCACGCTATCCAACGGACGCAGGCACACCCCGTATAATGGGCTATGATGGACCCTGTTTATCTCCGCTGAGATCTAATCCGGCAGACATGTGTTTCGATTTCACATGCTACATATTCGACATTGCGGTGATGTCTTCCACCTGACAAAAGACTGTGTTTTCATCATCCTTTCTGGCTGCACAGCTGTTCAAGCTTTGCGACCACAGATGCGGAGTGGGGTTTGAACAACGACGACGCTCATGAGTCGACCACCCTGCCCTTGTATCGCAACGCATAATCGCACTCGGGAGTCTCATTCATACTCCAGAACATCTCTCGGCAAGGGCGACTCACGCTACAAGATGGTTTAGTTCGCACAGACAGTGCGCACAAGTCAGTCATGGTTGTTTAGCGCGCTTCCATCGGGATGTCCGCAGCCACAACGACAAGGCTGCGAATTTCAGCTGAACGCGATCCAGCCTGCTTCGGTATAGGATCTGAAGCGAGCATTGTTGACTACTATCCCGCATCCGATCTTGAGCCTGGTCCAAGCGGAAGTCTTTGCTTGAGTGATGGCATCCAGCTCTTCTACAGGCATTGACACTATCAACTCACCGCATCACATCTCGTGCTGAGGCTTGGAAAGCTTTGTCTCTCGTATAGCACCACGTCAATCTCTGTTGAGCGATGCTATCGGGCAGGTCTTGTTTCCACGCACGAAGCGACAGATGTTCCGGTATGTGTGAAAGGCCGTTGCGCCATCGACTCTATATCCTGACGAATGAATATTCTCTGTACATACAGGAGCCGGTTCTTGTCCCGACGACTACTCCCATAAACAGGCACAGATCTTCTGCCTATAGTAAGGCAATGGCAGTAATCTTTCGCTTTTATCTAGTCAGTCTTTGCCTTGTATTCTTTACGTCGTCACAGCAGACAAAACACTTGACACCTCTCTTGTTGCTGCAGATTGGCACTTCACCATCTATCTCCCACTCGCTACTGCCGTTTCGATAGATCATGTAAGATCAAGCATTCCCTGTCGTTCGATTGAGGAACCGAGCGCTGTATGGTATCGCTTAAGGTATTGTTACAAGACTACCCCCGTGATAAACACCATCTTCTTCTTCTGCAGCGCTCTCGCTATCTTCTTCGATACCTCTATGCCCCGTAAGATACAGCACAATCGCCTGAGCGGACGCTCCGAAAGTAGCCCGAACCATTTCTACTGGCGCCTCTATTCCCGCACTCACGAGCAGTACAGTATCATCCCGCAGTGATCTCTCATCCATAATCATAAAGTAGTGAGGGATGATTTCCGAATCGGTGTCTTCGCAAAGCTCCAAGAGCAATCGGCTACACTCCTTGGGAGTCTTTGAGATAAAAGGCGAGTTTGGGTTGCTGGGAGCCTTTACTGGGACTGTTGACGGTTCATCGTAATAGTGGTCGAAGCTGTCGGCGAATACGAAATCCCAAGTGTCTTCCTCGTCAATGCCACTATCTATCAGAAGACGATTCATGATCNNTGCAGCATGAATTAAAGCTAATCCTGGGCGGCAGCAGCAGCGGAAATGGATGACACATACGTCTTGACTTAGTGAGGCCGCGCACACAATAGGAAACGAGGTATTCCCCATCCTGGATTCGGGGAGCCGTGGCGCGTGTTGAGTCAAAATTGTTACTGATGGAAGTGCAAAGGATCCTGCAGCTTTGATGCCTAGAAATTCGAATCGGACAGGAAACCGGGCATATTAGCGGTTCAATATACGTCACTCGATTATTCGATTAGAACACCATGGCCAAGAGAAGATCTGGAGAATCGAGCATCTAGTCAAACTGGCGTTTTTAACTTCAAAAGGATCCTAGAATAAAAACATAGCTTTGCCATGCCAAGGGTGCCGTAGCACTGTCATCCACAAGCCTCTGCGACTTTCTTAGCTCATCAAGAGTATATAGTTTTTCAAAACCGCGCTTCGCTCGTCCCTCTGGGACATCTGGTCTACTTGAACCAATACAGAGAAGATTAGCATGGCCCCTGCACTAAGGATGGTGAGTTCGAATTCCCGCAAGGTCACGACTTGTGCATTTGCTAATAATTCTTCACAGACACATGCAAACAAGAGATTGCCAAAGTTTTAATTTTGCAAAATTGGAGTCGAAAAATGCTTTCGCTTTTGTAAGTTGAATTAAAAATTGTGATGGAAGCAAAAATCTTTTGATGGTGGTGGATGGCTACTGTATCGTCCGACTCATTTTGCTACTTGAGATGGCAGGCACCCTGTCCGCTTCGAAAGGCTTCGCAAGGTCTGAACTCAGTTCATGCTACAGCTCAACTCCATTTCTCTGGATGTTTGTATGATACTATTTAGTCTATGTTTGAAAATGTATTCGTGGATTGCATGGCGGTTCGCTTGAGATATAGCAATACGTCGTGTTGATGGTGAATTTTCTTACAAATCGCTCGGTCCTCAAGCCTTATGCGAAGCACCCTTCACGACAATATTTCACTACGACTGACACACGGAACTCTAGGTTGACGTACCGTAGTTATCATTCTGGCAAACTCCAAAGATATCCTGACTACTTTACATACGTACTAAGATGATGGAACTTATCCGCCACGAATTATGGAGGGACCTCCTTTCCATTCTCGGATGTGACTTTCCTAAGTTGACCCATTTCCACCTCGCATTCCTCAGACAAGATAACTCTCTTTCCCGCGCAATCAGTTTCCGTGGCTACAGCAAAGACGATGTCCCCGAGCAGTGTCGGCCAAGGCTCGATATGCCTCTCAAAGGCCCTCGGCAGAACAGAATACTTACCCGGATCACTTGTCAAGGGCCGGATGCCGGATCTGTTATGATGGAGCTGGTCAATTATGCCAATTAAGCTGTCTTTGATCTCGAAAGACGATATTCACTAGTGGGAGCTGATACGGATGATCTTGAAGCCTCAGCTTTAGCTTGAGTGCGTGTCTCTCGAGCTCGGCGACTAGCCGCGGTCTCTCGCAAGTATCCAGGGACGCCTGTCGCTCCAGCCGTTGATGGATTAATGGTCTTCGGTATGGGAGTGCTTGACACAACCGAGTTTCTGAGTCTTGTACGATCACCGAGCACAGCTTTATACTCCTTGGCTCGCCTTGAAGATTGATTTGTGTGCGAGTCGGTAACTTCGGCGCGCGAAAAGCATCTTTGTGGTGGCATCGTGTGAGCTCTTGCGACTGTACTGGCTGGAGGATTGCGTGTTGCTTCCTGTTGACCGCTCTGCTGATTTTTGTTACCAACAACTGACTGTCTTGTTCTCCTCGCCTGTGCGAGGTTCCACTGAGCGTAAGCCAGTACTTTCTCCGTAAGTTTTGGGTCCTTGAAATCGGTGTGAATGGTCTTTTGACCGTCATTCATGACTTCCTCTAGCAAATCCATCACCTGCTTCAACTTTCTGCTGTCCTCGAGTTTTGTGTAAACTTGTGCTAGCTTGCGTAAAGATGAGAGACGTCTGTTGTCATCGAGTCGAAGATATGAAGACTGAAGATTGACTCGCTTTTCAAGCAAGGTGGCACCTACACTGAACTCTCCAAGGGCGAAGTGAATATCTGCGATTAGACCTATTGCAGGGGCAAGCCACGGTGGAGGGGTATCATTTGCAAGAAACTTCTCGAGCTGAGAACGCGCTTGCGCAAGATGTGTCATGGCTTCGCCCGGCTTTCTTAGCCTGATGTAAGCCTGCGCCAGTATCATCATAATTATGATCCAATGAGGATTTGGCGAGCTCATTTTGTAGCAGATAGTGATTTCGTCCTCAAGCAACGTTACAGCCCTTGTGGCATCCCCATCGACATACAGGACGGATACCATTGCCAGAGCTTGTAATCGACGGGTCGAGTCAGGTGGATTCATTATCCATAACTGAAAGTTTTTCTCGGCGAGAAAGATCGCCTGCTCACTGTTACCGAGATTCTTGTGGACCAACACAAGATTCTCGAAGAGACATTCCATCTGCAAGTCCTTCAGTATTGAGAGTTGTGAATACCGTTGATACAATGGCTCAAACAAAGTGAGTGCACCTCGGTAATCGCCAGCTTCGCTATGGAGCTCAGCCAGTCGCACCTGCCATTCGAATGCATCGGAGCTCATTTTGCCATATCGCATCTCTGTGGACTGCACCATATCATGCACCAAGTCTCGTGCCTCTTCGTGTCGTCCTAACGAAACCAGACAGCTTGAGATCCCGATCATGCAGTCATGAATCGCATGAGGAGACGTGTGAGGCTGAGTCTCAATCGACGAGGACAAAGTCTTGAAAACAGATAGTGACGACTGATACCTAGAATCCTCATAAAGATGCCACGCCAGACGATATAGAGCCTGTGCAACAGTCAAGGAAACCCGTGACTCGGATTTTTCTTGGCTCAGGCTGTGAAAGCAAGTATCTATGTGCGGCGCTAGCTTTGGTGTGAACGAGTACCAATACAGATCGATCGCAGACAGAGCAAGAATTGACACAGTCTGTTCCCATGCGGTTGTCTGCGCGGTCTTGTCCAGTCGAGTACGTGCCCATTCGTGGACGAGAGGGTGCATTGATATTCTATTGTCGTCAACTCTGACAAGCGACAGATCTGCAAGGCGTGTTCGAGCGCGTCGAAGTGGTGTGGTAGTACGGCGTTCGATAAGACCTCTCGACCGCACTTTCTCACAATGACACATGTGAAGGTGATCGATTCGAGTAAGTTCATCAGTGACTCGATCGTATTCCATGCTCGAGACAGAGGGACAACTGGGACATTGCATGCCATTCTTCTCCCACGCTTTCTGCAGTTTGTGGCATTGGTCACAAGCTCGGCTGAAGATGTCTTCTTCGACTGCTTCACGATTCAAGAATGCGAGTATATCCAGTAGTTGCAGAGCGAGTGCACAATCATGGTCCTCAGACGAAGCCAGAGCCTCTGCAGAAACCTCGAACGTTGCGTAGACACTCCCATATCGTGAAGCTTGCTGCTGAGGCTTGAACTTCATTAGCCGAGCCTGTTCTTTGCGAAAAGAAAGAACATATCCATCCAAAGTGCAGAGTCCCTTCTTGATGTAAGCACCAGCATGGACAAGGGCGAGTGCATGCTGCCCGAGGCTGGACACCACTGCCTCCGCGGCAGGTACGTAAGCTTCCTGGTTACCCGAAGCGTAGCCGCATGCCTGCAGGAGTAGCTGCATGGCAGCGTCACGACCGAGATCATCGAGATTTGCCCAGGTTCCAAGAATCTTGCACTCAGCCAGGCGAGTGGTAAGAATGATACTGCCACCACGAGAGGGCATATACGCAGAAAAGTCCATCATACTATCGTCGCAGTTATCCAGAATGAGGAGCCATGATCCTTTGATGTTCGCAAGCCATCGTAGTACACCTTTGCTTGTTGCATCTATGAGTGGTGGAGTCTGCATTTTGGCAATCTCCGCAAAGCCTTGTTCAACACTCTGCTTGTTGTCAGCGTCAATCCAGAAGATGCCCCAGAAGCTAAATCAGTCAGCTAATGCCGATATGTGTGTGAGAAGAAACCAACTTGTCTTGATTTTCCGTCGCGAATTTGATAGCTGCCTCACTTTTCCCAGCGCCGCCAATCCCCTGGAGCACGAAGACTGGGCGGTCTTTCTTTTAGGCTCAGCAATCAGGTGCTTCTTCATTTCATCCATCAGGGCCTGCCGGCCTGTAAACAGCGGATTGGGAGCGCGTGGCACATTCCAATGTGTATTGCCTGACAAGATACTCTTGCGTTAGCTAGAAAACTTGAAGACTGAACTCGAATGGGAGCCCAGAGTATAACAACCAATGATCGATCTATCTGGTAGCATTGTGCCACGTGAGATAGCATCAATTTATTGGATATATGATGGGAAGAACTAACCGGTGTGAGGGAGTTCTGCAACATCAGTAAGAGGAACAACCGACAAGAGCTCTTTAGCATAGGCCGCTGCTGATGCTGCAGCGTATGCATGCCAGTCGTCATTCTTGTGGGTGTCCGCATAGTCAGAGATACCGCGTATAACTAAGCAGGGAAAAGCGTCGAGCCCAGCGGCTTCCATCTCAAAACAGATGATCTTATGTTTCGCGCGTATCTTGTCCGCAAAGACTGCATCTTTAACGACTTGGTCTCCAGAAGCTATAGCACCATAGTGAACTTTGGGAGACGGGTCGGATCGTTGGGGAAGGATGAGAAGGTAGGCTTTGTCGCAGTCTTCACACGACTCTCCACCTCGATGGATATATGTCTTGGTGAATAGATTGTCGACACTGGGACGCGGAGCATGCCGCTTGACCTCAGTAATCTCGAGGCTAGATACGTAGTCTCCAGGCTTTCGCATGTGCTTTCTCTGTAGCGCTCCAGCTGCAGATCGGAGTACGTCGGGAGCTTTGTTCATATTTCCTTTCATGACGAGTTCGCCGTCTTGGACAGATTTGCCGAGATCATACTGTATGATGCCAGGGCCACCGTCGTCAGGGACACCCACAACAATATCCCCAAGACGAAGATCCTCCTCAGCAGTCCAAATTCCACCAGCGATGCCGACCATAATGCCGAACTTCAAGTTCGGGAACGTTCGGCGCATGTTGTTGGCGACTGTAGCAGCGGACGCTTTGCCAGTGGTCGAGAGGGGGAGCTGTGCTATAGCCACGATATGCGATGCGTCGCTTCCATTGATTTTGATACGTCCGTACCTGTAAATGTTGTTGTCATTGGGAGGAAGCGGAATGGTTTGCTCGATCAGCTCATCGAGCATGATTTCGGCCAACAGGGCTTCGATCGATAACGCAGATATCCAGCCGATCTGAATATGGGCCAGAGTGAAAGCCATGTCGAGTGACACTGCGGGTTCGTGAGAGCGAGTTTGGCTTTGGGTGTATTCAGGCCACGATCAGCCATTCGACAGTGTCAAACGTCTGATACCGGGAAACTACCTCGAGTTCCTCTGCAGCCTGATTCTATTAGATCAGCATACGGCCAGAGCTTCAGCTTAATGCGATTGTGTCGATATGCTCCGCCGTTATCGAATTAGGCAATGAGAAGTTCGCGAGTGGAAGAGGACGCGGAATTCAACGAACTCATAGCGATCAGGGGAGCGTGCAATGCCGGCTTTTGTTAATCCAACCGACGTCCGAGGCAGAAGGTATACAGAAGTCGTGGCTTGCATACTGAGAGTCATACTGCATACTACATGTCTGGAACGGCATCCATCCGCGGCATCTCACGATGCCGGGTCGTGCAGATCAGCGGGGATATCCATGTCGCCCACTGATTGGGCAGCTCCATGATCACTGTTGGCTTCAGTTGTCCAAATGCCAGAACCCAGGGTTTCGTTCAGTGCTCAAGGATGCGATCGAGGCAGCCGGTCCCATCATAGGCTGCGAAGATTGGGCAGCAACAGCTACGCTGCTAGTGTCTCAGCTTAATGATTGGCTAGGTTCAGTACCTATCCATGCGGACGAACGACCCAGACTCCTGGACTGGTATTGAGAAACCATGAGCGGGATGTGCAGACTGCAGATGGACCAATGCAGGCAGCAGATCACGCGTCGTCAACCACGCTGGAACCGAGGCATTTGTGTTTCATTCAAATAGATGATTCGCAACGAAGATGGTATATGATGGAACAAGGAAGCTATTATCGAAGTGAGATCAAAGCGATGGAAGTAGAATAGGTGCATAGAAAGTACCCTGCGGACAGAAGCAAAGGTTCCGATTCAAATGGCGGAAGCGGGAGGCGCGAGCCGAAGCAACCCTGGTACGGACATCGCCGACTACCTATCCCGAGTGAACAAGGCAACGACGTGTTTCGTGAAGATTGTTGGGTTGACACATACAGGTCGTTTGAACAGCAATCTGATAGCGCGCACACCCATAAGTCTCCAACTCTAGAGAGCGCACAGCAAATCGCGGGTGTTACCAAGCTCGAAATCAGCAGTCTGCAGGCCAGGCACTATTAAACAGACGCAGACACCTTGTATGATGTGGTTGCTAAAGACAAACACCTGATGGACTATCTTTACTGCAACCTGACACCTGCCTGCCTGTTCTTCTTCGCTGTAGCGCCGACAGCCTCGTTGGCGCCAGTGAAGCCCAGCAGCGACTTCCTCTGCCTCTCATCCTCTTCCTGTTTCTTCTTCATACGCTTCTCAGTCTTCTGCTTGCCACTGCCTTTGCCGTGGAACCTATGACTGAGATGCTTGAAGGCCTCCTTCTGATTCATCTCGCGGCCGTCTTCATCATTGTAGCGAAGCTGAACATTGGGCTTGTAAGAGCGCTTGAAGTGCTCGGCTTGTAGTTGTGCAAGATAGGCGTCTCTTTTCTCGTTTTGTTGGCGTTGGTAGTTTTCGCGCTCGCGGTGGGACATGCGATCCCAGCGACCAGATTTACGGTCTACTTCACGCTCTTCTCTGGTCTTTCGGTCGTACTCATCGACGAGTGCTTGGTTCTCGGCAAGGAATTGCTCTTTGGCGCGAACGGCTGCGTTGGCTTTGTCAGCGTCATTTTCTTGAACGAGACCGCGTTTGCGGAGCATGTTGAGGATGCCTCCAGCTCCGGTTGTAGTGTTTTCTTCGTCCTCGAAGCCAGTAGATGTCATTGCTGGTGGTGCGACTGATCCTCGTTCTTCGGCTTCGCGTCGGGCACGAGCATCTTCTTCGTCTTCGACCGCAGCGTAAGATTCTTGCATTGTCTCGTCTTCGTCCTTGACTCCGGCAGCAGGGGTTGAGGTGGCTCTGGGACGCTCGTCTGCCGAATCTGGTGATTGTGGGCGTCTCAAATTGGAGACAAACTCGGTGGTCTCATCGATGACAAGGCCAGGCTCCTCATCGTCTTCGGCAGTGTTCATTGGTGTTGCAGATTCCTCTTCACGTATGCGGCGAGCCAGCTCAGCAGCATCAGTCTTCTTACGCTTCTTCAATGCTTGTCGGCGTTGTTCTGCCAGCTTGGCTTGTAGATCATCATCGTCGAAAGTTTCAAAGGCACGTTTCTTAGCAGCGCCATTTGCTGCCGGTTGACCATCAACATCCATCTGGTCTCCAGAAGTTTGTTGTGTAGGTAGAGGGAAGATGTCGTCGTCGTCGGCAGCCTTTGTTCGAGTAGTTTTGGCCTTCTTCGGCTTCTTGGGCTTGCGGATTTTGGCAGTTGACGGATCTTGGTAATCTGAGATGGGTGTGTCGTCTTTGAGCTCGTCCAGACTGAACTTGACGCCTTTGACGCCAATGCGCTCTGCTTCCGCAGCTTCCCTTCGAGCCGCGACAGCTGCTTGATCGATCGCACCAGATGTATCCAGAGTGAATGCCTTCTTCTTTTTGCCCTCGATCTCTTCATCGTAATGCGCGAGAATCGAGCGGTTTCCGTCGTCCATGTCATTAGGGTTGTAAACAGGCTTGTTCTTCTTGCGCTCCAGCTTCTCTTGTAGTTGTTCTTTTGCGCGCAGATCCAGGTTCTCGAGTTCGTCATCTTCGCTTTCGTCGCCGATGACAGCGTCCTTCAGTGTCAGGATTTGTTCGCCTTCAGCATCAAACTGATCCAGCTCGTGGGCGACCTTGACGCCAGCCAGATCCTTCGCCGAGTATTCTGCTTGTGCTTGACGCTCGAGTTCAGCCTGCTCTTCCTCGTACTTTCTTGCTTTCTCAATCTTCTTTTGACGCTTCTTTTGTTGCAACAACCAAGTTTTGGTGTCCATGTCTGCCTCTTCTGCGTCGCCCAGACCCTTTCCTTCCAACTTTGCGTTCCGTAGTTCGATATCGCGGGCCCTTTTGATGGCTTCCTTGCGAGCCAGACGCTCTTGCCTTGCAGTTTCTTCATCTTGCAGTTTCTTCCAGTTGTCGCCTGCGGCTGCCTGGCGCTTTTCGAGTGTGCTCATGTCGTCAGGATCTGATTCTTCTCCGTCGTCCTTTGACTTGAATTGGAGGCCGTCTTCGCCGGGTACGGGCAAGGGCGCAAGGCCCATGGCGACTCTGATCTTGTTGGCATCTTGGATTGCGACGGCGTCCATAGTGGGTGGTGTGTGAGGTGTGGAAGCAACGAGGGCCAGATGCGCGGTCGCAGTGGTGTACGGGATATGGTCTGACGCTGACGAAGTGAATCACAGCAAGACGGTAAGCAGACGAGTTACGAGAGCTGCCTGATCAAGAGTTCAAGAAGGCGCGTCGGAGTTTGGTCGTCGTAAAAGCCGGCGGCGTCTGCCGGCTTGGCGCGTGCTCAGAAAACATCTATATCAAGGTCGCAAAGTTTCTCTCTTCCTCTTCTCTTCTCACAACAAAGATCTGTGTTCAGCGATCCTGGCGTCTCCTCACGGGGACTGATCGGTCGATTGCTGTCCAGCTCGACTTTTATGGAGCCATCAGATTATTGTGATGTCAATTTTCCGGTCGACAGATTTGAGAAGAATGTGGCCCTGGGACAGCACCTGAGCTCGCTTCGGCTGAGCTCGGTGTGTAACCTTGGTCAAGAGCGTCATATTCCTGATCCCTTCGCTGAGGCCGTCGGCTTGTGAAGTTGGGGAAAAACCATGACTTGCTTACATCTTGTGATATCAAGAATTGCTTTGAATATGTTGTATGTACGATCTGCAGAAAGCGCCAAACACGCCTGTCAACACGAGTTGCAAGGGACAACACATTCGTCGTCTTGCGCCTTGTGTCGCGTGCTGCTTCAACTTTTCTTGCCGTAAATATTGCGCATATCATTCGCACCTGCCTATCTTTCTTTGCGACAATCACATGCAAAATATTCGCCCTCATTCAAGATCTGCAGCTTGCAGGTCTGCATGTCGCACGGTGGGAACAAACGCCTGTTCCTTCGATGAGGCCGTTCTGGCGTGACTTTCTCTGGTTGGCGCTCATGACGTTGGTCGTTGACTCGTTGCTCCTTCCACCAGTGTAAACTTCCAACATTGCGACTCTATCGAACGCACCTCTCTCCCCCAGCCTCGTACCATGCACATATTCTTCAACTGTCATCGCCTCATCAAGTGAAGCGGCATCTTCATCGCCATTCTTCTTGAACTCGCCGTGGTCCCAACTGTGTCACGCAGAAAAAAGACTTTCTCAGCCCCGCACGCCGCCAGAAGAGTCTCGTCGGCCTTTCGCATTCTTCCTCTTTTCGACCATCACGTTGAACTTCCAGTCATGGTGCTTCTCCCAGGCACTCGTGCGTCTAATGAACAGACCGAACAGCTGAGGACAGTGCGCGCCCAGCTTCAAGACAAAGTCCGCGATGACTGGAACTTCACCGGAGCTCCTTATGTTCTTCCCTCATACTACCCGGCCTCACTCCCGTCTGCCCCGTCTACGTGGAATCACTCTTCTCAGCCGGTCGCAACTACACCTGTCGCCTCATCTGCGGCCACTCCGTCTGCCGCCACACCAAATGCAAGAGAATGCGTCAATGAGCACATCAGACAAAACCCCATCAACTTGCCCCCAAGGGACCAGCACCCGATCCTCCCACCGACTNGGCGTCCACGCTACTACAGCGACGGTGAAGACTCGGCCTCAGACAACGAGAACGACAATGCTCCGCCCGCCTTCGACACTCCCGACTCGGTCAGTACAGACCTGGAGGCTCGCAAGCAACGAAGACGCAGGCGTCGTCAACAGAGATTCGAGAATGAGATGAGGGAGAACATCGGCCTTGCCCATTGGAGCGCTCAGAGGAACAAGTGGACTGGTGCCGAACATAGAAACCTCGTCCAACAAGATCGCTCCGCAACCAAACCGTCACCTGGACAACCTCAATCTCCTCAGATTCCGTCACCAGTGCCTACCACGTCCACATCGTCCACTCTTACCGGAGCAGTCCCAGACACAGACTTGGTCATCCCCGTAGCACCACCGCTGCTTCTCGAAAACCCCATCCGCGACCGGATAAACAAGAATGCCTACTCGGACATCTACACAAAGATCATCCTCCAAGGTCGCACTCCCTCCATTCCCATCAGCCTCACTGATGTTACCCGCTCTTTGGTACACGGCTGGAAAGAAGAAGGCCAGTGGCCGCCAAAACCTACCCCCGCAGAGCCCAGTCTGGTCAAGAAAAATGGACATCCACACATAAAAGGCATGCTGGAAACATNNCTGGGCAGACCATTCCTCAAGGGTCAAGGAGTTCCTGTTGAGAAGGGTTCGGCACAAGGTCAGGTTTAGGAAGACCACGTTGATACATCAGTCCCAGATTGCTATGCTGCATACAAAGCCCACGAGGACAAAAGTGCCCGTCCGAAATTTTTCTCTCGCAAGAAAAAGCCCGCCAACCAAGAAGATGGTGCTCAGCGCATTGAAGACTTCGGTCCACATCGCGATGCTGATGACAAGGAAGCGTTCCAAGTCAAAGTAGGCGAAGCAAAGCGGGCTGATGTCAACAATGTCAACCCGCAAGCTGAAGCCGTGATTGACTGGATTGCCACGATGTTGCAAGAGCGTGCATATCGACGTGCCAACGAATCTATACAGGACCACATCCAGAGGCTCAAGCACTTGATTGCGCCACACAAAGGGGGAGTCTGAAGCTTGGTTCAATACCAGACTCGCTGCTCGTTGGCAGCAGCCAAATGAAACTCCGTACGAGTTTGGCGCCAGAATGAAAGCTCATCACGCCAGAGTCTGCATTGATAACGGTCCGTCATCTGATGAGGATGAAGAATGGGAGAGGATGAAGATGGAGGCTCGTGACCTAGCAGAGAAGCTGCCCATTACGCTCGAGAGGATTCGTAAAGGTAAATATCCATGGCGTCTTTCAGATGCCAGATGTCAGTTGTGGCATTTTGACGATATCGATGCCAGAAAGACGTTGCTTGCGGACCGCAAGAAGTTGTATGAGGGCATTACCTGTTGAGGCGCCGGATGTTGATGGCGCTGAACTTCTTCCATTCTCACCATTCACATTATGTGGAGACTATCTTTTGATTACAGCGTAGGAGTCAAGGCAGTCTTTTCTGTATTCTTCTAGCAAGGAGAAGCAAACTTTCATTCTTTTCTATAGCCAACTCAACTGTCAATCTCTCCATTTCACAAAGAAGCCTGCTCAATCCTGCGACCAGTCTCATCAAACTCAATCTTCTTACCACTAATCAGCGACTCTTGTAGCGCACAACCAATCTTGACAGCCTGCACCGCACCACTCAACTTGAAAGGCAGTTTCGTATCATCCAAACACGCCGCCGTAAACTCATTAGCCTCCCTCACAAAAGCCTCGTAAAACCTCCCATAGTAGTCTTGAGGAATCTCTCTTCTAACCCCCGTCTTTTCAGACATTTCCACCAGTGTCTGTGCAGGGTTTGCATTGACTGTTAGTTTTCCCTCCGTACCGATTACCTCTGTCATATCGTGTTGACCAGCCGCCATCATACGCGAACTGTACACGTAAGCGATTTTATTGCCCCAAAACTCTATAACGCCGATGCCATTGTCCACATCTTTGTGTTTCTTGAGCGCTGGTTGGACTGCTGTTATGCCTACTGCATAGACACTTTTGAGCAGTGAGTCCTGCCCGAAAAACCACAGTGCCAGGTCTATATCGTGGATGTTGCAGTCGACGAAAATACCTCCTGAGAACTGTGCGTAAGACACGAAGAAACCAGAAGGATCGAGTTTATCGCAGGTTTGAGAGCGGAAAATTGAAGGGCGACCGATGGAGTCGTTGGATAGCCGCGAGTAGGCGTCTAGATAACTGGCATCGAAGCGACGTGAAAACCCGCAGAGGACTTTGAGATGTGGATGTTTGTTTGCTGCATCAACAACACTTTGAGATACCTCTACAGAAGTGCTCAAAGGTTTCTCACACAGCACGTGTTTGTTGGCTCCAATGGCAGCAATGGCTTGGGAGGCGTGGACGGTGGTTACGGTGGCTATGACCACGGCTTCTAAGCCTGGATGTTTGAGCATCTCGGCATAGTCAGAGTAGACGACAACGCCGGGGAGGTGTACAGCTGCCCATGCTGCTTCCCTCGGGNNGGAAGGGGTGAATGCTGCAACGAGGGTGGCGCGTGGAGTGCGTTCGGAAAAGTTTAGAGCGTGCCGGGCGCCCATGCGACCTAGACCTGCAATGGCGACGTTGAGTTTGCGTTGGGGTGGTGCCATTGTTGCTGAGGATGAATTGGTAGTATACAAGGCAGAGAAAACGAAGAACAGAGGAGAAAGCAGTGAGTTGCAACTTTTCAAGACATGTGGAAGTCAGTCTCCGAGAATAAGGAAAGCAAAACAAAGCAAAATAGTAGCAAACAATTCCGATGCAGGGCAAGAAATAAAAGAGGAAACAAAACAGGTCGATCACGAAAACCGCGAGCTGTACAAGACTGTCGTGCAGAGACCAAACTTGGTGAAGAGCTCAAAGGTACAGATACTTACGCTTCTCTCCCGTGCGTGATCACTTACTCTGGACGATGAGGGGCTCTTCAAGAGCTCGCCCTCGCTTTACCTATTGTATGCACGAAAGAACGAATCAACGAAAATATGGAGATCCACCCGAGTGGTTCAAGAACCCGGAGACCCCGGTTTTTTCTCCTCCTCCTGATGACCTAAGAAAAGTATATCCGGGACTGGAGAGAAAGCCGAGAAAGAAGTGAAGTTGGGCAGAGGCCGACATGTGGGGAAGATGAACTCTTCCTTCATTGCCGCTCTCGGTCTTCTGGCTGACTTTCTCCAAAGTCATTTGGCGGATGCCGAGCAAGGTAGGTTTTGGCCGGTATCTGACGGTGCATTCGAGAACTGGTGTTGATGACTGTGTGCCGAGACGGTGTGCTGCATGCGGCTTCCAGAGCTGTTCTTGTGTTGGTCGTGTTGTCACTGCTCACCGTCTTCCTGTGCGCTCAAATCACTTGGTTGGAGGTTTCTTTAGCCGGTCAAGCGGTTAGGGTCATGACTGGCTATGCAGACTGCCTGATCGCTCCAAGTCGACTTCACGCCCTACTTGGTCTTGATGCGGAGGTACGGAGTATGCATTCAAATGATCTTGATGAAAGATGGAGATGGTCACAGCGGCATTTGAGCAGCCTTTTTGTTTACTGAGGCCCGTGCACAGAGCCTTCTGCTGAGCAACGCAATCACCATCGTGAAAAAGTGTTTCAAGAGATATATACAATGTGGATACGAGACAAATCATCTACCTGGCCATCCAACTGCCATCAACAGTCAAAATCTCACCACTAACATAACCACTCGCTCTACTGGCAAGGAAAACAACAGGCCCCTTGAAATCTTCAGGCTTGCCCCATCGTCCAGCAGGAATTCTGGCCATGATCTGTTCACTCCTCGTCTTGTCCTTCATCAAAGCATCATTCATCTCTGTCGCAATGTAACCAGGTGCAATGCCATTGACATTGATACCCTTTGAAGCCCACTCATTCGACAAGGCTTTTGTCAATTGCGCAACTCCGCCCTTGGAAGCTGCATAAGCGGGTACTGTAAATCCACCTTGAAAAGACAGCAACGAGGCAATATTGATGATAGCACCTCTACGCCCATATTGATCGGGTTCGCGGGACAGCATGTGTGCGCCCACGTCTCTGCATAGCGTAAACACCGAGTTGAGGTTCACGTTGAGGACTTCGTCCCAGTCGTTGTCCGGGAATTGGTGTGAGGGGTGTCGTCTTTGGATGCCGCCGCAGTTGAGCAAGATGTGGATTTGGTAGCCGTCCGAGACTACTTTNTTGACCAGGGCGGAAACGGAGTCGCGGGATGCGAGGTCGGCTGTGTAGATTTGGGCTTTGCGGCCGAGTTTTTGGATTTCTTGTCTTGTGGATTGGTTTGATTCGTCGCGCTGNTGAGGAATTTGGTCAGTACGGGTTTAATTGACGGAGTGCAGAGTGTTTACCTGTACTAGCAGAATGTCTGCACCAGCCTCAGCGAGAGCGATGGCCATTGCTTGCCCGATTCCTNNGGTCTTCTCGTCAGTAACCACTTGTCGAGTCTTTCTCTAGTACAGAAACGTACCGCGAGTACCGCCAGTGACCAGAGCGGTCTGGCCTTCAAGGGAGAAAAGTTGTTGCACAGAAGCCATGACTTGATTGTGAGATGTGAATGATACAGAGAACAAGAAACGATGAACAGAGTCAAACACTTAGTATTATTGTCTCGAGTCAATGCCGACAAGCACAGGGTCAACGTCACCCTTTCCCCTCTTCAATTGCCGACAATGTGGGAAAAATGTGGGCAGAGTGGGGGCAGATGCCGATGCTCCACAGCCGATTCAGACATGACAAGGTGGATTGTTATGTATTGACTGAATGCCGCTGCCTCTTTTTCTCTTTCTCATTCGTATCCGTGTTCTGTCGTTTGAAGCCTTCTCTTGTTTTCATATCATTCACATACCGTAGTCATGTCGTCGACACAAGTACAAGCCAGCGTCTTGCACGGCGCAAAAGACCTCCGCATTGTGAGTTCGATCTCCTGCCGACAACCACGCCATCTGCATCAAAGACACACAAACAAGATGCAGCATCGATACTGGAAGAATGATCAGCTAATCCGCATGTCAGNNGAATCCCGCGACCTTCCCGCCCNNCCCTCAGCAAACGAAATCCAAGTCGCAGTCCACAGCACCGGTCTCTGCGGCAGCGACCTGCACTACTACAACCACAACCGCAACGGCGACATCCTCGTCCGCGAACCCCTGACCCTCGGCCACGAGTCCTCGGGCATCGTCACGGCCATCGGTTCCTCAGTCTCCGACTTTGCAATCGGCGACAGAGTAGCCTTGGAAGTGGGTGTTCCTTGCGACCACTGCCATCGCTGCGAAGAAGGCCGCTATAACATCTGCAAAGACATGAAATTCCGCAGTTCTGCAAAGAGTNTTCCCCACTTCCAAGGCACGCTGCAGGAAAAGATCAATCATCCTGCCAAGTGGTGTCACAAGTTGCCGGAAAACATGAGTATGGAGTTGGGAGCGCTGCTGGAGCCTTTGGGTGTTGCTATACACGCCTATCGACGCAGTTTGATGCAACCAGGACAAACTGCTTTAGTGTTGGGAGCTGGTGCTGTGGGTTTACTCGCTGCAGCGGTGGCCAAAGCTAAAGGAGCAAAGACGATAGTGATTGCAGACATCGATGCCGGAAGAGTGGATTTTGCAGTCAAGAATGGTTTTGCACACCACGGCTATGTGGTGCCCATGAAGCGAGGAAAAGACACGGAAGAGAATCTCGCTATTGCGAGGGAAACGGCAGATGGTGTTGGCGCTGTTGCTGATGACTCTGGCTCTGCAGTTGGAGAGGTGGATGTCGTGTTTGAATGTACGGGCGTACCTACCTGCGTCCAAGCAGCCATCTACGTAAGTTTTGCTACTTCAACCTACTCCCGCCTCATATCGCATACTAACCTCTGCCCACAGTCCACCAAGCCCGGCGGCCGTGTAATGCTAATCGGCATGGGCGTCCCCATCCAAACCCTCGCCATCTCCTCCGCCGCCCTGCGCGAAGTCGACCTCGTAGGCGTCTTCCGCTACGCAAACACCTACCCCGAAGGCATTTCCCTCGTCACTTCTCNNCCTTCCTGTCCTGACCTGTCCAAGCTTGTAACGCACAAATTCAAAGGTTTGGAAAACGCAGAAAGCGCTTTTGGTATGGCTGGAAAAACCAAAGATGACAAGGGAGACTTGGTGCTCAAGGTTGTGATTCAGAATTGATAGTTAGGAAGAGAAAGGCTGATGGTGTCAAGGTTGTTATCGAGACTGGTGCGAGAAAGCCATCGAAGCTGTAAAACTTTACTCGAGCTGTAGGTAATTTTGTTTGGTTGGAGCAACTGAGACTTGCCGACTTTTTTTGGTTGTATATAATCTATTCTTCCTTCATAATGTGGATACAGAACAGATACATGTACAAACCTCTGAGACTGCTTTTCCACAATAAGTCAGTGGGACTTTGGACACTCGAAATATGCTCGTGTCAATAATGGACAAGTCCATAACAGGCAGTGTTGCGTTCTTCACGCTTTCTTGCCGTCATCTTGCCCTTCGGAAACAGGTTTCCGTCTCGACAAGCTGTGCGCAGATCAACCTCCGCCTTTCGTGACACTCTCGTGAGTGCGATCTTGGAGTATAGTCATCTAGTTTCCCGAGCATAAAAGAACACATAAGTGCCAGTAGCATAGTGAATGTCTTTGTGTGGGTGACGGTAATACGTCTGAAGGATTGGGAAGAAGTAGTTACATGGATGAATTCAAGGATAGCAGAGACGAACACTGAAAGTCAACACTGTGACATCGAGTGGATAGAGGAATGATGTGAATAAGTAGAGTGGGAAAGCAATGTTTATTTTTCATTGTCAAAAGGTCATTAGAGTTGGGGCGACATAAGAAAGATCAAGAACCAAACGCCGACCACCGAGTCCATCATGCCTAAGCCATGGAGGTGCATTTATGATCCCTTCCATTTTTCGCTAAACACACAGGCTTCGTAAGAGCAAAAGGCTTTGGAGATGAGTATCTACCATCTGATGACCTTTTGAGGGAAGTACTCGTCAATCAGCTCCATGTAGTAATCCTTGAGGTCCTCAACCTTGGGCACATCATCAGACTTGGAGTAAAGATCGTAAGGGTTGAATGCCTTGACGGCAGCCAACATCTTCTCGTCCTTTTCGTTCATCATCCAGCGGTAAGCACCTTCCTTGTGCCATGGGTAGAAACTGTGGTAGCGGATCATGGCGAGGGCTTCGTCGGGAAGAGTGCTCTGGTCCTTGACGACATGGTACAGGTACTCATCGTGACCCCAGCTGATCATGACATTGTCAAGTCCACAGCCGGGAGTGTAGATGCCGTGCTCGGTGCTGTAGATGGGATCCTTGCTGTCGGGATTGTTCTCAAAGGTACCAGGGTAGATGATACGATCATCAAACTTGCAGCCAACGACAAAGGTATCGCCGACAACATCCCACTGACCCTCTGCATCGAAGAAGAACAAAAGCTTTCCCAAGTCATGGATCAATCCAGTCAATTGGAACCAGCGAGGCTTTCCATCACGACGAATGGCCTCGGCAGATTGCAACAAATGCTCGATTTGCGACAACGAAGTGTCAGGATCAGACTCATCGATCAACGTGTTCAATCTCTCCATAGCTTGCCAAATGGTCATCTCAGCACGGGTCTTGCTGTGAAAACGGTTCCTCGCACGCAGATTGTAAGCAACAGTCTGCTTCTCATGCTGCTCCTTGTAAAAGTTCTTGACGCGATCGCAAGCGTCTTCGTAATTGCGGAATTGCTCTTTGTCCTTGTCGGCATCGAATTGTGATTTTTCGTAAATGTCCTTTTCGGCTTGGGTTGCGGTGCCGTTCTTGACTTTTAGTGCGGCTTTGAGAACGTTGACCTCGTCGATGTTGTCGGAGGTTGCTTCGAGGGCGAGGCCGTCTCTGTGATCGTTGAAGTTCTCAGCAACATTGGGTTGCTCAAGTGCGATGGGTGCCATGTTGACTGTTGTGTATGTGATTTGTGCAAAGAGTTGTGCTCAGAATATAACAAGAATTGAAACTTTCGAATATTCTTGAGTAAGTGTGAAAAGATGTGAGGGTGATTAGAAAGACGAAATATGAATGATGACCAAAAACACAGACGAGGAAGAAACGACTGTCTTTTATCTACCTTTTCTCGGGGACATGTTTCCTACCTTCGGCTTCTCCTTCTACGACTTTGCTGACCCTCCACCACCGACTGACCACCATTCTGGGGCCCCCATTGTTTTTCCCCAGCAGTCAAACATCAACCGCCGGCACTTACCCAATTTGGAAAAACTCGAACGACAGGGCAGCAGAGCCATTGCGGTAAACCAGGTCTCACGAGCGAACTCATACTTCTTCGCCAAATGGGCTGCAAACGATGTTCTTGTTCCCCAGTGACAAGGACAAGTCGTTCGAGGCTTGTTGGACTTTGATGCTGGGGCATCCACATTCTACGGATCATCTTGCCTCCTAGAGCGAAGCTAGATCCTTCAGCGGCAGAACTATCGGAGCGAGTGCTAACGATCCTTGACCTCATGACGACGAAGCGATTGTTTTGAGTGTCTCCGATTGGATGGTGCTGCAAGCCACCACCTCAGATTCTTCCGGTACCCACACTCGGACAGAGACCTTGCCTTTTTCGACGAGGACTTCGCCAGCCGCCGGAAAAAGGTATCAGCGAAACGTTGCAGTCACGGCTTCTTGTGGTCTTGGCAAGAGAAACAGTCCCCGATCTCCACGTGTTGGAGCTCGGGTTAATGTTCTCTCGAGCTCGAGCAAGAAGCAGGGCATGACATGGAAGAAAGTGGGGGAGGGGTGCAAGCTGTATCAAGCTTCAAATGCCGACGAGGCGTAGTTTGAACAAAACAACATTCTTTCGCTCTCGAACATGAATCCTCAACTTGCAAACTTCATCCTCAAGAGAACTCCAGACTTCATACTACATCCCAAGACAATGTCTGATACCGTCTTTACTCTTAACACCGGCGCTAAGATTCCTGCTTTGGGTATGTGTGTTTACTGTTTTCTAGCTTGATGTAAGGACTAAGTTTGGTATANNGGTCTGGGAACGTGGCAGTCTGCTCCTGGAGAGGTCAAGAATGCTGTGTCGCACGCTCTCAAGGTCGGCTACAAGCACATTGATGCTGCTTACGTCTACGGAAACGAAGATGAAGTCGGTGAAGGTCTGGCTGAAGGCTTCAAATCAGGCATCAAGCGCGAAGACATCTTTGTCACCACCAGTGAGTGTCCCAAGAGTGACCGGAGAATTACAGTCGGGTTGACATGTTGTCGTAGAGNNCTTTGGTGCACTTATCATTCGCGAGTAGAGGAGAACCTCGACCTCAGTCTAAAATCCCTGGGCCTTGATTACGGTATGTCGCTACGCTTTCTTCTTCACTTTGGGTAGACACTGACACACAGCAACANNGTCGACCTCTACCTTATGCACTGGCCAGTCCCTATGAACCCAAATGGCAACGACTCCAAATTCCCCAAACTTGCTGATGGCTCGCGCGACCTCGACAAATCCTGGTCCTACACCCAAACCTGGAAAGAAATGGAAGCCGTCCTCAAAACCGGCAAAACAAAAGCCATCGGTGTTGCCAACTTCTCCGTCCCCTTCTTGGAAGAATTGATGAAGGAAGCCAAGGTCACTCCCGCTGCCAATCAGATTGAAAACCATCCTTATCTTCCTCAACAAGAGATTGTGGATTATTGCAAGGAAAAGGGCATTTTGATTACTGCATACAGTCCTTTGGGAAGTACTGGATCGCCTTTGTTTCAGGAAAAGGAGATTCAAGAGGTTGCGAAGAAACATGATGTTTCGCCTGGTACTGTTCTCTTGAGCTATCACAGTAAGTCTTCCTCGAAGCAACCCTCTACCACAAGAGCAGTTTTGCTGATATGTCCCGCTCGTGCAACAGTCGCTCGTGGAAGTTCCGTCATTCCCAAATCAGTGACACCATCGCGTATCGAGGAGAATATGAGATTGATCAAGCTCGACTCTGATGATGTCAAAGCGCTCGACAAGATCTCAAAGACACACCCGCCCAACCGCTTTGTGTATCCCGCCTTTGGCGTAAGTATACGTCCTGACTTGTAGTCGTACAGCTGCTGATTCTGTTCTCTCAGGTCAACCTCGGTTTCCCCGACAAGCAATAATTGATGCGAATACTCTTGTGACGAACCTGATTATGATGTTGAGAATATAGGAACTGGAGCAAGAGCCAGGGATATAGCAGAAGGCGCACCGTGATAGTCGTTTGAATAACACCAAGCCATTTTCTTTCGTGTTTTGGGTGTGGGTTGGCATGTGTGTTCGTGTCATCTCGTACTCATTTCCTGATGTCTTTCACCGCTTCCTCCAATACTTCTTTCAACTGTTCGTTTCTGCGCACAAGCAAAAGCACATCCTTGACATCCACGGCTTCTCTCCCAGCGTGTNNCTGTGATTTCATCAATACAGTAAACAGGAAGCAAGGAAGGATATTCACACACTTGGCAAACGCCTCTAGATCAGCACCGGAAGTGAGTATTTGTGACCAAACCAACTCGGTCAAAGCACCAATAAACTGGGGAGTAGCATTGAGGTCTTGGTCTAAAGATATGGCGTCGATGATTGTGCCGATGCTGTACCAGAGGGCGGATTTGAGACGCTGCGCGAGTGTGAGAGAGTTGAATGGGTCGGTGGATGATTGTGGTATTAGAGATGTGTTGAGGGCAGTACGGATAAGTGAGAGAACAGGGATGTCAGAATTGATGCTGGTGATTGTCATGGTGTTTTGGTGTTTTGGTGGATTGATGGGTTTGAGCGATGGTATGGAAGGCGAAACGCGAAAATTGCAGAGAGTGGTGGATGATGCGAATGGTGCTTTGCTATGTGAAATACTTACATCGACTTTGTCGCTTGCATCTACATTCGCCATTGTGTCTGGCTTTGCCGGACTGCCTTTGTCGTGCTTTGTGTGGGTTTATTAGGTGCAAGAGGTAGGCAGACAGTCAGGGTGATTCGCGACGCGTTTGTTTGCATAGTTGTACATCTTCATAACTCGGGGCATAAAAGCACAACACACCGCTCGTTTCGCAAGGCTGTGAGATTGAATGACCTTGTCCATATTTCCTTCCTGGACACACGACTTTGTCATTCCCTACAGGAAGCGCATCAATAATTTCTATCATGCGCGATATCTTCTCAAACCTGCCGGCGCCATTGCCGCTATATATCTTGATCCAGCTGCCCGATCTGAAAGCATTGTATTCCGCCATTCTCTCTTCACCTCACTTGTACAACGTGTTTCGTTTACACTCCCATCGTATCTTTAATGCAGTCGTACAACGCAGTATCCCTGTCGATATGTTGGCTCCACTCGTGCTCTACACACGCATCACACACGCACATTACCACAATTACTCCTCATGGCAACAACTCCAAACTGCGGCGACCAGCACCCAAGACATCTGGCAGCAAATCCCCGCAGCGGTTGTTTTCCACATCATAGCTCAAGCGGTGCGTCTATACGATCTTGCATACTGGATTTTAAAATCTAAATTGGAATATTTGCGTACGTTTACGTATGAGAAGTTGAAGGATCCGGGGTTTAGGTATAATGGACTTGTATCTCAACATTATCGGCCGCAGGTGTCTATGATGCAAAGTCCTGGTTCGGGCATGACTATACAGAATCCTCGTTCGTCAGGCATGACTATGCAGAATCCTAATTCAGGCACGTCAATGCAAAGTCCTCCTTCGGCAATGTCAATGCAAAGTCCTCGTCCAGGAGGCATGTCAATGATGGATGTTCCTCCTTCACCCATGCCTCAAAACCCTCTTACTCCCAGACCGCCTCTGCAAAAACCTGAAGGATTACCTACGTCCATCCCATCAAAACTGCGAGACCCGAGTCACATAGAAGAGGGGTTGTGTTGTCTACTTACTCTGGTTACTAGCCACTGGCTACCGTGTCTCCAAGATCTCACAGGATATTCCAGAGCATGTCGCAACAGCGGGGCCAGCAAAGATTCAAAAGGAATTGTTGAATGTGTATCCGAGATTGAGATCCAATCTGTTGGAGGAGATTGCAGAGAGTGTGATGCTGGGTCCTGTGCTCCAACCTGTACACGACAACGACGATGGAAAATTGGATACTACTACCCCCAACAAGGATTTCGACATTCTCCAAACGTATGAGATACCGCAACCACCTTATACAAGCGATAAATCTATTCCCCACACTACACCCCCCACATGCCCCTACTTCTCCCTCTCTCCACCCACTAACCCCACGATTGATTTCGAAGCGCGCGTCTTGGGGATATACGCGTCCAGCATCCTTCCCCTATGCGGTAACACACCAACCTTCTCCTGGATCCAAGATATGTACAAACGACCCCACAGCCCCTTGTATAAGCACCCCACTCACCATCTTACGCGCCTCGGCTTCGGCTTCTGGGATCGCATGCGCATGAGTCAAGAATTGGGACTTGAGAAGGTGTTGGGGTTGGTGCAGGTGGAAGGTGGGAAAGGGTATGAGATTGTAGAGCAAGGGCTCAGTGTTGATGATCAGTGGTTCCGGATGTCTGAGCTCTATGCGCAAGAGGAGAAACGTGAGAAAGAGGGGTGGCGAAGGTCAATGGTTTCGTTGTCGTAGGTGTCTGTCTTGGTCGGGCTCTAGGATTTCTAGCATCGGAAATGACCATGGCTTTATTTCGGAGCATGTCGCCCTTAACCATTTAGTAGTATTCACAACTCGGAAAAGGAAGGTTGTTATAACCAGCAGCATGTCTGTATTGTCGTAAGGGTACTTGTCGGATGAAGCTAGCTCCTCCTATAAAGACACACATCGAAAATACCAATGTATACGCCTACACATCCGAAGCCATAATAGCCGTGAGAATGGGAAAGTTCTTTCCCATATCGGCTTACAGATCTTGCAACTCGGTCAAGCACGATTCGCTCGCAGAGAGAGTTGCTGATTCATGACATCGTTCATGGTCTTTTCCTTCGAAGTCCATTTGATATCAAGGATGTTCTCGGCAGCCAGATATTGAAGCTCATAAATTGGCCCAAATGGACCTTGGAGCTTACATTCCACGAAAGGATAGGTTTCTTCCAGATGTGCAATAGCTTCTTCCCAAGGGAAGGGGGGAGCGCTCAAGATAAATTCCGTACCAGAGGGGATCGGTGTTGACGTCGTGATAGCGTTGACATGAGCCTGAGCGACATCGTCAACATGGACCCATGCACTTGCAAGTATAGGCTTCTCGAGTGAGAGCGACATCCAGAGAAACGACATCATGCCCCGCATCTGCTCGGGTGACTCTTGAGCAAAATCTTCGCCCAAGACAAATGAGGGATGGAAAGTCAACACGGTATAACTTGGCTTCTCTTTCTGTAGAAAGTCCCTCGTGGCTTGGTGGGCTAGGATCTTCGAGGCTCGATACTTTGATCCATGTCCTTGCATACCCTTTTGTTTGAACTCCTCCATATCTAGATCGATCGGAAGGACCTCGCCGGTGTTTTCTGCTTCCTGGTTAGACTAGCCAATTCCAAGGAAAATCAGTTCCACTTACCTNGATACAACCACAGGTCCGTTAATTGGCGTCTCAATGTCCACCAATGCAAGTATAGACGACATGACTATTATACTTTTGATCTGGGGATAGTCCAAAGCTGCATATAGCATGCTAGTTGTGCCGTGGACCGCGGGATCGACGTAATCTTCCTTTACGTCTTCACCTTGACCCGGCATGGGTGAGGCCAAGTGGAAAACATGGTCGACGTCTTTAAGCGCCTCGACAAACGCCTCTCGTCGAGTAATGTCGGGTATGACGACTGTCTCAATTTGTGACTGGTATGCTGGGAAAAGTTTCCTGATGGCCGCCTCCTGGTCGGGGCGCCGGACGCTAAGACGGACACGGTATCCAGACCTGAGAACGGCGAGGGTTACATGTGAGCCAATGAAGCCAGTACCGCCGGTAATGAATATCAGAGAAGAAGACATGGAAGGGTTCTCTCTGATCGAGTACGATTGTCGAGAGTGGATCTCTGAAATGTTCGTGATGAGTGTGCCGATGATGATTTGTAGCTTTGCATCTTATAAACATTCTTCTGTTGCTTATCCAAATCGTATTGTTGACGAATCAAAATGATGGTAGACACCTCACGAAGCAGTCGAGCTTCATGCGTCATGTTGAGTCAACACGTGACGGTTGACAGCATAGACGCTATGATGAGAAATACTGCGGTTCATGTTGAGTCAACACGGTTGACAGCATGGACGGTCATCAACGCTGTCTATGATGAGAAATACAGCGGATCATGTTGAGTCAACACGGTTGACAGCATGAACGGTCATCAACGCTGCCTATGATGAGTAATACGACGGTTCATGTCGACCAACTCGAATAATAGAATAAAGAGGCAGATCTGTCGAAAAGTCGTCTCATCTACAATCGTCTTATCTCAAGTCGTCTCATCCACATTCGTCTGATCTAAAGTCGTCTCACTCAAACCTTCTTATCTCGTACTCTTCGCCAGACTTCCCTCATTATCCCTCGATTATTCCGTTCTACGGAGACCTCAAGAAAGTTCTATAAACCCTTTTCGAACGTCCTCCCATCATGCCTCTCTGGGAGATATATCACCCTCAAGCCATGTTCCAGGACGTCTCTACGAAAGCTGCCTTGGTCAAAGACATCGTCTCAATGTACACGTCAATCGGGCTCCCAGCCTTCTACGTAGTAACGCAATTCAAACCTCTGGCTATGGACGACTACTGGCAAGGCGAGGATCGGGTCGCTGATGGCAGCCAAGAAAAACGCCATTTCGTCCGCTTTGTCATCACCCATATCGCTGTTCGTTTACCCGACCAGGATGAGGTATATCGCAAAGTCACGAGCAAAATAGATGCCATTATCAGTCCATACATGAAAGAGAATGTGGATTGGGAGTATCATGTTGCAGAGACTGAACGTAGACTTTGGAAGGTCAACGGTATGGTGCCGCCTCAGCATGAGTCTGAGCAGGAGAAAGTCTGGGCGAAGGAAAACCGGGCTGTACCTTATGATGGAGCCTACCCATGATTCCCATAAACGATGTAGGCTTCATTATCTCAGACTTTTGTACAAAATGAAGTTGAGCCTCTGCTATAATTTGTGCATGTTTGACGGCGAAAAAAGGCAACCCAAACTCGAAACGAGGCAGAATCACAAGCATAAGGCATCCCTGAACGGGAGGACTATGTCAGTCTTCGGGATGGTCGGTTTCGAATGTATAGAATCTATGCTCAAGAGGAGGAACGGGAACGGCTTGGTTGGCGACGATCAATGCATTCAGTCGAGTAATAGTAACTTTATGGTTCAACTGTATCTGAAGTTGTCATGGAAAGTGTAGTATATCGAGAGATTGGGGTCGAGATGGGAGAGCGTCATGTAGACAGGGTCATACTCACAACCATGACTTTTGCTTGATGATCTCGTCGTTCACAACTTCGTCATTCCTGCAAATATTATTTGTGTCATCAGGACACGCTGATAGTATTATGGTGATCGAGGAAAACAAATCCATGATCTGCTTGAACTGATGTTAGTAGTGGAATTGGAAAGGTGGTCGCTCGAAGCTAGATGACAAAAATTAAAAAATCCAGCTACATGACGACTTAATCTTATTCACGAGATTTGCATACGCACAAAGTATCATAAGAAGAACGTTCTAGCTTCAAATTTGATCTATAAAGTGTAAAAAACAGTGGGTTGCAATATGTACAAAAGATGCTTTAATGCAGAAAAAGGTGACAACGGTGGTATATAACGAATGTGTGCCTTCAAACTCAAAACGCTCGGGCAATGCAGAATAGGGACGATCGATGAAAGGCGATCAAAAGCGGGCAAATGAAGCTGAAAATCCCACCAGGAGATTCTCAGATGACGAAAGCATGCTTAGTTGTACTCCCAAGCAGCAGGAAGAGTGGAGTCGGCAACTCTGAAAGCAAAGCCAGTGCAAGCAGAAGCATCATGGGCAATAGCAGCAGCATAGACAGCGTAAGAACCACCCTCGCTAGGACAAGCAAGCCAATCATTGCCTTGGAACTGGACGTGCTCACCGTTCTGAGCAAGGCTGAAGCCCTCAACCATCGATCCAGCAGCGCCAGTGGAAGCAGAGTGAGGAGCAGTAAAGCTCAATGTACCATCAACGGCAACGTAGATTTGCTGGCCGCCGGGCACAATAGTGTCAAGGCTGAGTGTGTTGTCGCCGCCAACGAATTGTGTGCTTGTGGTGTTGGGGCAAGCAGAGCCCACGACTTCAGGACAGTAAGTCTTGGTGTCCTTCTTGAGCCAGAACTTGGAGCCAGCAGCGTTGACAGAGGCAAACTGGATGTCGGAGCCAGAGTGGATGGCGATACCGCCAAAGGCACCGGAAGGAGCAGAGCGCTTGGAGAAGGGGTTCTCGCCCAGGCAGGCGGCGTAGTCGGCGGCACACTGGGCCATGTTGGCAGAGAGGCCGTCAGAGCCGCGGGTGGTTCTGCAGGTGTTGTAGGCGTCCTCGCAAGCACCCCTTGCAGGCGGCGTTGTCGGCAGAGCATTGGGCCTGGTTGGCGGAAAGGCCAGTAACGGGGTCGCTGGCACGGCAAGCGTTGTCCTTAGCAACACAGCCAGAGGCGGTGGAGGAGGAGGACGAAGTGACAGGGGCAGCGAAGGCAGGGAGGGCCAAGGCCAAAGAGGAAAGGATCATGGAGGTCTTCATTTTGATGGTGGTTGTGTTGGTTGTTGAGGTGTGTAGAAATTTGTTGAAGAGAGAAGGATAGTAGTGAAAATGATTGTTGTGATGATGGAGTTGAATGGGAGGTAAAGCAGGACTCTTATATATCTTTCGAGGTGGTGCAAGTTGATGTGACGACACGGATACTACCTACCTCTCTGGCCTTACCATCACATAGAGATCTACATTGTATACGAAGGTGATTCTAAAATCAGAAAATGAAAATAGAAAGTCATGTGGCAAGATAGATGATGTGCAAACTGTCGGCGGGTGTTCGCAGAGCCGTTTCGGCATCGACCAGAGACTGAATGATGTCGGCCAAGGATGCAAGGCCGTTTGATGGGGCCCGCCTAAGCTTATTGAGCCTTTCGGAGAGATGGTCCTGAGACTGCAGACCTCATTCAATTGTACCAGCAGCTGAATACGAGTGGGGTCAGAGACGAATGAGTCCGCTTAGATTGGTCACGCATCTTTCTGCTGTACGTTTAATAGGAGCTTAACCATACCATGTCTGTATACAATGTATTCGAATGCAAGTGCAGAGAGACATCCGAATTATCCAAAGTTAGAGTTTTCGTGAAGAGCTTGGCAGCTTAGCTAGATGAAACGTGGGGTCCCATTGCTATTGTTAGCATACAGACCGCCTCCACATTGCGGGCCGAGCTTGGAAAACCTGGCCGACAATATCTTCTTTCCACCTACGTGATGGGGTTATCCAGGACGAAGATCCTCGTACAAACGTGCTCCTGTTATGTAACGTGGCAGTTGATGTTGAAATCGAACAAGACAGGGGCTGATGGAGGAGGTCAAGTGGATGCCATTTCGTATCAGAGAAACGCGTATGAGAGAATAGGATCGATGAGATTGAGGGTGCAATGTAAGGCAAGACAAGGCACATGGGTGTAGTGGTCCTCTCATGACGATCCTCCCTATCCATGCTTTGTGATTAGAAGGAGAAATTCGTGTCAGTGATGGCCCTCATAGAATATGCATGGCGGCGCTTGAGAGAAATGGCAGAATACAGTACGAGAAGCTAGCTCACAGTCGACAAGTGCTTGAGATTAGATACGTGCGTAGTATCTCAGGGGTGTTTCTCAATGAGGGTTGTGTGGAGTGACGGTCGTGATGATGGAGAATACGAGGACCCAGTGATAGACTATCTCGTGAGGGATGATTATGCGACAGTGCATCATGACAGCGAACTGCAGCTAGCAAGCATCTCACAGAAACCAATAATGGGCCATGAGACGTAGCAGCGCCAGGTGGGATTGCGAGCAGGTATCGTTTAATGCTAAACGATAGCAGGCAGCTTCAGGACGAAGGCATGTGATTCATTTACGTGTGTCGGTCACCATGATGAGGATCATTTGAAGATGTATCACGTATTACGCACGAGTCTTTTGGTCTTTGAGATGTCGACCAGGATTGAGAGAGAAATCGAGTCGAAAAGGTGAAGCTCTTGGGAGGCAGCCCTGGGCGGAGATAGCGACGGATTTTAGCGCTGCCAAGGCGATTTTCCCTCCAGCGCAAGAAATTCTAGGAAGGCGCAACCAAAAAAGTTGCCAGCCAAATCAGCAGCAGAGAACAAGCACTTTTTCAAGCGCCTCCCGGAATGTCCATGTAAGAGAAGGGAAATACAGTAGAAATCATGGCAACATCAACAAACCACACCGTCCTCGCCGAACGACCGACGACAGCACCCACAAGAGCACGCGGCCCTACAGCGCCCATCGACGCAGACGCCGCCGAAGTCAAGAGACGCGCCCTCGTAGCACAAAAGCAATATGGCAGAGGCGACAAGATTACCACGCGCGGCATCCAAGACCGAAAACTGCGCGGCAACCTGAGGGCGCTGGAGAACAAGTACAAAGACGCCGCCGTCAAAGCAAAAGACGCCGAAATCCTGCTCGAAAACACTGCTGGCTTCTTGGAGACCGAGGGCGAGCTTGAGAGGACGTATAAAGTCAGACAGGATGACATCCAGAGCGAGGTTGGCATTGAGACGGCGAAGAAGGGATTCGAGTTGAGGCTGGATGGCATGGGCCCGTACAACGTCGACTACACGCGCAACGGTGTGCACATGCTGCTTTCTGGTCGCAAAGGCCATGTTGCCACCATGGACTGGAGAAAGGGAAAGCTGGGCTGTGAGTTGCAACTCGGCGAGACTGTGCGCGACGCAAAGTGGCTGCACAACAACCAGTTCTTTGCCGTTGCCCAAAAGAAATACGTCTATGTCTACGACCACCAGGGTGTTGAGATCCAGACGTTACAGGACCATATCGATGTCACACACATGGAGTTTTTGCCCTTCCACTTCCTCCTCACCACCATTGGAAATGCGGGCTGGTTGAAATACCAGGACACCAGCACCGGCAAACTCGTCGCTCAGATCCCTACAAAGCAAGGCGCCCCTACCGCCTTTGGCCAGAACCCTCACAACGCCATTCTACACGTCGGTCACCAGAACGGAACAGTCAGCATGTGGTCTCCCAACGACCAAAAACCCCTCGTCAAAGTCCTTGCCCACAGAGGTCCCGTCAGATCACTGGCCATGGACAGAGAAGGACGCTACATGGTCTCCACCGGTCAAGACTCCAAAATGTCCGTCTGGGACGTCCGCATGTTCAAAGAAGTAAACAACTACTTTTTGCGCTCTCCCGGCTCTTCCGTCCACATCTCCGACACCAACCTCACTGCCGTGGGTTGGGGCACCCAAACAACAATCTGGCGCGACCTCTTCAACAAAAACCTCAACGACCAAGTCAAAGTCCAGAGTCCATACATGGCCTGGGGCGGTGAAGGCAACCGCATCGAACGTGTACGCTGGTGCCCCTACGAAGATATCCTAGGTATCTCCCACAACAAAGGCTTTTCCTCCGTCATCGTACCCGGCGCTGGAGAAGCAAACCCCGACAGTCTGGAAATCTCCCTCTACGAAAACCCCAAGCAGCGACAAGAACGCGAAGTCAAGAGCCTGCTCAACAAACTCCAACCCGAGATGATTTCCCTGGATCCAGAATTTATCGGTCAATTGGATCGTGCATCTCATGCCCAGCGTGAACAAGAAAGAGACTTGGACAGAAAACCTGAAGACCCACTTGCCAAGATCAAAAACAGGGGAAGAGGCAAANACAGCAGTTTGAGAAAGTATTTGAGGAAACAAGGCTCGAAGAATATTATCGATGAGCGAAAAGTCAGGATTCAGGAACTCAGGAAGGAACAGGCCAAGAGGAATAATAAGGCTAGACAGGGTGAGGTTGAGTTGGGTCCTGCGCTTGCGAGGTTTGCCAGGAACAATTGAGTGGGAGGTGTAAGAGCATTGTTGAGGGTTGCATATGCTTCGGCGCATACATGGCGTTATCTAAAACGGACATTGGGAAAAGTGCAAGATATCAAATCGGCGTTTGTGGGAAGAGTGGCCCAAAGAGTAGCTACAACAAGCACCCATCACTTTCAAGAATGGTATAACATGACTCGTGACGCGATTTTTCTGATCAGACCTCAGCGCGGTCTGATTTCGCAACTACCACCTAATCCGGTCACCGAAGAGCTGAAAGACATTGCGAATGGTGGATCTAAGTGACCGGCCATGTGTCTTTTCGACCGAGTATGGCACCGCAGATCATGCGTGCGTGTATTGAGGGCAACTACACAGACACTTTCTCAAAACTCTTGGCTGAGACAATACCACACACCGAGGTTGTCTTCCACACGAGGAAGACAGGTGGTACCTTCAGAGATCTCATGAACCAGCGAGTCGAGCAGATTGGTGGAGAAGAAAAGCTCGTCCAAGACACATTGACTTGGAAGACACACAAGTTGGACGATTTCAACATGGTGAGCAATTGTATAGGGTCAGGGCCCTACTTTGGGTCTGGCCAGTATGGTATCGTGGAGGGAGTTGTATGTAATGCTGATGATGTGGAGGTGTTTGCTTGTTTGCCGGAAAGTTGGAGACATCCGCCTGACAGAGGGTATCCGTGGAGAGTCGATTATGAGGAGTGGCCTTCTGTCAGTGATTCAAATGAAGAAGACTCAGAAGCGAAGCTGGCACCAAAACCATGATCACAAGAATTCATGATACGACAAAAGGCAAAACGTTTTAAGAAGATCACGACGAATGATCTCGATGGCGGTTTGTGATACCATTCTTCAGGCGAAGACTTGCATGGCAGTGCAGAATCAATAATTGAGTCATATAAAGATCGACGTACTTGGTGTGACATGTGTATCATTTCGTATGATTGATCAAAAGACAACCATAAGAGTAGGGAGGCTAAAATACAGGAAAATGTGGATATGCTTGTGATGTGCGCGATCCAGATAGTACAGAAAAGAAGGACAGAGATGCAATGCTCAGGAGTTGCAGATGGTCATTTGTTGCATATGCTCAAATGTTGAGAGAATGAAAAGATTACTTTCTTCTGTTCTGCTGCATGGCCAAGATCTGGACCATACGAACGAAGATGTTGATGAAGTCAAGCTCAAGGCTGATGGCCTCGTTGACAGGGTCACGCTTGATCAAGCCGCGCTCGCTGAGACGGGCGTGGTGCAAGATCTTCTGGATGTCGTAGAGGGTGAAACCACCAAAGACGACAAGACCACCGTAGAGCCATAGGTTCTCAGTGAACATGAGAGTACGGGTGGCGGTGGCGGGGAGGACCAGAGGAGCGAGACCGGAGAGAGCGACAACAGCGACACCAGCAAGAAGAGGGCCACCAATGTAGAGGTACTTGTCGGTCTTGGCAGTGGCACCAACAAAGGCAATGCTGCCCATCAGACCGACAGTGTAGAGACCGGCACGGGCGAGGATGGCGGGGTTGTAGAACATGAGGGGAGACAGAAGAGCGGCTTGGGTCAGGTTGAAGGCGGTCCAAAGGGCGTACTTGGCGACGTAGCTGNNCGAGGCGGTGTTAGTACAGAGTATGAGCCTTTGTAGGTGCAAGAAGACTCACTTCTCAGGAGGGCACATGCGAGTACCCATCATGGTACCGATGGAGCCAACAAGACCAATACCGAGGATCAACCAGGGGTTGGCAGCCATGAGACGGTAACTCCAGCCATTTGAGTGAAGAGCGCGAGCAGCAATACCGATGATGCCGATACCGAGACCAGTGTGCAGGAAAGTGTCGTTCAGGTAGGAGCGTTCAAAGGGAGGCATGCCGCCATCTTCTCTGGTTTCACGGTTGAAGACGAGGCTNGTGAACAAGTCAGCGTGCGTCTTGGGCAAATGTCGATTGAAGGCGACTCACTTGATGGCAAGCAGGGTACCACCAAAGATGGCACCGCCATAGATGAGGCGCTGGGTGAGGTTTCCAGAGGCAGTAGGGTTGGGGAACGCCGCTGGTTGGTTGTAGTTGCGACGGAACGAGCTTTGAAAAGCGTTACGGAAGGTCTGTCGTGATGAGGCAAACTTGGAGCTGAAGCTGGAGGGNGCGGGCGCCTTCTTGATGGGTCCCTGGTGAAAGGCGCGGAACGTGGTCGATGAGATGGGCTGCTTGAGTGCAGATGCGACCGTGAAGGGTCGGCGCATTAAGAACGCCATTGTGTTGTGATGAGAGTGATAACTAGGTAAGTTGTTAAGTTACTAGCAGGCAGCAAAAGCTTTGATGCTTCACATGGCCGCCGCTGCCTTTATCACAATATGAGATCCTCGGCATGACGAAATCCCGACCGCATCGATTGAGGGCCCGCTCACCAATCACAGCCAGCACGACTCCGAATCTTCCAGACCCCTCCATCGTTCTTCCCTGCTGTGCGCCCTCTTCTTTCTTGCATGAACCCATCGACTTATCTTGTGCAACTTGCGACTCAAGGTACAACTGACCAGTCCCACGTTCCTTGCAGACACCTTCAACATCCACCAACCTCACGACTGGTCAGCATTCTTGCGATAACATGCCGCTGCTGAATCAGTCCTCCGAGGCGTTCCAGCTTGGGCAATCGCGATAACGGTAGGTTCGCTCCGTCCCAGATCTTGCATCACCATTTCTTGTCGCTTTATCCACGCCCATCTTTCCCTGTTCCTGTTTCTTGTTTTCCCGTTACTTCTTCCTCTTCTTCCCCTGCTCGCCAATCTATTGCATCCTGCTCTTTCTCGTACCTGAACCTACGGCACATTCTTTACATCATCATGTGTGGCATATCTTGCATCCTTGCTCTACAGCATTCCCATCACAAGCTTCCCGATCTTGCCAATCTCAAGAAGCCTATTCCTGGTGTTCAAACGAACGGTGACACAGATCACACAAAGCTCGCCGTCGAGCTTGATGCTTCTTTGNACCAGATCAAACACCGCGGTCCCGACTCTCGCGGCCAGTGGATCAGCAATGACAAGCGCGTTGGTCCTCTGATCTCATTTACCCTGTCTATAATTCTGCCCCAATTCCCACTAACACTGTAACTCCGCANNGCTTTTGGTCATGTTCGTTTAGCCATCAATGACCTGTCGCCCGATGGTATTCAACCTTTCCATGACAATGAGCGCACCGTCCACGCTGTAGTCAATGGTGAATTTTATGACTACGACAACATCCGTAAAGACCTCGAAGCCAAGACAGACTACAAATTCCGCGGTCGATCAGATTCAGAGCTCGCCATCGCTCTATATAAGTACTATGGCCTCAACTTCCTGCACCATCTGAGAGGCGAGTTCGCTTGTGTCCTCTTCGACGAGTCACAACAGCTCTTGATTGCCGCCAGAGACAGATATGGCATCAAGCCATTGTTCTGGACCGTTCAAGACGGACGACTTCTGATCGCTGCCGAGATCAAGGCTTTCTTGCCTCTGGGCTGGAGACCCGAATGGGACGTCAAGAGTCTGCTCGATGCTGGCTGGAATCACGACGAGAGAACTTTGTTCAAAGGCATTGCCAAGGTATGATAAATAGAGGCAGGCGGTTGGGTGTCCTCTAACACAAGTTCAGNNGTCCGTCCTGGCCACTACCTCACCTGCCAGTCTTTCGACCACATCGAGCAACGCCCGTACTGGGACATTAGCTATCCCGACAAACATGCAGTCGATGTACGAACCCCTGAAGAAATGATTGAAGGAGTACGTCAACGTATGCTCGACGCCATCAAGTTACGTCTCCGAGCAGATGTCCCTGTCGGAATCTATCTCAGTGGTGGCATCGACTCGTCGGTCATTGCTGGAATGGTCACACATCTTGTCAAGGAGCAGGGAATAGCCATGGGCAGTGCAAATGCCACAGACCGTGTCTCATGTTTCAGTATCGCATTCGACGAAGAGTCTGGCTTTGACGAATCGGCCATTGCCAATCGCACCGCCGAATGGCTCGGAGTGCGATACATCAAGAAGCACATGAACGAGGAAGAGCTGGCCAAACGTTTCGAAGATGCTACTTGGCACTGCGAACACCACAACCCCGACTTCAACTTCGTTGGCAAGTATGCACTTTCCGAGGTCCCTCAAGAAGTCGGATTCAAGGTTGTCCTGACTGGTGAGGGCGCCGACGAGAATTTCGCCGGCTACCCTCTGTATCTGCCAGATTATCTTCGTGAGCCTGACCCAAGTTGGGAGAAGTACAACACTCTGCCTGAAAGTGAAAGGGAGCGTCAACTCGATCTTGCAGAAACGGCAGCCATCGACTACTACACCTCTGTCGGTGCTGACGTCTCGAACCGAGGTCCGTCTGTCGCACGCCGCATGCTCAACGATATTACTACTGTCAGTAGTATGGCGGCTTTCCAGCTTGACATCTTTGCTCCCTGGACGAGTTGCTACGGTAAATGCGATCCTCAGGTCACAATCGCCAACAACGCCGACGGACGTGTTCGTAATCTGATCACTGACTCTTGGCATCCTCTCCATTCCGCGCAATACGTCTGGTCAAAAGGACATTTGGCCAACATTTTCTTGACATGTCTCGGTGATCGTACAGAGATGGCCCACAGCATCGAAGCACGTACTCCCTTCCTTGATCATCCGCTGACAGAATATGTCAATCATCTGCCTCCATCAGCCAAACTCAGGTGGGAGCCTGAAGAAAAGAGGTTCACCGAGAAGTGGATACTGCGAGAAGCATCAAAGCCTTTTATCACGAAGGAATTGTATGAACGCAAANAGCACCCTTACTCTGCACCAACAACATGGCCTAAGGGCGGACCTCTGAACAAACTCCTCGACAAATTGATCAGTGAAGACAACATCAAACAGCTGGGCTTCGTTGATTGGAAGAGATGCAAGGGACTGACAGCCAAGGCGTTTGGTGAGAATGGTGACCCCATGGCAATGAGATATGCCATCGTCGTGGCTGAATGGGTCGTCTTGGGTCAGCGGTTCGGTGTTGCAAAAGCTGAGAAGCCTGAGGGATATTGATGCTATGCGATGTCATGTAATGCATGAGATCGGTGCCTCCAACGACGCACCCCCTTGACTGCTTCACACACCTGGTAACTGATGTATCCTGCAAATTGATATACAACAATGACGTCTAATACACATTTCATGCATGTCGTCTACGTATGAGATCTCCACGGCAAATGAAGCCGTTTCTTCCAGAAGCAAGAAAGAAGGCTAAAGGTGAGATTGGTGTTTCATGTGTATGCAGAGTGATGATGTTCGTGGCAGGGCTGAGATTGGAACATGATCGATTTTGACACACCCAGTGATATGTCAATAGGTGAGGTACATACTGGGCAGCCGCGAAGAGGAGTGCGTGTTGAAAGAGTTGACAATGTTGATGTCCAGCATGCTCGACCGGAAATAATTGGTGGCTGTATGGGAATAGGAGATCAAGAGTCTCGGCAGACGGACTGTGCCGGCCGAAGGCGAAGCGGGAGCGGAGGTTCAGAACTATGACATGGGGGTCGATCGACTCGGTCTTGTTTCTCCTTAAACGCGCGCATGTGTTTCTGATGGTTTGATATATTCCCATCCTTGCTACTGTCATTTCTTGTGCAGATTAGCGTGCGTCCCGTTGGTGCTTTTGTGACTACGAGAACAGTCATTGCTGCCGTCAGATTACCCAAGCAGCTTGTGTCGCATTGCATCGCTTCGCACCACTGAAGCCTGCCGACAACAAGACCATGATAAGCTGAAACATTTGTACATTAACGACATGTTTAGACCATGGCCAACGACGATGCATACTCTTACGATGCTCATGATATACGACCCGACGACAGCATCAGCCGCCGATGGGACCAGGCTAGTGTTGACAGCCCCAGTATGAAGTCGTCTACCTCGTCTCTCGACGGTGGTCCAGCAGACTCGCACATTTCCCATTCGACATACAAAACCGACAGACCAACCACACCTCCGTCGCGACCCACTTCAGTACCCTCATCGCTCCCGCAAACCCCAGCAACCGTTTCTGGCAACAAGGAAAGAGTGAGATATAGTTGGCAGTCAATCCACGAGGACGAGCCCAACAGGCCAAGAATACATATTGTCAAGATTGTTTCGAACACTGCAACAGCTTCGGCAGCGTCTCCACAGGGTGAAGCCTTGGCCTTTTCCCTGTCGCCTGCTGGAAAGAGAATTGCTGCATACAACTCGGCCAGGCTGTTTGTCTTTCAGACTGCTGCCTTGCCTATCAATGTGTCGCATGAATATGCTTTGCGGAGGAGACCATTAGCTGTTGAGATCTGCGACGAAGCCAATGTGCTTGCTGTTCTCGTTGACGAACACACCGTCAATGTTTATGACTTGTCGCGCAATAATGCTCGTCGCGTGAGGACTGTCCGCACCGACTTGCCTACATCTACCATCGCCCTGTCTTCTACTGGTGGTCTTCTTGCTGCTGCATATGAAGGAGGGGTCGAGGTATTCTCTCTGGCTCCAAATGCTCTCATCACTGATCGACGTGCCGTGAGAGCACCGAAAATGGACAAGTTGGTCTTCTCTCAGGACGACTCCACTCTGCTTGGAACAACCACTCGCATTTTTGCTTCGTCCACGCTTGTCGTTTCTGTACCGATCTTCCCTTCCAACTCTTCTTCTCAACCTTCCCATCAAGAACTTCAAGAAGCCTGGTGTACTGGTATGCTGGAGCCGCAAAATATCAAAAATAGCAGCCATGCTACATTCATGCGTGAGGAAGGAGCCATGACTAACGACAAACTCTTCGCCTGGAACGGCCTTGAAGACACATTCGGTGTCCTGCATGCTCATGATATGGTTTACAATCAGGTCGACTTTCCAGTGGCCATATCGCCTCCACTGTCTACTTGTGGAGGCCTTGGAGCTACCATCCACCATTGCCCATCCATCGATGAACACGGCAAGATCGTGGCCATGATCGTCAACGATCGAACAATTCGCCTGTACATTGTCCCTCAGGATGCTCAAGATGCTACCACGAAAGTTGAGGCTCACAGTATTGACCACGAGTTGGATGAAGAGTATGGATGTCCGTTCACAGACCTTCGATGGGTGCATTCACGTCTCAATCTACCAGCTTCTGCACACTCGCCTCATCAGATCAGAGGCAGGTTGGTCGTCACCAGTCCTGGATCTTCAGCCGATGCTGAACAAGCAGAACTGAGCGTGCAAGATATCGAGGGTGGTCGCATCATCCTTNTTGATTTTGATCCGCAGTTCGCTGGTCAACCAGGCCAAACGTTTGTCTTCAATGTTGGTAAAGCTCCGCCGGTAACGCTAGAGGAAGAGAGGATGGAAGTTGCGGATGAGATCGCGCTGGTCAGGCGGCGGACGGTAACTTCAACCCGAAGCAATACCTTGGGAAAGAAGACACCATCGCTTGGGAGAGCTGCTACAACTATCTCACGACGCCAAGACAACTCTGCATATCGAGATGGAAGCCCGGCTGGGTCAGCACAGCAATTATCGCTGAGCACTCCACCGTGGAGGAACCGTCGAATAAGCTCTTCTCTCGTCTCATTATCTGCCGATGCAACCAGATCACTACCCGACTTGCTCGAAGCAAGCGAGCTAGCTGCCGAGTCACTTGAACAGCCATATTCACAGGGAGCACCTCGCTCATATGTGTCGATTGAGCGTGCTACCACTGCTGCGAATGCACATCGCTTCCAAGCACTCGAGGAACACGAAGCAGAATCAGACCATCCGGGTGATCTGAGTCTGCCTGCATATACAGAACACCCAAACCAACCATTACCCCGAAAGTATCGTGCCCTTGCTGGATTGGACATACCCCTGCAATCACGCTTTGCTCAGCAGAATAGCGATCCTATATCTACTATCCATACAGCACCTCCCACAATCCCGGACCATCGATTTCCTACTCCCACCTCGACATTGTCTCCCGCATACGCCAATCCTCCACTCACACCCCTTTACAACCAGCCACCCAGTCCCATGAGACCTGACGTCAATTCAGCCCATAGTGACAACTCTGGCATCAGTCCAGTAACGACGAGATCAGGAACACATGCAACATTGCGCACCCAACAATCCTGGGAAACAATTAGTACATCAGCACAAACCACACCCCACGGCCCTTCAACCTTGCGCTCTCAGCCAAGTTGGGAAAGTAACAGGACCCTCAACTGCTTCCCCTCAAACGCATCTCAAGGTACGAGAACTGTACCCACGAGTCCAGAACACATGCGCCCACCTCAAATGATGCAAGGCTTGGGTCTCCAAGATTTCCGTCACTCGATGCTGGTGCCTCAAGACCGTGATCAACAGGAACGACCTCGTACTACGGCTTCAGACTCGCATACCAGAGAAGAAAATACCAGTGGCTTTCAGCATCGTCCTCCGCATGTTAACGCCATGCAAGCAGTCAACTTTGCTGCTGCCAATACACTCCNNACGCCTGCAAATGCTTCTGCGCCCCGCACATCGGCTGGTGCTGTCTCAGCCATCAGCACGGTTTCTGACACTGACACTCTGCCTTTGCTTAACCGTCCTGCTACCTCCACAGGTGCGGTGGGCTATCAAGTCACCGCTTGGTCTCCTCCCGCCCCACCATCTCCTGCAGATAATCGTCCCACCATCTCTTCTCGCTCACAAAGTGCTGGGTTTGGTGGTCCGAGAGCGACTTCTTCATCTATTGCTTTGAACAGAGTTGACAGAGTCGAGGAAACGCAAATCAAAAGAAGCAAGAGTGTGGGAACGGGACGCAAAGCATGGTTTGCGCGTAAANAACAACTGGAAGATAGGATTGGAGGGGAAATATTGCCGACGATTGGCAGGGGTGTTAGAGAGGATTTGTTGCATCATGAGGCGCAGGGAAAGAAGTGTGTTGTTATGTGATTTTTTTTTGATGGGTGGGAGGGTTCTGGTGTTCGGGAGAAGGGAGTTTGGAAAGGCTGAAGTAAGCTTGAGGGGTTTGGTTTGTGCCTTTTGACAATCTTTATGGAAAGACTATGAATGAGTATCTTGATGGATATAGGATACAGTACTTTATATTTTTGCATATCTAACGATCATCTCTTTTCTACCTCCGCAGCTGAAGTTTTCCAATCCTCAACCAACAATCCATAAATCAAAGAATCGCGGATCCCGATGTGTGTTTCCCATTCAGCACGCAAATGTCCCTCTAACTTGAACCCAAGCGCTGTAAGCAAAGCTACAGAAGCTCGGTTCTCGGGATCCACATCAGCGACTATGCGTCGTTGTCCTTGGGCAAACAAGTCATCGAGCAACATTGCCACGGCCTCTCTTCCATAGCCTTGACTTAGTTGCTCACGAGCAATCAGATAGCCTATCTCAGTCACGCCTTTGCGTCTTATGCCTGCGGCTACGAAGCCAATTGCTGTATCTGAGGGAGAGTTGGCTTTGACTATCGCCCAGGTCTTCCAGCCTGAGGCTTCTTCCGGAGTGAAATAATTGCGCAGTTCGGGGATGGAGGTGAAGGGCGCGCGAGACCAGAAACGCATTGAATCTGGGTGTGACATTGTTGGGTATAGAGCTTCGGCGTCGGATTCGCAACGCGGACGTAAGAGGATACGCTTTTGGAAGGATGGGATGGCCATTGTTGCTGACTGGTTTGTAGATTTGATGATGCAAGAGTATAGGAGAGAATGCAGTCAAGAGAAAAGACAAGCAGTCCTTGCTTGTTTATGCAGCGGTGTCCGAATTGGGCAGGAGGAACTTTGGGACGTTTAAATCTTGGCGCGGCTTCGAAGGTCGTATGTCAACTAAACTCTCCCAATAAAACCATCATTGTCAACCTGACACTGGGATCTTTCACTCGCGTGGCTGTGACTGACACTCAGTTGATCGAGACTAGCTCACAGATACTGTTTCACGCTGCATGGTGCAATCTTATTGACCTCAGCAGTTGCTGCCTGGAACATGGGTTTGAGCCACGCAAGGAGGCGTAATGTGCTGACCACAAACGGGGCTCAATACGAAATCTTTCATGCCCCCACCATGTATTGTCCTTAGCTCGTCAATAAACCAGTGATTAAATTGCTGCTATCCTTTTACTTGAAGTCTGCTTCCTTCACGCTTTCATGTAATGCTATGCACCTTGAGATTAACAGATTACCAAACATGAAAAGTCTCGCCTTCTTCATTCTTGCTTCTTTGCTGGCTGGGTTTAGTGTGGCAGACTGTAATCACCGTGGTCACAATTGGACTTCTCCTTACCATGGTCTGAACGTCACATACAAGAAGGTATCGCCCATTCGCCCAAAAATCCATCATTCGTTACTAACGTCTTGCAGANGCTGTATCTGCGAGACCACGCCTGGAGTCAACTCTTTCTCTGGCTATGTGCACCTTCCTTCATCCCTCCTGACCGATTCACAAGGTCCCTCTGATCCATACAACATCTCGACTTTCTTCTGATATTTTGAGGTCAGCGATAACGATTTGATCATCAAGCAAACAGTTCTGATATTTGACAGTNCGCGCAATAACCCGAAAGCTGCCCCACTTACTATCTGGCTTGTAGGAGGGCCAGGCGAGGCATCTTCCTTCGCAGCCTTGACCGAGAATGGTCCCTGCTACGTCAACGAAATCTCAAACGGGACGATCCTGAATCCATATTCTCTGAACGAGCATTCAAATGTCTTGTATATTGATCAACCTGTCCAGGCTGGGTTCTCCTACTCCACATTCGTGAACAGTACCTTCAACTTCAACAATCTGGACCCATAAGCATCTTCGATTACACCTGTTGACTCTTACGACGAGGATCTCCCGCTAGAGAACGCAACGTTCAAGTATGGGATTTGGGCGGATCAGGACCCGAATCATACTGCCAACACTACAGAAAATGCCATCAAGCCCCTGTGGCTTTTTCTTCAAAGCTGGTTTGAGAAGTACATGACCTCGCATTGGCTTTTAGATACAATGTGCTAACTCTTTGTACCANGCTTCCCCGAACACAAAACTCGAGACCCGCGTGTCAACATTTGGGGCAATTCTGTATGTATCAGTGCTTTTTGTTCTTGCTTAATACAGATATCTGACTACAAGTGCACAGNNTATGGCGGTTTTTGGACTACGGGCTTGACAAGCTATATCCTGGATCAAAATGCACGCATCAGGAATAACGCTATTCCAGGCAGAATCATCACCGTGAACACTTTGGGCATGACGAATTGATGTGTAGATGCACGTATCACGGCAAAATCTATTGCCGACATTGTCTACAACAATACATACAACACCCGCTTCTTGTCCAACGACATCTACGCACAGACTCAGAATAACCTCACCATGGAAGGCGGTTGTTGCGACCAAATCAACCAATGTCAAACCCTTGCTGCGGCATCTGAACCAGATGGCAGAGGAACCAACGACACTGTCAACACCCTCTGCGCTACAGGCCTAGCTTACTGCTTTGCTTACGGCGGTAGTGGAGCTTACACCGCACTCTCATCACGCAGTGTATTCGAGATGGTGCAACCCACTCTAGCGCCCTACCCACCTTTCTACGGCATCGGATACCTCAATCGCCAAGACGTGCGCCACTCTCTCGGCGTCCCCGTCCTATTCAATCAAAACTCCTTAAGCGTGCAATACAATTTCGTCGCCGTCACGGGCGATGCAGCGCGTTTTGATGGCATCAAAGCGTTGAGTCAAGCTTTGACTGCAGGTGTCAAAGCTGCTTTTGTCTACGGCGACCGTGATACTAGATGTAATTGGTTGGATGGTGAAGCGGTAACCGATATAGCTTCTTGGCCAGGTAAACAACAATTCGCCACTGCTGGATATGAAGACACCAAGGTCAATGCTACATGTACCGGCGGTTTANCGAAACAGTTCCAAAATCTCAGCTTTACGAGAGTTTTTCAGGTGGGTCATGCAGCTGGATATTTTCAACCTCAAACTGTGCTGGAGGTTTTTGAACGCAGCAGTGTTCGGGATGCTGATGTTGCTACTGAGACGCGTCGTTTGATCTCTGATGGTGACTATGTTACCGGTGGTCCTGCGAGCGCTTGGAGCCATTTTGAAGTCTTACCTGAGATACCAACTCCTGTTTGCAATATCTGGGCGGCGGCGGTTACTTGCACGGATGAGCAGTTAGCTGCGTTAGCGAACGGCAGCGCAGTCATCGAACATGATATCGTTGTCTATCCTACTGCTTAAGTTAGATACTTGACAATGCAAACTCACTACATGTTTCCCCCAAAGTTGCAAACTCATTTTGAAGTACCACAATCTGTATAACCTCATTTCCACCCCATCTTAATCACATCAGCAGCTTTCTCAGCCATCGCATATATCGTACTCGTCGGATGTCCATTCACCTCGAATGGAATCGCGCTCGCACCCACAACGCGCAAATTACTCGTTCCATACACCTTCATGGTGGAATCAATCACACCGCCTAGGTTTCTGCTCATCATAGCTGCCGTACCTACTCCATGCCACACCGCCGCACCCGAGTTGAAAAANGCACGATATCCAGCATCCGTAGCGTTAAGCGGTAACATCGCATAGCCAGGAGAAACCTCAACAGGATTATTGAGAATAGACAACGGAGGCGTAGAGTACAGGTTTCTGCAGAATTTGACGAGGGCGACTTGGACCCGGAAGTCGAAATCGAATTGTAACCAATTGGGGTTAATCAGAGGTTTTGAAGGCTGTTGTGGCGATAGCNNTATAGTGGAGTCAGTAAAAGTGATGTATGTTTCTGTTCGTTGGTTGGGGAGCTTTACGTGTACGGAGCCAATGGAAAAGGGCAAGGTTTGCCAAAAACTGACGAAACTGGGGTTGAGAATTAATTCGGCAATAGGCATGTTCTTGTCGAATATTGAATCTACGCGAGTGTGCAAGCGTTGCAGTTCTGTGTGGATGGTTGTTGCGCCATTGCTTTCTGCTGCTATTTTTGCGGCGTATTCGGGAATGCTGCGACGTAGATCGGCCAGCATGCTCGGAGTGTTGTTTCCAAATATGTCTTGTGCGGTTACAAAGGCATAAGTGGGTATATTGGTCAAGTCGTCGGTGGAATTGTCATTGTCTGTTACGTTGAAGATAAGGACAGACCCGATCTGATCTTGCAAGTGGTATCCTACACCTGGGAGATCTACCTTGACTGGAATGGAGGCATTGGTCAAAATCCTNTTGAACAAACGTTAGCGTGTCACCACTTGGACGGCCCAAGCTACTGCTCACCTAGAGTTGCCTATACCTGAGGCTTCTAGCAGAGTTGGAGTTCGCATGGTGCCGAGCGAGAGCACAATCTCACGATGTGCTCGTATTGTCTGATTTTCTCCAGAGGCAGTGATAACATCGACTCCAGTCACCACCACATCTCTCGATTTCGTGCGATGCTCCAATCTGACTTTCATCGCGGTAGTATATGTGAAGACCTTAAGATTAGTCCTGTTTGCAATTGGCGCCAGGTAAGCTCTATTAGCATCCTCGCGGATACCTCCTTGCTGGAGGTTGTACTCGGAAGGCTTCGAGAACAAGCCACGCGGCAAGCCTGAGTTTGGATCACGATTCCATTCCAGACCAAGCGATTGCCATGTCTGATTGAGCGCTCTGCCATAACTGCCAACGTCCAGAAGTGGTGGCCACGCAATGTCCAGAGGGCCGTCGAACCCGTGAAACTCGTTGATATAGGTAGCCCCTTGATCTTGTTGGTTTGCAGACGGGATTTGCAGGTTCTCGCTCTTGCGGAAGTAATGGAGGAGCGATTCCCACGACCAATCGGGGTTACCTACAGCTTGCCACGCTTGAAACTCTGCCATCGCAGGGCGTAGCTAGGTCCATCCTNNAACAAGTGTAAGTCAAGTTCAAACATGTTTTGAAGAAAGATTACCGTTGAGATCACTTGTCCCGCCAAGACATCTGCCAGCATGATAAGGCTTGACACTGCCATTGAGATACTGCTGAGGAATTGTGGTGTAATTCCAGTCCAGTGGAGTGTCACAAGCCGGGCAGTTTCCGTAGATGGTCCTGACTAGAGGGTTGTCGAGAGCAGATTCACCGGCCTCGATCAAAGCGACTGAAACAGAACTGTTCTCAGATAGGCGATTGGCAAGTACAGTGCCTGCTGTGCCACCACCAACAATCACGTAGTCGAAATTCAGTTTTTCAGTGGTCGCTGCTGCGAACGTCAATTTTGACAGCACTATAAAAGTGAGCCAAGTGTGGAATGTCATGGCGTTGGCTGCGAAGCTGAAAGTGAACCAGGAGAAGCGGTATCCAAGGTCAAGGATATCGGCTCAGGACCATCGCAGTAAACTTAAGGGAACTTTGAAAGGATCGCATCCTCATGGCCCCACCTAGTCCATTATCAATGAGAACCGGTGTGTCTAAATGTTGCTGACTGCATATTCACCACTCACAACCGGTTAGATGCAGGGAGTCGACCACATGGTCACACGAACGCCAGATCCTTGGCTTGGCGGACGTGTTTCTTCAGGCAGTCACATGTGCGAGCAGGCCAGGAAGCGACGACAATGTGCTTGACAATCTTTTCATCTTGGGCCTAAGCTACTCGCGTTGCGGCTCGATCTTCTGTTCAGCACGTCAACTTTGGATAAAGGATGCTCTCAAGGTATGCGAAGGATTGTTTTGATGACGTTCGAAAAGCTTGGCAACCGAGCTCTGCCTAAACTTCGGTCTGGCATTTCGTCTCTGGACTTGTCACTCAAACACCAAGCTCATCGACACAAGCGTCGACATTGTATGAAGAGCTTGCGACAGAGGTTGAGAATACGTTATCGTCGTTCTAAAGTATATGACATGAAATGTGTTCGCTCAAATCCATGCGACTAACCAAGCACTGACGAACAAGACAACAACCATCCAATCCCCTGTGAGCCTGGCAGTACCACCTTTCATATCCTCTGTTTCACTGCCATTCCTGGCTGTTCCTGAGCTGAAGTCATCGGAGTCCACTATCTTCATGCATGCCAGATTTACTTCCACCTCCATGTCCGTGTCGTTGCCAACAGGTGCGAACACACTGATGAGAGGTGTGTAGCCTAACCAGGGCCTCGTGTCGTCGAGCTGAGCAACCTGATCGTATTCGAATATCTTGGTCAGATCGTTCGTCTTGGGCAGTGTGGGCCAGCAATTTGATGTGCTGTTCTCACTCGAGGTGATGGCTTGCTGAGCATCAGGCCCTGTCAATGCAACTGCTTCAATACGGGGTTGTTGACTGAGAATGTAGCAGCTTGAGGGTGGGTTGTCCTGGAGGTCGACCGCGATGTTTTTGCAAAAATCAGACACATCTGCATCTGCATTATATCGAGCCAAATCTATGACTTTGGCATTCAAGTCATTGACGCAGTCTTCGCCCATTGACCCAACACAAGATGCACTGCTAGCATGCTGTGGAGCGCCCCTGTCACGAACCTGATATGCGCCGGTTTCTGGAGAGACGATGAAGACTGCACACCCTTTGAAAGACAGATTGGAGGAAGCCAAATCAACCGACTTCGATGTCCCCATGTAGAACGACCGTGTCACCGTTCTCTCATAGCCCCCAGGCTCAATGGTGCTTTGCAATCCAGAGTCACCAACCGTCCAAGTGAGATCGTCCTCGAAGAGTTGCGACTGAGTGGTCAACAAACCGATGAGTGTCATGTTCGTGGATGCAACTTGGCATGTTGGTGCAGGCCTATCCTCGAAGCGACTGGGACAATGAACGGCCGCGCAGCCTTGCAACCCTTGTGCGTGGGCATATTGTAGAAGGCTAAACAAGATGAACGAGCAAAGAGCAGTCGACAGGATTGAAAGGCAAGTCATGTTCAAGCAGTATGATGCATATGCGACTTGATCGAGAGAGTCTTGATCACATTTGTATCTGCTCAGTCGCTTCCCGGGAATAAACATGGCCTCCGAGGACTACTGACGTCGTGGTGGATCTTGGACTGCCAACACTCTTGGCGCCTTGGCCTCACCTCGGAGCATCACCCATACTGCTATACCACGAATCATGTCCTGTCGTCTTTCTGTCTTGCACCTCAGCATGGCAGCCAAGACTGGGAAGTCCACTCCCGTCAGCAGACGCTGGTGCTGGATGACCTCTCTCTCTCTCAACGACCGGGATCTTGAGACGAACCCCCTGTTCGAAGTCTTATCTCACGGAAGCTCTGTACCTGCAGACATACACGATTTAGGGCAGTAAACAACAACTATACAGATACCAGCATCGATTCTCGCGAACAAATGACGGTCACCCATACTTTCCAGTGTTAATCCAGAGGCCAAAGCTTTTAGTTCTTCCAGTCTACCCTTGAAGTAGCATACTGAGCATTCTCTTCGCGAAACACTCGTGACGGGAGCGATCATAAACTTCCACGGACTTCACAGAGCGTCGTTACCTAGTCCAGCAGTGTGAAAAGAATGTAGTGTCTTGATTCAGGCGTTGCCAGACGTTGAGGAGGCGACCCTGCTCCCCAAGGGACTTCGGACTGATGTTCAACGAAAGAACGTGTACATGGAATGAGGCAACGCAATGCAAGACTAGCTGGCGCATGGATACGAAGGATATCATGTGAGGCCTGAAAGATTCATTTTGAGCAGTGGTACATTGCAAGATCCTTATTGAAGAAAACCAACACGATGGTTAGATTAACGCAACTCCATTCGGCTCAGTTTCTGGAATCTGATTTGACAAGTGCTAGAGCATGCACAGTCATGATCTCCACCAAGCCATGTCACGGCGCAGTGGATTGTGCATCCTTCGAAGTTCGAGCCAAGACTTCGGGAAAAGCATTGTGCTCCCATCACTGCTATTGACTATGAATATATCTAAAATATGTTATCACAGGGCAAAACTCAAGTTTGCTTTTGGCTCACGCACTGATTGATTGCGATATTGCTAACAGCTGTCAGAAAAGATAAAAGCCAGATAGAGATTCTGAGCGTGAATATAGCCCCGCTTCGGAATGATCGCAAGTCATCATCAATGCAGATGTCCTTCCTTCAACATCCTACAGAGACATTGACCAACAACTTTATGCGAGGAAAGATTGATGCTGATAGCATCATGCAGCATGCGTGCATGGTAACAACGAAGCTGTATGTGGCTGTAACATGAACATCCTGTTTTTCCGCACTTCTGATCGCTTTTCCTCGACCATACTGGCATTCGAGCAGGTACGGATCGATAATGAATGTCTTGTCAAAGGATGGGTGCATACACAGCCCATCAATCCAGCTTCCTGCAAAGCTGCTATCTTGGTCTACTGCAGATGACCCTACATAAAGTGCTTCTCGCACTCGCTTCTGATTTGCGACTTTGTCATTTTGTACAACACAAACATGCTGTCTTCACTCTCAAACATCTTCCTCGTCTGCTCAATCCTCTTTCGTAACGCTATAGCCGCACCGACATTGATCGCAGACCGATACACCATCAAAGAGCGCCATGATGTACCTCAAGACTGGGACAGGATAGGTGCCGTGCCGGATTCCCATACGATCAATCTCCATGTCGGCCTTAGACAAAACAACCAAGACAAAGTCGAGAGGCATGTACTAGAGGCCTCAAATCCATCTCATTCAAGCTATGGCCAGCACTTGTCTGCCAGAGAGATTCAAAAGCTCATTTCACCTTCAGACGATACTGTTCAGGTGGTTTTCTCCTGGTTAACCGAACACGGAATCACAAATGCGAAACTTAGCTCCTCCCGAGATTGGATTACCGCAAGTGTACCTGTTCGAAGCGTCGAACGGCTTCTGAATACTACCTACTCCGTGTATCAGCACCAGGATGGGTCGATATTGATCCGGACACCCGAATGGTCTTTGCCACAACGACTTCACGATCAGATCGATCTGATCCAGCCCACTACCTCGTTCTTCAGGGCCTCCAAGCTCACGAGTGACGCTATGAAAGAAGGAGGCCCGAGATCATGGCATAAGTCTCCAAGCAAAGGCTGGCGCAAGCCACCTAAGAATCATGTAAGTCCTTGATATAGACACTCTTCTCTGTCCAAGCACGACTAACATGAAATAGGATTCTTCGAGCTGCGATGTTAGCAGTTTATGCAATGTTACANNGGTACAACCTTGTTTGGAGAAACCGTCATGGCTACCAGCCTTGAATGTCTACGTTGTCTCTATGGGACATCTGACTATGTGCCAAAAGTACCTGATCGAAACATGATCGGCGTCACGAATNTTCTTGAACAACGTAAGCTTTAGAGCCACCTCAGTAGGGCATTAGGCCATGAAGCGTTATGACTCACGTGTAACCAGACTCAGAAGCGTTCGGACATCAGATCATACCTTGAGAAGTTCCGTCCTGAAGCTGTAGGCATTGCAGACACTTTCCAAATCGTCAAGATCGCGGGAGCTCAAGACAACCAAGGAGTTCTCAGTGATGATCAGCTTGAAGCTGGATTGAATTTGGAGAGTGATATGGATGCTGAGTTGGCCATGGGTATTAGCTGGCCAACTGATTTTATGGCTTGGTCGACTGGTGGAATGCCACCTTTTATACCAGATCTAGCTACTCCAACAGACACCAACGAGCCTTATCTGGAATGGATGACATATGTACTAGCACAAGACACCCTGCCGCAGGTGATCAGCATATCGTATGGGAATAGCAAACAGACCGTACCATACTCGTATGCGAAAAGAGTTTGCGATGGCTTCAAACAACTTGCAGCTCGCGGTATATCTGTGCTGGTCTCTAGCGGCGACTATGGTGTAGGTCCAAATGGGACTTGCTTCTCCAACAGCAATGTCTCCCAGTCCAGGTTCCTTCCTATGTTCCCTGCATCTTGTCCTTGGGTTACCAGCGTAGGCGCGACTGAGGAATTCGAGCCTGAAGTTGCAGTATCTCGCTTCGGCAGCGGTGCTGGCTTCTCGAACTACTTCCCTATGCCATCATACCAGACGAATGCCGTAGATGGCTATCTCGACAAGATAGGAAACCTCTACGAAGGACTGTACAACTGCTCTGGAAGGGCGTATCCAGATGTCGCAGCACAAGGCAATCACGATGTCGTCGTCTGGGAAGGCAATATCACCACTATTGGTGGAACAAGTGCATCAGCACCGACTTTTGCGGCAGTCATTGCATTGGTCAACGATGCACTCATCGCAGCTGGCAAACCACCGCTTGGTTTCCTCAACCCGTGGATCTATAGTAGAGCGTTTGCTGCTCTCACTGATATCACCGAAGGGTCTTCGATTGGCTGCAATACAAGCGGATTTCCTGCCGAAGTTGGTTGGGATGCAGTGACTGGATTTGGAACACCAGTGAGTTACAGCCCATCAACTCCATGTCGTCATTTACTGATAGCTTTTGTGTAGAACCTTGGCAAACTCATTCGCCATGCGTTTCACCCATACAAGACGTGATGTTGAGGCGCATCGAGCGGCCCGGTCGCTCGTAAGTTGCAGCTCATGGTGTGGAATGCCAGTCAGTACTCAGAGTGTAGAGATTGCTATCGTCAGGAGATCGATTATCGGGATTGTCGGAAGCTAGTACTGAGATGGACATGTTCATTATATCATTTCTGTAAAGATGAACTCCAGTGAAGAGAGGTGAACATCATTGATTAGCATACTTCCTATTAGTCTATGTCGGCACGCTTGCGGCGTGATCCTCAATGTTAATCAGGCTCTTGATCACAGACGTCAGCTCCGGTATGCGGAATGGCTTGACGATGAAACCATCTACTCCTGCATCGTAGGCTTGTTTCGTCTGCTCAGTTCGCGCATTTGCAGAGACAGCGATGATCGGAATGTGTCTGACAATATCACCAGAAGCCTGCAAGTCACGAATACGTCTAGAGCAGGTCAAGCCATCCATGACAGGCATCTCTATGTCCATGAGAACCACATCTACGTCTGCTAACGTCTCGGTAGGATCATGGCTGTCTTGCTTCCAGATGCTTGTCGTCGTAAGGTAGTCCAGGGCTTCCTGTCCATGATTTGAAACTTGCACCTTGTATCCGAGTCTGGTGAGATGTTTTTGAAGAACTTTCTGATTGACCAGATTATCCTCGACCACCAGGACCGAGTAATTCGACGACTGCTGACTCGAATTTGCTCCATTGACTGCTGTCGAGATACGAGTTTGAGACTTTTGGCGTATTGCCATATCAGGCCGCAATTTATCCGTAGATTTTAGGTCTTCTGTTGCTGGAACGTAGAAAGCGAACCTGGAGCCGACATCGACTTGTGATGCTAAACCGATCCGTCCGCCCTGAAGCTCCACTAGCCTCTTACTGATGAATAACCCGAGTCCAGAACCGCCGTATTGAGTATAAGTCTTCGGCGAAGCTTGAGAGAAACGGTTGAACATGCGTTTCTGCTCCTCCTCGCTCATACCGCAGCCGCTATCGGTCACTGAGAACCAGAGATAGAAAGTCGCGTCAGCTGTGGGCTTTGCTTGCACTTGAGCTTCTGAGCTCTCAGTAGTAACATAGGTTACCGACAGATTGGTGGGTCGTTCTTTGGATGCGCCAAGACAAACGACAACTGTACGCTCATTTTTGGATGTTTTTGTAAATTTAAGAGCGTTTGTGGTTAGGTTTACCAGAACTTGACTGATTCGACCCGAGTCTGCAATGACCCAGTCAATGTTGAGTTCGCTCAGTGATTTGTCCAGTTGAGTTCGAAGCTTGACTCCCACGCGTTCGGCTTCCACAGCGAAGATATTCGCCACGCTGTTCAACATCTCGGTGGCACGGACCGCAGTTGGAGCCACTTGAAGAAGATTAGAGTCAAGTTTACTCAAGGAGAGGATATCATCGGTGACCCTCTTCTGATGCATTGAGCAGGAAATAATGGTGTCGACTGCCTCGGTCCCACTTCTTAGATGCTCCTCTAATTGGGCTTTTGTTTTCTGACAAGTACTGTCATCTTTCTCAACTTTCTCCAGCGTATCGATGAGCTGTCTCATCTCGAACAAGGATTCTTTCAGAAGATCGGCACAATGCACTGTGGCTCCAAGCGGATTTCGGATCTCATGGCTGGTGATATCAATGAACGCTTCAGTTCTTCTTTTAGCTTCAATAGCTTCTTCCAGTCGTTTGCGCTGCATTTCCTCCGAGAATTGAGAATGTGATATGTCAGTCCACGTCGACATCACGCGGCTCAGGATACCGTCATCGCTGAATTCTGGGAAGAATATGATGGAGACCCATGCTTGACCTCGGAATGAGCCGTCAACGCTGGACCACGTCTTCTTGAGTCGAGCCCTGAAATCAACAGCTTTTTTGTGCTCGATAGCCTCTTCACGTTTCGCGATGATCAACGAGATATCATCGGGATAACAAACAGACTGAATGACATCGATGTCCGGGGATGAGATTTTGGGATGACCAGTGATGTCGAACCAACTATTGTTGACGTACAAAGGTTCATCTGAAGATCCTCGAATCACGATACCAATAGGAGCGTTGTCTGTGAACTGTAGTAAGCGTGCTTGACTGAGTCTCACTTGTTCCAGGGCCTCTGCTTTCTTAGATGCGTTCTCCTCAGCAAGCTTTTGTGCTGCGATATCTGTTGTACAGCCGGCAATGCTGATGATATTGCCAGAATCATCGAAAACTGGCGTGCAAGCGGCTACCACCCACTGTCCCGTCGGTGTGTTGTTCTTCCAGCGCATTTCGAACGTGACCGGCTTGCCCGTCATAAGCCAGTTCCACTTTTCATAAACCATTTCGGCGTCTTCTGGCATGCAGTAGTCCAGAAAGGTGTATTGCCTGTTCAGCGTCGGGTCTCTTGGGTAACCACTCAGCTCATAAAACGCGTTGTTGCCTGAAATGAGTTCTCCTGTAGGTAAATAGTCGAAGAACCCTACGTCTATTGTTTCTGCAATCGCTAACACACTCGTCATCTTTGTGTTAGCTATCTTAGTCTCCTCTTCCCGGAGTCGGAGCTCTCTATCGTTGATCTCGGCGACCTCCCGCGCTCGATCAAGTGCCTTTTGCTTTTCTGCCTCTTTCGCCTCGGCGCCTGCTATTTTGAAAGCATAATCTGCTATACATTTNTGCACCTCCCGAATCCAGGTCTGATATGAGTCGTCGAAGGGTCTGCGTGGTGCTACGCCGACTACTAAGAGAGCTTTGACACCGTGAAAAGCCGTATAGCTTGTTGGGAAAATGATCGCCTCTTTGCAACTAACGCCATAGCCACGATTCCGCGACGCCTGACACCAGTTCGCCAACATGGCATCCTCCGTGGCATGAATTTTAACAGCTTCTCGGGACGTTATCGATTTTCGCATGCGCTGTGTCAATGTATCGTCCAGTGACTCAAGGTCTAGCAGCTCTGGTAAAGGGCTGTCGAAATCTCCCACGCTGCCTACCAGGCGCAAGCTGACTTCGCCTTCATCGCGTCGCGGACTGTCAAGCACATTCTCCCCGATCGGCTGATCTTGAACCATATACGCTACTGCAAATGGAAAGTCAATTTCTGATGAAATTAAACTTTGTAGAACAGATTGCAAAAGTGCTGGTAGATCGCTCGCTGAGTCGCATGAACTCTTCAGTGCGACAAGAAATTCATTCCTTCTTCTTGTGACCACTGCGAGCGTTGTGTCATGGAGAGTTGACAGGTATCCGGGCAAATGCGGTGGAAGTTTGACCATGGTTCCCGTCACGAAAACTTCTTCCATGTCACCGCCGTTGTCGAGGAAAAGAAGCTTGTCTGTTTGTATCGCAGGAGAATTTCCTTCGGTAGCATCCTTGACGATTTGGTTGAGTGCACGATTCTGCAGTTGTAGACGATCCAGCGACGAGAAAGGCTTCCCAAAATATGCAGGATGATGGTCGCGAAGCACAGAACCGTACGCAGTGTTGTACACGAATAGTTGCTCGCTACCCAGAAAGAATAGTTGAGGCTGTGGGGATAGCATAGCCATATAGATGAGGGTCAATAAATCCTGAGGCCATGAGGACATTGGGCCCAACGAGGTGGAAGACCAATCCTTGTTGCACAGCAATCGCAAGTCTCGGTCGACTTTTGCATCTCCAGTTTCGAGCGTTTGCAACAAGGTGAGCATGGCAGGGTGTTGATCTTGAGCCATGTTCGGGTGTGCCGGATGGCGCGGGCGTTCTCAGCGGATGTGCTGTCGCGCTTCTGAGCGCTGCATATGGGCAATGGCCTCACAGCAATCTTGATATGACCGCAAGAGAACGATCGATGCTAGCGACCTGGTCGAGTACACCGATGAGGGTAAAGGAGAGTGGCGACGTCTTCGCGACGGTTGAGGACGCTGCAAACTTCTCCTGCGTACCTGCCTCGCCGGGCGTTCTAGACCACATTCGTGTTCGGGCTTCAGCTCTCAGCCATGCGGGGAGTGCTCTCCTAGCGCGATCATTTTGTGACGATGACGCTGTGAGACTTACGTCTTGGCGTATACCTTTTCAGGATTCGAATGGCCATCTTGGTTCGCTAGTATATATTTGCGAAAACCCTATGGTATATGTAGACTGTGGGATGAGTACCTTATCCCAATTAATATGGCAACGAAGATTCATCTATGTCGATGATGCATTGCAAAATTCAGTCTGACCAAAGAACAAGACTGACAAGGCCAGGGTCGAATCTCATTTTCTAGCATCAAATCATGCTTTTCGAGCAAGCAGGAAGCGCATGAAATCTCCAAAGTCGTGTTACTGCTCGAGCATCGAGTCCTAGACAAAAGAGAAGCGGTCGTTACTTATGACTCAAGAACATCAGTTGAGGCATGAGAGGAATCGAGCGCTGGAGTTCGTGTATCGAAAAGGGCGAAAATTGTTGCCCGATGGTCAGAAGTCTTGTTCCGCTGTCGCCGTTGAGTCCTCACTGAAATCGTCGAGACTTCACTTGACAATCATCCCTGGTCAACAAGATGCCATCACGCAAAGGTCGCGCATGGTATTACAAGCGCAAGCTCAACTGTACATGACGACAAGATCGGATTCATGGGTATGATGACTACAAGGCACACGAGCAAGTGTCAACCCTTGAGCATCCCTGCGAAACATTGTCCTGAACGCAACACCACGTTCCGTCTTTCTTTTGGACGCACATGATGCGCCGCATCTCTTGGCTTGGAGTGTACCACTTGTTCTCCGGTTCTTTTCTTGGTTTGCATTCCTGGCCTTCTCACCGTAGACAGTTCGGAACCTAGTTGCTCAACTCAAGGCAACTTTTGTCGACGATTTACAGTTAAATTGCCTTCGGGGTTGACGGTGTGCGGGTTCATGGTAGGTATTATTGACGAAGTTGTTCAACACAGCCAAAACCAAGGAGCTGCTTGAGAAGCTGACTCTGTCACAAAGCTCTGGTAGTTGAAGCTGATGGTCTCGAGCCGATTTCTAAAGCCTACACAAGCATGGAATCAAGGATTTTTGCGCTTGTCAAGCAAAGTCTTGAGGATATCTTGTCGTTCTCGTGGTTGTCAAGAAAGCCGTTGCCAGCAAGCCATTGCCCTTGCCAAGGGATTGGCATAGAGCCCAGGAACTTCAGCTCCAGCTGTTCTGCCAAAGAACCGTCTTGCTCGTACTGCAGACTCCTGTGTGGACAATCTTCTTCGTTATCATCTTGAACTTGGTGTTCCTTGTTCCTATGAGTTATCTTTATGCCATCTCTGGTACGACTCAGGGTTTGAACGTGGTAACTGAGTTGGTCATGGGTTACGCACTACCCGGTCGCCCTGAAGCCTTGATGTTTGTTAAAGCGTTTGGCTACAACATCAACGGCCAAGCTGATAACTATATTTCAGATCAAAAGATGGGCTTGTATGCAAAGATACCGCCTCGGGCCATGTACCGTGGTCAGCTGATCAGTGCCATCCTTACAGCTCTAGTTGCCTATGGCTGTGTCGACTTTGTTGATAACGATATCAAGGGCATCTGTACTCCGGATCAATCTGCCAAGTTCAATTGCGAGAATGGTTCTGAGGTATATTTCTCATCCAGCGTTGTCTGGGGCGCCATCGGACCCGCCCGCGTTTTCAGTCAGTTCTACCCTTTCATGAAGTACATGTTCTTGCTTGGCGCTGTTTTGGCTGTCGTCTGGTGGTCTGTCAAGCGATATGGACATTTGGTACGATCGGCTGCCCAAGCCAAACTTGCCCCTGGTATCTTCCGACCACTGAATCTCCTGGTCTTCACACCCACATCTTGGTTGAGAGACGTCCATCCCTCTCTTGTCATCAACGGTTTCCTTTGGTGGGCACCACTTAACCTGACATACTTTACCAGCGCTGTCTACATGTCATTCGGATTCATGTATTACCTGAGGAGATACAAGACTGCTTGGTGGGAGAAGTACAACTACGTTCTGTCTGCAGCGCTATCCGCTGGCGTCGCTTTCTCTGGCATCATCATCTTCTTTGCTGTCCAGTACCATGCTGTCAATGTCAACTGGTGGGGAACTGAAATTGTGGGAGAAGGTGTTGATGGTGGCGCTGGACAGACCGCTTTGCTTACTACTCTACCCAGCAAAGGCTCTTTTGGTCCCGACACATGGAATTGATCGTAGTGGAGAGTCGATGCGAGAAAGTACAGAAACTTAGGTATCAATGTCTCTTGTTCACTCGAGGAGACATTGACGCGTTTTAAATATGCTGTAACGATTGATTAAATCAAATCAATGCGCGACTTTGCCTCCATCCTAACATCCAATCTTGAACAATCTGCAGAAGAGACTCTTTCCATTAGACCCCGAGCCTCCCAAGGATGTGGTAGTACTTCCAGAACCACATTTGCCACTGCAATCCGGGTTCACGATCGGTGTAGAGCTGCCGCAGGAGTTATCGCGAGGANNGCTTCATTCATTAGCACTAGTAAATTGACCAGGAACGAACAACCTACCAGTAAAGCATTGACAACAAGTACCACAGCAGACAGTGCATTGAGATCCAGAACAGCCAACACTTGCAGAGCCGCAATTGGTCTTTATGCCATTACTGCAAGCTGAACGTTTGGCAAGTCTAAGCGCAGGATTGGGCGAGGAGCCTTCAGAGATCGGATTTGCCAGCACAAAGGTGGTAAAGAAGAGAAACAGGAAGCAGAGGGCGATGGAAGGAGCGAATTGACGCATTGTGAGCGACAGTCCAGTATGTACGATTACAACAAGTCGCTCCTTGTGGTGTTCGGGCAGAGGGATGTGGGAAGAAAAGCTGAGCGTCGTGCGACCTACTTGTACATACTGGTTTATACTTTGTGTTGCTCCGAGGACATTAAAGAGGATGTGGTTTGATGATGTCAAGCGTGCCTGACTTCTCGATTTTATGCGAGTTTTTGTGATTTTGTGCATGATGAGCTCTCAGCACGAGAGATTATACTTCCCGCGGTCCAGATTCGCTCGAATGACAAGCCACTTTCGACATCGAAGTAGAGTACGTCCTTACTCATAAGACATGAACTTGTCATATGATCACATATAGCTGAATGTCACGTCGCAGGAATGATTGTTCACCACGATCTTATCTCTGGCTGCATCTCTATGTTTCGAGTGCTTTTCGTATAGAAGCATCTTCAGTGTAAACAGATGCTCTGTATGAAGCAGAATCTATAAGCGTTCCAGTGCCGAATCTAAGTCTACAAGTCTAGCCCATGTTCAGAAAGGAATCTATGTCTGACGAGAATAGAGAAGAAGCACAATTATCTAGGGAAGCACAATTATCTAGGAGCCATGTACTCAGGCCTTCATCATCAACAAGTGAGAATTGATGGTTCGAAGATGGTGTGGGTAGCATGGCATCTGGCACAGTCATCAAGTCCTTACCAAGAGGATGTGTATAACCATCGTAGTCATTGCTGTTCTCGCCGCCACCCTTGTCTGCAGCGTCCGTAACCTGCTCCGTAGTGTCATGATCTGGCGAGAGACCGAATGGTACGCAGTTCTTATCGCGTGCGTGGACGAACAGCTTGTGAACCAACGTCGCAGCAGGATAGTTGTTTTCAAGGTGTTTCAAGACTAACAAGCAGAAGTCCAAGCGATTGTGACTCCAGGCTTTTGCAAAATGGTCGCTCGAGCGTGCTTCATAAAGATGTATGGTCATGGCTGGGATCAACAATGAGACCATAGTTGGGCCTGCAAAGATGAGCGTGTCTGCAGAAATCATCCGATCCAAGAGAGCGTTTGTCTGCGAAGCAGCTTTGCGGACTGCAGTATCGGCAGCTAAGCGTAGCACTGGATCGCTTCGTCCTGGCGGCCGTGAAAGCTCAGTCGTGAAAGGTCTGTAGAGGGCTATCGTGGCTGCCTCAACATGTATATGTGCATACATGGTGAAAAACTCGATCAACGTCGTGTCGCTGGTATCTAGTGTTTTCTCCAGGAAGCAAGATCGAAGACGTTGGGCGAATGAAGAGATGATATCGTTTTCTGGAACTTGCTGCTGTTGTGGACGATATATCGTTTCAATAATGTCTCCGAGGACAACAGACAATTGCAACAACCCGAGAAACACGAGTTGTAATCGAAACAACTCAGAAGGTATCAGTCGTGTGCGTGAGTAGAGTGTCGGGTCTTGCGGTAATAGCATGCATTCACCATCTGGAAATGGCATATCATGATCACTGGCCTTGATCCGAACAGGACGCCCGGAACCGTATGCGAGCCATCGATCTCTCGATACGCAACACCACCATAGATTCCTCCAGAGTCGTCGAGTTGCAGTTGAAAGCAGTCTGTTGTGGCATTTCGCGTCCGGATTTCGATGCAACCCAATCGTTTGAGCTGTGCTGATTGCGATACCCGTCCAGTGCCATGATTGAGTGCGATCTTGTAAGTTTGCATACCAGTATCCTATCAGCAGACATGACTGAATCACGACAACACTATCTTGCTCGTAGTCTAGCATGTACAAACACTATACCCGTTAACATCTGATTGTCTTTCAGACGGGCGAGGACGTACCTTTGCTCGATTATACATCAATTTTTTGAGTTGATGGCGGTCTACACAGTCGAGTGCCCTGACTGTATGCTCGGGTACGAACTGTTGCGAACGAGTGAGCGGATCATCACCTTACATGGTTGAAGGCAAGTGATCTTACACTGGCTGCGACCGAGAACATGCTCCATAGAAGCAACATGCTGATAGGTTCGGTAGAGATACCCCAATGTCTGTCAAGAAACTCTCCGATATCGATGATGGGCAGCATGGGGTGCACGTAGCGAAAGTAGGCGTAAATAAATTCCTCACAGATGGCAGGATCTATCACAGCAAAACAATCCTTGGCTTCGGCGTACTCCAAGGCTGCCTTGTCCATGTTGGGCGCGGCGGTTCTTGGAATGAAGTGATGTTGTGTGCTTGGTACACTGCCTTCATTACAGATGTCCAGAATATGGCCATGACCGTAATTGTCGCCTAAATCAAGACAACATCAGCACTAAGACGGGCATACTTAAATGGAAATGAACTCACCACTGAAAAACAGCTCGGTAGCAGGGACAATTGGCCTCCGCATTGATGAGCTGACGCTGAAGTCCCCAGCGCTCGCGGCAGCATTGGGAGAGGCGGTAGGTTCCCAATCGTGAACTGCAATCAACTGAGGATCAGTGTGAGCATTTGCCGACGAAGTACTCGGTAGCTGTCTGATGTGAGTGCCGTTACGTTGGGATGACACAGTCTCGTCCGCCGGGCCGAAAAGGTTTGTAGCTGGCGTGGCGATGGTAGAAGCGGGTTCGCTAAATATGCTGGAGTCTACAACATCAACTCCAGCACCAATGCCACTTGTGTTATTAGCAGCAGCGTTGATAGCACCGGCACCAGCAGTGGCATTGTTGGTGATTGTACTGCTTAAGCTAGAGCCGGCCTTCTTGCAAGCCGCACCGCTGTCCTTACGTGAGCTATATGGAGGTGACAGTCAGCAGGTGGGCAGCGCGCCAAGAAGTTTGAGAAGATGGAGAGAGCGGAGGGCAGCATACGCGTATGGCTTCCGTTGGCGCCTGCGACACGAAATACCGAGCGAGGCACAACTGCTACATGGCCGGTAGGCCGAGGGATCCAGGTCGCAGCGAATCTTCTTGTGATGGCAAGTAGCGCATGCGTCGTTCCGTCGCCGCGTAACCACATTGGCACCAGCGGTAGACTGCTCGCCAAGGACGGTGTGAGCGGCAGCGGCGGCGGTGGTAGTGGACGTCGTTCCCATCGTTGGCGCGGCCACGGTTCCGGTACGGATGGCGTGCGCCCCGGGCATGTTAATTCCAACAATCAATTTCCGCCTTGGACTGGACGTGTCACTTCAAACAATCGATTTCGGGGTTCGATGACGGTCATATAGGCTCATGCTTGTATGCGCCGAGATGGACAAGGGACTCCACGGGCGCGTTACAATCCTCAACGTTTTCCCCTGCTGCTTCGCAACTTGATAGCACAGATTTTGGCAGTCCCCACACGTGGAAGATTCAGGACTTCGTTGGTCAAGATGCACAGCCCCAGGATCGTGCGAAGCACCGGAATGAATTTTGCAGTTCGGTAGTTGCACTGTTTCTGTAAGTCAGTCAGCAAAGGGCGGTCTTTGAGGATTCCCTATTACGGGCGCGGTATTCGAGAAGCCCGAGATATCGGAGCGGTGATATCAAGAAGCCCGCTGCGTTAGCACGTGACTCAAGCAGGGGTCAAGGTTTGATGTGCGATGATACAAGACGGCGATAGATCCGAAAGGCTGAACTAAAGGAGTAAGCTCTATCTTGACATTGGTGAAGCTTCTTGATAACAACTTACCAAGGCAATCGCTGCGTTGTGCGAGGCTTGCAGACTGCTTGTTTCAAGCTTGGCATCGCCCTGTTTTGACTGTGACTCTTGTCTGATTATGCAGCCGCAAGGTCGAAGGATGTGAGTGTTATTTGGTCCATGAGGCACCCCACGCTGAAAGTAGCGCCGGCGGCGCCCGGCGCGGAGGCAGAAGAATCCAGGTCGACAGCCTTGGGCTTGGCAGAGGCTCAAATGGTGGATATCAATTTCCCTTCTGGGTCATTGGTTCGAATCAGTGGAAACACATCGACTTCACGGCGAATGCAGAGTCAGAGTTGGTTTTATTTGAAACCGACGTCTAGGTCCTGTCCCCAACACCAATCGATACACTAAAAATCCATCATCTCGGCAATCCCGAGAAAATCTTTTCCGCAAGGATCTCGGCGGTAAGCAAAGGTCACATAAAGTCTGAAGCCGGAACATCAACTTGGTATGTGCTGAAGACCCAATTACGCAAGGCGTTGCCAATCATTGAACCCATCCCGAATGCAACGAGGGATTTGCTTTCCCTCAATGTCATCGACTGGGATCACGAATGTCTTCGATATACATATTTACTACCGGTTTTAACTGCTACATGTTGCATAGATCTCATGAGGAATTAAGCAACAGAACATGCTTCTATGCACACTACGACATCTGGCATAACGATTTGTGAAAACAGCAAACAACAAACATGTTGGTTCTTGGCGATGCAATCCTCTGCTTGTCACACCACACTGACGCCCGAAATCCCCGAAAACGCCGGTTGTGGCACGCAATATTGGATGTCACGAAAACCCCGTGAGTGGCTGCAGGATTGTTTAGATGGGACAGGGATGACACAACAAACTGCGTTGAATCAGGGCAAACTCTACGATGACCTTTGCGGCATCACTAAAGTCTGCAACTTTCGCAATGAACAAGCTCAAATTTCAACAACGGTGATTTCGGGGCTACGTTCATCCTACAGCCAGACGATGCCGTATGAATGTCAAATGTCTTCGAAGGCCTCCACGACGTGAGGAACAACCATCACACTCCCAGAATCATCAAGAAATCACGCACACGTGTTCACTCTACGCAAGCGCTTTGTCAGCGCCGGGAACCTGGTGGCGGTAGTGACAGGTGGTGGGNTTGGCATGGCGTTGATGATTTCTGCGACTCTGGAGCAGAACGGTGCAACTGTCTACATACTTGGCTGGCCTGAGAATGTTCTGTGACAAAGAACGCACGATAAGGCCNGGATGATCCCAATCGTCGCTGATGTGACAGACAGATCTTCTCACCAGGCGGCCGCGGATCGGATCACACAAGAAGTTGGTTACATCAATTTGCTAGTCAGCAACTCTGGTACGCTGGGTCGACGACACAACGCTTTCCCGCGTCCAGAGCCTTTCCAGCCACTACCAGGGAAGAAATTTGTCCATAAACGACACAGACTTGAAGACATCGGACAGCATTCGAGATCTNCTTTGGAAAAAGATGTAGTCAAGAACTGGGATGACACGATGCGCGTCAATGTTTCTGGAATTTGATTTACCAGTATCGTCTGTCTCGGGCCCCTGGGCAAAAGCGATGAAACTCGAAATGTGCAGCAAAAGAGCCAAATTGTCACGGTCGGAAGCATCGAGGCTTTCATTCGCATGCTGGGCACAAGCTTCACATATATCCCGTCTAAGGCAGCAGCTAATCACCTTGCAAAGATGATGGCAACTGACTACGTGCAATGGTGTATCCCTCGATTTGTACTCCTTGGTGTCGCTCGTCGGATTCTTGCTAATAATTCCACGCAGAATTTGATTGCTCCGCGCGTATTTCCCTCTGAAATGTCTGCCAGAACCGGTTCATTGGATCAGAACAACAGGAATCCTTTGCCATCTGTCATCCCAGCATCAGAGATCCCACAGGAGCAGCCAGGAGGTGAGGAAGATATGGCTGCAGCAATTCTGTACTTGGCTGGATGTGGTGGAAAATACCTGAATGGAAATGTCCTCGTGGTGGATGGTGGACGTTTGGGTATACAACCTGCGGTGTATTGATGTACGCGTTGAGGGAAAGCTTCATTAGCTCTTCCATGAGCTTATAATGTAATCGCAAGCGGCACGACAAAGCAAGCGCGAGTTCCCCAGACAGTTTTTGCGAGGGTTAAGCAATAGAGATTATAATGACATATTCTCTATGGTGGATCTGCGACTCTTCAGAAAAGAAAATTCACACTGTCTATCGAATCTATCTGGAAAGTGCCTGCATGAAGCGCAAAACATACAATACCGGACCTTGTCTGGACCCTGTCTGAACCTGGAAGAGATGGGAACCAACATTCTGGGGTCAAAGAGACTCCACCATTTGCTGTTTGGAGAAGCCGGGCTGAGCGCCTACGAAGCGCCCAAAGCTTCGGTATTTTCAGGCTGCCATTCCCACGCTTCGGGATATCTCATTCGGAAAATTGCTGCTTGCAGTTTTGTTATAATTGAACTACGTCTGCAACATTATACTTCCAATGATATCGAGACTTAACTGGTTCTGCTCGATTTACGAGCAGTATGATGTGGAACACGAATCTTGAAAAATCGAAATTCTCCAATGGACAAACGCGACTGCCCCCATGGACCGAACAACAACATTCTCTTATTTCGCATGCACACAATGAGACTTGTATCGAAAGTCTTGAGACCGGTATACACTGGCGAACGACAGCCGCTCAAGTTAGGACTGGGCAATGCCGAGCTTTGAACGAAAACAATGCGCATGTGACGTTAAGATGTCGCCAATGGCGATTCACCCTACTACTTCTGTGTCTTTTCGCTATCCTGTACGGAACGTTCATGCCATCCTATACATATCCGCCTGCACGCTATACGTCCCTTCGACGAACCGTGGAGGCAAATCTCACTGGAGGTGGTGTGGCCACTGGTCTTGCCAACATACATGCGGAGAAGGTGTTCATTGCGTCAACCCTATACGATGGAGGAGGAGCTCTTCTGTCTGGACGTTGGGGAGAAGACTTGCGCGAGCTCATCAACATCATTGGTCCTGAGCATGTCCATCTCAGCATATACGAGAACGATCCAGATCCTGCAGCTGAGGAAGCGCTGTCTGATTTTGCCACACGGGTCACTTGTGAATCTACTCTTGTTGCGGAACATCTAGACGTGGAGGATATGCCGCATGTGAGAACACAAGATGGCGCGCAGAGAATGGACAGGATCGCTTTTCTGGCGGAGGTCCGCAACCGTGCATTACGACCTTTGAGGATGAACAGCTCTGGAATCTATTCTACTCGATACGACAAGGTCTTGTACCTGAACGACGTCTATTTTGATCCTATAGATGCGGCTAATCTGCTTTTCTCGACCAACGTTCAAGAAGTTACCGGGGTTACTGACTACCGTGCTGTATGTGCCGTCGATTTTAAACACCCTCTGGTATTCTACGACACCTTTGCCACCCGCGATGCAGATGGCTATGAAGTTGGTGCAGCGGTCTTCCCCTGGTTCTCCAATGCCGGTAGTGGTCGTTCGAGGCAAGACGTACTTTCACAGTCCGAGATCATTAGAGTCAAAAGCTGCTGGAGTGGCATGGTCGCGTTCGAAGCAAAGTGGTTTCAGCCAGAAAACCCCATCTCGGAATCCAGAGACTTCGATAACCCTGAACAGACTGGCCTCGGCTTTCGCTATGAGCTAGAGGACTACTGGGATGCGTCGGAATGCTGCCTGATCAACGCCGATCTCGCTCTACTTTCAGCTGATCTCTCAAAAATGGTGNAAACAGGCATCTACATCAACCCATACGTGCGCGTGGCATATTCAAGAGGCGCCTTGGCCTGGTTGCCATACATCAAGCTCTTCGAAAGACTGCTCACGCCGATACAATTGTTGCTCACCTCGATCGCGGGTCTTCCGCGCCACAATCCTAGACGATTAGAACAACCTGGCGACAGAGTGACTGACCAGGTTTGGATCTGGAATGATGATCTTTCCAACATCGGAAAAGCCATTCAAAATCAAGACACGCGTCTTGCGGATGGCTCGTATGAGAATATCACTCGTACGGCTTCATCAGGCGGGTTTTGCGGGCATCGGAAACAGTCTGTCATAATTCAACGCTCCGATGGAGTCGGAAAGGGTTGGGCAAGTTTTGAGGCGCCTACACTTGCATAGGTTGTTCGTTATGGACAGCACGTATATGATCCATTTCCATCTTACGTAGATCCCGTTCTCCGTTTCATGACCTGTCCAGCATTGACATGAGATCCCTGTCTTGCCATCTTCACCCAGACTCCAAGGACTGTTGGATCGTTCCGGATACAAAGACCTCTCTCCGCAGTTTCAAGCTTGCAGCTTCTGGAGGTCAACAATGTACACCATTGATCTCGACCACCTCACTCGTCTGTCAAGCGTATACACCACCATCTCCCAGGCCATCAAGATGCAAGCAAGGCCCAGTATGCGGGTATCTCCTGCCACGACGTCTAATTCGCTCGACTCTACGACAAGGATAGTATCATGTGCACTTGCCACGAACGGGAGTCCTCCGCTAACCAGGCAAAAGCTGCAACCAGTTCTCTCGCACCGTATACAGGACGCGATGGCTTCAAACTCAGGATATAATACGAAGTGAGCCTGCTTCTCGTGCGTTATCGGATTACTCCCTCCAACTCAGGACTGTGAGACTGAATATGATAGCAGATAGGTAGTCAACAGAACCAAAGCAGAGATTGACGCTAGTCATATATAGGGTTTTGCACATATGCATATTCATATCGCAGGAAACATATCTGGGCAATAGTCTCCGAGGCTGCCTTCGAGGACTACTCGTGACGGTCGGATTCAATGGCTGCCAAGCAAAGCTGCCGAAAATGCCATCCTTCGGCGTTTTCATTGCACTCATCGTTTGACAAGAGCAATACCACGACGTCACATCTGTCGCAAAGTTGTCTTACGTTTTCGAAGACCTCCTTCCTGATGCCGGCCAGCGCGGATCGTTGAAAGATTCGGCTATGCGCGTACGCGGCGCCCTGTATACAGCCTCAGCGAGTTGACTTGAAACTTGCAGTTCAAATTTGAGGCTTTTCCCCAGTCAGGAACGAGGTTTGTCTGCTACTCCCGGATTCTATGTTCATGACCACATCTTATAGTTTGCCCTACAACCCAAAGTCATGGATTCCAGAATGTCATCATCTGGAACCAACAGCATGAGCAGTCTTCCCGAGCTCCCATATTCTCTGCATACAAGAAAAGGCTCGATAGCGACACAATGGGGAATCTTATTCCTTCCGACCTGTGTTTTGACGCTCATCTTGTACTTCGCTATCAAGCATGGAACTCACGTCCACGAAGATATCGATATGTCCAGCGGCCTCACTATGCAATTGAAGGCTAGCGAGCCTAACATGCCGTGTCAAGCTCTTACAGTACCAACGGCAATTCTTGGTGTTTTCACAATCGCAACGTTTGTTCTCAGGACTTGGAAGCTATTGAAGAAGAGTTCGTCAAGTCGACCTGTTGACGCTTCACGATGGTCATGCGATTATCTCACATGGAACCTGCTTTTGGGCACAACTGTAGCGACCTCTGTGCTTGCACCTGCAACTGGTGAGGATCCTCCAAATGTTCGGCAGGCGTCAATGCCTCAAGCTGTGGTACTTTACTTTGCGAGTTCGCAGTTGCTCATCACCGGCGTTCTCTGTCATTTCGGATGGACAGCCCCCACCACCCTATCTTCTACCAAGAGGAAGCAGCCGGCTAGACCAGGTATCTTTGTGCTCATCGAAGATGTTATCGCTGTGGACGGAGGCGGTGGGACACTCTACCGCGAGGTGCTGATCCAACGATATGAAGCAAGCCCATATTTCCGCACTTTGCTGCGACAGCTCAACTGGTTCTGGGGACTGGGATCTCTTGCAGTGGCCGTCATGACAACCATTCTGATATACACTGTTGACAGTGAAGATGCAGCTTTTGGACTTGGTAAGGATTGGAATCTTCGTTCTATGTGCGCATCTCTGACATGTCTAGGATGGTCCCTCTGCTGGGTTTGGGCAGGTGTTGGTGCAGCCATCACGACCTTCTGGGTGAAGCGTGCTCTACAACATGAGAAGCAGAGATTGGCTCGCAAAACTACCGCTGCCTTCGAGGAATCATAGTCTATATGGTGCATCGCCCCCAGATTAACGAGCGCTTGAACTTTATTCTCATTTGTTGGTTGGAAGAACATGTAAGATGCTTTATTGTTAGACAGGGACGAAGAAGTTATACACAATCCCTGCAGACTGCCCCGTAACTTCCAAGTTAGCGAAATCACCCAATTGGGGTATGATACGCGCGTATGTCATCAGAAGGGCGCACCTCCCCAATTTATCTTGACTTCAAGTTCGAGCGGCTCGATTCGACAGCCATTCAAGATGGATGATTCATCCAAAGATTGTAAATAAATCAGAAACAAATCACAGACCCGGTGTTCCAGCTTGACAGCTTGTATTGTATCATGAGGTCAAGGACATACTCTATCATGAAAACGTTCGAACAGTTGGTTTCACCTTCTTGTAATTTTCCGTGGCCTGTAAACGAGACTGATTCTGCCCTAATTATAGGCGTGGTTCCCAGCTCCAGTTACTTCGGCACCGCTATTTCACAACTAGTAGCTCCCAGCAAGAACAAGAAGCATCTTCAAAGATCGACTACTCTTCCCTTGGAACTTCTCCGAGACTCCTCGCAAACTGGAAGCCAGTTCGACCCATCTCAGTAACAAAGTCCCGAGATCCTGGTTGGAAATAGGGCAGTGGCACAACTACTTCTCGGCAAATTTCAGAGAATCATGTGGAGATCGATCCTTTCGAGGAAGNNGGGAGACCTATGGTTCACAACTACAGCCTGATGATTTCGGGCATTGCTCCTCGTCCTATTGGCCTCAAATCAACGATATCAGCACAAGAGAAAGCAAATCTGGCACCCTTCAGTTATTTCCAGATCGTGGATCATGATCCACCAGTATTCATGCTCGCATTCTCAGGTCGCGAAGGCGCGTTGAAGGATACTTTACAGAATCTGCGCGATACAGGCGAGGCTGTCCTCAACACCGTCTCAGAGAACATGATTGAAGCTGTCAATGCGACCTCGATTGATGCACCACCTGATGCATCAGAAAGGCTCCTCTCTGGGTTGACAAAAGCACCCAGTACAACTCTCAAGCCCGCTCGCGTCATGGAAGCGGTATTCAGCATCGAGACAAAGCTCCTGCAACTCGTGGGCCTTGATACCAGCAAGCCTAGGGTGGGTTCGCATGGTTGCCTTGCTCTTCTTGAAGCAACTCGATTTTGGGTTCGCGATGATGCTATCAACGAGCAGAGAAAGCACATTGATCTTGAGAAGTTGAGACCAGTCGGTCAACTTGGAGGTGTCGCTTATGCTAGGATCACTGACCCTTTCGATCTACCAAGAACAAGTTGGGCAAGGGCGACGAAGGAGACGCCAGAACTGATGGATTTAAGAGATGCCGAAAGTCCCTCATTAACATCCACAACACCACAAGAATCGGATCTGGGGATCTAGCAATTCCATCTCGAACGGATAATCAGCGGATTCCAGACTGACACTGTTGAAATCTCGACAATTCTAAAATTGCACCTGTTCACTCGTCTTGGCAGCACCATTTGCAGTCGCGACCTCCGCTTCTGCTCCGCTGCTACCACTGACTCTTTGACCGTCCGCTCACACGCACTTTCACCCTTCTGCATTCCCTCTTTGTCTGTTATTACAAGGTTGTTGACTCCTTACGTCCTCCATAACGACTTGGTCTCACCGCCAGTGACATTCAATGATATGCACACGTTGGCCGTTGACCAATGGGTCTGGACAGACCGTTCGACTTTCCAGAATTCTCAACGGCCCCCCTGCTTCCCGTCTTTCGACCAACAACATCATACACAGTGATACCTCCTCCTACCTGAACGAACACTGCCGTGTGCCGTACTTCAACCCACAACTGCGCATTATTCAAGCGTTGCTCTGGCTGGATGCTACTGTCTGATCTGCACCAGAGTTCCTTCTCCTGATGGTGCACTAATTTGAAGCATATTAATAATGCGCAAGTGCTTCGGAGAGGCATCCCAAGTACTCCACACTCTGGAACTCGTTTCGTCACTCTGCCGAACCGTGTGCACGTTGACCTCCCCATGCTAATTTATAGCCCCTTCGTTTTGACCGTTCGACTTCCAATAGATTGGGTGGAAGGGTTCCTGACTGAAACAACGCTGGTCTGCGAGCTATCACTATGAACAACATGGTTGCTATAAGAGTCTTTCCTCTCATTCGTTGTCTTTTGTGCAGCTCAATATCTTTTTTAATTGTGTTCTATCCTCCGTTAGCCATCGCCCTTCTTGATAAATCCTTGTTTTCTGACAATCACCCAACATGCACGCTGCAACTCTCTTTCTTCCAGCCCTTGCCATTCTGGCACATGCTTCTTCTCAGCCCAAGAGCAATGAGGCTGCTAGTCATCCTGTCGCCGCATCCATGTATGTCTTTTCCGTCTCATGCCAGAACCGTATACTGAGTCGATATAGGGTTGGCCACAACAGCACCATGCCGGTATCATCTACCTCCAGCTCTTCTCTGGCCGCCTCGATGACTGCCTCTTCTGCCAGCTCTTCTGGAATTGCAAAGAGCTTAGCCAAGTCGGCCCCTGCTGAGCACACAACGACCCACAGCCCTGTGAACACTCACATGCCTTCATCCGTCGCTTCCAAGGTCTCCTCCAAGAAGGCATCTGTCTCATCGAAGCACTCTTCCATCAAAGCCTCTGTCTCGTCGAAACACTCCTCCGTCAAGACTTCCGTTTCGTCGAAGCATTCTTCTGTCAAGGCCTCCGTCTCAAGCAAGCACTCTTCTGTCAAGATCTCGGTCTCGTCGAAGCACTCCTCTATCAAGGCTTCGGTCTTGTCGAAGCACTCTTCCATGAAAGCCTCCACATCCGCCAAGAAGCCCGCTTCAACACTGAAGACCACTACAAAGCCCAAGTCTAGCTCCAAGAGGCCTACTCCTCAACCTCAGTCGACGAAGAAGACTGGCAAGTCGGAGAAGCCTGTGTCAACTGGCAAAGCTGCTGCTACGTCTGAGAGCGAGAAGGCAGCGAACACTAAGCATGCTACATCCACTCGCCACCCTTGAATTGTTGGTGGTTGGTTATATGCATGCTGTGGCGATAGAGTTGATATATGGATATATATGATGAGTTTCAGGGAGTTGGTATATGGATACACAACGAGCTACAGGGAGCTGGTATATAGATACACATAATGAGTTACGAGAGTTCTTCTTGATTCGTACTTCGATATATCAGTTGGCCGACTCCCAGCCAAAGTAAACGTAAACCTTAGCTCTACTTCTTTATAAGCATCCTCAAGGCACTCAAGAGTCCATCCCTAGTCTCGAAATTTTCTTGCCTCGGGACATGATGGCCTCCAGATTGATACAGAACCTGCGATTCGAGGCCAGCATCAATCAAACTCTGGCTCATCGCCGGCTTGATGAAATTGTCCTGTTCACCAAGAAGGTGCAGTGTTGGCGTAACAATCTTGGGATGATAGAATGCCTGATACAGTGCGAATGTAGGGACGGGCTTTCTGGGGAGAAAACGGATTGTGCTTGTGTCGCAGCGAACCCGGACCATCGCAGGAATAGGGTGAAATCACGTGAGAGAAAGAGACACGTGTCAGTAATAGTTGGCAAGTATCTTCACCAGGGTTGTGAGTTGGAATCGAGATCATGAACAGTGAATACGGTAACTCATGCGGCATCTAAGAACTTTTGCAATGCGGCGACCAAGTCGCAATGAAAGATTTTCGTATTCAGAACAATATTCGTCAATGCATCGAGATCAGAACCGGTCTTACCAAGATTCTTCCAATCCAAGCATTCGAGTACACTGCTTCTCAAATCTAGACCATGCCGGGCGCGGGCAAGGGGTTTGAGCTTGCTGGGGCCTTCGCCGGTGAGTTCAGACAGAACGGCACACTCTTCGAGTTGAATCTATCGTAGGTGTTGGTGTCTGGTGAGCACTGATCAACGCCATTTTCCATCCTATTCAATGTGCAAGGACTTGGCTTGGGGTATCCAGGGAATGTGGTGTCTGCTTCAGCTGCAGGAGCACCACTGGGAACAGGGCATCCATAGTGTCCGAAGATTGAAGTGACGGTGTTCAGAGCACCAACGGCAGTTGACAGGATGTTGCTGAACTCGTTGACGAAGTTGGCATAAAGTGTCTCTTCGAGTGCGCAGATGGTGCCGTTGACAGTGGTTCCACCATAGTTGCCATTACCACCAAAGGATGAAAGACTCTCCTGACCATTGAAGTCGCCAGGCGTTCCAGTGTTTGCACCGAAAAGCAATGGCTGTCCAAGAATCTCCGCGATTCCAGTATAGAAGGTGATAATACCATCGACACCTTCAGACAAGAACATGGGGAAACCTCTTCTGTACCATCCTTGAGGAGGGATCTGCTCGGGCTGGTATGAAACAGTGCCGTTAGCATTAAAGTAAGCACCGTCGAAAGAGGCAATAGATGCTTCGTTGGCTACACCACCAAATCCGATGGTGCCGTTGGAGAAGAAGCCGGCGTGGAAGTATGTCGCGCCGATAGTCAGTGCAGCGGAAGGCGGGAAGAAGTAGAAGTTTGGGTTCTTGCTGCGGGAGTTGTTGTACTGAGCAGCCGAGTGGGCCACCAAGGCTTTCACATTGTACTGACCGCCACCGACAGTCTTGGCCTTGTCTTGCATATCGAGGAAGATACTGCCATTCAGGTTGTGGTTGTCGCCGTTGCAAAGGTAGAAGTCACAGCGTGTTCCCGATGCATCACCTTCCTTGAACCGTAGATGACCAGAAAGTCCAGTCTCAGAACCTAGAGCACCACCTAGACTGCCAAGCGAATTGGTGCGAGAGTCTGCACCNCCGATAGAGTATCTCATTGTTGGAACGTCACCAGCAAAGAGTACTGAACCACCTGCAAGGAAAGTTGCTAGATCANNCTGTAAAGATTCAGCGAATTGTGATGCCTGTCATATCTGCGACTAAACTCACGCTCCCATGTTGAAGACTCGCGCTGCTGCGACGACAGTCTGAGCCACAGTAGTGATACCATTGCGATTGATGTATCCGTGGTTTGCAAGAGTGTTCATTCCTGGACATGGTCCTCTTTGGTCAGATGACCTGGGATCCTGGTAAGGATATGCTGCTTCAGGNAACTTCTTCAGACCAGTGATGTTCGAAGGCAAGAAGTCAGGAAGGGTGTGAGGCAAGCAGTTTGTTGTGGTCCGCTTCTCCAGGGTCGAGGCGGAATCATCTTCACTTTCTTCGGTGTAGCTGGCCATGGCTGCAAAGAATTCATCTCGCTCCTGCAACTGATCCTTGTAAAGTGATTGGAGTAGGGTGACCAGCTCGGGATCCCTCTTCACGACTTCAAGACCGCGCTTGGCATTGTCTGAAAAGTCGGCATGGAGCCAGGGGAAAGACAGAGTCCCTTGGGCGAGACTTAAGAGGAGAACGATAGACGGCTTCATGCTGAATGGGATATCAAGCGTGACGATAAAGTTCTGGACGCGGATGGTCTAAGTCTTATGTCTTATGGCAGGGGTGATTGGCACACCCCAAGCGAGGGCTGTCATTATCCAACATCCTGAGCAGCGGTGACAATATTCTGTCATAACTGGTCATCTGAACGTAACTTGGCGCCAACGTAGACCTATAACAAAATGGTAATAAGTCCATCGGGAATGTTTCTTCGATTGTGGCTGAACGGAACTTTTTTTGACGTCGTACCAGGCTCGCTTGACGCATCTCTGACCCATTAACCGGGACGGACCAGACCGCTGCAGCATTAACGCAGACAAAAGGAGTAACAGAAAAGTAAAACAGGCATGTGACGACATACTTCTTTTGCAAAAACTCGCCGCCGCCCTGGATTTCTGCCGTGCCTGCATGAAGCCATGACCACTCTTGGTTCCGAGAGGCGGACCACACGGCTCGACGTGCCATGACATCCCTTTGCATGAAGAATTGGCCGGACTTGGTCATCTTAGTCGACTACATGCCGCAAGAGAAACTTGACTTGTGACATGCAATTGCATGTGGCTGATGCTAATTATGATACCGTTCCAGCAAGATCGGGAACGCTCGTCAAATGCGGAGCGTCCAACCATGTGTCAACCAAGATATCATCAATTGCGCCAAGATTGATGAAGTTATTTGGCCATAGGGATGTGTTGTTGCTCAATGGGTTTGCAAGTGATCGTTCTTCAGGCATGAGGTCGGGGTGCGTGACTTTCGTCGCAAATTCAGATGTATCGACAAACTCCTCCGCAGATCGAGATCTCACACCCCCAGAAGTTCGGCCCAAGCAGTCATGCATCGATACTGAGTACGCTTCGTTGTCATGCATAGCGGCGTCTCGTAGGGTGGTGAAGATGCGACAAAATCCAGCAGGCAGTCCAATTTGCTGGTACCCTTTCTCGATAGCGTACGTGGCTGATTGTAGCAATTCCAGATCTTGATGTTCGGTTGAGGCACTCGGGTGCTTGAGCGTGTATATTGTAAGGACATAAACAGCCAGTGATGGCTGATTGAGTGTCACCAATGGTGAATAGTTGCCACGTTTGAGGAAACACAGATAGCTCTTGAGGATGACTCTAGCTGAATTGGCGCAGATACACTCACTTCTTCGTATACTAAGTGCGTGACGAGAGTTCTCTCCAGAGATGTCACTGATGGCGCTATCCAGGGTAGTATCCTGAGTAAGCGCTGAGCGATGCAAGGCGATCAGTGCATGATGAAATTGGAAGCACAAGAAAGTTCGGAAGCTTGAAAGATCAGAAGGACAACTCACTGAACGTCGACATGGCTTCAAGGGCTCGGACAAAATGTCTGACCACTCAGCCAGTGCTTGATCTAGGTGGTTTTGCATCTCTAGTATCGTATCAAAGTTCGACGTGTCTCTCCACGCATTCTGGTCATAGAAGCTTTCGGAGATTTGGCTCTGAATCTTCGTAAGACTCACAAAGGATTTCCAAGCGTTTAGGTGGTGCATTGCAGCCATGTCGGCAGGAACATCTTGGTCGAAACTACAATCGTGGGTGCTTGATGGACGGCCATCCTCGAGAGCTATCGTTTTCTCCAAAGCGTATGCAGTCCACCATATCCCTCTATCTTTNTGTTGATGTGCTACAGAAAGATGGTCGTTACGGTACGATGGCGTTCTGTGCAAGCCCATGGAGTTGAGAATACTGATGGCTTGTCTGACGGCGAGAAAAGCTGCACCATTCTTCTCTCTTCCTCGATGCTCAATAGCGATCAGCAACAGAGCTTGTGCAGACTCCAGATACGGCATACTCGTCAAGTAACCAGTGAGCGAACAAGCTGCTTCGATGTATGCCTGTGCAATTCTTGGCCGTCCTTTTGAGCGAGCGCCTAGTGCGATACAAGCATACACGCATGCCATTGCTGGTCTGTCGCTGACTGGGTTCTGTTCCAGGATACCGAACCTGCTCAGATAAGTTGCTGCTCTGATAGTGTTCTCCCTTCGTATCACAGGAAATAGTGGTGCAACCTCCTGGAAATAAGCATCTATATAGTCTGCCCATTCGGGACACAGAGCCGGCATACTGAGAGAGGGTGGTACGTCCATCTCCTCACTATGGCGCGACCCATGGCGAAAATGCTCGGACAAATCCTTGTCCAGAATGTAAGAGTCGACGTGAAACCATTGAGCGAAAGCCTGTAGACTGCTTGGGCCCTTGTACTTCCGCTGTGAGATACTGGCAGAGGAATAGATGGTGAAAGCCTGCTGGCTCTCTCTAATCTTCGTTGTGCATATTCCAGCATGACCAGAATCAATTGTTTCCAGGGTTTGGTGAAGTCCTTGGTCGTTCAGGTTGCAGATGCCTGAATCAACAGTATTCGGGGTACAAGTCTCAGAACCCACCAATTCGGTATCTGGTAGAAAATTGAGATCAGGCATCAAGTCGCCTTCGCAAAGTCCGTCCGACGCATGGTCTTCAGCACAGTCGATGAGACCAGGAGGAGGAGTAGCAGACTGCAAACTGGACATGTCTCCAAGTATCGAGTTCTCATCCAGCAAATGCGTAAGCGCTACTGAAGGTTGACAGTCGCATTCCAAGTTGCTTGCTGCAGACTCATGTTCACGTCTTGACTTTTTCACGCAGCACCCATCGCCTGTCTGTTGTTAGTATCATTGACGAATCGAGCATCATCAAACCATGCGTCACCCACAGTCATTGTCGCGTCGCTTGCGTTTGCGATTTGCTTCGCTGAGGCCAGGAAACATGCTGTCATGTGTGAGTGTCACCGCGACCTTCCAGCGCCGGATGACGGGCAGCCATGAAGTCTTGCTGGTTACGAGCCTCCACGAGAATTTGGTCCATACACATCGGCATATTACGACGAAGACGCCTCGTGATCAGGGGCCGGCAGCAGTGTATGGAAGCTTCGAGACTCAAACGCTTGCCAGACGCGCTGGATGAAGGCGAGCGTTCGGCAAAACTGACAGAAAGAGGAAAGAGGGGCAGACTCGGCTCCGAAAGGCACAAGCGCTGGTGGCTGGGGACGACCGAGATGAGGTGCGGGGCAGGAAGCAAAAGCCACCGAACCGACCGAACCGAGCTCCTTCTCCCTCCTCATGTTCCTTCCTCCACACCATCCCGCAACATGCGACGAAACAAGACACAGGTCATGCGACAATGACGGCCTCGTTATTGGTCACAATGTACCAACGTCGATATAAGACTAGACGCCCGAGGTCGACCAAGCTCCACTCAGCACACATAACATAACCTAGACCCCACAGATATCAACCCCTCATGTCTTGCACTTCCATCTCGTTCAGACTCATTGTCCAAGACTATCACAAATGGCGATCAGGTCAGAAGTAGAACACTGGGATGTTGTGATTGTTGGTGCCGGCATCGCTGGCCTTGCTGCTGTATGAAAGCGTCATTCGCCCACTGCAAAGACCACCGACTGACAGAAGCCCAGGNCAATCGCTCTTCGCAAAGATGGCCGTAGTATCCTGGTCCTCGAGAAGTCAAGCATGAACAAAGAGGTCGGCGCATTGATCTCTCTACAACCCAACGCCTCCAAGATTGTCAATGGATGGAATATGCAACCATTCCTCGCCGAGAAAAAGCCAATGGTCGACGAAGCCTTCCGTCTCCTCAATGTTGAAGGAAAACTGCAAGTTGAAATGAAACTCAACACATCACAATTCGGCGCCGACCGAATGCTATACCATCGTCAAGATTTGCACGATGCTCTGCGACAAGCTGCTACCTCGGAAGAAATGCCTGGATCCCCGGCGGTCATTCGTACTTCTTTTGGTGTTACTGGCTGTGATTGCGAATCTGGAACTGTCTATCTCGCCAATGGAAGCTCGGTCCAAGGCTCTGTCATTGTCGGAGCAGACGGCATCCGCAGTGCGATCAGGGACGAAGTCATCAAAGGCTCCGTAGACGAAGGATCAAAGGCTGTTCCCACCGGTCTTTCTGCCTATCGCATCCTCATCGAAACAGATAAACTGCCAAAGCTCGATGTTTTGGAAGACGTCTTTGACCTCAAGCGCTCAGCAACAACCATGATAGTCGGTCATGATAAGCGAGTCATTATGGGTCCTGGCAGAGGAGGTGAGATGTTCGGTTTGGTCTGCCTTGTTCCCGACCCGGATCCAGCTGGAGAAGGCACTTCGTGGAATAATCCTGCTCCCTTGGAAGAGGTTCTTGACGCGTTCAAAGCCTTCCCTGCTTGGGTCCGCGAGATCATGTCTCATGCTCCTGATGTAGCACTCTGGCAACTTCGAGACATTGATCCTCTCACAACATGGACAAAAGGACGCGCCATCCTCATCGGTGATGCAGCTCACGCAATGCTTCCCACACAAGGTCAAGGCGCGAGTCAGAGTATTGAAGACGCAGAAGCATTGCAAGCCTTCTTGTCCGATGTTGACTTTAAGTCATCCGGCGGAGAAGTACATGCACAGCTCCAAGCCATTGTGAGTGCGAGGTACGAGCGTGCGTCCNTGATCCAGGCATACAGCAGATTGCAAGCAAAACCAGCTGCATCGAAAGATAACAAGACAGTTCAATTGAACCCACAGGAGTTCATGGAGTACAACTGCAACTACTCGGGCGCAAAGGATTGGGTCAAGAGGCAGCGAGAAGCTGAGGAAATGGCGTACAAGCAGACAGCAGCTAGGGCATGAGTTTTAAATGGAGAATATTCTTTCATCCACAGAATGGATTCAGCATTGGGATTTCAATTCTTGCAAATCATATCTACCAGTGATCGATTACATGCTTTCATACATCATTCGTAGCCATTCACTCCTCCCTTGAATCTCGCGAAAACACCGAGGTCGAACTTGTTTGCAAGAACCTGGTAGCCAAGCTCATTCGGATGCAAGAAGTCACCACTGTCATACATCGGGTTCAACTGGTTCGGCATGTCCGGATCTGCCAACCAAGCATTGAAGTCAAATACCGCGTCAAAAGTTCCAGAGTTGCGAATGAAGTCGTTGACGCGATTGACTGTCGCTACACGTTGTGGCTGGGTGTAGGTTCCTGCAGTGGCATTGGCCGCGCCGACTNNGCAAAAGGTTAGCCGATGTTTGAACTTTGTGGAATAGATTGAGAGACAGAAAAACATACTTGGTGTGATTGTTGCTCCAAAGACGGGGATGCCGAAAGTGTGCATACGCGTAACCATTTGCTTGTATGCCTGGATAAGACGCTGCTATTTGTGAGCTCGTTGACTTCGACATCAGCAGTATTCAGCACTTACTTGGTATACCATCTCTTGACTAGCTTCATCCAGACCAGCAGTACCGATATCGTTGACGCCTTCAAAGATCATGGCGTACTTTGCACCAGGCTGAGCAATTACGTCTCTTTCGACTCTTCCCATGGCATTGGGTCCATTGCCGTCGGTCAAGACACGGTTGCCACCAGCGGCTTGATTGCCGATAGCGATGTTGTTTGTTGCAGGGTTCTTCTGCATACGTGCAAGGAGATTATCAGTCCACTTGTTGTTGCCGTTGTTCCAAGATCCACGTCCATCAGTGATAGAGTCGCCGATGATGTAGAACGCACTGCTCTGCGGCGGACTCCACGCCTCGAGACCGGAGATAAAGAACCAATGTTGCTGTGACACGACATTGTCGCCAGTGATGTTGTAGTTGTTGATCTGATTACCCATGCCATAGTATGAGTTGGTGCGGGATCCAGGATGAGAGGTTATGATGCTTGAATTTTGTCCATCCTTCAGGTAAATTGAAATGCTGAGCTCGGACTGTGCGGCGATGGGGAAGTCGATGGGATCGGAGACTGCGATAGAGCCATCGGGGATGATGATTGAGCTGTTGCCGCTGAAGGTGATTTGTCTGATTGTATTGGTGTCTATGATGCGAGAACCAGTGCCGGTAGGGTATGGCGCACCAAGAACAGTGCCGTTGAGCGTGGTCTGGACGGCATTGGGATCTTGGAGCGGAAGTNNCTTCCTTCGTCAGTCGAGACTCAAAGTAGATTGAATTGGGACCGGAACTCACGCAACGCTGACAGCAGTGATAGGCAAGTTCACCACACCATTCTGGTTGCTGATTGTCAACCTAATTTGTTGTCCGCCAATCGAAGTGTGGATAGTTTGACGAATTGTACTGTCAGGGAAGACAAGGTTCGACTGATTGTAGTAGCCAGGACCGGGTAGGTTCGTGTACTCTGCTACCTGTTGCATTGACACCCAGGTGTTGACCCAATGGTAGTTCTCTGTGCCTGGTTTGGGGCCTGGAGGACCTGGAGGACCTGGAGGGCCTGGCGGAGGTCCTGCTGGCGGACCTGTAGGGACACAGGACGCAAGACCAGTGTATGCTGCAAGCAGCGAGATGAGCGATCGGCTAAACATTTTGAGATTGGTGCTGATGTCCAGCTTCCTGATGCAAGAGATCCCCCATCTTTATATGCATGGCGATCTTGCAAATAGCCTGAGAGATCTGACCTTCGAGTCGGCACAGGCGAGCGGAGAAGAAGATTTAGCATCTCGTATTAATGCCATGGTCAGATGCATGTAATCGGTCAGTGCGTATGTCAATCTGAGGCAGAGTTGACATTCCCGACGGAAAGGCAAGCTTCTCAAGGCTCCGTTTGGCGCGATTATTATCGTAATTGGATCGAGGAGAGGATGCGGGTGTCTGGGGGAGCTTGCCTGGTTAAAGTGGGTGACAAGCGGGGTCCGGGCCGGCAAACCATGGCTAAATGCATCTCAGTCTGACCTCAGAAACATATTTCGAAAGACGCAGCACTTCGTCCCAGCTCGATGCAGTATCAGAACTTCAGTCACAACCCCTGTGTGGTGGGGAGGTCTGTTCTGCTCTCTTGTCTGCAATTGTATGACATACGCTACTAATTTCTGGGTGCTGTGATTCCTTTCGACCGTCGCAAGCATGAAAGTCTTTTCCTGTGAAGCTTGATCGCGTCGGCTCTTTATGTCGGTGACATAACCAAATGAGGACCTGCCGCCTTTCATTCTCGAAGCTCCGCAAATTTTTTTTCCTGTTGCGTAAACAAGCTCCGAGTCCAGCATATGCTGCTTGGCACACTGCTTGTAAATCTTTGGTATGAGCTTGAACTGTAGACCAGTGATTGTTGCATGTCCGCTCAGTGACATGACGGATCGATCAATGTTCGGTCGCTTCGCGATACCGTACATGCACACATGATCATTACGTATCATGGCCGGTGAAAATGTTTGTGGGAGAGATGTTCGCTGGAAAATGTGGATCATGCGATGACGTAGAGGCCGGTATGTTGATCAATGGTCAGGGTGGTAGGCCCAACGTAGATGCTGGACAGTCTCGCGCGCATTATACCACTCAAGGGTACTTCAGCATTGAAGTTATTGCATTGTTTGATCTTCAAGCACTCATACAAGCTTTCTGTATGAGATTCTGCGCGTAAAACAAGCATTTGGTGCTGTGATTTTGAGTTGGTGTAAATAAAGTCGAGAAATCTGGAAGCAGAGCGACTGCCACATGTTTTCACGTTGAGATCAGTCTGGACTCTTTCACCATGCATATCTTTCTCAGAGATACTAGACTCATAAAGAGTGAGGCTTACAAAACGATTCTTGTTCAATATGACACCGAATTGATGCAATGGTGACAAAAATTGCAATGTTGAGTACTATCTCATTACTCATGGCCTGACGTCCTTCGCGACTCTACGCGTTTGCTTCAAGCGGAGTACAAATCAATCGCGCTCTGTAACGCGTCGTCAATCTCAGCAACAGCAGCATCTCCGTTCTCCTTGTCTGCAGTGATCTTCGAGATCAGAGCCGCCGAAAAAGTATCATGATCGTTCTTCAACAACTTCAAGCCAGCAAGAATGACATCCTTCTGGCTCTCGAACACGTCATACTTGGATTCCAGAACATCTACTGAAGCTGGAATATCCACACCGACGCTGGAAGCAGTGTATTGGACGATAGCAGTCGAGTCATCGGCGTCGAAAGGCGTGGCTCGAAGGTTTGCGTCAACGTAGCCCTTGCGATTGGCGACGTGAATGGCAGCAATGTCTGCACCGATGGGTAGTTCAGCGATCAAGCCGCCGTTGTAAGCCGTGAGGGATGCGGTCAGAGCATTGACACCTTCATCGATGCCTTTGATGTCGGAGATAATTGTCTCGGCGTTGATAAGATCGCGAGATTGGAGGGGCGCTGCAGAGGCAGTCCATGCCAGAACAGAGGCGATGAGGAGTTCGAGACGCATATCATATAAAGGAAATGAGACTGTTGGGATTGCTTGACCTAAAGGTGTGATATGAGAGACGACTAGGAACACTCAGCTATATGTTATATATGCTTCAAGACCTGAGGCCCTTCAGTGAAAACGCCGAGGTGAATCGTTGCTTGTTCTTGTCGAAGGATGATCTGCAAGGATCGCCATTACTTCGACGTCGTTCTCGCACGTATTTTCGAATTATACCGAGGCATACACTTTGCGCTCTGCCTTTGAATGGTACAAGGACAGAAATCAGACCTTGAGTGGGAGACTTTCGCACGTATCGTCTGCAATACGAGCAAGGCACAAGTCTCGTGGCTGTCTGTCGCAGAATCACACGCGACCCAAGCTGAACTGATCGCCATACCAGCTGTGGGGTTGTCGATCGTCTGCAAATCAGAGTCGTCTCGGCCGAGTGCAGAGCATGATCGTAGCAGCTCCTCGGTTGGGGTATGGCCATGCTCTGTGGAAGATCGTGAGGGACTCAATTAGAGGCATAAAGGTCCTGACCGCGCAAGGCGATTTTGCTTGCTTTTTCACGAACATTCACCAAAGCACAGTATCCAAATGCATATTCTTCCTACCATCAGCGCTTTGCTGCTCTCTGTTTCGACCGTCATTTCAGCTTCAGTCGACGACGTGTACAACGACATCACCTCTCTCGACCAAGATGTCCAGACCCTGACCGACATGGTCCGCGACTTCCAAGGCGGGCTCATCGCTCAAGGACCACTTCTCCTTCGATTGACCAAAGTACACATCGCAACACGCAAGGGCGGATACGACGCGTCGACTCTACCGACCACGCCTCTCTCCGAGAACGACGCCTTGCGACTCATTGAGCATGTCAACACGACTCTTGCAGTTGACAACCCAATCGCTGTCAACGTTCTCAAATCGAAGAAGCCTCTGTTTGATGCGAGCGGGACAGACCCATTCATCAAGGCTGGATTGCAAATCTTGCTGGACGATCACTTGTACTTCAGCAACCAAGTTTTGGAGAGGGCTCCTCAGGATCTGATTGCAGAAGCCAATCAGGTCGTAGACATTATCAGCAATGCACTGCAGGGAGGTATCGCGGCTTTCTCGTAGACGGTTCAGTCTCAGAACGAAAACTGTTTCATGCCCTTGATGTGTCAATTGTCCTTCAACACTCCACCTCTTCTCTTGTGTTTCAAAGCATTTGATATATCCTCATGAAAGCTTCCCATGTTTATCAAATATGCTCAGCAAGCTCTTGTAGTCCATCATCTGGTTTGTGCCGTTCGCGCAGGTAGCGTCCGAGGTTGATGTCGCGTCAGGGCACAAGTGCGAGACTCAGGAGAATGTCAAGAACAGTATGACCAATGATGATCGGCGCGCGAGAGTAATCGATAGGTGTAAGAGGACGAGGCAGGTCGTGGAAATACGGAGGAGGTCAAGGCTATGGCGGTCGGCAGAGTGAACGAGCGCTCTACTTGACTGTCGAAACAGTGGTCGCTGTCATCAATCAATGTCTACAAGTGGTACAGTGCAGTTTTTCAAAGCAATGTAACCATATTATTTGACGAAGTTTGATAGTATGTATGACGGTGGAGCGTCGCGACAGCTCCTCAGGTATCTTCGCTAAGTTCGAAGACCTTGAACAAGAGTGAGAGGAGGACTTTGCTTGGCATTGTGGAGAGTGTCCGAGGTCTCCATGTCCCGCCCGAGGGGTTCATCATCTCTGGGGCTCTCTTGTCCGCATACCGCCTACTGCTTACCGACTTGTTCTATCGACTGCTGTATACTCACGCGGAACTCTGGATCCCAGTGACAGCGCCCAGCTGATTGTGTTGCGCCTGTGCTGCAATCCTGTTGTGACTTGAGGCCTGCGAAATGCGATGCGACGGGCGTCACCGAAGGACGCCTCCCAAACACCTGTATTGGACATAACAAAGCAGAAAGAACTCGGACGCGAGTTGTATCGAGGTTTGATCTTGAATTGTAGCGAATATGAACCCGCCTCCAACCAAGAAAGCGCGTCTGACAACAGCGTGCAATGAATGCCGTCGACGGAAGGTCAAATGCGACGCCAATTATCCAAAGTGTTCGAATTGTTGCACCAGGAACTCGGAATGCTTTACCAGTGATCCCAAAAGACCAGAGATTCCGGTCGTGAGAGAGTGGATTGAAGTCCCAGAGAAGCCGGTCCAGAACCAGCCGCCAATTACAGTCCAAGGTCAACAACGGTCGACAATACCTTCGGAGCAAGATGGGTCTAGTCACAACAACCTCTCAGCCATTCACCTTCCACCAGCCATGACACGCCAGACTCAGCCCTCTCCTCCATTACAGAACAACCATACGCCGTCCGTCAATGGTAATTTGGGCACTCCTGCAGTGGCAGAAACGACCGATGTCTCACCAATCCAACAACCATATGATATGTCATTCAACCTTGACTTTGTCAACAACAGATTCAAAATGCTAGGTGCCAGCAGCGCTCAATGTCTTACCAAATCACTGGACATCTATCTTAAATCCTACAATGTGGAACCAGTCTCTGCATTATTTCGACACGGTATGCAACATGCTGAAGAAATGGACTTACCTTTGTCATTGGAGCTCATCCCATTTCCGGAATACAGCACGAGACAAACATTCATGGATGCCTACTTTACTCGGATACATGTCTACTACCCTATCACAGATATTGATGATACTAGAGCCATGATTCATCGCATTGCGCCGCTACCGGATCTCAAGTCTGTGTCTTACACCAAGGTTCCATTTCTGGCAATCGCATATCTTTTGATGAGTCTGGGTGCTGATGAAGTCCATGGTGGTCCATCAGATATTGGCACAAAATACCTCAAGGTCGGTGCAGTACTTGCTGGTCATGCCGTCAATTATCCCTACTTGACAACAGTGCAATCACTTCTTTTGCTTGCTGTATGTTACCGAGGCCGCAACAAGGACGGTTTGGGTTGGACCGCTACAGGATCGGCAGTCAGAGTTGCCCAATCCATGGGTTTGCATCGCCATTCCACTGTACGACCATCAGAACAGCATGGTATACAGCGACGCGATCAACAACTTTACCATGCGCGCATCTGGGCTGTATGTAGCTGTCTGGAGAAAACTGCCCAACTTGAGTGTGGCAGACCATCCGCCATCAACGTGGTCAACACTGATCAGATGATGGCAGCAGACCAGCGAGCACCCGGACACGACTGGCTCGCATGGAACATGGCTCTCGCAGAGGTCCAGCATGACATATCCACTCATCTTTATGGACACCAGCCTGGTGAGAGAACGGCCAAACAGATTCTGCTTGATACTGCCAGACTTGACAAGAAGCTTCTGCTGTGGCCTAATCTAGTGCCTGCCGAGCTGAGACCTGGCAATGATATTCTCTGTGGAGACGATCAGTTCCATTTTGCTACAAGTCTCTCTTTCCAGTACCACCAAGCTGTCATTGCGGTCCATCGAGCCGCACTGATTCAACCTCTGGCAGCTTTACAGCGAGAGATTGACAAAGTTCTGCCAGACAACGATGCTCGATACCGACTCAGAGGTGGTGAGGCGATTTGTGTCAGCAGTGCCAGAGCAATTGCCAGGATTACGATAGAATTACTGGAAAGGAAGATCGATTCACGCATACTTAGCGCTGGTCCTGCTTTGCTGGCTTGCGTGGTGCTTGCTACGTACATCGTAAAGAATCCAGGAGGCAGGATGCAACTCTCGGACTTGGAGGTATGGGTCACTGCTTGAGTGCTCGAGCTTCTGACGCTGACATTCATTAACAGCNTACTCAAGGCCGTTGCCGAATGGACTTCTAGTCAATTCCGCAAGACTGGCATGGACGAACTGTTCTCANGAAGGTGAGTCCGCCCTGGGCCCTCAGCAGTCTTCTCGAGGTGCCCTTGCTAGGCCTGCGTTCTCGAAGTCTTGGTCAATACTGATGAACTCGCAGGCGCAAATGGCATCTGCAGAAGAGTTGCGGAATGCCTATCACGACGGAACTCGGCACACAACAACAGGTCGCTTCACAGCCTACCAACAAATGATCTACATATCAATGCGACAAAATCGAGCAGCACAACAAGTTTCAGCAGTCATGCTAACAGTATCAACCATAACAACATCAACCAGATCAACAACAATCTGCAACCCTCACCAATCAACCATCATACCTCAAGCAGCAGCGGACAGAGCAACCTAGCAGGACTATCTGGACCTTCAAACTCATCCCCTGCATCTAATGTCTTGAATCGAGAACATTCCACAATGCAAATCGCTAACATCTTGCTTGACAACGCAAGTCACACCACTGCACTAGGCAGCATCGACGACATACCAGACATGAACCACTTGCCATTCGAAGGCTACAACCTTGAAGAGTTGTGGGATTGGATGGATTCAGGTGGCGACATTGGGGGATTTGAGAACATTGATTGGACAAATGGTACTGGATTTGAAGATCATTGAACAAGTGCCATATCTCTAGTATCCACTGACGCTATGTATGTATGAAAAAACTATGTATATCTACCAAACTTTTCAGACCTTGACATCCATGAAAGGCAGGATGATCTTGCTAGGGTAATGTGGACCCGAGTCAATGATGTGCTCACCTCTGTTCAACTCATGCTCAGATCTAGGTCCCGAAAAACTGGTAAACTCTTTTCCTGACCACCGGTTCTGACCGAAATGCTTTCGCCAGCATCGTAATGCACACGCATAGTCCAGATACCGGAGACCGAGCAGGTTTGTTGGCTTGTCGGAAGTGTAGATGGGTTCTGAATAGCCAAAATATTTCTCAGGGTCGCAGGAGAACTTTCGGAGGGTCGTTGGCGGCGAGTCAACAAGCTTCTTGCCCCGGCCAAGGTAAATTTCCTTGTAGTCTGTGTTTGCAGCAGGTTAGTCTTCGATGAACACGTTTCCGAAGGCTTTGCGGTCGCCAAACTGCAGCAGCGACCAGTTGAGTATTAAGAGTCTGTTCCCAATAGTTTTGCTTGCCCTTCAAAAAGCGATCGAAGTACTTTTGCAATTCGTGGTTCGACTCAGGTTGACCGTACAGCTCTTACCATTTTTGAGTGCTAATGGTCTTTGCGATCAGGTCGAAGTTGCTCATCAAAACCCAGCCTCCTCTGCAGAATCGCTCGCGGCAGGCGTCGTCCATGCCATCCCAGGGGACGATAGCCTCTAGCAAAAGGGCTTGTAGTGAAGCGATATGCCATTGTGAGATTGCAAGAGCCGAATCTTCGGCCATCCCGATGCTGCCGTTACAACTACGAGTCTAAAGCTTTCGCATTTCCTGTCCTTGAACCAGCTTTGTGGACTTCACTCTTGCCCTTGATGAACCCCAGATAACCATCTTGGCCCACCACAGGCTCGCCAATGCGCTTGAAAGCGACTTGAACGGGTGCTGGCATCTTTTCGAGCTTGAATGCGCTGTCGCGTGGGGACCGTAAGGAGAGAGTGTAAAGAGCTTGCGATCGCGGGAAGAAGCTGTTCAGAACAACAATACGGCACCACCTTGATGCGGTGCGACTACCATCTTATCTTCCTGCACTGTCGGAGCAAATGGATGGTCTGAGTAAGCGATCTTTGCAGGCGACGACCCACTCGTGGTGGACTGTCCGGACGATGGCCAGGAAGAATCTGTGATCGTTGCCAAAGGAAGGTGAGAGAGCAGAGGGATCAGCGACAGTGAGGGGATGTCGAGACAATTGCTCGGCCGAGTGCCTCTTCTGACCCCTAAATCTCGTCGGAGTCCTCGGTCATCTTGTGACCCCACATTTCGGCCACTTCGGCCGCTATGTACGTATAAGCCCTAACGGCCATATCTTGGACCCACCTGATCCTCGTACTCGTGCTTTAGGCTGTGGGTTGCTCGGCCGTTACGCAACCTGCTGTCAGTCGACCGAAACGAAGTCATGCATGAGGTTCGGTCAATTTCCTGCGCCACTTGATCCAAGGGATATATACGTCTTGCGGCTCCCCCATAGATACCAGACATCAGCACGAAATGAATCTACTTTCATCTTTGCTTTGCTATGTCACGTAGCAGCCTACCAGAGACTAGACTCCATGGGTGGGTCTAGACCGTGGTTACATGCGATCGAACCAAGTATACCTAAGGTCGAGGAGACTGGACTAGAACAAAGTCTGTGCTTCCGTCAACAAAGACTAGAGAAACTCGTTTGTGATATCATTGCGAACGTGAAAATGATTGCCCGCCGGACATCAGCATGGATATATGTTGATTAGCTCGGACGGAACAAAAAGGTATGGGATCTCTGATCAGCTTGCGCCACTGACTTTTCGCTGACTTGAGTAGACTGTAGAACACATGTCCTATATCAAGTGTCAGATCCAGCCTGGCTATGACGCTTGACACTTTGGAGGACAAAGAGATGTCATCCTCCTTCTACGCCATCTACGAGCCAATGTGCCGATCCGAAAACACTTGCGGAACGTTGAACCAGAGTATATCATCTCGGATTTCGATGCTTCCTACTGCCGTCCAAGTACAAGAAGGAAAGTCTTCCTCACGATGTTCCTCTTCACAAAGAGGTCAGCGACGTGACTTGGCAAGAATCCGAGTTGCAAGAAAAGAAAGACTCCCTCTGAATTATATCCGCTCGGAACACTAGTTCGCTATCGGAAGCAAGAGCTGGTACCAAGTGCTTGGATCAACTTTCCAGAACCACGTCGTTGGCTTACTGGTTGCAAGAACCAAGGATGGCGATACATTTCTATCTGCACCCGTAGCGCTTCATAGAATAGCAATGAACGATCACTTAATGAATCCACAATCCTCTGTAATTTTCCATTGTGTAATGTGAATGCGACTCGAGGTCACGCTCGAGGGTAAAACGAAAAGGAAATCAACCACACCAAGGTCCAACAATCTGATCGTATTCGATACCTTGTCATCGACGATACAGCCGCAAAGCGCAACCAGCATTGATAGTCGACATACGCATTGATTGAACAATGCCAAAGGTTTCTAGTTCAGACCTCGAAGCGGCGGGAATCAAGACATCCAGATCAGATCTGTACATTCACGACTACCCATTGGATGCAGCAACTCGAGATGCACGACATACCACCAGATCAACTCCATCATGTCGCTCTAGGATGGGATCGCTTGACTTCTCATAACAGCCTGGAACACTCCATACCACGATCGTACGATTGACGAAAGTTACTCCCATGGTCGGGACTTCCTCCACTTTGCCATGTCCAGACTCTTGGATTGTGGTTTCTAGTCCACAATACCGACAAACGTGTAACACAGGTCTTCAATTACCAGAAGACAATCACAATCTTCATCACAACCCCTCAATATGTCCCGAGCCCCAGGGTGATGATCGCCGAGACCCCAGATAACACCCCCACATGCGTTTTCTCGGGTGTGGAGAAAGTTCATTAGCGGCCTTCGGTCGGTGAGTGCGACGAATCGGAGGGATGGTATTGACTATCGAGGCGTTCACGAGCTGACAATTCCACGTCCTCCGCAGCTAGCAAGCCACATCTGCCGTCCAAGCGTCGCAATGAGGAGGGTCTCGTCTCGCTCCTCCACACCTCGTCTTCCAGGATACCCGACAAGATACGGACTTGACTGGATCGACCGAAGTGTATAAGTCACGCCTTCGGATCGACAAACTCCCTTGTCTTTTCTCATCACCATCCGACCAGCATACAGCGACAGCGCCGCCATTGCCAGGAACAGCACTGTCCTGCTACCTTGACTCATCCAGTCTGTCGATTGCACATCGCCATCATGGGCAACACCAAAGTCGAAAATGTCGAGTTCATCGAGGAGCTCGAGCACACAAAGACGCTCGATCACTCAAAGACGCTCGAGCAAGTCGAGACCATGGGAACTGTCAAACTGACAGATGGAGCAACTGTTTACATCCCAGCGCCGACGGCTGATCCGCAAGACNCCTCGTACGTTCGATCTTCGGCCAATGTTCATTGCATTGTATCGTCTGCAATGACGGCGCAACGTTTCCCACGACGGATTCGCTGACAAGACTTTGCTGTAGTGAATTGTCCCGTATGGCAGAAGTGGGTGATTCTGGTGATCATCTCGTGCTGTAAGGAACCCAAACGCTTGTCTATGAGGTATTCCGGTTCTGACTTGCCTANNGTCTCCGCCCTTGGTCTATCACTTGTCAGTGGATTTGGTGGCCTTCTTGGCTTTTACATTCCAGGTTATGTCAAGGTTGGCAAAGGATATGCAGATATCACTCATCTGATGACCTACCCCACTCTCTTTATGTGAGTTATGAGCATGCCATGATATATCAAGACGACTAACACTATGGTAGGGNGCATTGGTAACATTATCGGCATGCCTTTTGCCCTCGGCGTTGGCCGTCGCATCGTCATTCTCAGCTCATGTGTGGTCCTGGTCGTTGGCTCCATTCTCTGCGCTACTGCCAAGAGTTATGAATGGCACCTTGCTGCTCGCTGTATCGTCGGTCTTGCAGCAGGTCAGAGTGAGGCGCTGGTTCCTATGATTACTCAGGTAAACATTCCTCGAGATTTGCTATTTCGATCATTTTCTGATTCATGTAGGNAACTCTACTTCTTGCACGAACGCAGCAAGTACCTTATGACCCAGCAAGCCATTCAAGTCATCATTACAACGATCTGGACCGTTTTTGCAAGCCCCATCGCTGGTCACATTACTCCCGAGGGATGGTACTACCTTGGTGGCGGCTTGTCTGCTCTTCTCCTGGTCTTTGCCTTCCTATGGCTCCCTGAAACAAAGTACGAGAGGCCCCTCTCTTCATATCAGGAGGCTGTTGAGCATTCCTACGACGTCGAAGAAACTGTGAGCAAGGCTTCACCTTCAGTTGTTCTCTGCACCACCAGACCCGAGCTCGACTTCGTTCGTTACGCACCTCGCACTTTCCGTTCTGATTTGCGTCTATGGATTGGAAAGCCTGACATGAAGGCTGTCGGAAAGGTCTACCNNAGGTATGCATAACAGTCGATCTCAATTTTGAGTTTTCCATCCACTGACAGCGACTCATAGCAAATGTTCGGCTTGCTGCTCTTCCCTAATGTCTTCTGGGCTCTCTGCTTGAACGGCCTGACATTGGGTGCCAACATCGCCATCGGCACGACTTATGGTGGCATCGTTACTGCTGCTCCTTACAACTGGGCCCAAGACAGCGCCAGTTACGCCAACTGTGGCCAGATCGTCACTGCCATCATCGCTCTACCTCTTCTCGGACATGGTTCCGACAGACTTGTCAAGTGGCGTGCTCAGCGCAATGGTGGCATTCACGAGCCTGAGAACCGCATTCTTCCCTTGATCATTCCTCTGATCGTTGGCGTGTTCAGTTGTGTCTTGTACGGCCTTGCTGCTCAGAACCCCACTCACTACCACTGGTTCATTTACATCTGGGTCATTGCAGGTAAGCATTGTCATCTTCGTTCAATTGTACAACCATGACTAACATCAAAATCCANNGCCTATTACTTCTGTTTCGTCGGAGCCAACATTGTCGCCATTACTTACCTACTCGACAGCTATCCTGCGCGTGCTGGCCCCCTCTTGGTTATCGTTTGTGCCATGAGAGGTATCATGAGCTTCGGAGTCAGCTATGGTATCCAGCCCATGATTCAGGCCAAGGGATACGACGGCGCATTCGGTATCTTTGCAGCTCTCACTGCCGCTTTCGGTATGTTGGGTGTGCCTATCTTCATCTGGGGCAAGAACATCAGAGCCTTGACCGGCAAATGGGCCAAGGACAAGAACGAGTAGACTGGGTGATTCTGTTATGTGTATATAGGTGGGGAGATGAGGATTGATGCTTGTACATAGTTTATGATTTCCTGTACGTTTTTATGATGATGATAAGTTACTGCATCACCGTTCCTAGTCATTGTTCGATGCATTCGCTCTTCGTTCTTGCCACGCACGGCTTGATCCTCTATTCGCTTGCTGATCCAAGAGTTTCGCTGATTGAGTAGCTTGATTGCCGATTTGCACTAAAGGCTTATAGCGATCGAAGTGCAAGACCTCCGTTCAATCGCTGTGTAGCTCCATCCACTGCCCTGCTCTCTTCTTGAAATCTTCTGGGTTTCGTAGATACAAGGCTGCAGCTTCCTCATTCAGTATGCAGCCCTCGAGCAGATTCGGATCCGAAAGCATGGCTTGAAGCGATATCAATATGGTTCGGATGGTGATAGCCGGACTCCACTGTGATTGATCGAATTCAGCAAGCCGTAGGTTGCCAACCGCAGAAACGTTCGGATGGAATAAGGGTGTCGTGAAGGTGAGTCGAGGAGAATCGCGAGGATAGTTCTCTGAAAANGCAATGTTGATAATGCATGTCTCTTGGGCATAGACACTTCCTTCTGGGCCTCTTATGTGCGCGACCCAGTGTAATGAGTCTTGAACGTCTATCGAGCGTGTCAAGCCTGTCTCAACGTCGTCGCGTTGAATGTTTGCGAGTTCTGAAGCGATGCGTTTCATGGTCATGTTGAGTCAAGAAAGAGTCGGATTGAGGAAGCTGATGAATTGCTTAGGCGTAATCGAATTATTTCTACGAGTTCGATGATTGTTGACTAGGTTTCAACATGACTCATGATCATTGTTGCAGCCTTGAGTGGCAAATACAGAACTCGCTGGATGGCACATGACAGTTGACCATAATGAGAGCACAACATGAACAAAAGATACAAACAAGAAAAAGCACCACCGACAGAAGGTTACAAAGCCTTCCATTCTAAGCCTCTGCAGAGATCTATCCGGGTGCAATGTGAAGAACAGTCGAGGAGTCCGTGTCGTGAGGGTGACCCGCCTCGAGACGTTCGGATTTGGGTCACGTTTATCTTTCGAAGGATACGCACAAAATGACCACGAATTCATGCCTGTAGACATTCAAACAACATTGTCGCATAAAAGCAACGTCCTTTGACACGTCCGACCACGACCGCATCTTGCTGATGATGGATGCTCGGACAAGATGGCGCCCGAAGTGCGGGGCTGAAAGATGTGCTCCGAATGTGGGCCCGAAGACTGTGTGAGTCTCGGTCGAGTACGGGCTGCCTCGTTCCTCGAAGTTTTGGAGGTTCTTTCTCTCCTGCTTTGTAGACTCTTCGAGCTCGCATGTCGGCGGTAACCAGACCGACGCGGTGGTTCAAACGTGCCGTGCCGTTCTATTGTGCCTGGTGCAACAATCATGACCTTGTCGTCGTTGCCCTTGCTGTCTGCTCACTTCTTCCTCAGCAGAAGCCATGAAGTCGACTAGCCAAGCAACCACAATGGAGGACCGGAGAGAGGACCAGCAGGATCTGGAACTGCACCCTGTTCAGACTAACGTGTCGGAGAAAGTCACCAATACCATGGGCACAATGCGACGGAGACTGGTAATGCTCTCGCTGTGCCTGTCGCAATTTCTCGCAGCGATAGACATCACGATTGTTGCGACAGCGCTGCCAACAATCGCAAGCAGTCTACATGCCACCTCCGCGCAGTATACATGGGTCGGATCAGCCTACAACCTTGCGAGTACAGCGTCAACACCGCTCTGGGCCAAGCTATCAGATGTTATTGGGAGAAAATCTGCACTACTGGCGGCAAACGCGATTTTCCTTGCAGGCAGTCTACTGGCAGCTCTTGCTCATTCAATACTAGTGCTCATCGGAGGACGGTGTCTGCAAGGCATTGGAGGTGGAGGCATGATGATTCTCAACACTATCATCATCAGCGACATTTTCCCGTTGGAGGATCGCGCGAAGTATTATGGCTTGTCTGCAATTGTTTGGGCGATAGCAAGTGCGCTAGGTCCAATGCTTGGAGGTGTTTTCACTTCCACAATCGGCTGGAGATGGTGTNTGTAAGTGATAATCGATCCCATGGAAAAACGACTTGAGCTAATTTGAACGACAGTCTACATTAACCTGCCGCTCGACGGCATCTCACTTGTTCTAGCAGTCCTGTGTCTCAAACTCAATATTGAAAGAGCTCCTGCCAAAGAAACACTTGCCAGCTTGGACTATGTTGGTTGCATCAGTATTGCAGGAGGAGCCATACTTTTCCTTCTTGGACTGGAGAGCGGAGCCAGTCACCAGCATTCTTGGACATCGGCCTATACTCTTGGTATGCTCATCGGAGGTATCATTTTGCTGGCAGCATTCATGATCTGGGAGTGGAAGTTTGCGAAAGTCCCGCTCATCCCTATCCACGTCTTTGCCTCTCGAACGAGTAGAGCTGCACTTGCAGTGGCTTGCTGTCACAGCTTCGTCTTCATTGGCTTTGACTTTTACCTGGCGCTGTACTTCCAGGCGGTACTTGGACGAACTCCGATCATATCAGGCGTGCTCCTCTTCGCACTGATCTTACCTCTATCGGTCTGTACGTTCCTTACCGGTATTGTGATTCGCAAGACTGGAAAGGTCAGGCCCATCATCTGGTTCGGGGCCTTCTTCATGACACTTGGAACTGGACTTTTCATCGACTTTGGTCCGAAAATGGTCATCTGGAAGCTCATCATCTTCCAAACCATAGCAGGCATAGGTGTTGGACCACTTNTTCAAGCTCCAATGATTGCACTCCAAAGTGTGGTGAAGCAAAGGGATGTCGCGGCAGCCAACTCCGCCTTCACCTTCCTTCGCAGCTTGGTTACCTCTCTATCTGTCGTCATTGGAGGTGTTGTGCTCCAGCGTGGCCTTGGCTCTGGCTCGTTGACAGGCAATGGTCATGTTTCGGCTGGTGGAGGCGAGACTGCGGACAGATATGCGAATGCTTTGAGCAACATGTGGATCTTCTACACAGCATTCTGCGCGGTCATGCTCCTATCGACTGTTTGGATCGGCAAGATCGACGTGAACTCCAAATCTCGAAAAGCCGAGAATGAGGAGGCAGTGGTGGAAGAGACCGTGACAGTCCAGAAGGGCACGGACATGAACACCGAAGGCACGGAATTGAGTAAAGTCAAAGCAGAGGTCTGAGATGTGTTGTTAGATACGAAAGATATGATGATAACAGTACAACCCATACACGATTTGCCTAGACAATCTAATACACTGCGTTGATGTCGAATTGTCTTATGCGAGACCCTCTTCACCATGTGAAGATCATTGGGGTTGCTTCAATTGTGGTTCAAAAGAAATAACATCTAAGTGATCATGAATAGACAGGCCAGCAACATTGCGCCTGTTAGCGTTGTGGCATCGTCCTACTCATCCTATCTCGCCGTATGCATTGATCGTCGCTGACAATCTGGGAACTATCATCCGGAGCTGGGGCGCGATAGCAAGTTCTCCTTCGATGTACTCGTGTACTGTAAGCCTGGAACGAGATGGTGATCTCCACTTCTCCGCTGGCAGGCAGCTCGGTTCGGTCACTTCGGTCACTCAAAACGTCGGTTCGGCGACCGATAACGCCTGAAATTCACCCCGCACCGCTCCACATTCTCCTCAAGGTGCCGAATGCCTGGCCCACCAATTGTACAGACTAGCCTCGTGCCTCCGTTCCGTGGTCCGCAGTCAGGCGCAGGATCTGTCAGCCGCTTGGAAAGCCAGGAGAGCTGAGGTATAATAGGACTTTTCTTCTGGCCGAGTCGTCCATCTTCACTTTGTCCATCACATTACCACAAGAACAATCTCACAATGGGTTTCTCAGAAGTTTACACCGAAGTCCCAAAGACTGCCATTCATCTTGTCGGTACCAATGACTGGCAGGAGGACTTGGCCAAGAACGGCTATGCTGTCGTCAAGGGAGCTGTTCCCAAGGAACGTGCTGAGGACTACGCAAACCGCATGCACCAATACCTAGAAGACTTGTATGTGCTCTTGAGTCCTCAAATCGAGATTGATGCAGCTACTGACCACAAATAGTNNGGTCTTGGATACAACCGCAACGACCGCAGCACCTGGAAGTCCGAACACCTACCTGAGATCAACAACAAGGGCATGTGCCTTGACTACGCCGTCACCCACGAGGACTTTGTCTGGGAGATCCGCTCGGAACCAGGTGTTCTGAATGTCTTCGAGACCGTCCTCAATACTGAGGATCTGATCGTTTCGTTCGACGCAGTGAACTTCGGTCTTGCTGGCAGGACTGATCTACCACCAAACAAGCCTTGGCCCCACCAAGACCAGGACCCAACCAAGAGCGGATTCAGATGTCTTCAGGGCTTGGTGAATCTGTTGCCAAACGGTCCCAATGATGGTGGCCTGATCGTCTGCTCAGGAGCCCATCTGCTGAGCGAAAAGTTCCACAAGGAGATGGCTTGGGAGACTGAGCAAGGCAAGAACATCCCCGCTTGGAACCCCGAGTGGTATGGCTTCACAAACGAGGGTATGAAGTGGCTAGAGAAGGAAGGTTGCACTTGGACCAAAGTCTGTGCCGAACCCGGTGACTTACTCCTCTGGGACTCACGCACCCCTCACTACAACCTATCCTCGACTACAGAGCAAAGCAGATTCTGCGTCTACACGTGTTACATGCCTGTGACTGAGGCTACTGAGGAGGAACTTCAACGANAAAAGACTGCTTTCGAAGGCTGGTTTGGTACCACCCACTGTAAGTCATGTCCCCGAGAATCCCCCGATGATAACTCCACTAACAGGATGTCCANNGGGCCAAATGCGAAAGTCATGGGACGTAATAAAGCTACAAGGGATGGTGAGCCAGATCCTCACAACCGAACTGAGCCGGTCAAGAAACCGGTTCTGTCCGAAAGGGTGTACAAGTTGACCGGCATTCCATACCTTGAAGCAAAGGCTTGAGAAGTGTAAAGAGTCAATTCTAATGCAGGCGTATCGGTCTGAACTAGCGTTTAACGATTTTACAAATGATTGAGTATTGGAAGAAAGTCACTCTACCTAAACATACCCTGCTCTTCCCCCGTAGCAACCATGTATATGTTTCGGTATAGCAAACCCTAACCTCCAAATAGTGAACACCAGATGAGGCAAAACTCCCTTTCTGGCGAAGGAACTTATATGACAATTCATCGAGAAGGGGTGGTCGTCGAGCTAGCCAAATCCTAATGTCGTAGAACAGCACAGACGATTGCATTCTTCTCAAACACTTCCAATACTCCAGAGTGCATATCCAGATCACCTCTTAGGACAAAACGATAAAAAGCAGAAGAGCAACATTCTCACAAAAACAGCCTCGACTTTGTCCTCCCCACTACGGGTACGACGCCAGCCCAAATTCTCTCGCTCAGCTTCTTGATCACATAACTTAGCGAAGCGAAAGATCTCGTCGTAAGTGCTCATATCCTCATATCTATCTTGCTCTCGCTCAACGATATCTTGCCATTCACGGTGCGGAAACTCGGGCGGTCTACGCAGTCTTAGCTCAACACTCGTGCGCCAACGATCGAAGAAATACAGTCCAAGTCGACAGGCTCTAGTATTGTGGTCGCGAACATGCTTCCATACAGATGGATGGCGCAAAAAGCCAGTCATGTTGTTTGATCTTGCCAGAGCCTTGCTATGCCGATCCCAAACCCGAAATCCATCTATTGGAGATGTGTAAGGAGCTGGCGATTGTGAGAATTGGGGGCACAGCCTGGAGATACCAAAACTCTGGATCGGAATGTTGCTGTATGGAGGATTCTGTATTGGATATGTCTGGAGGACAGAATGGTTGTGTTCGTTCGGTGGTGAAACTCGGCCAGTGCTAGAAGGTGCTTCTAGCACAGGCCCGTGACTGATACTTGTGATGATTTCGTCCGTCTCTTCTGCTCTCCGCGCGGTTTCTCTGAGGTCAGATAGCACTTGCTGCACTTCGGTAAGGTTCATCCTGACCACTTCTCCAGTCCGATGAGTCAACATCCGTGCCGCTCTTGCACAAGCGACGAGTGTCCAGAGATGGTTCATAACGCGATTCTCTTCAACCCAACTTGGGTCTTGCAATCTCGATGGCACTGACATTGGCTTGCCTTCGTGTTCCCGCATTGCCCAGTCCTGCATATCGGCCCATTGATGATCTGAATCCGCCAATTGCTCAAATTACATCTTGGCCAGATAGTCAAGCTTGGAGCGAAGAATGTAATCCGCCATATCGTGAATGCGTACTGCTTGAGCGACCACATGGAAGATTACTGCGACAGGCATGTTGTCGCGATTGATGTGATGTATATCTTCTAGCTCGGATATTATTTCGTTCGAGTTCTTCCAGTTTGTTCCAGCAAGTGCCGCTGTATGAATTGTTTGATGATGCTTACACACCAGACGTATGTAGAAAACCATTGGCATCAGCGCCCTTGGCCGAACGTTACGATTGGCGATAGCAACAAACACCTGATGAGCATTGTGATGGAAAGCAGCGTATAGGTTCGGTGATGCAAGAATGGCTGCGTAGAGAGCTTTGAGGTCAGGTAGTTGCCAGAGTATCATTAAAGGGAGTGGTGCTGGGAGGTTGGAGAGCAAGTCACGCATTTTTCAGACTTGGTGACGATCGAAACAGAGTTGAGGTTTTTATCGAACGACGATGTTGTGACCATCATATATGATATTGAGTTTGGTGTGTGGGCTGCAGCCTGATGGTCATCCCTGTGTTCGCGATGCTCCGCGCGTTGTGTTACACGAAGAGCGAGGGAGGCAGGCGCAACTGCCTAGTAGCACCTGTGAAGCTTCCCTCGAGTATCAGATTTTGCACTCACCACCGACTCAGAAGACGACGATCGAGCCACCTTCTAGCAGCGCTGCCACTCGTATGAAGTCATTCAACCCGACGATGATGACGAACAATCAGAGCATACGCAGCAGCAAACCTCGAAGGTCAGATCTGTTTCTGACTAGACGCATAGGATGTTTGTGACGCTTCGGGTGATGTCTAATTCCGTCACGGTACAAAGTCTCGTGCCTAGTCAGATTTAAATGTGGACAGATCTGGACACCGCGGCGCTAACCAAAAGTAGAAAACGAGGCGTTGTGTGTTTTTCCCGTTCCGTTCCGCTCCGCTTAGGGTAAACCGGTGTCCAGATGAGAATCGTCGGTGTTCAGATAAAATCTGCGCTTACTGTGCACTGTCAACAGCAGGACATTGTCAAGCTGAGCGTATGAACTAAGTTTGCCCTAATACACACTTCGCGTCCTTGAATATTCAAGGTATATAGCTCACCCAGATTCCGCTACAACGAGCCACATCCATTGGATTCAGCCCCTCCCGACTTCGTCATGGCCGATCCACATCTTTCATTGATCTACGCCGTATTCGCCGCATGTTTGCCGGCCATTTACTATGTTTTTCAGCAGCGCCGCACCAGGTCGACCTTCCCTGTCGTTGATACCTTCACTGGAAACGTCAATCGANAAAGAGCCTACTGCGCATATCACGCGCGGGCAAGGAAGCTCATTGCCGATGGTTTAGCGCGTCATGGTGGTCCTATTACCATTGTCACGCCTAATGGCCCTAAGGTCATCCTGCCATCTTCTCTTACTGACTGGGTTAAAGCGAACAAGGATCTTGATCATCCAGCGCTTGTTAAAGACGATTTTCTTTCCGGCTATTCTGGTTTTGAAGCTCAGACGATCTTACATGATGCTGGATCTCTCGTCACGAATACTATCAAGGCAAAGCTCTCCAAGAATGAGGCTAATGTTCCTATCATCGACAGTCATCTGGCCGACGCACTAGCCCAGCATTGGGGAGAGGACAAGTCATGGCATTCAATCGATTGGCAANAAGACACTACCGGACTCATCTCTCAGGCCGCCGCAGCTGTCTTTGTTGGCCCCAGGCTGGCTAGGAATCAGGAGTGGCAAGACATCACGGTCAACTATGTTCTCGATTACTTCACCGCCATCGGTCAGATCCGGGAATGGCCCGCTCTACTATGGCCAGTCGCTCACCGATTTAATCCTCTCTCTAGATCATGTCGCCGATACATGCATCGCGCTCGTGTCATGTTGCAAGATGAGCTCGTCAAGAGAACGATAGAAAAGAACACATCTTCTCCTGCCTACAATGATGCCATAGAATGGTTCTCTAGGGCTACGAACGAACAAGCTTTCGACCATGGTGCTGCACAATTAGCTCTTGCTGTCGCTGCGCTTTTCACTACTTCCGAGGCGCTCAGACAAACGTTATTGGAGATCTGCAGGCATCCGGAGATCATCTCACCTCTCCGCGAAGAAGTTCAACAAGCTACAACCGAGCACGGATGGACTATGAGTGCTCTGTTCAAGATGTCAATGTTAGACAGTGTCATGAAAGAAGCTCAGCGAACCTTACCAGCTTACGGCATGTAATCACACCTCTGTAACATCGTTCGAGTCACTAACCAGATATTTNTAGTTGGTCTCGAGAGAAAAGCTTTACGAGACACGATACTCCCGAACGGCGTCAAGATACCGCGCGGAACCCACGTCGCCGTTGACGCGTCCCTCATGTGGAGCTCAGATATATACGCTTCGCCGGAAGATTTCGACGGTAACAGGTACCTCCAACTCCGTGAAAAGACCGGCAGCGCGATCTATTCCTTCGCTGCGTCAAGCAAGGAGCACATCACATTTGGCCTCGGCAGATCCGTCTGTCCAGGTCGCTTTTTCGCCGATACCGAGCTCAAACTTTGCCTGGCTCAGATCCTGCTCAAGTACGATTTTCGTCTGGAAGAGGGATACGTGTCGAAATCAATCTACATGGGCTTCTACCCTGTTGTTGATCCAGTTGCTCAGGTAGAGGTGCGCCGGAGGATAGGATGATCTGTTGGACGTGAACATCAACTCTGATTGACCAGCCAAGAATATGAGCACGCATTCTGGAAGCAGTCTCATTGCTGCTGTCATTGTTCTGCTAGGGTGAAGAGACGATCTCAATTCTCGGATACTAGATCCAAGACTGCGTTACGCAACCGGCTAATCAATCTCGTAGGTAGACCAAATAGTCCAGAACGTCTTCAAGTAGGCTCAAGAAGCGCTAAACGTCCTCCGAGACTCTCTCATTCCCTCGGGTGGAAGATGTCCCACGACACTTCCACCACTCGCGATCACCTTCTGTCACCGTTGAAGTTCGGAATGTAGAGGCACATGTTAGCGGAGGCGACTACGACAGGAGCAGGTCCTTGCTTTTGCTTGGGACCTGCGGATGCGAACGCTACTTACAGTTCACGGCTACAGGAAGGGTTTCTACGATACTATTTCGTGTGATGTGAGTTTCTATAAACGCATACAGTATTTGTTTCGACGATGCCAAGCGTTGTAATAGGGAAGTAAGGTGAGTGTTGGTAGTGAACATGACGATCATAGCTATATACTGAACTTGGCAGCACCCAGGCGTTCCACAACACGAGCTCACCGCGAGACTGCCAAGCAACAACGTCTCGTGATTGATTGTTGTTTGAACCTCTATCAACGTATATTGCAGATCGTGACATGTACCTTGATGTCACAGATTCTTTCTGCCAGCAGATGATCGTTCGCAAAGAAAAAGGCACAAACACCGGGGATTGCTTCCTCGTTGTCTAAGCCAGCACGTACATACCTTTCAAAACGCACCTTTGAACATGCTGGGTGTCTTGAACAGATCGTTCGTGTGCTCTCTCACACTAACAAGTTCATGGACCATGGTGCAATCTAGTGGGTGCGCAGTTTCATCTTTCCCAGTTTCATACAACACATAACATACCGATAGTATCAACCTGACTGTGACATTCTCCGACCACGAATTGGGAGTTTGCGCAAACACTAGAGTGGGCCAAGGTATCACATTCTCGACCTACATGGTGCCATATTCCAGCGTGTGCTTCCNNAATTTGGATGAGCTGTTTATCAAGAAAAATCATTCTGGGGTGGTTCAACAAAGTCTGGCTCTACAGTCGCAGCCTACCAACTTCACTTGGTCTACTCTTGGAAATGAGAACTACAATTCACGAGCAAACTATTCTCAACTTTGGTATCAGCAGGAGAACGTCACTGGAAAGACTGGCGCCGGTCAGGATGCTGCAAGGCAATTGTCTGTGTACTCTGGAAGAGATTGCCACTCCATTAATGGATCAGAACCGCGAACGCTAGAGCCTTGGTTCGGTTGGACGTGTCAAAGCGAAGTTGGCGGTCAATGTGATCAGGTTCCCATAAGCATCAAAAGTTTCTTGCTTGCAGATGCTAGCTCTATCAACAGAGGGTATCCTAAGTGTTGGGATGCGGCAATGATGGGGCAGACCTCGATTACGGAGATTCCGTACTTTCTGCTTCTCAGTGTCGTGTCGTTGACAGTGATCCTCATTCTATAGACTTTCAGGACACGATTGTGTCGATTTTCTTCGGTGTTTCATCTGAACTTGCTCTCCTTCAACCACAACATTAATCCAACTAACCACACACTGGTCCCAAAAGTGACCCACACATGTCTCAATCGCCCTTGACCAGGCGCCAAGCGCCACCAAGTTTCTTTTCTGGGTATGATCATACGGGTCACGATCAACCAAAGGATGCAGCTAAACAGGTAGAAACAAGTCATCGAAATTGCGCCATTACGATAGTGACCGCGTGCTATCTCGTACAGCGCATCAAGGAGACACATAGGGGCGACGACTGCCCAAGACACGACTGCGCTTTTCATGGCAGCCAGAAGAAGCCAGTCAATCGCACTGAACAGAGGGCGTCGGCACATCGGACAGGAGGTCTGATAGTTCTCGCCCATACGTTGTAGGCATTGCGTACAAGCCTCGTGCCCGCAAGGCAGTCGTACAAGATTGAGCTCGTCCCAGCAAACCATGCATTCTGCTGACTCGTCTTGTGTGCGAAGGCCACGCATGAAGCTTGAATGACTCGGCAAATCGACAGACCAGAAGGAGCCGGGAAGAAGGTTCCATGTTGTATAGCCCATGGCTAAGCAGAATGCCCACACTTCTCGAGGTTCTCGCAGTCGGAGCAAGCATATACAGATCAACCAAGCAACAATGTCATGAACAGTGCGGCGACAATTGCGCTTGTGACGGATGAGAGAATAGCTCGTGGTGATGGCGAGGATACTGTAGGTCATCAAGTCCATGTGAGGCGCAAGGCTGGCCTTGCTTGGACGGTGTCTCGCAAGGCGATTCATGTAGGGTTGGCCTGAGTCGAAGGTGATTGTGAATGCGGATTGCTAGAGTATCAACGAAGACCTTTTTGAGTGTAGTGGCTCGTCGGTGAATCTTCGCTAATTTTGATGATCGACAGTAATGTTCGCAGGATTGGTCGAGAAACCTGGAAGAAAAGTGGAACCGATCTGGCACGCCTGTCAGGTCTTTGTGGTTGTCGCACGATGGCCGGTGTACAAGCAAAGGTAACCAAGTCGCTCGCAAGTCACGCTGGACGGTGAAATTACTCGACGCACTTTCCAGTCGCCGTCCCTCCAACTCCGGATCACCATGACCTTGCGCCCCGTTGAACAGCATTTCCAGTGAGCTGGAATATTGGAGACCAATCGAGAAATCATGTTTCCAATAAGGAGCCGTGCCTATCAACCATAAGCCCAATTCGAAGAGCCGCGGTGGGTGTGACAGAGCAAAACCCCAAAACCCTAAACTAAGTTTAATTTCTTCTCAACCACCCAACTTTTCTGATGGCATCTTTGAGAGCAAAAGCTTCATTCATCGACACCTTATTCACATCGAAGGCTTGAACCCCCAAAGAAATTTCATCAAGAGCCTTGCGAGTTGGTCATCAGAACCCTTCAAGCAAGTCGGCGACTGCATTGTTTTTGACAAATCGATGAAGTGAATCCAGTCTGATACTTGCAAGATGCTATGGACCTGCAAGAAGCTGACCGCTGCGCAGTGTTATTTGATCCCCATGAACCTGATAGCAGCCTCTTTCCTTCAAGAATGACTTGACAGCTACCAATGCCAGACATTTTCTGCCTGAGCTTGAGAAGAGTCGATCAGAACTTTGATTCATGAAAATGTCCGAATGGCCGCTGAAGCTTCTTCCGCCGCCTTCTTAGCACTGTCACTCATCCAGGTCTCCTCCACCCTTATTGAGAACTGCTCGGACCAAAACTTCCATCGTTCTGGTGAGAAACCAGCTTTGCCCTTCCAAAGCTCTGTTTCCGCCGCAAAACCNTTGGTCCAGTACTCGCCGAAGAACTCATTAGTCGTGTCATGCAATGTTTTGCCCGCATAGATCACCCATTGCGCTGCAGCTTCGATGTCATCACTGAGCGACTCCTCGTTCGTGATTACGGATGTGCGATGAAGACTCTTGGTATGGCCCTCAAGCGTCGTTTCTAGTGCATTTCGGACATCGAAGAAGCCATATACACCGACTTCCTTGGTGGTCTGGTCATCGCCTTGCTGCACCAACTTGGCTGAGAAAGACGTAAAGTTGATCCATCTTTGTCCGCCAGTCAAGTCATCGGGAGANTAAGTCGCTTTTGCGCTATCCAGTGTTCTCCAAGTTTGGTAGAAACCGTAAGCGTCACGCCAGTCAGGCCAAAGATTGGATGTAAGTGGTTTTCCATTGCTCGAGCCAGCTGGAAGTTTACGAGTGGCCAAAATAAGCTGGATGATCTTATCCATGTCGTCAGGAATCGAAGCAGCCGCATGAAAAATGAGATTCCAAAGTCGCCATGCAGTGTCTGATTGATTTGGTCTTCCCGATATGTCCTCCAAGAAGAGCTCTGCAGCAGCTTTCGGGCTCATTCCTTGTTCAAATAGAGCTTTGAGGAGATGCGTATGACGAGGCAGGGCACCCCACTTTCCAGCCTCCTCGCTTGCCAACCAGTCGTCTAGGTTGAACGGCATTGAGTGTGCAGTGTAGGATGTAATGAGATGGTAAGGACATGAGACGGTGCAAGTCGACCGTCTTTGTATGTTTCTGCTGGCATGTTCACTTGTCGTAGGCAGTAACCTTGGCATACGTCAGCAGGTACAGTGTTGTAGCATGCAAGCATCGGCATGATCATGATCGAGGGGGTGATGACCAGTCTTGACTCTTGGATGATCTTCAACCCCTCAGCAAATCCAACCCACTCACCTCACTGTTCGACAATCTCACAGGGAACTGCGGACATCGAACCTGCTATGATAATTATAGACATTCTCCAATGTCGCGAACGCATGCTTGATGTTCAATCGAGAGTCTCTTCAATCTTCCTTAAAAACCGGCCCCTTGGCCTCTCACAAGCGCAATGGATCATTCCATGTTTATAGCCTCTTCATCGAGAGATATTTGTTGGTGCATCCTGCATGTTCTGCTTCCAGGACGTTAAGCGAGAAGGATCCGAGCTGCACGGCTATTCTCGTATTCAGAAGTCGTGATAATTCGCCACCCCCAGCTTCGAACTTGATGCTCTCAACTGCTAGTTAAATGTCTATTAGCTAGATTGCTATATAACCACAGTACTATTACCTGTTATACATGTTAACATAGACTAATCTAGTGCTACTAATGCTCTAATCGAGGTAGTAGCCTCTTAAACTAGCGTGCGCACGCGCTCGCAGAGCCGAAATCGCGAATCTAGCCTCTTAGAACCACTACCCTCGCTAGCTTAACCACCCACCTATATAGGCTTAAGACGACGTGTACACTTCGAGGAAGAAGGAGAAGGCATTAGAGAAGGACCTTCTATAAGCACGCCTAGAGCTACGCGCGGCAAGGCTCCTATTCGCCTTATTAACCAATAAACACCTCCTAAATCTACACCTCGCTAGGCTATAATAAAACGTAATACCTCTACCTAATAGCTATAACCACCACTAAAAAAGATATCCACTTTAAGGAAACCACTTTCTAATGCTACGAACACGTTAGGAAAAAACGGGGATTAAAAACTTCTAAAAAGATAAAGATATAGGCCCTAGTACCTAAAACGCGACCCGTAAAGCCATATAACAACCTAGCCACATCTGTTCGTCGCTTAACCACCTCTACGAATAAGGTCACTAAACCTTCTAAGGTTAAGTAGAAGGCTAAAGGGACCCTCTACGTAAAGAGCGTATTATTAAATTCGACTGCTATCGCTACGAGTTCTACCGTTATAACACTACCTACCCTAATACCGTTTAAGTTACAATTTAACAGTCGTTAGGGCTATAAAAAGATATCTAATGGCGATACCGACCTTACTAACAGTAAGAAGACATGGGTAACAACCCGTTAGGAGCTAGATCGATCGATTATACCTTATCTTAGGGAGCAGGAGATTCCTAAATACTACCCTTAGAAGATTAGAGCTCTAATAACTTCGACAGGCTCTCGCGGTGTACGCTTAACTAAAGTAGTCACTCTATATAGACTTAAGCATAGTGATAAGTAGTGGAAGAAGGCTATAGACCTTATTCGCTTTAATGCTTCTACCGGCCTTAAAGATTTGTCCATTATAATCGAGTCTATTTAGACAACCGATAGTAAGGAGCTAGCGCTAGAGGCTCCTCCTTCGTATAAGGCCTCTATACTAGTATCCTTAACGATATCGGGACCTCGAGCTCGCCGATCTAAGCGCTCTATATAATAGACTACTACTTACTTCGATAAGAGGGCCTTGTTTTAGGACGAGATTACCTAACATTACCTCTATAAACGACCTAACTACTGCTATGTACATGCGCGTAGAGGGCTTACTTATCTAGAGTACGAGGGTCACTATTATAAGATCCTCTTTAGCACCGTAGCGAAGTGGCGCGAAGAGGTAAGGGTAGGTCTATATACACTTAAGGAGCCTTCTCGCTCCGTCGTACAGCTTATTATTAGACGACATTAGCAGCACGAGGTTAAGCTATCGAAGGCCTTAGCGCGAGGTAGAGGCTCTACCTAAACCTCGCTATTAACCCCTTTAATAGTAAATAACTTCTATGTCGGTCTAGCTTAGGCATAATAAGCTAATCCTCCTCCTCTTCCTCCTTCTCTAGTTACGCCTCCTATAGCTACTTCTCGACAAGTGTTACCTATTCCATCTAAGCTTAATACCGCTATTAACTAGGAGGCCTTCTAGGAGGGTCTTAAACAAGCCTATCTAGACTAGTTAGCTGGCTTCGATAGAGCAAGGGTTTAGCTCGAGTAAGACTACTAGAATTTGCGCTTGTTATTCCAGTCGTCTAATAAGCAGTTGTCGCGAGTAGTAAAGCAATCCGGCCTCCGGATAGTCCTCTATAAGGAACTAACTAAATTCGTTAATAACTATAAGCAAAACTAGCGTCTATTAAATAGCTCGCCTACTACAACTCCTCGAGCACCCTCCGGCCCTTAAGGTAGCCAGATTTAGCGCCCTTAGAGCGTCACCTCCGCCTCCCTCGTCGTTAGCTTATAACACCTCTAACACTAGCGACCATTAAATCTAAGGTGATACCCTACTTCTAACGAACAAGTTCCTAATATTAACCTTATCGAGTGCCTAATACGTTGCTCTCTCGAGGTGTAGGATCCATGCTTCCTTATAAGCTTAAGGATCTATGTTACTAACCCGAGGAGCTAGATCTCGATGTCGTCGAAGCCATTATTTTAAGAGGTGGAAGGTCTGTTCTATAGGGTTAAGGTGTAGCGAGTAAGGCGGCAGGTATAGCAAATATACGCCAAATTGGTGTCCTAGNATTAGTGATCTAGCGGGCGTTAATTTACCACTAATTTTACACTAAAATCTAACACACACCTTATCTAAGTGGTAGGTTAAGCAATTGTCTATTATAACAATTAACCTTCTTCCTAGAAATGGCTTACACTAAGGTAATACAACTGTCTCTAGCTAGTGCTCGTACATGGCCTATATAACCGTACCCTTAATAATAAGGGTTAAGCCTAGTATGTATCTATAGATATCTAGTGCTAGTAGCACCGAGCACCTTACCTTTAATACTAGCTCTAACCTTATAAAGGTAGGTAGGCTAATTACTAACTATAAACGACGTCGGAACATGGCCTTCTCGCTTGCTACAGATTCGTTAAGGTAGAGTAGCATATCTATAGGGTTAATGTTAACCTTATGGCCTCGAGTTATTAGCTCTACTAGCCTCTCTTTATAGATGCCTTATTCGATAAGGGATTAACGACTAGCGATGCGAGTATTAACCTTACTCGAGAGCCTCTCCTCCTTTATCATACGACTAATGGTCGGTTAAGACACTTAAATGCCAAATTCGCACCACAATTTAAAGGCTAACTCCTCCTCCTATAGATCGTTCCTATGCTTAAGTAATAGCATGGCATAATGACGCATCTCTAGCGTGATCTTACGTGGAGCTCCCATACGCTTAAGCGTAGAGGGAGGCTTCCTAACCCTGCTAAAACTGGTGACATTCTGTTGCATGCGGTAGAGCGTAGGTCGAGCCGCATAGGGCACTACTTTATAGACTGCTTCGACGTTACTGTTATCGCGAAACATGGCCTTAATAAGGTCCTTGTCGTAGTCGTTAAGAGGCATGTTTTGATAGCGAGATTATAGCTTAAATGAAGCCTGTTAGGTGGGTTAATATAGCTTAAAACTTAGCAACAGATAGCGACCAGTCACCTTAAGCTAATACACTAATATTGCGACAACAGCAGCTATATACAGCATCAAATAGCAAGATTAGTAGTCTAATTGCCAATTGAGAGCATTAAGTTCGAAGCTGGGGGTGGCGAATTATCACGACTTCTGAATACGAGAATAGCGGATGTAAGGCGGGGCGTATTCGCGTTATTCTTATGCGCAGCAAGGCTGCCAAGAAGGATTGACTGACGTTCAGCCAATTTGTTATACTTGTTGGAACTGGGATTAGCAGACAGTACACTGAATCCTACTAGTATTGCCAACGAATATGACTTGGCCAAGCTACACCAACCTCCAGAGTTCACACCGCACCAACCATTATCGCTATAGGAAGAGGTCTCAATCATTAAACAGGCAGTCACCGGTTCGCTGATCAACTGCAGCGCTATTGGAGAAGCCCTTGGCTGATCCATCGCTCTATGTAAGTCCTTCTGCTTCAGGTCAATTGCTCTATGATCGTATGATGACTGAGGGGAATGCCAGTGTTGGTTCGGCCAGGGCAATTCGTAGGGGTTGCCCATCGTGTGGTGTTTAAGATGATAAAAGGCGAGCGATGCCGCCTCGAACTGAGTGCACGACATCAGTCTCCCAGAGCAACTCATATCATCAGACTTGTCTTCGATTTTTGACCGCGTACATCATGTTCACACTTCGTACCATGCTTGCAGCTTGCGCCCTTCTGCAACTGTCTTGGGCTACACCCATACCTGTCAAGGCAATGATTGACAGCGTGGAAGTCTCCATGGACAAGCGCGACGTCACCGGGGCACCCACAACCAGCGTGATTACTTGCCGTATGTCCTGGAATGCTTTGCAGAAGGATCAGATATCTAACATGTTGCAGCCGATACTAGAGATGGCAAAGATCCCTCCAAAGATACAGTTAGCTTCAATGACTTCCAAATTGAAGATGCAACTCAGAGGGGTCTACAAAGCGCGCCTGGATCTTCAGACCCCAACCCTGGTAAGGCGGCCCAATGATTCTGCTCTCATACATGAACAGCAATAGTAAGGATGTGAGCTGACCTCTAACAGGTGGATGATCGAAAGAATTCCGCAATGATCCAGGGTTCATTTTTGCCAATTGCAATAGCGATAACCTATTCGAATACCCCATCTTGGGAGACGGAAAAGTATATGGCGGGGGTGATCCAGGCCCGTTCCGCACCATCTTCGTTCCGGATCCGGACTTCGCCTCCCGCAACGGTATCTTCTGCGGTATCCTCTATCGTCCCGTAAGACTCTCTAAGCTCATGATTAGTGATCCGTATGCTGATGCAA